AAATCGAGAGGTTGGAGGACGTGAGAAGTATGTGGAGGTAAGTACATAAGCAGAATTCGATGGCTATAGCACTGATACATGAATTCTGTGGCTGTATGGCTACCGTAACCATCCATAATTAGAAGACGGAAGTCTTTAGGGTTGTCAGGTGTTGTGTTCGGGATGAAGACCTTCTGTAGCCATTCGACTGCCGTAGGATTTGATATCCACCCATTATCAGTTACCGTGAAGTGCCAGTCCTTATAGTCCTTTAAATCGATGGGAAACCACTGTTGCTGGACCGATTTGCCTTTGAAAATGACTAATGGAGGGAGGGCACGACCGTGGGCAGAGATACATTCGATAAAGGAAGTCCAAGCTCGTGAACCAGGCTGTTTCTTTCGAATTGAGCGTTTCTGGGCACTACCGAGGACCAATCCATTGGTCCCTACACCTTCTAAGAGTCCTGCTTCGTCCATATTATAACGATTAGCTGGTTTGATGGCTTTGACTAGCGGGACATGGAGATGATTAAACCACGGCCGAATTACCTCGACGGTAGCACCATTAACACGCTTAGAATCAATGGGAATACTCCGCTGGGTCAATATATTAGGATTCCGGCGTAGGAAGCCTTGTAGCCAGCGTTTCCCAAGTGGTTGAGTGTCTCCTTGGGCGTGGAGGACACGCTCGGCAAATTCCCTAACCTGGGCGTGCGTTGGGGCAAGCCCTAGAGCGTCCTGGGCCAGTATCCACGTTGACAACCACTCTTCTTGACTTGGTAGAAGCCTCTGCTGGTTCGCAAATGCTTCTGATCTTGGTTGGTGACCTCGTATTCGATTCTGAAGTGTCGATTTGGGAATACCGAATTCCCGGGAGGATTCCTTGATCCCTGCCCCATTGGCTATGGCAGCGATGGCTTCCTGGAGGTCTTGTTCAGAATACGACTTCATAGCTAGTAAATTAATATATACACGAAGTTTGAAGAGATTTGAAGAAGGTTTGGTTGAACAGTGAGGTAAATTGTTGTATGGTAGGAAAATCGGGTGGTTGGTGAACAGGGGGCCCAAATGCAGGGGGGGCCCATATGTGGGTGCTCCGACTTATAATGAACGATTCGTGCTTGCTCCACACCTGGGTTTATTAATAGTCTAGTCGATGTTCGCTTAAGAAACCTTGTGCGAGGCTTATATCAATGAGAAGATTTTCTTGCGATGTCCTTTTGTTTGACTTCAATATTATTCAATATGAACAGGATTAAAATTTATGCTGGGGACTAGTTGGCTTGGTCCTTTCGGCAGCGCCGGTTCTACCTACGGGGATTTGTAGTCCCTTTGCATACATTAAATTCCACGGATAGCCCATATTTCATATTTGAATTAGGACAATCCTGCACCGGTCGACATGAAGGGGATGAAGGAGCAGTCCTGAACAACACCACCGGTGACAATGTAGCGCAAGCTTGCGTCAGCAAGCTTGGTAGCACCAGCCTCCGGGTCAGACGCGATGAAGATCTTGGCGTCTTCGCCCTCGATGTCGCAAGCAATGGTGTAGAAGTAGTTGCCCTTGGTATCAACAGCCATGTACACGCCCGGGGTTGAGTCAGAATCGTCGTAGTTCACTGGCAGCAGGTTGATGAGGTCGGCACCCTTTGGCACTCCATCGATGCTGCTCAGGCGGAGACGCGAAACGCCAAACGCAGCCATGGTGTCGGGGTAGTAGTGGAAGATACGGTCGGAGTCATCAGATGTGACAACCTGTTGGTAAGAAGAGTAGGCGGCGCCGGGAGTAGAAATAGCGGCGGCGGCGGCGACCTTGGGGTCAGTTGAGCCATCACCAGCAGTCAAACCAAGGTTGCCGTCATCGTCGTTGGTCAGAACATATGAGCCAGACTGATCAACGAGAGCAGTGTACACGAAGCCGTACTGAGTGTTGGAGCCATTCGAGTCATCGCTGGAGTCAATGACAGTGTCGTTGGAATCTTGGCGGCGGACGACTGTTCCGTCTGTGGTAGAAGAGTCAGTAGCCGGAGTGCTAGACGCATCAGTGTCGGATGTACCGGTGCTGGACGTATCAGTACCGGTAGAGCCAGTGCTAGATGTATCGGTATCAGAGGCGCCAGTGCTGGTAGTATCGGTGCCAGTTGAACCGGTAGAATCAGTGCCGGTTGTGTCGGTGCCAGTTGATCCAGTGCCGGTTGTGTCGGTACCAGTTGATCCTGTGCCAGTTGTGTCGGTGCCGGTTGAGCCAGTGCCGGTTGTATCAGTGCCGGTTGTATCAGAGCCAGATGACCCAGTGGAGCCGCTGCCGGAGCCAAGCGTCTTGCACCCAGAGACCAAATCAGGAGATTTGTAAGTAGCCAGAGGGATGTTCTTGAGCTGGAAGAAGTCGAGGCTGGTGTCGTCGCCCAAAGCCATAGAATAGGCAATACCGTTGGCGCATTCGCCCTCGGTGGAATACTTGGCCTCGAGGTTGAGCGAAGGCTCGTTGATGACCGAAATGAGGCGGCGGCCCTTGGTACCGAGCGGAACCAGATCGATACCGACACCAATCTGGACAGGCAGACTGAACTTGGTGGTGACAGTGATCTCGCCCTTGGCCTCGAACCTGGTGGTGAAAACGGGAGTGAAACCAGTTGCCGTGGTCTTCGACGAGTCAATCAGATCAAGCCTGGCGTTGAAGTTGGGCAAGCTGGCACTGGCACCAACAAGGACTTGTCCATTGGCCTCAATGTTCACACCGAGACTGGCGTCGAGGGCAAATTCGGGGCCAACGACAATGACCTTGGGAATTGTCAGGATAGGAATACCCGCTGCGGCAATGTTCTTCTTGAAGGGGTCAGGGCTGTAGGTAGCCTGGGCAGCGATACCGATGTTGGCTTGAGCGAACATGTTACCGTCGCACTGAACATAACCCTCGGTGATCGAGGCCGACAGAATGTTGAAGCTGACCTTGCCAGCAACATGGATGTAGCCCTTAACCTGGCAGTCGACACAGTAGAAGTCAATTGATCCACTGACAGGTCCGCTGGTCTTGTCGAGGTGGTAGATCGGATAGGCCTGACCGAAGACAGAGTCGGTCAGAGTCTTGGGGGCAACGCTGAAGTTGGTGGAAGCGTCGACGGAGGGGTTCAGGAGGTTGGAAACGACGTCCTTGACGAAGTTGTAGCCCGCCTTGGCAGTGTTGACGACAGCATTGGCAATAGCCGCGGGAGCCTTCTTGACAGTATTGACGACTGCGGAAACAGCCTTCTGAACCAAGGCTCTGAAGCTCCATCGCCTTTGGATGTGGGCAGCGCGACGTTCGGCGAAGCTTCTGCGCTTCATGTCCCGCTTGGACTTGGATGTGGTAGGCGAGACACCACCCACAACGTCGTCATCCTCATAGTCGGAAATGTTGTCATCAGTCAAACCAGGGGCTAGGTCCTGGAGAGAAGCGCTGAAATCATCGTCATCGAATTCAACTGTGAGAGTTAGCGTAAGATCTAAATCAACAGAGGCTCAGAGGGAATCGTACGGTAGCCAAGCATGTCATCGAGGGTTCGGTCAAAGTTCTCGCCACAGGCAGCAGCTGGGAATCCAGAGATGGTTGCAGCGGGTGGTGCACCGCAAGCTGCAGTAGTAGTAGAAGTCGCGTTCGTGGACGATGTGGAGTTGCCATACGGTCCAGTGGAAGAGGTGCCATTGGCGTAAGGACCAGTAGTGCTATTGCTGGCGGGATAGACCGTAGAGTTGGGATGGATGGTTCCCCATGTCAGGTCAACGTCGGTCATGGCATCAGGAATGTCGACTTCCTTTGCTTTGCAGCTCGCGGTCAAGGTGGCAGAGTCATAGGTAATGCCTGAGACAACAAAGTAGGCGTTCTGACCATCATTGTCGGCACCGCAAGCAGTGGAGACAAGAATAATCTTGCTCGAATCCCAGTTCTTCTTGCAGTAATCCAAAGCCTCTGAGTTTGCCAACTTGAGGGAGAGACCGCTGCTAGTGCAAGTAACATTGCTGATGAGAGATGAGTGCTGAAGAACGACGGCGGGGTATGCGAAGGTAGCATTCATCGACGCAAAGAGCTGCTTCTTGGTTGGGTCGTCGACACCAGAGTCAGTGTAGTGAATGGCACAGTTGTTTGACGGGGTAAGATGCTTAATGTCGTCGGCATCGTGGTTGTAAGGAACGGCTGGGCTGAGAGTTGGGGCAGCCTGGGTCGACGTGAAGCCGGTCCATGTGGAGGCAGTCGTGAACGTATAACCAGCAGAGTTGACCATTGACGAACCACCAGAGCCCGACTTCGAGGGGGACTTTGAACCTTCGAGCTCAAGGGCTTAAGTTAAATAGTATTAGCAAGGACACATATTCAAGAGTCATCAACAGAGGTTCACCTTTGTATATCGAAGCTGACGAAGGGCTGCTGCTCTCGGCAGCAAAGAGGCCGGAAAGAGCCAAGGTCGGGGCTTCAGTCAGACAGACAGCAGCCGTGATGTGATCCACGATAGTGACATGGTGGGTGACATGATCCGTTACATGATCAGTGACGTGATCGGTTACATGATCGGTCACCGTGGCACGCAAGGTCACAGTGGTGACGACAGTGGTACTAACGACAGGCGTCGCAGCAACAGTGCCGTTCTGATAGGACACAGCTGTGGCAGCAGTCACAGCAGGACCGACCGCGAGGAGGGCCCTGCTGAGCAGAGAGCGGGTACGCATTGTGGGAATGCTCGTGAGTCAATAATTAGGTATTAGATGGGATTCATTGATTGTAACGAATGTGATGCCTGAAGGCGGCAGGGTCTAAAAGAATGACTGTAAAAGAAGGTGGATAGACAAGCTCGCAGGTGAAGACACAAGCATAGAGCCGCTGATGACAGCGGCAGTGAAGCCCTTTTAAGAACCTGTGTAAATGTCCCCTGAAGAGTATAGGCCACAAAACAACAGGAGCCGCATGCTGAGTGTCTGCGGGCTCGGCCAGATCCGACTGAACGGTACCAGGCCCAGACTAGACTCCAATTTCCACTAGTATACTTTAACGGCAGCCGCGCGCTAGAGCCATTTGACAAGCTGCCCGCTTGTGGCTACCTGGGACAAGGGACCATATCCCAAAACGACCCTGCGCGTCGATAGTTTACAGCAGCTCTAGGAGGCCAGAGCATGCAAAGGCCTTGGCATATGGGTGAATGTTTGCCAGAACGACCATTGATCTGGGATCAGTGAGAAGGCGATTGAGCCTACGGTACACGGGGTCCGAGGCGGCACTCAGCAGGAAGACAAAACAGGGACCTGCGGAGGCACTCGATGCCCTGTAGAACCCGATCCCGACGTTTGCAAGTTGTCTCTCATACCACCAGCTCATGAATCTCACTATTCGTAGGCGTGCGCGGAGACGACTGACCACACAGAGCACCACAGGTCATGTGCTGCCAAGTTATATGTGATCCATCGGCGGCGGCGAGCGCTTCTCGTGACTGGTCGACTGCCGTCGTTGGTATTGTGGTCTAGAACGCGCTGTGCGGGTGGGTCGTCGCCCGTCAGTCAGCCTCTGGAGCCCTAGTTGGGTTCTGGCATGAGCAGCTGAAGCACGCAAGCAGCAGCTAGGGCATGGTGCCTGCGTTAGTGGTTCGTCGGGGGTTTTAATCCTCGGGCGTGATTCGCACGTGCGTTACGCTTAATGGTTAATTTTAAGATTGAATAGACTTATTCCAAGCCCATTGAGCCACCCCACCCCCACTATCGCTAAAGATTGCCCCCAGACAACCCCCGTACGCCGCTTACCAACGTGTCGGTGTACTTGTCAATCTGCCGTGCACGAGACCATACAGTAAGTAGTAAGTCAACTCCATGTGTCAAGCCTGCTCTCTGGATTTAGCCTAGGATGAAATTGCATCCAAGCCGAAAGAGCAGCGTATAAGCAGCTGTCCAAACGAGGCGTCGAGGAGCCTTTGCTTCGAACACCGAGCAAGCGCCGGTCGGTGATATCCGCATTACATGATGGCTGATAAATGCAAGCCAGGGTGACAACAGGCGACCCTAATTAAATCGTATAACAGTGCTGCAAATGATGGGCGCATATAAACACTTGTCACCCCAGCTGCTTTGGAGTCTGCCATATTTTCGCGCAACTATCTCCACCTGCGAGATTTTCCAACGTGCAACACCATCTTTTCCATTGATGAATTCATCGCCACCATGAGGGACATCGTCAATGCATCGACAATTTGCCCGTGTGTACTCTAAAGGAGGCATGAGCAAGTGAGACAGGGCTGTCTCATGGGAGGTAAAAGGTCAGAAGAAGGAGAAGGAAGCTTAGTAGAAGGATCAAGTTCGCTCAGATCCACCCCGGTATGAGGTATCTTGGAAACTGAAAACACATCGGACAGATCCAGACAGCGTGCTTCCCAGAGCTTGGTGCTGGTGAAGCCCCACTTGCTCCGGTAGGTACTGTAAAGCCGCAGCCGGTGGAGGTTTCAGCAGGGGGCTGCGGAGGTGCTTCTATACCCAGACTGCTGGAATAGCTGCCTGCACCGTTTCTGCTGTTTTATCCTCTAGGTTGACATTAGCTCGAGAGTCGGAATGCGTCATGACTAGTAACTATTCAACGCGGGTTTGGTCTTCGAACCACGAGATTTTCACTGTCAAGTTAGCCTCGAGAGTTGAGACGCATGTAGTCTAGACTTTGACAGTCATTTCTCTTATATCCAATGTGGAAACAAGTGTTCGCGTCAGAACCTGCTGAGTCTTGAAGCGATGGATGCTATACAATCGGCAGAGTATCAATCAGTCACTGCCGAGAATGCGGAAGAGTGACTTCCAAGAAAGCGTCAACCTCACGCGCTCCCTCCATTGAATCTTGGTTTTCAAACATCATACCAGTGCAGTAACAAAGCTTTTCTTTTTCGACGTGCAAGCGTCGCGTGTGAACCTTGTCCCGTCTCATGTCCTGGTGGCCGGATGTCATGAAGCGCGCGAGTCCTCCCGAGAGCCCTACAAGCCCACGATTCTCTGCGTCTCAAGTCGGCCCTGTCACGTCATGCTTAAAATGCAAGCCTCGGGGTCGTCTTGGCGAAGAAAAGCTTCGGCAGTCCAGTAGGCCTTGCCTTGTTCGTCTCATGTACGTTTAAACAGCTGCCACGCCTGCAGTGACACTGGCCAGCCCGGGAGCCCCACGCGAGTATGGTTTCACATCCCACGAAACCCCCTGCACATAACCTTCCAGTTGCACCTGCGGATCACTGTCGCGGATCACCCCTGGAACTCTATTTAGGACGACTGAAGAGCCGCCAGATTCCCGGATCAGCCCACCCGTGCATACGCCTTTCCCGGGTATGCACATCGGATCGCTCGAGAGGCGACTGTAAATAGGCGGGATGTGACGCCCATTGTGCGCCTGGTTTTCTCCGGTGTTCTGTTTTTCTGTTTCTTTGCTTGGCTGTGTATTTTTTTTTTTTTTTTCTCGATGAATTTGAGGCTGTGCAATACCAATCACTAACACATAATCGCATCCACCAGTACAAACAACTGAGATCCATATTACTTCGGGAAGAAAGCCAAGACCATGTCTTGCACCAACATAGATGGCGATCTTGCGCCTTTTTGCCTACCAACTAGTGATGCACAAGTCACTGCTGGGGAGCAGCTCTTCGGTAAGCTTTCTCTTCCCAATACTCTATTCCAGAATATCTAGAGAAAACCACTTCCGTTTATTATTGTATCAACCACGAAATTATTAACGACTGCGTAGTGAGTTGGGACCCGGACTTCTTCGGCGACCCGAGCACACTTGTGCAGATCCAAGCAGACTTCTCTCCCTCCTCAGGAGAAGGCAAGTCCACAGGCGAGAATGCATTCAGCTCCAATGCTCTGAGAGCGGCCACGGGTTCTTACGGCTGGGATATTCGCCAATCTGTGCTGGGGAACGGGACAGACTCGGTTAATGCACAACTGTACATCGCTGTGGTATCAACGGATGGTTCCACGCAGAACAGGACCACGGGGCCACTTATCAAAGTCGTGTCTCCGACGGCCCCTAGTAGCGACAGCAATGGCGGTGTCAACATCGTGGCCATCATTGTGCCCGTCGTAGTCGGTGTCTTGATCCTGGCTGCGATTGGCGGTTACCTCTGTGCAAAGAGAAGGGATCCCGGTTGGAGTCTGAAAGGCATGTTCGGCTTAGGCAAGACGCGAACGCCAAAGTCAGCATTACCGGTGGCAGGAACAAGAGAAGTCCAGATGACGGACATGAGCATGGGCAAACCACAAGATGGGAGGAATGTGTTCCGAGAAGAAATTCGGAGACAGGAGGAAGCAAGAATCTAGTGCTGGACACGTGACTTGCCTGGGAGGACTGTTCCTCTTATGAAAAGATAATGAGCTTGGTATATTCTTTTGGGTTCTGCCAAGACCTAGCGGGTGTTTGGAGTTTTGTCGGGTTCACGCAGGATGCTAGACACGTTGATATGGAGCGATTCCAACAATGGTGGCAAAAGACTAATAGAGACATGGAAGCTGTCATGGAATTGCTTCGAACATGGACCCTTGAGACTTTCAAAAGTGTTCAATCGTATGTCAATGTCTACAGTGCCTGACATCAGGCGAAAATCATTCGGGAACCAGCATCATAGGAGCCAACATTTACCAAAACAAGATACAGAAAGAGGATTTATATTTGATCAAGTTCGAATGAAGCTCAATCATATGCTCAATATACACCATTTAGCAAATCTAAGAGCCGTAGCAATGAAGACATATACTGGGGTATCACAGCACAATACGACGACTAATATCAAGCATAGGCAGCCCAACCTGGCACAAAATTAGCACGGTCTCCGCAACTCAGGAACACGAATGGACTTACCAGAATACAGGACTGCTAAGTTTCTCTCATCCACAGCCTGGTTGATGAGATCATTGACGGTCGCAGTTACGCTGAGCGTCTTGCTGAGCTTCTTGCGCACGACCTCGAGGGCGCGGTCCGCCTCGCTAGGCTCGTTGACCAGCCCGCCCGCCTTTCTCTTGGGATCGAAAGCGCTCTCGGCCGCTGCGGCATCGTCTGCTTCGCCGTCGCGCCTGACGTCCTGAAGCTTTGCCATGCGCACGGGGCTGATGGACCACGAGTACAGCGGGTCGTAACGCAAGACGTCGAGGATCGTCATGATGGAGTAGGTCTCTTCTCTCAGGGCATCGAGGGTGAACTCGCAGCACCGACGAAACACGCCTTCAGTCTTTGTCACGCCCATACCGTCGACAATGTCTCGGGTCAGACGAAATGGCACCAACTCGGGGACGGGAAGCACTCGCCCCGTCTCAAAAGCAACACCAAGATCAATGTGGACAACCTCACCAGTCACCGAGTCTAGTAGGATGTTGTGTCCATGTCTATCTCCAAGGCCAAGCACATGGCCTAGAATTGAGATGGCTGCGGTGGTTCGTGTGTACGCAGTCCTCTTCGCGAACCACTCGTCTGGGTCGAGGAAATATTCCATAAAAAAGTAGCGCATAACGGGCTGGAACCTACTAGTCACGCTCTTGTAGGTTTGCAGTCGCGTCTCGATGGACTTATTCTGGACTTGAGATATCTCCTTACGACAGCTTGATCCTTTAAGGTCCTTCGGATGATATCGCTCATGTGCTGGCATCAGGTATTCATGCAGCGGAATCGTGTTGGGCACGAATTCGATCAGTCCTGACGATGCTGTCAACGGCAGAACTTTGTAGGTGCGAATGCCCAAGTTTCGCTGTTGAGTGGATCGATGGTGTTGCAATACGGAGGAAACTGCAGAGAAGACTTGTTCCATAATAGCGTCTTGGCGGAGATCGTCCGATCCGCCCTTGACCAGCTGCTTGAAACGCTGTCCATTGCTACCAACAAGTGTGATGATCTTCGGCGCACTAACTCCAGAGGCAATTGACATGGACGGTTCGAGCTTTATGACATGCGGAATCTTGGAATAGTCTCGATCCGGCGAAAGTTCGATTTGCATCGTAGGTGGAGGGATCTTGTATTGGGACAAGGAAGCGATAAGTCCACCGCCGGCGCTGGAGTCTTTGATGGGCATCTTGTGTCCGGCCTTATATTTGGAGCTATCCCTTTCGACGGCCAGCATGTGGTATGCCTTGTTGGTTTTGTCGATAGCGCGCCAGATGGCAGAGACAGCTTCGTTTTGCGCAAGCTTCTTGGCGACTTTCTCGGTAGCTTTCTGGCGTAGTACCGCGATGTCATCTTTATTATTGGTTCGCGACTTGGTGCCTGACCACACCTGATACATCCCGTGATATGGATGGTCCACGCATATCCGATGGACCAGGTCGAAAAGAAGCTTTTGGAATAGCTGTCCGCGGTCGAGGAGTCGCGAGGTAAGCTGGTTCATGAGTAACGCAAATTTGCGGGTAGGTACTTTCTCGATGTACCTCTTGACGGCTTCATTAGTGGAATCTTCACCCGAACGTTCGAGCCAGAGGGCAGTGAATCGTAGTGCATCGTTGTTGTGCTCGTCCGATGCCGTGAGTGAAAGGAGATAGTTCTCAAGACTCAAGCGGACAAACTCGCTGCGGCTCTGCTCAACACGACGAAGTTCTTGCTCGTCAAGGTCCAACCATTGCTTGGCTTTGGCCAAGTGGTTCTGGTAACGACCTTTCGTTTGAGATTCTTTGGTGTTTCGAATGAGGTGCGCGAGTTGTGTGACCTCGTCACTTTTCCCTTGTCTGAGATGCTGCAATCGCACCAGATCCTCTAGGCTGTCCGGATTCTGCAGTTGTTCATCACAGAACATGGCAAATTGATGATAGACTTGGCCCGCATCAGGCCCGTCCATTTTCCCTTTCAGTTCCTTTAGAGCCGGCTGCAGGTAATTCTTCTGAATACTCTCCGGTTTTTCGAGACGTGCGACCGAAATTTGATATGCAACCTTTGCGAGCAAATCACTTCGTCTCACTGCAATGTCCTGTCTCCGGAGATCGGACTCTTCATCGATGCTTTGGAGCATCCGGATCGATGGTATCATCTCGTTGTGGTCCCAGAGGGCATTTGCGACCTCGAGTTTGGCAGCAGCATCAATGGTTAATCCTAGATCAAGACTTGGCTCGATGAGATCATTCAAGGCAGTTGCGATGTTTAGAGATTCCTGGTGAGACTGGTGAAAGCGGTAGATGTTTGACGATAGGAGCAATGACCTAGCCTCTATAAGCTTGCTCTCCGGCAGGGACAGAGAAGACTTGGGGAAGGATTGCAAGGCCTTCCCAAGCGTGCTTAATGTTGTCTCTCTGGTTGAAAGCAGCTGGCTGACATCGGTGTACCTGATCTACGTTAGCTGATACAATCCCCGCGAGTGGACTCGACGACTTGCCTTCCGCTCTTCATCCATTTCGATCGACTTTCAAATGTTGTCATTAGGCCTTGAAGATCTGTAGACGAGGTCAAGTTTAGGACATCATCCAGTTCCGCTAATGCAGCGAGCGTGCATAGGTTGCTTCGAATGCTAGCCGTGTTGGAATCTGGGTCGACCAGATTTTGAACAGTTCTGTTAAGTCCACGATAGATAGAATTCTGAGCCGCTTCAACCTTGGTGGCTTGATGACAGCCTTGGTAGACCTTATAAAGCGTGGGAGCCGGATCCTTAGTCAAGTTGGGCACTGGAAGATTCCAGATTTCTAAACGTCTGGCATTTGTGAAGGTGGAATCCACAGAAGTGGATGGGTTGTCATGGCTGTGCTGGTTCTGAAGAAGAGAATGAGACAAGCCAGAGAGGCCGATGCCGCTTAGGGTTCCGACAAGATACTGCTCATCTGAATGAACGCTGGTGTCCTTTCTGCGGATGTGGCTATTGAATTGGGCACCCCGGAAGGCCAAGCCCTTGACACCATCTTTCTCGTACTCTAGACGTGCGAGCACATTGGCCAAGCTGGTATTGTCTTGTAGCCCATAATAAGCATCTGGATCGTCAATGTTCTCGAATATATCCAGTAGCACGTCCGTAGATTCCTGAGCCCGAACAGCTGATGAACGGCGAGAGGTTCGACTTCCTTCGGACGCTGCCGACTCCACCAACAACAGTGCCGTCTTGTGCATGCCACATCGTGAGGCTGCGGACGCGAATGCAGACAAGTCAACATCAAGCCACATCGACCGATCCGCTATTGACTTTTCACCAGGCAACTTCTGTGTTCTCAGGTAGAGTAAAGCATTCACCAGAAGACTTAGATGATCTTTGGCTTCAGGCTTGATGTTTTTCAGCCACTCCTTCAGAGCTGCTGACAACTGCCGTTTGGCAGACTGTTGCCTGTCGCGCTCGGCGAGTAGGACAAGATGAACAATAAAGGGAAAGGCATCGACGGCAAATCCTCTGACATGCTTCAGCAACTGTGGTAGCGCGCCGAGGACGATATCTTTCTCGACAGTTTGCGCCAAATATATGGCAAGCCGCTGAACCCATATGTCTTCTTCGAAGGCTTCCGGGGATAAGGCCATGCTTTCGAGTATCCGTTGCACTGGCTGCTCATCTGCGGGTGGAGTCTTGTAGACGTTCCAATTTGATGTCACTAGAAGCTGTTCCGATAACACTCCCTGGCAAGCTGCCAACAACATGTTATCTTCTCGGTCAGCTGCCTCGGAAACGATGCATCGTAAAGCCGCCTCTGCCAGACCAGCTGTAAAGCCATCCGGACCAACCGCCAGAGCCTGCAGTAGAACAAGCAGCCCCCGCTCAGAACTGGATTTCTTGGTAGAATTGCGGAGATATTCTTTCAGCTTAGACTCTCGAAGGAGGTCAGGATCAATAGTGCCAGACGCAGCAAAACCCCTTCCAATCACACGGCCTGCCCACACTCGATATCGCTCGTAATGCTCGTCATCTGGCTGAGCATGAGCACTCTTCCAGACTGCAGTTGCCAAATCTTTGGCTTCCTTGTCGGAGTTTATGGCATCCTGACGGAACGAAGCGGGTATCTTAAAGTCTTTGGCCAAAATCTGCAAGGCCAACTGGCGGGACGGCTCGTTTAGAAGTTGAGCATCGCTATTATCATCTCGAAGGATCTCCAACAGGAGAGTACTCTCGTGCGAACCTCGTTCTGAGTTTCCGGAAGATCGAACATGAGCGGCAGACTGAGTGATAGCTTTAAATGCCGCCAGTTGCTGCTCCCCTCGCAGCAGTGGCGACTGGTACTCTTCGAGATATCTGCTGAACCATTGGTGGAATCTCTGTGCCTTGCTCATAGTTGCTTTGAACTGGCTCTCCTGAGTCGTGCTTGCTTGGCTGGACTCTAGAAATACACGTGAAGAGGCCAGCGTGGAGAGAGCATACCCGGCAAGAAAAGAGGGAGAGCGAGCCAGTTCTGTTGAACCATGGCTCAACAGGTACTGAGTGATACCGAGAGCATCATCTGCGCTCTCTAGATCCGTAAGGTGAGGGCGTATCGAGTGCAACAACATCTCGAGGGGATAAGACTCGCATGCATGACGACCAGCCAAGCACACCAGAACTCGCACCTTGCGAATAACCGAACATGTATGCAGGGGGCCTAGCGCTGGATGAATCATGTTGAACAACCTTCGCGCAACAGATACTACTAGTGCTGGGGTCCACAGATCCTTTAACTCATACTCCGTGCGACTACAGAGGAGTGCAATCTCACGGGTGAGATATTTGGCCCGAAAGTGAGGCTGCTGATTTGGGGCGAGCTCAATATCAGAGGACGCAAGCTTCTTGATCTCGGCCATGGAGTCAGCAGCTTTTACAAACTCATTCTCCTTTGCCCAATGATTCTCGACCGGGTTTTCTTGATCGATGATGGTGAAGAAAATGGCAATGATATCGGCGAAGCTGATGTACACATTGTCTATGAACAACTGGCGGCCCATCATCTTCCGAATTCGACTTTCCCCACTCGGATTGTCAACCTTGGGCATGCTGATGTCAAATGCAATACTGTACGCAAGTGCTTTCGGAAAGCACCTCTGTACCAAGATTGCGGGACTCGTTTTGAGGGATTCGGCAAGACTTGTGAGCTGCACCTCCTGACCACGCATGACCATGAGAGCCACTGCTTCGGTTTGAGCGTTTTCTAGAAGTTCCTCGAGGGTTGAGAAACCGAAGATTTCGAAAGGGATATTCTCGATATCGTCATTGTTGAGCCACGTGTATAGAAGCTGTGGCGCAAACAAGTCAAAAAGCTTCTGGGCGTTCTCAAGACCAAGAGTCCGGGCTATTGCTGACAAGCAATATGAAGCGTGCTTGGCGCAATATCGAATGTTTCCAGGCGTCTCAAAGATGGCATATACACATCGCCGCAACAACGTTCGCCAGTGCTGCGCTAATTCGCTGAGCACGTATAGCCTCAACGCGATACCCTCAGGCACCTCGGGATCGTGTGGAAGGTAATCGATAATGTCTGAACAGTATTGGTCATGTGTCTTGAGGACGAAGCGATGGAAGATGCGGGACAGGTGTTTCCCAATAAAAAACTTGACGGCGATGCTGCTCCCCTGAAGCATACCGAAGATTGTTCCGATGGTGGTTGGAAGACCTAGACTCTCTGGGAATTTCTCGTTGATTTCCGTAAGGCGTAGCAAGAGTCGTGCCAACGCTGTCTCGGTTTTTGGCGACAGCAGATTACTTGGAAGCGCCTTCCTGACGAAGAACTCGTAAAGCATTCCAACATCAGAGGATAGCTCAGTTCTCTCATCCGTCCATATGTCCATGAATCCTTCGACAATATCTAGGCAGGTATTGAATGCTACCTCACAACTGGAGAACATGTCGGTCCCGATAATTTCTCCGAATCTTTCGATCATCTTGGCCGCATCCTCTGAGTCGGTGACAAGATCGCCAGCGAGTAACTCCTTGTTCAACAAACGACAAGAGAGCAGCTCCTCATCCGACAATGCGAGGAGATCCTCAACGAAGACAGCAGGTACAAGTCCGATCTGACCAGGATCTTGGTGAAGTGCATTGAGAAGATGCAGTCTTTGGGTTGTGTCCACATAGAAAGACTCGGCATCAAGTATCGATCTTTCACGACGTGAGAGCTCAAGTGCCTTACCACCCGTGTTTGACCGATTATCTTGAGAATCGAAATCCTCATCCAAGTCCATCGCATCAGAACCGTTTCCCGAAGATACCTGTGAGTTTCTTTCGCGCAGTGACTCAGAGAGCTCGGAAAACAACGCAAGGACAGGCGAATAGTCTTTGTAGAGAGTGCTGAGGTGTTCAGTGGAAATCTGTGGCAAGTAAGGTCGCACCGACTGGAGTAAGGTTTCTGAAAAGTGGTGGGTCGAAGATGAGCTCCATGCGGCATGTATAGCGCTTCCCAGCAGTTTAGTTGCCATGTCATCCAATTCTTGGGATTGCCTGGAGTTGACGTCGCCTAGAAAGACCAGATTGAATGAGATAACCAAGATGCAGTTGAAAAGACTTCGAAATTTATCCACGGAAATCTGCGAGGATCCATCCCCGCGACTAATCCAACTGTCAGCCAACGCTTGAAGCTCCTCTGTCTTCGGATGCAACAACTCCGCTACAAGTTTCCTCGTCGCCTGCGAGTCCGAGGCATCTCCCTCTTGAGCAGTTGATTGCGCGATAGTTGCCTGCTCATGATATATATTGGACAAAGGTGCAGGGTCTTGAAGGAGAAGTAGATATCTCATAGTATCCATGCGTTCTTGCAACGCACTCCAAGTTTCCCCGATCGGCCCACCAAAGTGTTGCGGAAGTGCGGACAAAATCAGAGCACTTAGACCGTAAGCTGCTCGGAGCAAATTGATTATATCAAATGCAGTTACATGAGTCGAATGCATAGAAATAAAGGTCGGATCGGCTGGCATGGGTCAGTGTAACGTATTGAGGTCGTAGCATAATTTTCACATACCGGGATCCCATCTTAGAAATAACCAACGTACAACATGGCTGCATGTCGCATGACTGGCGTTAGGAAGCTTCTGATTCCTCAGTTGCAAAAGACGTGTCATGAGGGCAACTGATGCATCCGAAACTACCGCCGGCCCGCTCACATCGGCTGCTGTCACAATATTGTTGATGTCGTCTGAGACTTGTCGATACGGCAAGATATCCTTGTTCACTATGGCCACCAGAAGAATGCTGGCAGCGCGACAATTGCTGGCAAGGCTTAGGTTACGTGCCGCAATGTACCACATTTGCTTCCACATGGGAGAATGCTTCTGGTCTTTGCAACCCCCTACAGTAGTGATACTATTTATGAATCAGTGGAAATGAACATTGAGTTTGACCTGAACGGCAACAAACCTTGCGGCAGCAATCATGGCCCATACTGCTAGCTTTGTGTTCTTGTGGCTGACGAGGCTACTGAGGGATGACAACAAGTCGGAAATATCCTCAGAAGGAAGTTGATTGTTGGTAACAAAAAACGGGATGACCTGGAGGGCAGTCAACTGCACGTTGTCGGAGGTCATATGGAGTTTTTGGGGCAGTCTACTTGACATGCCGGCTGTGCGTCTTCGCTTGCGTGGTTGCTCATCATGCTCGATGGATGGCGCAGGTTTTGACTTGGATTGCCGCCAGAGTATTCCCTCGAATAGAGCGAGAATATGCACAACAGCCCACCTTCGTTCGGCGTCTAAGTTGTATGTGCGGAGGCTGAAGATGTTGGTCTTCAACGCATGGGCATGTTGAGGGATGGCAGAGTATGATAAGTCATCTTGCTGCAGCTGTGCTCGTGGATCTCGAGAGGAGTACTCTTTCCACAACATGTCGCAAAAGTCTTCAATCTCAGCGGTAATGTGAGTATCGCCGAGCTTGATGATATGCTCAACATTGAGGTGGATGTTGACCAATACTTTGAGGACCTCGATCTGAATGCTATTCAAGAGGGCGTTGTCCTGAGACGTAGTCTTGGCCTGCCACCACTGGCGGATCAGCGGCAACAGCTCTCCAACCAGAGAGCTTGTCTGACTGGTGTCCTCGGTATGAGTCGTCCCCAGTACGAGGTTCAGGATAGAGAAACCTAGCTGGAGGACCGATGAGAGACCAAGGGACCGAAGGCGAATGCATTGCAGGACGACGGTGGTGATGTTTTTGGAACGCTGCAGGACCGGGGCGTTGGCGGCAGAGACGAGAAGGTACATGCACTCCAACAGGTGGTTGAGAATGTTCTTTTGCACGCGAATGCTGCCCCGCGGCGCTGAAGAAGTGGCGGTGGAACGCAATGTTGATAGGGCAAGCGAGGACGAAGTCTGCGCAGTTCCAGGGGCCGGCGAGTCTCGTGACGGGTTTGAGTCCACAGCGCCGCTCTCCAACTGCCATTCCATTAGCTGGATGATGAAATCAACGCAGTCGAGCCATGTGTATGCCCCTTTCGTGGATACCACCTCGGTGTTGGCAGGGTAAGAAAAGAGGGCCACAAGAGTTTTGATATAGTCCGTTAGGAGCGGCTGCACGTATCCGTCCCCGGATGCAGGCAGTGTCTGGATGATGTGGTCGACCAGGGCGAAGATGGTTTTCCGCTTTAGCCTCGAAGCTCCGTGCTCTACTACAACACGCAGGGCCTCGGCACATTTGGCCAATCTAGAGGCAGACGCAGTGGAGGATCCCTTCTTGCCGCTATAGTAGGTCGCCCTCTCCGATATGGCACAGCGGAAAAGGGCATCGAAGGTCCTATGGTAGTCCCCGTCGGTGAGCTTTGGGCTTGGGCATTGTCAGCGCAAATGGAGTCTACAAGGCAAGCGCTTATCCGACTCACGATTCCGTCGATCTTCCCTCCTTGCTGAAAAGAAAACGCAGGTCTGACGGTTGCTAGGTTAGGCGCACTGTGTCATAGAGTTTGGGTGGTATGACGGGACTCACCATCCAAGGCGGCCAGTCGTTCAGCGGAACCCGCCGACTCAATGTTTTCTGCACTCAAACGTCAGTCCGATGTCGAACGAGACCTTCGCCCAGTCGCTTACCAGTTGCGTGTCTCAGCGTGACCTGACGGGGCCGCTGGGATGATGACGCTGGCGGCATAGTGCGTACTTGGACGCCTCTCGCGAGAGCGACTTCCAAGCCAGCTCATAACAGGTGTAGATATATCCGCCGGACCTGTACAAGGTTGCATCATACAGCTGATTTCATGGGTAACTTCAGTCCCGTGCCTCAACGCAAATACGTGGATCTGTGAGGGTGTAGATTCAAGGAGTATGTGATTTGCAGATTTACAGCGTTTTGCAAGATCGAGAGCTGCAACCACTCTGCTTCGATTGGGACGTTCGAACGTCTGAGTGACGGACAGTGAGATCCGGAGACAGGCTGTGAGACTTGGCTAAAACGCAGAAATCAACGCAAAGAAAAGAGCGACTCAGGGATGCCGGGACTGCAGCATGCAGGCGTGAGGAAACGTTACTATAAAACCAAGGATGGGGGCGCATTCTACACACCATCTAAGTCAAGTCATCTGAGCGCGGCTCGCCTTCTCATATTCGCAGCCTCGTCCTCCAGCGGCGGCCCGCCAGAGCGTCACCGCAGCAGAATCCCTCACCGCCTGCCGAGACCAGCAGTTTATTGACAGCCCCAGGGCCCGTCGCGCTCCACTCGGGTGCAGCTAGCCCAGCTCCCGTAGCATGCCTAGTGCGCACCCGCGCAGTGTTCAGTGGCACGTCGCAGAGCTCCCCCCTGCAACAGAACCGTAGCCGTGCCTGGCCGCTAAAAATTCCAGTGCCGCAAGAAAGTTCCCAGGTTGGCTGCTACCTGAGAAGACGAGGCAGCGCGCAACGCAACCTCACCGTCGCCCACAGAGCTCCGCCAGCACCGCAAACCCGACGACACTCACACCGCCGACGCGACCGCGACGTCCCTCGCGCTCGACCACAGCATCCCCTTCGATTCAAAGGCCCCAGGACCGGCCAGGTTGCTGCCATCCGCGCGAGGTCGGGCCCGGCCCGCAGCACCACCGCACCACGAGACGACGCGCGACGATGAGATAGACTCCCATGCCGACAATGGCTGAAGCTGGAGTTGGGCTCCTTGAGGCCCTTCAGTCTCTGCACGGGAACCTGCTCTCTATAATCGACCGCCCCAAGGAGCAGCGCATTGATTTGCCGCTGCTCATTGGCCCCTCTCTCGAGCTGTTGGGCGGCAGCATCGCCGCCTTCCTGGACAAACCTGCAAGGTCCAAACCCAGTCGAGATGCCGTGATTTCCGGTAGGTCATGAAGACGAAACACCTCATTCTGCCTTGCGGTGAAGGACGCGCTGACCGAGCAACTGACAGGCAAAATCCAACTGGACGGCGAGGAATATGGTGTCAGCAGGGAATTCCAAGAAATGGCCCTCCAGGTCGCCGACGAGATAGACTTGGACGAGCTGGAGGCCTCGCGCCTGATCCTGGATACCGAGGACGACGAGCGGATACTGGGCCGGTCGAGGCGTGAATGCGCCTTGATCCGCTTTCACCAGCAGCGGAAATACCTGCTTGACTGCATACGCCTGCTTCTGGAGCTGTCCAAGATCGACGAGCTACCTGAGGAGATTGAGGACTGGTTGGCGTCGTTCGTATCCGAGTTGATCCTGGGCGATGTCCCTTCGGCCAAGGCGCAAAAGATTGTGCCCAGATGTATGGCAGCCATGAACGATATCAGGGCCTGGCTACAGCGCATAGTCGATCAGGTTGCAAAGGCAAACGTCCTCGGCCAGGCCGGCGTTGCCGAGTTTCGCGAGACCATCGAATATTCCCGCGTTAGTCTGGTCCAGCAGCACGAGCTTGTGGCTGTGATCTTGTGCTACGCTATCGACAAACGAGCCGCCACGGCCCAGGATTTCATGGATTTCTTCACCGCACTCCGAAGAGTCGACAAATACGACTTCTCGACAGTCCACATGTTCCCTGCTCTCGGCGCATTCATCACTGTGTTCGGCTCTACCGAGGGCAATGGCGACCTTGACCAAGCTCGAAGCCTGAATACTGCCGTGTGCCGCCAGTCAGAAGACGACCCCCGCTACGTCCCCTTTTTCCATGCAGCCGTCAGAGCTTGGTGGATCGCCGAGTATAGTGGCTGGTATATGGATGATGCGGCTGGTTCAATGCTCCAGAACATCGACATTGACGCCGAGGATCTACAACGGTCAAAGCAGTTCACCGAGGCATTGAAAGACGGCGCCTTTGACATGGTTATGGCTGTTGTAGCCGACGTCAAGTCTTCAGACTGGCAGGACCCTGCACGGGCAGGCATTCGCCAATGGCTCCAGAGAAAGACACCCGCCCTTCCCGCAGATACCGTTCCCTTCTCCGACTTTTTTCAGAAGGCTCTTGCTACTCAGGTCGAGACTTTTGTCGACGCTTTCATCTCAAACCTGCCCGACATTCTACGGAAACTCAGGGTGGAGGAGGACGAGCAGCGCCAGATGAACCAGGGTCATGAACAGGACGTCGATCTCGAAAGGTTCCTACTAATCATCGCCTTTTCATACGAAGGCCGCCCGGAAGCCGCTGACGCTTTTTGGGGAGACCCAGAAAGCAACCTTTTCGGCTTCCTCCAGTGGGCTTCCCGGAGAGCATCGACACCTCTAGTGAGTGCTTTCTGTGAGATGCTGCAGTCACTGTCCGAAGACGCTGAGTCTGCAACCGCGGCCCACGAATTCCTCCTCGACGATGGGCTTCACGCTTCAGGGAAGATGCGCAAGACTTTGTCCTTGACATGGCCGCAAATTTTCAAAGAACTGGAGTTTTTCACAAAGAAGATTCGTGATAAGCCTGCGGCCCCCCAGGCGCAGGCATTCAAGGGTGGCCGATTCAACGATGAGCAGGCCGAAAGCGAGCCAGAATCGGCAATGATGCTCGAATGTTACCTGCGGCTCATGTCGAAGCTGGCTACCCAAAGTGATGTGGCGCGCTCGTTTCTCCTAGAACGCCAGAAGCCAAGCCTGCTCAACCTCATATTCGAACTAATCAGCAGTCCCGTCCCCCCTCGTCTAAGGGCTTGTGCATTCAACGCTGTACGTGCTCTTCTGTCACGCAAAACCCTAGATCAGAGCCTGTTGGTTTGGGAATACCTGGAGACTTGTCTGGGCGGGTTTTTCAAAGCTCCCAATACGAACAGGGCTGGCGCGAATCCTCAACCCCAACCTCCTTCCGATTATATGGAATCTCTTTTCGCGGAAATGAGCCCTCGTTTTGAAGAGGCCAGCGCTTTTGTGCAGCTGTTGACGGCTCTCTCAGCTCTTCCCGAGGGCTACGAACCACTCAATGACACACTGCCTTTCTCAGAAACCCTTGGCGCTTCCAGCAGAATACGACCCGGCCTTGAACCTTACATCGACTATTCGCTTGGTCACATTTTCGGTGTGCGGTCGCAAGATGCACAGGACGCCGGACAACAACGCGTCCTGCGCTACAGCTGCCTCGAATTCGCGCTGACGTGCCTATGCACCTTCAATGAAGATTTGATCATCTTCGCGAACGAGACGAATATTTCCGTCGATTCTGCCATCGCCCCTCGTGACCTTGCGACCTACGTTGCGCTCCATCCCTTTGCACGCATCATGGAGTGGATGTTTGACAGTCACTTCATCAAATCCTTACTCAACACTATTCACCAGGAGCCGATCGAAGTTGGCGGCGCAGCTCCTGATTCGCCACTTATTCTCAGTATTCTAAGAGCAATTGAACTTCTAGCCAAGGTTCTTGATTTCCAAGCTACTTATCTCGATCTTGTTCGGCCTCTAGTCAAGCCTCAGTCGCGCCCCCAAAGTCGCTCCGTCTTCCTTCCGGCTCCCAACTCAGCATATGGAACTGTGGAGGACGGCATCATGACGAGCCTTGATATTATTGCGGATCTTGGAAACTATTGCGGCATTGGCCATGCAGACCTTACTCTCGCCAGTCTGAAACTACTCGAGAAAATTTCGACATCTTCCAGGATCATATCTGCTTGGCAGTCTGGTCCCAATCGGCCGTCGCGTCGGAACAAGGCGATAGTTGCACTCGAGGAACACGGCTTTGCCGAAGCTATGGCCGGATCTTTCATTTCAGAGTTTGGCTCCCAGCTTGACACATTTAGGCAAAGCCAGTGTCCCAGCTACCAGAGTAAGATTTACATTCTCGACTTCCTCTACAACTGCATCCGAGCAGACCCAGACCGCCCCACGATCGCCCATCTACTTCTAGGTTTCCATTGCGATGCCGACTCGATTGATATCGCTTCCGGGAGTCCTTTTGCCAACGGGGCGTCCCTTTTCCACTGCCTGCTCGGCATTCCGGTTGAACTCCCTATCACGGACGACCAGGGCTTGAGGACTTGGCTCATCAGACTCAAGTACAAGGCGATGCGAATCCTCCAGGCCCTTTGGACCTCTCGACTTTCGTCCAGGCTTGTGTTGGAGAATCTGAGGGAAAATGATTTCCTGTTCCATCTTCTCCTACAAGGCCTTGTGGTGCAACCGAGTTCAGCGTGGGACGGACTTGAACCTGCCGGTCCTGATTTCTTGGTTTCGCCTGCTGCGGAAGGATATGTCGACTATTTGTCGATCAGAGCGATGGCTTTGGAATACATCACGCACGAGCTCTGCAGTGTTGCCCAGAGCCAGGCTCCTGCATTGAAACGCAAGATTTTCGACGCTCTAGGGGGCCAAGTTCCTGTCGACGGAGGTGAGACCATCCAGGTGCCCTCGATATTCGAGTTCCACGACTTTCTGCCACAGGAAGCCGAGTTCGCCACTGCCCCGCCAGAACTTAACCTGTATCGAGACCTCGACATACGGGTATGTCTCGAAGATGATAGTGATGGAAACTCAGTGTATAATCTGGACAAGGTGCAGGAGATCATACTCTTGAAACGCAACGCTACCCGCGCTTCTGGCCAGGTCGTACCTCAACAAGACATCGCCCCGATCGAGCGGGAAGAAGAGGACATCAAGGTGTATGCCGCTTACTTGAACCGCTTTAAGCAAGTCAACTCTCGCAACTATCAAGTTCTCAAGTCGTGGACGAAGCTGCTTATGGTAATGGCCGAATCGAACAACTTCAAGGGAACCAACAGAGTGTCCTTCATCTTGCAAGTGCTGCAAGCTATACTGCCGAGTCTAGAACTGTACGGTTCGGAAAACCCGAGTGCAGCTTTGGAGCTGGCTAAGCTGGCAAAAGTCCTGCTGTTCAACCTGGACTTCTCTTTGATGTCCGGGGGCGATAAGCAGAGCCGGGCTATAGGAAGCCTCGTCAGCGACAAACTATTCCAGCTGTTCCAAATCTGCCTTAATGCCATTGCCAAGTGGTCTGGCAGCCCGGATCTTCGGACAATCTACTACAGCGTGTGCTATCGATACATCACAGCACTCGTTGACCATGGATCCGGCGTCCTTTCGGGGCGTCAGAAGACCGCAAAGACCATCCAGTTGTTTGGCGAAAGGCTTATGAACGTCATATGCGATGACGCTTTCGGCGGCGATGCTGCATGCCAGACTGCGGCTCTGATCCTACTGGGTACCTTTGTCAACCTTGGCAAGCATGAGAGCGATAACTACGCGGTGGAAACGCTGAACAGGCTCAACTTCTTCAGCGTTCTCATCGAGTCGTTAGGGAACATCATGGAGGAATGGATCGAGGTCAACCGCATAGGTAAGTTCGTGCTGCGCCTTGTTTAATAAGCCTCTCTCTCGGTGTCCCGTTCTGACTATGAGTCCAGGTAATCCTGATCAGCTGCACTATGAAGACGCCAAGCTAGCGCTCTTGCTGCAGCTGTGTCAGACGCGCGAGGGTGCCAAGAACGTGCTGCACGCCAACCTCTTCCGGGCCATTGAGGTTTCGGGCTTATTCGCGGCGGACCCTGAGCTGCAGGTCAATTCGGCCGACCTGAGGGCGTTGGAGAACCACTATACCCTTCTGGTCAAGGTTTCGCGCATCATCGGTGCAGCCATTGTCAGCCGCGGTTCCCACAATGTAACGCAGGGCAGAAGGTTCTTGACCGAGCATAGAATGCTAGTTATGCACGTCCTGAAGCGGTCTGCCGGGATAGGAGCCGGCGCCGGGAGGATGGAGGCGGTGCTGGAGGACAAGATCCAGGACTTGGCGGAAGCATTCATGGTCATCATCATGGCTACCGGATTCCTCGAGGTATGTCTCATCCGTGGCCGATGTTCCGTCAGCCGCATATCCCGCGATTGCAGGGATTCAGCCTGAGCTGACAGCTAACGTTTGTCTACCCCACAGTTTGAGAGCGAGGCGTACCAGCCCGAGCAGCAGAGCACGCCGGCGCTCTTCCACTAGCCTGGTCCCCTGCATGGCGACGCGCTTTGGGATACCTTGTTTTGATGTTCCTGGCATGGAGCCGTGTCTCACGTACATGCCACAGGAGAATAGAGGAGAGACAGGCAAATTTGTGTAGCATAAGGTGGCTGGTCAGGTCGGCGTCGGTTTAGGTAGCGCAATGAATGACCTGCGGCAAAACGCGGCCGCTGGAGTTGAATGAAGGACAATGAATCGCTGAACTCTGTGTGCTCGGCACCTTGGCTAGGGACATGCCATGACAATGATTTACGTACTGGACATGCGAGAGCCGTGTACGATCCCTCCCCCAAGAAGCACTGGCGCGAGCGCGAGGAGAGATATCTCGCACGCCAGAGCTAGGCACGACAGGGTCCTCGGTCAGAAACATGCCATCCGAGTCCACAGTGCTCCCGAAAGCTGATATCCGAACCCACGGCCATTGGCTGCGACTCGCACAATCGTGCTAGCGGAGCAGGGCCGCTCTGCCTTGGCGGGCTTGGCGAACGGCGCTGCTAGCCACCTACGGCCTTGCGTGCGGTCCGTGGCGCTCTTCTAGACCAGGACCCTCGACTTCCACGGCCCCAGCAGCCCAGGTGTGCCCAAGGCTCGCCCCATGCTCGATGGAGAAGCTGGTCATGATCCCAAGGCGCGCGGGCCAGCGCCTGGCTCCGGGCCTCCTTCACCCATAGCGCCCCAAGTCTGAGCGTGCAGGGCCCCAGTTGCGCGCGCTGCCGTGCCAGGTCCCGCGGGGTATCGCTAACTTATGGAGCCTGACTTATCCAGGGCTATCTCTGGCGGCTCGAGGCTCTGCAGAGGGCCGGGGCCTCTTGATAAAAAATTTCCCCTTCAGAAAAGTATTATTCAACGGAAATGAGTGACGGCTCAAGGCGTATCACGAAAGGATGCGATCCACCGCCCGTTGCTAGCACCTCGCCTAGCCTCTTGGTATTACATAGGACAAGCATGCAATCTATCCAGTCGAGGGCTCCCGCTGCATGTTGACACCACCAATAATACGGGTGACAAATGCGGTAGAGATAAGACATACATCCCCAAAGTGAGCCCGTCGGTCACGCCGCCCGGGATGCTGGGCGCCGCAGCCTTGGCGATGCCAATCACCAACCCGCAACCCGGGCATGTAGCTATTTGAACGAACTGGTCGCCCACCCTGCCTGCCACAACGGTTGGACTCGGCTTCGTGATCTTTCCCATTCTGTTCGTGTTAGTGTGCTTGCCTGTCTTGGCGGGAAATTCTCCGGATTGCTGTGTCTGTACTTCAAGTACTCCCGCGCGCCAGCTTTCCTATTTGAAAGGGATCGTCCGCAGACCCTTTCCGATTTCCCACGCATTCTCTCCTCCCAGCCAGCTGACTCTCTTGTCTGTCTGTCTGCCTGTCTGCCTGTCTGCCTGTCTGCCTGTCTGCCTGCTGAGGAGCTGTCGATTGAACAACCGAACTGCCCACGGCAGCGTCATCCCGAAGGATTTCCCCGCAGAGTCCTTGCGAACCATCCCACCACCCCAACCTGCGGCCCAGGTCGGAAGGAATTGTGTGACAGCGCGCGCGTGCGCGAGAGCAGAAAACCCCCCGCTTCACAATGCAGCGCTCCTCGTCCGAGGAGAAGGGCCCCGGCTACGATGCCGAGAAGATCGCCTACACGGGCAGCGCGGGCGACGATGTGACGGGCCACATCCGGGGTCTCGAGACCTCGGCCGAGACCATGCTGCACCGCGGCCTCAAGGCGCGCCACATCACCATGATTGCCATCGGCGGCGCCATCGGCACCGGTCTCATCATCGGCACCGGCAAGGCCCTGGCCCAGGCCGGCCCCGGCTCCGTCTTCATCTCGTACTCGGTCGTCGGTTTCGTCGTCTTCCTCGTCATGGCTGCGCTGGGTGAGATGGCCGCCTGGCTGCCCATGAGCGCCGGTTTCACTGGTTACGCTTCTCGGTTCTGCGACCCCAGTCTGGGTTTTGCTCTCGGTTACTGGTGAGTTCTCCCAATTGGAATTCTGCCTTTTCCCGCAACCCGTGCTTGCTGTGGTGTGTGGTATGCTCCACCCCCAGGAATCCTTCTCGCGTCCGCCATAAAGCGCGAGCCTATGGGGGGGGTTCCACCCTTTTGGTCTGGTGTTTCTGTGGGGGAGTTGACTAATTGGGCCGTTGAACGAACTACCGTGGGCTGAAGCTAACACTGGAAACCCGACAGTTATTGGTTCAAGTACATCATCGTAACGCCAAACCAGCTGACGGCCTTTGCGCTGGTCATGCAGTATTGGGTCGACCGACACACAGTGAATCCAGGTGTTTGGATAGCCATAATCATGGTCGCAATCATTGTTATCAACTACTTCGGCATCAAGTTCTTTGGCGAATTCGAGTTCTGGCTGTCCAGCTTCAAAGTCGTGACTATCGTCGGCGTCATCATCCTGACTTTGTGTCTGGCTCTCGGCGGTGGTCCCGACCACGACCGCAAGGGTTTCAGGTACTGGCAGGACCCTGGGTAAGCCAATAATGCACTCTCAAGTCTTTTAGAACATCGAACTAACAATTCCCAGTGCTTTCAACACCTACATTGCTCAGGGTGCTGCTGGCAGGTTCTTGGCTTTCTGGTCTACCATGGTCACTGCTGTATTCGCCTTCTTGGGAACTGAGCTGGTCGGTGTGACTGTCGGAGAGGCCCAAAACCCCCGCAAGACCATCCCTCGCGCCATCAAGCTGACCTTCTGGCGTATCTGCGTCTTCTACATCCTGTCTGTCCTCTTGATCGGCATGTGCGTCCCCTACAACTCCGAGCAGCTCGTCTTCGCCAACAAGGCCACGAGCAACGCAGCTGCTTCGCCTTTCGTCCTGGCTATCAAGCTGGCCGGCATTGGAGGTCTCGACCACGTGCTCAACGCCTGTATCTTGGTGTTTGTGTTCTCGGCCTCCAACTCCGATTTGTACATCGCCAGCCGAACCCTCTATGGTCTCGCCTCTGACGGTTCCGCCCCCGCAGTGTTCCGCAAGACAAACAAGGACGGCGTGCCCATCTACGCTCTGGGTCTGTCTGCCTGTTTCTGTCTCCTGGCCTTCATGAACGTCTCGGATGATTCCAAGACTGTGTTTGGTTACTTCGTCAACCTGACGACCATCTTCGGCCTCATGACCTGGATTTCCATCCTCGTTACCCACATCTGGTTCGTGCGTGCACGCAAGGCCCAGGGCCTCGCCAACAGCGAGATGCCTTACGTTGCTCCCTTCGGTATCTATGGATCTTACGGTGCTTTGGCCATCTGCATCTTGATCGCACTGACCAAGAACTACGATGTTTTCACTGGCGAGGGATTGAGGACCAAATACGCCACCTTCATCACCGGTTATCTGGGCATTCCCCTCTACCTCATACTGATCTTCGTCCACAAGGTGGTCACTAAGAGCAAGGGTGTCCGCCCGCACGAGTGCGATTTCTACACGGGCAAGGATATCATTGACCGCGAGGAGGAGGCATTCATAGCAGCCAAGGCCGCTCAGAAGGCTGAGAAGGGCGAGGATGCCGGCGGCGCCTTCTACAAGAAGTGGGTCTCATGGTTGTTCTAGATCAGGAACACAGAAGAGAGCAAGGGGAGGTTTTTATGATATTACTGGAGATGTTACGCATGAGCTTATGCGCGCACGCCTTGTGCTTGCAAGAGATACCACTTTGCGATTGAAAAAGGGCCCTGGCTGCTACGATTCAGATGTTATAGGATGAAATGAGAAGATGAATGATTTCTTAACCCTTTGTTTGCCTTGGTCCGGCTGCGTCCCGTCCATCACAACATAAAGTGAGAACCATATACAATATAAGCCAAGGTACTGGCAGTCGTGACGCTCATAGTACCTAAATCGTAATGATATGGCGTAGGTTGTCCGCTCTATACCGCTAGCCACTCCGATAGCTTGACTTAGGGGGCAACATCCTGCTCAACTTACAGACCACATCGCAGCTCTTAGCGTTGCCTAGTAGATAGCATAGCTGAACCATACACTTGGGACCAAACTCCAAAACCCATATCAGTTTTGGTCCATAGCCTGCAAAGACACACGTTCTATATAAGGGATTGTTATTGGCAAGCATTATACCCATACCGTATAGCTGTGCAATAGTGCCCTGTCTCCCGCGGGTTTTACGCTCGCCTGAATTCCTGGAACTTCTGCAGAGCACCCTCCTTGTGCATGCCAACGTCCCAGCCCAGAATAAAATCCCATTGGTGTGCTAGCAGGGCCCCTATTTCCTGTGGATCTAGGCCAGCTCTTACGTCCTGTCCACAAAGAAGGATGCCCGGACAAAAGCACCGTCTCCAACACACCCGCACTGCCGGTCTACTTCGAAAAGTTCTGCACCCAAGACAGCCTTGGCCTTTTCGAGGGGCACCAAGGTCCTGCAATCCCAGAAACTCGCTGGGGACGCGACGTGTTTGTCACCAGATTCCTGGAGAACATACGAGCGTCCTGTGCTGAACATGCCGTCCGCGCCTATCACGGCATCAAATTCTTGGGTCGTTTCGTCCTCGAAAAACAACACAATTGTCCTTGTGTCGTGCTTGGGGTTTGATATGGCGAGTTTCCTGTTCATGTGTGAGCAGTGCAAAGGTCGGCGTGCTACCAGTTGGCGGAGGAAGGAGGCGCGGTGAAGAAGATTCATCGCCCTCCTGGTCAGTGATGATCTGGCCGGCATTTGGCCCTGATCCCTTGGGTTCGCCATTAGTGACATGCCGATGACAAGGGTAGCAGAATGCGTACTATGACTGTGCGGACAGAGTTCAGAGATACTGCGCCAGCTGCACACAAACCTGCATCTGTTTGACAGGGCAGTGTATATGCTCTAGGACCTGCAAAGCATGTGTGTCGAACGTGATAGCTGCCCCGCGTTCTGAGAAGGAGGATCCCGATTCGTAGACCTGCACGTCAAGGGATGGAATCTGGATCAGGGTATTCGCGAGGGTTATGCCGCCAATACCCCAGCCGATGATGGCAGCACGAGTTTAGGAGCCTTCTGGCATTGCGGATGGTTTCCTGCAGAGAAGAGAGAGATTCACAAAAGCCCAGCCCCCGCCTGATGTGATATGTACGAGAGGTTCACTGGTACGCGAAGGGTTATCAAAACTGATGCAAGGGAGAGTGGGGGACTGAGTTTGCTAAAGTAACCTCTATAAGAAAATCTTGGGCGCCACTTAATACATATATCTAGCTCTAAGATGTTCCTTACCGCCGACGTCTGTCATGGTTTGCAAGATTTCGGTGTCACGAGAAAGTGACAGGTCGATCGCGCGGTGGGATCTCAACGTATGCTGTAGTAGTGGGAGATGCAGGTGGTAATGGAGGGGCCTGCCGTGGGTCAAGATGGGCATCAAGGGCTCTCTTCAACTTCTCAAATTCGTCTTCGAGCACCGCCCTGTGGCGATAAAAGCTTCCCCTTAGCCTCATTTTCTCTGGCCTCTGTCTTGCGATACCATTGGATTTGAAGCCAACCAAGTTCGACATTGCATCCTTCATCGAGTCTCGCATTCTTTCGACGTAAGCCTTCGAATTTGTCAAGTCCGGAAGGAATGCCTCGACCATCGCGATATCATTATTCAAGTCCAGATTGGGGACTGAACCAATAATCCATCTATAAAAGAACGACTCCAAATGACTTTCGCGTTTTGCCTCTAGCCTGCCGCGATCTACATACATCAAATTGTGTAAGTGGTTGGTCCCTTCAAGGAGCTCATTTAACCACTGTACCAATTCGGAGGCATCTGCGATCAACTCTTCCAGCTGGGATGCGGCAAGTTGAAGGGCAATACACCAGGCTTGGTAAAGCTCTTCTTCGGTGGGCAGAACTTCGGTGGGACGTTCTGCGAAACTTAGTTCAACGTCTGCAGGACCGAAAATAGTACGAAAAACATTTGAAGCAGTGGCAAATAACGAGAACGGCTCTCCTCGTAGATGTTCGAGGATATTTTCGTATTCCCACTTTAGCATGAAACCCATATGCAGCACCTTGTCTCCAAGACGATCGACTTTATCTGCGGTTGCAAAGGTCCTATCAACGACGACATCGAGCTGGGACAGTAGCGCCTTAGTCCTTGGTAATTTAACTGATTCGATAACCCCGCGCATAGATCGAGTATTGCTGTGCTGTCGTATCAAGAGATCGTGGACGCGGACGCCGACTTGGTTTGCGTCAACAATGTCAGCGATGCCCGCATCGGCTTGGTATTGTGGGAGCGTTGAGTTGGGGGTCAGGAATGAGAATATGAGGGATAATAAGACCGCTGTAGTAATACCCACAACCCAGCCTGGAATATTGTGGCTTAATACAATGTTTAGATAGAACTCGTCGATTGTCCAAGCTGCTCTATGGATCTTATTTAGCCAGAGGCCAGCCAGTGGGAGACGTCTATCGTCGAGATTCGTCCAAAACTCTGCCGTGGACTCCGATACCTTATGCTTTACGGCGATATGAAAGACCCTCATCTTCCTTCCAATAATAGCCCGCGCAAGGGTAAATGGCCCCCGTAAAGTTCCACGCGAAATCTTTTCCAGATCGCGTTGGGGTAAAAGACGATGTTCGGGAATTACATACTCGTGAAAGCGCTCGGGCTCTTTCATACCAGGCATTCTTACGACGTTATGCACGTCGACGTATGGGCGTCCAGAGTTAGGGTTGACATTGATATCAGAGCCAATTGTGTTTTGTGGTATTATTTGATGGTCACCAGAAACGAACTCTGCGAGATTTTCATCTAGGTACTGCCACTCTTTCGATTGTGTTTCACGGTAAGTCTGCACGTGACAAAGTTGTACGTTTGGGCGAAATTTGACCCACCACATATTGGCTGTCGCCACCTGCAATGTCGGTGTCGTCTTGAGGGGCGAAGATGAGAATAATCTATCAAGTTGGGATCCAAGGACAATAAATAAGCTCTCCACTTCAGATCATTTCCTTGTGGTTTTAGGGTTGAGTTGTTAATTGTTGTGGCAAAGGAACTCGCCGCTGTCAAAGAATTGCATCTGATATCAAGGCACGTTCGCGGTACTGACATCACGCATATATCGCTTTGATCTTTCAACCATATCAATGGACTGCACAGAATTAACTAATGCGATACGGCCGAATTGCCCTTTCGGGCAGTTTGATTTGGAGTTATGCCCAACACGGAAATATTACGTTCAACATCAGAGAGATGCAATAGGCTTGGCCTATAATCCGAGAACGATTTGGATCTGTCCCTTGATTTAGAATCTATTTGACACCTATGATTCTGATCATATGTTTACATTACACATACCTAAATTAGCAATGCATATGCTATTCTTGTTGAGCGTACTCCAGACTTTGGATGGCACATCGACCCAGTCATGGGCTCGAGCGGATACGCGCACCATCAGGTTGAGAATGTGGAAGGGGTGTTGTTTGAAGTGGATTTAGGTAACTGTTAATGGATACGGTTAGAATTTCCAGGTCATGTTTGAGTTGCTTTCTGTTTTCGTAGAATCTTGATCTCCACAAGTGTGGCGTCCATTGCGCTTGCTGTGTGATCGCATTTTTCTTGAATTTCCCAAAAGATTCTCTTGTCTCATACATCGCGCTCCGTATAACGCTGACGTGATGCTTGAAGGTCAGTAACCCTGGCAAAAAGCTTTCGACCATGCTAATGTCTCGGTCAAGACCAGGCACTGGGTCCTCAAGGAGGCCCCACTGGTATATGAACGATCCTGCATACTTGACGCGGTGTTTTTCCAGAGTTTGCTTGTCCCCACGGAGAAAATTTTGCAGGCCATTGGTTTGGGCCCATAAGTCATGGAGGTTATCGTATAGGTCGTTGCTCTCTTGGATCAGTTCGTCCAATGTACCAGCTGCAACCTGTAGAGCATCGAGCCAAGCCTGGCGAAGCGCAGCTTCCGATGGAGCCTCGAGGAAGTTGATAAGGTCACGGCTTATTGAACCGTAGCGTAATGAGTAGGAAAATAATGAAAAGATGTTTTTTACTGTCATCGAATTATCCTCGAGCTGCATAAGAATGCTGCTTTGCTCCAACTCCAACGCTGTACCCATGTTTTTGACATGGAACCCAAACTCTCTGATCTTGCGTGCCGTGATTCTTGTTCTGTTTATCACAATGTCGACTTGGGGAATAATTTTTCCCTTTCGGGGCAGGCTACTCTGTAAGATGTCCTCGCGAACCCAGTTGGTGTTGTCGTATTGTGTCATTAAGCCGTCGTAAACCTGGCGGACAACTCGGTTGATATCGAGGACCTTGACGGACCCAGCCCCTGTCTCAAGCATCTGAGAATCACGGAAAGTCAGGCAGAGCCAGACAAGGATCGAGCCAAAAGTCAGTACTGTGAGTAGCCAGGTAAATACTCCGGAGATAGAGCGACTAAAAAGCGACTTCCAAAATACCCTAGCAGCTTTCTCGATGACATTCAGAGTTTCATCCAAGACCTGTCCGGCCCGCACCCCAAAAAGCGTAACAAGCTTCCCGCGGGCTTTACGATATGAAAAAAGGACATTTTCTTGGATGGTGGCGTTCCAAACTCTTAACTTCCTGCTGATGATCGCTTTCAAAAGGCAGTACTTCCCTCGCAGAGTTCCTTGGGAAACCTCAAGGAGATCTCTCTGGTCCAGAAGGCGATGTTCAGCAGCCACTCTCTCTTTGAAGTACTTGGACTCCTTGGATCCAGTCATCTTGAGGATAGTGCGAACCTCGGCATACTCCATCTTGGGTTGAGCTTCGACTCTGGACCCAATAGTTTTCTGAGCCATGAATTTATGGCCAGGGTACACGAGTTCACTAACAGTCTCGTCTAGGTACTGCCATTTCTTCGATTTAGTCCGTCGGTATGTGACTACCTGCCACAGATCTGGAATGGCGCGAGACGCAGTCCACCACATTTCCTCGTCAAACCTGGTTCAATATTGCAGATCCTGTGTGGCATGGATGAATGGGGCCTCAACTCCAAATGACGAGAGCCGGGATTGCATTTTCTATTTCCTCAATTTCTTTGCTCGGTGATTGAAATGAACGCTTTGAAAGTCTCAGAGTTCAAAGGCTTCCGCTTTCGGACGTATTGCGCTCATTATTTGACGTCAGTCAACCATTGCTTGATTAGGGTCCATAATGGTGTCAGGGAGTGGACTAATCCAGGAAGCTGCACGATCCCTGGAGAAGTCAAGAAAATGAAAATGACCTAATAGACAGTATGAAACAACTTATCTTACATTTGCTATTATAGTAGCAGACTCGCTAGCTGACCATCAGACGGTAGAAGGAAACCACCCCCAGACCCAACAAAGAAAGTAGATCGCTTTCTAGGCGTAAGCTAGACTGAATTGGTGGATTTTGACCTGTAATTCAGATTGAGACGTAGAGAGCACATCGCTAGTCTTCACTTGCCTATAGGAATTGTGATAGAGTTGCAACCTCTAACCCATGATGACAGACAATACCGAGCAACCCCCAATTCCTGTATGGTTCTATAGTTGAAGCTAATGTGAAAGATGTGACAAAAGTGGCTCGGGCTGTCCAAGTCCGTGCTGCCGCATAAATACACCAGGCTCGCGCGCTTATGTGAAATGTCAGATAAATAGTTGATATGATGGCATATTATACAGCATGTTCTACCCACTTATTTGCTGTCATGTGATAGCAGGAGTAGACTCAAGACTAGCTAACTAATTACGAATTGGCCACAACCCCTCACTGAAATGATTAGCTTAGGAAGGCCCTTTGGTATGCTGGCGAAGGCCTCTCGGCAGGCTTGAGCTGTGTTCTACCGCAATTGCAAGAAATCACTTTTTCCACTGTGAGTTCGATCCCTTACATTTGCTTAGTATGTGGGCCTGCGATTCGCACATCTCTCGAGTGGCTGCGTGCGGTAGATTATTCAAATCTGGGGTTGGTTAGATATGGTCGGGAGCTAAATAAATGCAGCCGAAGATCTGCAGGGTAAGCAAAGCTGAAAGCGGTTAAGTTAGGCAGGCAACTCCGCATGCCTTACCTATAGCAACATATCTCACACTCCTCAACCTTGCTGACGCCAACGTTCGACACTGCGACTGTGGCTCATTAAGCCTGCGTATCGACGACGCGGAATAGCACCCCGACCAGAACGTAGCACAATCTTCGTCATTGGCTGATCCTCAGCCCAGCATGTCAACAGCTGAAATTCACATTGCTATCATAGGCGGCGGCCTATGCGGGCTTGCCTTGGCAATCGCACTGGAAAGACGACGAATCTCATACACAATCTATGAGCTGCAATCAACGTTTTCTGAAATAGGAGCTGGGCTTAACGTCGCGCCGAACGCGATAGCCGCGTTCAACGCTATTGAACCGAAGCTTGGCGATGCAGTGATGGCACTCGGTACTCGGAACTCTCCCAATGCCGAAGTGTGGATGGTGAACAGACTAGGCGCGCCTACGGACCGGTTTCCGGACGCACATGCGATTACAGAGATTATCGCGCCGGGGGTTGGTCACACGGCCGTCGGCCGTTATGAGCTGCTGAACCTGCTGGCATCTAAGATTGACACGAGGCACGCGAGGTTTCGGAAGAAGCTCACGCGAGTGGAACAGGGCGAAGATGCAGCGACACTGCATTTCGAGGACGGCACGGTAGACGCTGCACACATAGTCATTGGCTGCGATGGAATACATTCTGCAGTGCGGCGGTCTCTAGTCGGCAACGATCACCGGGCAGCTGAACCACGCTTCACTGGCATTGGCGGCTACCGGGCTGTCTTCCCCATGGACCAGCTTGCGGAAGCTATTGGCCCTGAAGTCGCACGCACGAGCTGCATCTGGAGCGGCCCAGGTGGGTACGCTACCATGTATTCCATCGAAGGCGGAAAGAAGGTAAATGTGGGCCTCTGGCTCTCGAAAGAGCAGTATCGCGAGCGAGTCAAGAACGATCGATGGGTGTTGCGCAAGCAGAAGGCGGAAATGCTCGAGGACTGCAGGTCCTGGGGTCCTTCTATACAGAAGGTGATGAGAATGATGGGCGAGGAGACAACCCTTTGGACATCGCATCACCATGACATGGAGCTAGACTCGTACTTCAAGGGCCGGGTATGCGTTATCGGCGATGCGGCCCATTCGATGGGTCCTCATCAGGGCCAAGGCGCCTCACAGGCAATGGAGGACGCATATGTGATGTCTGTTGTGTTGTCACAGATCAAAGACCCATCATGTGACCATATGTCCCCGCTACTCTGCATAGAGGCTGCGTTCAGCGGATGGCAGGAAGTGAGAAAGCCACAGGCGGAATGGGTTTTGAGAACAAGCCATGAAGCCTTCGACTGGTGGTCCAGCTTCTGGCGTCGCGACCTCGAGGAGAAAGACATCGAAGAGCGCTCAAGAGAGGCGACGTTCAGATTCAGGAGGATCTGGGATGCTAATGTCGACCGACAAGGTGACGTGGCCAAGTATTCAATGTTGAGATCATTGCAGAAGGCAATGCAGGTTGCCCTATGACATGCTGTATAGGGCCGCGGAGGCGGCCCGCTGGTAGTGTCAATATGACAGCAGCAAATGTAAATATGCCTGCTGGCTGTCAGGCCAGACACACTCGTGGACTGTTTCAATTTCGTCAGCCAAGCAAGCCACATGACTTCTAGAAGACAAAAACAATGTTTGAATTGCATGGTTTCGACCGAGATCCAGGTGGACGAGAGACTCGAATGCTCCCGCGCACTGAAGAATAGGCGTACGTCAACTCAACAGACCTAGAGAAATTGTGTATTCATATGGTGCTCATAAGGAAATATGGTGTATCGTAGGGTCAGCGTTGACTAAGCAATACGTACTACAGGTATATTAAGAGCACTGGCAGGCACTAACAAAACTGTATCTTCGTAACGGGCGGAGGTGCCCCCACTAAAAGCAATGCAGATTTTCTTCCGCTGGCCGGCTATAGCACTGGCCCCCATATGCCACCCACATGACGAATCCCGAATACGCAAGTCCACATTGCATGTCTGCTTCTTCATAATCGCAACGAGTCATAGATCCGTGTGCTTTGACGAGGCTTATTTCGACGAGAGACGTACATCCGCTCAGATTGGGTGGCTCGAGTTTTCGAGACCCCAGATTGAAAATGGGCTAACCCCCCAACTAACTCGGCGGTGCTTGGAGATTGGCTGCCGCTCACCAACGTCTGCTGCCAATTATTCCGCCCCGGCCAATCGCGGTCTGCGGATCTGCGCGGCGGCGGACCCCGCTCGGCAAGGATATTATTGGTAACCCCTGAAACGCCCTGCAGCGATTCTTTGCTAGTGTTTTCCCCTCTGGGTACAGCCGATCACGTGCGCTGTATGCCCTCGTTGCTTTTTTCCCTGGCCCGGCGAGGCCGTGAGCTTGAGCTGATTTTCGTCAATGGTCTCCTGCATGAGAGATCGTGGTATTTTGCGATCTGACCCTGATCCGCTTAAGTGCAACGATCGTCCGGCCCGTAGCGCACCTTCGACTGTGAGTATACACTATATAGTCTCCATACTTTTCGGTGTCGCGACCGACTGCTGGCTGCAGCCCAGCGGCTGAAGCTTAGTGGGGCACAGAGGCTCCATGCTCCATACTTCCATACGTCTCTTATTGCCTACGCAGCGTCGCTGACGAAGGGGAAAAGATTTCCAGCGTGTTGTTGCCAAAATAGGCAAAGAGTGAGTGCGGTCTGTGTGTCCATGCTGCGTTCCTCTATAGACGTGCAAGCTCCGTTCGCGGACAAATAACCGCCAATGCCAAGCAAGCGCCCAAAGGCTGTCTCGTTACCGATTCATGAGAAGCCCCAAGAGGATGCGCCGAGTGCCCCAAGCGGTGGTGGCAGTGTTGCGACTCAGCGACGGCGCGAACAGATTCGAACTTCGCAGCGCAAGTTCAGAGAGCGCCAAAGGAATCGCATCGACACGCTGCAAACCAGGGTCGTCGGTCTGGAGACGGTTCTTCGCAATGCCGTCGAGCAGCTCAAAGGCCTACAGGACAACCCTGCGCGCGACCAGGCGTCTCGCACAGTCTCCATGCTTGTGGACATGCTCGAGTCCAAGTTGAGGAACGGCGATGTGCCCTTGATTTCGACTCCTGCCTACGAGTCTGCAGTAGCTCTGATCGACGAAGGTGTGTATTGCCTGCTACTGAGTGTGCAGAACCATCCCATATCTGTACTAACTGCCTGCTTTCACAGCTCATCAGCTAGAAGAGCCTGCCTCACCTGCCAGTCACCGGCCAATATCATCACCCATCCACGATGCGCTTATTGATCGATTTGTTGACTATCTCGCTCCTTCAGTCAATTATCAGATGGAACACTACTGGATAAATAATAACCGGCCTCGGCGTTCCTGGCGGACTGGCGCTCTGCTGGCGCCCTCACCACTGCTACATAACGCGTACTTGGCTGCCGCCACAAGATTCGCAGGCCAGACCATGGATGACTCGCGCCTGATCCAAGCCGCAGATACCCTCTACTCTTCTCTCCTGTGCCAGCTCCAAAGGGCAATTGGGGATCCCGAGACGAGCAAGTCCGATGCGGTGCTAATGGCCACAACATTGTGCTTGTTGTACGAGGTATGCACTCTCCATAAGAGCTACCGTCAGCTAGTCAATGACCTTTCCACACAGGGTCGCCTCCGTCGTGTCTCCCAGAATGCGCTGGGGACTCATGTGTTTGGTGCGCTTGCGCTCTTTGCACAACGTGGGCCCAAGAGTTGCGTTTCGGGGATTGCCCATGAACTCTACGTTGAGGGCAGAATTTCATGGGTGAGTATAGAGGGGTAGCTCAGGGCTTTGGTGATGCAACATTGATCTCTGACTTGTCCATTAGGCGTGGTTCTCCATAATGAGACGCTCTCCAACCTTTCTCTCTGACCAGGCTTGGAAAACTATACCTTGGTCCTCGCATGCTACTTTCAAGGATGTCATGGACTATCTCCTCGACTGTATAGTTGACATTCCGGAGCTATTGGCAATGGTGGACCAGTCCAAGTTGGAAAATTCGCCCTCGAATTCGCCGTCACACATGCAAGAGCACATAAGTTCGACTGCGTACACCATCATCCAAAATTTGCATTCATGGGAACAAGTCTGGATGAAATACATCTTGACCAACCGCGTTTCAGAAATATGCGTACTGGAGGGTGAACTTCCGACGTTCAAATACTTGGACCGGTCCACCGGCAGGATGATTCAGCCAACCGTCTTTATGTTTCAAGACGCAATCTCTTTCCAGGCATTGTGCCACTACTATGCAGCACTTCTGGTGGTCTCCATGGTCGACTACAACTCCCGTAAAGATGAATCCACGGGCACGGTCCTCCTGAATGATCACTGTTTCGAAATCGCCTGTCTATTCTGTCGGTGCATGCATTACTTCATGACCCATACACCACCAAGCTTGGTTGACAGGGTCATAATGCCGTTCAAGACGGTGTACGAAGTCTTGCCCCCAGATGGGCCCGAACGGCGGTATTTGGATCTTGTCTATATGAGAAAGATCAGTCAAGGGTTTGCTGCCTCTTGGCATGAATTGAAGCGAAATATAGGAGCACTACGTGAGACGGCTTAGGATGAACGGCATAGGATGAATGCCATCTCAAGCCTACAGTCTGGATGTTCAGTGTTACAGTGGGCCAACGTGAGTGGGTTGAAAGACGACACAAACAGTAGCCTCTCAACCGAGGCAGGATACCAATGGATTTATTAGCCACGGTGGGAAAACTATGGCGTATGGAAGTTCCAAGGAGACACAGTACTTGGATCAAAATGTGTTAGCGTAATGTCAAGGGTTTACTGCTTTGATGAATTCGTGTTCTCTGGGCAGTATTATGTCCAAGGCAGGCTCTTCAAGGAAACTATCAATCTTAGCTTACTTCAATGAACAGCAGTCCGAAGTCTAACTTTGACGTTTCGGGCCAACTTCAATGCATGCAGGCTGAAATTCTGAACTAAGGATCAACGACTATCTTTGTTCACCATCTCAAGTACAAGTGCTACTGTAAACCGTCCAGCCGAATTATGGAAACAGCACCTAGCTGCGTTTAGTTGAATAATTTGAAGCCACCGGGAACTTGCGTCTGAAAGACCCCGTCCGGGTCGTACTTCCTACTCGCATCCTGCAAGCGGCACTTCACCTCCTCGCCGTAACTCCCAATCGGATCCTGAGACTTGTCGGCATAATTCAAGTATTCAAAGGGGATATAAAGCCCATGCCTCTTCAACAGCGACACATGGCTGTCGATGATACTCTGCATCTCATGTTGTACCATTTCGTCATCTTCGCGATGGGCATACGCAGCAGTGATCACTGTCAGCACAATGTCCTTCTCCGATGGGGGCAATCCGAGAGAGTTCGTTCCGTTGGTCACTGGATGTGGTTGCATGAGTAAGACAAGCTGAAGCCCTTCAATAGCAGCAAGGACTTTAGTCCCATTCTCCCAGGATTCGAAAATACTTGAATAGATATCAGGCCCTCCATTCTTGAATGAATAGACAATGTCGATCGCGCTGCCATCATTGTCAGACCGCGAAGAACCAAATGTCACTGATAGCAAGGCTACAACTCACCGTCGAGTGTCCGGCGGTAGAGTACCACCTGCTTGGATCGGAAACGTACTAGCGTTCGCAAAAACGAGTTGTCTACCAACCTGTCCCGGTATTGAGATGAACGGCTGATAAACGGCAGGATTCTCCACGGCTTCGACATAATAAAGTGAATTTCCAATTGCATAAACGTTACCAGGATTCTGAAAGATCAGAGCCATACCCATATCTGCTGCATCGTCGAAATTCTCCGGCTTCATAAAGTCGCTAAGGCTTCGGCCTGGTCGTCAAGAACCTGATGTGTGTAGTTGAAGGCAATACTTCCTCCCCACATTAGTCCCTGAGGCCAGGTAGGAACGTCGATGCGGGTGATAATTCCGAAGTTGTTTGAACCACCCTTCAAGGCTAACCGAAGATCTGAATATGACCCAGCACTTGCTTGGACGATTTCACCACTGGCTAGCACCACTTCATAGTTATAGACGTTGTCGCACACCCAGCCATTGCGGCGGGACAGATAGTGAATGCCCCCTTGTTGAGTTAGCGCAGAATGTTCAATAGCTTGAGGGCGGCCTACCTCCGGTTGCGAGCCCACCAACTCCAATGCCTGCCACTCTGCCACCCATGATGGTAAGATTGTAAGGCACAAGCTGTGCGTATATCTCACTCCAGATACCCCCAACACCCACATAAGCGACAGTTTTATCTTCGCTTAGTTCCAGTGTGTTCATCGCTCTGAGGTCAACTGTTATCCCGCCGTCTATATTGGCCGCTCCACTCCATATTGTATGGCCACCACTTCGGACGGCAAACTGCGGTGAAATGGAGCAATCTTGCTTGGATGTGACTGTCTTCACGAATAGAGAGACTTCAGACGCGCTCTTTGGGCTGAAAATACAACCAGGTCGCAGGTCGCTCTCCTGACCGGAGTAGTAGGAAGAGAGAGACTCGCGGTACACTGGGTTATCAGCATACGACACACTGCCCGGTATAAGAGAGTCAACTAGTTCGCAGTAACGAGTGGTACTTCCGTTTTCCGCAGCGAACGTGTACCCTACGAGGACCAGAATTACTCGAAGCAACATGAGAACTATGGCGGCCATTGTGTATTGCCGGAGTTGGGGGGAAGGTATGGTAGTAGTGGGTTAGGAAAACCGACGAAGTAGCTTAGAGCCGTGAAATATTGCAATCCGTCTCTATATGCGCTCTAAAATCGTATTCTCAATATTCTATCAGATAAACTGCTTTGTGGATCATGTCTTGCATTCGGATGGCCTATGCGGAACGTAACGTGATTTGCACTATAGTGGCCCGAAGGATTGCGGGGAAGCCTGGGGACGACCACAATCAAGGGCCTTGGAGTAAGTAGTGTTACCCAGATCCCTGGATCGGACCGATATCTAACCGGAACTGACTGCCTAAGATCTTCGTTCGGTCCCGGAGACAAATGTCTTTAGTCACCTGAGCAGCACGCCTAGGCCCCATCGAATTGTGACGAGCTTTCCGGGACAATCTACCCGGGTCATAGCTGCGGCTAACCTTCCATGAAACCTTCTATGCCCATCTCTTATATGACACAAATGGGTCTTGAATATTAAAAGTGTGTAAATCACTAGAGCTATACGAGTGGTTATCGAGAGCGCGGTGCATGATTCAAACTAAGGGTGTGCGTTGTGATCTGATGCCTTCCATAGAGAGCTTCGGTGTCAAAGGAAAGCTCGCCAGGAAGTAGAGAGTCAGGGACTTGGTAGAAACTCCCCAAAATCAATGACCCACGGCACCATGAAGCAATGATCACACAGAAGAAGTGTCAAAGAAAAGCTTTCTCAATCTACGGGATTCGGAGCAAGAAACTCCAAGCTTTGGCACGTTATGAAACCATCTGCTTACAGGATTATGCTGAAACCGTGCACGATTATCACATAGGCCAACTACATGTCCCTTTCGACTTCGTCCGCGAGCAGACAGCTTCGAAAGTTTCACATAGTCTCGCTACCGCAGGCTACCATCGTAGACGAAGGAAGACATAAGTGGCTTGATCATTCATGCTAGCAACCAAGCAAAGTGAAGTAATTCACTACAGCCACTTAAATCCAACATTCTATCATTTCAAGTCTGTCTCTTGGGTCATTTCTTCATTTATGGCGTTACCAAATTTCCATGCCGGTTCATGGCTGCAGCAGCCTCCTTGGCTATATCATAACTCCAATGATAATCGGACATCTCTGCTGAAAATGCAGCATCAGTCTGTGGCTTGCCGTCACCCGCCCTTCTTGGGGCCATTGCTCGAGTGTTCTCGATGACTTTTCGGACGCGTGGCACTCGTAGCTCGTCGTAAATCTGCAGCCTTTCTTCTACGTCCTCGATGACTGCACCTTTCAGCACACTTCGAAGAGCCTCAGCATCTTCTAGAGCTTGGCATGCTCCTTGGCCTTGATCTGCAGTATGTTAGAGCAGTGCTATCCAAAATTCTCGAGGATACACTTACGTGGTCCCATTGCATGAGCAGCGTCACCAATAAGGCAGAAACGACCTCTGACAAGCGTGGGTAAGGGGTCGCGGTCTCGCAATTGCCACAATCCGGTTTCTTGTGCCATGGAGAGCATTTTGACGACGGCTGGGTGGAAGTCCTCAAATTCCTTCACCATCTCTCGCAATGAGACACTCGCATCCCATTGATGGCGCCTGTCCAAGTCGTCGGGGAATATGCATACAAAATTCATGGTCTCCCAACTTGAACAAGGATAGATCACAATCCGGCGCTCGGGATGCATGATCATGAGAACTTTAGCGCAGTCGACAATACTAGCCGTCTGTGGATCGCTGCGCAACTCTTTGCTTGGGATCACGAATCTGTACGCTGAGAACCCGTGGGAGATGGACGGAAGCGGCCCGAAGACAGAAGCTCCAGTCATTGTGCGAATGCCGTCGGCACCAACAATGACATCCCCTTTGAAATCTCGCCCATCTTGAAGATAGACGGTCCTAGTAGAGACATCTACTCGTTCGACCTTGGCTCCGAGTTCCAGCCTAGCTGGCTTTCCGAGCCCGTCCGGTGAAAGAGCAGCGCGCTTTAACTCATCATGGATGTCTTTCCGCGAAAAGTACCACCACGGAGCCTGATACTTCTCAACGAGAGGTGCATTTGGTATCTCTTTGCGGACAGCCAAGGTTTTCCAGTCCAATTCCTGAAACTAGGACTATGTTAGTGTTTTGATTGCGTCAGCTGACTAACAAGGGGATGCACCTTATCGGCTTCAACATAGCGTGCTAGGCTGGGGTCAAGTCCTGCTCGACTGAAACTCGACAGCAAAAGCCTGCTGGCATTCATCGAGAGTGTAATGGCGGCCCCGATCTCGCGATTTGATGCTGAAGCCTCAAGCACAAGGATATCGTGGTCTTCGCGAAGCAACAATGCAGTTGCCAGTCCAGCGATGCCCCCTCCACAGATGATAACTTGAAGTCTATTTGGCATGTTACCCATGTTTTGTGGTACGCTGTAGAGTTGCAGACGCTTGGTCCCCTATTAACAATAGTCCAAAGTTTATAAGTATTGAGGAGACGGATGATACGGATGTTATCGAATGAGGGCTGATGTGGGGTGAAGACGGATGTGGAGGCGGGGCCGACTACGAAGCAAGGATCGGAAACTCCCCTGGTTTTATAAGTTAGTGTTGGCACAGCGTAGCTCGAAACTCTAGTCTAGGATAACACTTTTCTTCCAGAAGACTTGGTTTTATTCAAACAGCTCGAGTTATCATGGAGCGATTGGCAGCGTTGACCTTTGGGCAGACGCTCTTGGCAGTTTTCTCCTTAGGTATACTGATGATTGCTTGGACCTCAGCGAGGAATCTGCTCTTCTCGCCATTGAAAAAATTCCCTGGGCCCAGGATTGCAGCACTCAGTACTTGGTGGGAGGTTTATCATACTATTAAGTGTATTACCGCCCCGTGTCCCTTCACTGTTACCTGGCCCGTCTAAATAAAAGCCTAGGTGACAAGTTTAGGGAAGTCCAGAGGTTGCACGAGCAACACGGTCCTGTCATCCGCATAGGACCAAATCACCTTTCCATAGCATCGCCCGAAACGTTTTCTCAGATCTACGTCAAGAGATGCAGAGCATTCTTGAAGAGTGACTTCTATGCAACCATTCAGCCTGGCATCGGTCCGAAATACTCAGGGCTGTTCAACTACACGGACCATCAAAGAGCGGTTGCAGAAAGGAAAGACCTCCAAGCGCGGCTGTCGCCAGCTGCCCTGCGGCAGTACGAGGCGCGATTCTTACCCATTCTGGATACATTAGTGGCAGTACTGAGAGAAAAGAGGGATGTGGATCTTTTTGCCTATTTGTCAGTTTTTGTTTCTTACTAGAAATTATGTTTGACATGCGACTGACACCCAGACAGCAAGTTCCTTATGCTTGATGCTATAGGCGATCTTGCTTTCGATCAGTCATTCCATCAACTCGAATCTGGGGAAGAGCATCAGTACGTGGTTGATTTTAATAACGCCTTTATGCTTATTGGGCTTGTAAGTCGCCTTGGAATTCTAAGTCCCTCTACCAGATACTTACTTCAGTCAATGTCAGCAAACAACTTTCGCATGGATTATTCCTTTCATTCCATTTCTCCCATCCCAGTCACTAAAGGATGCATATTATGGGCTGCAAAGGGTGTTCAAGTATGCACAGACCCGGGTCGATGCCTTCCTCAACGAGGAAAAGCCAAAGCCAGGCACACTCATGGAAGCGTTTTTGAAGGATGGAAAGCCGAAAGATCCTTACACGCGCTGGCATATCGCTCTTGCTGGACATGGATTCATGTATGGCACTCTTTTATCAAACCCTTACTTTCACTTGTGTTAGGGCTAATAATATCAGCATCGCTGGATCTGAAGCTTCGTCAATCACACTGACCTACGTCCTTTGGTTGCTTGTTAAGCATCCACATGTTCAAAGAAAACTTCGAGAGGAGCTCAAAGGCCTCCCACAAGACTACAAATCCACCGACTTGGCGTCTTTGCCTTTTCTTGATGCTGTACTAAAAGAGACACTGCGAATATATCCGCCAGCGCCATCTGCCATGCCCCGAGTTGTGCCGCCATCCGGCGCCGAGATCGAAGGCGTTTTTTATCCTGGAAAGGTAAAAATCATCGAATATCAAGTGTTCCGGTGACGATCAGCTGACAGACTTCCTGGCTTCAGACCATCATAGCAGCTCAACCATATACAATCCATCGTGATCCCAACCTGTTTCCTGAACCGGAAATTTTCCGACCTGAGCGGTGGATCGAGCCCCCACCCGACAGACGTGAATTGATGAACCAAGCGTTCGTGCCATTCTCTGCGGGACAGAGAGGGTAAGTCAATTCCACCAGACAAGTGGCTCTTTCGGACTAACATGTGTGCCCGGTTGAATAGATGCATCGGGCGGGGCCTTGCTTGGATTCATATGCAGATGACCATTGCAAAACTTCTGGAAAATTTCGACAGCTTCAAGCTTACAAAGGGAATGACTGATGAAGACATGGAATTAGTCGAACGGGGAGCACTGGCCAAGCCAAAAGCCACAAAGCTTTCGGTCAGAGTCTTTCCTAAAGAGGTACCGGGCTTCGCAGTTGCCTAAGTGCGACGATGATAGCATGCCTTGTTGACTTGACTTCCGAGACAGCGACTTTGGAGAGTAGCTATCTTCAAAGCTACCAACTTTATGCTGAATGTATTAGTGTCAAAGCATTGCGATAAGTAGTTGACATGCAAGAAAATCATGTAAAGAAAAAGAAAAGTTGGATTCAGTCCGGCAGCATTCATGTTGCTAAATCGACGGCGGAATGGCACACCGTCTTTCTCTCCAGTTTTGAGGGCTCAAAGAATGTTTTGTTGGCGTTCAGAATGAGTTGGCACAAGTTACCACCTCTGTTTGACTCATAGTCATGTCACTGAATTATTCGAGAGAATTGGGAAATACCATTGAGTTTCATTTTGTAGAACAAATTCTTAGAATTGGGTCAATTATCAAAAACATGTCTAACACGAAGCTCATTTCAGAGCTCATAGTGAGAACAGCCATATATTTCACATGCTTAATGTGTTAGCACCATCAGCTTCTTCCCTGTGGGGCTGTTCACCAGGAAGTTCTTGACCCGCATATCTCGTGCGGCGGAAGCTTCGTCCTCCAGACGAATATTGGGAAACTTGCGGAAGAGGGCGGCAGCGGCTAGCCGCATCTCCTGGGTTGCCAAGTGTATTCCGAGGCAGACTGGGAAGTGTTGACTGTTAGTCTCTCATACTGAACACGGAGTACAGCATCTCGAGTGCTAAGCGAGAAAGGAAGCGGAAAGTGAAAATTACAAATGCAGGGCGATGTATGGAGCACGGTAATGTACTTACCTCGAGTACCGTAGCCCCAAGCCCAGTTTGTGTCCCACATCTCCTTCGTCGCATTGATCCAACGCTCAGGCAGAAACCTTGAGAGGAGATGTAAGTCATTAGTCCAAAAGGGAGGGGGGAAAAAAGCCCTTAGGACAAGGGTTATAGAAGGGGGAGAGTTACCGTTCTGGTTCAGAAAATACTTTCGGCGAACGATGAAGTGTGTACGACTGAAGAGACAGTTCCGTGCCAGGGGGGATGACGTATCCTTGCGATTCAATTGCCTTAGTGGGCACACATCGCCGCAGCGGGCCTGCAGCCGAGCCCCATAGCCTCAGAGTTTCGTGTATGACACCCGTGAAGTATGGCAGCTGCAGTAGGTCGGCATCGGTCCAATCCTCAGGCAGTTTAGAAAGATCTTCGAGAACCCGCTTCTTCACCTCGGGATTCCGTATAACCTCCCAAACCAAGTACACCAAGGACGTTGACGTGGTATCACTACCAGCAAACATGAACTCATTTGCCTCTTGTTCAACTTGTGCCATACTCAAGCCTTGGAGATCCGGGTCAAGCATGATTTTCGAGAAAAATGTAGGCTTCGTTTCACCATGCGTTTCTAACTCTTTCTTGTATTGCACCAGGCTATTGCGCCCGAACGCAAACATGCCATCTGGATTGTCGGCAGACAACATCGTCGGTCTGAAAATATTTCGGATACGAAATAGTAATGGGAAGTTGGACGAAAAGACTACCTCTCCCAACCCTGCCTGGACATCTTCAAACAGTTGCGGGACCTGCCAGTTAATCCATAATTAGAAAGACTTTATGTGCATTGTGTTTCGGGTTGTCTTTAGCTTGCCTTTCCTTGTTCTAGGACTTTCGGAGAGACTCCAAAAGATAGCTCGGCAACCACATCTATAGCCATGTACACAAACCACTCGAGTATGTTCACAACTCCGTTGGATTGGGCCGTTCTTTTAGCGATACAATCCATCGTGAGCTCGACTTTGTTTCTTACGAATGGTTCGAATTTAGCAGTTTCCGTGTTGCTCAACTGATGTCCAAACCTGCGCCGTTTCTGTGCGTGTAGCTTTGGATCTCTCTCTGTAATGATGCCTGGCTGCATTTTCTCGTAAACCTCCGCTTTTCTCAAGGGATAACTTGGTCTCGTAATGACTCTCACGTCGTCAGGGTCGGCCAGAGAGACTGTTGTCGGATTGATACGCACGACAGGCCCTAGAACAAGGAGTCAGAAACAAAACTCAGTGTTGAGACCAATGTTTCGAGATGAGATCAAGTTACCGTATTTCGAGTGCAAACTGTGGATCCAAAGCATCTCATCCCCCGTAATCAGATACCATCTCTCGATGATGCTGCTGAAGCGGGAGATCAAGGGGCCTGGTATACCCCGAAGGGGATCCTTCAAGATTGAGTAGATTGTGCGAACTAGCTGCGCAGAAAGTTAGGGACTATTTCTCACTGAGTTGATACTACCAAAGACCTCACAGTCCATGTTAAAAGTACCGCGAGGCCAAACATGCCCAGCGAGAATGGCTGAGATACGTCGACGAGGGCCGCCATGCTGCTCAGGAGACAGCAAGTTGTACTAAAGACGTCTTGCACAGAACGCCACGCATACGCAGAAAGCAATAGGGATCTCTTAAATCCAATTCGAGACGAGCGGAGAGCAAAGCCTGACTAAAGGTGTGGCCACTTGGTGCGGAACGTTGTACGCTCGGCAAGTCGACAGACCCTCCGCTCGGCCCCACCTACCACGACCGACGGTCAGAGAGCTTTCATTCATTTCGGCACGGCGCAGCCTTGATTTGTCATGCCAAACTGGGTGATACTAGGTGGGATGTAACAGTTGAAGCGCGCTTGAGTATCGGCAGTTAGTTGGCTTCCGCTGACAAAGCGCAAGACCCGCCGAAGCGGGCCTATCCGCGACAGTGCCCACAGGTGGATAAGCGGGGTCCCGCGTTTCGATAGAACTCCGGGGTAGTAGAACTGTCCGACACGCCCGATCGGACAGCGACGACAGACCGTCCTTCACCTTGAATCCCTGCCCAGCAGTCTATAGCGCATAACCAGAAATCTCTGGCTCGTATCAAAACACTACTGCTTTCGGCATTTCAACCCTCTTAATCAGCGAGAATTGGGACTCGAGTACCGTCACCTCCATACGAAATCTTCAATTACAGAACCGTATACTCCGTAGTTTACTTAATATCTTGGTCTCTAACCTGCGTGTAGAGGGGTTGTCATGATTTGTCTTCCGCCCCAATCCTCAACAGTAGTCCAATGGCCCATTGGCGAGATGAGTCGATGGTGTATGGCGAGCACAGCCCACCGATAAAACGACCCGTCCACAGCTTGGAAGCTCCACTCACCAAACCCAAAAAGTCTCGCTTGGGCTTGCCAAGAATTGCGGCTACCACAATAAGAGGAGGATTCGCTACTATACTTCCTGAGTGCTGTACACAAATACGAGATTGCTCCAAAACAGCTTACAATATACAATAGCTTACAAGACTGGGCAAGCGGTCGCTGAACCGCAAACATGCTCCATGCTAAGGAAAACATTCCCTCACGTTACATTACCGGAGTCAATGCACTTGTGATACCAGCAAACGATCGAAGACCGCAGGTACAGTAAACAAATTTTGCTTAGCATGCATATGGAAAGACGTATAACAATGCTCTATACCGGACAAGGCGTATCGCTTGTTTTCCTCCTCTCAGGAATCGTAGCTTTGGCTCCAGGATTTGGAGGCCGACTTGAGAACACGAACAAAGCTCATACCCACTTTGTATTCTCATCATAAGCCCGAGTTCACCTCACTACAGCGCTATCCCATCACTTAGCGAGTATGGAATCAATAAAGTCCAGAGTATTTCCATTAACAGCATAATGGATTTCAGGTTTATGAAGTGGCGCAAGCTTCCCTACACCATTCTCTCTCTCGACCCGAGTATTTACGTCGAGAGTTATCACTGCCAATGATCTAAACTCTTGAATGGGACCGTCGGCCAGCCTTGCGAAGATGAGAGATTCCCCATGTTACAGTACAAGAAAGCCAGCAACACCAAGTCTAACGCGGTGTATTGTAACCTTTCGTCAACTTGCAACAGTTTCGAATCGCTCTGAATATCTATGCCGCTGTTGCGATTACTTGACATAACATAATCGTATCGATCCTCTCGTCAGGTATTCATAGCCTTACGGACGATGAAAGGGACCTAGGTAGTCATCCTTGCCAAGCGGAACACCTTTCATGCGGAGAATGGCATAGGCAGTCTGCAAGTGGAAGAAGAGGTTGGGCATCGCGAAGGCGAGAATGAAATGCTTGCCGGTCATCTCTTCGCCCGCCACCGTACAAACGTTCTCTTCTGTACCCTCGAGACTTTTGGGGTCCATGGTTTTCAATAGGGCCAGAGTGTTCTCCGCGCGCTCGATAAGCTGCTGCATGGTCGTCTCGTTGTCTTCCCACGACTGAACGTCTGTCTTCAACAAGCGCTGCAGCGAACGACTGACAGTATTAGAAACCGATTGCACTTGGAAGCTGAGTGGTTTCATATCTTCAATCAAGCTAGCCGATGGAAACGTGTCTGCATCAGGCTGCAGCGTTGCCTTCCTAAGGATGTTGACCAATACCGTGACGCCCCCAATATAGGTGCCGACGGTAATGTCGTAAATGCTTACTTCAGGCATGGCAGATTGTGTGATGTCTTTTTCCTTCGGCTAGAAATGACAAAAAGAAGAAACAAGCACAGAGCGTTGGCGCAAAATCGTAGTGAAAGGAGAGCAAAGGTCGCGGGATTTATCCAGGTCTCGGGGCTGTTGATAAGCACGAAAACTAAAGGGCGTGCGGGGTCTTAATGTTCTGAGGTGCATCTTGCGAACACACGAAAGGCGCAGTTTGCGCTCTGGTTAGCGTACTGTTTGGCTTACTTTGCTGCAGCTGGGCGGCACAGAGACGGAAGGTAACTATTATGAATGGAAGTTGAGTAGCCATTGACAGTACGAAAGGCGCAAATACGGAGGACGTATGGTATCTATTACTCACTACTCTACCAGTCCAGACTGGGGAAAGCTACTTAATAAGTATCATAATTTTCAACTCATGTTTTGTGAAGCAAGTCCGAGGCTATTCGAATGGTGTTTCAGATCACAATCAATGCATAGTTTTGAAAGCATTCCGCAAAGGCAAGTCCACGTCGAAGCCACGACTCTCCTGCATGTGCTTGTCGAAGCTTACAGTTGACATCTGAACCTTCTCAAACAATGACCGATCCAACACAGGACCAGCAGGTGGTGCCTGGCCGCAACGTCGTGCAGCCTCGAGTTCGCCAAGATACTTGTAATGCGCCAGGCTCGAGGCCACTTGAAAGGCGTTCCGGATTTGCCGGCCGTTCCAACAGGCTGTTAAACGCGCATTGTCTTCGTAGTGTTTTGAAGCGAATGCAAGGATCTCGTCGTCTTTGATGACCAAAGGCTTATCGCCAGTCATGGTGCAGCGCTGTCTCTCTATCTCGCGAAGCTTGGTGATATTGAGACGGAAGATATCGCGGGTCTGTGTCTTGTCAAGTGGAGGATAGTACAGCGACATGTGAATGCGCGACTTGAAGGCATCGTCGATGCTGCCTACGCGGTTGGTTGTCAGAAAGAGAAGACCGTTGTAGTACTCCAACACCCGCAGAAACACAGAAACGAGGGCATTGCGGTTCATGTCGTCTTTGGATCTTTGCGTCAGGAACACGTCAGCTTCGTCAAGCAGGAGCACGCAGTCCCACAAATGGGCCAGACGGAAGACATTGATCAACGATGTCTCGACCTCGGAGGGCGTCAAACCAAGATCGCCGCAGGTGATAACAAACAGGGGCTTGCGGTTCTCCACTGCCACAGCCTCGGCGGTGGCTGTCTTGCCTACCCCTGGAACACCATGCAAAAGAACGACCAAGCCTCGGCCTTTACCCTGGATGATATCCTGGCTTGGTCCCTCCGTCGGCACCTCAGCATAGCGACGCTCAAGCACCTTCTTTTGGAAATGTGAAACTACAAGACCGCGGACAATGTCTTTATAGTCTTGAAGAATGCTTAAGCTCTCAAAAACGCCTCCCTCACGTCGAATGGGCTGCAGAAAGTTGATATTGACAGGCACAAATCGTCATTCGCGCAAGGCGTAGGCAAACATACGCTTAGGAAGTAAGACAAGATCTTCGTCGCGTAGGCTTAGGGCGCTCGGATCCTTCTCATAATGACGAGTTCCGCGGACTCTTTGACGGAGAAACTGGTCGAGATTGAGGTTCTCGCGACGCTGCCAAGTCTCTACCCCATCCAGCGTTTGGACCATCTCAGGGCTAGAGAAGGCGAGCCTGTTGCGTGCGCCATCAAACCATTGCTGAACAGCCATAGAATCCTCCTCGGCATTGCAGCGGATCGACTTCGTCAGAGATGGGCTGTGGAACTGGGGCCGCCAGTCCGGGTTTCTTTGGTAGGCCTCGGTCATATCCACAATAACGTCGCTTTCAACGAACTCAGGGTGCCGCATCATATCACCCTTTTCGTCTCGAAGGATCTCCCCTACCTCTTCATCTTCAAACTCGGAGTCGTTCGGCGGGTTGCGAGTCAGTGTCCAAGCAGAGTATGATTGATGGCGATCGCTGGCTTCAAGGAATTTTTGGAAACTCCTCCCCTGAGCTTTCAGTGAGTGGAGCACATTCTCGTGGTCTTCCCAATACCGGATGGGGAAAACTTCAAGGCTATCCACGGCTCGTTCTCCAGGAAAGGTTTCGATCTCAAAAGTGTGGCGCACGGCACCAAAGCCCGTGCCGTCATGGTCGATGTAATAAGCGTAGATCTTGAAGCGGTCAGACTTTGTTTCCTGGAATTCGTCGGCAAAGAACTCCCATCCAGACTCCGGATACGAGGTATCTACTTCAGGCGTCTTTACTCGGTAGATGCGCCACACTTCGTGATAGCGGCCACCCGACTCGCTCGCAGCAGGCATATAGATGAGGTCCCCGACACGGAACAAGGCCCACAGGTCGTCAAATTTGACCTTGGGAGCGGCATTTCCATCAAACTGATGGTATAGAGGCATGATTTCCTTGTCCACAAATTCCACATAGCAGCGCATGTCCCGCAGTGCTTCCGTGCCGTCCATTACATTTTCTATGTCATCAGCATTTGAATCGACTGATTGGATGGACTTGTTGTCATCGTCATCATCACCATCTTCGATAGTTTGGTTCTCATTGCCATTCTCATCCTCCAACATAGAAGCTGAAGAATGGTTGGGCTTCTCAATAACATCGATGTCGTCAGGACAATCTGTGCCTTTCCCAGAGACATCACCCAGCTCTTCGACGTCTCCCCACTTCTCCTCGAGAGTGGAAAGAATGGCCTTCATCTTGGGCTGGAAGTATACCAGAGCCTTGAAAGGGCGAACAAAAGTCCGCGGTGTAGATCGTTTGAACGACTCATTGAGTAAGGAGGTCAGGTGACCCAGGACGGGCTGCGACTGGATACGGACCCGATGCATCTGCGACCCCGAGAGCTGAGATGCATCGTTTCTCTTCTCTCTCCTGGCTCTCTGCTCCGCAGCCTTTTCGGGCTGATGGACATAAGGAGCTGGGTAGCCATACTCGTACATCCAACTCTCCCTCATGCGTGTCAGGTGCTCCTTGCGCCGTAGTCCTTGTTCGCGTCTGATCTGTGCCTGAAGGTTGGGGGCAGCCATCAGGACTTCAATGGCGTATTCCGGCTCTTCAATTTCTTGAAAATGATTTTTAAAGTCTTCAAAGTTGACCTTCTTGGCCTCTGGAATCTTGGGACGCCATTTCGCCTCGATGCGACGTCGATCTGCCAAGATTCTCTCGCGCCGCTCGGCTTTCTTCTGGGCCTCCACGAAGCCATCTTCATCACCGTAATGGCGCTTAGTCCGACGTGGGGCATTGTGTCCTCGGCCAGTCACTTTGCCCCTTCCGCTTCGACCAATCTGCTTGGTCCGAGCCATTTTAAAATCGATTGTTGATATACTCGGTGATACAATGCGGAGATGGATAACAGGGAGACCACAAGCTAATCAAGGAAAGGGGCAACACGACGGAAATATGGATATAAAGATAGATAGAAAGGAAGAAACTCAAGATGAATAAAATTAAGCATTCAAACTTTTTATGGAAATATATATGTGATCAAAGCTGATGGTAGGCAGCAATAGTCTCCAGGCAGCCAGGCGTTAGAATCCTTGAAGAACAGCATGATATGATCGCCATCCCGCGCCAAGGGAATCCTTTCTAGTGACTCATGCGGCAGCCAGAGCCAACGACACCGGCGACACATTGAATGGCTGCCATAGCCTCGAGCAAGTGCGATATACATGGCATGACCTTTCAGTTACAGCTTGTACCTGCATAGTGGTGTTGACGCAGACTTGGCCGTTATTGAATATTGGTAAAGCTGAGCCACAGTCAAAATTCAGCCACAATAGTTTCTCCTTTTTCGTGCTCTATCACGTGACATACTCAGGATGCAAGCCAAGCTACTCATCACATCAACAGTAGAGGCAGGTGCATGGATAAAAGCCTGCACGGATTTAAAATAGCCGAGGTTGCGTGATAAGTTTATCGCGCACTTATGATCTGATACTCAGACCTATGAAATGTGCTTAAAGGTATTGCACAAGGCTATACAAATATATTGACCCGGGAAGGAACTAACCCGTCTCGGTCTTTGCGATGTGATGTGACAACACTTGAGCCCACTGGAAGGTCCTGATATGCACCTATGCTCTTCTGGTTGAAATTTCTACTAGTTGAAAAAGCCTCTACGGGTCAGCATTTGAGGTTGTATATGCTTATTACGATACTAACAGGAGACAGACAGGAGCGGGAATTTGCAGATATCGATACAAATATCTAATACCTCGACAGGAGTTAAGAAAACGTTTTGTTGGACTTCCAAAGTTTTGCACTGTAAGAACACAGCACAAGTGACAAGCAGAAATAATGACAGTTGTGCCACCGGCGTAGCTCGGAATTGAAACGATTCGTCAGTGTTGAGTCCTAGTGATGAACTTTCATAGATCTCCTCACAAATCAGCGCCAATGGTACCTTGTAAGACGCATATTGCGAATGGTGCTGACGCAAGCGCAAAAAATCTTACGGCTGGGGAAAGCAAAGCTCTGTCTCAGATTGCGAAGCTGAGGCAATTTGATTCAGTATCTGTAAAATGCTACTGAACTCTTGAGTACCAGTGACGCGGCCTCCAGTTCTCAGTTGAGAGCGTGCTTGTATCGCTAACTTGCCATCTCGACTGGTGATATCCAAAGCACTATCCGAAGAGCATCCGAGACCATCCAATCAGACGAGCCCCAAATTCCAAATGGTGTATTTGCCATTCTAAGCCGCCCCATGCAGTGAACTGAAATTCTTATTTGCCACCATATACGGGCTGACAATGGATGGTGTCAATCGGGAGGACCGGGTAAGACTTATTTGAATCAACTTGAGGAGACAAGAACAAATCACAATGCTTGGAAAGCAAAGCCGTGTCTTCGTCGTCAACGTTACATTTCCTGGTTGAAACTGTGGGAAATAGTACTCATTCGTATATCGAATGAAAACACTGATCCTTAAATATTGAGTAATACAATGCAGTCATTGCATACCAAGAGAAATCACAGCCAATACGCAAAGAGGAGCACCGCCACTTGGATCTAGATCTTATCGCCCGCAACGCTAAGCCCGTTGCATGTTGCGAGCACCGCGGAGAGCGGCCGCCCATCCTGCGAACCAAATCTTCAACGACTCATGAAATCGGTTGTGTGTAATCCTCCCTGCAGATCGCATCATTTCCTTACTATGCTAATTTCTCACTGGCTAAAAGACGAGCCAATCAAGTCTCGCAGGTCAGTGCGGCCCGAAGGATAATTAAGTGAGCAAGTATATGTAGTCAGCGGATCACGGCCTAGCGCACCCGCAGTTGACGCGGACAAGTCCGGAAGGACTACTGATTATGGAAGTGCACGTACTTCGCTTGGTGGGCGCTAAACCCCTTGATTTTGAGTTAGCCATACAATCATAATGTGCATCCGGTCCAGGCAATAAAGAGGCGCAGCTTTTGCAGATGGAGACCCACCGACAGCACCAGGGACATTACCTCGTTCTGGTCATCAACGGTAGGAGGATTAATCACTGTGTTGCATCGAGTAGCACGTGTCTGAGCTCAGCCTAGTGGTAAGTTTGAGTTGTGGATCTGATAGGCTGCTTACTCCGAACTCACCGCAATTCTGCAAGGGCTGTATAGCCAGAAAAGGCTTGGCGCTGCAGGGTCCTTTCTAGGTTAAACCAAGGTTAAGCCTCACTCCACTATCCTACCAGGTGTTTACATAGGTATATACATATGACAAGGATAGATCCGGTTGAATTCCCTTTACCGTTGAGTCGGTGGATTTATATGCTGCGGAGGGACGTAGCACCACCAATCAGACTGATACAAAATAGCTTTCAGGATTGAGGCTAGTCTAGACCACTCGTCTACCCTTGTCTCAGGAAGCAAAGACATGTGTATTACATTTACTCATTGGAGTGCTAGGAATACCGCTTATTCGGGGCTCCTCTCTATGTTCTAGACTCTAGAAATTTGCAGCGAATACTGTTCAGTCCGTGGCTCCCACCTTCCCCCCTCGTCTTAGACCAAAATATGTGATGGGAACGACGATGGCCATCGCAGCAAACATTGTCCAGAATGCAGCGTGGTATCCATCTAGTAATCCTTCTTCACTGTTATCCTTGCGTTGTGCCAAAGAAGAAGCAATTGCTGCTGTAACAGCTAAGCCGACAGAATTGCCGATCTGTGAAACTGCATTGAATACAGCACCCGCAAGAGATTGTGACTTTCCGGGGTACGCCTTCGCAATGATCAGGTTTGACACAGTGAAAAGTACTAAATGCTGGTAAGCATGTGAATGAAGACTCAAGCCTGGGGGTTCGATAGCATACCGTCTGGATGTAAAGGCGACAGCAGCATCGCAAAAAAGTCACCCCTCCAGTATCCCCGGCTTGGAGTGCTCAAGGCCATAAGCAACGGCGGCACTACGTTGATGGCTGCAGTAATGCTGACCATCAATCCAACTTCGACCTTGTCTACAAGGAAACCGGTGACCTGCCAACGTGAGATACAGCCACCAATGAATAGCAGAGTGGCTGACTTACGATGTTGGTGCCTGCACCGACAAACACCATGGGAAGAAAACGAATTGACGCCTCTAGGGCAGTAGTGTGCACGACCCGTTCGAAGTAGAGCGCGCCAAAGTACTGGAATGCATTGAACACAGCCCAGGTAACAAAGACAGTGATGCAGGTAGTCGAGAACACAGCATTCTTCCACAGACTGTTGGGCACCAGTGCCGGGAGATTATTGCGTTCTCTATAACCCACCCAGAGCACAAATGCCGGTAGCAGGAGGATCCCGAGGACAAGCAGGACGATGTTGTAGGCCAGCTTGACTTGTTGATAATCTTTGCTTATGGAACTATATTTTTCGTTAGCAAGGTGGGTTCTTGAGTGGCCGGTGTTAGCTTACGCGAGAACGTATGACAATATCCCAAGTGATGAGCTCAGAGTGAGGGCCCCGACCCAGTCGGTATCATGCCTCAACCTGGCCAGAACATTCTTGTTGTCATGCTGTCGACCTGGCAGGACGAATACAGCACAGATGACAAGTAGGGTGTTGATGATGAGGGATATGTAGTACGCCCATCTCCAGCCAATGGTGTCAGTAAAGACACCACCCAGTATGAGGCCCAAAGAGTATCCAAGAGGCTGGCCCATACCCTGGAATGCAAAGGCCATGTTCCTCCAGCGGCCGGGGAGAAAGCTCTGAGTGGTAAGGCTCACTGCAGCTGGTAAGCACATGGCGATGGCGAGGCCGAGGACCGTGCGAAATGCGATGAGCTGACTGGCTGTACGGCATAAACCTACTCCCAGGGTGAACGCGCCGTACATAGCCGCACCCGTCAGCCAAACTGGGCGGGGACCAACAACATCACTGACGGCACCAAAGATCAGCAGAGTGCACCCAGCAGCTAAGGCGTAAACGCTAGGCGGCCATAGCAGAAGGGCTTCGTCAAGTCCAATGTCCCGTGCTATGGCGGGCAGTGAGATAGTCAGGACACCCGAACCCAGTGTGTTCAGTGAGCTGATGCCTGTCAAGACCATAATGATGAGGGAAGCCTGGAGCCGTGACATGCCATGGCGGCTACTGACAATTGCAGAAGCTGGCACGTCTTCCTTCTCTTGCCGGGGTTCGGGTTCTGGGTCCATCTGCGCAGGCGCAGAAGCCATGGGTGCAGAAGCGATAGCCATGGCCGGGGCGCTCGACTGAAGGGTCCTCAACTGGTAGTTCTGTCAGTCCATGGGTGTGACACCTCGTGAAATTGGCGCGTTTAAGTACCTTCAACATCTCAGGATTATACCACGGTCGTGCAATGGTGTCCTGACGGCCTGGATTTTGTTGCTTGGATGAGCGAAAGATCGGTCAGAGTGTCGGCTGCTCAACGTGGCAAGACAAGACTCCTTAGCGCTCGAGGTTAGTGCAGGTACTATGGTATACCTGGTTACTCAGCTGCCTGCGGGCCAGGGGTATGGCGGTAAGATCTGAGCATCCGGGACGGGCGGGAGAGTGCGGTTTTTTCCAGATCCTAGTCAAAAAAGAACCACGGTGTCAGACCCTATTGTAGGTAGGTGGTTACCTAAGCGAGCGGCACGGTCATGGCCGGCATGCCACTTACACAGTCAAAGACCCAAAGGCGGGCGCTAGCTCGCCGGCGGGCGTCCGAAGGAAAGGGTTGATAGGTCAAACCCGGGGTTCCAAGGTGTGTTTCGAGGGAGGGAGAAAATCCTCTGGAGTCTGGAGCGTGGCTATTGTGTGCTGTTGTATATACTTTGTGACATCGCCATCCATTCGCGTGGGTGCAACGTGTGCATGGATGTGCCAGCCAGCCCCGCATTGTGGTCGACTTACCAGGATCAGTTGCTTAGCCCGAGCTGACGTGAGCAAGGCGGCCGATGTAAAAAAGACCGTTTCCGGGAGGCTGAAAGATCTACATGGATCTGAATCCCGCCGCGGCACGGAGGTACGAATCCTCGTGTGCCTAACTTGAAACGGGTAAGGCAATCATATCGACAGTGCTGAAGTCGTGATAGCTCATGCAGTGTCCTGCTTGTACCTCAACATCAGATGGGTCTACCCCCTGACGCCAGCACTGCTCTCTCGACACCTTCATGCAACATTAATGAGTCCTAAACATGTTGCAAGCGCAGTAGGTCACTGGGTAAGGGTTGAAGACGGGGTCTTTTTTACGTGCAGCAGTGCTTGATGAGGCATAATGCCTCTCATTTGATGGCAAGTACCCTCCTGATGAAGCCTAGTCGGCTAGATGGCTGTCGGATTTTCTTTCTTTTTAATCACATTCATGAGCCTACCAGGTTGGTATCGTCGTGCCACAAGAGTCCGAGTACCGCATTGGTCGTTTCCTGAAAATGTTTCTAGCCCGAAGAAAGGGAGACATGGAAAGGACCGTATCCGTGCATTCCCTCCCATGGCAGGACTAGTATTTATACAGGTGTTCTCCCAGCACCAAGTTCTCTTAAATGGACCGTTTTCGAGCATCTTTTGGTGTTGTTCCAAGTGGGCTGTCTTTCTTGTCCAACTCACACTACTTTCACAATGAAGATCGTCATTTGTGGTGCTGGGCCCGTCGGTGCCCTAGCGGCTCTATACGCAGCCAAGAAAGGCCATACAGTTGAACTATATGAGATGCGAGCAGGTAAGCCAAGATACCAAGACCGTCCCCATATTTCAGTGGACTAATCGCGGCTGTTGATAACCAGATGTGAGAGCGGACGATAAAGAAGCAGCCCAGCAGCTCGGAAAATCCATCAACATCACCATGTCTGACCGTGGCTTCGAGGCCTTGAAAGATAGTGGTGATGAACAGCTGGTTCAAGAGATTCTCAATCACACAGTACCTGTGCAAGCCCGCGAAGTGCACGAAAGAACGGCTCTTGGTACAGAAAAGGCAACCAAGGTCCCCTATAGTATAGATGGCAGAGTACGTGACCTCCCAGCTTACTCTTGGTGATGATGTGTTCTAATCCAGCCACAGGTTTTGAGGGTTGTCAGTCGAGAATTCCTCCGCAATATCCTTTTGGATAGAATCTTCAACTTGCCGAACGTCAAGGTCTTCTTCGGTCGCAAGCTGATCCATGCCGATCTCGACAACAAGAAGGCGGTCTTTGCGGATGCTAGCATAGAAGACACGTACGGAGGCAGCAACTTTGAACGCGTGTCATTCGATCTGCTCATCGGCGCTGACGGAGCTCACTCGGCTGTTCGACACCATCTTGCAAGATACCGAAACATCAACATCGATCAACGGTGGCTTGACAACTGCTGGTGTGAGTTTCAAATCGCCCAGGCTGATGATGGTCGGCCCAAGATCAATCTAGACACACTGCATGTATGGCCGAACAATGATATCATGTTCCTGGCTCTGCCTAATCCCGTAAGTGTACCGCCATACTATTGCACTCCAATCACTGACAAGAATGTCGCACAGGATGGGACATTCACCTGCAACCTCTTCGCTCCCGCCGAAACGTTCAAGATGCTAAGGAGCAATCAAACCGCGATCGCCGACTTCTTCGAACGAAACTTCCCTGGGATCCTTCCCAACCTCATGACAACCGAAGAACTCATAAAACAGTTCCACAGCACCAAGACCTCGATCCTACACGAGATGCGCGTGACCCCCATCAACTACAAGGACAGCTGCGTGCTGATCGGCGATGCCGCCCATACAATGGTACCCTTCTACGGGCAGGGTCTGAACACAGGGCTAGAAGATGTGCGCGTGCTGTTCCGAGCGTTCCTGAGTCAAGCACCCACTAAGGAACTCTCGGGTAAGCAGATCTCCATCTTGGACTCGTACAGCGAGTACCGACAGCCGGACGTGAGCGTCATGACTTCGCTGGCACTGAAGAACTACAATGAGATGAGACTTTCGCAGCGATCGACGCTCAAGTATATGCGCAGGAAGTTGGAAGAGACCTTGCAGGCCCGGCTTCCAAGTGCTGGTTGGGCCACGCTCTACTTCCGCGTGGCTTTCTCTACCGAGAGGTTCACGATGATTGAGCATAAGAACAACCAGCAGACTAAGATCTTGAAGTGGCTGCTTGGCGTGTCAACGGCATCGTTGTGTGGATTGGCAGCATCTGTCGCTCTCAAGTTCTAGACGGATCACTTCAGAGTCGTATCAGTAGAAAACAAATAAAAAATCAATGTCGCCCTAATTACCATATCTTGACATGCATATATCAAAAGTACTGGCGCTCCTATATGCAGTCCTCCTGGCCGTATGTCGCGCTGATCACGTCAATATTTGCTCATGGCTGGTAAATACAGAATAGATAAACATAATCAAATAGATAATCTTCAACGTGTCTTCTGCTATCTTCCCTTTACGAATGAGTCATAGCGCGAATACCCGGTTGCTGTGTGCCCCACAATATGTCGGCAGTCTCCCGAAGATGTGGTCTAAGATTGTGAATGAAGCGATCACATCAGATTATCTAGAATTGCTCTTTTGTATCTAACCTGGCTGCACAGCCTTTAGTGGATGCGCGGACTACCGTGGCTGACCCACTATGCTCATAACACGTCGACTTTACGATCCCAAATTTGGGAGGTCACATGGCTGTGATGAGGCCACGTTCGTTCAAACCCGGGGTGCTTGCTTAATTTTACTTCTGGTTTGAAGCTATTCCCGACTCACACTTAGTACATACACCGTTGAAGGGGTTGCATGGTGACTGCAATGTGGCTGTGTCAGTGACCAACTTGTTAGCTACGTGGTCTTTTGCCGGGGGTGTCACAGGCTTGCCTTGCCAACAGACACCTATCGACTCATCGGATACGAGACAATCGCAGAAATTAATTCAACAAGTAATTGAACACCTACGCAGCAAGACGATGTTGGTGCTGCTGCCGATTCCAGTGTTGGATAATGGTGGGGACAGGAGCACAGTAACCTGGCCTGATCCTTGCCATCTTGGTGCCGTGCCGTACGTACAGCCACGCGTTGAACGAAACTCCGGACCAACTACGATTCGATGTTTGGATTATAACAGACAAGGTGGCCTATCATTTAGATGGACTTTTCAATTAACATGTGCATATCAGAACGCCTATAAGAACTCATGTTGGGTTGCAGATGAAACAAATTTTAAGAACCGCATTCAAACCGGAAAAGCACCAAGATTAGAATTCAGTTCACCTAAACCATATTCAGAATGGGATTCCAAGACATTCGGAATGAAGGGTTTGTCTCTGAAGAGTTTTTAATCAATCTTGATGGCATCAAAGGTACGCACTATTTGTGGAACTTGACAGGAAATTATACTAATTGGAAACTTACTCCGCAGGTCCTTTCACGGTGTCAGGTTGCTGGAGGTTCTCCAACCCATGGGAAGATACAGAGGTGACACAGTATTACCGATGCCTTGATCTGCTGTTGAACATCGTTCCTCCATCGGACGTTAATGCAAGCTCCCCGAGGAACGCTACCGGGACTGGCCTGGAGACTATCGTCCGCGCATGCTGCGCGGGTCAAGCACCTACCAGCTCCTTCGAAGCAACTCTGAAAGTGGTTCTTGTCCCTCACAATGGGTACCTCTGCAGGAGCGACATCCTCGATATAAGAATGCAGCATTCTGAACATGTGGACTCCGTCATTCGGCTATCAACTTCTGGCAGTCATCATTCATCCGTTCCAGACGAGGGCGTAAATACTTTGCTTGATTTGTTGGCCTTGTCTCCTGGTGCACTCCTTGGGAAGAAGTCTGAAGCTTCATATATCGACACGCTGCGGGGCATAGACGACGATCTGAAGAACCGTTTGTCGTTTGACTGGGTGCTTGCAACGCCACCGCCATCTCGCACGGTAGCCGTGGTCGGAGGCCGTCCTGCCTTCGACATGAAGAGAGGATCTTATGGATCCCAAGGGCCTTTTGAGGCAGCCCAAGCTCTCGGGATCTCGGTCATCGTTCTCGACCGGCCAGGACACTGGCTGGAGGGTGACACCTACGCCTACCTCCGTGACGACTTTATCGCCATAGATGTGACGAAGGAGGCTGAGTTGCCGTCCAACATCGCAAAATCCCTGAGCGGAAGAGCGATCGATGGTATCGTGACGTTCTCGGACGAATACGTGATCGCTACCGCGAAAGCTGCTGAATTGATGGGCCTCCCAACCGAGCCTGTCCGAGCAATCCTGCAGGCCCACCACAAGGATGAGACTCGTAAACTTGTCAACAATCCCAATGTTCAAGCTCTACGCTTGGAGAGTGCAGCGCAGCTGGACGACGCGTCCACAGCAGAACGACTGGCAACTCTACGGTATCCCTTGATTGTGAAACCGTGTCGTGGTGGCGCATCTCGAGGGGTCAAGAAAGTCCACGACCAGGACAGCATGCGCCAAGCGATACAGGCCATGGAAGAAGAGGGGTTCGCGAAACATGGGGTACTCCTCGAGACTTATGTTGACGGGCCGGAGGTGGATGCCAATTTCGTGCTCTGGGACGGCGAGCTGCTCTTCTGCGAGATATCGGACGACTTTCCTTGCCAGGCAGACGCATCGGACGCTACGCTGGCTGACAACTTTGCCGAAACCCTGATGTTCCTCCCTAGCCGGTTGCCTGCGCGGGAGATTGAAGTCCTCCGGTCGTCTTTGCATCGCAGCCTGCTGCAGTTGGGATTCCGTACGGGTGTCTATCACGTCGAGGCCCGGGTCCAGAACTCGTCCATGTGCTACAAGGAGGTTGACGGTGTCCTAGACCTGGTGGACTCTGGTGCCCCCATGGAGGGCCAGCCAGATGCGTTCCTGATCGAGGTCAACGCTCGTCCACCGGGGCTGGCATGTGTGTTCTCCACGCTCTACACATATGGCGTGGATTTCTGTGGACTCCAATTCCTGCAAGCCCTTGGGGATCGCGAGCGCTATGCGGCTCTGTCCAAGCCATTCGCCAACCTCGCCCAGTATGGATGCGGGAACTGCAAGATTCCAGTTCATCGTGAAAACATTCTCGTGCCGGACGGGTTCTTCGAGAAGTTGTTCAAGATACTACCTGATGTAGCGCCGCACGTGTCCAGGGCGGAACTGCTTCGACAGCCTGGAGACATTGTGTCGCCATCGGGCGGCGCCGGGTTTATCGGCTACGTCTTGCTATACTCGAGAACGAGCAGACGACATGTCCTAGAGATGAGTGACCGTATCCGGCAAGTCTCAAAGCAGATTTTGGACACTCTTTAGCGAGGAGGGGGGAGTTTCATACCGATTTTCACTTCGGGTATATTATCCTAATAACATGTTTCAATCAACACGATCGTCAGCGACAAGCACCACTTGGTTGTCTCATTCACTTTCACAGCGCGTTGAAGAGCCTCTGCCCTCTAGTAATGTAGCCTGAAGCAATGACCAGTGCGATTTGTCTGCTCCAGCGAATGATTGGACTATGATTCTTGCCACAATGGTCTTTTGCAAATGCAACTCAGCCTAGTAGATGGGGTTATCACATGATCCTCCGTAGCTCTTCAGCATACCCTGAAACTCAATTCCAGATGTCTGAATTGTGCCAGACATTCCATAGATGTCCTCTATCAAGCATAGCACAGAGGCATTAAGGAGTGGATCCCCGCCACCATCTTGTCCAGGTGGCTCCCCAGGCCCGTTTGCAACAAGACTCGCCAGAAAGCAAACACTCTCACCCGCCCAGGCAACAACCAAGAGATCTCCGGGCTATATCTTATATCTGGCTCTCTGGCCAATAACGAACGGCTGGGTGGTGTAGTGGTAACACACTCGGGTGCGAGGAAGCATTCCCAGACTGACGATCGAGATGAACGCTTTGTTTATGGGATATGGGTAAAAATTACCTCATAGGTTTGCTGAGCATCTGGGAATCGCAAGTTCAAGCCTTGCCCTGGTCAACATTGTTTTTTTTTCTCATCCCTTTTTGGTACATCACGTTGCGGTGTTTGGGTATTCGGTCTTTCTTTTAGATATTTACACATTGTACATAGTCTTGATACAAGCGAGTCTCGGTTCAGTGCGCCACGGACCTAGACGTATGGCCGTCGCAGGACAGCCCTCCCACCATTGGCACCTTCGCTCCAGTCGACCAAGCCAGCGCGGGAGGCGACGTGCCAGAACCCATGGCCACGCCAGCCGCCTTCTCCGTGCTGCTCGACGTACTTCTTGACGGTATCCGCGACCATGGCCCTGGCATCGTCTGCCCGTCCCAGCTGCACCAGGGTCTTCAGCACCTCCTGCTGAGTCGACAAGGTGACGAGGAAGCCTGCTTCGCTCAGCTTGCTGTATATCCGGAACGCCGAGTCGATGTCGCCGACGAGTGCGTAGCCCTTGACGACGCGGTCGTAGAAGATGCGGTCCATGTCGTCGTAGTCGAACACTTCGCGACGCTCCAGAAGGTCGTCGACGGCCTTCAGATCAGGCGGCTGGCGAGAGAAGTAGTGCTCCACCAACATGGTGTAGATGTGGGGAGAGAACTCATGGCCTTGGCCCCACAGATGATCCAGGACGGCTTTCACAGACTCTTGGGCGCGGTCGCCGGAACGGAGGAGCAGGTGGATCATCTTGCCGTATGTGTGTTGATTAGGCTCCAGGCCGGCGTCTTCCATCTCCCTGAACACAGATTCTACAATCTCGGATTGTCTCTTCGGGTCTAAAGAGTCTACTTTGTTCAGGCTGCCGTCCAGAATCAGCGTAAAGGTAGCGGCATCCGCTTGAACTCCCAAAGTTTTCATGCTTTGGAATATTGCTTCGACTTCCTTGTCGCGGCCTTCCCTGATCGCTGGACGCAGAAGCAGATTGAAGGTTACGACATCGGGCTTGATACCGTGAGCTTTGGCCCACGCCAGGATCTTATGTGCCGCAGTGTTGTTGTTGAGGCGGATAAACCCTTGCAGAGCAGCATTAACAGGTTGTATGGCTGGCTGGACGGCGTTGCCATGGCCCTTCTGCTGCGCCGTGTCCCAGAGCACAGCCATTTCTTCAAGCGCATCGACAGCGCCTTTTGGATCATCACAGGCCATCAGGCCCGCTATCCGTGTGGTCCATATCGCAACGTCGAGCGGCTGGCCGGATGCCACCAACCGCTTCCAAACAGCTTGCAGACCTGATGGGTTATGCGCGCGCTTGCAACCGTCCAGCATGACATTCCAGGTCTTGAGTGTGGGTCGCAGTCCGACCTTGGGCATCGTATTCCACACCTCGATCGCTTTGTCGGGTTGGTTGAAAGCCATGTAGGTGTTGATGAAGGAATCGAACAGATTCGGGGACTGCTGAAGTTGGCTCATCCGCTCCCTGGCATTTTCCTTGGGGACACTGACGAAAGCCGCCCAGAGCCGGTCGACTTCACTCCTGTTGTGTGACCAATAAGCAGAGCTCAGTTTCCTCTCGATGTTAGCTGCTTCCGGGTGGCCACGCGGTGAGCCAGATGCCGCCTCTGAACCTTGCAACTGGGCTGCTTGTTGGGAGATTTCGTCCAGATGCGGTTTGATCTGGGTCCAGTGGTCCATGACATAGGTTTCAATCGCTGGGAAGGTTGACAATATCGACGATCGTAAAGCCTTATCATTGATGCCGATCAACTTGATCATGTAGGTAACCTTGGACATGAAGCGTGTCGTGCTCTTTCTTGCTGTGGCGTTGCTCCTCGAGCGATCCATGAGAAGAAGAAAGGTAGAAAAGGCAGCAACGGCGAGCCCATCTCCCAGATTGCTGGACGAGCAGTGGGGAAACAGGCTGTTGAATGCAACAGTGAACCTTTTGGACATGGCCCACTTCTTAACGGCAAACTTGTCCAGTCGGGGGAACCAGAAGCCATCAAGGATCTCATTTGCGTGACCACTAGGCTTCACGTTCATGTGCTTGGGGATGGAGAGAAGCTTCCAAGACTCGACCAGGTCGGTCAGAGCTTCATCCTTCATGTGGAGGTGCTTCTCGTAGGCCTCGATCGACGGGTAGTCCTCGCGGGACGTCTTCATGCGGCAGAGAAACGTGATCAGCTCGCCAACAAGCGCAAGCCATTCCCGCGACCAGTTGGTCGACCTCATGTCTCCAAGCTCGGCACAGACACGGAAGATGTCCGCGACTCGGGGCAGGTCGGGGTTCCAGATATCGTCCTTCTTCGCCTCTATGATCTTGTTCATGACATTGTTCGCGACGGTGAAGAAGACCTTGGGCACCTGGATGTCCTCGTGGCGTATGCTGGGGTACAGCTCGGTCTGCAAGAAGGTGTATGCCTGGGACACAGGGGCGCCTGTATCCAGCATCTGCTGCAGGCTTCCGATCTCCTGCACCAGGTTCGCGTGGCGCGGAGAATGCTCGAGTGCGTCGGCGGCCAGCGCGTCGTCTGTTTTTCTGCGATGGACGATCTGCTGGAAGAGCGAGTCCATGTCGGTGCCCGCCTTGTTGTCGGCATTGATGCGCCGCCTGGACCCGGCTGGCGTCGAGGTCAAGGACTGCTGCGGCCTCGGGCGTCTCTCCTCATACCTATATCGCCGGACTTGGGGTCGTGGGGCGTCGCTGGCCGCGCCTCCGGCCGAGGAATGGGCTTCGGACGGTGCAGACGAGCCGTCATGGCCAACACTGGCGGCTGTAGCTCCTGAGGTCGAATATGCTGCTGTTACCGTCCATTGCGCCGCCTGGGGTCTGCCGTTGGCGGCGAGCCTGTGGCGGCAGAGCAAGCAGATAGACTTGGACGTCTTCATAACATGATATGTTCGGGCGTAGGGGTTCGGGGGCGAGGCTGGTGGTCGCGCGGATCTGGTTGTCGCGCGGATCTGGTTGTCGCAACGGCGCTCGTTCTCCAAGGAACAAAAAAAATCCAAAGGCAAGCCAATTGACCAAGGCTCGACCGGACTGCGCTCACCCCTGGCGTCGGGGCTTACTTAGCTCGCCTGCAGTGGCTCAGGTGCTCAGCTTAGTCACTAAGTACCTGTAGCCAGGGCCGATGGGGGAGCTCTGGGGGACGTTCGGGGGCCGTTAGGTAAGTTTTATCGGTGCTCTTATCGGCCCAGCCATTGAGAGCTTGGGCAGGGGCCCCACGCGCCGACGTCACGTCTGCCTGTTGCGCCGTCTCGGATCTCACGATGACTGATGGACGAGCCTAGAGGCCTAGAGACATCGCCGAGAGCCATTGGTTGTCCTTGTCTCTGCCCACGTTTCACAGAGCTTCGGCCGGCCCGTAACGCACACTGGTGGTCTGCTCAATCTTGCTCAGGGACGTCTAGCCGCCAGCGCCCACCGGGCCTCTTGTATATAGCTGACAGTCCGACCACATCAATTATTGTATATATCTTTTTGCTCTGCATCTCGTCCCGCGTCTTTCGCCATGACCACCTTGAACCCCCGCCCTCCCTATACACAGGATGAGCTCAGGCAGCTGTACCCGTCCGACCTCAAGCTGCAGTTTGTCCAGGTCCTGCTGCGCCATGGTGAACGGTCCCCCGTCTCTGCTCGCTTCGCCAATGCCGGACTCCCCGCCTTCTGGCCGTACTGCAATGCCGTCCGACACATGCGAAATGCCGTCCTCGACACCTCGTTTTCATCGCCGCAGTTCACCACCCTAGAATGGAAGCGCCGCCTGGAGGCCTTTGGCCCCGGTGACGAGCCCGTCATAGCATCTGGTCCCAAGGGCGAGCTCGACGCGATCTGCGATATGGGTATGCTCACGGATAAGGGGCGCGAAACGACGTTCCATCTGGGTACTCGATTGCGCAAGCTATACGTAGACCAACTCGGTTTCCTGCCGCCCGCCATATCCGATGCCGACAGTCTATACCTCCGCGCGACGCCGATACCTCGAGCGCTCGAGTCTCTTCAGGAGACCTTCTTGGGCTTGTACCCAGCCCACACTCGTGCTCCGAACTTCCCTCCGCCTACAATTCTGACGAGATCCGCGGCGGATGAGACCCTCTTCCCCAACGACAGCAACTGCCGTCGCTTTGCCGCCCTGTCGAGAGCCTTCGCCCAGAGGGCCGCCGATCGCTGGAATGATACCGATGAGATGGCCTACCTTACCAAACTTTACGGGAAATGGATGCCGGAAGGCTACCCGCGCGTAGCTGTAGACGGGAAGCCACGGCTGAGCGGTATCATGGATACCGTCAACAGCACGCTCGCACACGGGCCGGAGACCCGCTTGCCGAAAGAGTTTTACGACAAGAAGGGCCGGGACATCCTCGAGAAGATCGGCGTAGAAGAGTGGTTTGCTGGGTACAAAGAAAGCAAGGAGTATCGTGCCTTGGGTATTGGTGGTCTGATGGGCGATGTCGTGTCGCGCATGGTTGGATCCGCCGAGCGCAGCACCGCGGATGGTGAGTACGAGGTCGCGAGAGACCTGCAGCGTGGTGACATCAAGGCTGGAAAAGGAGCCACGCCGATTCGTTTCGGCCTGAGTGGCTGCCACGATACCACGCTAGCCGCCGTGCTCGCTAGCATGGGGGCATTCGACACTGACAAGTGGCCCCCTTATACCAGCCACATCGCCATCGAGATGTTCAGGAAGGCAGACCAACCACCGCCTGCGACTACGAAGCCGTCTGTACCGCCCTCCGAGGCACCGTCCGCCCCGAAGTCCACAAGCCGGTTTGGGGGCCTATCTTCGCTGCTGGGAGGGTCGTCTGCCGGTGCCCAGCCAGGCCTTCCCCCACCAGGCATTGGCCGCAAGCGGTCGGAGGAGCTGACGGAGGATGAAAAATCCAAACTGGATGGGTATTATGTACGAATGAGGTACAACGATGCGGTCATGAAAGTGCCTGGCTGCAAGCCGCAGGGCAAGCACCTGGAGGGGGATGACAGTTTCTGTACACTGGTTCGTCCCTCCACTATTCACATGCTGCTAGACAGTATCGATTACTAACAATATGCCTACAGGAAGCGTTCAAGGAGATTGTAGACAAGTTCGTGCCTCAGGATTGGAGGAGAGAGTGCAGATCCAACATCAAAGCTCCCGCATTCCCCGCGAACCCAGAACCCGCTGGGTACTAGACAGCTCATGAGCCCTCCAGTAGAAAGCATGTTTGCATCTGCATTGGAAAAAGTCATACGCTGGGATTGAAAATCGGATGTCAAATTCCTTGGCTGATGCTTTTCGGGCGTGGGTCAATAGTCACGCCTCACATACAGGTTAGAGGTTGGATAGCAGCCTTTTGTAGAGGCAACCCGAGCATTATTTGGCAAACTTAGACTGAAACGAATTCGAAGTTCTGGGCGCTAGGGATCAATTGAACAAGAATTCTTTTAGCCGTTGTCCCCTACCCCATAATTCTTTTCAGACTGTTGATCCGATCATCAGCTCATGTAACATCCATTAAAGTTTCATAGAACTCTATGATGTCCAAAGAAAGTCTCATGAACACTACCTTCAGCGAATCTTATCACGTACCACCGGTTCAAGAATTGAGGATCTGGACCACGACGAGCTTTGGTCTAAACAGTCCAGACCGTCGTTTCCAGTCGTATGTATTGATCCCGTTGTCCCCTGCGTTGGTTTTGACCGAATTCGAGTCTTGGCTCGCCTGCTGATCTTATCAATTGATTGAGGCGACCCGATCAGCGTTGAATTACCGTGCAAACCACTATTCGCTTCACTCGCCTTTTTCGCTTTCTTCAAGTTTCTCCTTCGGTATAAGATATTACGCGCTCTTCCTCCAACTAGGCACTTCGCGCCGGCTGTCGAATGTCTAAGTTTCTAGTAAGTACCGAGACGATTGAGAGTATCGGACCCATTTCAGCCGTCCCAATAGTGAAACTTCGGCTAGTAGAGCAGCTCTTTTTAATGCGGTCGCAAGAATAACCAAGACTGTATTAATACCTGAATTGAGTGCCATTCATCTGACGCCTGATATGGAACTATAATTGGATGGCTACTATAGTGATAATTGAATGTCATGCCGAAGATTAAAGATGGTCTTAACGTGTACCAGAACAATGGTGATTCTTTGAAAAGATACTGATGAGAAAATGAGCTGAGATAGCAGGCGCAACGGGTTTGAATCTTCTCAGCGTGCGAAAGCGTTATCATGTACAATACTTTATGAACTTTCACTTCCAATATAGCAACACACATAAGAGGATTATGATGCTGACAAATCCTTGTTCCCTTCTGCTGAGGCCTGAGTGTATTCCAAATTCTGAAAGTGCCAACCAGCGGTAGTTCTGACCATGATTTGAATTATGAGTGGCTTTGACAGCGTTGATAAGTGTTCTTTCTTTTCCTGCGATATAGGCTGGTGGTTCGTCACTGATATTCTGCTGAGTGGACTCCTTGATGTTTGACGCCAGTTCTTCCGCTGGCGCGTTGGGCTGAAGATGCTTCCGGCGTCGATTCCATTCGAACAGATATTGAGCCAGCTCATCATGCCCAGCCTGCTTGGCAAGCTGATATGGCGTCAAGCGGCCCATGCATCGGATGTGTAGGGGGACGTCACCCTTGGCCAAGATGCTGACTACATCTATCTGGTTGGTCTGGACAGCATAGTTGAGCACCCGTAGTAGTCGGCCATCGTGAGCCTCGAACCGGGCTTGCCGTTTAAGTAGGAAGCAAGCGCGCTCCGGGTGGAAGCATTCGTCCGTTGCGAGGCTAAGGGCGCTGCGGCCCAGATTTTCCACGGCGTCGATGTCGCAGCTCGGGCGCTGCAGAAGGCTGTTGAGCACGTCGAGGACCTCAACCCCTGGTGGCGTCTCAACGGCACGGTGAAGTGGAGTGAAGCCCCATTCGTCTCGGCTGTTGATATCAGCACCGCGCTCAAGAAGGAGACGCACGTTGTCATTGAGTCCAAACGCGGCGGCGATATGCAACGGCGAATTGGAATGATTGTCGCGCTCGTTAATGTAGGTACTGGGGTCTGGGCCAAGCTCATCTAGGTATTTCTCCAACTGTTTCCGGGAGAGCTTACGAGAGGCTGAGTGAATTGTCATTCCGGGCTCGGATGCAAGAGTGTCTCGCCGCCTAGGTGGCTTAATTTCGTCTTCGCCGGCTGAGGTGGATGTCTGACTAGACAGAATTGTGTCTTTTTTCTCATTTTCTCTCAGTCGTGCTTGTCTCAATAGCTCAAACATTCTGTTTTGTTCATTATCACGGGCCGTGCGCAGAGGAGTAAGTCCGCTGTTGTCCTCGATATCGGTTCTGGCTCCATGGGCAAGAAGGATGCGCGCAACGGGTTCTGAGTTACACTCGACAGCATCGTGTAGTGGCGTCTCACCGCGGTCCCCTTGGACATTTACGTCGAGAGTAGGAATGCTTTCTAAAAGATAGCGCATGACCAGGCCACGCCCGTTGACGGCACAAGAGTGCAGTATACCACGTCCAAGGCGGTCCTTAGCAGCATAATCAGCCCCCAGGTCAACGAGTACCTGAACACATCTTAGGCTGTTTTTGTCGATTGCGCGGAATAGTGGCGTGCCGCCATAAAAGTCCCTGGCTTCGATATTGGCCCCAAAGTCCAGTAGCAGTGCAACGATATCCTCGTCACCCTGGGAGGCAGCGATTGACAATGCTGTATTCTGATCCGAGTCTACCGACTCTATCGACACGCGGCAGTCGCTGAGTAATACTTTGACCCTCTCAGGAGGGCCATAGTTGACCGCGAGCAAAAGTGCGTTAGGTGGCCGCAGTCTCCCTGGCCTTCGGAGCTCAACGTCAAGGTCTTGGCGCGACAGCAACATCTTTACGATCTCGGGATCGTTGTAATAAATTGCATGCATGAGAGCAGAGTAATTCTCACAATCCTCGTCCAGTGCATTGACCCCGATATCCTTCGGTAATTGAACGATCTCCTTCACGACGTCAGCCCGGCCATTGCGACAAGCTCGGTGCAGCGCTGTGCTTCCCCTGCTGCATACTCGACGAGGATCAGCCCCTGCATGCAACAAAAAGTGCACTATATCCGTATGCCCATTTTGGGCAGCATACATGAGCGGCGTGGTTTTGTGGCAATCTTCGACGTCGACATTTGTCACTTGAGTCGATAACTCCGAAATAATGGCGGTGAGCCCGAAGTAAGCACAGAGATGAAGTCCATGCACGCCAATCTCAGCGTCCCAGCCCGACGAAGACTCCAAGTTGTCGAGCCACATGAACTGCGATGCAGAGGATATGCGCGCATCATCACAAACGAAGTTCATTATCAGTTTACTGATCATGCTGGGGCCATGTATTTCATCGTGCATCTTGCGGGCGTGTATGCCCCAGTGGGTTGCAGCGTACGTCAGCAAAGGGTACTTTTGTCGACGTTCTTGAAGCAACGCACTGTGATTTGGACCAGAATACGCGCCGGATGCAAATGATGTGAAGCGAAGATAGGTTAGACAGATCATAGTCAGAGTGCTGTGACCATCCTTGGAACCTTTGAGCCCGTTTTGCGCAATGTAATCGCCGATAGTCTCATGACTAAGTCTGACAACCCCTGAATAATCTAGTTCAAGTAGACCTGCACACATTGAGACAAGATGCTTGACAGACGGAAGTTTCAATTCGTCAATGTCTTCATCACCATGGTCTAGTGATATTGCGTGTGCAACAGCATCCAGAGACAAGAGCTGTCTCGCCGTGGCAACGATCAAGATCATATGTTTCAAAACAGCGGCCTGCTTGAGATTGCTTATTCGACCGATTACACTGTCATATATATCAGTGACGTTCGATGGCAAGGTTTTTAAGCCATTCAGTAGTTCTCTTGGGTTGCTTTGGTCTTCTAAGCTGTTCATATGGAATTTGGCGAGGAGGAACCTTGTAGCGGTCAGCGCATAATCTGGCGTCGTGAACGATGCAGACAGAGTGAGTTACATTCCATGAGCCTCCCTACACACCGTGCGAATGATTTGACTCTTCAAATCACTCAATTTTGGTTGAGCAACCAGTGTCATTGTGCTCAGGTTTTCACTCGTATCGATTCTCCATGCAATGTAGCGTTGTAGGTCTTGAGCTTGTGCCGTGATGGTCACAAATCCGGGCCAAGCCCACTGGAAGCAACTCTTGGGGCTACTGCAGCCGAGACATATCTCGTATTTGTCGTAACAATTGACACAAACATCACGATTACAACTCTTATTCTGGCATCGATATGAAGCTTCGTCTCGCCATTCGCTCCCTCCAATTCTGCCAGAACCCAAAGACTTGACGTCAAAGTCGGCCGATGAAGCGGTATCACTGAAACTAGCAGACTTGTCGCAGTTGTCGCAACAATAACTTGCTTGATTGTTTTGTTGATCGTGTCCTTGTAACTGGTATCTTCCCTCACTGGCTTCATGGTAAAACCACTCAGAAATATGGTGGACAGGACGAGACGTTACCATCAACTGAGGCAGTGGATCGAGAGATTCTAGAGTACGTAGCAATTTCGTCCTCTGATGGTGAACTGGGAGCTCATCCAAGCCATCTAGAATGACGAAGACGTTGTCGAACCTTCTCAGCTCGGTTGAAATGGTTTCAACCACTCGGGCAAAATCCGGCCGAGACTGCTGTAAGCCTTTGCCATATTCCGCGTATAGCTGCTCCACACTCTCCGGCATGGTCCCATGCTGCTCTACGAGCTGTCTGACAAAGCTGCAGAGTATATTGTAGGCTGAATGTGTATTCTTGTCGTCAAATGAGCAGTAAGCCATGAGCACCATGGTATTAGCAGTGGAATTCTGCTCGGTAAGCTGCTGAAACATTGCAGATGCTAGAACTGTCTTGCCCGCCCCTGGTATCCCGTGACACCATAATGCTCGAGTTCGGCACTCAGACCAACCTCGAACTTGAGGGTCATCTAGAAACCATTGACCGGTACCAAACAGAGGCTGTTTCTGGTCTGCTTTCTGCGACATCCTGAAATCGAGAGAAGAGATCCATTTAACGGCGTTTTCGACTGCAACTATTTCCAAGGCACTGTGGACTTGCTGGACACCAGTTTTGATATTGTGTCCAATCTCTAGACTCGCTCTGGTCAATGTGAGAGAGATGGTTCCTTTCAATGATCTCAGTCTACCAAGCAGCTTCTCAATGTCTGCTTTCTGGAATGGCCATTTCAACTTTCTCCCAACTAACTCGGCTCTCTGAGATGGCGTTATGATTGCACCTGTCAATTCTTCCAGGACAGCCTTCAATTGATCAACAGGGCCCCCATATTTGAACAATGTCTTGATCGGCTTCGACCAGCCGTCTGCCTCACCCGCCTCATGGTACTCGAATTCAGACTTCAGATCTTCGAAGACTTCGTACAATGCGATTAGCTCCTCGCGGAGCTCCTTTCGTTCTTTGCCACCATCTTTGACGTCTTTGATGTATTTGACTAAACTCCAAGAGAGATTGACAATCGCAATAAGGCTGGCAGTTGCATCCATAGTTGTTACAGTGATGTAGAGGACAGCCAATCAATGCGTATCTTATGCTCGCGCTCTGAGGCAGAGTAATAGAATTCTCGGACTGACTCACAATATAATTTTCCACCAAAGACTATGTTAACGTAGAGTGATGGATTCGTAAGTTGAAGGATGCTGCTAACTGTCAGGTGGGGTTTGATAAGATGTCGTCGGAATAACTGGTAGTCCGCTTCAAGTCTTGGTGTGGTAACACAAAATGCAGAAAAGTTCTTTTGTCTCAAATAGGGTGGCTGGTCTAATAGATAATGAGTCACAGGGTAAGTAGTCCTTCCACACTGGCTGCAAGATGTGTTTTATACGCTTTTCATTTTCAAACCCGCGGTACTGTTGAAGAAATACTAATATTTTATTAAACAAGGCTTATACCTGTGGGTTTATAATTTAAACATTGTTTTACAATTGCTTTAAAAAAAATCAACTTACACCGGGCACTTTTACAGCCTTTGAGCTTCTCTACAGCACCGCCACTTTAACAAGAGACATGTACACTTTACTCAGAAAAACTGCGGAGACTGGCAGGACAGTCCACCCTTCACGACCATCGCCATTTAAACTGAATTTTTCGTATGTTGATGTCCTGAAATAATCAGCGTTGGTCGAGAAAAGTATGCTTGTGAGACAGTTTCACTATCTTAGAAAATATTCCATGCTTCAGAAACCCTTACCGAATGCCGTCCCAATGACAAGATTTACGTAATCTATACTCAATCTGTCTCTGAGGAGGATATTTCACAACGTTAGGGCTCCAACAAGCAGGGTTCCGGCTGTATCTGGAATACCACTACATTTATTCACTTGGAGTATGGCGATGGAATGTCTGATGAGCTTTTCCCAAACTTGGGAGATGGTAGGCACTCTCTCCCTGCTGCATTAGTGACCCAGTATTGCCATTTTGTGGTTCTGGGCATGGTTTTGATTCTCTGTCAGACCGAAAGGGACCTCTATGAGCGTATCGGGCTCGCAAAAATAGTTATTTCCTCGGGGTCCATTGATCATCACAGGAGCGCCGCCAAATGAAGACCTGGCGACTGGTTTGCTATGGCGGCAAGAGGTCGCCGAAGTGGGCTCACTTGCAGCAGTCTAGTATTCACAATTCAGATTCATTTAGGGGAATGCGTAGCAGAGAACCCGTTGCTTCAAGCGTCTCCAGCAGTAGATGCAACACCGCCTCTTGGAACAGTATCGCCTTCTTCAATGCTGCGATACTTGATCGTGAACTCAACGGAGAAATTCCAAGACGGCAGCCTCAACTGCGATATGTGCTCCCCGCGAGGTGATCGAAATGCTCGATAGTTTGAGACGAGGCGCAGGATCAAGAGGACAAAGTGTACCACTCTGCCACGCAGAAGATGTCCTATTAGCTTCTTATATCGTCTGCGACAGGTTTTCGAGACTTACCCAAATATTAGTAAAAGACAGAAATAGACCCAAACGACTATCTTCAGGCTCTGAGCGAAGCGCTCACAATCGCTGTCGACGGGGTCAGGCCCAGGCCCAGGCATATAGTTGCGACAAAGATTACTGGATGACCAGAAGTTGAGCACGTCGAGTGTCATAGTGCCGCCATATGCCGCAGTGTAGATGACCACTGCGTCAGCTAGCAAGGTGAAGAACCCGGCAACCACAGGAGTACCTGTGGGTAGACGGCGAAGTCTGAGTGCGTTGAACACGGACGAGAGCCCTCCTATGACTGCCTAGCGGACTGTCAATGGATGAAGTGATGAAATGTTGAGGTACACTTTTGACCTACCGAGGCTATGACCACTGAGTAGGACTCGTTGAACCTCCATGGCGTGGTGAAGTGGCGGGGACTGTTTATGAGGGTTATTGAGATCCCGAGCACCATAAAGATGGCAAGTAATGCATCAATACACGACACCATCATCAACCATTTCATCCATTTCGCGAGTGGCGGCCTGCTCGCGCTGTCCTGGACCTCAGCGGTTTCCTCCTCGTGCTCGTCTCGCCCACTCGGCGTGCCATCGTTGCTGCCAGCAAGCAACGGCGAGCGTTCATCGGGTCTCGATTGCGAAATCTCCCCCGCCACGGTGTTGGATGGTTCAGACATATGGCAGACCAGGGTACATCCGTCTTCGGGTTTCTATCAGCAGCAGACTCTGATTCTTAGGCGGTTCAGCTGCTGCAGCTTAATGCGTAATAGGTTGGGAAGGAAAAAGAAGAGCATCAAAAGATGTCGTGTTCTTCGTTCGCCTGGAGAGCACTCGTGGTGTAGGAATGAGCGGCGGTGCTGCCTTGAAGCTGCTGCGCCACGAATCCTTCGAAACTCTCAGCACCAACGATAAATCCCGTCTGCCACACGAGATCAAGCTTGGACCCGTGTATATAGAATTCAGTCATGATCAGTATTTCTTCGGAAATCTTGAACAATCTATGAATTGGAAGGCTCCGTGTTTTCACTTGATAGATAAGCACGGGGTGCAGACTATATGGGGTTGAGCCAATGATTTCCCCGGCATTAAAGGATTTGAGTGACAACAAGCGCCAAATGTTTCTTGCTTCATATTTCATGACTGTTCCTGTTATTCTTGTCTCAGATCTCTGAAATACGAGTCTCGAGCCGCTGATAACAGGACTCAGTAAGAAGTGTTATGGCGTTGTCCTAATTTCGGTACTCTAAGTAATGGTCTCCGCAATCAACACTCTTTGATAGAGATCCGTATCTAGGTTTTCAACCACGGGTATGAAAACATGTAAAGCACTAGCTTCATATAAGGTAATTGCATTTATACCTGCGATTCCCCATAATCTCATATAGGTCCAATTGAACTCCGCGACGGTACCTGGTGGCTCTATCTCTTTTAACGAACATGCTTTACTCTCAGCCTTACATATGCTTTAAAGGCTTAATTTGTTAGTAATTCCGCGACACTTGGGAAAACCAAGACAGTTCTGGTGGGCGAGGAGTGCAAAGCGATGTGCAGACCTAAGTAATAGTACTGAACGATATTGCTGCATGAGTCCACGGTGCGGGTAACCTGTTCTCGAGGCACTTAAGCAAGCATGCGAGCTCACGTAGAACTACATTCTTACTGCAAGATCAAGTTTGCATCATACCGATCGTGGTCCATTTGACTATTTCGTCGTTGGCATCGCCCCCCTGTCCAGGGAGTAGACCGTTTAAGTCCACATAAGCTACCCAGATAGGTATACAACTTGGTCACGGGACATGCCCGAGCGTAATAGGGCACCCAGACTGGCGCCACAGCAATTGGAGATAGACAGATAAACCAGACGACTGAGCAATTCACGCTACGACGTAGTCTATCGATGCCGAGTCGCACAAGCCTCTGGTAAAGGGGGCTAACGAGGATCGCGAAGATCTTTCCCAGCAACGGCTCCTAGATAACCGCTGGAGGCTGCGAAAGCAGTTGCTTAGACTGGTGCACTGGCGTTTGTCCGGCACGTTAGCGACCAGACTCCAGATTATCGGTTTGCGGACGGTCCTGAATTGGTGTCTCCGGCTGAAGGGTAGGGTGTGGTGGGGATACCGTTCCAGGCCGAGATTTGAAGCTGCCAAGACACCTGGACAGCTAGACTGCGTACATCTGCGGAGTACCAAAACCGCCATCTGGTACATTGAGAGAGGGTCTCATTCTACGAGGGTAATTTATAGGTGACCGAGCATATTTATCATGCCCCAGACTCTACAGAGTATGAAATGCTGCGTAGGTAACCGAAGTGGCATGACTCCCCTCCCGATACAAAGGGGCCTGGTAACAGGTAACAGTTGGAAAAAGGAGATTCAGGTACAAGGACGCCGTCGCATGGTGCACGTCGGGTACCTTGCCGTAGTTCTCTTTTCTTCGCGTGGTGCAAGGGTCACTGTGGGGACGAGTCGCATGCTTGGGAGGAGAAAAAAAGGGGTCGTGGCAGGCGAGGCAGTTTTTTTTGTGGGGGAGGCGACATCGTTCATGGGTTTTGGCCATTCGCAAAAGTGCGTGCAGGAGTCATGGGCTTACCCATGGCAGCAGCGTGGGCTTTTTGGGCGCTGGTTGGCCGGCTGGCTGTGGCCAGAGAACCAGGACAAACATCAGGAGTCGAGGAGGGGCAGTTCTCGGAGGCTAAATTGGAGGGAATTGGTGGAGTGCATATCGAGATAGATTGATTGACCCTGCTAGTTGACGGAGAGGCAGTCAGGGCAGTTGTCTGACAATAAATTTCAATATGGGAATGACAGGTGTGAGGGCCGTGGGCCGATCCAAGCTCGACTCCCGCAGCCTGTCTGCTCCCTGGATGAGGACGAGGAGGCGGTATTCTTTGCCGGTGGCTTGCAACGATGGCGAAAGTCTGCAAGAGCCGAGTCAGAACGTGTCACGCTCTTGAAGATCACCTTGGCTGACTAGGCCGATGTGATGCGCCGGAAACAACGCCCAGCTCACGATTCAAACATGCAAGAATACGGTGCGCGGTGCATTGGCGACTGGTAACAATCCCCTGTTCACGGACCTGTTACTCGAGGACCCAGCCAAGGAGGGCACTATGTACCATTGTAGGTTGGCGCGGCCCCAGAAATAGAACGGCCCACCCTTCCGACACCACTGCAGACAATTGCTTTTGACAAGGCGTCGCGACCAGCAGTCCGAGGAAAGCAATCTCGTACACGACAGTATGCATCTGACATGCGGCACGCGCAAGTTGGAGCAGTTTGGCAGGAGGCATGCAAAACCCGGTGGATCACAGACGGCCTCTCCCCTTCCTGGTTCGATATGGGCTTGACATCGAACCAGATCTAGGAGATAGAGCAACCGTGCGATCCTGGACAAGGGGGGACCCTATCAGAGATACTGCGCCTTGCTGAGATGTCTGAGGAAACGCAAGGCCACGACGCTGGCTTCGGTAGAGGAAGCTGTGGAAACACCATCCTGTGTGGCATTCTCTGGCGGCTGCATTAGGTAGTCGGCGCCACGACTCGCCTATTCTGTCGAAGTTGCTCATTAGAGGGTAAGCAGAGACTTTTACTACTGTGTCCCTGGGTGGTAACTTAGCAGCCAGCTTTAGGTACTTTAGTAGGGCACCAGGAAGCGCAGAGGTGCAGGCAATGTTTCATCGGGCCATCGCATTGGATGTCGCTGGTAACGATGGGGACGACCCTTGGAAAAGTAGGCCTGTGGATGGTGTTACACATGTCAACCCCAATATCCGTGCGTTACATCTACTGCCCATCGGGGACGGCCTGGCCTGGTTGAAGGGTGTCAACTGGACTGGCAGGCTGGACAACCCAGCCCAAGGGTTCTCTGTAAAGTCAAGGTTTGGGTTGCGTCCAGGCCTTCCCGTCGTCGATGACATGCACCTATCGCTGTGTTCACTCCAAGCCAGAGCAGGTACCTCACGGCCTTGCATCGGACTGGAGGTGACGGAGACGGCAAGGACATGGATGGCAGGCAGTGGCTAACTATGTGAGTTTAGTTACCTTTTTGATGTGAATGTCACCTCGCACCAGGAAACCCCCTGAAGCTCTACAAGATTTATTGGAAAGAAGCGAGTCGCCTATGTCAGTTCATGGGCACACACAGCGCATTGCACAATTCAGAGGAGCAACCGCCCATCCCATTTCCACGCCCAAGCTCATTCGCAATGCAATGCAACTTGGCCCCTATTCGCTTTCCGCATGAGCGGACCACTTTTTTGGACGGGTCCAGCCAACGACTGCACTGGGACGAACTCGTAACTAGCACCTCAACGGGCAACCAGGGCCTGCAAAGAACCCAGGAGCGGGCAGCCCCCGGCTTTTGTCTCCCAGATAGAGACCTCCGGCAGCCTGTAGGTCCCAACCCAGCGTCTCGAGCCTCAGGTCCTCACCCTCACCTGGGCAGTCGGTAACCAACTAGAACTAGCGACAAGAATACCCGATGGACGGGGGCTGTCTCGCGTGGGAATCGCCAGCCAGACAGACGGTCAGCCGCGCCAGCCAACCGCCGGGGCTCATCGCTAATTGCCTTTGCCCCAAGTGTGCCCATGCACGACGGCCAATGTGCTGCCGCGTCAGGATGTGGAGCGCGAGGGAGGGACGTTATTTCTCGTGCTGGCTGGTAGTCAATCAATTGATTCGAGGGTGCGGATCGTCCTGCCCACGGCGGTCCCAAGCAAAGTCGCGTGCTAGCTGCAACGCGCGGCTGCAGGTACTCCCGCGGCACGCTTTCTAGGGGCCAGATACTCGCGGGCGGCCGGGGGCGCTATCACGAAGGGCAGCAATCCCTGGCGGAACTCATTAAACTTAGCGCAGCCAATTCGGGCAGTCTGCGCTGGACCCCGGTCGCCCACCCAGGCGCCCTTACCTCGTTCGGCCAGAGGAGGGCCCAGAGGAAGGCCAGAGAGGGAGAGAGGAAGTTGACGAGGCCCAGGACCCTTTCCCTCCTCTCTCTGGCCTGCCCTCCTGGCTCTGGCTGGCTGGCTGGCTGGCCCCTGTCCGGTCCTGTGGTCAGCCAGTCCAGTCCCGTCCAGCAGCTGGAGCCCGGCGCTGATCTTCGTTCGTCGGTTGACCATCCACGCTGCCCGTCCGTCTGCCTTCATCTTCGTCCTCCTCTTCCCTCTCCCTGACCTGCCCTCTCAACCTCCTGTGGTCATCCAGTCCTTTTCTCCCCCCCGCCGACCTAGTATCCGCCTTTGGATCTTCTCCAGCTTCTATTTGCCGACGCTCGTTCACTATACTTTCTTAATATTCTTACGTCTTTGAGCTTACCTAGTAGGCACTCTCACTTCCCACGGTTCGCCTGCCGACCTGCCTCATCCCAGGGGACCAGACCAGACCAGACCACCCACGGTGCAGGAGCAAACGCCGCCAGAACCCCCCCGAAGTTCGATGCCATCCTCGACTTTCTGAAGGCAGCTCCTGCTAGACAAAAAGGCCCTTGTCTGTCTGTCTATCTTCTTGACGCTCGTTTACAGCCACTTCCCCAAGCGCTCGCTTTCTTTGGAGGGAACCATATCTGCGCCATCTTTGTTCGACGTAGCCCGAACCGACGACCACTTGGCCCGCCGTGTTCGATCAAAGAATTTCTCGCGAGTCCGGCCACTCTTGCTGTCATATCGTCTCGCCCTCTGCTTCTACCCTGGCAAGCTCTGGGTAAAACTACCACCGTGCGGTTTTTCTCCCCCGCGGCACGCGCATATCTTCAGCATCTCGAGCAGCTCGTCTTACAGCATTGCTTGCCCGCAGCTCTCCCGGCTCGGCTCTTAATCACCACCATTGACCTTGACGAAACGACGACCTGTTGCACATAGTCTGCGTCCCGTATTTCTTGCTGGTTTTGTGCCACTTTCACTGTTATTTTTACAACTTGAGATACCCGCTATCTTGGGTTTGAACCTCTCCGGGACAAACTCGAGCTTCTTCAGTTTTGCCCCTTTTGGCCAACAGCTTTTCTAATATCGCGGCATTGCTTGCTATTTCACCCGGCTCGCGCATTCCAACGACACCTCGCGTCGATCGTCTGCCCCCTCGTGCCTGACCTAGGGCACGTTTAATCTTTCAAAACGGCGGTTCTATCTCACGTCTCGAGGGACAGCCTTGTCCCTCCTCATCTTCTCTCCGGGATGCAGGACCTATCTGTCTCGGGCATTCCCACGGGCCCAGCCCAGGGGTCTGCCAACCGATTTGGCCACGCCTCCAAGCCGTCGAACAGCGATACCGGCTTCTCCCACGGTGCCTTCACGTCCAACATCTCTGGATTTGCTGACCGTCACCCTCGCCGCGGCAATATTCCTTCCATCAACACCCAGCAGATGAACCAGCAAGGTCCGCCTCCCGCCAATGTTCACCAGGATATGACCACTCCCGGTACTGGCTTCGACATGCAGTTCACACCTCTGCTCCCCTCTCAGTTGCTCCTCGGCAGCCCCTTCCAGCCTGGAACCCCGGCGTTCGCGAACAACCAGTTCCAGAACATGCCCGGTTTCCAGCAGGGTCAGCAGCACGCTGGCCACCAGCAGCAGCAGAACGGAATGGGCAGCCCTGTGCAGCAGAACATGTCTCCTCAGCAATACCAGGCCATTGTCTCGCCCTCGACCTACGGTGCCCCTCAATTCTTTGCTCCCCAGTCCCCTACTGGAGGCTTCAACATGGGCGGGCAGATGCAGATGCAGCCCACTTCGCCTGTGCAGATGAGCCCGACCAACATGGTGACTGGCACCAGCAGGACCGTCTACCTCGGCAACATCCCCCCTGACACTACTGCCGAGGAGATCCTTGGCCATGTTCGAAGTGGTCAGATTGAGTCGGTGCGCCTGCTCCCCGACAAGAACTGCGCTTTCATCTCATTCCTCGACGCCAACGCTGCCACCCACTTCCACTCGGATGCAATCTTGAAAAAGCTCTGCATCAAGGGGCAGGACATCAAGATTGGCTGGGGCAAGCCTTCTCAGGTCCCCACGTCGGTCGCCCTTGCTGTCCAGCAGTCTGGCGCATCCCGAAATGTCTACCTCGGAAACCTGCCGGAGGAGATCACCGAGGAAGAGCTGCGCGAGGATCTCGGGAAGTTTGGTGCCATTGACACGGTCAAGATCGTCCGGGAGAAGAACATTGCCTTCATTCACTTTTTGTCGGTAGCCAACGCCATGAAGGCCGTTCAGCAGCTCCCACAGGAGCCCAAGTGGCAGTCCCCGCGCCGCGTGTACTACGGCAAGGACCGATGCGCCTACGTCTCCAAGACTCAGCAGCAAAATGCCGCCCAGTATCTGGGCATCAACCCTGGATACGCTCACATGCTTACCGGAGCGGACCGCGACGTCATCTCCAGTGCTCTGGCACAGCAATCCGTTGCGGCTGCTGCAGTGGCCACCACTGCTGGTGGCATCAACAACCTCGGAAACCGTACCATCTACCTTGGCAACATCCACCCCGAGACCACGATTGAGGAGATTTGCAATGTCGTCCGCGGTGGCTTGCTCCACCACATTCGGTACATTCCTGACAAGCACATCTGCTTCGTTACCTTCATCGATCCTACGGCGGCTGCTTCTTTCTACGCCCTCAGCAACCTGCAGGGCTTGATGATCCACAACCGTCGTCTGAAGATTGGATGGGGTAAGCACTCCGGACCGCTCCCCCCTGCCATTGCCCTGGCAGTCAGCGGCGGTGCATCGCGAAATGTGTACATCGGCAACCTGGACGACACCTGGACCGAGGAGCGCCTGAGGCAGGACTTCTCCGAGTTCGGCGAAATTGAGCTGGTCAACACGCTGCGTGAGAAGAGCTGTGCTTTCGTCAACTTCACCAACATTGCCAATGCCATCAAGGCTATCGAGGCCATCCGCAGCAAGGACGACTACAAGAAGTTCAAGGTGAACTTTGGCAAGGACCGATGTGGAAACCAGCCAAGGCAGCTCCAGCAGAACCAGTCTCCCCGCGATGGCGCCTCCCCACCCCCCAACGGTAACCCGAGCGGCACGTCCCCCACTGGTGCCACCTCGCCTCAGTCTGCTGGCAGCCCGACCAACATGTTTGCCAATGGCAACAACCCGCTGACGGTGTACTTGAGCCAAGTTTCGCAGCAGGCCCAGCAACAGCAGCACCAGCAGCACAACATGCTCGCTTCCCAGCAGGCCGCTCTGTTCGGCACGGCGTCTTCGTCGCCCAACGAGCTCAGCCTCGAGCTGCCTTCGCAGGGACACATGTCTGGTCACGGCCAGTCTGCCAGCATCTCCAACGGCTATGCTGCATCGAACGGCACCCCGACTTCGACCACCATCGGCGGCCTTCTGGCCCCAGCCCCCCGCGGCTCGCACAACCGCGCTGTCAGTCTGCCCGTGTTCAACCCCGGATTCGAGAACGGAGGCAACAGCCCGGTCAGTGCCCTTGGCACCAACGAGGGCGAGCGCCGGGGCCACCAGTACCAGTCCAGCTTTGGCGGCATGGGCTCCGGTTTTGGCCTCGCCATTCAGGGTGGATTGAACGGCTGGGTCGAAGAGGAGGTCGCCAACTAGACGGAAGACGATCTTGAAGGGATGAAGGCCAGGAAAGATTTTAATATGTTGTAATTGCATTGGTTTCTGTTTCGCAGGGCTCTTTGGTTTTGCTTCGGTCACGGTCGCGCTGCTTTTATGTATTATGTTCTAAAAACACACCTTGGGTTATCTTTTCCTGGTCTGTCGACCCTGGCAGATGGAGAACGCTCGGCCTAGTCTGATATTTTGGCGAGCACTGGTGCTGGGCAGACGTGAGCGGATGGTGGGATTGTGTATTTGGGTCTCTGGGTCAGGGAGACGTGCATCCAGATGTCTCGAGGGTGGGAGGATGCAGTACGTGGTGCACAGGGGAATCCACGGGGTGGATCCATAATAGGTATATCGAGGTATACAAATGGAAGATGGATATCGATTTGCATGTCAGCTTTGACTTGTGTGCTCGGCAACAAGGCGTACCAAGCAGGGACAGTCTTTATGCAGAATGGCGGGGAATATAATACCAGTTGGGAAAGACGAGAGAGAGTATAGCCTTGGTGTGACGTGATTTGGGCACGCCCCTTGCCTTCCCCTTGCTTCGATAATGAGAAATGGTTCTTCATTTGCGCGGCCGGTGGCTGTATACGTGCTACACCCTTTACAGTTTTAGAACCCATGGTGTCTTGGCCAATGGCCAGTATCTACCATGGTAGTTAGTGATTGTAGATACCCGGCCCGCTCCCATGTCCCATGTCCCATGTGCCATGTCTCCAGGTGAACTATAATTGAGAATCTATCGGCCCCATGTATTCGTAAGATGGCCAACTTGCTACCCATCTGATTGAACGCTGAGCTTCGGAACTGGATGCGGTAATGCATAGTGAAACTCTGGGCGGCTCGAGAAGACTGATGAGACAGCGGCATGACCCCCTTACATAGATAGATAGATAGATAGATAGATAGACAGATACAAAGCCAGGTACTCCATAGATAGAGAGTTAAGAGTCAGAGGCGGTGGCAGCTCGGGCCTCGTCGGCCACCACGTTTTGGATCGGGGATCATTGGGGTCCACGGGTGAGTCATGGCAGCCAATTGCCATTGATAAAAGAGCGCTAACTTATCAGTTGCTGTCCAAGGAGAGCGAGAGCGAGAGCGACACTGACTGCCCAGGGGCCCAGGTGATGGATGACTGACTGACTGACGAGCCTAAGTTACCCAGTCGAGCCGGTACGCATACAAGAGGCGCTGGATAATTTCGAACCCCACCATTGCATTGACCGACCGCCTGCTGGCCCCCTCCAAACCCGATCCAATTCAATTCGGGCTCGCAGTTCACCCCGCCAAACCAGACCCAAGAAAAAACAAAAAAAACACCAGACGGGCATCCGCGAGAGTCTCCTTCCACGACAGAGCACACAGCGCCACGGCGTCAGCGACCACAGCACCAGACCGACAGAGCATCCGATACCCTGCGGCGGCACTCGCGAGCACCAGAATGGCTGCCGTCCAAGAGCTGGCCGAGCGCCTCAAGAGCGACGATAAGGTCTACGTAGACACAGACGCCGTAAGACCACATGGATCCCCTCCCGGCGCGCGCAGAGATCATGGCTAAACAAGCAAACCCCACGCCCAGGGCGCAGACGATGCCGCCGCCGACGGCTCCGAGGCCAAGCCCTTCAAGTCGCTGGCCTACGCCTACATCCAGCACATCGACAAGCCCGCCCCGCACTACCAGACCCGCGCCTCCGTCACGGGCCCTGTCGGCCCCGACGAGGACCCCTCGGTGCGCCTGCTGTGGAAGGACCCGGCCAAGAGCGCCGTCAAGAAGGCCGACGGCGCCGTCGCCGCCCACAAGAAGAAGCTCCAGAAGCAGGCGCAGGCCGCCGTCGAGGAGGAGAAGCAGCGCAAGCAGCGCCTGGCCAACCTCGACGAGGCCAAGAAGATCGTCCTGAAGGAGGACCCCGCCCTGCCCAAGGCCCTCAAGATCAAGATCGGCCGCAAGGACATCGACCTCGGCGAGGGCGAGACCAAGGGCACCCGCGTCAAGGTCATGGGCCGCATCCACCGCCTGCGCCCCCAGAAGCAGGCCACCTTCATCACCCTGGTCGACGGCTACGGCCACCTCCAGTGCGTGCTCCAGGCCGGCGACCTGACCAAGACCTACGACGCCCTGACCTTTGCCCAGGGCACCTCGCTGGCCCTGTACGGCGAGATGCGCAAGGTCCCCGCCGGCCAGAGCGCTCCCGACAACCGCGAGCTCCACGTCGACTACTACCAGGTCCTGGGCGCCTCGCCGAGCGACGACGACGCCATCACCAACCGCGTCTCGGCCCAGCAGAACCAGTGGGACCCCCAGATGCTGGACCAGCGCCACCTGGTGCTCCGAGGTGACAACGCCGCCGGGCTCATGAAGATCCGGGCCGCCGTCGAGCGCGCCTTCCAGAAGGTCTACGACGACCTGGAGCTCACCAAGGTCGCACCCCCGGCCCTGGTGCAGACCCAGGTAGAGGGCGGCGCCACCCTGTTCAGCGCCCCTTACTACGACGAGACCGCCTACCTCACCCAGTCGTCCCAGCTCTACCTCGAGACCGTCCTGCCCAGCCTGGGCGATGTCTACTGTATCGAGAAGTCCTTCCGTGCCGAGAAGAGTTTGACCCGTCGCCATCTCTCCGAGTACACGCACGTGGAGGCCGAGCTGGACTACATAGACTTTGACGACCTCCTGGCCCACTTGGAGGAGGTCATCTGCCGCGTCATCGACATCGTGCTCGAGAACCCCACCATCGCTGCCCTCCTGAAGGAGCTCAACCCGACCTTCGTGAAGCCCTCGCGGCCGTTCCTGCGCATGAAGTACACCGACGCCATCGAGTGGCTCAACAAGCAGGACCCGCCCATTCTCAACGAAGAGGGCAACCCGCACGTCTTCGGCGACGACATCGCCGAGGCTGCCGAGCGCAAGATGACCGACGCCATCAACCGCCCCATCTTCCTTACCCACTTCCCCGTCGAGATCAAGGCCTTCTACATGAAGAAGGACCCGTCCGACCTGCGCGTCACCGAGAGTGTCGACTGCCTGATGCCCGGCGTCGGCGAGATTGTGGGCGGCAGCATGAGAATGGAGGGCTACGAGGAGTTGATGCAGGCCTACAAGAACCAGGGTATTGACTCCAAGGACTACTACTGGTACACTGACCAGCGAAAGTGAGTTTTCCATCACCAGATAAAGACCATTATTGGCCATTCTTGACCACACTTTACTAACCACCCACCAGGTACGGAACCTCCCCCCACGGTGGATACGGTCTTGGTCTCGAGCGTTTCCTGGCTTGGATCGCTAACCAGCACACCGTCCGAACGACATGTCTGTACCCCCGTTTCATGGGCCGTTGCAAGCCTTAAAAAGGAAGGATATATCACTGATGAAAGAGCTTGCCGTGCTTGACATACTACTCTGAGCGGGAAGATGGCAGATTAGACCCTGGTTGCGGGGGGGAAAAAATCTTTGGGACAGCTAGCGAGCAAGGTGCGTGTTAGACGTCAACGTGCTCAAGAAGAATAGACTTGATTCAGCCCTGGGATTGCCGTTCCTTGATATTTATGCAATCAGCTGGAACCGAGATGTGAAAGTCATGTCGGCCGCAAGAATAAACTTTTGCCAGAATAGAGCTTCAAAACTATATTATAGGTGCTATATTGATAGGGATGATATGTGATCTGCCTAGAGACAAAATAGTACTCTCGTGTCCCCTCATTAGAATACTTTCTCAGACAAATATTAGGTATACAAAAATACAGCTATCCTATACACCTATTCTGTCTCTCTCTCTCTCTCTCTCTCTCTCTCTCTCTCTCTCTCTCTCTCTCTCTCTGTCTCTCTCTCTCTCTCTCTCTCTCTCTCTCTTTCTCTCTCTCTCTCTCTCGCTATATTCTTAGTAAGGCGCGCAGGATGTGTATACTCTTTCTGATGCTCACTTTGGTTCGATACAGCATATCTGCGACAAATCAGTATAAAGCGTGGCATATGTATAAATCTGAGGAGTTAGTATACTAATCGAAATGCGGGGAACCGGTTGGTCTAGTAGCTGCTCTGGTCATAACGCGTCGGCTAATGACGTTACGAGTATACCTTAAGTTGAGGCAACCTGATTTTCTCCTTGTGTTGGGATGAATAGGCGTAGGCGATATGTACGACGTAGATTTTCCAACACTAGATGAGATGTGTTCACTCATGGTAATGTGAGGCAGAGAATCAGTAGTTTCTTGCAAGGACCTTCTGTTTCATCGCCGCTACGGCACTACTCATGACATCGTCGAGTTCAGAAAAACGGTTTGCCCGTGACATTGGTATAGTCTGCAAATCCAAGAGTCGACGCGTGGCGCTGAATGGGGGCTTCCTGCCATCTGCCCAAACAAGTCCCCGTGAAATTAGCCACCCAGAACTCGCCCACTCCCAGCGCAAGGTCTGTGTGGTTCCGGCCCCAGTCTTCTTTCATAGCTATACCAAATGATTTGTCAACTACCGAAGTAGAATCGACCTCTACTATGGTCTGGACCCTCGGGCCCACAGCGCACATCCAGTCCGCGCTCTTGAGGGGCGTGCTCGTGTAGACCCCGCAGGCCGTCTTGACCGTCTCCAAGGCCGAGACAACCACGAGCGTCGCCATCGACAGCACCACCATGATACTGTATGCCTTGTACCACCAGTGGGAGGCGCACGGGATGATGGTCGAGTCCGTCTGGCTGCGAACGAGGTAGTATGCGTATATGGCGATGGTTGCCGCGAGCAGCGCGAAGTAGAACGTACCGCCGACGAAAGACGTCGCCGTTGTGATCCACCTGTCGTGAAAGAACGTCCACGATCCGGCCAGTACCCACAGCCCCAGTAACAGAAGGAGATAAAACACCTGGAACAGTCGGTTGGCCCAATGAGAACTGGGTCTAAAACGTGAATGCTGGGCTGCACCATTCCACGGCTCCTGCGTCAACAGAAGGCTATCCACGGACCCCCTTGCGCCTCCTGCCACATGGCCGTTTATTTCGCTAGTCTCTGGTTCGTCTTTCGATGAGAAGACAAAGTCCTCGGTCAACCACAGGCCCGGAAGGAGACGCAGCAGGCCAATGATGGCCAGCGGTCCAAACATCGAGTCGAGAGCTACCACCTGGAGGACTTGGGACGTGCCGAGCTGACCTTCGACCAGAGACACCAGGGCCTGGATGCCTTGGATGGTGGTGATGACCGTCTTCAGCATCTCCACCGAGAAGATCCTCGTCCTCGCCGCCTCGGGCGAGAGCGTGCAGTACGGGGCACAGTTTGCCATCATGGCCTTGGACCCGTCCCAGCCGCGCTGCGTCCAGAAGAGGGCGTTGGTGGCCGCCGCGTCGAGGGGTGTCCACTGCGTGGTCCCGATACGCCGCTCCACGATGGCGCCGTAGCGGAAGATGATGGAGGTCGGGTTGAAGAGGCAGATCTGGTCGAGCCACGAGGGCCGCGTGCGGACCAGATACGACGGCCGCGGCGCGCCGGCGAACACATGGGCGATCAGGGGCGCGAAGCACAGCGTCAGCAGCGAGACCCAGTCGCCGAAGGAGTCGACATTGCTCTGGTATCGGATCGGCAGGACCTTGAGATACATCTGCGATACATTACACCGGGGATTGAATTTTTGAGAAGAAAACAGTGCAGCAAACCGATACGTCCTCGGAAAAAAGAAATTATAAGTACAAGTCTCTGCTGCAGATGATATGGGAGTTTGTCGGGTGGAGCTTCGAGGCTGAGTGCCATGGGTATCGTGCGCTCAGGGGGCTTACTATGGAGTTGACTAGCAAGGGTTGTCGCGCTGCAAAATGGTTTAGTATTGTGGATCGTCTATTTCTGGCAAACTAACTCCATGGTGGTTTGACAGGCACGAAGGCTGATGCCTGCTCGGTGTGGGCAATTAAATAGCAGGCTCATTGGCTCGTATCGAAGTTGGCTGGTGCAAAACCACCATGCTGCGTGCAGTAATATTCGATAGCTGAGTTAAGTTTAGGAATCAAATGCGCCCCTTGTTGGTGAAGTTATTTTAGAGTTAAAGGTATACAAGAAGGTGCTCCGCTATGATATGATTGGTGATTTCTAGGCTTATATAAGTAGCTTCGCACATTGCAAACTATATTGGGACTATTTCCCGTCCGCGTCTCCACTGAGATCATCAACATGCAGCTCTTAGATCTGCCGTTGGACGTCTCCCAAGGTTACCATCATTTCCAGGTTGACAAATTCGTTGAGAACCAGCCTCTCCATGTCGCATGTCGCACGTTCAGTTGCCTCTCGCTGTCTTCGAACTAGCTGCACCGACCAAGATGCCCAATGCTGTCATCGCAACCTGAATCATCGAGAGCATATTAAGACAGCCTCACCGTTACATAGTACCTCGACTAGTCTATACTGACAGAACTGTTTCCAATCCATGCATTGCAACCAGTTGAGAGTCTTGCCACATGCTCTTCAAGCATAGCGGATCGGAGAGCTGCGCTGCGCATTAAGGGGGCTGAAATACCCGAGGGCGGCACTTGCTTTTGTCTAGCAGCAATGTGGGTACGATCAACTTCGAGGTATTCCTTCCTCGTATGTGTAGGTGGTTTGTACTTAGAGCGTTACGCTTGTGTCATCGCTGGTGCGGTAGGTTTCCTGATTTGGAGATCTAGAGTACCTGCTCGTTTTGATACAGTTGTCTGATCGGGTGTTTTGATGCCTTGCAGCATAGTGGCAAAAGAATCCATTTGGGTAGCCAGCTGCCGAGACCAAATATCCACACTAGACTCTAAAGTCCTCTGTTGGTTTCTGGGATCACGCCGAACCCATCGCGGAACGTACTGAAGTTGCTTCAAATCATGCCAAATCTTCTCGGCGCGTTCTTTCGCCACCTCCGCGGAAGCACGTGCTTCTTTGCAGATTTCGAGAATTTCTTGTAAACTACTGTGCTCTTTGCTGTAGCCGTGGTTCGGAGAAGGCATAGATGTTTCAAAGGTCGTATCAAGACCCACGGCACCCTGATGCGACGCTGAATCTCCAGTTCCGGCAATGTCTTGAATTTCGAGAACCACTTTCTCGAGCGAGTCAAGCCTGAGAATGGCGGTATTGGCCGAGTCGATAATGTTTTGGATGTGTTCTAATGAGACAGATATCATGTCACCGTAAATTCTCGAAATTCCTTTGCCAGTGCGATGTCGAGTTAGGTGGTGATACCAGCTCCATTGTTGGTGTTGAACTGAGTCCAGTGATCCTTTTGCCGCTTTTTCTGACATCAGGAGACGCTCACCTGTCTCTTTGACCTGCTTGGAAAATGAGCTCAGCTCCAGCACAGCGTGACTGCAATCCGTACTGAAAAGGAGAAGCAGTCTCTTCAGAGGACTTTCTGCAGCATCTTTGGCTCCGAGTTGCGGAACCATGCTGAATTGGTCGATGTTCCGCGCTAGGCCGGCGAGCTTCTCGGGAAGGTTGGCACGTTTGTCTACGTACTTATAGATCCGTTCGTACTGGGAGTGGGCTTGCAGAACACCCATGAACTGGAGTTCTGGAGTTGGATCCGTGTTGCATACGTTTACAGGCCCCTGAGCACCAATGACTGACAGCACTGGCAGCCTACATAATCCTTGAACGGACTCGCTAATCATTGCTATGCTCCCTACCCTCAAAGCCCAGATTATTAGGCATGATGCGATTCCAACGATTACTGGAGCTCGCATAGGTAGAGACCGTCGTAGACAATTCCAATTTTGCGTTGGCATGGTTTCTTCCGGCGCAGTAGTCTCAATGTCCAGTTGAGTCTCCTCGGTTTCATCCTTACTGGCGGCACTATCAAAGCTTTCTCTCGGTGGTGTTTCAATGTCAAAGCAACTGTCTTCATCATCGGACAAATCAGGAGTGCTGAAAATACTGCCCGCTCTGATTCGATCGACGTTGATATTGCAACTTGGCCTGCGCATTGTTGCATCACTAATATCGTATTTAGACTCTCGCTTGTCAGATACCATGAGTGATAAGACATTCCTTCGTGGAGATACGGGGGACAATTGTGGAGACAGAGAAGTTGCAGAGATGCCACTGGGAGGCCATCGTGGCGACTCTGGCTCTGATCTTTGTTGTCGCATCCTCCTATGGGTAATTAAAGCCTCAACGCAGAATGGAAACTCATAGAACTCACGAGCAGAGGCAAAAAGGGAATTAAAGATTTGGTCAATCTTGATTACTAGGAAGTTCCTACCCATTTGCAAATTAGTGGCTCTGCAGATGGTCCAGCCTTTGTCGTCATTGTGCCGGACTATTCGTTGTTATCGCTCGGTTAGCGAGATGACTGCAAGCGGACCCTTCGTAATTTTCGAAAGACCTGCTAGCGAGACAAAGAAAATGATGCTGAAATCATTACCAAGAGTGATGCCAGTGACTAGCCATCTTTCTCGCGTTGTTGGTACTGACGACGTGCCGACAAAGGGCACTAGTCTTTTGGGCCTCCGTCAAAACATAGTCCAAAAATGTAGCTTCTTAATTGGGAAAAGACGGCGGAGAACGGAACACACAGTATGCCTGCTGAATATTGGCGATGATCTCTGCCTATTGCAGCCGAGGGCTGATAGTTGTGAAACCACTTTTTCAATGGTGATCGTACAACCAGAGCCGCAACTTGTTGCCATTTTTGACTCTCTCTAATTTGGCGGTTTCCTATTCGATATATTCCCGAACTCGGTACTGTAGGGTTGAATCGAGCCTGCAAGATGACGAGCAAGTCGTATTATATTGAACCGCCTTCTTCAGGGGGTTGGAGAGGCAGCCAATCTGCAAAGTGGATGCATGGCGGATCTGTGTCGGATCGATGCCCACCTATAATAAGTAAAACTAGACATGATCGACCTAGCCGATTGCTTAGATCATTTGCCCGAGGAGCGCCTATTCTCGAAACATGTGGCCTTCGAGCCTGTAATTTCCTGTTTGTAGAGATGATGCAACATCTGCAGGCCATTTCCCGCTTATTGGGTTGTCACCAAATTGCCAGCGGGGTCATCCGCGACTCTTGTGACAACATGCACAGCTGCGGCGTTATTACATTTCTCAATAATTTGGGGGCTATCTTTCATCTGTCGTGTAACCAGCTTTTATCTGCATCATGGAATGATTGACATTACAGAATGAAACATCTTCGAAAGCGGCCCGGATTCTATCCCTACAACTTGGTCAGAAGCATGCTCTTTGCAACTTCTGCTTTGGTTCGCTGTCCCTAAACTGCTCATTCTTCTTGAAGCCTTGACCTTAGTTGCCGCAACAGACCTCAAGGATGAGTAACTCGTACAAGGTTTGGGCTAAATGGACAGCTCCTGCACTTAACAGCTTGACGGTTGGCGGCAATGGCAGCAGCTGTTTCGCTATAGCTGACTGGGTCGTCGAGATCTTGGGCACAAGCGAAGAAAACGCCGGAGACATGGCAGTCATACTAAACTTCCTGCAGTCCTTGATTCCAAGAGATTGGCCTCACAGTAACAAGACAGTCATATATCACGAGCAATTGATGACATGGTACTTCGGCGTCTGGCTCAATGACACTTACTACGACCGAAATCAAGACGCGTTAGACGGTTTATATGAAAAGATCTTCGCCACATGAACAACTTGTTTCAACTATGAAACTGGAACTTACAGAATTTGTGAGAGACTCCAGGTGCAAGGCGATCCAGATGTATTAGGAAGAGGCGTAAGTGCTATTCACCTTGAAAAGAAACCCATCGTCAATAAATGACGTACCAAAATCTAACATACCAAGATAGATGGTTGCCACGTACATTATTGGTATGGATCACAAGCGTCTACATAACTTACTGTTTTTTATTGACATTTTGTCAACAACATCAGCTGCCAGTCTCGCCACCTTGTACTTCACCATCCTCACACTTGGTCAACTTCGCCTGCTTAAAGGCGAGCGCTCTATTTTACAGAACCTGGGCTTTGGCAGGCTTGTGACAGTCTTTGAGGACTCACTGGATGGCTTCCTGGATGCCGCACTCGTTTTCGCTTCCGCAATACTTGGCGCTACTATCACTCGTTTTCATCATATTTGGTATCCTTCAGGCCCAGTGGAGGCAGACGACTTTTTGGTACTCCCTGCAATAGCGTCTGTTGTTGCTGCTATCCTCTCTGTATTCATATGCTTGACGCTCCAGACAGTTGCAACAAGCATAACGACGACTACAATCAAGACAGCTCGAACAGCTACAACAACCCAGACAACGGCAAAACACCCGCAGTGGGGCGCACTCAGATTGTTTCTGTGGACCTTTGTTATCGTTCTCAGTTTCATACTTGAATCCAAAAGCATCTCTGGTCTCACAGATGGAGGTTTCGACACCAATGGCATTCCTAGTTCAATAAATTTGCCTGGCGATGTGACTAACCGAGTTGATCTTTGGCGCAAACACTGTGATGACTTCAATTTGGTTATGTTACTCAAGAAATTAATCAAAATTGGATTCGGCTTGCAGGCTGTCAATCTGATATGGTATCTCAAGACGCTTTTTACGATGGCATTTACAATTTACTCTCATCAACGGCCAGTACCGAAATGGGCCAGATATATATTCGAACGTCTCACCCCTTCCGAAAATGCTTGGGAAACGATATCTTTAGGCTTACGAACGCTAATGGGAACCATATGCGTGGTAGCGATGTGGGTCTTGATCGACTATTTTATGAAGTATAGGCGTAGCTTTAGAGCCGCAGCATCAGACTCGGATAAGGATTCCGAATGGAGTTTCGGTCAAGTTCTCGCTTTGGCGCAATGGGCCCCTACCATCCTAACATTTATTGATATTTTACTACGTAAGTCTCTGGAGTGCGTCGCACGTTATAACATTCTACTCACCTTCTGTTCGTTTCTCAGGTCGCTTGAAACAACCTTACCAGACTGTTCACGAGACTCGGGACGAAGAAATGGAATTATTTACCGCGAGGACTTGAATACTGAAGGTCGGTGAATTGAAGTCAAGGTTTTGTGGTATGCGTTTCAGTCAATTGGGCACACAATGGCACCATCGAAATTGAGATTTAGGGAAAAGAGGGGTGGCGGCTGGTACTTACCAAGCCAGGATAGTGCCCGTGTCCATCCCTTATCCTTCGCATGTGCATTGGTTCTCTCATTTCTGAAAACTTTCTTATAGGTGGCGTAGCGTCTCCTCCAACGAATTGTGTACACTTTCATGCCCTTTGGACAGACTTAAATCGTAACAAGAATGGCGGCCGTTCCCAGAATGTAAGCCACTTAAAATCCTTCTCAAAAGATAATCCTTCCTGAGCAGACACAGCTTCCAAGTCAAATTACCATAAAACCTTGGCAATAAATAATCGGACGACAGCCAAGGCTATGGCCCCGCCAGGACATCCTCTCGGGCCCTGGCTGAAAGGTTTGGAGGCTAACAAGTTGTCGTCTTGGTATTGAGGATCAAATCTCGGGTGATCTGACGACAACCACCGTTCTGGGCGAAACTTAAGCGGCTCAGAAAAGAAGCATAGGTTCCTTGCCGCAGAAAATAGCTGATTTGGCATATGACCTAATTTTGATCCCGTGTAAGCCTCCAGGCGTGCGTTTGCAAAGGATATTGTGGATCCAGAATGGGATAGCAAGACCTACTCCTTTAGGAATATACACCCCGTCCACAATAGCACCAGGACATTCCTCGTGCTAAATGCAGGCGTAAATGTCTTTGAAATCCCACGGTGCTTTACGGGATTGGTCTCTCCTGATATTCCACCGTCGCCGGTATCCAAGGCATCATAACCGACTTGTACAAACAGCTCGAGATTCTTCTCTTGCGATAGATATATATCTGTTATGGACACACTAATGAGTATGGTAACTAAATTGCAGTAAACTCGCCTTAGTCAGTCTGACCTCTTGCTGCCTGGGGCGTTAGGAAAACGAGTTCATTAGGAGCAATACGAACAATGTCACCTGTAAGAGCGTCAGTTACGTATGATTGGTAAGGCTAGCAGCGATGGGCATTATCATATTGCTTGAGAGCATTCTCGACTATCCACGGATACCTTCCCGTAGTCCTATGGAAGGCAGTACGCCAAAATAAACCGCGATCAGGATATTCGTTTCTCGAGAATTGAGAAGTGTAACAATTGCTGAGATGTACATGATGGTGAGGAATGACGCATACCTGGCATAAGCCCACCAAATGTCGGTGGCAGCGGCAAGCTTCGGGGCTGGGTACTTGGAAAGCGGGTGAAAGTAGAGATTGTAAATCACGCGGCCTATATAGTAGGCGACAGCCTGGTTTAGATAATATCAGACTCAGACCAGTGGAACTTGCTCTCATGCGGGCAAGATTTACCAGTGTAGCAACAGGGGGCAGAATTTGGCTGAAGGCCTCATTGCTGCCAAACCGCCCCCAAAAATAGTGTTGCGATGCCATGTTCGGCTCGCCCTGCACTTGCATGAAGTTCGGGCTGCGACTACTAGTCATCGGCCATGCAGGGGTTCAGGAGATTAGAAAGAGGTGGACTGTAATGTAATCCCACGGTACGCCCAGATTGGGCCTTACCATGAAGTTAAATGGAAATTGAAGGGTTCCTAGGAGGCAAGGGTCACCTCCCTCCCAACGAGTTTGCTGTGTCAAATTCGTGGCCTGACCTCTAGCCTTGCACGGGTGGGCACTGCCCTGCGGCAAAGCACTGTTCTGATACATGCCAGGGAATAAGCATCACTGGCGTGGCGTTGGGCGGGATAGCCACCAGCTCTCGTTAATCATCAAACTGTATCCTCCAAGATCCTTTCCCTAGTAGCCAAGAATCCTGGGGAGGCATTGGACTGACCTCCTCGAAATAATTTGCTTGTCCAAGCAACAGAAGGTCGCCATGCACACCCCACCCTCGCATTTCCCCCAACCAATATGTTGCCTACTCGTGGTTACAATCATCACAGCCCATATAGCGCCCCGAAGTGATTCGTACGACATTGTGAACGGCGACACAGTTGACCAAGTCGGCAAGACCATAGAGTATGCATTCGACAGCATTGTTAATGACCTATCCGAGGGGGTTTTGTGGCTATCTCCATCATCATAGTCCTGCTATGTACTGTGGCGACGATGCGTCGTCTCTTTCTCTAAAGCCTTCAGGTACAAGGTATCGCTAGGATGACCTCTTCGCTTCTCTGGCTCTCCTCTTCCTTCTCGTCTACGCATGCACGCCATTCATTGGCGAGTATGACTACTAGCTACGGAGATATTGTCTTGTCTTATTGTCCTCGACTGTTAGGCGTGGATGTCGCAGGCGACTTGACCGAGGACGAATATAGCTATATTGTTGGCCAAGGTGTGGTTTTGCTCTTCCGGGCCCGACCATCAGAAGAAATATTGAACTGTAGGCTATCTGTCATCCATAGAGGCGCGACCATTTCATCGCAAGCCCGTGAACTCGAACGGCAGACATTCCCTCGGTAAGTTTTGGGTTAGCTACTTCTCACTCTAGTTTACTATCTCTGCCATAGTCCCTTAATTTACTTCCTGGCCTTGCGTTGGATCGGTACTTAGAGTAGAGCTTTTTACAGATAGCTCTTTTGACCTCGAAATCTTTTTGGACTTTTCCCTTTCCTTCGCTGGGTTGGATTGAAAAGTTCTTCTGAGTTATGGCCGTCTAGTTACGTTTATGCATACCCTCTCGGTCGCTGAGCTTGCTGCGATCTTGTATCCAAAACCCGGCTTGCACCTACGTGGCCGTCATAGATCGGTGTAACACTGTAAGCATATCAAGCGGGGTAGCCACTAACCTAGGGATGTTTATACTGCCCATGCTGACAAACGCATTGACGGACAATCATGCTCTATTAGCAGTCTCAATCAGGTTCGATTTCCAAAGTCTCGTATCGAAAACGATCGTCATGGCATCCTCGGTCATTGTTTTTGGCCCGACAGGCCAAGTGGGATCCGTCGTTGCCCGTACGGCCGCCGAGCAGGGCGTCGATGTCTGGCTCGCCATGCGAGACCCGACTAAGAACATCCGCGGAATCGGGAAAGACCAGGAGGACTCGGCCAGCTTCCGCAGGATCCAAGCCGACCTGCAGGAACCCGAGACAGTAACCCAAGCCGTCAAGATGTCTGGAGCTAAGCGTGCCTTCATCTACCTCGTCCACGGCGCACCAGACCACTTGCAGGGTGCCATCTTGGCCATGAAGGCTGCCGGCATCGAGTTCGTCGTCTTGCTGAGCAGCTTCACCATCCTGACCAACCAGCCTCTGCGTGATATTCCCCCTTCCGAACTCCTGGCCCACGTGCACGGGCAGGTCGAGGCAAACCTGCACGACACGTTCGGTCCGGACCATTACACCGCCGTACGCAGCGGGTGCTTCGCCACAAACCTCCTGGCCGAGAGGAGCGGCATCGTCGCCAACGACGTGAAACTGTACGGTGGCACGTTTGAGCAGGACAATATCGTACCCAGCGATATTGGCAAAGTTATCGGCAACATTCTCGTCTCCGGTCCTCGCAATGGCCAAAATAATATCGTCTATCTCTATGGACCCAAGATCCGATCCATACACGAGAGCATCGTCACTATTGGAAAGGTGCTAGGCAAGGACCTGTCCATCACGACACTAGGGCCTAAGGAAGGGTACGACAATTACATTACTCATGGCATGACGCCCCAATACGCGGAATTTATGGTCAGAACATTAAGTACAAAGGGGCCGGATAAAGGGCACGGTGAGCGGTTTCCAAGATACGAGGAGGGTGTGAGCAACGTGAAGCTTTACACTGGTAAGCCGGCTACCACTCTCGACGATTGGGTCAAGGAGAACAAGGTGATTTTTGAGACGTGATAAGCATTATAAAGGATGATGTTTTGGTAAATGAGGCAAATGAAGACGAGTATTAAGACTAAGTATGCAAATTACAACCCTTGTCAACCCATCTCGGACTGCTATCATATCAGCCCATCTGCGGTGTTCCGCAAATATTTACCAAACGGAAGATGGCGATCAAAAAGGTGATGATCTAGTTAGTATCGCCAGCTGCTACCAAGTTTGAAAATTTTCAGGCCCACCAACTGTATGTTGTACTCTTCCTAGGTTGCGCAGGTTGCAACTACAATACATATACGAGGCTTAGAGTAGATCCGCTATCGAAATCAGTCTTCATTCTTTGAAAACCAATCTTCAGACTGATTGGTATTCACAAACAATCTTCCACCCTTTCAACAAGTCAAAACGTCGTCAAAAATCTCCTCGGCAGACGCCGCCGGGTCATGGTCGATCTGCAACGCAGCCGGCTTGTTGCGGACCAGCTCCGGCTTCTTCTTGACCACCTCGTGGTCGACCTGCTGGTTTCTCTTGGGGAATCGCAAGCCCGTGGCCTTGATGACCTCACACCGATCGACTCCCGGCGCGTTGTGCACGCGAGCCTCGTCAGGCAGTGCACTCGCCAACTGCAGGCACCGAGCCAATGATGCGCCTTCCCCGAGCGTCTGGGTCGCGCTGTCAACTATCATGGGGAGGGACGGGTGTGCGGGGTACATATTCAACACGATGCTACATATACCCATTGTTTCCGAAGCATGAGCCATGCGCGGAGTATTGCCCAGCTCACAGTGAAACGAGAAAGGATGTATAAAGTTGAGGATATGCGAGCTAGCTCGTTTTGATTTCGATAGCATCTAGCAGCCATTCAGCATTGATATTTACTGATTCTTCATGTATATATCGGTTTACTCGAAAAGCTCGCGTATTAGGTTGTAGTAGATGTCGCGTCTCAATTACGAATTCTTCTAGAGGGTTTTCAATGGCGAGCTTTGAGGCCAGTGACTTTTGCTACGGCCCAGCAGCAATCCTGCGTGGCCAGATGAAAAAACCCGTACTCATTATTCGGGCTCGGCTGCTTCTGGAAAGAAGGGTGCTAAGTCAAAATCTGCCAGTGGAATTGTGCTCTTTTACAGATCAGAGTATCTCAGAATTTCGCAATAAGTCCAGTCGAGGCCACAGCAACATCCTTGGAATACGCCGAATACGTGTCACGTCACGTACGATTCCGGCTTATTGTTGGTGATAATCCAAGCAGTTGGCAATACGAGTCGAGATGGAATGTTGGCAGTTGGTCAAGTCTATGGAATGTAAGATCTCGGTAGTAGCAAAAAAGCATCATAGGCTATGAAGGCATCTTGTCAGGTAGGACTACGCTACCTTCCTAGAGCGACCTGCACTCCTGTTGGTTGAATCCTCGTGAGGCACAGCCCCGCGTGGCTGTAAACCCCCAACATTTAAAGGTGGTCATACTCATTTTTACCACCACTCTCTAACCTCCAACTTTCCAACTCCAACGTTGGTGGTCCTCATCGCGTTTTCTTTGTGCATAACGTAAGTACTTATTAATGCCTATCTGCTGCTGTCCTTCTGGTTTACCTATTTGTCCATGTCTTACTTTGCCATTCGTATTATCATCAGATTCGCGTGCTATAACAAGTATTTTCTTGAAGGTCACACTCTACTCGAGATCAGTAGTACCCCGAAAGTTCGCCCGATCATCTATATATAATCAAGATCACACTTCAGCAAGGATGGCAACCGGCACACAAATTACTAAGGTCGTTTCCCTGTTCTTTGGGCCCATACGCAAGGATGTGGAGGAAAAGATGAACGGAAGGCCCATGTCGTGGGCCGAAGTGAAAGACATGGATTCGGATAACGACAAATACCACAAGGAAAAGGGTCCGGATGGAGAACGAGGAGACCTACTCCCGGAGATCTACGCGAACGACGTGAAGTCATGGCTTTCCAAGGACGATCGAGGAAGCCTTCTCTTGGTCTCCAGCCACCAGTCACTGTGCGTGGCACTGAAGGACCATAAAATCGCCTTCACTCCGGTGATGCCTGAAGAAGCGGGATTGCCAGCGTGGAGAACTATGTCCGAGAAAAACCCCCAATATACCAAATACGAGGATCGTATTCCCAACTGGTACACGGAGAAAAAGAAGTGGTGTGAACAGAAGGGCGTTGCAATTAGCTACGTACCGATGGCGAGATGCAACTCTTTAGGCCTTATTGAGCATTTGAATTCGTTGAAGTGATAGTTTTGGATGGTTGGGCTCAGCAGTGAAGGTACTGATCTTTTGCCGACAGTTTTATTCTTCTTTTTTTGTGCGAGTGTCTTGTTTTATGGTTATTGTTGTTGTTGTTCTTGTTGTTGTTGTTCTTGTTGTTGTCTGTATCATTTTAAGGGAATGGTGTGGAACGTGAAGGCTGATCCTTGTTTTCTGTTGTGTTTTGTTTGCAACCCTTTAGATCACAGATAAAGTCATAGTCATTCTCTAATAATCCAATGACGATTACAGGTCGGCATGATCAAAGTCATCAAAACCGGGCTAGATGTGTTCAGGTGTGGAATGATAATAAAGCAGATCGGAATTGACCACGATGTATAAAACCGTCAACTGAAGAGTTGACCTTGTCTTGCGAAATATCTCTCTCATTACCCTGACTGAGGTTGGTCTTGTTAAGTGGTAATCAATGCCCTTTACCTGCTAAGTGTCCAGGCGGCTTATCCTTCTATAAATATTATCTGTACCTTTTTAAAGCAACATTTTCATATCCGCGAGGCGCATTCTTCCTAAAAAGTACCTGTAAATTCCTTAGATACTGGTGGCAGACCCAAGACTAGTGTGATGAGGTGCAGATCTCTGCACACAAAAACAGAATATCGATCCGAGAACGCAACTCTTCGGGAACATCAACCTCAACTCGAAGGCTTAGGTCCACATTATCTGGGCCATAGATTCGTGATACCTAGCGCCGATTTCGGTGTATGTCCATCCAAGTCAGGCGATGCGCGATTCACCCAGTTACTTGCTTTGCCCTAGCTCAAATCTGCAAACATCAGTTTGATACCCTTCCGAAAGGGTTGATAGGACATTCAACAGATATCTGGATATCGAGGAGCTTGCTAGTAAAGGAATCGGTCTAGATAATGTCGGGGAAAAAACCTCTCGTCTGCCAACGTACAGCTCTGTCGTACCTCGAAAATTTCCATCGAGCGATGCCCAATACCACGAAGGAGTCCTGGGAATCTTGCGCCAACGGGCATTTTCTATACATTGAAGAGACAAACCCTGTCCTGAGGCCGGAACTTGGTAAACGTGGGCTTACGTTTTTTTAGGGTACAACCACAAGAAGGCGACTCTGGCTCCCTAGATAGCCGCCGAGCTCCTTGTCTGACTCACTTACCCCTAGCCGAGCGGTCTTATGCCGCTTGGCAGACTTGAGCAACTTTGCAGACTACCCACCCGTGTGTTGCTGTAGTCGATTTGTAGGGAACCCCCGGCAGGGCGCCTACACGACGAATACAAATCATCTTTTCGAGCAAGGAGCTAAGTCCTCAACCCAAGCGCTAGTCGCCAGTGTCTTTGTAGTAGCTATGCGTCTCTACTTGCTTCAAGGGCATACATGTGGGGTCGGGCTAAGCGCTGTGACCAGGGATGGACACTAATTCACATGTCAAACCCAGTGACCCGCTTGCATATTGAGCGCCTAATATCTTTTGCGTATGCTCCTATTACCGCGCGGCTGTAGAATGGAGATGTGTGCTCGTACATGTATCTCTAGAAAAGGCTTTCTTTCTCAGCGTCAAAGTCCTGATTATTAGCGCATCTTTGGTCTAGGCTGCAAGATTGCTTGGACTTCATTGGCCAGGCAGTCTGGACCCAATGCTGTCTGGTGCGCCAAATGGCTCTCTTGACATAGCTTCATTTCGTTGCTGCCTTGGCGCTCCGATATATCTGCAACGTGCAGCAGAGCTACATGAAGTAAAATAATCTGAGTTAAGATAATTGAGGCTGACTGCTACTGCCCGGTATAGAAGGAAGCACCTCGTACTACCAAGCTTATCGACCTGTCTCTACACTCTGGCCTTGAACCCCATACCTCGAAGCTTTCTTAATGCTGGTAGCAAATCTCTTAGCTCATGCCAAAGTATTTTCATCATCCATATAATGTCTACTCCGAAACCGAAGCCAAGCACCGTCCAGACCCGTCAAGCTATACTTGCAGTTGCCCACGCTCTAGGTGATCTGAAGTATGCTGTGGTTGGTGGAGGTGCTTGCGCTATGCTAGGCTCTATGCGAGAGACGGAAGATGTGGACTTTGTCGTGCCCATGAATGGCACCAAGAATGCAAGGGACCGTCTCAAGCGCAACCCCATTTACTTCGAGGTCGAGAAGAAGACCTTGCATACCTCTTTCAAGAGCGACCCCAAAGTCGAAATTGAGATTCTCACCCCTCCCGTTCTCTTTAAAGAAGAATTTACCGAGTCAACGCCGACAATCATAATCAAGGGCGTTAAAATTTTAAAACCAGCACTAATCTTGAATGCTAAGTGCCGATCCATGCTGGGAAGACATACCAACGCAAAGAAACAAACCGATGCGGACGACATACTATTTCTGCTTGAGTGGTGCTATCAGAACCAGATGCTTCCGACTGGTACTGAGGTCCCGAACGCGACCAAGGATTTTGTGCTCTACTTCATGAGTATCCACGGCAATAAAAAGCTGTGGGAAGACGCTGGTTACGACTTTGTTAGTATTTATGATACATGGCTCATCATTACTTACTGCCAACGCTCCTTCACGCATACTAATCATTATTCGAGAGATAGCACAAGGGAACGTTTCCCCATTAGAGTTTAATGCGTTAGGATTTACGTTCAAGGAGCGGTGCTCCACAATTGGGCTGGGCACGGTATAATGGTTAATTCTGGGGTATGCGGGAACGTATATCAGTGGAGGAACTCTAGGATGGAGTAACACAATAATGGGGAATCCGCTAAATAGTACAGAGTTTCCCATGTACCCTTCCTCTTTTTCAAATTCTTGCGAATGCGGTTCCATGTGAATCCTTCACGATTCCGCGAGTGCGTCCCGAAACTTACGTTGACGGTTAATTGCAGGAATGGTGGTCACTAGCATACCATTGACTCCGTCATGGTGAAAATGCCGATTGGTAGGACTCAGGCTTGCCGCAAAGTCAGGGTGTCTTAGAGGCGCCACTTCAGAGTACAAAGCGCATATGTAAACACCCAGACGGACCTGTAGAAAAGTCCCGTCGGGCGAGTCCAGTATCGCGGTGATTAAGGAGTTGACGAGCATCTCGAGCGGAGGAAACATGGATTTGTTACCATGGAGAGAGACGTGCCAAAAGTCGGCTGAAAAAAGTACGAGTTCAGGCTGTCTTTCCACCACTTGATCAGGAGGCAAAGGGGGCCACGGCTCCACTGGATCTTCCACCCAGTCCGGAGGTAACAAGCGGCGATAGCTAGAAGGAGGTAAGTCTGAGAGGAATGATCTCAGATCACGTGGCCGCGGTTGATACAATGTCCATCCTTGCAGCTGGAGTGCTTCGGCGGCGGTGTCAATCGATGGGACGATGATGTGAAGTCGGAACAAGACAGTGTTCATGCCGTAGTACCCAAGCGCGTCCTCGAGCCATACGACGGCTGGGATATCGTTACGTTGAAGGACCCGGTAGGCTTCGTATCTCGAAGGGTCGCCCATTGTGTGTGTGGAATGAGAAGTCCGGTGCAGAAGAGTAGAAGACGAAACTTTTCTACTCAGTTCAAAAGTCGACTCTTCTGCTGATTTGAGGACGTTGCAGCAAAGCTGAGTTTCAAGGTTGGGCGTTGTTTGGCTGGAATGCCCTGCCCAGGTGTTGGATGGATGGAACCTCGACTTGCGCGTTGCATTCCATGCACTCGCACAGCCACCGTGCCTTTTCAATCCATCTGATGGCCCATTTCCGGCTTTTGAGGTCTGGCGTTGATCACATGGGGCGCACTGGGCAAATCTCCGCCACGTGACGCCGCATCGGGCAGAGCAACAGCGTTCCCTTTGCGGATTACTAAGCCAGACCTAGAAGCCCCGGTTTTACTGTGACGGAGAGATCCTTAGACTGGAAAACCGTCGCAGTAATTGACTCTTGTTAGACTACTTAGCTGTACGCGGATAATACATCCAGCATGTACTTGAAATTCATATGTTCGATGCCGCGCATACTTACCTCTGTATTCCTGCCTGTCGGTACTTGTCTTCCTGCCTCACAACTTACGACCACTTCAACATTCAGTCGTTGATCGCATATCGCCATAGAAATGTACCTTTTGTGCAGCCCAAGTCTCTTTCACACAAGGACTTTCTTACCACAGTAGAAAACAACGAAATGTTCTTGCGTCAGAGTCTCTGCGCCAGTGAGTCTCGAAGATTGGAAGGCTCACCCCTCTGCAAGCTGAATTGAATTGCCAATTCGCTGGGCGTAATTTCTGGAATCTCCAGGGTTTGGGTGAGCACTCAGTCTTTGGTTCACTGTTGGGGGCTTTTTCCTTACTCTCTACTGCCAAGATTGCAGACGGTTGCAGGGCTGTTTTTCACTCCTTTTCTGAATCTTTTGCGGTTCAAGTGACCCTGGTCCGTCATTGCTGGGATGAGTACCCAGTCAGGCGGGTTTTGACGATGGTGGCACCCACTGCCTGCGAACCAGGCAGCTGCCGAGGTGGGCTGACCAGGTAGATACCCTGCACATCCAGACGCTCGTACCTAATCAATCTCAGCGGCACAGTCGAAAGTGCCGGACGAACAAGGTGCGCTCTGTACTGGGGGACCCTGGAGGCATTCCAGATGACCACAGAGAACTTCTCAATGCAGCCCCTCCTTCAGCTGGTTCCCTTTTTGATTTTCAAGTCACTCGCTGCCAATGTCAATTCAAACGGCTCTGTACCAGACGTCTATGCGCCACAACACGAGACTAGGCGGGGACCAGAGCTTACATGGATACCTGTGAGGGATTCCGTAACGCCCGACGGCGCGGTGTCTGACATTGTCTGCATTACGCGCACGTGACCGAGTACACCGAGCATCGATCCCATTAGACAAGGTTCGTTACCTGATCTACGCGACGACATCAGGTCCGCAACCCGGGTGCCATGATAGCCACCGCAGGCGTCCCAGAGACGGAGATGGCGTCAGTGCCGATTCGTGCCAAGAATCACTGGGTGGCGACGGCGGAGGAGTGGGACGCGCAGAAGGAACAGATCTTGCACCTCTACATAGAATTGAACAAACCACTGAGGCAAGTGGCGGATATTATGCGCCAAAAGCATGGATTCTGCGCCAGGTAGGTCGTCTCTCGTCCCGGAGCGGCTTGTCGACGCAATGAGCTGATGCGCAACCAGCCCCAAGCAGTATAAGCACCGTTTCAAGGTCTGGGGGATGAGAAAGAATCTGACCCGTAACGAACGCGACGATGTCTGGCTCAAAGCGGCTCGCGGCCAGGCAGCTCAACTTCCACTCGTGAAGGGAAGGCAGCTTGGCTCTCAACGGCTCAAGAACTTTATCGCCAACCGCGCCGAGGTGAGGATAGTACAACCAGGGCTACCGGAGAGTCTGAAGCTGGCCGAGAGCGCGATGCGAGCTACCGTGATCTACTCCGAGGACTGGGTCAAGCATATGGCCATAGTGAAGGATGACCTGGCCGGGGTTCGGACCAGAGGGTGGTGGGTGGACATCACGAGTGCCGCCACGAGGATAAAAGACCAGCCAGACTCGCCGGCTGGCTTTGCGATGCTGAATGACTGTTGCTCTCGGTTTCAGTCCGTCCTTCGTTACTGGGACTCCAATCTGGTACAGTGCACTTATTTCGCCTTGTTAAGCCTCGCCAACGCCGGAGAAGAGGTGGCCAGGCTGTTCATCAAGTTTGCCGCAGAGCTCTGCGCAATTGAATTGGGGCCGACACACCCGTTCACGATGCTCTGGGTCAGCATCCACGCGATGGGCATCTCGGAAGCACGGCAGGCCGAGATCCCAATTCTCACGGCCTATTTCAATATCGTCCTGGGGAATATAGATATGGGCCATCCAATGTGGCTTACGTCAAAGTATTTCTTGGGAACTTTCCTCTACCGAGCAGGCGCAGTCGACGCAAGCACTGTACTGGAGATGTTTGCATCTTCTCTAGGCCAGCTTTCGGAGCACTGCGCTGCTGGCGGCAAGTACGCGAGATACTGGGCTACCTGGAGCAACTCACTGTCGACGTTGACGTCCGAAGTCGACACCACTCTTGGGCCGCACCACGACGCATTACTAAGTATATGCCACGTGGAGGAGTGGGACAAGAACTACCAATTCACGCTGGATAATATAGAGATCGATGTCACGCAGGCCTTTGGCGCCACTGGCGAATTCGTGGATAGGGGAACGAATGCCGAACTCTTCTACCGACGCTCGCTGGACCTGGCACTTGAGCGGAAATCGCGGGGCGACCCTCGGATACTGAAGGCGTACGAGGACCTTGAGTCTTTTTACCGCCGACACTCGCAGTTCGAGGCAGCGGATGCTGTACGCATTGAGAGTCAAAATCATCCAAACTCATCCGACATTCAGCCATCGACACGAGCCAAGAGTCACAACGGGAAAGGCGTGAAGCTCGAAGGGACATCAGATGTCAAAGAAGCACAGACTGCGACGATGAAGCAAAGGGCGAAGATGAAGTAAAGACAAGTTTCGAGGGAATTCAACTTGATCCGGAGACGTCTAGAACATGCCGCTCCCTGCGAAGCGCCCCCTCGCCACTCCGTCCCCTAAGCCGCGACTTGCACCACAAAATCCTGAGGGCCCGCATAGCTCTGGTCCTGGACGCTGCCGTGGTTCGTGACCTCGAGCTCGTCGCTGGCGATCTTGTGCGTGCCCGTGACGTTCACGCCCGGGCTGACCACGGACACAGTCGTGATGCTCAGGTCCAGCCCGCCGTCCGCCGTCCTGGTCACGGCCCACGAGTACCTCGGGTCCGCACAGCCGGTCAACAGCACCTCGGGCAGGTAGTCGGGCCCGACGGGAACCAGAGCGCAGGTTGTGGCTGCATCGACGATGAATTGGTACCTGCGATCAAGGCAGGAATGCCGTCGTCAGCCTGGCTGTGGGGATTTTCGATGCGGGTAGAGTTGAGGAAAGGGGCATAGCAGGGCTGGCGGCCACTTACGAGCAGGTGAGCGAGTGCGGAATGCAGCTCGCGAAGAACTTCGTCACAGCGTACGAGGTTGGGTCCTGCGGGCACGGAATGCTGGCTCCTGATGCCGTGGCTGCCAGGAGAGTGGCGAGGGTGAGCTTGATCGATGAGAGCCTAGCCATCTTTTCTGTCATCTAGTCTTATGTGAACAGTAGGAGATGACGGGTGATGAACGCTAGAGTAAGCTGTCTATATAGCCAGAAGTTGTCGAAGGGCACAACTGCTGTGGACAAATGGTGATAGGAAATGCCAAGCTTTTATAGACCACAAAGCAAGCCCTGTTCATTGCTATTCAGCTCAGTTCAGCTCTGGTCTCATTCCCCCTTTCCTGGTGTAACAGCCATCCCAGCAGGTTTCATTCCAGCGTATCCTGCAATAGCTGCTTTAACCCCCGCCATTCGCTACCTCAGCTTAGAGCCCGCCGATAATCTCGTGTCCGGCTCGAGAGGGTCTCAGCAAGGGGGTTCCCCGATAACACAAAGTCGGCGGTGAGGTTGCCTTACTGCTGAGCCCCAGGGATCAGCCATGGAGTTTCTCGTCACTCAGCGCTCAGCTCTTGGTGAGACGAAGCTGTCGTGGCAAGAAAGTGACTCAGCCGTGATGGAAGTCATTGAAAGACACCACGGATATCTGCGGGTGCCTACATGTATGTCGCTCAGGGGGCGAGTATCCAAGGATCGCCAGCGTTGTCCCAGAAAATGTATTTTCAAGAGGCCATTGCCGCCGAGTATCCCATCGCTGTAGCTTCAGAGGCGTCTGGGAGTACTGCTTCACATCACTCGGTTCATCATTCTCATGCTGTGAAGCAAATATCTGGACCTATAGTCCGTATTCGCTTGCCTAAGCTGGAACATGGGGTTAAATACCCCACGAGGATGTGCCCTATACACTTGCACTAAACCGATGGGGCGCACTAAACGCCCAGGTGAAAGTCCTCCCTTTGATCAAACTCCTGAACGCCCTCCATATATCCTGCTGTTACGCGATTGCATGCGCAACCCTTGAATTCCAGCCTTTGCCAGCGCGTTCGTAAACCTGGGTCTATCGTCAACAAGTGCTACTCTCTCGTCCTCTCTCGAAAGGCAGCAAGCATTCTCCCAAGTCGCCGACGAAGAATGGTGAGATCACGACTCGTCCATTTTCTCATCCTCTTCGTTGTCGTCCGTAGTCTCTGGCACCGGGGCCGCACCCCCCATAATAGACACGATCCTTTCCAAGCCCTCAACCTCACCACCGCCAAGATTCCTGCCCTCACCCTGCCACTCCCCATCTCTTACTTCACCGTCCTTGCCGAGCTCAAGGCCCTGCACGGTCTCCAGATGCCGCCTCGTGGCCCCCTCTACGTACTCCAGTCGCTCGCGCCGCCAGCTACGGCTGCTGGTGTTTTCGGAAGTCTCCTCACCGCCGTCAGGCGGCGCTAGATGCGGGGACATGGTCCGTAGCGAAGTAGACAGCGCACGCAGGGCCTGCAGCTGTGAGAGCGTGAACGCGGTGGTGGTGCTTAGCGGCGTGTCTGCGCCGGCGTCCTTGAGCTGGACGACCTGTTCGTGTAGGAAGGAGAATGGGCCCCGGACCCTCTCCTCGACTCCCGGTGCGGCGGCGGCGGCGGCGGGCGGCTCCTCGTCCTTGACCTTGTCGTCCTTGACGCCGAGCAGGCTGCGCAGGTCGGACAGAAGCCGCGCATTGCGCTCCTGCTCGGCATGCAACAGGGCGTTCAGGCGCATGCTCTCGCGCAGTTTGCGGCGGAGCTGCGTTATGGACTCGACGGTTGGCTTGTCTCCGGCGACCAAGGCGTCAGCGCCCTCGGCGTGGGCGGCGGGCGACGCGGGCGACGAGAAGTCGAGACCCTCGTAGTGGCCCAGGCGGATGTAGTTCCGGACGTCGGGCCGGACGCAGAAGATGTTTCGCAGCACCCAGATCTCGAACTTGTCATAGTTGCGATCGATGCTCGCGCAGAGCAGGGTCTCGAGCTGGTGGGTGCCGGACTCGATCTCGTTCTTGGCCCGCTCGGCCGGGTCGGGCGCATCCTCGGCGGTGGCGGCGGAGGCTTTCTGCTTGGATGCTTTGAATCCCAACTTGGAGGGCGGTACACTGAACAGCGCTTGTTCGACCGAGGTGAGGGCGCGCTCGGCAAGGATGTTGACGCTGTTGATGATGTCGTCTATGAGACTCTGCAACCCAAAGCAAGCCACGTTGGTGAGCACCTGTACGCAAGACCCTGGGTGGTGGCGGCGTGCCTGGGCGAGGAGGACTTACGACTGGAGGGTATCCGAAATGCTCAGTCAAGAGCTCGGTATCCGAATTGATTGCAAGCGCCATGATGACATTGTAGGTGCAATGGAGACTGCGCGGCGTAGATTGTCGCAAACGGCGGAATGCTGGTATAGTCGGCAGTTTAGTTGGGATCCATTCAGTCGACGCGTCGGGTGTCGCGACGCCCCCAAGTCAATATCGAGTCGGGGCGGTTTTGGAGGGGTCTCAATCGATAAGGGGCCCCCTGTCAAGCGGGTTTTGGGGGGCTTCGTTACCTGTAACTCCAGGGTACATAACACATAAGTGCCTGTCCACGGTAGTTCCAATATCCAGCTATGAAACAAAAGATACCCAAAACACATTCAATTTGTTTTATTTTATAGTCACGTAAATGTCTATTTCGTCAACTGATGCCCGGTTTTGATACGTTAAAGAAGAAACTCTACAGGCCCGGACCCGGCTGGGTAGCCGACCCCCGTCTCCATGCACAGCCGGCTGGCGTGGGTTGGGTGATTGGGCGATTGGGTGATTTGGCTTGTGACTGCCGCCCAGCTGTGCTAAAGTTTAGTTCCTACGTCATACCCACCTGGGCCCAATCTGATAACATCTGGGCACATCTGGGTCTGGGGCCAGACGGCGACCGAGGCCCATTCCCGACTCCAACACCTCGCTCGACGATTCAAATGCGGTCTCTGTGCCTCGCCCCGGGTTCTATTCAGCAGAGGGTCAAGCTACCGCAGCGATGCCGGATTGGAAAGACATAGCCAAGAATGGCTGGCATCCGGAGAAGGAAGGGACCACCTTCAAGGGGCAGATGGTGAGTCGTCGGCCTGAATAGCACGACCAATCCAAGTACCGGCTTGGCCGGGCCTCACAACACGAAAAACTGACGTACGGACCCCTCAGAAAGGACTGATCGGCCGCGGCGATAGCTCTCACTCCTCAAGCGGCTCCCACGTCTCGCGCCCCATCTCCGAGCTACGGGATCCGTCCTCCTTTGGCGCGCCGCCCAAGCGGGATCCCTCACAGCCCCTGCCGGCCCCGACGGCGAGCCATGCTCCCGCCCTGGGCTCCGCCCGGCCGACGCCCCAGCCGCCGGCGCGGTCGCAGTACAGCGGCGCTAGCAGTGGCAGCAGCTCGCCCGCGGCGCAACAGGAGGAGGGCATAGCAGCGGCACCCGCGCCGTCCAAGGGCTGGCAGCTCGACACGACGGGCCTGTCGACGGCGCACCTGCCGCCCCCACCGGGCCGCAAGGACGGCGCCGACGGCCGCGCACCGCCGGCCGCTCCTCCGGCCTACTCACCCGTCCAAAAGCCCGCTGGCAAGCCGTCGCTACCGCCTCGTCTCCCGCCGAGGAGCGGCACCAGCTCGCCCGTGCGCGCGGCATCGCCGGCTCACCCTCCCGTCCAGGGTCATGCCCAGACGACTCAGGGCCAGCACGACGGGTTCCTGAACCGGGGCGCCGTGTCTCGGCTCGGCGCGGCGGGGATCTCGGTCCCGGGCCTGGGAATTGGCGGTGGGGGTACTGCGCCGCCGCCTCCGCCACCGCGCTCCCCGTCGTCCCCGTCCGCGGCCTCACCTTCACAGGGCACATCGTTTGCCCAGAAACAGGCGGCGTTCCGGACGGCTTCGCAGTTCAACAAGGACCCGTCGTCCGTATCTCTCGCGGACGCCAAGGCCGCGGCGGGCACGGCCAACAATTTCCGCCAGCGCCACGGGGAGCAGGTTGCCAGCGGGCTGCGGACGGTCAATGGGCTCGGCCAGCGGTTTGGTGTCACGGAACGTGCCAGGATTGGGAACGAGGCCGTTAACGGAGCGGCGGGCCAACAGGGAGCCGGCGGCGTGGGAGCAGCGAATGGGCTGGCGACGGTTCTGAGCGCCGCGAAGAAGAAACCACCGGCCCCGCCGCCTCCCAAGAAGAAGGCGGAACTGAGCTCGGCGCCAGTCCCCCACGACGATGCGGCACCTCCGCCCGTGCCACTGAGCACCAGACCAACGTTCTAAGGGCGCAAATTGGGCTGTGGATCAAACATGCATTTTCTAACATGCTTGGCTTTTGAGGGCGTGTGGTCTGAGTTGGTTGCTTTGCGTGCGGCATGGTGAGGGAGTCTGGTGCAAATCATATCCCTTTTTTGTAAGGCGAAAGTCACTTCAATCAAGTTATTCGAGAGGTTTCATTACCAAGAAATTGGCAAATAGGGAACTTACAATAGAGTGAGATATAGGAGTTGAAGGGGAGGGAGGGAGGGAGAATGGACATGGGAGCAAACAGAAAAAAGTCAAATAAAAACAGGTTAAAATCCAGTTTCAGTGTCCGTCCGCTAGAAAGTGAGCACAGCGAACAACAGTACGCCAGAGCGGCTGTAAGTAAACTGATAACGTGGCTATCAATAATACATCGGCTTACATACTAGCGGTTGTCTCTTATGATATGGTATAACTAAGAGGGTGAAGATATGTATAATTACCTTGACTTGTTATAAGAGCTGTCGAATAGTGTTGGTAGCCTCGCGGCGTTGAATAGTCGAGGATCTACCTGCCTATACCTGGATTATCGGCCATTGAAGGTCATTCTATCTAATGCAATGGAAACGAGATATCCACAGTGACGGAGATCCTCTGGCTGTTGTTCACCTATTCACATAATCTGGGCAGTGGAGGCACGGCGAGTATACATGTCAAGTATGAAAGTGTGGGCACCTGGTTGGTGTTGATTGGTGGCATGAATGTCATCTCGACGTGAATGAGTTTTTAAGTACTGTCCTATCGCTTGACCGGCGACATGGACAATCTATATGAGAATTTTGTGTGTCGCGTTGAAAAATCCCAAGAGATGTGCTCCTTCCCAGTTGGCCCAATTTAGACCTTCATCTCGCTCAGACCGTGCTTCCAGAAGGTGAAGTAAGGGGTGGTACCGTCCTCACGGTAGTTGAGGAGGACAACCCTGGAAGGCGTGGTTAGGACACTGTAATACGTAGAGCTATGACGCGGGGTTCTTGACTTACTGTTGGTCATCATCCTCAGTAGGACCGGCCTCACCAACGTAGCACTCGTAGTCGTCAAAGTTCTTGAGGACCTTCATGATGAAAGCCTGGCCCTTGGTCTTGAAGGCATCCTTCTCGGCATCCGAGGCGCCGGTCTCGTCCATGTGCTTCTTGACCTTCTTGATGAACGCTACAGTAGATGGGGAGTGTCAGCCAGTTGTCTGGATCCCGACATGCTCTCGGGGCGGCTAAACGTACACTTGACGTGGTTCTTGTAGTCGGCCTTGCCAAGGGGGATCTCCTGGAGCTGGAAGGTGTGGATGATGTTGTTGACCTTCTGGACACCGTCCTCGACGTCCTCGCCAGCCTCCTCGGCGGAAGCGTTGGCACCGGTGTCTGGGTACAAGTCGCGGTTAGCGGGCGCGATAACATCAAGGCGGGCGGGGCCCGGGGAGGGGAGGGGCCATGTTGTTGTTGGGACTCACCGAAGCTCTCACCACCGACCTGGATCATGGCACAGTCGGCCTCGTAGAGGATGCCATCGATCTCCTTGAGGGGGAAGGAGTCGGAGAGCAGCTCAGAGCCGTTGCTGATATCCTGTGGTTGCGGGGTTCAGTATCAGAGACGCTGTTCAGGGCTCTCTCTGGGCGTGGGCGCAGAGTCTCGAGAGAGGTGCGGGGTGCGGGCTGGCGCGCCTCGTCTCTGCTCGGGCGGGACGGGGGAGCCTGCAACACAGTCGGAACTCACCTTGAAAATGATCATGTTGGCGGCGAAGCTAGGGGCTTGCTGTAGAAGGGGGAGATGCAGGGAAGGAGTGTAGAGATGGGGAGGATGAAGAAAGTCGTGGAGATGTGGTCGTCGCAAGTTCCCGAGAGAGAAAAGACCACGACCCGGGCGCTAAGGCGGGGCAGCAAAATAGAAAATCGAGACTGGCACAAATTTGACAAGCAGTGGGCGGGGTCCCGAATTGGGGAGGGGACCAAAAGGGCCCAAGGGGCCAAAAAAGAGAGAGCACCCAATAGCTTGCCAAAGGGGGAGGAGGCCCAGCGAACCAACCAATCGATTGCGGGGCGTGCGGCCTAGTCCTATCGCAGTCTAGCCCCTCGGATCGCCTCGTCTGGGCCAGTGCTGAGGGGCAACGCCTTTAGGAGCGTAGGTAGACAAGGACAAGGAAAAAAAACTTGGACCTTTCATTTGGGCCACTCCAGTTGTTGATATGAACTTATCATGCATCCATCGTCAAGTGCTGTTCACTCCAAGCAGCCTTTTGCAGATGCGAGCGCGCAATCAAGGGGTTTCGCACCGAGATCAAGTGGAGTTTTCCTTTGAGCATTGACTGTGGACGCTGAGACTTCCGGGCTCTACCTTGCTGTGTATAAGTTATACCTACAAGTACTGGACGTCGTGTCAACCCGGGAGGTATACCTGAGCCGCTGTCCAAATGAATGATGATGATGATGATGATGATGATGATGGAACATATGATTAACTATAGCTATCAATCTGGTGTCGGGCACGCATTGGTTGATTCGATGCTGGGCATCTTGGGTAATCACTGTCGGCAGAAACTAGTTGCTGTACCTTAACCAGGGTAATCCCGCGGTGATGGCCATAATCGATCATGTTGATAATGTTTGTTTACAGTACAGTAAGTTTACCATGCATGGAGGGGACTCCCGCATGGGAGAGGGTCTGGCTCTGCTTGGGTAATCAGACATTTGCCACTGTCCCAAGGCAAGGCCGCCCAACAGGTTGGCAGCTGGGACGGTGCCATCTGCCCATGGGATTTTGATTTACTGCTAACCTGAATCCCGTGCAAGCTCACCCTGCTGTACTATGTAAGCTGATGATGGAAGTCTTGTATGTACCATCAGACATGCAATCGTCATGCGATTATCGATCCAAGAGTCCCCATAAATTCGAGAAAAACTGGTGACATCGGAACGAGTGGCAAGCTCTGGGCTAGGGGGGGGGGCCAGCGCGGGCAAGCGAAATTGGGCTTAAAGGAGCAGCCCGGAAGGCCGGAGCTTCGCTGTTGATGGCTCGCTGCTCGCTGTTCGCCCGCCAGAGTCTGATCAGACAGCCAGACAGCCAGACAGCCAGACAGCGGAGAGCGCTTGGACGAATGAGGAGCTTCTTTTTTTTGGGGCCAAGAAGACCGTCAACGCCGTAATCTCAGGCGCTCATTAACTAGTTCAGGCCCATCTCCATCCCATCTCCCGTGTCATCCCATGGGAAGCGTCAGTAAGCAGACCGAGACCGAGAGCAACATTTCCGCGTCTGGTTTGCAACTGCTCCCCCTCCGCTCCTTTCTGTCGCCGCACCACCCGAACCTTCCTTTCTCTTGCATAGCAGTAGCGTTTTACTTGTACCCGTCTTAATCCAACGTCGCCCCGATCTTTGACCCTCAAGCCGGCCTCCGAAGCCCGCTGAGACCGTTCACCCTCACGGACTTAACCCTCCTTCTCAGACAATCTGCTCAGCCCTCAGCCCACGCTGCTCTCGCTCGACCTTTTCCCCCTCTCTGCTCGCCTCCATGGCTTCGAACGCCACGATGCCAGAGGCGATCCCTCCGCTGCCCGCCTACGAGCTGACCGAGGTCCCCAGCCTGGTCCCCGGCCTCGACGACTTCTACCTGTCCCTGATCGTGCCCATCGTCGGCTACTGGGTCGTGTCCATCTTCTTCCACATCGTCGACGTCTACGACATATGGCCCCAGTACCGACTGCACACCCCCGCCGAGATCGCCTCGCGCAACCGCGCCACCCGCTACGAGGTCCTCCGCGATGTTCTCCTGCAGCAGGTCATCCAGACGGCCGTGGGCGCCGCCCTGGCCTTCATGGATCCGCCCCAGCTCCAGGGCAAGGAGGAATACGACATTGCCGTCTGGGCCACCAGGATCCGGATTGCGCAGAGGGCCCTGCCTGCTGTCTTGAGCGTTCTGGGCATCAATGCCGTCACCATGGCCAAGAACATGTCGGCATCCCACCCCCTCCTGGCCGGCGCGCTCTCTGGCGGGCACTACCCTTTCCTCACGACCGGGCTTGCTGGGCCTGATGGCGCCGCCGTGCCCGCCTTCGCTGCCTGGGAGATGGCCGTTGCCAAGGCCATCTACTGGCTGGTCATCCCTGGCATCCAGTTCCTCGTCGCCGTCACCTTTGTCGATACCTGGCAGTACTTCTTGCATCGTGCCATGCACATGAACAAGTGGCTGTACAGTAAGTTGTGGCTCTGATTGTTTTACTTGATCTACCAAGGGGCCCTTGCTTACCTTGCCTTGCAATTTAGCTACCTTCCACTCGCGACACCACAGGCTCTACGTGCCGTACGCCTACGGAGCTCTTTACAACCACCCGTTCGAGGGTTTCCTGCTCGACACCGCGGGTGCCGGCCTCGCCTACATGCTTTCTGGCATGACCGCGCGTCAGGGCATGGTGTTCTTCACCGCCTCGTCCATCAAGACGGTCGATGATCACTGCGGCTACGCCCTTCCCTGGGATCCGCTACAGCACCTTTCCGGCAACAACGCTGCGTACCACGATATCCACCACCAGAGCTGGGGTATCAAGACCAACTTTTCCCAGCCCTTCTTCACCTTCTGGGACAGACTGCTGGGCACCATGTGGAGGGGCGACACGACTTTGAAGTACGAGCGATCAAGGAGGAACGCCGAGGACGCCGTGGCCGCCGAAGCCAAGAAGACGAAGGCCTTGTGATCAGTTTGGTCAGCTTACAGCACCAGTTTTGTGCAGATTCTTTATGTGTATTCTAGGGACATTTTCTTGCGGTTGGCGACAGGATACTGCCGTCGTGGGAGCGTCAACTCGCCAGAGCCTATAAGGGGGCATTGACGGGCGTTCGTTTATTTTTGGGCTCGCGCCAATGTTCCGGGTGGAGCACAATGGAGACGCCCGGGACGCTTGTATGATTACGCCTTGTATATCGTGAGCGCGTCGCCGCTCAGCCGGGATCCGGGGGAAGTGTGACAACTATATGGCACATTCAAGACACGGTTTCGCGGAGAGAAAGAAAGAAACAAAGAAAAACGATCGAAAGGATCATGTCACTCGCTACTCGCCGATTTGCGGCCTTGGGCCGCATCTGCTATTCATAGCTAATGATAATACCGCACGTCGAAGAACGGCGAATAAATTGGAAACATTCCGAAAGGCCTTCTTACTGCACTCGTACCGAAGAGGGTGCCGATTGAAGCATTTTGCAAATGCTCCTGGAAACTACGCCACGAGATGATATAGCCTTGTCGTTGACGGAAGCCAGGCTGAAATTCGCATGTAGTTCCGATGGTCCAGTGAATCTCATTCGGAGTTATTCTCTTTCGCATTTGGGGAATACGATGATGAGATGCCTCTTGAACCAAATGGGTTCAGACAGTGGAGCCGGTCCCTGGGATTGGCATCATCAAGTCGCTTGTGTGTGTGATCTCAAAAGGGGTCGCAGAGCGCCGTCATCCCATCCATCACCTGCGACCTGAGCTGTGACCCATGAGCCGACACCTAAAGTTGATCTAGTTGTCTATATCAGGTTCTTGGGTATATATGCGCCTCTTTAGGATAGTCCGCCTCTCCTGCTCTGGGAATGGACCACGTCATGGCAAGAACGCCTTCTCCTATCCGAACTCTGCGGTCTGGTAGATACTATCAGCATGGAGTTCTAGCTACGGCTCGGTCCCGGGGATCTTACCAAGGGGGACCCTCGATACAATTGCCTCATTAGCTCTCCTACAGGTACGGAAGCAAGATCCAGTCTTTGCAATATCTAACCCCCTATGATGTGTCTCTGATCGCACCCGACCTGCGGTGCATTCGACAAATCACCTCTCCAGCGTGGCTATGGGTCAATATATCTGTAATTTCTTGGTTCCGGTACTCTGTGTGCTTCATCCCATCGGTCAGTATCGGCATGGAGGTCCAGACCAGTTTGCTAGGCTCGTCTTTTGCTGTCTTTTTTCATGTAAGCGTGCCTATGAAGCAACAGAGTTGTCCACCGTCCTGATTTTGCCTGATATCTATCTTGACGCTAGTATTTCACAGTGGTACTTGAAACGACTGACTTTGAATCCGCCATCTGTATGCACCTTATCAAGTAAGAAATATGAGTTGCGTTCAATAGGGTCAGCAGTTCACAGGAAGTACAATAAGAAAACTACTAGGCTCCCTATGGCTAATTGCTCTCGCTGATTTAATAGTGGCAGTCTATTGCTGGGAGTATTGGAAAGGGGAAAGCCCTGTGGTGGATAGTGAGGCCTGCATTGATAATCTAGACCTAAGCATCTTGGAAACAGGGACAACCTGGCCAAAAGTTACACCAGTACGATGATTTCTGAATATTGATATTATGCAATTCAATGAAGCTCGTCGCCTATTAATTCAATCTCTCAGTCGTATAAATTAGACAACGAATCTTTCTTAAGCTCTTCCTTCCAGCTCCTTGGTGTCCGTGGTGATTGAACTTCTTTCTTGGAGGCAAAATCAGCCGAGTAACTGTACCGCACAACCATGTATGGGGTTTCAGGTCCGTCCTCACGCTAAAGTAGGGGCGCAATATCACGTTCCTATCTTGTGCTCTCTCAAGAGTGAGGGCCCCGTTGCCATCATCAAGAGATTTGTGGCTTGCTCGCAGGACGACATACACATCAGCTCTCATGATACGACGGAGACGATCTGAAGATAAGGCTTGGCGAAAAGATTGGTCTAGCAGTCTAAAGTGATTTGCCAGTCCGATGACGGAGGTGAAAGACGTGGGGGAAACGCCCCTGAGGTTCCATACCCGACGCGAGACTGGTGCTATTTTTCGAGACGCGGCTGCCTTTCGTGTTACGTTACGACGTCAGGGATCGGCATGCAGCTGTCCCTTCGATTTCAGGGTCTAGCACTGGATTCAGGGTCTCAATGGCTACTGTCTGCATCGTGCTGCAGATCATGGATATCTGGGCGATGCGTGCTGTCGGGTTTTGTCTGTCTCACTTTATGGCGGTACTGAGAGCAAAGCTGAGTGTTGACGTGAAACCTGGCGTATAGAAAAACGCCCCACTACTGCATAACGGGTTGCAGTAAGGTTGATTACATGTCACAGCGGGTAGTTCCGACGAGATCAAACTTCGAGGCTGACGCAGGACGGTTCACCTCGTATCTCGCTCGAGACTGCCTCAGCGTCATTTGCTGTACTTCGCTACCTCCGGAGGATCCCCCGGAAGCTGATTGTTGTGACCTTCACCTGCAGGGTTACACCTAGCTTCCTACATGTCAGACGGGCGGCAATGGCTGGATGGCTGCTGCCTGAATGCGGAGAACGAGATACGTTAGCAGTAGGGACCAACGGCTGAATTAGAGTTGCTGCAATCCGGCTCCCTGGAGTCTTGACGCCAAGTTGAGCTGACAATTCTCGAAAGCGCCGCTTGCTTGGCAGCTTGCTTGGCACGGTGGATGGTGTATACTGCAGTGCACCAAGAGTTGCACGGCACACCGAGTCCGAAAGAGATGCCACGCTCAAAAAATGGAAGCGGCACGGACGATCGCTCTGAGACATGGTACATTACCATCCTCAAGATGGGAAAACATAGGCAGCCGAAGCTTGTGAACCGAGCTTGGTCTTGGTTTTCATTGTAGCCCTTTCAGTGTCAATGACAGAGATACCTCCCTAGGTAGCGAATAAGTCTGTTGTTCATATTGCTAGAAGATCAACGACGAGAACTACTTTTCATCAAATCTATCATTCTCTCCATCTTTACACCCTTTCGTCTCGTTGAATTATTCCTCGATTCACTTGGCATTGATAACGTATTCTCTTGGTGTAGTCCGTACTATTCTATGATTTCAATAACTGCACCCGAACTACAAACCAGGGCATTTCCCACTCGCCAAGTCTACTAGGTAAATGAATAGATCCATTGCTGACTTGGGCATCGTCAGTTCTTTGTATATAGAACCGCGGCCTGGATCAGTGTTCGTCTTCAAGAAGCGAGAGCCTTCTTCTACAAACCGAGTACTTCTATTAGTGATTTTCCGAGCCAATGGGTCCCGTCTTTGCGGTCTGCAAGCCTGTTCCTCCCACCAGTTAATCGACCAACCGAAAAAGACGACATGCTGTGGGAAGCCCAGAAATTGATTCATATAGTCAACCACTGTCATTTTCAGCTAGTAAAGACCAACATATGGGAAAGAGACGGGAAGAATGAGAACTTGAATACCTCACAGTATCTAAGTTTCTGGTTAGAAAGTCAAATACAGGCTATATTACCAAACGTGCAGGACTTTAAGTTCTTGCTGTCAACAAAGAGGCTAGTCTTTTGCAATCTGTTCACCTTTGCTTTGTGACTGCTAAACAGGCCTGAAACACCATCCCAGGGGCAGTTGCAATAGTCGGAGATTAGAGCTGCTGTAATGGAACCAGCGTTAGGTATGGTAGACCCGATTACCAAACTGCTGGGAATGTGAATCTTATTCAGCTCACTCAGCTTACTCTGTTCTACACGTCGTTCAATGAAGGTTGGTTGCAGATACGACTTAAAATGGCAATTTTCTCGTCCTCCGTAGGACCTTTCCGTATGCTCATCCGGTTCGTGTAACCGCGATATGCAACCCTGGGCTGGGTTGCCAAGTGACAAGGAAGTCAACCGCGACTTCCGAGCACGCCATGAATGGCCGACCAATTGACAATCAGCTCCAGCCACCACAAGGTCTCGACTGTTCCTGATGCTTGGCAAGGGAAAGTGGGCCAGTGAATGACTATAATACAAATTGAGTTCTCAACGCTGCAAAGGGACAAGGATCAAACTCTTTCAACTCTACTGTACGTGAGGTCTAGCACAAGCTGTTAGCCTGAGCATTGCTCGACTTGCCCAAGGGTAGTAAGGGCAATTGATGCACGTCGACAATGAACCACCTGGAGCTTGGCTATGGCAATACTTGTGCACTCAAATGGGCGATGTTTGTCGATGATGACCGTGGTACGCTTGAATGTTATTGTTGGCAAGTCACGCAACTCGTTAACGTGCAGCGTTGCATCACTGCTGCAGCTACTGCACATGTACCTAGCTTAGCACACGCGAAGATCCGCGATTTCTACTCCATGGTGGATGGTTGGTTTACGGGGGATTCTGCAACAGATGGGGGAACCCGTACCATCCGTACCTAACACTAGTGGCAGGCTTGCAGAACCTGGCTTACTACATAGGTACTATTTTCAGTGGGCATTTGACAAGACTAGGCGCCGTACACATTTCAAGCCACCATCCAAGGAGCTGACCGGCAACGCGGCCCTGCGCGCAAAATTGGAAGAAAAATTGACCGGGTACACTTACCGATCGCGCGCCAAAGAAGATACAACAAAGATGAGCCAAGAAAACTATCGGCGAGCGGCTCTTTACAGAGTCGAACCGAGTGGTGTTGATTACAGGACACGCCCAAACGTTATTCTCCACCTGCACGTGGCGTCGGCCTTATCTTCTTTCTGGTCAGTGATGGCACAACATTCTACGCCACATACCATGCAGGATCCTTCTCACAACACTCTTGACTTTCGCCTCACGAGCGTCAAGGTGCATATCGACGGAAGAGCTAAAAAGCGGTCTAGGATCGATGGAGAGTTGTGATTGGCGTGCTGGGCCGTCTGATCACCTTTACGCACTCGGAGCCGAATTCGTGTTTCAGTTTCGGAGGAATTTCCTCGCGTCGATATGGTAGTCTTACTGCTCGAAGGATTTATGTGGAATACATCATTGTGGAATACATCATTGGAATATAGCACACGACATGCTGTGAGAAGGCGGCCGTACTAGGCTGAGGCCTGACTTCTTAACTTGAAAACCGTTGATACCCGAATCTCCAGACTGCATGGGCTGAGAGTAGGTGGCTTGTGATATGCAAAGCTTATTATTGTGACTGGCATATCCCTCAATGGCTGCTTAAAATCTCTATGAACACACCCATTCTGTTACACAGAGTATGTTGTTCCATTGATGGGCGTCGCCACGCCGCCATAACGCAATCAGAAACAAGCCAACCGCTAACCGTTGAAGCCCGTGAAGGAAGGGTCCAGACGCCATCATGCAACTAAAGCGCGGTTATGAGTTTCACCAAGCCTTCTCTTGAACATGTACCGCTACCAGTCGGCTGTCCGAGAACCCTTTTAATAGTGAACGAATATTTGTAACCCCCTCCGTTGCAATCCCTAAAGCCTTGGGAACTCCTGGAGTCTCTTGGGATATCTTGGCCGTCTATTTCTGCGAATCATCGCATCACTTTCCCTATTATACTACCAATGAATAACCTCAACGATATCAATCCTATGGATGGCCAATCCACACGACGGCTGGCATGTGACAGATGTCGCGCCCAGAAACTCAAATGCACCCGACTAGACACATCCGAGATCTGCAAACGCTGTACTACCGCAAAAACAACTTGCAGTTTTGGTAGGCCCCTTCCACCAGGGCGGCCTCCTACCGTGAAGGGCCCGACAGGACAATCTGTGGCGACTAGCCATGATGCTGTTCGACCGAGCCTTCCGCGAAGTAAATCTATGATAGCAAAGTCACCTTCTAGAGAGCCACTGCGACAATCGGATGAACATGGCACACCGCATGGCGTACTGCTCGCAGCTACCTGGACACCACCGTCCATTGGTGCTCAGCATGCTCAGGCCATCTCGTCTCGCGTGGAAGACGAAGATCTGTTCAACTTGTTGTATGACGATGCTGCTATGGTAGATTTTGATATATCAACCATCGACAGCTTCTCAGCTCCTTCTGGCAGTCCTACTGAGATTCTACTATCCCAGCAGGTCGAAGACACAAGCCGCGTACTCGTGGACCCGACACACATATTCAATATCGATGATCCAGCAGATTCCCGGAATCTTAAGCAGGTCACCTCGACGTTAGATCTCGACCAATGGATGGAGTTGGAAAACAGGCACTCCAATCCCAACTGCCTCGGTACCGGGAGCTCAGGCGTCAACTTCCCTGTATCGGACTTGGGATATAAGCCAGCAATACGTATGCAGCAACTGATGCAGCTTGGCAGTCTAATGTACGAGTTGCAGAGTAAATATTCTCATAGTGAGAACGACGGCCTCACCACCTCAATCGAGACCTTCCCAGCAGATCTGGCAGGCAAAGTCTTGCAGGCTGCGGATGAATTTCTTCAATGTCTTCGACACTTTTTCCTCTCCGAAGAGGCAATTTCGCCCCTGATAAATGGATCTTCGACGGCAAATTATAGTAGTGAAGAAGTGACCAATAATGGCTTGTCAGGGAATCACCAAATGTTCTCAGACACTGTATCTCGATCTTCTATCTACAGGTCCTCGGCATCCCCCGAATGGCAATATCGACGGGTGCACCCTGTAGACAAGCCCACGGCACTGCAACTTATAGCGAACTACCTCAGGCTTCTTCAGTTGTTCATTCTACTCTATTCGAGAGTATGCCACTACATCAGTTGTGCCGGTTCAGATTTACGACAGGCCAAACCAATTTGGGACGATTTGTCTATTGGGGGAGCACCTCTGAACCAATTCGCTGATTTTCAGATCAAGTTTGTATTGCAAGTGGCGGCAAAGCTTCTAGGTGAGGTCGAGGCCGCCCTAGGTCTGCACGAAGGCTGTCGTGTCAGCAAGAAACCTGCCGCTGAAGGAAGTGGAATATTGTGCATGAATGTCACTGCCCACTTCGTCGAGATGTGCATGTCAGAAGTGTCGACTGAGACGGAACAGGGGCGTGGTGCCATTGGGAAACTGCGGGACTTGATAGAGTGTGCAATGGACATGCTTGACGCAGCTGTGTGGTTTTGATGGGCCAGCCCACGATGGTGCTTGGTGGGAATAAGAGAGTACTCAAGGCCTGTAGTCTGCATATAGAAATAATTAGACACCTTAAAGACTTACGAGACATTTCTAAACACCTCTGTGGTAAGTTGAACATCGATATTGTCCCTCACCTCTCCGAATCCTTTGCTAGGGGCAGAATTCGCATTTTATCAAAAGATGGTCTCTGCTCGTATACGGGGTTATCTAACTAGAACTTCCAATCGCTACACAAAAACTTGTCTCATCGCCGAGATGGACCGGCCAGTTTCCCCCATAGGTTGGCCAAGACAGAATGAATTGCGACGATGACACGTTCAATCGCAGTAAAAAGTGCTGAAACTCCGAAAGTCCAGCCCCTGACCCGCACAGTGTATATAAAGAAATAAATAAGCCTGAACCACTCGTCAGTTGTCACGGTTTCGACAAGCAATATTGCATCAAGTGAGCATGCCTTGATGTAGCATGATCTTCATGCAAATGCGAATGTAAGAAAAAAATACTTACGCCCAGTTTGAGAAGCAAAATATCAGGAAAACTCCGCAATCGCGCCATTTCTGATCAGCCCGAATACTCAACGTGGCCAAATACTCGGTACCAGACGCATAAGGGCAGTAGCCACAGTTTGAAGTTGCATCCAAATCCGTCAGGTAGCCTCGGCCAGCCTCCTGAACAAATGGACCAGCAAACTCCAGGCAAGTCTGTCCGGCGGGTGGGTTAAAGAATGCCGCTTCTGTTTCAGTACAATGAACCGATTGAGAGCTTAGAGTTGACGCTAGGACACCACTAATCCAGTAGGTACTTGGGTTGAGCCAATATAGCTATTAGAGGCTCGTCAGTATGGTCGGCATAGCATACATGGGTATCAATATGATACTCACCCAGTATTTCCAAAACACATCAAGCTGATCGTACGGCACCACAACGCCGTTAAAAAGAGACACGACAGTGAGAAAGAAGGGAAGCACGTTGCTAATGACAGTAAAATTCGGAGCCCAGGCACAAATCCACTGACCCCAGCTGGACTGAAATAGGAAGAACAGAAGTGTCATGAGAAAGACATAGCCTGCAGTGGGTGCATCGTAAGGCATACCAGTGGGCAAGTACCAAAGCAGCCAGTAAACTGCGCCGGCGATCAGCGACCCAGGGACCTCAGAAATGACCTCAGATGTGCAGAGCGCAATCCAGCCGTACGTTCGAGATGGGTGCTCACGCGCCTCCCATAGTGCGCGATCGAAGAAGAATTTGGGAAGTACCGCATTCAAAACAGCCGCTGGAATGAGTGTAATGAGAAACGACGAGAACATGCGGTTCTGCATGTCAGCGATACTGTCTCCTAGCTTCCAGAAAGTGAAACCATTGAAAATACCCATAACGAAGGATGTGAATAGCCGGCCATATATGTATGAGGGCTCGCGCCATTGGTGGACGAACATTCGTTTGGTAAGGTAGTAGGTCTGCGTTGAAATAGTGGCAGCGAAAGCAGCCGGGGTTACTTGCTTGGGTTGCGTGCCGTCTCGAGGGTCATTTCTGCCGGCTGTCTTGATGCGCTGGATCTCATCATCGATAGCCTTGCTTTCAGCAGATTCGCGCCACTCTTGAATCCAGTCGGGATGTCCCACTTCTGCTGTCTCCAGCAGGAACTCGGCCACGTTCCTGTCAGATGGGCAGTATGCGCCCCTGTCGGCAAAGTATTTGATGATTGTGCTACAGTCGGAACCGATAGGCCCAGAATAGAAGACGCTACCATTCGGACTCAACGCCAGTATCTCATCAAAGTTGCGGATGAGGTGGGCGGATGGCTGGTGTATTGTGCACACGACAGCCTGGCCGGCGTCACACAGTCTCCTGAGCAGCCTCACAATGGAGAAAGCCGACTGAGAATCCAGGCCGCTCGTTGGTTCGTCGAGGAAAACGAGTGACGGCTTGGCAGAAAGCTCGACCCCGATCGTGACACGTTTTTTCTGTTCAATGCCTAGAGAACTAATCACAGCATCTTGTAAATCCAGGAGCATGAGCAATTCAAGCACCTTATCGACGTATTCCAATTTCTCTTGACGTGGAATGTGATGACTCTGGCGCAATAATGCAGAGAATTCGAAAGCCTCCCTGACCGTGGCTGTCTCGTCGTGCAAGTCCATTTGCTCAACATATCCCGTGGAGCGTTGAAAGTTAGCTTCCAGTGGCTGACCGCCAACCAGTATCTCTCCACTGAATACACCATGCAGGTGACGTCGCGATAGTGTGTTCAGAAGGGTGGTCTTGCCAGCCCCGCTTGCGCCCATCAGGGCGACCAGAACCCCAGGCTTGGCATAACCACTGACGTTATTCAATATGAGCCTCGAGCCTTGTGGCGTGGAGACACTATAATTGATGTTCTCCCATGTTATTGCGTTTTCGCTTCTTGGTAGGTCCTCGACTGAGGCACCTGGTAAACAAGCATCGATTGGCTCTTCCATTGATAATGCCCCTGGACTGCTCCCCTTTTCCTCGTCAGCAGTTTTTGAGAACTTGACCTGCTTTGATCTTTTAGTAGGTTTAAACCTAAGACCACCACCGCTCCCTGCCCGAGCAAAGGTAAATAATTCAGTTGCTGCGACGGTAATGATGAGATAAAAGGCAATAAATGCAACGACGATCCCGAAATTTCGCCACAAGTGCTCTCGACTGTAATCATACTTGAGACTGAGATATTCATCTCCTAAGACGACACTGCTTCCGGGATGAGCACCCGCGATTGTACATGCCTGGTTTTGTGGCTGGATGTCCGGGCCTTGAGGAACTATCTGGGAAAATGCACATCGCATCGTTCGTCCGGCGAATTCATTACTCAGAACAGCCTCAAAGGCATAGCTAAGCTTTGGTAGTAGCATTAGAAGCCAGATCTCGGATATTTGTAGACATTGTTGTGGTTGGTAAAGCTTACCGGATTTACGTAGGCTATCCAGCCGAACCATATCTTCTGTTTCAAAAGAATAGGTCTCTCGATCACGTAGCCAGCATAGATCAGGAGAATGTTTAGCAAACTTCCACAGAATCGAACTGCGTCGTCCATAGTATGAGATATCGCTGCCATCATTCGGTACATTGTGGTGAAGCAGATCGTTGTCGTATAACTTAGCAGTAGGTAGGTAAAGAATTTGGCAGGTACGAGGTCAAGTCCGGTCATGAAATAAACAATCACGCCGAAAAGTACAACCTGAGGTAGTAGAAGAGGAATATCCACTAGTGCGCGTGCAAAGCTGACGGCGCTTGGTCGGTAGAAACCATATTCATGATGCCGAGCAATTACGACACGACCCGAGACGGCTTTTATGAGTTCCGTCAGTTGCAGCCAACCAAGGAATACAATTGAGAAAAAGGCGACACCACTACGGAGGAAAACACCATCCGTAGAAGCTGGGGACCGGTAGAGCATTGAGCTTACAATGAGCCCGTTACTGATGATTGTGAAATATTTAGTGTACAACTCAGTCTTGTCGGCCGCCACAAGCCAGAGCTCTCGACGGGCACATGCTAGTACTTGTTGATAGAAACTCCCAGGCTTGGAGGGCATTGGTTCTGAGCCATCAGTTCGGCCGTTTGTTGCGAGTGAGAGCTCGTAGTCTGCCACACCTTGCATCAACTTCTCGTAAGCATGACTGGCACGGAACGCCCGCTCGAGTTCAGTGGCAGTCTTTGGGCAACGGTGCTCATATCCTTCACGGAACCTCCGGGCCGCAACATCACATAGACTTGTCAGGAATTCACTCGTTGTCTGCTGAGACGAAGCGTAGAATCCAAGGTTCTCGAAATATTGCCGTGCCTCGCTTGCGGCTCCTTGATACAGCATACGACCTTCGTCAACGACAAGAACCTTATCCATGAGGGCATAGATGCTCTCACTGGCTTGATATAAGGTTGCGATGGTGGTACGTCCGGAACTGTTGGTAATGGCGCGTAGTGAGTGCGCGTAAGCCAGGGCGGTGGATGCATCAAGACCACGGGTCGAGTTATCCCAACAGGTTACAGCACTTTTGACTGCAAGAGTCTCTGCGATGCTGACGCGCTTCCGTTCTCCCCCGGACACGCCACGGATGAACTCGTTGCCCACAACAACGTCCTTCCTATGATGGATGGCACACATGCGTAGAAGAGAATCGGCGACATCTTTGGCGCCCATGGAGCTCATGCTGGTGAGGAAAGGTAACCTGACAGTTTGAGCTACAGTCAAGTTTGGAATATGATGGTCATATTCAGCGTTGTAGATAACCTCACCGCGATGGGCCTCGGTCGACATATTCTCAGCCGTCATACTCCCATACGAAACTTGGCCCCGAACAGAAACATAAGAAGCTGGTTTATTGGCAAGGACCTGGAGTAGGGTACTGGAGCCACTACCAGGCCGCCCAAGGACAAGCATCATCTCTCCAGGTTTCGCAACACCAGTAAAATCATTGATGAGAGTTTGTAAGTCTTGACGGCGACCGAATTGCAGTTTTGGGATCCAGTCCGTAATGGAGCGAAAGAGATCCGGACCAAAACTTCCAATGATCGCTTGGGGTAATGTCCGTATGAAGCTGGCATTAGAGCGGGGCCCTTCGATGGTGAGGTTTCGAAAAATGACTCCCACCGTGTTCATTGGTTGCTGGATGCTGGCGCCACTTACAGGATTTCCTATCCAAATAGCTTCTTGAGGGGCAAAGGGGGCATCTGGCAGCAGTGATGGTTGCAACCGAGTAGGTGTATCCTTGGTTTCACCGCTGTTATCGCTATAGTATTCCTGCATAGTGTAAGGAATAGCGTTCTCAGGTTCTCTTCGTCGGCGGTGCTGCGAGCTTTGAACTTCCGATAAGTCATTTGGCTGGCCCTGGGGATCTGGGTCGTTGGTTTTATCCATCGGCATGCATTCATGTGAAGCTTCGCGTATGCACTCTGGATCATGTGTCGTCTATCAGGTTCAATTCTTTTTTCATATGGATTATGATTGTTCCACTTACGGTGAGGCTCTGCTGCTCTCATCTGTAGCGCCTCATTAGAAGATTGGTGCGTCATGTCTTCCCTTGACTCTCTAAAAGAACGAATCTGGCTTCGTGCGAGGTAGGTTCGCGGAACTTGGAACCCAGTTAGATAATGGGCTGAATATCCATTCGTGAGCAAGTTTGCCCAAGGAACCAATGTAAGTGAGGTTTGAAATATGAGAATAGGCAACTTGAAATGCCACAAACGAAGTTATTCACTTATTGATGTAGTAGCCCCGTACTAACAACCGGAGTCGCAGGAACCTGGGTGTGGGCATAAAAACTAGTTCGGCTAAGGCAATGTACCGCAATTATTTCTCCAGTGAATGGCATAGAACGCCGCTCCCGAAATTGGACGGGTCCGAAGGTACTCGCACCAATATGAACCAAAATGGCCGGGCTGCACACATCTACGGCGGATGGAGTTGGGAGCCCATCTCGACCCGGAGATCTGCAATGACAGCAAGACACGCAAAGACACGTCTCACAACTAGGCCTAGTAACACTACAGTAAATACACCATGACCGAGTATTATCCTTCCAAGTCGTTGAAAGCCATGCGAGATCTAATAGCTTTGAATGTCATACACCGGGAATCTGACCTCCAACAAACATGATGAATCATACCATCTAATTATCGTAATTAAGTCTAGACATCATACAGGAGCATGCTACACAAGATGCAGACCTACGGGCGAGATTTCATAATGATTAGGAAGAGTAAATCATGTACTGAACGGGAATAAGCAGTGGTCGTACACATAGAGCTACTTCATGTCAGCTTCTGGCCTCAAACTTCACGGTTAAGCTCTTCGGCTCATGCCGTGTAGCAGCGCTAAGATCCTGCATAAGCAAAGCACCAAGTATCAGCCACAACTGTCAGATAAGCAGACAATTGCTCCGAGACTGGCACGCAAGGGCAGTCTAAACGAAGAGCTGAAAGAGCCACGCATGCAGGATGCAAGCTTGTTCCAGACAAGCTATTGCACCACCGCTTCACCGTTCCGTTGGCTTGTGTGGCGTGCACGAGCTGATAGTCCGATTCGACAACTACCCAGCACTCGCTGATAAATATCTATCGGTTCCTACTGTATAACGACCGCGGACTGCCAAAACAGGAAAAAGACACCGGTCGAATGCTTCGGATCCGAAATGACATAATTGCATGAGAAACAAGGTACTACCCTCCACTTGTAGTGCAGTCTCTTTTGATTTTCTCAGCTCAGGCAGACCTGCACTCTGATCCAAAGAGAGGAAGGTCTATGATTCTCTTGCGTCTCAAACCAGCTTGAAATACGCCGGATACTCTGGCTTAGGCACATCAACTCTAGGCCAGCCGGTCTCGAATCACATACAATCCTGGCTTCCTCAGTTACGATATGGCAGAGATCATTGTACATTCGATAGCGAAGCGGGCAGCGTGTGATCGATGCCGCAGGCTCAAGATGCGCTGTACAGTGAAACCTACCGGAGATGACTACCGGTGCAATCGATGCCAAACTGCCAATGAGCGCTGTCATTATAGCCCCCCACGAAAGACCGGAAGGCCTCCTAATGCCGCCTCCGGACTACACACCCCGCGCCCACCGGCCAGTTCCCATATCACGTCGGAAGCCAGATGCTCCGTGGCGACTGAGGGCAGCCTGGCTGAATCCAATGCAATAATGGTTCAATCTTTCCCCCGGCGTGAGGCCGATGGTGGACTCATGCTAAATACGGCATCCTGGTCAGACGTTGGGTTCTTCGACAACTTTCTAGACCGACCGGGCAGCCATTCCCTGCACGCAGCAAGTTATGAGCATGATGTGTGGACCAGTCAGTATCACGATGGGCATTTCGCAATGGAGCAGCCATCCCAGCTCCCGACAATTCTGATGAATCATCCCGAGGATACTCAGACAAGTGTTCCTGCAAGTGCACAACCAAAGCCTGTGTGCCCAAGCGAAGCTACGCCTGGCCTTGTCGCCATACCTGCCAACTCCAGTACAGCTATGCAGTTGGAAGGCCGACAGTGGTATCAACAGCAATTACTGGACTTCGATGTCCGTCTATCCCAAGCAGTCCTCATAGATACTACTGCCAGTCCATCGAAAGTTGAACAGGCAGCGGTATACGTGCTTGAAAACTCCTCCACATTCTTAGATCTGGTCAAGTATCTACAAGCTGGCAGTGAGAACAACGCTGGTCGGACGCATGAGGTCGCAGGCGGGCAAGGAGATCGCCGTGAGAATTCCACTCCAATAGCAAACACAAAAGATCTCCACGAGAACTGCGAGGATGGAGATGTTGGTACCCCAGCCCAACTTGACGATAAGGTGTGCTCGTTCATTCCTGACACGGCAACCTTGCTGCAACTAATCGTATTCTCTATGCGACTCACAAACCTGCACTTTGATCTGTATTCGGGTGTCCTAAGATATTTGAGGCTGCATGTGAATACAACTGACGCCAGGCCTGCGACAAAAACGCACAATCTGCCACCTCTGTCATTGTCTATTGCTGGAGTTAATTTGACAACGCACCCCCGGTTTCAGTTGCAGCTCCTGTTACAGACTGGAGCGCATTATTTGAGCAGCAGTACGTATCCCAAATGACCCATCCCGGCTGTGAAATTTTGAGATGAACTAGCTATGGTGTCTATGAATTGTCGATATAGAACTAGCTGACATCTGTGCCGCGTGTAGTTCAAGAGGCATTAGGTGGGCTTCAGACCCTCCGCCCACGGGTGGCGCCAGCAGGACCACAACCTTCACAGACCAAGAGGTCTACAAATGTGGCCTTGCTAATGCGAATGCTGATGGTACAGGATCAGCAGGGACGCATGTGCGCTATCAGAGAGGTACTGGGGAAATTGCGCGATGAGTTTAGTATTAGCATTCAAATTTGAAGACATGAATAGACGCGCGTCATCGAGTCGAACCCTGGAGCTACCTCGAGGAAACCAAGTTCTCAGTAGTCTGACCAGCGATAACATTCGAATCAAGTTGCTTGACTATGACTCCTACATTTGAATGACTTTGACAGCGTAGTATCAACCCGCGTACACAAGTTCCTCTCGTGATTTTCACGTTCCACGTCTCTTTTATTTTGTGTCCAAAAGTTGGGTCAACATAACTCCTCATATGAAATCCAATCGTTCGAGCTTTTATACAATTGCGCTTAGAGAAAACTGGTATGGTCTCATTTGGAGATACTGTAGTTCTGGCATACTCGACGCCTGGGAGCCTATGATATTGAAACCAATTACCAAGGAACTCGATGTAGTTCTAGAGTAAAACCCGGCCGCAATGAGAACTGTGAAATCTAGAGTGAAATAGATAAAACCGCGAAAAACCTCAGGGAAATACTCTTCCGGTCACACACTGTCAAATAGAAATTTATAGCCTGGTTCCACCTGTTCTTCCCATTTTTGTGTCCCGGGTCGGAGCTGGAGGTCATGAATATGTGCGGCCCCCGGCACGGCGAGAAACCCGTGTGACACACCATGCTCTGCTAGCGCCGCTGCAAATACCTCCGCTCCCGAGAATGGTGCCACTTCGTCAGCTGTGCCGTGAACCAAGAAAGTTGGGCACCGGTAATTGCCCCCGAGTACTTGGGCTAGTGGGCTGATGGAAGCAACGCGTTCCGGTGACGGAGGCGCCAGAACGGCCCAGTCCTCAGCGCCTGAGCTATGATTCTTAATAATTTCCGCCGGGAGGCCATTGAGAAGTAGCCTAAGGCCAATGCCTTCTTTGAAAAGAGCTAGTACGAGCTCCGAACGCGGGTCCCCTGGACGAACCCAGCCAAGGTTAGTGCTATCGCCTTGTGCAGAGTTATCATATGTAGTTATCTGGAGGGCATTCCTGCGGTCAGCAAATGATTTATGAAAAGATTGAGAAAGCCGATTCCTGTAGCTGGCACGGTGCTATTCGAGGATGGTAAGTAACCTACAGGGGTTTTGGGCAAGGCAGAGATGATACGTTCGAGGCCCATTTGTCTGCCTGGAAGCGAAGCAAGACGATTTGAGTCAAGATCTGTAGGAAGCCAATTGATGTTAACATGGAAAAACGTGAAATGCGGAAGGTTTTAAGGCATGCATCTCACATACCTCCGGACTCAAAATCGTAAGGGGCATAGAAGCTCAAGATGGCTGTGGGCGGTGGTATTCCGCCAATTTCGGCTGTCCAACCTATTGATAAAGCGAGATGACCGCCAGACGACCAGCCGACAATCACGACTTTGGTCGACTCCGCCGTTATGCCTCTTTTCTCAGCCAGTAGAGGAAGTGATGTGCGTGCCCACTTGTAGGCATCACGCACGTCGGTGATCGGACCATCAAGTAGGTTGACCTCGGGGCAGAGACGGTAGTCAATGCTGACAGGAAGAAACCCATTTGCAAGGAGATATTGTGTCTGAGCTGGCCGTATAGCCTTTCGGGAGAGTGTCATGTGGCCACCTCCATGTATCATAAGAGCTATAGAAATCACGGAATAAGTTAGGTACAAGAAATTGTAATACTGAGGAACTATGACAGCATAGGCGTACCAATTGGCATCGGTACAGGCGAGGGTGACTCCGGAAAGTAGATGTCTGCATGTATTTCCAAGCCATCCACATTCTTATAGACAACCGTCTCCGGAACATCGAAGGTATGGCCGACCCTGGCTGTACTGCGGTGGTTTTCTTCGCTATTTGAATTCTGAAGTGAGGTTTCCCAGTGTTGATTGCAAGCGACAAGTAGCTGCTGGCTGGTAGATTCTTTGCTCAGACCACCCGACCAACTTGCAGAAGCAAAGCCCGCAGCCTGAAAGCAGGACTTCCACGCGTTGGCAGGACGGATGGGGTATGCCGTACCGCCCTCCGCAAGCCACCAGCCATCGAGAAGGCCAAAGCAGATATCGTACCAGTCTATGATGCGAGTGACCTCTGATAGGACAATAATACCGCCGGGGACCAGTGTTTCGCATAGTCTTCGACACGAAGCTTTTTGATCTGATGTAGCGTGAACACAATTGGTGCCGATAACAATGTCAAATTGACTGCGAAGCGCCGCAGGTACTTCTTTCTCCAAGTTGAAGGCCGTAAATTCCATCCATGACCCGTACTGCTTGAGTGTATTATTCTTAGCCTTCGAGACCAAGCTGGGCGAAATATCTGTGAATGTGTATTGTACTGAAACCCCAGCTGACGCAAGTGCTGATCCCAACCTCTTCGTGGTTCCACCAGTTCCTGCACCGACCTCTAGAATCCGTACTGGACGAGACTTGTCAGTGGTTTTCAGCAGGGAAGAAATGAAAATCACGAGCTGGTCGGTCAATGTCGAGATCATCGGCGATTGGCCGTAGTAATTTTCCATAATCTTCATAGATGCCGCACTACCGAACATGAGCGACACCGCATCCAGCTGCCCGATGAGACACTGGGCGAGTCGAGGACCTGTCAGACCAATCAAAGCCGCCTCGTCTCTGTAGTCTGGATGCTTTTCTTGGAATTCTGCTTGTAATTGAGCTGCAGAAGGTCGTTGTGGATCGAGAACTCTACTTCCCCGGCTGAAATTTCCAGCTGAGTCAATTGAGACGATACTATGGCCCTTCAAAATCTCCCACAGTCTTCGAACGACCTTGTCATGTTTAGGAGATGAGTGAGGGACTTCCGGTAGGCGGTGGCCCGGAGATGCTTGTGCGATATCAACCCCCAAGGTGGTAAAAGCTTCAATAACATACTCTATCACTAGTTGATCTTGGTCGGGGGCGACATTTGACCAATAGTTGACGAAGCCGTTCTTCTGCGCTGACGCGCTGAAGTGAGAATCTGAAGTACTTAGAACGTCGAATGGATTTCCCAACAAGACCGTATCTACTGTCTGGGCATCGCTTGTACCATCGGGACTCTTCGTTTTCACGCTCCTATGTTGGATCGAGCTCGAGCTGGATTTAGGTTCAGAAGATATTCCTAGCTGTGCCATTAATCCTCGCACAGTTTCTTCCACTTGAATGTCATCGAGGCGTGTTGAGAGATTGTCCTCGAGCTCTTGCTTCAAATCGATCGCAGACAGCGAATCCACGCCCAGGTTGGTAAGTTCATCTGACGGTTTTATGTCTTCTGGCTTTATACCTGTCACCTCAGAGAGAATCTGGAAGAACTTTGACACACGATTATCAGAATCATCTGTGTCAGCTGGTACGCCCAAAGTCGTAGCTGGTTCTGTGGCATGTGGCACTTCAGTAACGGCAGCAAGATCTGCAGGACTTTGCGCTCCCAGATGTCGGCAAAGATCTCGCAACGTGCATTCACCAAGATCCTCACTGATGGCAATCCCAAACTTGGATGACAATTCTCCAACAAGCTCTACTGATGCTAGAGAATCCAGCCCCAGCTCAGTCAAGATGGTATCTTCAGGGATTTCAGAGCCTTTTATGCCGGTGTACTCCGATATAATCTCTCTTAGTGCCAAAGCTTTGGATCCATCTTCCGAGGGGGTAATAGGACTGGAAATGCTGGTGGCTGGAGTCGTAGTGCCCTTGGATTCTGCGGTCGTGCTGGAGGACGCCGAGGTCAGCGAAGTAGAAGGAAGGACAGGTACCGTTGTTGGTTTTGTTGCTGTTTTACTTGACGGTGACATTTTTCGGGATACTGGCGAGTTCTGGTTGGCCATATCTAAGATCTTCTCCAACCGTGGGATTGGGAGCTTTGCGAAGCGACAGCCAGAGAGTATGGCTACCAGTGCACCATCTGGATTACATACGAACACATCGCCTATAGGTTGGTTATCAGCTCCATAGCCAAATCTAGCATAGACGCGCCAGAATTCGGGAGGGTCGTCCATCTTGCAACCCGGTGACATGACGACGCGGTCCAATCCGACCATGACGACAACCTCGTCCACGCCAACTGAGTCGTCGCTGTTCATGAGAAGTCCGACGACTTGTATGTAAGCATCGACGGCCACAGTATCGCAGACCTTCCATGCCGTACTGTCGTCCCGATGCGGCTGCTCAGTACCGGGAAGCCGAATGCTTGCTACAGCTTCATGAGCGGCTAGCGCAACGGACCTAATGCCTTTGAAGAACGAAGCATAATCAACAACACGACCGAAAAGACTATACGCCCGCTTAAGCATAAGCCTCTCGACGTCAACATTGTCGCGACTTTCTATTCGAGCAATTGGCTCTGACACAAGTCTTTGGAATGTATCGAATACAGGACTAAGAGTCAGAGCAATCACACCACTGGCATGAGAAGTCTCCTTCGGCTTTGAGGTAGGTGATGGATTGCCACTCGACATCAACGTCCGCACAGAAAACTTCCAGGATGTCTCGGATGGATCCAAGTTCAGGACAACCTCGCCTTCCGGTTCAACGCCGAGCGGAGCGCTGATGGACAGGCTCTCAAAGACAAGACTGGCTCCCTTTCGGAACAAATCGCTGTCAGAACCATCAAGATGGAGCTGCAAGGCCATAGCCACGCATTCCATGTACATTGAAGCAGGACATAGCGCACGTGAGCGGACTGCATGTCCACTCACAACGGTCCGGAAACGTTGGCATCGTGTGTTAATAGAGAACTCGGCGCCTCCAGACGCTGCCGATGACCCGTTCCGTCTTGTGACAAGTTGTGGCGGAGGTGGTAGGCTTCTAGCACTCAAGGGTTCATGACTAGAGGCTTTAGCAGTGGCGAGAGCTTGTTTCTGAATCTCAATGGCGCGATCGACGTTAGGAAGCCAATGTTGCGTTGCCTCAAACTGATAAGGCGGAAGCCAGACAGGCTTGCATTCGCGAAGCAAGCTCCAGTGGCTTGGGAAAATTCCACTTCGCCAGAGGCGAGATAACACCCGAGAGACAATATTCACTGGTGGCTCTAGACTTCCTTTGGTCTTGAAGGGCAGGAATGTATGCGCATCAGGCTGGAGGGTAGCCTTGCTTGCCATAGGAACGACGGGTGTATCAATACCAGCCTCTAGCCAGACTATACCTGAGCCTCCCAAGCGCTTTTCCAGGCGTTGTACACTATTGGCAAAGAATACAGGGTCCCGCGCATGACGAGAAGGGCTGTATTCACTGATGCTTCTCAACCCTTTGGGGGCACACACCTCTAGTGGAGTCTTAGGCTCATTCCATGTCAATGATTTGGCGACATAGTTCAGGTCCTCGAGGATAGGATCCATCAGGGATGAGTGGAAGCCGTGACTTGTGGCCAAACGCCGTATGCGTACTTTCTGAAACACGGCATCCGCATTCAGCACTGCTTCTGCAGCGTCAACTGCGGCAGATGTTCCTGCAACTACTAGAGCATTTGGCCCATTATAACAGGCAATTTCAAGATCGACGTCTGTTGAGTTTGATAATCTTTGCTTCAGTTTTGACCGAAGCTCAGCGAAAGCCTGCGTCGAACAGGAGCTGAGAGCCAACATGGCACCCTTCTCAGGCCCAACATAAGCACCGATCATGCTTGCGCGGACAGCGACAAGTTTGATGGCATCAGGTAGGGATAATGCGCCTGAAACAGCAAGTGCCGTGAGTTCACCAAGGCTGTGGCCAACAATAGCGCTGGGCTGAAGGCCAGCGTCCAGCCAACACCTCGCACTCGCATACTGCATAGCGAAGATGCTACACTGGAGTGTGACTATGTCATGATCGAGTGGATTTGTCTCGAAGATGGCTGGAATCATGGAGGAATAACCGATAGCCATGAGGGCCGTGTCACAGGCGTCTACATGTGCCCGAAAGGCTGGGAAGGAGTTGTAGAAAGACCGGTCCAGGCCAACTTTGTTGTCGTATTGTCCACTGAACAAAAGTACCACGGGCATGCTAGATCCTTTCTGCGGAGCCACAGGGGTTGGGAATGTCGCCAAAGACTCAGGATTCGTAAGGTTATTAGCAGCTTCTGATACATCACTTGCTTCTATGGAAGCCAAGTATTTGAAGCGCTGTCTCCTTCCATTCAGGGTGAGTGCAACATCGGCCAGGCTGATATCACCAGATCGCTGTTGCCGCAGATATTTACCCAAAGCCCGTGCATTGTCTCGAAGGCTCTTCTCGGAAGCACCACTGAGAAGAAGTGGGATGATGGGGACGTGGAAAGACTCTGTCGAACCAATCCCAAATTTCCGCCGAGTTAACTGTGTTTCGTTGAAGCTGCAGCAGAGAAGAGCACAATTAGACCCAGCTGCGCCATAGCTGTTGATAAGTGCTGCGCGGAGAGGAACATCCCAGGAATGCAGACTGCGAGAAATTGCAAATCCATCGGGCTCTAGAGGCTTAATCTTGGGGTTGAGTTGCTTGTGGCTGGCTTGAGGAGGAACTTGGCCATGTTTGATCATTGCTAGTACCTTTAGGAGTCCCGCAACGCCTGCGGCTGTCTCACAGTGGCCAATGTTGCCTTTGATTGAACCCACATAGAGCGTGTTTCTACTGCTGCTCATTCCAGACTCAGGTGGGTGTGATGGTTTCCTGGAGAACACCGATCGAATGCTTTCAATCTCTAGAGGATCGCCCGCCTGAGTCCCTGTGCCATGGGTCTCCACGTAAGTGACACTCTCTGGAGATAGACCCGCCTGGTCAAGTACGTTCCGATAAAGAGCTTGCTGTGCTGCAGAATGTGGAACAGTAATTGAAGCTGACAAGCCTCCTTGGTTCGTAGCGATGCCAGGGATCACACCTAAAATGGCATCTCCATCAGCCACTGCGTGCTTGAGCTTCTTGATGAAGACAAGACCGGCACCGTCGGAGCGGCAGTATCCGTCAGCTGAAGCATCAAATGGCTTGCACTGCCCAGTGGGACTTAAGAACCCAGCCTTGGCCAAGTCGAAGTAGTTGTTCATTCCACTGATGATATTGATGCCGCCCGTCAAAGCCATGCGGCATTCACCCGATTGAACAGCTTTGCAAGCACGATTAATAGCCACAAGTGAAGACGAACATGCCGTATCAATGACTTCGGCCGGGCCGGACCACCCGTAGTAGTAACTGATCCTGCCACAAAGAAAGGCGCGAATTGTTCCAGTACTTGTGTAGGCAGTCGGGGCGTGGGCATTTGTGTTATCCAGATACTCAACGAAGCTCGCACCGATGAAGCAACCTACGTTGTCGCCGGAATCTCGTCGATGTGTAGCGAGATAGCCCGCATCCTCAAGGGCTTCGTGTGCGAGCTCTAGTAGAATACGCTGTTGTGGGTCCATATTTGCTGCCTCGCGAGCGTTGACTCCAAAAAAAGCGTTGTCAAATCGCCGTACATCCTCGAGAAAATTGCCATAAAAGGTTCGATCCTTCGTAAAAGTCCCGCTCTGAGAAGCCCTGAAACTACCGTAAATATCGAACCTATCGGTATCGAGCTTCTGATGGAGGTCAGACCCAGCAGCTACCATACTCCATAGCTCCTCGAGGTTGCTTGCTCCTGGTAGCCGACACGAGGCTCCTACTACAGCAAGAGTGTCATCTGGGAACGTTTGAACCACAGATTTTCCATCGGTTCGCTTCCGTATTAGACCATGCGCGGCGACTTTGGTGGCACGGATAGCCCTCTTGTGAAATGGCGTAAGGGGAACACAGTCAGTCAGACCGAAGTAGACGAAGGTGGGCGTGTTTGATTGGCTGGTCTCCAAGTCTTTGGCCACCTCGCTTAGTAGACTATACCATTCGCAGCGGGATGCTAAAATAGTCGTAACAAGCTCTTCAGCTAGCGAGCCTTGACTTAAAGGCTGTCCTGTCCTATTAGACCTAACTTGAACCTGGAGCTGGCCGGCCTCGGGTAGCAATAGGCGCGGGTTGTCGCTGCAGAGTCGGCACAGCTCCTTGGCAAGCTCCTTGTTGTCAGGATTATGCACCTTTCCGCGGACTTCCATCTTCTGCACTTGGAGGCCTTCCTGCTCACGCGCAAAGCAATAAAGCTCGTGTAGTTGACTGGCTGGTCCGACGATGCTCACAGATCTTGGCTCCGTCACAGCCGAGACGTGGGTGCCGGGAAATCGACGTGTCAGGTCGTCCCCTTGTCCCTCGTACTTGAGCCGCAGGGCTAGTGTGGTAGACCCGGTGCTATTCGAATCGTCGGCCGCTTCACCGTATGCGCCAATCCCGACAATGATTCTCATCGCTGTCGCTGTGTATTTGACTACTTCAGACTCATCTTTGGCGCATGCGATAGCCATGGCGGACTGTTAATGATCAGTTAACCTTGTCACACTACGATCTTACTTCTGATCGCCTGCATAAGTACATACCGGTAGTCCACCGCAGTATCCTTGTAAGCCACCGGAACCTCTAACGCTCTCAAGAAATTCTTTATGCGAGAGTCCGTGGTGCGTAAGGTACCGCAGATATTGTGTGACTTGGAGGATAAGAAGGAGAGGGAGAGCAACGATCCCTGATCTAGCTGTAGCAAGCGGTGCGCAGGTACCCTCTGCCGCCCAGTTATGGAGCATGTCGATATACTGCGGCCCCTGACTGAGAGCTGCGACGTCATCTCTAGCCTCTGCGAAGATAGTCCAAACTCGATTTTCCTTCAGGGCCATCACCTCTTTTAGGAGCATCCTGCCATGAGTATCCTGGCTGAGAAAGGAGTGCATGCCAGCCAGATACTCCTGATCAGGTGCACGTGCTTGCGGGCAGAAGAACGCTGCAGAGACCAAGCCCTGCCTCTTTTCTTGTGGAAGCATCATGGTCGTTGAGTCCACGATTCTGCGAAGATTGTAACTGGGGATATCCGTTAAGGGATTTAAGAGGCCTGAAAGCCTATCTCTTTAAGTTGAGATTGGCGGAGATTCAACGTAAATCGCGTGGCATTATGGTAGTATGTATAGCCTTATGGAATGTTCTGTGTTCGCTTATAGATCCTAGGGTCTGATCAACCTCAAATTGCAACACGCTATCTGATAGTACTGTCCTGCATAGTAAGTTCTCAAGCCGAACATCAGCACTAGAATCATCGGGGTAATCGCAAAGCTCAACCCGATTGGGCAATATCCGTTCGAGAAGCGAATACTATCCAATGAATATACTGACCGGTGGCGTTCGGGGCACTTCGGCTTCAGCTCCACCCAAGGCGTATGCGTATCACTGAGCGCTCGAAACCTGCCGGCTTATAGTTCGGGGTGGCGTTCATCTGAAAAAAAACCTGCCGAATGCACGAGATTGGACGTAGCATACGATATCAATCTTGTACAGTCCTCTTAGTTCTTGAATCAGTCAGCAAAAAAAAGCCTGCTCATTGTTTGCAGGAATCTGCAACACAAGTCAGTTCACACCTATCAAGTCACTATTCATCTGTTATTTTGCGGTCATAAGGGCATTATGGGATATCTACCAAAGCTGTTAGCAACTCGAGGCAATGTTGTGGATTGGACGCATGGAGCCTACTCAAACGCGTTTCCAGGATTCTGGCAACTGACTGGTCTTTTGATCGGATCTTACGTTATAGTAAGCAGTGAATACTGGATACTTCCATGATACTTCCTCTTACTTTCCAAAATGATGGAAGCCTTACGGCTCGCTCACTTGTTGACAATTTTTGTCGCAGTACTGTCTCCTGTCAGCCGCTTACCTGCTCATATTCCATCCACTCGCCAAGTTCCCCGGGCCTAAGCTATGGGCAATCTCGCGAATCCCCTGGGCATATTATATCATCACGGGTGATTTGTGGCTGGTTTTGGACCGACTCCATGAGAAGTATGGGACCATCGTTAGGATTGCACCCGATGAGGTGACGACCATCAATCCTGCAGCTTGGAAGGACATATACATCACCAAGCCGGTGCTGGCCAAAGACCCCTACAGCCTGACACCACCTCTCAATGGAGCTCATTCGCTGTTCACTGCTGAGGGTGATACTCACCGACGGCTCCGCGGGGCACTTGTTAATGGGTTTGCCGACAAGTCACTGCGCGACCAAGCTCCGATTGTCGAAGGCTATGCGAATCAGATGATTGCCCGTCTACGCCGCGAGGTAGCGCAGAGTTCTGACGGTAATGTCGACATCCAGAAGCTCTACGGCTACGCAACCTTCGACATCGTTACAGATCTCAGTTTCGGAGAGTCACTACTCGATGCGCTCCAGGGTGACGGCGAGAATGAAGAAATCCGCACGTTCTTCTTACATGCCAAGTTCAGCACTATCCGCAACTGCCTCAGTCGGTTTTCACCGCTTGACATCCTTCTAGGACTCTTCCTACTGGGGGTCACTCGTACCAAACGGGAGCGCAATTGGCGCTTGACAACTGCCAAGATTGACCGACGCCTCGCACGTGGTGATCTCACGGGTGTGCGGTCTGACTTGCTGACACCGCTGGTCGGCAAGCTCAGCGAAAATGGTGCCCCTGGCCAGAGGGCTACCATAACGAAGGCTGAGCTTACCACTAACCAGCTCGCCTTCGTAATTGCCGATTGCCAGTTAACTACGGTAGCGCTCGCAACATCGACATATCTCTTGCTGCGAGACCCGTCGAAATGGCAACGCCTAGTTGACGAGATACGTGCCCAGTTCGACAGTGATCTTGCTATCACCGTACAGTCAACTCAGGGTTTACCATATTTAGAGGCCGTCATCAATGAGACCATGCGCTTTCGCCATCCGACGCCCATCAGTCTTCCCAGATGTACCCCTGCTGGTGGCCGGACGGTCGATGGCGAGCTCATTCCGGGCAATGTGAGTGCGCATGCATGTCGCAATATTTGACATAACACTGACTGCTTGATCAAATGTCGTCAGACCATTGTTGGGATCAACTTACAAAACATCCAAACCACGCCAACCCTGTGGGTTGAGCCGCAAGCATTCCATCCGGAACGATTCCTGCCAGAATCGGACCCTCGCTATCAGCATCGCTTTGATAAGGATGTGAAATCAGCATTCATGCCCTTCTCAGCTGGTCCACGAAACTGCCTGGGATCGAAGTAAGGATTTTCTCTTTCCACCTCTGTATTTCATATCACTCTTCGCCGTGGTGAAACTTCTGCTGACTTCCCCTACTCGCTCACTGTAGAGTCTACCTAGCTCAAGCCCGCGTTTTACTCGCAAAGGTTGTCTGGAATTTTGATTTGGCGATGGTCGGACACCAGGAGGATTGGCTGAATCAGAAGGCGTATCTAGTATTCGAGCCAAAAGCGCTCTTAGTGAAGCTCACTGAACGTCATCAGTAAAGACCGCAGCATTTCATAGGTTTCTCCACAGTATATCTGTGCCTAAGCCAGAAGAGTTGAATGGAATTAGCGCGAATGCATCGTTTCAGGTTTCGAGAGGATTTGCGCTTAGTCATAGACCAGACTGTGTGGAAAAGTAGACACGAAACTACGGCGCAACTATCTGTCGATTGTTTTGGTGAATCCAATCAAATGGGTGCGACTGGTAGGCTTTCCCTAATGAGGGTGTCAGTTTTCCATAGGAACTGCATTTCCATATTAAGAAAGGAAGCGATGAAGAGAGATATTTGTTGCAAAGACATTGTTGACTCATGGAATAGTATAAGTAGGTCCATCTGTATATAAAAGCGGTAACCTGTTTATCAGCTCCCTCGTAGGGGTTGAATATACAGTGTGTCCCTATGGCCAACCTAGACATGGCAGAGGGCTGTGTCTTAATAGCCACTGATAGGGTTGTACCATGAGAACAAGCTCTCGGGGTCATAAGTACGCTTCAGTTTTCTCAATCCTGGAAGCTTCCCTTTGGTGTACCATGCGGCTGGACCTTCATCCCCATGACTGAAGTGGACATAAGTCTCCAGATCACGGCGTCCACTACCCCGCTGTACCAGGCCACGAATGTCCTTGCCAAACTTATCTAAAGCTGGGATCTGAGCGGGATCTGTTGTAAATCCATCATACGAGCTTTAGAATTCTGTTAGCCATCTCGGTTCACTTTCTTCACTTTAGTCGAGTTGCAGAGGGGGCGTTGAGACTTACAACCAGACAACGACATCCCGGTAGGCAAAGGCGGACGATTCGAGTGGAAACTTCAAATACCCTTCAGGTGAGTACTGAGCCCATGATAGTGTTGCAGGCCGTAGGTTTGGGTTCGCAGTGAGCGTCGCATTCATGTGGTTTAGGGAAGATACTAAATTCTTGACATCGACCTTGTACAGGTTCAGAGTATAAGGGGCGAAGTCAATGCTCTTCTTCGGACCAATGTCGGCGACGTCTCCATAGAGTGCCACTGATGAAAAGTTTGAGTAGGAGGCATCGTTGATAACCTCAAGATATAGAGGGTTCAAATCCAGGAAAGGTCTGATTACCTCCAGAGCTTGCGTTTCGGGGCCAAAATAGATGAAACTGCCGACAAATGACATACCCCCCAGGGTCTCATTGAAGCGAATTGCAAACAGAATAGCAAGCTCTTTCGGATGGTGACCTACGTACTTGTTTGTTGCCTGCCATACCGAGGTGCTCAAGTTCGCGGGGAACATAGCATTGACAACAGTGACCCGCCCTTGGTTTGTAGCTGGGTGAATACGATAATTGAGGGACGTCACCACCCCGAAATTGAAGCCAGCGCCTCTAATTCCATAGAAGAGGTCGGCATTCTCAGTGGCAGACGCTGTCAGGATCTTTCCAGTGCCCGTGACGACCTCCGCTGATATCAAGTTATCAGAGGTGGCGCCGTAGAATCCACCGAGAGGACCGACACCGCCACCCAGAGTGAGCCCTGAAACGCCAACACTAGGACACATGCCCACAGCTGTTTCCACGGATACATCAATATGCGATTTTCTACTGCCAATAGGCGAAGTCAACTTACGGAACTCTTTCCCCAGAGCATGCAACTCTTGGGTGACATTGCCGATGCGGACTGCACCTCCAACCTTCATAGTGTTTCCCGCTGCATCAACCTCAATTGTTTGGAAGTTGCCAAGGTCAAGCTGTATTGCGTTTTGAAGTTGACCAAGTGACCATGTGTAGCCATGGCCTCCACCAGTTGCAAGAAATGGCACCTTCTGGCGTGATGCATACTTGATCTTCACAGATTGTCAGTGGACGATCACGTGTCATCCCTTTGCGGTCTACTCGATCAAACAGTAGCTTACCAGTTTTTGCACGTCCGTAACCAGTTTTGGCTTTGCAGCGACCACAAATTGTGGCGCATGAGTCCCAGAGAAGCGAGCAGTGAAGTCTTGTGCAAATGCAGGATCCGAAGTCAGCACGACCTCTGAGCCCGGTGACAAAGTTGCCTTTAGGTCCTTGATTATTTGTTGAGTTGATACAGAGCCTGCCAGGGCTGCATGAAGGCTGCACAAATGCACCAGCCCGCACACAACTGCAGATCGGAAGCTAATCATCTTCGTTGTCGAATAAGAGAGTGTCCAGTGGGTTGTGTATTCTGTAGATGAAACGAGATGCAATGCAACAGATGCCAGCGAATGGTCTCAAGGGTGGTAACGTCTTATGCCTTATACCCTTTGGTTCGTTTCCGCCTCAGGGAGCATCATCCCTACAGTTACGAGCCAAGGCCGCCAGCCACGAGTCTCACCCCATCGATCATTAGTCTATTTCTTCCCGCCTTATGAAGCAGGCTTTCGACTAGGTATGCACCCGATTGTGAGGTTCTTGGATTCAATCTCCAAGCGCGGGATATCTGCAAGCCGCACTCCATCGGTGTAAGCCGCCCGTGCTATTACCAGAGGGCAGTAAGGTCCGGAACTGTGAGTTGTGAGTAAGTCGGGATGATGCACCGCTTCGGCTTATCTTACCTGCAGATGATTCAGCCTCATTTGAAGCAGGTGTCAATTCGTCTCAGCAATCGGTAACATTTTCCGTCCGGAGGTTTAGGGCTGAATGTAGGAGAACGCCACACGCCAACCCGTTTCCGGTGCATTTCTTCTAAAGCAGTAAGCCTCCGAGCGCCTCCCGGGGTGATCAGTCCAGAATGTTTCTCCCCGTGAAATGTTTGTGGTCTGATTTATCCCATGCATGATCCAGATCGATTCGGAGGGTTCTGTACCGCTAAGCTATCGAACACCGACTCCAGCTGAGGGGATGTAAGCTCGTGGCTGATCCGCTGGAGACAGTGAGCCCCCGGACTGGAATTCAACAACACGCCGAAGGTGACATCACATTCAATAGCCGCATCCCTCAATTATTGTATTGCATACAGGAAAAATGGAAGTCGCGGGTTGCACAGTGCTTTGAGCCTTGAGAATACCAAACAGAACCTTTGCAGTCACTCATGGATCTCTTCTGACGACTCATGAAAGACTATATCATCAAAGTGGCACTTATCTGAGTGAACGTACCAAGTCACACAACTCACAATGCTAAGTTTTATGCCGAGCGAGGATCTCGCCTTTGCTCGAGGCTCCCTAATCCTCGTCACTGGGGTCTCAGGCATGATCGCTGTTCATATTGCCGATGAAGCGCTGAGGGCCGGCTTTCGCGTCCGTGGGACTACGCGCTCACTCGAAAAGGGGCAAGCGGTCACTGAATTGCTTCAATCTCCAAGCTTTGACTTTGCAGTCGTGGAGGACATGGCCGCTGATGGAGCATTCTTGGAGGCCTCAGAGGGCGCTTCTGCCATAATTCACACGGCTTCAATTCACGACTTCTCCAGCAATCTTGAAGATGTGCGTGGGCCGCTGGTCCGAGGAAGTATGAATGTACTGAAGGCTGCGGAGGCTACTTCGAGCGTGAAACGGGTTGTTTTTACTTCCACCACTGGCACAGCTGCCAATCCGAACCCTGGCAGTAGTTTTCATGTCAGCCGCAATACATGGAACCAGACCGCTGTCGACCTCGTGAAGAATACCCCCCCAGAGGCCCAGATCAAGATGGGATTCGATTGGAAGATGCAAGTTTATCGGGTTGCCAAGATTGAGACTGAATTAGCTGTGTGGGATTACGTTGAACAGAACAAGTCACACTTCACCGTAAACGTTATCAATCCAGGCTTAAATTTCGGTAAAGCAATGGGATCTATCGGTGTCAGTGGAAGCCAAGTACTCAGCTTACTTGAAGGCAGTGTTCCTCGAATCCCTTCATGTGAGTTTCCTGTGCTTTTACTCTACCTTCTTACAAGTCCAAACAGGTTCATTTTTGGTGCTAATTTGCTGCCTGGTATGGCGATTAGTATATATGATTGATGTTGTTGATGATGCACGCATCCATGTTGCTGCTGCCATTGACGCAAAAGTAACCGGCCAAAGAATATTCGCATGTGATGAGTCATTCAACTGGCATCTGGTGACAAAGATTATACAGAGACTCTTGCCAGACGCTGAGCTTCCGCTCTCTGACCCCAAGGAGCCATTAGATATTAGCACCATCGAGAATGGACTCGGCGCAAAATTATTGAAGAAATGGTGGGGCCAGCCAGGGTACAAAGGACTGGAACAGTCTATCCAAGAGACTGTGGAGATGTGCTTGGAAAGAAAGAATGGTGATTACAAGCGTCGTAGTCCGTGAACTAGCATGGCATCTGGGTGTCTACCGTGTCTTCAATCCCCATTCAAACCAATATTCATTTCCGGGCCATGTCGAGAACTCCGAATAGTAATTCCATACGTGCATTGCGGTTTACCTGTTTCTTAAGTATGCTTTTCAATTATAGACACTTGGATTTTCAGTTGAGATCTTAAGGATCCAGTCTTAGTTCCTGCTGACTGAAAACGTACATTACTGCACTCGTAAATGCAAATTATGAAAGTGCTAGATATCATGCACCATTTACTGATCATAGCCCGTGATACTGCTTCAATCGAGGGAAAAGTTCCAAGCCAGCATGCAGAGTCTCTTGAGCAAATACTTTATCGGTGGCAGCCAGCTGTTCTGTAACAATTGCACCATGTTCCCAAGGGTAGTCGCTGCCGAACAGGACATGCCCAGGCTTAACAAACTCTTTGAGAAGTCGGAGCTGAGGGTCATGAGCACTGAAGGCAACGTCGATGTAGAACGACCGGGCCTCCTCGATAAATTCCTCTTCGGTCATATCCACGAGCCGGATACGGCAGCTAAGATTAGCTGCTCGTCGCACAACATAGGGCAGCGTCCCTCCAGCGTGAGATAAGATGATTTTGACGTCAGGGAACTCACGCGTCACTCCTGTTGTAATCAGGTGGCAAGCTGTGCGGGTTGTCTCGTGAGTCCAGTCAATGACAGTGGGGGCAAAATGTCGTGGCTCTTCGATCGGCGCCATGCCCTCGAACCCTGGGTGGACTAGCGCCACGGCCTTCCGGCGGTTCAACTCAGCCCAAACGTCCCGGAAATCAGGGTGGCCGAGATATCGTTGGGCATAACTGCTGAATATAACCACACCGTCTGCCCTAAGTTCGTCCAAAGCATAGCGGATTTCTTCGATACAAGCCTTGCTCTGATCCATAGGCGGCAACGTGGCGAGGAACCCGAGTTTGCTTGGGTGCTCGTCGCGAAGCTTCGCCGTATAATCGTTTATCTCCCGGCAAATAGGCCCCACCTCAATCTGGTCTTGAACATAGGGGTGGACAGGATGGCCCATAGACAAGATGACTGTGGAGAGGCCAACCTCGTCTATCAATCCCAGGGTGCCCTCTGGGGACCATTTCGGAAGTACGAGGCCGCGGGCTTTTTCAATGTTGGAAAACCACACTTGTCTCTCAGTCAGGACTCAAGCTTAGATTCGAATTCGCGATTACAATTCTGAAAACTCACAATCTCTGAATCTTGGAGGAATAAGGTGATGGTGCGCGTCAATTGTCCCAACCATTTTATCTCCCATTTTCTCCGTCGTGTGATGAGAATTTATAGATATTTTTTCAGAGTAAAGATTGATTTCATGGGATTATGCCAATTCTACGATCTGAAACCAGAAGAAGTTGGCTGGATGGGTGACACGATGTTGATTCAGTCTATGTGGATATGAAAGGATAGCGATGAAATGAATATATAACTGCCACTAAATGCGGACACTTTCTCGGAGGCATGGAGGTTACAAACTGGGTCAGCAAGCCGGATATGATTCGGCGTTGATAATTTGTCAGATCGTTTTTATTCCTCCGTGTCAGACTGCACAGTGGCTCCGGCGTGTTTGTCGCGCCAAAGGGCCGGTAGACAGCGCTGTGGCTTACACAATGCCGACAAGGCTCCGTGTTTCCCCCCAATCATGGTGATGATCGAAGAAATGTTCCGATAGTAGGTGATGGGCTTGTTGAAAGAATATAACGTGCTATTTAGAGGTAAATTGAAGGCATTGTACTGAGTAGTGAAGTGTAGACCGACTCATAGACATACCAACCACAACGATGGCGATTATAGACTCCATACTGTGGAGCAGCTTCGCGCGCATCTCCGTAGTGGAGCTTATTGCATTGGGGTTTGTTCTGGTGAGCTCAACTGCGATGCAAATGCGCCATCCTTTAGTACGAGCTAAACAGCAGTTAGTATGCAACATACTACTTCATCTATGCGGTTTACGCTGCTACATTCAGTCCCCTTGCCAAGATTCCGGGGCCTCTCGCGCGAAAGTTTTCTTATCTCCCCTGCGTCTTCATGAGCCTGCAGGGTCGAGAGTCTCATGCAGTCAGAGATCTCCATCACCAGTATGGCCCAGTTGTCAGGGTGAACCCTGAAATGGTCTCCTTCACCAATCCAACGGCATGGAAAGAAATCTATGGGTATCCTGGCGTCAAGAAATTCAAGAAATCGGGGTATCGTCAGCTGCGGCCTGGTGTGCCCGACTTGCTCACAGCCAATGGTACCGATCATGCCCGGCAAAGAGCTGCGCTGAACCGGGCATTTTCCGAGAAGGCGTTACGAGAACAAGAACATTACTTTCAGGACCATGTTCACCTGTTTCTGACGAGACTTGACGAGAGATGTGCCCAGAAACAGTCTATCAACATCACTCAGTGGATTGAATTTCTTGCATTTGACATCATCGGCACTCTAGCCTTCAGCAGCCCTTTTAATTGCCTTGAGGATCAAGGATATCACCCTTGGGTACTTCTGCTTCTCAACTTCTTCAAGTCAACTCACTGGGTTCTTGCGGCAAGAATGTGTGGCATCTTCTTCCCACTGGTGCTTGCGTTTGGTCCGATACGAGATTTGCAAAAAGGCGAAGAACACCTTCGCAGGAGCTATGCCAAGGTGCAGGAGCGAATCAATATGCCCGAAGACGAGGAGCGCAACGACTTTTGGACCTATATCTCCCGCCAGAACGAACAAAAGGAGGGCTCAATGTCAGTACAGGAAATGGAGGTCAACGCCGCTCTCCTGATTCCCGCTGGAAGCGACACGATTGCAACTACCGTGTCGGGTTGTCTATACCTTCTACTGAAGCATCCCAACACACTGGCACGGCTCCGGAAGGAACTTGAAGATGAATTCGTATCCGAAAAAGACATCACGATGGCACGATTAGCCGCGCTTCCGTATATCCGTGCCGTGGTTGAGGAAGCTCTCCGCATGTATCCGCCTATTTCTGGAGAGTTGCGCCGGGTGGTTCCCCGAGAAGGAGCCGTGGTATGCGGACACTTCATCCCTGGAAACACCATCATCAGCGTCTACGCATTTGCGGCTTGTGATAACCCCGCCAACTTCGCACGACCCAAGCAGTTCACCCCTGAGAGATGGCTTCAGACGGATGAGCGGCCTACATGGACACGGAATGACCATCTTGAGGCGTCTCAGCCGTTTTCAGTTGGGCCACGAAACTGCATTGGTATCAGTCTGGCATATGCAGAGACGAAGCTTATCTTAGCGCGGCTACTCTTTCGTTTTGACCTTGAGCTTTTGGACGACGACTTTAACATTGAAAACCAGAAGGTCTATGTCATGTGGAAAAAACCTCCACTATCGGTGAACCTCACCAAACGGAGTGCTACAGATCGAAAAACCTCTAGCTAGTACATATACACCCTCTTGAGGCATCAATGGATAGTCTGGGAAGAAAAGGAATTGGTCCATCACCACCTGTCAGCGAGAATCTAGGTCGGTCAATTGGGGTTCCAGGCGGTAAATAGTTTTTTGTCAATAGGTAACAAGAAACGAAATGGAGTCATTTACATTTTGCGCTGTCGTTGAAGGCATCTTCACTGGTGATTCATGGAAGTGGAAGTGGGATGATGTGGTAACATCGACTTGCAGTGAGCAACACACTTTTTACTGCTCCGTGGCTCAAATCGGGAATTGATGCACACAACCTCATGGTTGAATCAATCTTCATTTGTTGTAGCGACATATAAAACTGACACGTCCTCATGATATCTATGTCTGTTCCATCTAGACTCGTGGGAATGCTGTGCCATGCCACGCCATCGAGGCAGACCTCAATGACGTGAAGTGGACGATCTATCAATTTGCACGGCTCGGGACAATTACTTCCACAAAGCCCGATCAATTCATCGATTGTGCAAGGCTCACTGTTGGATTGGATATTTTGAGCCCATCCGGGACAAGATCTGGGGCTGTTCCCTGGTAGCACGCGCGGCCTGAGAGATCACTTCAAATGTTGGCCATCCGTAGCAGGTCCACGAGAAATTCCATGGCTTCGATTTATTGTCTACTGAAACTTACCCGCGACACTAGTAGGGCAATCAACACAAATCTTACATCTCCATCCTGCAGCTTGCCGGGGGCGAGGCATTTCGAATCTTTGTGGACAAATCAAGACACGCGTTATCGACACCGGTAGCGTCGACAACCTTTTTGCCCAATTGATCTGGCAATTTGCCATTGGCACGACGATGTGGCTGATACGCTTGCCTGCCTTGCACCTGCCGTGTAACCATAAGCTGGGTGGTAGCTCCCGGACCGGCATGTTTTGCCTTTTCTGGATTCGTGGCGTGTCTCTGGACGGAGATATCGGGTTTTGCTCCGCTCAACCTCATCCGTCATCTGGGTATTCCCATCCAACCCTCGTCAATCCCTCTACCTTTGAGCTAAAGTCCAGAGACCTCAGGAACAACCTAGCTATCTTGAAGTGAAGAGCAAACTCAGTGACAGATCTCGAAAACAAGCAGAACACAATGAAAGAAGCCCTGGTCAGTAAAGGTAAAGCAATCGGAGCCAAGCGGGTGCCTGACATAGTTGAAGGCATATGTGCTAATCTACTGTAGGACCACTGGTCCAAATCGTCGATAGCCCAGTCCCTGAGCCAAATGACGACCAGCTTTTGATCAAGGTTGTCGTCAGTGGCTCCAATCCGAAAGACTGGAAGCTACCGGAGATGCAGAACTTGACAGCCAACGCTGGCGATGACATTGCTGGTATCGTGGAAAAAGTCGGTGCCAATGTCTACGAGTTCAAGCCCGGAGACCGTGTCGCCGCCTTCCATGAAGTCAAGACCGAAGGCGGAAGTTATGCCGAGTACGGCATTGCTTGGCAGCACACCACTTTCCACATCCCGAAGCAGACCAGCTTTGAGGGTAAGTTCGCCTTGATCTCTCGACTATCTTGTTCAATCATGTCACTTATATAAGCTAACCATGTATGCCTTGTCGATAGAAGCAGCGGCTATTCCGCTGGCAGCAATGACTGCTGTAGTAGGCCTTTACCAGCACCTTGCCCTCCCGCAGCCCTGGTCGCTACCGCTTCCTGAGACCCAGACACGGGAAACCCCTCTGGTTATCTATGGCGCTTCTAGCTCCGTAGGTTTCTACGCGCTGCAACTCGCCCTTCGCAGTAATATTCACCCAATCATTTGCGTTGCAGGACGTGCCAGCGAGTACGTCAGAGGTTTCATTGACAAGAGCAAGGGTGACACCGTGATCGACTATCGCGAGGGGCCAGAAGTCGTCGTCGACAGTATCAAGAAGGCCCTCGAAGGCAAGCCAGCAATCGGCCACGTCTTCGATGCCTTCTCAGAGAGCAACAGTGCAGCGGTCATTGGGCAAGTTTTTGAGCAAGCGGGAGACGGCAAGACTGCCAAATTCACCTTTACATCCTGGGGAAACAAGCCGGAGATTCCCCAATGGGTGCAGCAGAACATGGTTTTCGTGGGCAGCGTTCATATGGCTCCACAAGCAAAAGATCTTGCCTACGTGTACTTCCGATACATTGCTCGCGGCTTGCAGGAAGGGTGGTTTCGTGCACAACGCACAGAGGTTGTCCCTGGCGGGTTGAACGGCATTCAGAAAGCACTAGAGAATCTGAAAAATGGCAATGCAAGTGCATTGAAGTATGTCTTCAGAATTGAGGAAACCGGGCAGCTAGCAAACTGAGCGCTTCAGAACTAGAATAGGTAGAAACAACTCGTGATGTTAATTGGAGATTTCCTCATGGTATGACCCTCTAATGCATGGTCACCTTCAAGATAGTAAAGGGCGCATACTGCAGATGCACATTTGTTTCCCGGGGCTGCTTCTTTCACTCATATCCTTATTTCATAGCTTTTCGTAAGGAATGGGTGCTATCTCCTCAATTGCGTATTGTCGTGTTCCCACGACGCTTAACTAAAACTCGACCAACTCCATTCCCGCTGCAGGGTATCTGTCACCATGCACAGGAAAGCTATTCAGGATGGTCGAAATTGATTTCAAGTCCTCTCCAGTCAGATGAACGGTCTCGGCATTCTCTTGCACCCTCGCCTTCGATCTGGCTCCGGCGATTGGAATGATCAAAGGCACTCCAGGCCTCTGGCTTTGCAGCTTCAACCACGAAAGAGCAAGCTGCGCTGGCGTAACTCGTTTGATCTTCGCCAGTTTCTCCAGCTCGGCTACCAGGCCTAGATTCTTCTCGAAGTTCGCCGGCTGGAAGCGTGGGAACACGCGAGGATAATGTCCAGAGGGTAGATCGTTGAGACTTTTGAGTTGGCCTGTGAGCATGCCAGCCCCCAGTGGCGTGTGGGCAACAATAGGAATCCCCAGTTCGGCACAAGTGGTTGTCACGCCATTGCTGAATACTTCAGTTGCCCACAGGCTGACCTCGTCTTCGACCATGTCGATCTTGGCCACGGCAGCTGCTCGACGGATGGTGTCTCCCCCAACCTCGCTCAGTTGGATGCCGCCGATTTCGCCTGCGGCCACGAGCTCAGCCAAGGCCTGCACAGTTTCCTCAATTGGCACCTTCCGGTCGACACGGGCCATGCCGAAAACATCAATCTTCTTGTGGCCGCCCAGGATCTTGTTGGCTTCTGCCGCAAAGTGTCGGACCATCTTTGGGGAACCGTCAATGCTGAGCGTCCGCATATCGACTATGCCACTCTTAATACAGATAACCACTCTATCTGCATCATCGGGGTATGCAGCAAAGTAGCGCGCAAGTAGATGCAGAGAGTTGTGTTCCGGCGTGCCATAGAAATCCGCGCCGTTCCAAACGTTGACGCCCGCATCGAGAGCCGCCTTCAGCACTACAAAGGCTTCATCATCTGGCAGCACTGATCCTGGCAACGTCATACCTGCCCATACCTTTAGTATCATCAGGGAGAGGGTGGGAGGCGGACCGTACGCATTAGCCCAAGGCCGTTTTGGCCGACTGCTTTGCCGGCGAGAGTAGCCATCGTACTGCTCAGATCCGCCGATGAAGATCAGTGTACTCTGCTTGAGGTGTTTGATTTTACTGTGGTCACTGAACCCGACAGTACAAGCGTGATTGGTGATTTATCTCAGGGTAGTTAATTGGATTAGTACCTTAGTAGGTACGTACCGTTTGGTGCCGGCGAGTTTCTCCAATTTCGACTTGCAACCCCATGCGGCATGGATTTAGCGGAAAAGCCGCTTAAGTCCAGACTCATTGCTACACCAAAAAGCCACATCGGTGTGTCGGGAGAAGGCGTGACCGATGTTTCGTCAGGGAAAAGCAATGCATAAAACGGCTTTGTACAGGGTGAAGAGGGCAATCAAGACAGCAGTCCCAAAGCTAGAGCCATGAAAACCTCTGCCATTCTCACAACGTAAGCATGGGTATGGAATGCAATTACAAAGGCTGCTTAGGTTCCTAGGTGATTTCATTTTCTAGAGGCCTTTTTCTGTCCGTGGGTATCTAAATCTCGAGCTAGACAAACTTATGGTACAGGTCCAGCTTGCATGCCGACTTGGATAGTAGGTAACCTCGCCGCCGCGGTCGGAGGTTCATCACCACCCCTACACAGGAGTCAGCTCTGTTCGTTGTACCGTTATGGGACAATATGGACTATTCCCTGGTTGACTGTCGCCCTATCTTGCTTAGAGTGATGCATTGGTGCTGTATCAAAGCTTGTCCAACGGCGAGGCCAAAGGCCCCAAGACGGCGCGGTGACAGGGTTCAGAAAAAGCTTAGACAGACTCTGATAGAGTCTGGGAAGAGGCAAGGTAAAGGAAACCCACTGTGTCCACCAATATCGGTTGTTTGGATCATCTGACACAATACATTCAGCCCATTTGGGCTCCTCGTACTGGTGCCGAAAGCGACGTCTTGCGTCCTTGAATCTGTCCCAGGTGAAGTCCTTGCACAAGACATCCTTGAGAAACCTTTTCTGAAGCTTCTGCATTCTTTTCGTCCGCTGCTTGATTCTCAGGCCTCTGTAAGGATCATACAGGTGCGCCGGGTCCTGTTGCCACTCCCAACAAAGAATTTGCTCACGGCACCGCGTACAGTGACCATTCTCCAACCAATAATATTTGGTGAGCGTCTTCCTGGAGCACACGCCAAAGCCATCCCCAGATCGAGGCGGTTCTCCGTACGCCTCTTCCCAGACATCCTTGGCTTTGGTGCAGACCTTGACGTACCACTTCATCGGGACATCTGTGCGATGTTGCACAGAGAGATTACCTCGATCTGGGGGAAGCAGGGAATGGCGGTTGTGGCATTCCGCTCTGACGCAGACAGGCCGTACTGCATACCGCTTACACATTGCTATTACGACCGTTGTAATTGCTCGTCCACGTAGTGTAGAATAGGTTAGGCAAGGCAAGTCTGTTGCAAAACGGAACCAGAATGACCATTTGCCAAAGGGACGCTCTCTCGGGGCGCAAGCCCGACTCGTACATAAGACACTAGCGGGCATCTAGAATCTGAATCAGATTTCTGTTATGTGCATCACAGCTCTTTAGGGACTCATGCTCATGTTACTTATTCATGATTCTGTCATTGGATAATATTCACCCTCTGGTCCAGAGAATTCACCACTGAAGCCCTGGGTCGGCGTTGAGCATTGCACCGAGCCACAGGCCGATACACTCAAAACACTTACTCTCGCGCATAAAAACACAAACCGCGCACCGTCCGAATATTCATGGACAAGTTCTGCACTAGTACCTAGGCGGTAGTTAAGGGACGGATAGTCTATTCTCAGGCGTGCATGAGGCACGATGCAGATTATGATGATTCTATGCAGGTCGATACCATGAATGGACATCTGTCTACCCATTGTCTTTTCGAGCCCTGATCTTTTCGAACAAAAATCTGCCCAATTTGACAGACGGCTCATCCACCAGCCTCCAGTAGTAATCAGAGGAAATTATGATCAAAATAAAGACGACAAAGTACATGAGGTAGAAGCTGCCGTCCTTGGACCACTGCAACTTATAATAGAAAAAGTTCATCATCTCCACGCCAGGCCACAAGTACGTCAGCCAATGCAGCAGGTAAAAGGAGAAGCTGATGTCACCGAGGTACAAGACCGGCGGTGTTGACAGCAGCCACTGTATCCATGGCAGATTCTCGCATGCGACCAGGAAGAGAAATCCACCTATGCTGCCCCAGAAGCAAACTGTGGTGTCATTGGTGACCCGGTACATCAGCGGTGTCAGCTTATTGATCGTGTTGAACGGCTCGATCTGTTGATGGCCGCTGGCGGGCCATCCGAGCACAAGTACCGAGAATAGGAGCAGGACCGAGGCTAGAGCAGTCTTTATCTGGCGGCGGCCGCGCGAGGGATGAAGATCGTCGGAAGTAGGGCAGGCTTGTAAGCCGTCGGTCGGCATGGTCGCGCGGCGGGATCTCGGTATGAGATACTCGAAGTCCTCGGACAGCGGGCAGTAGCGCAGCTCTGCCAGGAACATTCCTTCAATGAAGCATGACATATCCCAACGGCCCCAATACATTGCCCATATTGCAGAAGCGATGAACAACAGTTTCCGCATCCTGGTCGATAGTTCAGAAACCGCAAGACACAGCATGAATATGACCAGTGATCCTCGGTACTCGGTGCCCAGCGTCCAACAGTGGTCAAACGACATCGGTATATACACCTCCCAGTAGTATGGGTTCATGACCGTTATCGTGATCTGGTAAAAGTTCCACATGTGGATGGTGAACGTAGGACTGAACTCGCGCCATCCTCCCGGGTTGAACGATGGGTAATACCACGTGAGGACACAAGTGATGGCGGCGAGGACGACCATTGGGAGGAACAGTCGGATACCGCGGCGCAGGAGACCCGAGCACAGCTTCACGGTGAGGTCGTTGGTCGAGTCTGGAGACTTGGCGGCGGATACGATGGTGCGCAGGGGCGAGTAGGAGAGGATGAAGCCCGAGAGCACGAAGAACACGCACACCATGCTCTTGCCGGCCAGCATGGTCCGGAGCACGGGCAGTTGCAAGATCCCATGGTTGAGCTCGGGAGGATAGGCGCCCCACGGGTTTCCGAACGCCTTGTAGTAGTGCCCCGTGACGTGGGCTGAGAAGACGACGACACAAGCCAGGCCTCGGATGCCGTTCATGTAAGTAGTTGAAGTTACCTTGGCTTGCTTGCGACGGGATTTGCCGAGAGCCGCGGTCAGGAAGAACGGTAAGAGACACCAGAGCCAATCGAAGCGCCCCTCAAGCCACCGTGGTTGAGTTCGAGGGAGAAGCTCGGGGTTGCCGCCTTCGGCGACGCCTTCTTCAGCATCTCCGATAGAGTCGTTGGAGAGTTCGTGATACTCGGCCTCCGATTCCTTCGTATGGCTGGGCCCTACATCCTCCATTGGGAGTGACTCCAAGTTGGGCATGTTGAGATCAAGCCTGTTCACAACAGCCGTTCACATTGAGGGGTGAACACACGAGCACACCGGGCTGCTCCGACTCCTCGTTCCCTCTGAAAGTGTGTCTTGCGTCGTTATATACGTTTCTAAGGTGTCCCTATAAGTGGGTACATTCTCAGGAGTTCGCGTGCGGCGTGTTTAAGACAACACTAGCCTGTGGTGAACCTACAGCGAGCCTATCAACGCCACCAATATGTCGACCGTACTGCCATTTGAGTCAAGTGGCAATAGGAATGTCTTTGAACAGTACGCTAGATTCGCGAAAGAAAAGACAGATTCCACGAGTTTTTCGATTGCTTAAGTGCCAGGCCTGTAGCATAAAAATTGCTCCTCATTGTCCGATTCATAATTGTGTTCCTGACATGGGTGCATTCCTGTTCCATTGCCCTTTATATCCCAAGGAACCTATCCAGAGTGTTTGATAGACGCCTTGCTAACAAGTAGACTCTCAACCTTCCACAACTCCAGCATGGATGCCAGAAGACTACGAGAGAGCCAGATATGTCTGTACCTTTCACACATGCATGGTTCAATAAAACAGCTCTATTCGATAGCATCACACGGTTGTTCGTTCGCGAGCTGCATACCAGAAAAGCCCGTCGTAGGCCATACAGATGGCGCTCCCCCTGGCCCCGTATGCATTGTGGCGCCGGAAACACAGGTCCGGTACAGTGACTCTCAGACTAGAGCCTCGGCAACAAGTTCGCTTCGTGCAGGGCGGATGAAAAGGGGGCCACATGGGCTCCAATTCATTGTGGTCAATTATGAATAATGACGCGACCTCTCGCGGTCAGCATGCAGCTAGGAATTTGCGACATGCATAACCGCAGAACTTGACACCTGTCACACACGGAGCAATGCAGGAGGCTGTGACCGCACGGATTTCTGCGTCTCCCTGTTCGCCCATCTTATAGCACTTTGGGGCGCGTAAATTCGTAGAATTTCTAGAACACTTTAGTTTGATCTAGCGATGCTGGGTCGAGCCACCTCGGTTCGATGGCAGCAGGGCTATCACAGATGCCAGACACGCCCACGCCAGGCTGTTGGAATCGACAGAGCTCGCTCGAGCAGCTGGACACCAACTAACTCATATAGTTATCATTGGTTGACTCTGGCAAGTTTCTTTCTTCGGGCCAATGGCATAGTCCGTAGCGTTGCGTCCTCGATAGCTAGGTTCGGATTCCCGTACCAAAATGCCTACAGGCCCTACACTGGACTGCATGCATTGCAATGCAATCCATGGACACACCCAAACCGTAACCTGGTGGCCGTGGATGCTCTGGCACTATGCCAACGGGGTAGACTGATCTGATCATATGTGTAATATTGGCCAGAAGACCTGAACCTGCTGGATTTCCAAGTGCGTCGTGCCATTGTTGCATCATCGAGAGATTCACAGCATCGGTCGGTCAGTGTGCCATTGACCCACCTGCCATTGAGGGCCAAGCCAAGGTGCCATTGGCTCCCCTGGATTGGTGCCTGTAGCGCAAGGCAGCCAAGAATAAGCACCCGCCAGGTGCTCTTAGGTAGCGCCCGAGCTCCCAGTCAACCAGTAACTAGCGCATTTGCCCCCAGTAATTTTGCTACAGGGATCAGCTCAAGCCAGCCAGCAGCCAGGCTGATGAATGGATGCATGCATGAATGAATGAAGCTACTCCCAGCCTCGGGGATTTTCGCAAACATCGCCAGCTTCACTTCTGGAGTTCGCGCATCTACGCTTGCGACACGGCACATTCAGGGACATATGTGCATGTTGCGTCCACTCTTTTCGCGCATCTATTGATTGGATCCAATTCCACTTTTGCCTGCCACTGCTCCATAATGCGGTAGCGGATCGTCTCTACGCCACATCCCACTCGTACTCTCGTTTCGTTCCAGAACATCTTCCAGCAAGCATGGCCGACGAATTCCACGACGACCCCATCGAGGAGAAGCAGTCTGCCGCCGGTGGCGATGTGGAGATGGGCGATGGCGCCGGGGAAGGGACCATCGAGGACGGCAACCCGGACGCCACTCAACTGCCCTTTGCCGAGGGTGGTGATGGCCCCGAAGTCGAGCAGCGAATCCAGTTCGTCGACTACCTCCAGAGTCCCATTGTGACCCTCATAGTCGGCGACGGCGGCGCTTCGACGGTCCTCACAGCCCACCAGGCCCTGCTCACACAAAGCGCCTACTTCGCCGACGCTTGTGCCGCCTTTAGCGACGATGGCAGTGTAAGTTCACCAGCCGACTGCGGGTGCGGCCTCATGGGCGCCATGTCGATCACGCATGTTGAGACCAAGAGCTAATGGAACTCGTCCCAGCCCCGCCAGATAGAGCTTGCCGCCGACAATATCGATGCCGTCGGCTGCTTCCTAGAGTTCCTGTACACCGGAGACTACTTCCCGAGAAAGCTGCCCGGCCAGCGCGTGCTCGAGTCCGACCCCTCCCTGCCCGACGTTGACGAGACGGGCGACCAGCTGCTGAAGCATGCCCGCGTCTACACCATGGCCGAGAAGTTCGGCATGGGCAAGCTGAAGGGCCTGGCCACGAGCAAGATCCACTGCGTCAACTCCACCGCCAAGGGAGAGATTGCCTACGCACGCTACGTCTACGCATACACCGGCAAGGAAGACAATTCCATCCGCGCCCCCGTTGCCAACTTCTGGGCGACCCGCAGCCACACCCTTCGGGCCGAGGCCGAGGAGGAGTTCCGGGGGCTGTGCCTGGAATATCCTCAGTTCGGTTACGATGTACTCAGTAAGTTGTCTTTGCAGCTCGCTACGTCTTGGGTGGCGAAACTGACAATGTACAGCACGCGTATTGGACGAGAAGCTCAAGCGCGATGGCCAGACCAAACTACATCCAGGTGCAGGGTCTGGGCGCAAGAGACCACGACACAACGTGTAGACGAGCTGGTTCGTTCATTTTCCGCATCAAGTAATGCCATCACACGGTTACACGCGGATAGGTGCCGGATATACCCCAACACGGCTTCGCCTCGGCGCTGTATAATAGCAAGGACAGCGGAATCTGGTCACAGACGCAGATGCGATTATTCTTGGAGTCTGGGGAACATGATGCGGATTGCCATTGGTTCGGGTCACATTCTGGGGTTTGCTCAGAGAGCCCAGGTCTGTATATTATAAGAAGCCAATCAGGTGTTCGAGATGAGGACGGCGGCGTTGCGACGCCTCGCTTGCCTAAGAACCTGGGTCGTATTGGCTGTAAGAAATCGGAACGGCTGACACCAGGCTGATACCACAATCGAGGGGAGAGGAATTGGACTCTCAACCCCTACGTAGTTTTGTGGTAGCTGAAATGTGAGCTACAAATGACAAACTGCTCCGTCGGCCATTGATTGGCTTACTTGCTCAAGCGCGGCTGGCATAGCTCTCAATCTCGGATCTTGAACCAGTCAGAACAATGCAGGACATGCCGCCACCTGAGTCACGTACCGCGCTGGTTCTACCAAGACGTTGGCAGTGCATCGCGCCATTAACGGATCACGCGCCTGGAGGCTGCAGGGATGTGTCTTTGTTGGCGTAGGGCTGAATATTGCATGTCCCTTTCCACCACGAAGTGCCTTCCTAGCTGGTGATCTCCTTTTTTAGTTCAGGCTCCCAGGATACCAGGATTCGGTTTCAGGCTCGTGGTCAATGAGAATTATCAAGTCCTAATTGCGATCGGTCTGGCCGCTCTGCAGGAGCTTGGCAGCGTTAAACGGGCTTATTAGGGTGTCATCATGAATATTATGCACAAGCTACATGTGTAAACTGCCAACACTCTTGAATCTGCCTTTTTACAGCGTCTTTTGCTCGCAACTGGTGATTCAACTTGAAATGTGCGCATTAGGCCGCGGTTTCGAAGAAATTATAATGATTCATGACTTGAACAACGCTAAACTATTTCGCTCATATGCACTTAACTATATTCAAGACTATTAAGGTCAATGGACGTGATATCTCTTTATACCAGCGCTAACTGCAGTCCTTCGGCTTGAATGCCACTGAGATCGCCTTGGTTCAGGAAGACCTGCCGGGCCTAACCAAGTACCTAATGGGGGTGGGTAGGCAACTGGTGCACCTGCTGTCCTGGTGCTGGTGTCCCATGCGGGCTATACGGCACTTGTTGAGGCCCCCCAACCTGAGGCTGGCCGACTTGCTCCGGCGAGTACACACCACCCTGCCCGGCATAGGCTGTATTTTGCTGAGTGTAAGGGTCGTATGGCTGGTTCTGGTTGTACTGCGGTACGGGTGCCCCTTGTTGGGAGTATCCGGTGTGCTGAGGATATACCTGGTTCTCGGCCCATTTCGGCTGTGGCTGTTGCTGCTGTTGCGGGTAACCCTGTTGTTGCGGGTAGCCCTGCTGTTGGTTCAGTAGAGGCTGGCCCTGTTGCGGCTGGAGCTCTGTGCCTTGTTGGTATTGTTGTGCACCAGGAGCGCTGGCCGTCGTTCCAGCCTGCTTCTCGACATCGGAGACGCCCTTCGGGTACGCCAGGCGGAATTGATGACACAGGTAGGCGAAAGTGGCAACGTATAGCAGCCTTTACCAGAATCGTTAGTATTAATGGGAGGTTCTCGTGGCCCATGACAAAGCAGTAAAGATGCTCACATAATGATAGCACAGACACCCGCCACACCGCTCATCAACGCCAAGGCCTCTTTTGTTGCGACACCTGCGCGCTTCGTGATCGTGCAGACTCCACTGTTCACGCTGCTCCCGTCGCTGACACACGTGGCGTTCACCGGGAAGCGGAAATCCGCGCGCTTGCTCGCTATGGCGCCCATGGCGGACAGCCAGAAGATGATCATTAGACCATCGAGCGACAGCACCGCCCAGGTGTTATAGGCGCGTTGGCAGGATGCGACCTTCTCGGACAGGATAGCGTAAACGGTGATGACCCAGGTAAATATAACCTGTAGCCTGGTGTTAGCACTCACTTTGCTGGTGGGCCTTGTTGCGAGCCCAGTGGTCGGTAGGGGTTAACTTACACAAACGATGCCGAAACCGAGACTGTCTAGGTATAGACCATGAATGAACCAGCCGGAGCCACCGATAACGATGAGCGAGAGGATGAACTGGATGATTCGCACCACCAGTACCCAACCGGGCGTTGGTATAATCTCGGATCCGTCCTTGCTGGCCATGTTGGCTAGAATCGGTAATGCTGGGCTCTCTACTTGAGTGATCGGTGGACGGAGTCTTTGACACAGCAGAGGTCTTCGCCGATGAGGATGCCAAGAAAGATTCGGTGGTAACTCGCTTTTCCCCTTAACTTAACCGACCGAAAAGCAGAATGATGCACGCTCGACCGGAAATCTTTGCCTCGAGCGTGGGACAGACATCCATCTAATATGCTGTGGGCCCGGCCTCTGCCTATAGTTCGTCCCGCGCGGCATCCGACACGAGACGAGACCCTCACGAAAATATGGCCTGACAGCTGGGCTGCCTGTCGGCATATTGGTTCGCCAGAGTACGTGCAAAATTGCACGCAGACCTACCTGGACATGGACCCCAGCCGCCTGACAGCTCGCTTCTCAGCTGCAACATCGGCAAGGTGAGGCTCCACCCGTGCTTCAGTAGCGCCTCAGCCGCACGCAAGCTCAGTGACACACGTTGGACCCCTCGTCCGCATATCGGCCATTCAGAGTCCCCCCAGAGCGCCTCAATTGGGCACCCGTTCGCTGAATCTGCCTGTTGTCTCCTTGGCAAGGCGGAATTCAACCGCTAGGCATGGCTTCGGTATGGCGCGGGCTGTTTTTCGCCGTTTCATGCATCGACGTTAGAGCAGGCACGCACGCAAACACGAGGGTTTTGGTGGAGCTGACTACTGAAGTTGAATTATGCTTAATTGAAACAGGCGGCGGCTGGTGTCTTGTGATGTCTCTCCGGTATAAGCGTGAGGCAGGTATTTCATGTGGATGTATCAAGATACCCGAAGGACACCAAAACCTTGGAGAACGGAGCTTGTCTGCCTTGATGAACAATAGCCGCGATTCCCTCTTGGAGCTGCGGCATCAGCTCCATGGCCCTATATCTTGATGCTTGACAGCCCCAGTGCGTACCGATTGACTTCCCATACATCTCAAGCGACTCAGAGTGCGAGTTCAGCTGAATCTAGGGTAGGAGGCAGATGCCAATAACCCACAGTCAAATGCACAGAGTTATGTATGCTACGAACGTCGTCCACATATATCACAAGCATCTGATATAGACTTCAGGCTGTGAATGTCTAAAGATATTGATAGGCGTGCTCAACTTTGTGATTCCTTGTGAGCCTGTGGTGTTCGAACACTCGTCCATCTGGCATACTTAATGAAGCACGAGGGACATAGATAGTTGTACGGTAACAAAACCTCTTCCCTCGAAGTAAGAACTCAAGACTCTAGGGCAAGGGGAATGTCCCAATCATGTCAACGGAGCCAGGTTGGTTGTGGAGAGCTTGGCGGCTGAGCTTCAGACCATACCCAGTGCCGGCTGGAAGACCCACCTATCCCTGGAATCCACTGCTGAATAACAACATTGCAGCAGACAGGGGCGATTGGTCGGCTGCCTAAGGCCGGGTAACGTATGGAATTATTACCGAAAAAGAGGAATGAACGAGAGAGACCCTGGTAAGATACATATCATTGGCATCAGCAACGCCCTTCCGTTTAATTACATAATACCTGGCAAATGTATATCAACGGTCAGTTACACCACAGTTATCCATATTTCCATGCCATCGCCAGGAACGCCATCTATGTTGTTCGTGATAGCGTCCAGTAATACTCCGGCTATACAATATCTATAGTCTTCTCAGCGCTTACTTCACATGTACCACGCCGAAACAACTCGCCCTTCATGACCGCTTGAACATAACATTAGCTAACGAAGTTGAACTCGCCCTTTCCATGATTTTCCAATGGTCGCAGCACGAATGGAACTTTCCCCCCTCTCAACACCCACGCCTCATCTCCAGGTTGTGTATCCACGTGACCTATTCCCATCAAACCCATATTGGTGATAAGAAAAGACTGGTTCGCGACTGTGCCGTTTGTCGTCCGCCGTATATTAATGCTTGCATCATAGGAAAGTGCCTCGTCATATTCATCTCCTGACACCGGAATAGTGCGCAGTTCACATATTATCGGGGCACCGTAGCTGCGACAGGGTAAAAGGTCCAAAACAATTATCTCGTCGTTGGCGAGCATCTTGATAGGGATAGTCAGATGGAACTTCTGTGGACATAGTTGAGCTGGCCGAATGCTTCATTTTATCAATCGATTGTTTTTAGAAGTGGCATTATTCCCTGGTGGCTAGCATTCTAAAACAGGTGGACGACTGGGGTTGATAAGCCTATAGGTGGGCTGACTGCGTTTCACCGCCCAAGATTTCCACCTACTTGTGTACGAAGGCAATTTATAGCGACAGAGGGATCTCAACGAGTCCTTGTGCCGTGAATTAGGCATGGTTGTTGATGGGTGGACGGGGCTGAATGCCTGGAGGCACTTGTTCCCACAGGTTCCTTTTCCACACCGGGTCACCTACCTGAATTCAGGCTTGCCTTTCGACCTAATCAAGGCCCTTGCCTCCGCCTAGACCGCTAACACCACGGTATGAGGGTGCGGTAGATACAACTGCAAGACTGAGTCTTGCCCTTCTAAACATCCTATAGAGTGGCGCGTTCATGCATGCCGTAGCGTCGCATTCAGAATTCGGCCCGGAGGGCGTATGGTCCAAGGTCGGGAAGCCTGCAGATGGCTGCCCTGACAAGCGTATGTTGTTTTTCTTTGCTATCAGCCTTGCCTAGGGCTATTCAGCAACACTTGTGCTTCATTATGGCATGGTGCCCGGCCTTCTTGTTTTGCGGCCATTTCTGGATGCCATGCTCGTAATACGGAAGCCGGTTGCAAAACAGCACGCGGTGCGGCCAAGGCGATCAGGAACGGCAGACTCTATAGACGGCACCAATGAGTCAACCGGCGAATGCGATCCACGCTGTACATTTTGCATTCACACTCCGAGCAATGTGGCGACCTCCCATGGTGTGATCTGAGGAACCAGAAACAGGAATTGTGCACTAAGAGCAAAAAATACGAGACAGCCTGTGAACCTTCATCGCTGCCAATCCTACCTCAAACAGTTTTGCGCCCATCTGAGAAAGTTGTACCGCCCGTTCGTTGCCCTGCCGCTTACCGTTGCTATTCTGAACTCAGCCATAGGTAAAGTAGCATGACTTGGAAGGATAGTTGATGTCTGAGGGAGCTTGAGCATCATATTTCCGCTCTCTAGCCAAGCGGTAATCAAAGAAAGGTTTAATACATACTCCTGACGAAGCTACCACCCACCGATGAAGAGTGCGCTCCCAGTAACGGACCCGTCTGGACCTAGGCTTCGTGCCTCCTTTGGATGGCATGGCATGCCTAGTGCTACGGCTAGAGAAGTGGATCTCTGGACCTTGCCGCTAATTATTTTCCCCCTTTCTCCTTTTGTCTTTTGTCTTTGCCTAGTGTCCGGGTTCTTCAGCCTCAGCCTCTTTTATACGCAGTATCCCATGCAGTCACTATATCACCTGACCCGTGCACTCGGGTCTCTTTCTCTATGCATATTCGGTGCGATATACAGAGTTGAGACTGCTCATAGAGCCCGCCTAGCACGTTTGCAGATGTTTGCTCCTTCTACCTGTTGCTCTCTGCCTTGCTGAAGAATTCACGAGATGTGAGACACCCGCGTTGAACGCAGGAGTAGAGCTGGACGGCACCCCATTGTCAGCCCGTTAACTAAGTATACAATCGCAACCGGGCTTAGAGATTGAAATGAATCTGATATGCTTAATTTCAGAGTTATCGAAGTCAAATCCATTGGCACGGGTATGTTTTTCTATCCAACTAGTTGAGCCGCTTAGTCACTCACAAATCGGCGACGCGCCACGAGCTGTTATCTCCGCCCCCCGACCCCCGCGCCCGAATCCTACTAGTCGGACGGAGATCTGTTGACCTCGATAAGCTGGACCTATGGGATGCAGCTAGGTGCAACTCTATTCCCCATGCGTCCCCATAAATTCGCGCCCCCAATAGCTATCCCAGGGCACTAAAATTAGTCATTTCCAAACGTCAGATAAGTGTTAGATACCTCGAGATAGTGCTGACGACACAGCAACAAGTGGTCGTCGGACAACGCCGCATGCCTACTGACATATTCCTCAGCTCCAGGGCTATATTTGATTCATATTCGTCTCCTATTACGCCCCGATCACGGGTCCTGTCGTCATCGGCTAGCGTTCTCTGCTATTCTTCAATTGATCCCCAAGATGGACGAAAACCAGGGCGCTTCGGATATCGTGCCCAGGGCCAGGACACGGCCCAGCTTGTCCAGCAGCCTGGGAAAGCTGCGGCGCACATTTCTGACGCGCAATGGACTGCTCGGCCAATATGACTACGGCTTCTTGTTTCGGCCGAGCTTGCCGTTCATGAGACGGGCAAACCAGTCGGCTCCTTTCTTTGGGCTGGACCAATCGATGCCCGTGGTACTGGCATTGCTACTGGGATTGCAGCATGCCTTGGCCATGTTGGCTGGAGTCATCTCCCCGCCGATTATCCTGGCTGGTGCTGGCGGTGCCAATCTCTCTGCCGAAGAACAGCAGTATCTTGTTTCGACCGCACTCATTGTATCTGGGCTTCTGTCCGTGATCCAGATCAAGAGGGTGTCCATCTACAAGACGCCGTAAGCGTCTCTTGAGAGTTGTCTCTGTTTCCATTGCTTACCCCTTAACCCAGATACTTTATCGGAACTGGCGTGATCTCGGTTGTGGGCATATCGTTCTCCGTCATCACCATTGCCACCGGAGCTTTCTCGCAGATGTACGAACGTGGTTTCTGTCCCATGGATGCCGATGGCACCAAGCTGCCATGCCCCAGAGGCTACGGCGCTCTGCTGGGCACCGCAGCCATCTGCGCCTTGCTTGAAATCTTGCTCTCCTTCTTGCCACCGCGGGTTCTGCTGCGGATATTTCCACCCTTGGTAACAGGCCCAACAGTTATGGTAAGAAAATCGCGCCCGTGGAGTTTGGTAACTTTACTCATCACAACTACAGTTAATCGGTGTATCCTTGGTTGAAAGCGGCTTCAAAGACTGGGCTGGTGGCAGCGGAAGCTGCTCCAACACCAACCCGTCTGATTTTTACGCATTGTGTCCCGATATCTCGGCACCCCATGCCCTGCCTTGGGGATCAGCTGAGTTCTTAGGTGTGTAGCCCCTGCATTTCACGTAATCCGTTCACCCACTAATTGCAGTCTGTAGGCCTTGGTTTCTCTGTTTTCGTCGCTATTATTCTGTGCGAACGTTTTGGTGCTCCGATTATGAAGTCCTGCAGCGTTGTTATCGGACTCCTTGTTGGATGCATCATTGCAGCAGCAACTGGATACTTCGACCGCTCGGGGATTGATGCTGCTCCAGTGGCTTCTTTCATCTGGGTCAAGACCTTCCCCCTTACTCTCTACGGGCCCCTTGTTTTGCCACTCTTAGCTCTGTATATCATCTGCGCCTGTGAGGCAATCGGCGATATTACCGCGACTTGTGACGTGTCTAGACTTGAAGTCGAGGGTGAAATATACGAGTCCCGGATCCAAGGAGGTATCTTGGCGGATGGGATCAACGGAATCCTCGCGGCCTTGTGTACGCTGACCCCAATGTCTACTTTTGCTCAAAACAACGGTGTCATTGCCCTAACTAGGTGCGCCAATCGCACCGCGGGCTATTGTTGTTGGTAAGTTTGCTCCTTTGGTACTCCAAACTTTTTGAAAGAACAAAGCTGACTCGAAGGGTGCGGCACAGCATGTTCCTGGTGATTATGGGAGTTTTTGCCAAGTTCGCAGCCGCTTTAGTTGCCATTCCCAAGCCAGTGATTGGGGGAATGACGACGTTCCTTTTCTGCTCAGTCGCTGTGTCCGGTATATCGATCATCACGCGCGGTGTGCCCTTCAACCGCCGCAACCGCTTCATCTTGACAGCTGGACTGGCTCTCGGATACGGTGCAACATTGGTGCCGAATTACTTCTCATCTGTCTTCACCTACAGTGGCGATAACCAGAGCTTGCAAGGATTTTTGGACGCTATTGTTTTGGTAATGGAAACTGGCTTTACCGTGACTGCTATTGTAACCATGATCTTGAACTCTTTGTTGCCACAAGAGGTTGAGGATCAAAAAGCAGTAGTCACGGCGGACAATGAGTCGGTGAACCCCAGCCCCAGTGCTGCAGGCGAACACGGCAAAGTAGCTTGAGTGAATGAGCCGAAGTATCACGTACCCACATACTTATGTCCTGATAGCTCAGTACCCTAAATGGTGGGAGACCAAAACATAGAGAAAACAAATGGACCGTAAATTCAGATCTGTAACACCCTGTCACTTGAAGTCGTTTTTTGTAAGTTATGGCACGAACAATAACTTCATTCTATTTTTTATTCAAAAAAAAAAAAAAAAAAAAAAAAAAAGGAAAAAAAAAATATCCAACAGGCCTTTGCTACTTACTTGTTTCAAAGCAGAGGAGCCAAGAGCACTGAAATTTGACGATTTGCTACTGGTTGATACTAATCTAGTTATGGTAGATCAAGGGAAACACGCCGAGAATGGAGAGCCAGAAGTACTTACCAACCAGATTTCAGCTGCATTAACAACTTACCATAGCAGCTCAGCTTTCACATATCTCCGTGTGACTGAGTCACTGATTTCTCTTCATCCGCCGCCTCTATACTCCCGAGAACTCAAGCCGCCATTGCATAACAAAGGCATCTCTTGATATGATGTTGTTGTTCCAGACTCGAGGCCATGCTGCTTCTCCCTGCCGATCGTCCGTGGAGCCCGGCGGCTGCACTTTCTGCGCCTGCTTCTTCACGTCGTCCGGCGGCCAATCCGAGTCCGGGTGAGCGTGCATCCATCGCTGGATCTGGCGGGCTCGAGTATGCCACAACGTCGGGTTTCTCAATACTATGGTAGACCTCACTCCATCGATATTGGGTGCTATCCTGGGGGCGGACGGCGTGGTATCAGGCGTGGGCAACGCAGATCCGCGGCCATCACCAGAACCGCCACCTGGGGGACCGCTGTTTCCCCCGTTGGCATCAGGACTGCTGTTACTTGGATCGGGGGTGTTACCTGGGTTTTCCCTTCCTCTGTCCGGCGGACTGTCATTGTTGCCACTGGTAAGGGTACCGTTTCCGTTGGGCATTTCGTCATCGTCCACCGTACCGTGATCTTCCAGTATGTCGTCAACACCCAGCATATAGCCGTCGTCGTCGTTGTGCGGCTCACCATCATCAGGTTGGTCTCCCGAACAGTCTTCGCCAAGAGGCTCACCACCCATTGCGTGACGCTCCTCCTCCGAGATCCGTATCATCTTCACGTCGTCCTCGTTGTCACCTGACGCTGGTTCGAAGCAATAGGTTCGCAATTCTGCATGGTTCCAGCAGGTCTTGCGGTCACCGGTGAGCCTTCGGAGGAAGTTGCCACCAGCGATCACGGCGACATCAGCATCGTCCCAAGGTTCGATCAGGTTCCATAGATAACAGCGAGCATCTAGGACACGCTGTGCTACTGCTGCCTCGGCGTACCTTGAGCCTGCCGAGCGGTCCAGGAAGGGCTCCCCCTCCAGGTCGATAGCGTTCACATAGTCATCAGAGTTTTTAGCAATTCTCATGGCCGCTTCGGGTATGTTGCAAGGATCGTCCCCAACTTCCTGAAAAAGGGGCTGCATTATTATGTCGGGATGATTTATAGCGCTTTTCAGACGCTCTTCAAACAGTATCGCTGATGTTTGCATCGCAACCGCAGATGGTGAAGATACAATGAATCTTATGCTGCTAATAATATTTGGGATGCGTTCTCGCAAGTAATTTACCTGCATCTCGCCGAGATCTGTCAGTGTAGGGTCTGGCAGCTTCCAGTCCTTTAAGGCGTTATGGTGGCCTTCGCCTTGTCGCACAAGATGTAGGTAGGGTCCCCTGCAAAATCTCGGAGCTGGTCTACTGGTTTCCATGGTATTATTAAACACCTTTACGGTTTCAGGTCTTGTGCCGGTTTAAGCTTCTGAAACCCCACGTTGTCTATGAAACCTCGGGTTCAAGTGGTGCTGGTTCAGTAGAAAGACGCTGGAGCTGGCGGCAAGCGGCACCCTTATCTAGCAATGCACAGCTGTGATAGCTCCAACCTTTCAAATAATGCGCTTGAGCCCACAGACTGATCCTTTGTTCGAGTCTGCACTTGCCAACTTTTCCCTTTTTACGGTGCTGTATTCAAAGGTCGCTGCTCCTACAGTTCTTTGTCTTGGAGAAGGTAGAGTACCCAAGGCTGGGCGAGTATGCCGTCAACATAGGCAGCTAAGCTTCTTTTGATTGTAACGATCAGCACACGGTGGCATTGTCTGCCACTATTCATTCGCCTTCAAATCCTACAGAAATGCGAGGAAGGAAGAACATTTTGGAGTCATGTTTTGCCTTAATAACAAAGAGTTTCTTACTGTTGGTGTCTCAAAACATCTCTTGGAAGCTAGGCTGTAAGGGATTTCATCTTTGTTATCATGCGCACTGTTGCTCGCCGCCTCCTCAGCTACACGAATTAGTGATGGTGTCTGCATAGAAGGAGAGCAACGCCCCTCCAACCACTGTGAGGTTGTGTTCTAATAATAATTGACGTTACGATTGCCCAGGATTGCCAGTCAAACCCCTGCCGGCCTCACTAACCCGCTCATCGATGAACGCAGTGTCCTTTAGGCCACGGGTGCGACCTTGAATTGTACCAGTTCCAGGGGAACGCCTGGATTCCGAAACAGATAAAAGACTACGAAAGACATCAGATGAGGTTGAGTTTCATGATGGGATATTGCGGCTGCCCTGTTTTCTATGATCCTTTCTGGGGGTATTATTGTGTTGCATTAGGTGCTTGGTTCGGGTGCTTAGTGAATATCAAACGTGATAAAGAGAATGTTACTATCACCCACGAAGGTTTCACATGGTTGCAAACGCCTCACGACGCTTAGCACCAATCACATCTAAATCAAGTAAGAGCAAGGCGGCTGCCTATTTCTCACAACGATCGTGATTTTCCTAGATTCAGAGCAGTGAGTCTAATGAAAATTGACGGAGCTTTCAATGAAGACCAGTACCAAGCGAATGTAGAGTAGTGATATAAATTTTACATTAGGTGGATATATGGTTTGGGCTTTTTCTAGCTTTAGAACAGCTCTTTGGCCTTTCATTAAATCCCACTGTCAAACAGTGAAACCTACCGCCTTCAATGAAAATCGCCATTAACCACAGCGACCAGTTGCCTCGAGTTGATACGACCGGTTGACCTCCATCCCGATCTCCAGCGAGAAGATCAGAACATACCTAGGGACTAATACCAGCTCCGCTACACCCTCTACTGAGCAGAATACGCTCCTCACATACTATCAAGTCGTCAAAGGCTGATTGAAGCCACACACCATGAGTGGGGAAGGAATTTGAATCATATCAAGTCGTCCATGCAGCTTGATCAACATTTGGAAGTCATCTTGAGTAATGTGATCCTATTTTGGGTACATGACCAGGGCCTTACAGCAATGTGGTGAGTATCCCGTTCGATGATAGTGCGTATTCTGTCAGGAGACTCATTTAAGCAATCTCACGCGATACACCTAGTTTCACCACATGATTGTTTTAGGAAGCTATGATGAAGCCTAAGTAGAACTGGGCTTACCCCAGGTTTCCACTTGTTCCTTAGCCAATTGGTGGGTCGTTACCGACGGAAGCCAGACCGAGTCTGGAGGGAGTGGGAAAAGGGGCTCTGCATGACTAAGAGTCCAGGAGGCTAGGTGAAGCTTGTTTGAAGGCAAGAAACCTTGAATGGTGGCTGACTATCACTGTGATCATTCAGCAACTCGCTTCGTCGTGAACCCCTGACAACTGGTGCTTGAGTTAACACACTTGAAATACACTTCACCGCTCATTCTCGTGGCTTGTGAAGTCACAATCCTGCTTCGCTGTGATGCCCTCCTCAAGTTTGAGTTCGACGCCAATGTCGGTGCCGCACCTAACTTGCACTGGGGCCTCTAGTCGGGACTGGCGCCGTTGGGTCTTAAACAAACAGAGGTCAAACACTAAGACATGCAGAGGAGCCAGACCTTTGGGTTCCAGAACGGAAAAGCACCTCTACCGCATACGGCACGTGTGCTCTAACGACCCATCGGTTCCAAGGTGCCGACAACATCAGGGAGTCGTCTCGGACATTCGGATGAACCTTGGAGAGCACCGTATCTCGGCAAAGTGTGGCGCCACATGTGGAGTCTAGACTACAGCTCGCATTGCTGGGTTGCAGCTGCACAGCCAACTACTGCATTTGGCGTATAGGCCTTCTACCTCCATGCAGACGTATGGAGAACAAAAAGAGGAGACGTTTCCCAAGACGTGACGTCCCAACCACTGTGAGTATACATCGTTTAGTCGTGCCTAGAACCTCGTAAGGGAGGATGGGATCTAATGCCGGTCTACGTCAAGGTTTCTTCGCCGTCCATGCAATCTAGGCCATTGGTGCACCACGGTGGCTGTTGCGGGGAGACTGACCCTTGGCGCTTCACATTTCATGCAGGGACTTCTGTCATCGGAGATATAAGGTGTCCATGGATTTATCAGAGTGCGGAGATCTAGACACAGCCGCTGTAAGGTAGGGGATGATCGCGCGTCGCCGAGTGTGTAACATTACAACTGGTTGCAGATCATGGTGGTGGGTGCCGACCAACGAGAGTGGTGGTTCTAGATGTCTAGTTGTCCTCTCACATGTTCTGTGCAGCTGGAGGCATCCCCAAGACGACAGCTGAGTGTATCCCAGCTGACGATTCGCGATGAACCCACAAAAGATCTCTCAGAAATGGCATCATAATGCTTAGGAATGATTGCCACTTGTGCGTCGTACGATACCGCGGCGAACGTGTTGCCGTATGTTCGAGGCGTTATTCCCTTGTGCCAAGGCTTGGGCTTAGGGTCGCTATTCTATTTTCAGCTCTAGGCACTGAAGAGTGATGCGAAGGTATGAATCCCTTGCCCCCAGGCCCGCAAATTCAATTGCTGATACCGCACTGGAGGGTACCACAACCTTGTGTGCAAACTTCTGTCTTGACAAACGTTCGGGAATTGTTTCACTTTTTGTAAATTAGCGGGTTACCCAATTAAGCTTAAGCGACCTGTCCGTGTCGCCAAGCTGCGTTCCTATCTAGTCTGGTCCTGTCCTCTTCTGCGATTGGTCACTCGCTTACAGGCACTATCACACCATTCCAGTACTGGGTTGCATTCGTCTTGTAATCCTGGAGCTCGGTTGCCACGGAAAGCTCAAGGGCCCTACAGCTTTGCAACCTAATCGGAAACTGTTGAGGCTTTCAGCTTATGTTACTGTCCCTCAAAGTAATAGCAATCTATAGCAACATCTCAGGATGTCTCACATTCTGCTTAATCCTTCTTACTCCGTTTATGCGGCGAGAAGCTAGGTAGTTTGGCTATTTTCCTGGAGGCGGGGTAAATGGGCCGAAACACACGATGAAGCACATGGATCCAGAGCTCTGAGGACACCACCTGAAGCTCTCGCCACCACGGTAGCAGATGAGGCCATTCCCGAGTTTTTGCTGCCGAGTCTGCGGTGATACGAGGCCATTGAATGCAGCTAACGAGCGACGACGTGGCAGTCCACCTCCATCTCTCCCATGAACTAGGTAAAGAGGCAAAAAGTACTACCGAAGGCGGCGTCGCCCGTCAACACCACTATTACTTTGCTCCTGATGAAAATTTCGCTCTATTCCCCTGGAAAGGGGGGTAGCGCTTTGCCTATTAACTAGATCCATTGGCCCCAACGCACCTAAGAGCTCTTGCAGTTCGTTGCACATGCTTAAACCCGTAGCTAGATAACAGTGCAGCTGTGTGGACCATTCGTACTGTGGGGACCGGTGAGGGACTTACATATTCGTGCATGAAGCCTTGTATGGTGTGGCGTCTAGACTCAAACTCCCTTCGGTGCGACTATCTATATTTCATATATTTCGGCATGCAGCAGAAACTCATCAGAATAACAGCGTATATTCAGCCCATTATCAACAGACCACCGTTGCGTAACCGTAATCGATTGCGTTATTCATCGCGTTGACTCACAGCGGTACCATCCTCAATTATGCTGTCCATACTGGGCGTTCCCTTATTTCTTTCTAGTTGCCACACTATCAAGAACGCATGCAGTTCTGCGAGGAAAGTTGGGTTTATCATGATTCCCAAGACACCTCGTACTGTGTCATGTAATTCTCCAAGAGCCGTGCGAAGGCAGATATCTGATGTGAACTGCTGGCGTGTATAAGCACTACACAGCAAGGGCGAGGTCTGAAAACCCTGCAGCTGGGCACACACATGCGTGGAGGGTCCTTCCCCGCGTCCGGGGTAGCTGTGTTAGCATTTCATTACCAGGATATCCGTTCCTTATCTTTGGTGTGCTACAACTGCAGCTCATATGCTACTCACACCACTTTAAGGCTATCTGGTTTGAATATCAAATGACGTAGGGATCACTTGAATGGGCCTGATGCTATGTGAACTGAGCTCTCCATTACATAAAAAGGTCACAATCAAATGCTCCGCGTCAGCGGGGAAAATGCTCTCAGCTCATCGGCAATTGTGAGGAAGTCGAATACTCTATTTATCGAGAGCAAGGCCCCTGCTCACCCAATATGCAATTTGAAAGCGGTTGGGACGCAATTATCTTATTTGGCAGAGGTCACCTCGATCCAGGAAAAGACTATAACGTATCAAGATCGCAGCCAACAGCGCTGCATGAGGTAGTACTTGGTGGCTGGTAAGATAGGGCACCTACAAACCCTCGCCTAGTGAAACTAGACCTATAACGACTGCTGGATATATTGTTTTATTGACACAACTACATGCAAATGCGACTTAAAAGAGGGGTTAGGTAACGTCTAGAGCTTCATACCCGTTTGGTTGATACTGTGCTAGTATTTCCAAAGTTGTCGTCGTTTTGACTACTCTTCCACATACGGCTAATGCCGAGAACCATTTTACCCACGCGGCCAGATTAACACATAGTACTCAACAGTATGTAGTTATGAAAACATGGAGCACATTCAGTCTCACTCTATGCAATCTAGAAAGTGCTGGCGTTGAGAAACAGGGCGTGATTGTACAGACTTCGCCGAGAGATATACAACATATACCTCACTTACGGTTATAGATATCCGTGAAGCACTACCTGAACATTACAAAAAAGGAAAAGAAAGCATCCGAGGGATTGACTTATACATACTCATGAAATATATAGATATCAGTATCACTACTCTTAAACTCATCCGGGGTTGGGGATTTGCAGGCATTGAGCCGATATGGGTGATTGACATTATCCTCATCAGCTTTCAAGACAAATGGAATTCATGCCATAGACTTACGATATCTTAGAGGTCAATATTCGGCGTGCTCTGGCGAATCTTACACATCTATGCTGAGAAGAGCCTAGATTTGACACCATTGCGGTGCTTGAAAGCCCTACCGGAGACTCATCCAAACTCTCAAGCTGCAAGGTTTGATACGTTCCTTTAGTCACTAGATATCTATGGTGGCCTGTCACTTCCACGTCACAATAGACCGTGAGGTCAGTCGTGCACTTACCAGAAGAATCGAACGACTCCAGCGCCGTCGACAACGGGGCCGCCGAGGGCGTTCCTGGATACCTAGGCCCCGAAGGTTTGGCGGCGCCGAACGGTCAGCCGGCTCGCAGCCACAACACCCCCTTAGGCTATCTATGGTGCTTGAATCAGCAGCAAGGCGTGATGCAAAGGCTGGACTTGTTCAGCCTCGCTGCAACGTCAAACCTCAGTCCTTACTTGTGTCAGCCGTCCAGCCATTCCCCTGACAGGATAGCCACATGCAGGCATGGTGATCTTGCTCAGTCAGGTACTCAGCCCGAGGACCTTCCTGGCGTGGTGTCTGCGTCAGCCTTCACAAATCTCAACTACCCCTAATAGTCACGGGACTTGGACAGATCGACGTGCAGCTTTGACTCGCAGGCCAAATAGGTAAGCTGTCTGCATGGATGAGGGAAAGATTTGCGGGGAAATCAATCTGATCTAGCATGACTGACTGCACCAGCACTACTGCAGCTTCTCACGGTGGCCGCAAGATAAGCCCTAGAGCAGAGCCTCTTTGAGTTTCACAAGACGGGGCTCACACCGCTGTTTCCTTCTCATGCGAGGGACTCGAGGTAAACCTGCAAGTCGATGACCGAAAAAGTACTGTACGGAAGACGCTTCTTCTTATCAGGGATTCTGCGTGGCTTGGCTATTGGCATGATGTGTGGCATGGCATGCAGAGTTGATTGCGGGGTCGAGGAGAGCCTGCAAGCATGGATCCCTCAGTCACGACTGATGTTCACGACGAATTGCGTACAGTCAAAGCCACAGTGGCATCTTTTCTTCAGAGCATTGCATAGGTGCGTACTAGTGCATTCAAATTTGGTATATGCTGTACTGTACATTGAAACGGATCCGAGACCAAAGAATGGCCAAATAGCTAGGCATACCAGGGAACAGTTACCCTGCTCCGAGCGGGCTGCCACTGTGCAAGGGAGTTCTGCTACTTTGCCTGTTCTGAAAATCAGGATTTATGAGACTGAGCTTTGGATTGTCAAGCCAATGGGACATTCAATGCCAGAACCGACGCGGTACGACCGGATCAAAAGAGTGGCTCAACGGATGCCACGGAAGTAAGCTGGGCTGTTTGTCCCGTCTCTTGGGTCACCTGCCCTGCCGAGCCTGCGGGTGAAGGAACGGCGCTGCATATTCAAGGCCAAGATTGAACGTCCGAGACAAGACGCCGTGTAATGTACTGTAATGGTGGTCAATGACCAGATGACTCCCAAACCCAGGCGCCGACAACACCGGAGAGAAGCTTCACAAGCGTAGGAACAAACGTTCCGGGTCGCGGTCACAAGAGGACGCGCTGGCGAACCTTAAAATGTCCAACCCATGTCGTGGGACGATGTGCCGGTAGATCAGTAAGAGATGCCCTGGATTGAGTTTTGACGTGTTAAGACAATGGGTCTTATGTATATGTCCACACTGTTAATCAGCCCATATGTTCAACTTTCTATATCATGCCGTCAGTAAGTGACGGCGCTGCAGAGGAGACACTGCCTGCAATGCTCAACTCGTTGCAAGTACTGCAGGTCGGTCGAGTCGGCACGAGCCGTTGACCGTACACAGTGCAGCCTCCCATCCCACGTTTGCCTGCCGGAAGGAACCTTGCCCTCCGGAGTCACGATGTGTGGCGCGCGCGCGTACGAGTTGCATACATGGGAGAGGCAGGACAACAGCTGACGCTGCTGCTTGCATATGCTTTCGCGGCCCACGCACGGTGAACGCAAGACTCAAGGAAATACCCCAGAAAACCAAGGCAATGAGATGAGACACGAGATGAAATGTTTCACTTTTTGATGACTTGGTTCCTGGGGAACAAATACATAGTTAATTCTTGACGACCACGAGGTGCAAGGGTGAATCCAAGGTCAGTCGGCCTGGCAGCCTAGAGAAAGCGAAGCCTTCGCGAAGCAAACCCCGTCTTCGTGTGATTTTCGACAGGGGTCAGCTTTACCAGAGCTCCGGAACTCTGTCGTTGCTATGGTACAATTGGCTGAGCAAGTTGGCACGGATACTTCTTTTTTCTTACCACTTTCCACTAGCTTCTTGCCTACATGGTAGGCAATTCGTGAAACCTGGCCCTGTAGCCCAGAGCCGTTCCCCCACTCGTCAAGGATCCCATTCTGTGGGAGCTCCGGATCGTGAGAATTGGCTTGCGTGCAGTTAGCGACCCGCCGTCAATGGCCTGAATGGTTGAGGAGAGCGCTCCAAAGCCTCCGATAGGCAGTGTAAAGCCCCCTGCAGCTTGGGCCTGCGTTTGCCAAGCGGCAGCTTTTTGGTGGGAACTCGCTTGAGGTCCTCTTTTTAGCATTGTTATCCACCCGCGCTGCAATGTTGCGATGGAGCTTTCCCCCAGATTGTCTGGCGTCTCGCTGTGGGCTCCGATCTGATGCAAAATGCCCGATCATTAACACGCTGCAAAAGCTGGGATGACGTCATGTAAGATCAGAAACTCATCCCACGGTATATAAGCCCTGGCTTACCAATTATTTCACCCCCAGAACGCTGAAGGGGGCATTTGCTCCTGGTCCAATAGATGATACATGTGAGCGTGCGGCGGCGCCATGTTGCTGCTGCGCCCAATTCATTGAGCTTCCTTGGTCCGACATTCCATTTCGTGCTGGGGACACTGTACTGTCGACGTGAGCAACGACGGCGGCTTCATGTCGTGAATCCGACTCTAGCGCAAAATATGTAGTTCCATGTAACTAGAACGTTATGATGAGAGGGAACATCTCCCTGCCAAACGACTCTGCATCGCGATCCTCCGATTGACTGTTGTCGATCATGGAGGATGTGGCCCATTGTCCAGGGAAGCTTATTTGTGATAATACCAGAGGCGGTGTACGATGCGTCGTACGCCAGAGAGACTTGAAAGATGCCGCCCCGCCGTTTGGGTCTGGCGATCTTGCAATGCGCCCAATGCAGCAGGTTATCACATCTTGACTCGTGAACTCACCTTCTCCGTCGGCCAACGGGGCCGTCGGTGGGAGTCCACGGGAGATGGCCAGGCTGATCAGGTACGCGAGAGACCCTGGCGCACGGGAGGGTGCTGGGGAGATGGTTTCTCGAAGCTTGCTGTTTGGCAGGTCATCGCGCTTTCCGATCACTTGGAGTATAATCCCATCCATCCACCATGGTCTTTTGAGAACACCTGACCGGAATCGCATAGTTGTTCTGCAGCACCTCGAAGTTGGCTGCCACACCTCCTACCGGATCCAGCAACTATCACGGAGATCGTGTCGGATGCGGCACAAGGGCCGTTGTCGTCTTATCCAGGCCCTGCCAGGCTCCACTTGGAGTAATCCGAGACAGAGCAGACACCCACAGCTAACGGGATCTAAACGAGTGTGAAAATTCAGTCATTGGTAACTAGCCAATGGACCACAGCACAGACTCTTGCTGTCAAGCTATCTAAGAACAAGGCCGGGTGATTGGACGCGCAATGGTGTGTGCCTTTGGTCTCGATTCTCATGCCGAGTCCACACCTGGAATCATCGGTCGGCCGGTCCAATTTCACATACTGTACGGGAGTCTGCCAACAGATTTGAATAGTGAGACGCTTTGCAGACGAGAACGGCGCATTCCTCATCGTCCCAGCGTGAATTTAGTGCTCACCAGGCGCTGAGAAAGCCTCGGGTCACCACAGCTGCGAGCTCCATGTGGCGCAATCAAGGCATTCAACGCCGATTATGGCCTCAGATCATATGTATATTTGCCTCAAGGAGCCTGGTGCCAGATGCAGCAATGGTGCGTTTTGCGCCGCTAGTTGCAGGTGTGCAGTGTTGTGCAGCACTAGCTTCTCCAGATGCAGACGAGGGGCAACCCAATGAATGGAGACAGTGAGGTTCGTTACAGGTAACAAGTCAGCCTTGTTACCGACGGGGCCGGACATCTCACGATAGTGGGGCTTCCTCTGTACACAGTAGTGGCCGATCAAGAGGCTGAGTGCAAATTGCAGCGAATGGTTTCATTGGTTGAGCCGTGACGTCGCAGTCCAGGCCATATGCCTGTTCTGTCGATCGTTGTTGAGGCTCTTCCGTGCTCTAATACTTGACATGCTGTAGTCTGACTTGCACAACAACGACGAGACAAGACTTGATTGTTCGAGCGGTTGGTGTTGTAGATAGAACGGTTGGTCACAACGGTCTGCTGTGCAGGAATACGCCTGTACGTTGCGACCCTTCTTGGTATGCCGCGCCCTTCTCCCTCGCTTGGGGTCGGATGGGTGCCGTCAGTGCCTCGTCATCCAGTTGTTTCTAGCAGGGTGGGCTGTAAGCTGGCACCACCGAGGTGCAGTGAACACAACACCAATTCGTCCCGAGCAGAGATCCCAACGGCGAGGATGGCCACCGGAAACCTCAAATACGAAATTCGCTCAATATTCCAGACGCTTGAAGCGCCGCAGGAGGGGCAGGCAATTTGAGTCTGCATCCGGGTGTCCATCGAGAAGCGTTATCGCGTCGCAGCTGAGACCGGACCAACCGCCAAGAAGCCTCCTCGTTTGGCTGAGGGGCAGTGGCACCAGGCTTGGTTACGCACGAATCATTCCAGGAGTCAGAGCAATCTGAACCGATTCATCCGCACAGATATTGTGGATTATGGATTGTGGATTATGGATGCATGGAGAAGTGGATTGAATGGATTACAACTGCCCATGGAGTTGATCCAGAACTTTCAGGAGTGCCCATGGAGCCCCACGGTCTGTCGCGGCGCTTGCGATCAGATTGAAATGTTTTCCTCGTTGAGGAGGGAAAGAAAAAAAAAAGAGGAGCTTGGGCCATCCACCATTAGCTCCTTGACAAGGTCTCCTGGCCAATGCGTCAGCTTGGTCAACACTGTGTTCAGGGGGGTGGGAGGCTAGCGGGGCCCATCCCTGTCCACGCACGCACTCGCATCCAAAGCGTCTGATAATTTAGGAAATGCGAGTATTGCAGCGGTTGTTGATAGAAGGTGGCAGCAGCTATGGCGTCCCTCGGATCTGACTGGACGGCGGAGTTGATGCTGAAGCGAGACACCACTGCGATTGTTTCAACCGATCCAGATGTGCATACACGGCGATTTATGCCTTCTCCTTGTGTTCTAGGAACACGACGCAGGCGCTGGGACAATTCGCCAATGCATTCAGCACAGCATGACTGCCAGTCAACGCTCACATGGGTGCTGGATATGGGAAGTCTTGGCATTCGTCTCACGACCGAACCTGTCGGATGCATCGTAGGCCCCGTGTGTTTAGCTTCGACCAGACCGTCAATCTGCATTTGAGTACGATGCTCTAGGATTCAGGCTAAGGAATGAATGTCCTCGAACTTGATAGGGCCAGTAAGAGGTGACATCGTTAGAAGGATTCAAGCCATAGGCGGACTGGCCATGGGGTGGCATTGAAATGCATGTGGTTTGAGCTGCAACCGTTGTTGACTATTCGGCCGTCAGGGTATGCAGTGTACCTAGCGGTTGGTAGTTTATATGCGAGATATTAATACCATCGATTGGAACCGGCTTGGGGTTCGCACGAGCATCATCACCCTCATCGGCAGACGGGGCAAGTTGCTACGAGGGCACAACGATAAGGTGACTTGAGGGCCACTCTCCGCACCTCTGCCTGCAAACAAGCAGGAAGCAGCAATAACGATGTCGATCGCCCTCGCCCTCGCCCGCATGAAGGGTATCATACCAAAGAATAAGGGTCCGGTTTGGCAGAAGAGGATGGACCCTTCTTTTTCTATCCGGCCTCTCAGGGTCTTCTGTCACATATCGTGGAGGGGGTTGGATGCGACTGTTTGCGTGCTTATCAGGCATACAGGGTGCCGGTGTGCTGTAATGAGACTTGGGATAGAAAACCTACAGTGCATGCAAGGTTGCCACAGGATGCGATGCAGTCTCATTGCCGTCGTAAAGGTTGCCCGTTCTCGGAGACTGAGCCGGTGGTTGTCTGGGCAGGGTGGTGGCTTAAGCAACCAATCCGGACCGTTTCCGCCCTTGATCGGATCTCTGCATTGCCTGTTAGCCGCAGCATCGAACATTTTTGCTGCGTCTGGTTGTGTGCATAGGAATTGCCATCTTGTCGAAAATAGGTTGATGGGCAAATGAAAAACGAGAAGGTATCTGGTGTGGTTGCTCTCTGTGTGGAGTACAGGCGCGGTACGGCGGATGGGCTGAGGTCGGCTCCAGTTATATCGTCCAGTCCAGACTCGACCCGATAAGGAGATGATCATCGTCCCGGCGTTGACGGTTGTGACATCCCCGCAGGATCCGGAGACGGCCACGGGGGACATAGCTTTGGCACGACTTTGAGTTTCTGTTCCCTTGCAAACTACCGTGCGGACGGTCGCGAAGTTGTCGACGTAGACTGTTTCCTGCCGCTTTGCGACTAGTCTCGCTGAACACCAACGCTATACCCTGTTGCTGTGTCAATTCAGTCTCTGTCTTGCATTTACCGTAGGTAGTCCTTTCTCAGCCTCGACGCGTCGAAGCGCACAGGTCAGAGAATTTTCTTGGCTTTTGCCCCACCGCTCCTCGCGTTCGTGCTATCCCGACCCTGGTCGGCAACAAGGTTCAAAGTGATCGGTGTCCAGGGTAGAGTGGCTTGACGAATCAGGACTGACCGCTGCCTTCAACCGTCAGACATTTACAGACACAAGTATAGAAATGGACAGGGGTGGCTGAGCAGAGGAGGAGATAAAAGACAACTCTGGTAAGAAAAACCTAATAGCAGCCTGCTTAGACGGGAATTGGTCCTATTCACTGGATGAAAGCCCCCGGACGGTGCCTGAGTCGCGATGCTGGGCGGTTTGATAATACGCTTTCCATGGTACGCCAACCCTGGCGGCAGCTTCATGCATGTTGAGAACTGAGACGTTCTGCCTGTAAAGAGTGGGAATGAGTAGTTGCGTCCAGCCTCAAGCTGCAGTCGAGGAAAGTCAAGGTAATCGATTTAGTCATCCTCCGGCTGAAGATGAACCAAACCTGTGTCAGTGTATGATCGACGAGTATATCGTTTCCACTTTTCAGACTCAAGTCCGGCGTCTGCTTGACAGCCTAATGTAAGACGGACAGTGGAGGTAGGCAGAGTAGCGGACCGCACGGTATCCTTAGGCGCAACAGTCCTTTCTCGCAAATGCAACTTGGAGCTGGGCAGTCTGTGCTGTCGTGGGTCCGCCTAGGCCCAGACAGCCTATCGCTTGTCAATAGAAACAATGTGTACAAAGCAGCCAGAGGGCGGTAGAGCCTAGTCGATCAGATTGGCAACGAGTTGGTAGAATGGTCACCATCATGACAGCGAAAAGTCTTCTCGGGTTGCGTACTGTGATGTATGTGGACTTATCGTCCATTCGAGCATCTACACCTGTAGGGAGGGAACTTACCTTTCATTCATCCTTGATAAGCAGGGTACTGCAGGCAGATGCCGCATTGCCGCGTAACACCTGTTCTGGGATACGAAACTTTTCCAGACACCACAGAGGACTTGAAGTCTTCCTGCGGATCAAACGTCTATTTCACCGACATTTCTGGACATGCGCAGAGTTTGACATGTCTGTACTTCTGCTTAGGGACGAGGCTTTTGTTAGCGAATGCGCAGCGGCAACCTTGAGCATCGGAGAGATGTGCACCCATTCGGCGCCGCCCGACGAAATTGCTGAAGATCCGCCGTTCTGGGGACCATGGAGGCGGCTTTAGGGAGCCGTGGCGCAACTTCTAGCGTGCTTATCACTTGACAGCGCGCGGCGCCAGTCACCAAGTTTGCCTCTTGGGCAATTATTTGTTGTGACTAATGTTATCCAACCTCTTGGTAAGAGCTGCCGCAGCCCGAAGGGTCTCTATCTCATTTTTTGGCCATGGCGGCAATGCAAGAGCTGTGATGGAGGGGTGATGAACATACGATTTTTGGCGAGTATGGGCGGCGAACATGGGGGCAATGAGGAGAGTTACCCAACAAATATCCATGCACATGCCTGGATGGAAGTCTGATGTGCCGCCAAACGGATGATCAATGCTCGGCATTACAATCAAAGAATGTAAAACTGGCAGCGCGATATATATCATCGATTATTCAGACGTTTACAGCGATTAGCGTGCGTTGTCCGTCGCCTCTGCACAGTGTAGGTAGCAGCTATTGTATCGCGCGTAAATCATCCATGTGCCTCCAGAGTCTGTCTCGGTGGCTGATTGAAGCCACCCGGCAAGCGGCCACAAGCGTGGCGAGTGTCTGACACCGAAGGAGCCAAAATGATCAGATCAGATCACACCACGAGGGATGCGAGTGCAGCCACCGTGCCACGAAGACCGTTGGAGCCGTGGCTGGTCAACAAAGACAAAAAGCAAAGCATGCACTGCTCCAACCGGTTATCTCGAAGATTCTGGTCGCCGCCACGAGCCCACTGATTACAAACAATACGCTGGTCTTTGAGGAAACACAACGTGCAGTACGAAAAATAATATTGTCAGGGTTACCCAGCGCTGACTGTTAGTGTTGCGAGGTGCGGTACTGTAGGTGCATGAAAGCAGCAGGGAAGATGACAATGTATCGCTGAAGCTTACTGGCTGACACCTGCTGAGCAGCCATTGTCCAATGCCCAGGGTTTTGGTAACAAAAAAAAGCAAATCGAAGCCACCCCGACCGGGACACGGATGTCCAACAGCAGTCTAGCCGTAAAATAAATTGCTGTGGCACGCGAAAAACAGAAAAAAACGCCATGCTTTCGTCTGGTTACGTCATTATCTCGTCGGCCCGTGATGGAGCCACCGGAATGAACCAGACAATTCGAACAGGCGACAAGTGAGAACGGGAGGAGAATAGTAGCGATTGGTCCACCTGTGGCACCAGAGCATCGCATCGTCGTAATGCGGCGTCGTCGGCGTCTACAGCAATATGTACAGTAGCTGCGCTGTGGGTTTGATAAGCAAACCTGGCTAAGAACCCGCTTCTCCAGCCGCTATTTGTCGTGTGCTACGGGGACATCACTAAGAGCTGTAGCTAGCAACTAATGCATAGCAGCCAGCACCTTCAGTGGCTCGCACTCAGTGGTTCTGAAAATGGGCCTCTGCTGTTTCCAATTCCTGGACGAACTATATAGCCCAGTGACTTGAAACTCGAGGTGCGAAGAGCGGAGACTAGCGAGGACAATGACGTACCGCCATGGCACGACTGCCTGCTCGTCGTTCCACTGCGGTTGCTGACGCCGCCGGACTAAAGACCAGACTCGGGCTGCTCTGTGTAAGCGAGGCCGTCGTAAGACCAATCTCAGGATGATGCTGCTCATTTCTCTCGACCGGGCACTGGGGGCTTGGTGTAGAGCCCGCCACAGGGCTGCGGTTTGGCTTGCGTCCAAGGCAAGGCCCAAAGCCCCCAAACCTGCCGACTTGCAACAGGCCCAGGGCCTACGGGCCCCTTTGAGGGCACACAAGAGCAGATTTGTGCCAGCGATCGCGATTGCCAGAAACCGCTAGCGGGGCGCAATAATTACAGTGAGCGCCAGAGCGGCTGGGGACCCCAGGGCCCGTGAGCAACCCCCCTCCCAACCCCATTGCAATCGCGTCGAACTGTGGACGGCGCCCCAAGCCTCTCCACCAGCGGCGCAGGTAACGCACAGTGCGGACGCGCCGCCTACTCACGGTGAACAGTACATGGAGACATGGATGGGGGGGGGGGGGGATGTCGGTGGAGACGTGGACCAGGACGCCGCGGCGCGCAGCACTTACCCCAGTCGGTGCAGCGCGCCCAGCAGCAGGCTAGGATGGGCCCAGCAGGCCCAGGGTACGTCGTGGGTAGGGTGCTACTGTACGTACCGCAGTACCGTACTATGTAGACGATCCCACCCCCCCGGACGGTCCCATCGTTTCGCTCACTCGCTGCGAGAGAAAAGGATCCAAGCCATACACAACCACCACGCCCGCTCTGCCCCAACCATATTAGGCCTGCTACCCACCCTTTCCTCGAGGAAGCAACCGCCCTTACACACATCCTGATCCCATCCCCCCAAGGACGAGGACGGAGAGGTTTTTGCAGTTGTCTTTTTCTCCAAGCCGGGCTTCTCTTTGTTCCATAGGACCTCGAGCCGAATCCGCCGCCCTTGCTGTTTCCACGCTTATGTTATAAGTCGAGACCAGCCCCAGGCCTGGTGAGGATTTGGACAGCCGACCCGAATCGCTCCCCTCCATCCGTCTAATCGACAGTTTGGCCGCCGGGACTTTCTATCCGCGGGAGCTCGGAAGAAAAGAAGAAGAAAAACAACAAGGTCGAGGCAGGGACGTCCCCGTTGGACAAAGGAAGAGAGCTGTGCCACGAGCCCTTGAAAGGCCTCTTTTTTTTCCCTCCCTCTCTCTTCTAGCCCTCCCGCTCAAGCCGACGACCCACGACCACACGTCCAGGCACACCAACATCAGATACACAAAGCAACCTGTGTGTATCTCGAGGCCTGCCACCCCGCCAACGTTTTCCAGCGTTGCACCAGATTCCGATCGACTCCTCCGCTTGCTGGTCCGATCGAGGGGCATCGACGACTCGTCACTCTTGACCGTCTGCCTCCCACAGAGACACGCCTTTGCACAGTTGCTGGAATATTGCCAGTGCAAAGCATCTCTTCGGCCACCCGCATAACCTCGCGAGCACTCGGTTCGCGATTGCATCAACCAATTCTGTAAGTTTGTCTCGTGCCCCAGCTTCGTGCGGTAACCCCGATTGGCGTTGCGCTCCCTCGTCCCCCCAGAGTCCAAGTGGGCGTGTTGGACCCGGCCGGCCGCCGTCGGACAAGCATGTTGAGAAACAATGTTGGCCCGTAATGTTCGTGTCGATATGGGCTTGGACACGGGCATTCGCACCTGCGGCTGCGAGACGAGAAGGAAACGGCACGCCGTCATTCCTGCGGTCGTGGTTACCGCTGACGACGCCACACGCCTCGCGTGTGTGTCTCGCCAAGTCCCCCCAGTCGCTCTGCATTCCATGCCTCACGCTTCCCCGGATTCAGCCATTGCATAAATATCCCACGCTCTGCCGTGTGCTTTCCCAGCGCTTGCCTGGTATGAAGTCATTGGCTCGCCGTCTGCGGAGCCGCAATTGATCGCAGGAAGCCGCATACAGTCATATTCCCTGCTATGGATTCATCCGCCGGGCCGAACAAGAATGCTGATAGATCCTTCCCTTGCAACAGGCTTCTACGCGCGCTCAGCCGCCCCTCCAGACAACGGCCCTGTCAAGTTCACTGACACATGGTTTGAGGCCTGGCGCTTGATCTTCCCCTGTTTGCCTCACGTCAAACAGAGCCCTAGGAACAGCAGCTTTAAGTCAGACCTCGACTTACTCTCCCTCCACCCACCACCTCCATCTTCCATCAGGCAGCCCAAATCTCTGGGAATGCCTTACACGCCCCCGTCCCACCGCTCCCCCGCCTCATCAGCTCCCTCATCTCCCGATGCCAGTCGCCGGTCGTCGTACAGCGGCGCCTCCGGTGCCCCGTCGAGACCGTCACTGCCGAGATCAGCCTCGTATCTGACCAAGCACCGGCGCACGCCCTCCGCCACCCTCCCCACGGCGTCGCCGTCGTCGCGCAATGACTCGGCGTTGGACCTTACTCCTCCAGGGACGTCTGACAACCTGAAAGGTATGGTCGCAAGCCACAGCACCGCACCGGTACGACAGTCGCCGCCGCCAATCACGGATGCTCGTTCCATGCCGGCGGGCGCAATCATCTCCCCGCCGGACTCCCAAACCTCTAGCGAAGATGAGGGGGTCGCCGGAGAGGAGACCAGAGGGCGGCAAATCGAGAACCTGAAGGAGCTGAAGGATGCGATAAGCTCGATTCCTCAACATCGAGAAAGTTCGCCCAACCGGAAATCAGCGGCGTCACCTGGTGACCTGATGGTGCTGCCCAAGCAAATTGAGCACTTGGTGGATGCTGTCCAGGACAGTCTCAAAATCGATACCACTCAGACGAACCAGCGCAGGATATCCCACGCCCGCTCCAACACGGAGCCTAACATCATGGTCTCCAAGTCTGCAGATGCCTCTGTGACAACGTCAGATGAGTCGGATCAAGATGAGCCGCTACGGAAACCTCAGATGGTACGGAAAAAGTCCGGCGAGCTGGTCAGGCCTGCGTTGCGACCTGCTGCTCACAGAAGGCCTTCCAGCATGCCCGGAACCCCGACCTTCTCGAAAGCTGTGCACTTTGACTCGCATCTCGAGCATGTGCGGCACTTCCTGCAAGTAGACCGACCGTTGGCAGTCAGCGCTGGCTCTTCCCCTGCCGATGCCTATGAGAGCGACAAGGAATATCCGTTTGACGAGAAGACGGGACCAAGGTCGCCACCTTATGAGTGGGAACTGGTGATGAACAATTTCCCTGGAGAATCACTCATCCGCAAGGCCCTCCCCGCTAGGGTGGAACGCGTCTGGATGTCCAATGACCAGAAGTCCTTGATCGGATCTATCGCCGTGGCCAACCTGGCTTTTCAGAAGCGCGTCGTCTGCAGATTCACTTTTGACTACTGGAAAACAACCTCGGAGGTTTCAGCAGAATACGCCCATGAGATAAGACCGCGCGAATCGGATACGGGCCACGACCGGTTTCAGTTCACTATCAAGCTCTCTGACCTCGCTAACCTTGAGGCAAAGACTCTGTTCTTCTGTGTGCGTTACACGGTCAATGGCATCGACTACTGGGACAACAACAACCACCTGAACTTCCAGGTTGACTTCCGCAAGAAGATGTTGCCCCAGAACGGCAAGAAGAACTTTCAAGGTGCTTCATCCCGTCCGCTGAACTCGCTTCCGCGTAGCAACAGGAGGTCCAACCCATCATCCGCTGCTCGCCCGAAAACTATGCCCGCCGGCACTCTAGATGAGTTTGGTCACGACGGCAAATTCATCAGCTTTGACCAGCCAATTCACGAGTACCTCGGCGAGGTAGAGCCGACCGTCATCCGTCTGAAGAGCTCCAAGTCGACTGGAGCTCTCCCCAGTGATAACTTGGCCAACCGCCTCTCTGCCCCGAGTGGACTCGCCTTTGCCAACAGATATGATTTCGGTGCCTCGCTCAGCGCTGCCAAACAGGCTCACAAGGATTCCAAAGGTAGCCCTCGGAGCGACGGCCTTTACATGAAGGCCAACAAGAAGGCTTCATTCGCGACACCCCAAAAGGCTACGGCTGCCATCGAGTCGGATGTCAATCCTATTTCCCCCCTCTCAGCTGTTGCCACCAAGGTTCCCGGAACGGATTCTCCAGCCTCTGCTAGCATGGCATCGGCATCATATGAAGAGATTGTCAACAAATACTGCTTTGTACGTACTTCAGGTTAACATCACACCGACTCAACGGGCAGACCCTCCGCAGGATGGCCACTATCAGAACTTTTGACTAACCCACACCCACTCTAGTTCAACGGATCGAAGCAGACCAGCCCCGTTATCAGGGATGGAACTCTGCAGGTCAACCAGTATGATGGTCCGGCTGAGATGTTTCAGACGCGGGGAAGCAACAGCGCCAACTCTAGCACCAATGGCAGTCCGAATTTGGCTGAGAACGCACAGCACAACGCCCTACGCTATGCTATCCACCAAAACCTCAACCCGTATTTTCAGAATTCACATATTGCCATCGGGGCCTCGCCGGCAGAGTCTCCTTTGAACGGACCTCAGTCTGCTATCGCTCGCCGAGCTCTCAGCCCGCCGACATCGGGATCACCGTTAGGTGGCTCACCAGCACCTATAACTGGTAACTACGGTTCTTTGGCTGGTACGTCGCCCGAGTTCGCTGTCGATGCGTCTCCTTTCCGCGCGCAGGATCGCTTTCCGTTTACATCAGACGCTCATTCTTCGACAGCAATTAGGGGTTGAACCATGACTTGGAATGAGTAACTGGCGTTGAAAGCCTGCACATCTCATCAGCGCCATCGGTGCTGCTGCACATGCTTCCCCGTCACCTCACGACGGGCAATGGTACATGGAAACATTCAGATTCGTGTTCTGTCTTCTTTTGATCACTCTCATCATCCCACCATCTGGCACCGCCTCTTGCGTTGGGTTCGCATAAACGGCCACGGCGTTCAGGGATTAGCATCTTGGTATTGCGGAAAGGCGGCATGATACCAAACCAGATACACGAAACGGTTGGAAGGAATACAGCGTCAACTGTGTCTTGATTTTTGATATTTTACGATTGGGAGCTTTGGGACTACTTGTCACCAAAGCCCAATCTTGGCGTCACAACGGTACATTCGCTTGGTGTGGAACACCAAGCCGGCGGGTTCTAATGCATAATTTCCACTTCCTCTTTTACGATCGGTATCGGTGTTGTACACTTCATTTGGACACGCCGTCACGGCAGATGTTTGCAAGTGGTGGTGGCGGCATCTCTCGATGGGCCAACTTCGGCCTTACTGGTATCGAGGATGGTCATGTTACGATGAGAGCAAAGGTACTACGGAGTACAGGCGACATTACGTTTTCGGGTATGCCCACAGCCACTGTCTGAAAGGGTTGGCTTCTGCTCGGGTTTGTTCAACCTTCTCTTGGGACGAAGGAGGTGACTTGGCGCCGTCTTACCGCTTCAGCAACATGGCCGGGGTCACAAGAGGCTTGCGCTGAGCGTCAGCTCGTGCCGCACCTCTTATGTGACACCGCCAACGTGTTCTGGAATCGTGCTTCAAGCTCCCACCACCGTCTTGCTTCGAGAGTTGAATTGGTTTAGGGATAGACAGGGCCAAACAGCGACGGATATAAACAAAATTGGAGAAAGGTCACTCGGGGGAAATCTGCTCAGTCCTGAGGGTCACAGCGCGTGAGTTCATGGCCAGAAAGCCAGACCAAGGTGCGCAAAGAAATGAAGCTAGGGAAAGCAAGGTGAAATCGTTTCTCTGCTAGGGCCTGAAATTGAATATTCCATCCGAGAACTCAGTGTCCTGTATGCCACGTGAAAATCCACTGAATGATCTGCCTGGTGATTGTGATACCTGGCTAACGTCAATGCCAACGCTGCGTGCAGCCTTGCAACACTTGTCTCGCGCCAACCAATATTTAGCCTCGACTTTGGAAGGGGTAATGTACCTAAAATGAGACTCCGCAAGTTCTCCTACGCTTGATTTCTCTTGATTGCTACAAGAATCAACATTGCTCGCAAACGACGAATGACAAGGAGGCAGCACGCTACATAACAAAAGCCAAATGTATTCCTCGGCCATGTTAAGGAAGGAAAGTCTATCCAAGCACAACTGTGCCTAGCTTAGGTCCAGCAGTTAGACGTCTGCGTTCGTGTATATGCACGCATCACATAACATCCCCTCCGAGTCCGGAGCCAGGCGAAATCATATGACTGGGCAATCACGGAGGTGAAAACCCGGTCCTTGCCGCAGAGCCTTCACTGCATTCAACTCCCACATTCCCCACTCTGAATAGCTGAGTTTCTTGTGAATATACCCCTCCTTGATACTCCTTACGCTAAGCTCATCACTATCTATAGCGTCAATACACGTTTCTCCTCCTTCTCTCCGGCCACTCCCATCTATGTGATTGTATATAACGTTGTAATGTCCGGTGAGCTAGGGGAAAAGGATGAGTGCCCATCATCAAATAGAGAAGGCAACGAGACTGGAGCCCACTTTCCGGCAGTGCCTCCACCAGACAGAGGGGTCAAAGCCTGGACTTTCCTGACCGGTTGCTTCGTGATCGAGGCCATTGGATGGGGTGAGTTCTACTTCCTCAATATCGCCCAGGAACCGTTCAAGTGACTTTTGCCATGCGACCTAGGGTTCAACATAGCCTTTGGTGTTTTCCAGGAGCATTATAGTCGTCTGCCGCAGTTCCGAGATGACCCCAACATCCCCGTCATCGGGACCGTTGCTACCAGCATGGTCTTTCTCGGCACGCCGTTTGCCGCGCCCCTCGTAAGGAAATTCCACAACTGGCGGCAGGCCGCCGTTGTCGCCGGGTCGGTGCTGTGCATCGTGTCCCTGGTCTGGGCCTCGTTCGCCAACTCGGTCGCCGAGCTCATCGCCAGCCAGGGGGCCTTGTACGGCACGGGGATCCTGGTCGTGTATGCGCCGCTCGTGAGTATGCTGAACGAGTGGTTCGTGGAGCGGCGCCGTTTCGCGTACGGGATCGTGTTCGCGGGCGGCGGCGTGAGCGGCGTCGGCCTGCCCTTCCTCATGGAGTGGCTTTTGGCGGCGTACGGATACCGCACCGCTCTCCGGGTAGCGGCTGTCGCCCAAGCGGTCCTACTGGCCCCCTTTCTGCCGCTGATCAAGGGAAGGCTCCCAGCGGGTCGCCAGGAGAAGGTGCCGGCGGATTGGAGATTTTTGCGGAACCCGCAGTTCTGGATACTCGCGCTGTCCAACCTGCTCCAGGGCTTTGTCATCTATATCCCGTCCATCTACCTCCCAAGCTACGCAACACTGGCCGGTCTATCGCCTCGTATTGGAGCACTACTGTTAGCCGCACTCAATATTGCCTCTACGCTGGGCCAAGTGGTGTTCGGCCACCTCTCTGACCGATTCAATAACGTCTACATCCTGGTCTTTATTACGACATTTGTCTCGGCGGTTGCTTCCTTCTGCATCTGGGGGTTCGCTCAATCCCTGGCTCTACTGCTAGTATTTGCCATCATTTTCGGCTTCTTCGGTGGGGCATATGTCGTGTTCTGGCCCAAGTTTGCGCTGTTGTCGGAAGACCATCTCCTCTTGTACGGCCTCATGGCCTTTGGCAAGGGCATCGGGAATATCGCCACGGGGCCCGTCACCGCCAGGATGTTGACTCTGCCCACGTCACCGGGCTATGGGCTGGGCACGTAAAAGACCGTGATCGTCTATACGGGTACGCTGCTGCTTGCATCCTCATTGGGCATTGCTGGGTGGCCTCTGAGACGCGCTCGGAGAGAGTGCATGGATGGCAATGGTCACCAGGGGGAATCAAGCACACCTACAATGCATACTTCACGCAGTGGGCATTTAATGCAAGAAAATGGTAAATGACGTGTAGGTAAGTGCGCTACTATATTTGAGGGCATGGGCAAAGTATGTTGAAGACATGCATGAAGAACATGCTCTCGTAGGTGGAGAAACCGTGGATAGGGGAACCAACCTTTCGTCGCCTTGGCTCAAGACCGCCGTAGTCACCCCATTAGAACGTTCATATAATGTGAGATTAGTGACGAAGCTTGATTCTAGGATGCTCGCGGATCCGCATTATCTTTCAGTAGCATAGAATCTAAAACGAATATACTACTTGAGGCATGTTTCGCTGGCCAAGCCTGCTTCGCCAGCTTTGTGAGATACGATACACGGATCGAGCGCCACAATGTAATCGGCAGTAAAAACGCAGGTTCGGTTGTCGATCCCACAACTGCACTTCTATAAATATCCAGCAACACGGAAGTAGAAGTCTAGCGAAGTGTTGAGTTTAACGAGATGCCATATGATGTTGTACAGTAGTGGACGAGTGGCTGGTCTACAAGCTCAGAACTTCATGACACTCTGAAACTACATGATGAATATGTCCTGGCTGACACAAGATAAAACCCTACCAGGACCTTTACGAACTACGGGTGTCGTCAACATGACTCAGTAACACTGTGATGGACCGCTTGTCACCTGGGTCTTACCTCCTCTTCTGAAGTTCATGTCAAGTGATCAAAACTGACAGCTTAAGTTCATCTAATTAGTTTCGAATAGTGTAAAGAAGAGCCTATTCTTACCCTCTGATCGAGTTTATAGCGGCAGTGCTAGCTTGTCGACAAGAACCCAAATGCTGAGCGGGGCAGCCGGTCACCTCATGGAACTGCATTTCCAGACGTGCCATACCATAACATACCCCACTGCGAAGCAGCCATTTTCGAATGGATGCAACGTGCGTACATGGTAGCAAAGATATGGCGAGTATCACTGGTCGAGGGTTGGGTTGCCGAAGATCCCCGCATATGCAACCATCAACAAAAGGCATACTGGGCGCAGATCTATATCTATGCCTTGTATGATGGGTCCGCCAGGGTCAATCTTTAGCAGAATATAGATTCGACAACCCCTCATCCTCCAAGCAAACTCCACTTGCAATAGCTCAGCGATATATCATCCGTTTTTCATCCCTTGCCACCGTTAATTCGTAATAATCAGGATGGCCGGAGTCACCCCTGGAAAGACTTTTACTCCAGGTCTAGATTTCAGCGCACAATCATACAGTCATCTCGCTGATAAAGTCGAAGCTGATGTCTCACGAGCTCATCATATAATCAAGGAGAAACTTCCACTTCTTGGTGAACTAAAAGCGCTGCTCTCGATCGCTTTTGGCGACAAAGCCCCCTTCTTCATTGACGCACGATCTGGTACTGCGGCAGTCTTGGACTCAGTTGATGACGAGCCTGACACGAGGCTGAACATCAAGCCCGAGTACATTTCACAGTTCTACGACGGCAAGCTTGAGCCCCGATACGGTCTTTTTAAAGATGCGTTCTTCAATGAGGCGTCCATGCCCTCGGGGCGGATCCCCGTAGCTATCAAGTTTGCTGACCTACTGACTCCGCATCCCCCGGTACCGCCCAAGACTGCTGATAAATTTGACCGGCTTCCACAGCCAACTGAGGATCTTGATCAAGTCAGGCGGGACGTAAATGAGTTCGGATATGGTATTGTAGGCAACGCCCTTATTCTCGTTCTAATACTTATAAGCCAAAGTCGAACGCAAAGCTCACTCGGGCCAACAGGCTAAAAATGTCTTGACGGCGGAGCAAGTCGCCATCATGAAAAAAGCTGTGCAAGAGCAGGCTGCAGGTGAACGTGACGCTGGCATTGCACAGGTGGACGGGGGGCCTAACGGACCAAACCAGCGACTATGGACTCTCGTCAATAAGGGTGACGACTTCTTGGACCTTCTGAACCACCCCATCATCGATGAGATGATCCCTTGGTTCCTCGGCGAACATGCCATCATCACGACTTATACGGCCAACATTGCGCGCCCGGGAAACGTCCCAATGCAACTGCATACTGACCAGGTTGCGGTACAGCCTCCCATTCGTGACCTGGCATTCGGCATGAATATCATGTTTTATCTCGAGGATGTTACGGAGAAGAATGGCGCAACGCGTGTATACCCAGGATCTCACATCGGCCAGATCGCACCTCCAGATATCTTCACTGTTGACGGTACTGCTGCAGCTGCGGCCCCAGCCGGGTCGGCTCTGATCTTCGAGAGCCGCCTCTGGCACGCTACCGGTCCGAATCGTGAGGAATCTGGCGAGCGCCCCGTGATACTTCTCTTCTTCATGCGCTCCTTCATCCGACAACAGGAGAACAACTTTCTCTCGCTGCGTAAGGACGTATGGCCGAAATTATCGGACAGGGTCAAGCGAATGTTGGGGTTCTACACTACTGGCGCTCTGGGTGGTGTGGACGGCGAGGTGAGGGAAGGCTTATTTGTGGAGTGGAAGGAAGGGGTTGGGAAAATGCGCGCAGCTCATGGGAGGTAGATCTACTCTAATGGTAGGTATACCATCAACGCCAAATGTACACTCTTGCGTGTGATGAAATCAAAACTCATTTTCATATCATATAAGGCTAGCTCGAAGCCCATGGGTCTAATTATAGGTACGGGGATTACTGCTATCGCTCTTTTGCAGCAGTGGTTGGTGTCGTATCCTCGCCGACGCCAGGGCGAATGGGCCTAGAGTCCAGGACTGCCTTCTCCGCGTCGGTTGCATCATTTATATGCACAGCTACCTCATCGCCAAACTGTTTGCCAATCTCCTCAAGTGATAGCCTGGCTGTCTCGGGCCAGAAGAAGTAGATACACGGGATGAAGAAGATACTCCAACAGATAACCAAGAGGAAGTACTTCCATCCTACCGCTGCGAAGCCGATGGGTGCTGTCTGGAGAAGAATGATGGTGGCTGGCAGATGTCAATATACCACTTAGTTTAGGGGGCCTATGCGGAGGCCTTTTGACCGACTTACCAGCGAATTGCCCGAACAACGAGAAGGCCATGCCAATGGATCGGATCTCTGTTGGGAATATCTCCGAAACGTAGAGATACATGGTTGTATTGCAAAATGTTCCCTGGAAAGATAGGTAGAGGAACATGAACAGAACGCCTATGGCGTTTCCCGCCCTGTTACTGGTGCCGGCATAGCTTGCGATCATGGCCGACATGACAGAGGTGGTGATGATAATGCCGACGAATCCAGTTATGTACATTTTTCGACGCGAGTTAACCTTATCGTGAAGCCACGCGCCAAACGGGTTGTAGATCATACCAGCAGTCGTCAGCCAAATCGCAGATAATAGAAGCGGCATGTAATCAGTCTGGCCTAAGCTCGTATAGAGAATGACTGCATAATTGTTCTGAGGGCCAATTAGCTCATGATCTTAGCCGAACGCTGAGCTAACTTACGATAATCAGAGGACCTCCGAATTCAGCACCCCACTGAGTTAGAAAGCCTATAGCCATGCGCTTCCGGTAACTCTTCTTATTAATCACAGCTTTCCAAGGGCTGCCGCCATATTGGCATAGCTTCTCGGCGTCGAGCTGCAGTTGTTTCTCGATCTGGTAGTATTCTTCTCTGGCGACGAGATCTTCCGGGTCACTTGGGGACTTTCGAAGCCGCTGCAGAACCGCCCAAGCTTCGTCCGTCAGACCTTTGGACATAAGCCAACGCGGCGAGCGCGGGACCCATCGAGAACCAACAAGGAGTACGATGGGTGGCAGCACCTGGAATGCCAATGGGAACCGCCAGCCAAACTCTCGGTTTCCCGAAAAGTAGACAGCGAAACCTATCCAGGACGACAGCATATAGCCAAAGACGAGGAAGATCGCATGGTGTCCAACAAGCCAGCCGCGGGCAAAGGGGCTGGACATTTCAGAAAGATACATAGGTGTAACTGTAGCCATCAGGCCTACGCACATCCCCATGATCCATCTGCCCGCCTGAAACATACTATGTGGAATCATCAGCACAGAGCTATCGTGTATGCGATCAACTCGCTTGGAGGGCAACGCAAAAGGGAGCAGTTCTTACGCAAGACTCTGAGCACCGCTTTGCAGGGCACCCCCGAGAATACCTAGGGTACACGCGAATTGGATATTCCGTAGTCGGCCAAAGTAGTCACCGGACCACATGAATATGAGGCAAGCAACGGCACCGCCTGCTGAGAACAGGCCATTGGCCGTCGCGATGGCTGGAGTCGTGATGGTGTCATATCCCGGTTCGCCGGTAGCTGGTAGGTCGAAGAAAGCATACCAGCCAGGCTGGCCAATCGTACTGCCAATGATCGAAGCGCCATAGCCATACGTCTGCACATAGGTGTCAATACCAACTTGCCAGGCAAGGCATTGCAATATCGCTTAGAGTGTCGAAGGAAGGGCCAGAGTTATGGAGTGTTTCGTTGCAGGCTACGGATAGTCTGTAAACTTACTGTGCCGCCCAGAGCAACAAAAGCGATCACCAGCCTGTTGTAAAGGCTCGTCTGGTTGCCTGCCTGGGGCATGGTTTCTACAAATTTTAACCTAGCCTTCACGGCGTATCTCCAATCTAGTTACAGAAAAGCAGGCAAATACGGACAGAAGAAAGTTAAGGAGTGAATGTTACATAGTCACTGAATGAAGAACAGAACCATTCTACGTAAAGCGCACCTAGAGAGTGACTCAGAAGAGGATCGCCATCTGCTGATAAGAACATGATCGTCAGTACTTACGGATTGCACATTTTAGTACATTGAAGATACCTACGCTACAGCTTCTGCACGAATAGAGATGGCGGGCAACTATGTGCAAACACACCACTCGTGGCATGGTTCCAAGCGATTCGTGCATGTTACAGTACTGAAGTGGCAGATGACATGATCATCCATGCCAGGCCGTTGTCAATAGTTGCATGCCGGCATTGGGAGACGTCGCGCGGGGCGGACCCCCAGTGACAGTGCGCGACCCGCATACCTTGCCTGCTTTGTCCGTACTAGGTCTGACAGTGTACCACGCGATGCAACACATCGCTACCAACTTGCAGGTATCCACACAGAGAACCAAGACGACCCTTGGTTGGTAGAATTCCCACCAAGCCGAGAGCCATCCATCCTCTTGACATCATTGCCGCCACAGGATTCCGGGTATGCGTCGGCGCATCTTCGCTTGAGAGCCACGAAGTCAGGGCTCCCCATCTCTGCTATTGGGTGCGATTCATGCGTCAATATTGATGCTCTTGTCGTTGCGACTGCATTATGTCAGGCCAACACAAACTTCCAGCCAGAATGATAGACTGTTCTATCATGGAAAAGGGCTGGGATGAGCTCCCAGACCCTAAACGAGTGTGGATTGGGACGTCGGGCAGTCATGAGGAGGGTCTTGGTAGACTCGTCCTACTAACACCTGAAAGAGTATTGGAGGCAGCTCAAACTCAAATAAGGACAGGCATCAGAGTGAACCTTGGTTGGGACCTGACCAAGCTCGAATATGCTTGCTTTAATCGCCAGCCATCCGAGCTCAAAATAGTGCCAGTGCTCGGAGGCGTGGCCTTTGACGATATCTACACGATGAACCCACGTGCGTGCTCATTTGCGTGCTCATTATGGCCAGAAAAATGCAATCTCCACGTTGCTAACAGCTATGATAGAGCAGAGTAGCCAGTGGGACGGTCTGCGTCACTTTTCAATGCCCTGCGAACATGGGAGCCCTGATCGTGTCTTCTACGGGGGGACCACCAAGGAAGAGATCCTGGATCGTTCTAATGACCGGATCGGTATCCATCATTGGGCACGGGAGGGTATCACAGGTCTGCTATCACTAGCTATCCAATTTCTGCAGAGCTCCCATCACGATACCGAGTCCATCAAGCTAATAGGCCATGCGTGCTACAGGCCGCGGCGTTCTGATTGACTATGCATCATGGGCGGAGAGAAAGGGTATCAAATATTCAACATTCACACTGCACGAGGTGAAGCTGGACGATATTCTGCAGATCGCCAAAGAGTGCAATATCACTTTCCTGCGAGGCGATATCCTACTGGTGCGCATCGGCATGACCAAGGAATGGGAGAAGGATATGACCATCAAGGACAAGCAGGCATACGCAGCTACTACAACTCCCATGCATGCAGGAGTCGAAGGGACTTTAGATATGCTAAAATGGATCTGGAATACGGGATTCGCAGCTGTCGCAGGTGACGCCATCAGCTTCGAGGTAAGTCTCTTGGTGCGAAAGTAGACCAGACGGCTGGCAAACAGCTCATCATGGCGTAGGTGTACCCACCTCCTCCAGGGAGGATTATGATGCACGAGTATATGCTGCCAGGATGGGGGATGCCTATTGGTATGTGTTAATTTTGATTTTCGACCTCCCATCAGTTTACGTCAATACCGAGTCACGCTCACCAGATTTAGGCGAGATGTTTGATTTGGAGAGGCTAGCGGAAACATGCACACAGCTTCAAAGATGGACTTTTTTCATCTCATCAACTCCTCTAAATATGCCTGGTGGCATCTCTTCGCCGCCTAATGCACAGGCTATCTTCTAGGAAGCCGAAGTGTGGACGTTGATGGATGTTCGTTGTTCCTGGGCGAGCATGAGTCATTCACGTATTCAATTCCAAGAACTCAAACCGATAACATACTCAAAACCGTCACTGGCGGCTATTATCATGGAACTCGTAAGGGGACAGTAATGTTTGCACTTGGAAATCCCCATACGATGCCAGCAATGTTGGTAGTGCTACGATCTTGGGTACCTCCACACACTTGGTACCTATCAGCAGCAAAGACTAGTCTATGGCTCGTAATTGCAGACGACTGGCGTGACATAAAATGAACACAAAGATTCGAATGGCAACGGAAGCCACGGGAGAACTGATTCATTGTGGTCAGCAAGCACTCCAATCGAGTTTTATGTTAGCTTTTTAGCGTCGCTGAGGGTCTCCTTCCTTGCCAAGAACTTGTTTGATTGGCCAATTCTTTACGAGCTCCGAGATGACAGCGTGATGGCATCAGCTAGTGAGCGGGAAACCCACTTATATACAGAGCCGCTCAGCCACAAGCGCAGCACCGGATCAAAACGGAGTCGAATTTCCAACGTTGCATCCAAGTCATTTGCAAAAGAGCTGATTATAAAAAGGTGCTTGCAAAGCATTCCTCTGCAGTTGCAATTCACATCCGCTGGAAACTGCAACGAATGCAAACAAACGTAAACCTTACTCAATATGTCTGCATCAAAGCCTGTCTTCATTCTCGTGTGTGGTGGATGGCACTCTCCGGCCTGCTATGATAAGCTGAAAGACCAGCTTGAGGCTCGAGGCTACGAGTATTATTGCCCTCACCTGGCATCGATGGGTCCTGCTGCGAGCGGCATGACATACGAGGCAGACGTTGAGGTGGTTCGCGGCATTGCACTGCCGTTGATTGATCAAGGAAAAGAAATCGTCCTCATCGCACATTCTGCAGGTGGTGTACCGGCGGTATGTATATGCTCTTCTTTCCGGGACACAATCGCGGATCAACTGATACCATTCACAGGTTGTCGCTAGTCAAGGTCTTGAAATCAGCCAGCGTGCAGTCGATGGCAAACAGGGCGGCTTCAAACATATCATCTTCATCGCTGCCGTCATAATCCCTGTCCGTGGTTCGGATACACTGCAGACGTTAGGAGGCCAATGGCAACCGGGACAGGGAGGAGTTGAGCCCTACACCAAGGTCAGTCGGAAAATCGGTGCCCCTACACTTTCCAATCTCGTAATTCCTGGCCTGAACTAACGATTTTACAGAACAACCTTGTAAGTAAATATTACAGTCAACTCGCTTCATTGCAAATCTTCGGGGCTCCCATGTGATGTGGAATAATACCACAAGCCTCTGCAAGTGACGCGGATACAGGACCGCCACACTCCAATGAATTCAAATTACACCGACTAACCCCCCCTTCTTTTAGATGACGATCCAAAGAGGAGCAGAAAAGGCATTGTACAGCGATCTCCCTGAAGCCGAATCCGAGAAATACTACGACCTCTTTGAGCCACACTCGCAGGACGCCTTTGAGACGCCTGTGAACTACATTGCTGCTGATGTCACCATTCCGAAAACATTCATCGTGACAGAAAAGGATGCTGTGTTCCCGCCGTTTGCCCAGAAGGCTCTCGCGAGCAGTGTGCCAGGCATGAAGATTGAAAGCATTGAGACCAGTCACAGTCCGTTCGCGAGTCAACCGGAACATTTGGCGGATATCATCGTGAGAGTTTCTGCTGGCGATGGACAGTGATGGGCCGACCGTACGGTTCCTTCATTGGTTTTGATATGGAAATATAAAATGGCGTTTGGATCTCTCCACTAGATTAAACTGAGACTTCAAAGGCTTGTTGTGCGACCTGTCCAGGCATCACTTACGATTGCTGATTCTGTGGAGCTCAACTAGTCGTTCTTGTATTATGACAAACTTGTTGCAAGATACGTTACTGTAGCCAAGGGAAAACTTGTATTAGTATTGACATTACTTGGCCTCCACGCCGCTATCGGGTGACTCAGAACTTTAGAAGTCAGCGCTACTGGGTTCCCCACCCGGAGCCAACTCACCAGCATTGCAGCGTTTCATAAACGACAAACCACGGAGCATCCCAATCTTCCATATGTAGGCCATCCACGACGAAGGTAACCCCTCACAATCTTTGAATATGGACTCGTTCCCTATAGCAGGATGGATCGGCTTGGGAAGCATGGGCACTGGGATGGCCAAAAACATCCAGGCGCATCTCGCCAGGAGCTCGGCACAGCCATTAAGGGTCTTCAACCGAACGGCATCTCGCTGTATTCCGTTGGAGGAGTCTGGCGCCAGGCGCTGTGAGTCGATTGCACTACTTGCGCAGGATTGCAAAGTCATCTTCCTATCTGTAGGCTACCCTGTTCGCTGTTTGATCTCCCATTGAAGTGATTGACCTCACAGTCAAGCGCCGACGAGGCAGTTTTGTCCATTGTCGAGCAGATCATCGAGTCGGGGGACGTTGAGGGAAAGATTGTCGTCGACACGACTACGGTCCACCCAGACACTTCAAAGGTAGTCTCGGCAAGATTAGCTAGGCAAGGGGCACAGTTTGCTGCGATGCCTGTCTTTGGGGCTTCACCAGCCGCCGCTTCTGGGACGCTCCTGGCGGCATTTGCCGGACCACAAGATGTCCTGGATTTGCTTTCGCCATTGCTGAAAGGTGTTATTGCCCGTGAGGTCCTTGTTGTCGGCACGGAGCCCGAAAAAGCACTCCTTCTGAAAACCACAGGGTAAGGGACCTTTTCGCTGCGATCAAGGTCGAAAAGCTAATCCCGTCTAGAAACTTGATGATGGCTTCGCTGATGCAAGTGGTAGCCGAAGCACATGTCTTTGCATCGAAGGCGGGTCTGCCAGAGGCCACACTCGAGAGACTATTAGAGCTCAACTTTGGTCCTGTAGCCTATTTGGACTCAGTTAGGATGACCACGGGTGTATACTGTCCTGGGCGGGGCGGGGCGCCGTGGTCTGACTTGAATCTTGCGATCAAGGATGTAGGGCACGCAATTGAGATTGCTGACAAGAAAGGCGTCAGCCTGAAAGCTGGAAAGGCCGCCTTCGAGGGACTGGGTAAGGCCAAGGAATGGGCGAATGGGGAGGGGAAAGTCGACGGTACTGACCGAACACTAGACTCCACCAGCTTGTATGGAATCGTAAGGCAGGAAAGTGGACTGGATTTTGAGAGCGACTTGGTCAAAGCGAGCGATAGTCAATCCTGACGGCGAAGACGTGTCTGCTCAGAGATTGCCTGAAGGCAAAGCAGCACAGCTCGCGCCAAGAACAGAGTCTGATGGATTTTGAAGGCCGACTTTATCATCAGGGATACAATGGCAAGCCAACTAGCATTGGCATTACCACCAGTCAAGTCTCCGCGTAGTTTATTGGTGTTAAAACCTAGCTGATAGGCCATACACGTTTTACCTTATGTGGGCGTGCAATAACTATCTTAGCTTCAATCAGCAGGCGCAACAAATGTGCAGTGAGAAAGACTTTTATCAGATTTCGGCAGCCAATGCCAAATGCCTAACGTTACCTAGGTACTGTAACTCCACGGGGGTGATGCTTAATTCGGGGCGTCTCTGATTGGTCAGTATGACACCCAGGGACAGCGCGGCGGATTGGTAATAATCCGGGCCGGCCAAATTAGTGACGTCGGCTACCGGCTCTACGGGCTGTACATTTGTTGAATCTGCATTTGAAGATTCCCGTATCAGGTGAACCTCAATTCCAACAAGACAATACACATACTGGCAGGAAGCCTATAGCTTGTTTCTACCTCCTTGGTTTACCCATCTCACACATCCTCCTACTGCTCAGACCCCACCATACCCTCACGATGCTCTGTCAACGGTGCCGGCGCATCGCAGTCACAGCAGCTCGACAGCTAAGCCGACCATCCTCGAGAGCCAACAGTGCATTGGCTACCAGTCGAATCGCCTCGAGGTCATCACTGATTTCTGCACCCGTTTCACGACTCCCATATGCGGCGTCATTAAGATATTCCACCTCTTCTGAGGCAGCCGCAGCCGCAGCCGCAGCGCCTGCAGCGACAGGATCATCCACGACCCCAGAGAAGCCCGACTACCTGAACGAGGCCGAATCAGAGATATGGGACAAGTTGGCGGTCGAGTTCTCACCCACCGAGCTCATGGTACAAGATATATCTGGAGGCTGCGGGTCGATGTACGGCATTGAGGTTGCCTCGGAGAAATTCCGAGGCACGAACATGCTAAAGCAGCAACGGATGGTTAACGCCGTCTTGGGGGAACAAATGAAGGGATGGCACGGTGTCCAACTCAGGACGAAGATCCCATCTTAAGGCATGCGCGAGGATCCAATTCAGACACCCGACTGCGAGCTTCTTGCGTTCAGTGGTGGCATACCCCCTCCTCCCTATCGAGCAGGCCACGTCAGAATCATGTGGTGTACTTATTTGTAATATGTATCTCTTCAACCCGGTCATGTATAGTCTTGGGACCGTCTGGTCGGCAACTGCGTGGGTCATCCGCGTCGTGTAATTTAATGTTACGGCAAATTACTTCTACCGTCGATGTCTATGTCCAGAAAACTTGGCAAGCCCTAGCTTGGCTTGAATGAAAGCTGACACGATCAGCTACAAACTGCTGCATCACCTACTACTTCAGGTTACTTTGTCGAGTGCGTGGCCGTCTACCTACTTCTAATCCTTAGCTAGAAGCAGCCAAGAGACATCCAGTGGATCTGTAGCACGAGCGCAGTCCCTTGTCTTCCGGCGACAAAACGAGTGGTTCTCGGGCTGTCTCTGAGTGGCTTGGACGTGCATCGGGGAGTAATCCGCAGGTACGCTGATAGGCTGGACATGTACGTTAGCACTTCCGTCATGTAGTCAATTCTGAGGCGCAAAATGGATCATCACAATGGCTTGCAGTAGTGTAAGGTGAGCATAGTTAGCACTACGTTGGATAGTGCGGCTGAAAACCGCATATGTAAGACCTGGAGAGTCATATGATTGCGTATTTCTCAGCTCTAAATACGTTTTATGTCTGTACGGCATTAGAATTCCAAGAATGCGTCACGTACTCATTATTAGGCATTTTCCGAGAAGACCTAAAGCAGAGCAAGTAACTTCAGACAGGAATTGAGATTTGCAAGAACGTTTGTTGGTGCTAGCTATGGATGGTTTGCGACTACGAGTTGGCTTGACCAGGCCGGCGGAGTCCCTCCGTGATATCAAGGTTTCTTGGATCTAGCAGGTGAGCTTCCGACATTCCGTTGTCCAGTAGAGTCGGAGTGGTAGGCCACACGAGAGATAAGTTTGCCAGCATTAGTGCTTCGGGGGATCGGCCCGCAGCCTGTTGCATTGACTAGTCAATTGTAGATCTCTGCCACGGCACATCTGTATGAGACATATCGTTGATAGCTTGGATCAAAATCATCATTTCACGGAGCACGGAGATACATAATTTATTTGAGGGTCATTCGGCCGATCTTCGCCAAGACCCTTAGTCTAGATGTTAACGGTGTCATGAAGAAGCTCGTCAGAAAAAGCAAATATACATCCTAGCACCTGCTTTACCCCGTGATCTGCGTCCCGAATTACTGGTACTGCGATCGTGAGGCGATTGGCTTGAGACGGCCGAGGTTCTTATTCAAAACATACTCAGCCTCATTGTGACCGACGATCGATGTCGTACAGCATAGCATATCTACGTATCTATCGCCATTGCAGCCTCGCTTATCTGGCCAACATACACCTCGACGCCTGGAATAGACTCACAAATAGAACGCCACAAGGCTAAAGAAGTTTCGTGATTACTGATCAAGCAGAGGTGTGGTCCCCTAGCGGATACATCCCCAAGCCACATACGATACTTAGTTTTTAGGGGTCCAAGCATTGCTGCGCACTCTGTGACTGCCAGGGATGTCAAAGAAGCATGAAAAAGCATCACTACTTCGCTTCATTGTCCTTTTAAATGGTTGGATCCTCCGCACAGAATTGGGTGTGCAGCGGAGTGTCGGGACAGCATTCAGGGCTTATTAGAGTCCGACAGCTGGGGTGCGGCGTCTGCTTTTGTCTATCGCATATCGTTCAACAATATCCGTAAGTCATCCCACTAGATTTGGGTGCCTCCTCGTCATATAAATACAGTATGTTTTGCTTGCTAACCTGCTACCAACAGCGCCATTGGCTTGTTCGTCCGCTTTCAGCGACTTTTTCTTTTCTTGGCAGTCTTTTTGCGATATCGGTTTTCCAACAGAGCCTCAAGTCCAATTTGTAACATGTCAGGATGCAGTATAAAATGGAACAAGCAGCAGCCAGGATTTTGACAGGATCTATCCATAGAAGCAAAAGTCATAGCCTGGCGTTTTATGTCGGTGACGGAACCGCGGACGACATATCCGAGCAGCATCCCGGCGGCCCCATGCAAATCCACGTTAACCTACCCCAGCAGGTTCGGGTTGGGCAAATCATTTACCCTCCACTTGTGGTCAACGCCGATGTGGAGGTATATGATTGGATACAAGTTATGCTCGTTGATGCTTTCGGCAACGTTAACACCGCCTTAGCGGGCGACTTGGCAAGATCTCTACATCCTCTCAACGACAACCAGTCCGGCAGCTCTCAGCCTACAGGATATGCTGTTTTCCCCAATCTTTCTGTCGGTCTGGTGGGTACATTCACAATCAAAGTCTGTGGTATGCAGATGAACTACACTAGTTCCTCTCCGGATGCTACCGTTGCTACCGAGGTGTACACTGGGGAGATCAACGTCCGGGAAGAAGCTGTGGCAGCAGAGAAACCTTGTAAGCCGCCGGGACGAAATCACTGCATTGAAATAACCGAGATCTCACGATTGATAGCGAACGACGAAAGGCGACTCCTACGCAGGCTGCGCGATCACAGTAGCAGATTTGGGGTGCCACGGTCACCAGCAAGTTCATAGAATCACTATAATGCGAACTGGGCAGCATAGCACGATAGATAGATACCAGTGAATGCGTTCATAGTATAATGGTAACTTCTCGAACCTTGTGCGATATTTACAAGATCTATGTCTCTGCAAGGATCAGGCTACCAAATCCTTGGCTTGCCACTTGTTTCTTGTATTTTGTTTCAGAATACCATACAGCATAGATTTGGCAGATGACCGAAGGTAAGCTCCGGTATAGTCCAGTCCAGTCCTCAACATGGTCGTCGCTCTGGATGCCATGGACGGTGATGAATTACTCGCCTGTAGCAAAGAATAATTGAACCATATCATGGAACGTTAGAAATAATACCCCACGGAAGGCAGCTGCAGTCTTTGTCTTGGCCTGTCGGGTGATCGACATTGCAGGAGCCCTACGGCAGATAGCCGAACCACTCCACTGGAGACAAAGCAGTATTTCTCGTAAGGCGAGACAAACACTAGCTTGTATGGCTCACAGCTCCGCCAAGGGGTGCGGCCGCAGATCCCAGATTGATGCTCATAGCCTATGAAAACCATCAGGCGCAAAAGATCGAGCACAAAATTCCGAGAGGCGCTCAGCCCTGTACTTCGAGGCTATGCCTTTCTTGTCGCTGAGCAGCCTAACTTGGAAAAGACCAGTGTGAAAGACTACGCCACCAAAGAAAAGCAAATTCCTAAACTAATCAAAGAAGTTCTTCTTTGTGACAACACTCCTCCGGGACAAAGATGCCGGCTTGGCCCAGTACGCGGTTCGAGAATCTCGGTCTATGTGAGACGCATGCTAGTAGTTCCGCATCACGAACTCAACACTTCATCGATCGCCACGACTGAAATATCTTTGAAAATCTTGGTAGTTTGACGGGTAACTAGTAGCAAGCCTGCGAAAATTTCATCATAGGTCACTGTTTTCAGCCACAGAAACGGCCATGCGTCTAGACCTCGCCAATAAATGCAGCCACAATGCGGGAGTTGGCACATATACCTCAGGCTTCACACAATATGCGTCCTGGTACTCAGTTGTTACATACGTGATCGCTGGAAGAGGTCTGCTGCGCATTTTGACCTCCAGTATGAGGAAGGCGAGCGGCTTCGCATTTCACAATTTGATCTAGTCTCTTGATGGTGAAGTGCCTTCAACCGCAGGCGACAGGAGCAATCAAGTTCGTCTAAGACGATGGTAATACCTGCCTGCTGGCTGTCCAAGAGAAGTGCTGCCATGAGATTGAATGGCACGGTGGCACCTGCAGCTGGCAGCACGGCCCCACATCTGTCCCAACGCCGGCTTATGGCCCACTATTCCCGGCAGGCCTGTCGGGAGTAACTCTGACCAACTGCCACCCCTCAATTCACACTGATTTTGCTAATTTGATGGCGTATCTTGCCCTCAAGGAAGTTTGCCACCAAGGAAAGTGCGAGGGCGATGGAGACTAAGTTCATTCCCATCTAGCGGGCAAGACACGAAGCGGCTTAAGTCTATGCACCAGATCGCTTTTATCCCATGGTTTTCTTCCGTGATGCATATTATAGGTTATTTCAAGAATAGGCACTGTATACCTGGCGCGTGTTCCCTTGAGCGGAAATCAAAGTCAATCAATCTAGTTCATTGAGGCTCTTGGCGCACTTCACTCAGCAAACCCTACGGGTGATAGACGAGGATGGACAGGCAAGCTCCATGAGCCGTCCAACGTGGACACTCATCGAAGTTTAATTAGGATTAATATGTAGACTATGTGCTATTATAGAACAGGCGCATATCCAGTGGGAGGGTTGAGGCCATCAGGGATGGCCACACCGAGGCCATAATAGACAGGCGCTGGGTTGCCGCTCCAAGCTTTCTTGATACTGGGCAGTACCGTCCGCTTATGAGACTTGGTGCAGCTGCCCAAGTTAGGTCCAGGGTAGCGCTGGTTACCACCATTGGTATTGAAGTAGCCGGCATACGACGTGTTGAAGTACATGTTGTCCAGCGCAACCTTGCCGTCCCACTCCCGAACGACGTCGCCGGTCTTGTCCGCAACGAGCTTGAAGACATTGGCACCAACATCGAAGCGGCCCAGTGTGTGCAGGTCCCAGTTGGCAGAAACAGTGGAGATTTCACTGTAGTGGTTGTAGTAGTGGTCGTCAGTGGTACCAACAAGCTTAGATGGTACGGCATCACCCAGCAGGATGCCGAGAATGCGGTTCTGGATACTGTACGTCTCATTCTCATCAAATGTGACCAGGACGAGCGTGTTCTTCATAAAGCGCTTGTCCTCCAACAGAGGCTCCAAAAACGTGCGTGTCCAGGTTCCTGCGACACTGACATCTGTATCGTGACCGTCGCTGGTCATGTTGGGGGTGATGAACATCCACTGAGGGAGAGCGTCGTTCTCCAGGTCAACGTAGAACTGGGTCAAGTTCTTCATCAGAGCCAAGCGGTCAGTCTTGGCTGCGGCTGAGTTGTAGATGACTCCGGGGTTATGTTTCCGGACGTAGTCATTTGCGCCAGTCTTCTGGTTGACATACGCCTTTCCCTCAAACCCAGTGTAGGGCATATCCTCCTGGTATTCGCCCCAGGTGATCCCCTTGTCCTCTAGGAGGTCAATGACGGTGGAAACATTGGCGTCAACCTGGTTGAAGTTGTCGTTCTGCATGCCAAAGTAGTCACCGCCAATGGCAGCGATGTAGTTCGGCTCACTGGGATGGGTGACGGCATGGTACCCGTTCAGAGTAATACCCTTCTTTGCGAGCCATGAGAGGTTTGCTACGCCAAGTCAATTCGGTACTGGGAGGGTAACGGAGATATGCGACACTTACCATCGCCAGCAGCCAGGTCATAGTCGGTGTTCTCCAGCCAGATGACGACGAACCTGTCGAAAGCCTTGCCCTTGACGTTACTCGTAGGGCTGGAGGTTTTGGCAGTCGCGCGTGCCGCCTCGACGTCAGCAGTGGCTGTCGAGGTGTAGAGATTCTCAGCCTGTGCCGCAGCACCAGCCACTAGAAGGGAAAGAGACAGCAAGGCGGAGTGCATCATGACTGCGAGACCAGATGCAAGGCACAAGCGAGGGGACCTGACTTCACCGTACTGATTCGGGGAAAGACCACGGGGCTTGAAGAGGTGCGAGAAAGAGGCATTATATGCAGGTCATGGTACGGCTCCGGTATACGGTGGTCATCGTGCAGACTCCAGATGTATCCGTTCCACCCCCCGTTCCACTGCTCTGGGAATCACTAACTGGAACAGTGCTGGTTTCCCTAAACAAGCAACACGGATCAACCGGTAACACGGCCATTTAGCACCCTGCAGGGCAGCCTCTCCCCACCCACATCCTAAGTTCAACCTCCGATGCAGTTGGCCTCTATGATCAGAATGTGCGGAATGAAATGGGCTGGCTCCACACTCCGCTCTTAGTCTGCACTATTATACGAACCGAGAAAGCTTGAATGAGCTTGTTCTGTTCAGTATGCGAAGGCACTCTGTCTCTCCAAACACACGTGGCCCTTGGGAGAGTTCAATCAAAGTATGGTCGTCTACAGTCAACCTATCCAACCAGCACCATTTTTCAACGTACCATCCAGGCTGTTTCCCCAGAGCAGTCTTGCCGTACACACACCACAAGCATGCTGGTATCCTTCGATGCGTTTGGACGGAAAACTCTATGTGCGCTAACGTAGGATTCTCAGCCGCAGACCGAGCCGGAGATGAGTTCACGCGCAGTCGGTGCTGTCGGTCAAGAGTGGTGGCATCCTTTCGAAGCCTCTGGAGGCCATCGGGGGTATGATTCTTGGACCAGAGGGGAAGGTCAGTCGACGACAGAGCTGCACGTGTTGCATTGGACGCCAAGCATTGGCACGAACAGCCGGCAGACTCGAGAGGTGGACCGTTTCGATCCCCACCGCTGGTCGACAAGACTTGCGGGGGCCACCCTTGGGGATTCTGGCGAACCAACATGTGCTGATTTACAGCCCATAACAAGCATAAGAGGCGCCCACGCTTGTATCCGCAAGCCGCGTGTGCGCCTAGCCCCGGGCCCGGCGCCGACATCCCAGCCAGCACTCAGGGGGCGAGGCTTAGTTATCTGGGTACGCGATTGGTGACGACTGGTCTCGCCTGGTCCCCAATTTTAATAGCTTAACGCACTTCAAAGTGCCCTCAGGGTCCGCCTAGAGGCTGGGCACCTGCTAATTGCGGCAATCACCATTGGCTGAGGGAAGGTCGTCAAGGGTAGTGGCCCATGGAGTACGCGTTCACAACACCGCACTTAGATCACAGTCTACGTTGCCCGCATCGTGAGGTCCATCATGCAAGCCGTAGTGTCTCCGGCTATCTGGCCCAATAAATAAGACGCTGCTGCCAGCTTCCTGAGCCCAATGAGGTGTTGTGATCGACGCACGTTACCGTGAACAGCTTTACCCGCCCGATTCATAGCCTCATAATCTCGAACTCGGAATTCCAATCGGAACTCGACGGCGTATTTCGTGCACGAGGTCGGCAGCTTTGAGCCGGCAGCTTGGGACACTACTAGTCTAGGTCTGACTCGATTGAATACGACAATCAGGGTTCTGGGGCGAATCTCCTCCGAGCTACACTTCCATTCTCGCTGAGCTCGCATTCCTCTGCAGCCATGGCAATGAACGGGTTGTTGCAAAGACTTGCTCAACAAGAGCCAGCCTATGAATCTGTTCCAGCAACCCCATCAACACCAGCGACCACAGCGTCAGACAGCAGTTCATCCTACGATGACGATGAAGCCACCATGTCGACTGCTGCACGGATTCAGCAGATACAGCTCCCCACCCTGTCGCGCTTCTTGGCAGACTTCACGTTGGGATTCGCAGATGGCCTGACGGTTCCCTTCGCCCTCACCGCCGGGCTCTCATCTTTAGGTCAAACCGACACAGTAATTCTTGCTGGGATGGCAGAGATCGCGGCGGGTAGCATCAGCATGGGGATCGGAGGGTACCTCTCTGCAAGAGGAGACATCGCCGCAGCGGCTGCCACTGCTGGGGGTGAACCTACATTACCGCAGCACGATGTCTGCCTGGACCCGGAGAAGGCAGCGGCACAAGACAAGTATACGACGGTGGAAGATTACCTTGGTCCTCTACGATTGCCTCCTCATCTACTTGATGCCGTGCGAGCACATGTGGACTCCCAGCCGGCTGTTGGTCGTGCTATACTGGCTCGAGACGAAGCCTCAAAGAGCAGCCAAGTGCGGGAAGTTGCCGAACAGCCATGCTCGCCAGTTTTAAACGGATTCTCGGTGTCTTTGGGCTACCTTCTAGGCGGCCTCTTGCCGCTTTTCCCCTACTTCTTCGTTGCCGAAGTTGCAGCTGGGCTGAAGTGGAGCTTCGGGGTCTGTATCCTTGCTCTGTTCATATTTGGCTTCACGAAACACTATCTTCTCCAAGAGGAGGTGGAAGACCGAACATGGAGTCATGCGTGGCACTACCACTCGCAGCGATGCAATCGAATCAAGCAAAGTGCGTGGGAGGGTCTGCAGATGGTGATCCTTGGCAGCATCGCCGCATTCGCCGCTCTGATTTGCGTCAAGGCTTCAGAGAACATCGTGTCATAGTCACTTGCATAGGGCCGCGGGTCAATCCACAGTCCCGATCCCCTGTATATGCTTGGTTCAGACTGTACACCACCGGCCGGCCCCCGCCTCTGCGACGACCTCCATGTTCAATTGCAAAAGATTAACTAAGTCAGCTCGTCTCGAAAGCTCCCAGCTGCTGTTATTAGTGTGGGGGAGGCGGCGGGCCGGCGCGACCCATCGGAACAGGGCCTCCTCGCCCCATTGGCGGTGGCGGCGGTCCTCTCGCTCTACCCATCGGCATTCCCATCGGGAAGGCCCCTGGAGGTGGACCCATACCGGGCGGCGGACCCCGCCATCCAGGTGGAGGCCCTCCCGGCCCCGGTGGTGGTCGTGGTCCAGGCGGCCCTCCAACCCAGCGCTCTTCCATCTCGCTGCCAGAGTCCGACCCACTGCTGGAACCGCTTTGATAAGAGCCGCTTGAGGTAGTCCTAGTGGAGGAGCTTCCATGTGAAGAAGACCTCGGCATTCGCACCCGGCCACAGCATACCCATACAACCAGGAGAACAATCACCGCCCCAACCACACCCCCAATGATGCCACCCAAAGCTTCCTGGCTTACTCCACTAGAGCTCGGTGTCGGGCCAACATAGCCAGTGGTGTCCGTTGACTGCGAAGGGGAGCCAAGTGTGACGGTGGCTACGTACGTGGTACTTGGTCTGACGATGGTCTGATAGATGACCTGCGCAGTAGGAGCGTCTCTCGGGTCATTGCGAGTGACGGTGACTTCGTGACTTGAAGCGGTGGTAGACAGCACTGCCATGCTAACGGCTGGCGTCGCCTTTTAGACCTCGTCCAAGCTGTTTATAGTTCCGGCAGCACTAGTTGAGCAGAGCAGATGTGTTCGTTCGGTATTAGCAATAAAAGTAAAAGTGACACAGCAAGCCGTTCGTCTTTCAGTCATATATCACAGTGAAATGGTTCTCTTCCAGGGACCTCCACCCCGCTGTCTAACGCCATCAAGACCGGCATCTGCACGAATCCAGCAGCTAAGACAGCCATCCTAGCAACATGCGTCAATTGCCTAATTGAATCTGCAACGGATCCCACCTCCCTACAGCCTGCTCATAAGCTGGAGCGCCGAACAACACCGCGCACCCAGATCTGCCCACGTCAACAACCACCCACGTATCTCCATGCAGACCGCCTGTTCTCACCTTGAACATGTGCAACCATCCGCCAAAGTCTGCCGCATCTTGAGCCTGTCACCGCGTGCTCGGAGCAGGCGACTCGTCGCTCCGGATCGTGTTTGCCCTGCTTACAAGGCAGCGGGTGCGGGGTTACGCTGTTGCTGATACTGCGCGTAGCCGTCAGCGCCGAGGGCGCCGGAAGACCTCAATCACACGACGAACCGCTTTCATTGGTGCACGGGCGCCCAGCGCCTGCATGCAATCTGCATGCGTGCGCTCTGCAGGCTGGAGCCTCGCGTCGCCCGCATGGTATGGCATGCAGTTGGCTCGCCAGTAGCGTCAGTGGTTCTCGTCCCCTCCCTCTGGGCCCGAGAGGCGTCATAGCACGAGATGCGTTCCGGCCTTGGGATATGCCGGCTGCCGTACTCTGGAGCGCTGCGATCTGGCGCGGAGCACGACCAACAAACCTCACAGGCCAGTTGGACCAGACCATCTGATATCGGTGTGCAATGCGCGCACCCGACTACCAAGGGATGCCTAGAACCGGATCTTCGGACGAGCCTGGAGTGAACTTCAGATGCGGCAAGTGGTGGAGGAATTGCCTGGCCCCCAATGCGTTGGCATTTGCCCCAAGAAAGCGAGTGGCTCTTGCGATCGCCAGTCGTGCTGCAGTCTACAGCCTGGCCGTTTTTTATAAGTCCTGGTGGCGAAAAACACATTAATTGGCTTGCTAAATGGTCGTAAGGAATACGCGTGTTCAGTTGGTTAAAGCGCGCAACCATTGTGTTTATCAAATGACGTTACGCTTCAGGCACTCACTTGCACCCACCCACCACCAATTAGATCGCCTATCGTATCATTGCATAGACCCATTATATTGCGATAAAGCTATAATTGACATAGTTGAGCCAAACTACAGTCGCTTAATGGCCACCGTAGAATTGGTGAAGCCGGAGGAACCCGAACTTGCATGCAGGTTGCCGTCCATTGAGCCGGATGCACACGCTATGGGAAGTGAATGAGCTTGGAAATACGAATGCCCAGTAGTATTCAGTAGAACTGCGCCAAGTATAACGGCGTATCCCACCTAAAAAAAAAAAAATGCTTTGAAAATGATATGGAGAGGGAGTGGTACGAGATTCTTTTCTTTCTCTCTGCAATTTTGCTTGAGAGAGCAACTTGCCTTCACAATAACCTGACAGCTATAAGTAGTTACGGGTGTCCAAACTGGAAGCACGTTCTTGTTGGACATGTTGTCTCAATAAGTCGGACTGAAAAAAAGACACAAAATTCATTGACAAACTAAAGATGAATACAACTAGGTATGCTTCGAATGAAGATCTACTATGATATATCTACATATCTTGGCAACAGCTTGATGCTGTGTCATTGAGTGGTCGTGTTTGCTAACGGGCATTTAAAGGGTCTCATGCCAGTAACTTATCTGGCTCTTCCCCGTCATAGTCGCAAAGATATTCAACTACGCCATGCCACAGATGGTTTGCAAAATCATTTCTCATCGCATTGTATGTCATTCATGCTCATCAACTTTAAAAGAGCCTATACATATCAGTTGGCTGAGCCACTTTAATCTGAATGGACCCTTGTTTTCTTCTCTTCTCCGCCATGTACGTGCTCTGAGCTGGCTCGTTTATTTCCGCGCGGCGATTGGCCAAACCATCCCGATGATTCCTGTGTTGCTGCCATATCTTCCGGTCTAGTACCTGAGGAATAACTAGAATCCCCACGGATTTGACTCTCAGCAGTCAGCAACTCGACCATAGTTGAACTGCTTGGAGTCAGTCTCTTCATGGACTGTAGAGTTCGCTCCACCACACAGGGAAGATGTGGACTTAGGCTATCTGTGATGCTGTACGACGGCTGTGATATCTTGTCCCAAACGATTGCAATCGTGTCCCCAAAGGGTAACATTGTTAAGGATGTTCTCTCCCCATTCCTCAACGATGGAACATGTCCAAATTGAGCTTGTTTTCCATCCAGAGACTCGATGGCAACCACCTGGCCAGTCTTTCCTGTCTGCGTTACTGGAAAAATGTTGAACTGGTCCCCCCTCTGTACCAGTGTCTTCCGTTGTTGGGAAGGGATCACTTGGCTTTGGACAGTGTTGGATTCAGTCATCTGAATATTCCGCTCAAGCTCGTCTGGAAGGTTCTCGAGAAAAATCACATCGGTGCCTACAGACGGCAGATCGCCGCCGTCAGATGCCTTCCGGTTGCCTGCCGCTCCCGCAGCCCCGAAATTATGAGTCAACCACTGATAATATTGTAAGTACTTGTCTCCCATGAATGCAATTAGTCCTACGGTTTGGTGTATGAATGGTCGGCAACGCGACGCTAAAATAACAGCCTCAGTCCCTTATTCACAAAGTTGTATGGTGTTAGGTTAGGCTTACCTGCACCTTCTCTGTAACACCATATCGCGGCACGACCCCAGCCCGTAAACGCAAGGCACGGACGAGTCGGGTGGAACAAGAAGCTATGTGCTTCATGACCTGGAAATTCCGTGCTTCCCACTGACTGATGTCCACGAAATACATATTCCCCGGCTTTGCCTGGAAAGGGTGATTCTTCCTGAGACCATACCTCCAACCTTTGAGGACAAACCCCTTTCGTTGTCTCTCTCTTCTCTAGAAGTCCAATAGCGTCAAGAGTAGGCGAGAACGTATTACTATAAAGGGACTCGGATTTGAGCGAACCCTCCTGTTTCAACCTCTGCAAGGAAAAGGATTTCATCTCCAGATAGTCAGATTTGTCCGTTTCCGCCATTGGCTGCAGGGTTATCAGAGTACGAAGTACCAAGACATGTGATAAGTCCGGTGAAATTGAGACAGGGAAAGTAAACCTCCAAGACGAAGCCGCGTCTTGCTTGTCCGATTTTATGCCCAATTTCATTGGAACACGGAGTATTTCGAGAACATCCTCTGTTGGTAGATCCACTTCAATCGTGTATGGAACAACTACCGACTTGATGTTCTTAATCTGATAGTTGACCTTCCAATCATTGCATAGCGATTCAAAACCCGTCCTAGATTGTTTGTGAAGGAGTGGATTCTCTGGTTTCGGTCTCTGCGACTCCTCTACAGCGTCGATGTATTGCCTATCGAACTATTAGTTAAGACCTGGAAGCTTTGCACGATCATTAGGTGGTTACCTTGAAGGCTTTACGTAAATACTTGCGTTGAACAGTCTATCAGATGATGTTTGCGACTTTATCAGGATCATGCGTGATTCTTCACCACTGCCCCGCTGGCTGTCTGAACATGTGCTAGAATGATTGCCCAAAGGTTTGATACTCGTATCATTTTGGTGGGTCCAGTATGATGACTTGGCGAAAGCTGTGACGGTAGAAGTCCACATTGCACTGGGTTCTTCCAATAAAACACCCGTCCATTCATCACGAAGCTGAGCTAGATCCTGTTCCAGCTGAGACAGTGATGAAATTACAGAATTAACCTGTAATCGAATGCTGCTATACATTTTCTGTGATAGCTCAATCATGGAGATCAATGGTTGGATCGAAGGAAGCTGCCAGTATGAAAAGCTGGCCTCAATCCATGCGGTCACGGCTCTCCTTTCCTCGATCCAGTGGGTCAATACGCTAAGTAACCCCTCGAACTTACGATCGTCTTCGTCACCAGATGATCCCATGTCGACGTCGAATATATCCCGATCATATCGATTGCTCTGAGCAACTGCAAATTGTAATAGAGGGAAGGTTTTCGACACCAAAGCGCGTTGTTCTGCCGTGTAAGGAGTCGTGGTTATAGGACCTCTTGGTATATCGTAGGTCAGATACGAAAGACATACTGTAGTCAACATCAACCAAGAGCTCTGTCTAGTAAGCCCAAAGATCGAGTGTCGAGACTGTCTTCCAAGAAGTAGATAATCTCGGAATGAAGAATGGATGAAGCTAACACTCTCGTTGGAGGCGTACTCAACGAGCGCGCCACACATCACCGGTAGGCATTGCTCAAAATCGACAATGAAGTCGTCTTCTCGGGTGACCTGACCTGGATTTATAGCAACGATATGTCGCAATTCCTGCAACGTGAGAGGAGCTCTAGCAACCACCATTGCCTGGAAAACCCGGCGTGCTTTATTTACTTGGGTAGGATCAGCACGCTCAAGTACGCTCAGAATTCCTCCATAGAGGTTGTCCAATTCATCCAATATCGCATCGTTGAAAATCGCGTTGATGCGCTCGCGGGGTGAAAGCCAAGTATTCGACAGATATCGGATGATTAGCTTGGCCCACAGGAACATCCCTTGCGCGCGTGTTGACAGTGTCGTAACAATGTCGTCTAGGTTAGAGTTGTTCGGGAACAACCCATTTTGGAACAGACAATCGACCTCTGGTTGCAAGTACGCTCGAATATCTGTGCTATTCTGCCAAGACTCCAAGCTTACTACCATTAACGGTTTGACCGAGCGGGGTGGCTCGATGTTAGGTCGGCCAAGGAGAAGGGCTTTAGCTCCTGTATGACTGCAAAGGTCCCGTATGGCTTTGAAAAATACTGCTGGGTCTGTGCACTCGTCAACACCGTCAAAAACGAAAAATACCTGATTTATGTTTGCAAGGAGAAGCAAGAGGCATTGAGCGACTTCTTCATCGGTGGCTCGTGTAAGTCCTGAGCCGTCACTGCCCGCTATGATCGATATCGCGTCAAGTACGTCGGCAGTCCTTCTGTGCTGATGGATGATCTGGTGCAAACAGGCTCGCAGACCGCTGCTTGGATTGCATTCTTCCGGCTTCTCAGACGTGAAATGATAATAGAGGACTGGTGGCGTGGTAAATGAACCGCCGAGGATCTGGTCGCTATGTCCAAATGTATTTGCAAGATCGTCAATAATTAGAGAGGACAGAACGGTCTTCCCATACCCAGGTTTCGCTATTTCGTCAGCAGCCGCATGGCATGCGGTCGTGGTTTAAAAGGGAATACCTTTCACGAACACCAATTGTTGGTCTGGAGGTCGAAAATCCGCTGCCGAACCCTCAATCTCAGGTGCTTTGAAGCTCTTGTAATATGGAGAGTCTAGGAACCATTTGCCAGTCTCATGTAACCTGATTTCTTGAGCTTTTCGCAGCTCCCTCGAAAAGTCCGTTGCTCGAACCCATTTAGTGATATGACGAAACGTGGTGTCTGCCAGCCAATGGTTAAAAAAAGTCTTAATAGGAAGGAAATCGTAGAGTGACCACACACCAAATACGCTTGGCCTCTGTCCAGAATAAGAATCGTCATGATTCTTTCCAGCTCTTAAGGTTTCCATAGCTTCCGATATATGCTCAAACCGATCCCTGAGAAAATCTTCCTGGCCCAATATCGTCTGCTTGAGTTGAGAGATCTGCGTTTGGATTTGTGAAATGGCATCAGTCGTCTTGTCAGAGTCTTGTTGACTTTTTTGGTACTGAAACTCGCTAAACTTTGATTCTTCGAGCTGCATCTCACCAAGAAACAGTGCTTGATGGGTGTCGATTCGTTCAAGGATGTTTCCAAATCTGACATCAAAGGGCTTCCAGAAAATATTGGCAATGGCAGAAAGTTCGTAGCGCATACCCCTCTTCTTAGTTCCAAAAACTTGACAAGCTTCCTGGCAGAACTGTATAATGTCTTTGTAAATGTAAGATATCACTCTCACAACTCGATTGCTTTCGAATTTTGGAATGGTAGCATCACTTGACTGTATCAATCCAGTGTCTTTGGACCAGAGTGCCTTGCGGCGATTGAGCCTTTCGTAGTATTCTGCATAGCCGGGAAGTCGATTGCTAATCGTTTCCAACATCACGAGTAGCTTATCAAAGAACGTCGAAAAATTAGAAGCAAGCTTGAGATCGTGAGTATCTGCTAAATCGAAGGAGCCACGTGTCACTACACACCAGGAACACCGTTCGTATAGCCCCCCATAATATTGCAGGTATCTCCGGATTCGATTGAACAAATATGCCGATAATGTCGAAGAAAGGAGAAAGCGATTGTGACACCGACTCAAGCCGTTTGAAAAAACCAACCATCTTGGTCTTATTTCGATATGTCACAACTCGGGGTTTAAGCTCTCTGAGCATATCCTCTGCCGAGCTGAACTCGGTGAACTCGGCAGATTCATGGGGCGAAAGCGAGCCACGGAATTGTAGCGCGGCCTCCCGAAACACGTGATCGGCGGCTTCGTGGCTCATGCTGAGCCGATAGTTGCGTCGAGACTGTTTGACTGGATAGTATCAAACTCCAAAGCATGGAATGAGCGGCGGAATTTGACTGAAGACTGTGCGGGAGGGGCCGATGCTGACGTGCCTACAATCGGCTAAGAGATCAGTCGATTATCCGCCGATGAATTGAGCCTCTGGGGCGCATTAACGGCGGACAACCAATCGCACCTGCAGTAGCTTGTGGTTGGTATGCATGTAATACCTTTTAGGGGGATGAGTAAAACAATTGGTGGCTTTGACAGGGAACGTCCATCCCCTGGGTAGGAGGCAGATGGCCACTGGAGCGGTACCGTGGCGGCTACACTACCAGGCTGCATATTACCCCACAGTTGGCCAAACTCATAACACTATTCGTACACTCAACCGGTCAAGTTTGTACCAAGGGCGGTGAGCTAAGCACTTAGATATGTTTCTTCACTTTGCAGCATAAGCTAACCAAGCGGAATTTCAGCAGCCTTCCCAAAGGAGCATCATCTTGGCCGTACTTGCAGAGCAATTAATGGTGATATTGACTAGTAAGTGAAGCTTTCGATGAGAAACTCGTATGACTAATCAAGAGTTTCACTGCCTATTAGCACACTTTTTGGGTGAGGAAAAGTGTCAAGTTCGAAGAAACGTTGCGCGACCAATAAGTTGCAGTATACTTTTGCTTATATGTTCTCATGCACTTAAGCCCCCTCCTCTTTCTCTCTCCCCCTCCCACTCTGAACTCACAGAAACCAAACGTAAGATGTTCCCGGCGAACAACGATCCTATATTTTTGATCCATACAGCTGAACCCTGCCGGAATAACCCCAGAAGAGCAACAGAAGGCGTGCAGAATGAGTGACAGGTGCTCAGCCAAGAAAATAAAGCTTGAACCCTTGTCGAGCATTTAACGGTTGCCTACCTCCTCGATATGTGGTTACTGCGGAACAGTGTCGCCTTTGCCACCTCTTCTATCAATGATTGTAACACTGTACAGCAACGATAAACGTTGAAAATAATAATAAGAATAAGAAGCGCCTAATAAGAAAGGGACAATAAGATATTGAGATTGGTAAATGTATGCAGAGCACACTGCTCCGTCGCAGGCTCCTTAGACTTGATACAACTAATTGCAAATTTGGCGCCTAGGCGGTTGTAAAGGCGTGTCATTTCTTAATCTTCAAACCTCCATTGCTGGACATGGTTCATTGGAGTAGTGCTTCACAGGCTTGCAACGGCTAGGTATATATCAATACTCAGAGTTTGAAGAGCGCTGAATTGCAAGTGGCTGAGCTGGGACTACGAATACTCCTAATATGTGCATAAATCAAGTTCAAGCTACGTTTACAAGTCACGCCGTGTGGCTTCAATATATAAGCCAGGTAATCGATATTTTGCGCAACATAACCCGCAAATGTCATCTCAATCACTAATCTTTTGGGAACTCAGCAAGTATTGGTCGAAATGAGCCGTTCCAGAACGAGATTGTCAACCACTTACCAGTTCCCGAAAAGAGAAAAGTCAGAGATTCTCTACTGCAGTTGATTTGATATTAGCACATGTCTGGACTGCCCCTCGCATTGTCTGCCGTGCACTCTTACCGTCCAATCCACGGCAGCAGCAACGGCAATGGCCAAACTGCTACCAGTTTCCATGCTTCGGTCTACACTGTTTTCGTTAATACGGAAAACCTATCTCCACTCGCATCAGGTATTTCCTTGTGCAGGGGATGTCTAGGTCATTTTTGTTTTGTTATCACTTGGCACTGCAATTACTGTCATGGCTGCCTCGGAAATCAAGTCGTATATTGTGGGCCCGTTACAATGTTGTCGTCGTTCGCACAAACGTTACAGGCCATGTCGTGGACGAAAGTGAACTGAAATCACTTTCAAGTGTAGAGTTTTCTCAAAAATTTCCATCCTGGTCGATAATAGTCTCCACAGTGTTAATGCGGCCCAATACTACGTCCAGGGTGGCTTTGAAACCGGAAACATGTTTCCATGGCGATTGGGTTTGAAAATGCCAGCTCCCGGGCCTTTTTCGGCGGGTGGCTGTAATAAATCGTCGAGACGATGACAAATTTTGTTCTTAAATGACCCTGCAGGCAAACTGGCACCGATGGACAGTATCCAGGAAAAGATACGAGTAGTGGTTCCATCAACTTACGGTTGTTCCCATGCACACCTTGACCGGCCTATACCTCTTTGGGTACCGGAGTTGCCGACGATCCAAGCACATATTAGGAGCATGGATACAACTATCATGGCTCCCGCAGTGTCCTTGCCGCGAAAATTCATTTAGGTTTACCGGCTCGGGCTGACGCCCGTTCCCCGGGAGCTAAGAACTAGAGATTGGTACCTGAATCCTGACAACAATGAGAAAAGATTTATTCATCTAATGCTTAACCAGAACAGCGCGCTAGAAGACTCGGAGACTAGAATCAACAGATAGGCGACGCTAATCACAATCACAGGTACAAATGATATGTCGCAATGCAAGATTGGTCAACTCTGTATGCATGACAGCGTGAGTCAGTTGATTGTATGATTATGAGCAGTTGTGTTATGCATTTCAAATCCGACGATAATGATAATTGTCGTCTGAAGGGTGATAGATACGCAGGCATTGAAACGACCCACAATCGAATTAGTATCATCACAGTCACATTTGACTATCTCTTCATGGCACCCTCTGCAGCCGGCTTGGAAATTTCATCAAACCTAGATCAATACTGGCGGCCGATCTGAGTGGTGATGCCAAGGCTATGATCATCTCCGGCGGGTAGTGCCGGTGCTGGGCCCCGGCGCGGAACCTCTTCCTTCAGCCGCGTTTTCCGATGCCCACCCTACAGGTTACCAAGACCGTATACTAATCCCCGACCAGCCTCCGGTAACGCCATTCTTAAGGCTGGTGAAGTCATCTGACAAACTTTCGCAGTGCATAGATCTGTGGGACGTATATACGAGGCAGAGTTACTCAGCCGGGCCGACTTTTCCTCTCGAAGCACCGCTCAATGCTACGTTCTAATCGAGATCGTGAAAAGCCGGACAGCACGACCGAGCGCACCACCGCCGGCGCGAAACACCATTGGCGGTAATCATTATCGTGATGTTGTCACCTCGCAGCTATCTACCGTAGACAGTACTATCCATGTTGATCAAGAAAACAAGCGCAGGAGTGGGGCGCCGGCGCCGAGCCTGCGAGCAATACCTACCTGCATTATACAGATCGATCCGACGCCACGCCGCAGCGCCGCCGTGACGACAGAGCACGCACGGTGACGCGGCGCCGGCACTTGACGGGTGGCTGTCCCCCATCATAGAAATATCACGGCTATCAAGCAACTCTGATCATGTAGTGAGCCGCGCATTGATGCGAGGCGCAGGCGCGATCGGCGTGGCCATTCAGCTTGTTGGGTAGCAAGGTGGAAGAAAAAGCGGACCAGCCAAGAGTCGCCGGGCCCTCTCACGGCGCTGGCAATCTGCAGCACGGCTTCGTAGATTTCGCACGCAACCCACCGTGCCACCCGTGGTGGTGATGTGGCAGGCTGTTGGCCAGCAGGGCCGTCGTCACGGGCGAGAAGGTTGGCGAGGCGCCCTGCCGTTCGCTGGCACCTCATCAAACTTTGACGGCCGCTCGCTGATCGGCGCTTGCCCACGCGTTTCAGCGTGCTGTCTGAACAGTCTGAGGTTGTAAACACGCTTGCCGCCAGAAGCACCTCGTTTGGTGGTTGATATAGGTGAAACCACGGCGATGAGACGCTTAGATAAGTGGATTATACTCGATATACTCGCCGACGCCTCGATTTCTGGCAGCGGCCGGGAGAAATCGGGGGGTCGCCAGCAAGGCCAGCACCGCGATTTGACGGTGCTCGCGGCGCTCGAAACAAGACCCAGGTGCCACAGCCTGGCCGGCCCCCACCCAGAACCCACTATCTTTTGACAGCCAAGCCGCCCGAACACCTGCCAAGCGGCCGCTGGGAGCCTCCCAGCGCCTCATCGCCGCCTAACCTGCGTCAAATGCCGGGCTGTCAAGGGCGGTCCTCTGGGTTGGGTCCACCGATCTGTGTCAACACGATGTTTGACGTCGGTCGGACGAAAGCCCAGGTCCCTAGCTCTCCAATGCAGCGACAGGCATGAACGTCCAAGGCTCCCATGAGCCGCCCTGACGATCTCCCTCCCGCCAAGGGCTGGGCTACGACGCCGCCTGCCTCTCCGATTGGGCCTAGCGATCCTGATCTGCCCTCTGCGTGCTTGTTCGCGGCCTGTCAGCGAGATATGCCACAGGGAATCTGCCGCAAGGGCTGCTATTTTCATCCTCTTGGAAGTTTTCAAGGCGTGGGGGCTTCGAGTGCCCCCCCGACGAGCCTGCGTTGCCTGCCAGCCACTGGCTTGCCAGGTTGCTGGTAACCTCGCAATCAGAGTTTCCCTGCTGGTTACGACTACGTGGGTCAGACCCGAGGGCGTCCGCACTACCACAGTACGCTGCCATCCCGGGACCCCCGTAGCGACGTTCTAGCCCTAGTGAACTACCCTTTTCGGTAGTCATGAAGATCCCAATGGAGAGCTTGGACAACGTGCTGGCACTGCGTAACGCCCAGCCGTCGCTTGTTATCGTGGGCCTCAGCTTCCCAATTCAACACCGTCTACCTCGACGTCTTGGCTCCAGACGTTTCCTATTCTATCGTGTTTCTCATTTCTTGGCGATATTGCTATCAGACTCGGCATGCCCACTTAATAAATGGGACGGTATCGCCCCATGGGCGCAGCCAGAGATCTTCAAAGAGGCCATCGCTGGAATCGATTTCTGTTTCCCCTCTGAGTCTGGCACTCTTTATTTTCGTTTCGTTCTCCCTCTTCACCTGTACTTTCCTGTTTCCTTCCCCTATAACAATACACCTTTCGGCGAGCTTGGGTGGTTGAACAGAGCCCTCTCTGTTGGCGTTGCTAGGAACCATGGACAAGACTATGATCTCAGGCCCCTTACCCTCTAACCAGGGCGGCCCATCTTCTTTCTCCTTCGAGATGGACGAACACTCTCACAGAAACTACATTCAGCCCGGTGCAAGATCATACGAGAAGCGGCCGATGAGCGTAGGGGCGGATGAGACACAGGTCAACTCGGCAGCAACCTCAATCCACGACGGCATGGAGAAACACGACATTGAGCATGGTCATGGTCATGGCCATATTGACATCAACGACCCGAATCGTCCCCGGATAAAGCTTCGACAACGACTACACCACTTTACCTGGGCATGGTACACCTTTCCGATGAGCACCGGTGGACTGTCCCTTCTCATATTCGCCCAGCCTCACCAGTTCCCTGGTCTTCGCCAGATCGGTCTCTTCGTCTACATTATCAACATCATCATCTTCTCCTGTGTTACTACGGCCATGCTCACTAGGTTCCTGCTTCACCGTGGTGACCTGACCAAGTCTCTCTCGCATCCTCGCGAGGGCTTCTTCTTTCCCACATTCTTCCTCTCGGTAGCGACTCTCATCACAAGCACTCAGCGCTACGCCATACCAGACAACGATTTGGCGTTAACATGGGCCATCAAGACTGTTTTCTGGGGGTACCTGATTGTCACATTGATTCTCGCCATCGGACAATACAGCTTCGTCTTCGCCGCCCATAGCTTTGGGCTTCAGACGATGATGCCGACTTGGATTCTGCCCATCTTCCCCATCATGCTTTCGGGAACCATCGCTTCCGTCATTGCATCAACACAGCCAGCGATCGATGCTGTGCCTATCGTCATCGGTGGCTTGACATGCCAAGGACTTGGAATTGCAGTTTCTTTTATGATGTATGCACACATGGTTGGACGTCTGATGCAAGCTGGTGAGTTACCTATCGAGTTCTATATGAGAAATCCAATGAGACTAACTCGAAGTCAGGCCTGCCAAACCGTGAGCATCGCCCCGGTCTGTTCATGTGTGTTGGACCACCAGCATTCACAGGTATGTTCCCAAATAGACTGCGACCAGAAATTCAATACTAATTCTGGAACTTGTAGCCCTTGCATTCATCGGTATGGCAAATGGTTTGCCCGACAACTTCGATCCGAACGGCGACGGCATGATCGACGCCGAAATCATCCGGATCATGGCTGTTCTCGGAGCGGTATTCCTTTGGGCTATCAGCTTGTGGTGGTTCTTCATCGCCGTGGTGGCCGTTATTTCGTCGCCGCCCAAGTACTTCCATCTTGGATGGTTCGCCATGGTGTTCCCCAACACCGGATTCATCCTTGCAACAATCTCCATCGGCCAAGAACTACAAAACGAGGCCGTGCTTTACTTCGCCAACGGTATCTCGCTCGTTCTTCTGAGCGTCTTCTTCTTTGTCCTCTACCACCTTGTCCGGGCTGTATGGATTCAAGATATCATGTACCCTGGCCGGGACGAGGACGTAGAGGACCATTAAGCGATTGGCACTTGGCAGCTTCAAAAAACACTGACTCCAACTGCAAATATTGTACACGCGTTTCATATTACTTTAGCATCCATGGGTCGGCGTTGTTGCCTTAACAAACTGCTCCGTCAGGCGGACAAGTACATTTCCTTACTCTTGAGATACCCAACCCATATAGAGGGAACAGGGTATACGGGTGCATCTAGAATGCACGAGGAAGATACAGATATAGATATAGACAGGCATCTGCATAATATAAACCAACTTCACACGCTCGTTCAGCACAGAGTTCCAAGCGCTTGCTATTTTATTCGCTGAAAGACCCTCGTGATGCTGCTAGTGGAGGAACTTTGACATCAAGCCAATGTTTGCTAATTAACGGCCTCGATCTACTATGGAGTTTGATTTCAATTTAGGGATACGTCTCAATTTCAGATTCTATCCATTTGTTCACCAAGGCCTCCCATCGGGTTGAGAAGCAGGGTATCTCATACCGGGCTGAAACGGTTCCGATGCACGGCTCCCAGATACCCAAATTTTGATGCTCCACAGAATGCGAAAGGATATGACGTGTAATCCCCTTCATCTAGACGTACAGTGCACTGGGGGCAGGATAAGTGGTGCTCAGAGCTTATGGCCCTTGAGGATGATCGTCTCATATTGCGCGGCCCGTTGATACCATGCTTATCCACTGCACGGTACGCCCAATCAACAATACCGATGTATAGGAAAGAGGGTCGATAAAGCTACGGCATGGCAGAGACCTTGCCCAACAGTTGAGTGATCACTCGTGGCCGATCGTTGGCAATCGATTGGCTCGATACCACCTTGCAATACTACAACGAGGGACCTGAGTTGCCGTATTGCAAAGGCACTTCGAAGAGAACCTCTAACAACTGCACCCTCTCGTCACTCTTTCCTACTTGAACTCAGACACACTCATTTTCGCGTAAATATTGCGGCACATCGAAGCCTATGGATTGTCACAGAAGTTATCATCTCTCTATTGTTGAGTTGGGTTCTATACCATTCGATTTTGATCACTTACAGATACTCTTGGAACCTGATCGTCAAGCGCCTTGCTATTCTTAAGCTTGTTGTTCAACCGACCAAGTTTACGTCAGTATTTCAGGCGGATATTTCGCAAGTGCGCTTGAGGGGCTTCATGAGGGATCGAACGACAAGCGATGTGTTGATTACCAACTGAGAAAGAAGGTAAAGTTGCGAGGGTTAGTTTTAATACGCAACATCGGAAGAGACAACGAGGGAAGGCCACTTTGTTAAATAACATCCTGGAGCCAAGGGAATGTCGCCAAGCGCCTTCTTCTCATCAAATCGAGTTACTGTGTAGTCTTGAATTTTGCATGGTCCAATCGCAATCCCTTAATAACGTTCGTGGTTCTTATCACCGGTTTGAATTAAAGGTACATAGGCAATGCCCTTGATAAGGGTCTTCCGTTTGTATGCCCTCTTTTTCTCTTTTTTTCTTCTTTCTGGAGATAAAGACCGCCTCAGTTATCGCTATAACTCAGGGACTAGAAACGGTTAAGCGCTGGCCTACCGTTCTATACCGAACCATATTGTCATAGGATAAATCCGTGAGTGCTGCTTCGTCGCCCAGTGTAGACTCTGTAGAGGGATTGCAATCGTCCCTTCGGTCGTTGTCTCCAAGCTCAAGGCTCATGCTCGCCACAATAAGGGAAGCTCCCCTGAAGATGCAGCGATGGCCTTGAAGAATGTTAGTCGGTCCCGACTTGACCATTTGCAACTCGCCATAGCCAATTGATGGTTGTTCATATCCAATGCAATTCATTCTTCAAAGGGTTCCACTGTTTCTATTGCACTTAGTCCAGAGTTAGCTTTTTTTTTTTCTTTCATACGTATAAACGTTTATTATAGCCACCCATATACACCCAGACTTGTCGGAACCAATATAGAAAAGTGGATCGCCAAGGAGTGGGGCGCAAAATATACCTACACCACTAAAGAGCACTTTTGGGCTGTGGTGAGAGTTGGAAGTGTAAATGTCCTATAGCGGATAAAGCTATGGGCATCGCTACCTGGCCCCGGAGATTGATAGGGCAAGTAGTAAAGGGTCGTTAGGCAAGTTCTTCAGGGTAAACGGAGAGGAGATTTTCTGGTAGACAGGGGCAACTCGGGCAAAGATTCCAAGACTTCACGTATAGCTTATGACTCATAAAATAAGCCAGTTTCCTTGTACAAGCCCATCACTACGTGAGAGTCTCAACTGGACTTGACCGTGCACGCTGCCTCTCCCGCTGGCTCGTGGGCCCCCTGGGCACCGGTACTTCAAAGCAACAAAGCTACTAACACTAAGTTTAAAGCTCAACTGTGCCGAGTCGTATGTGAAATAATAGATACGGATTCCACCTGCCCGTTTGCAGCGCTGTAAAAAAAAAGGGTTTTTAGGCCCAACCTGTCTAAGAGGTTGCTGTTGTGTGTCAATTATCGTGGCGACTTACTCATTTGATTTCAAATTCAGATTCAACGTGGTAACGAAACAACTTTTTCGTCCTCTGTATGTATGCGGGGTTATGTCAAATCTACCCAGATCCTTGTCTTTCGGCAGACTGGGTGCAGCTACCTAGTATATTTACTGTTACCGGTCCCCAACTCACCAGCACAGCGACAAGGAGCTATCGAAATATGCCTTCAATATTTAATGCAGCAACCCATGTTGGGTCACACTATCGCCACATATTTGGTGTTTTTTTGAGACGAACAGTCTTTCAGCGATAAGTTCGTTGGCTGTTCATATGGTTCTCAAGGCCTTGTGTTCGATGACACATCAATGTTTGATGGTCAATCATGGGCAAGATGCCATTGGTCGCTAAGTCGCTATGACCCGTCGGCACATGTCTCAGCACTGTCCGAAAAGGCTAACTGTGGATCTGTCCACCAAGAGCTTTGGGATGCGGAGATCGCATGGCAACTCTCACCTAGCTTCGTGGTCTTGCCCAGAATCCCTTCTTTTTCATTCCATTCCTGCCTTGGACAGGGCTCATCGACATGCGAAGTTAATTTGCGTGCGTGAAACTGCAGCACGCTGCGCGATGGACTCCCCGAGTTTGAACGCACTTTCGGTAGGCGTAACCCGTATACTAGTTTCTCCCTTTATAGGTTTCTAACTAATGCCGATGTAGTGTGTTAGATGTCAGAGAAGAAAAGTGCAAAACAATACTAAGTGCAAGTTTGTAGAATATCATCACTGAATATTGCCAGGTCCGTTGTGATCGACACAAGCCGGCGTGTAGTCGATGTTCAAAGACCGAAGTCCAATGTATCTATCCATTGAGGAAGCAAAGGCTTCCTAGATCACAGGTACTGTCACATCCACATAACACGCGGGATATAAGAATTGCCATGCGCGGACTTCCTGTACCAAAGTAGCTAATCTGATAACTTAGAACTCTCCCCAATGACCTTCAGCATGCCCTATCCTCAATCTCGCAACGGTTAGAAGCTATCGAGGCAAACTTGCACGTGAAAGATCATAGTTCTATGTCTCCCAGGCCGTCTCCATTGCCAGCCCCATGCTACAACGATGACTTAGGAACGTTCCGTATAGAGGGGAACAGCTACGGAGACCTTGTCGCCGCTAGGGACTCTTCTTCGTGCTACACAACCTTCATTCCGCCACTACAGCCACATCAAGTACTTTACGATCGTCCTTGATGTGATGCAAGTCAAGCTCAATGTATCCCTGGCCCAGTGAGATCGAAATCTCCTCTTGCTGCGGATGCACCCCGCCGGACACTCCGCATTTTGCATACATGTTCTCAGGTACCGCAGCATGTCGCTGCACTATCGCTCCAGTAAGCTGAGTCCTCGATACTGAATGCACACCAACTGATCTGAAATCAATGTTGCTATGTCGCATCCATTCCTGGGTGCCTCTGAGCTGTATCACCACCTCCTCAAGGATCAAGACCCGTCTTCGATGGAAGGCGATCTCAAATTACTTCATCAGCTAGCAAGCGATCTCAATCCAGTTGTCCAATTGTACGACGAGATCTCGCCACTCCGTGATGCCATCGTGGCTTTGAACAAGGCGGTCCAGAAGGAGCTCAATGTCGTTTAATAGATGACTAAGATAGTGACATATGATTCACATCACAAAGTTCAGAAAGGTATCAGGTTGGGGAATTGACGTGGGTTGTCTAGGATCATAGATGACTATCTCCACTCCAGCAGAGCCTGCAGCCACATGGGCACCTTCGCTCCTATGAGACTTCGTGGATTACTATCAAATCCAAGCCTTGAAGCAGGCTAGCACATAGGAAGGCCCAGCTCCCAGCGAATGACATCAGTGTGCCCGTTGTTATATTCCCCAGCAGCAGAAAAGCCCCGGCGAGAGCGAATCCAAGTGATCCAAGTGCGTTGAGTAACGATGCTTGCCAGACTATACTTAGAAACGCTGGCAAGTACCATCTTTCCTGAGTATAGACAAGCATTATCACGCTGGAAACAAAGAAGAGGCTTCCGCCTAGGAAAAGGGGTCCAAACACCCCAAACGAGAATCCCGACAAGTCGTTGGTGTTTAGTACACCCGGAAACCCGGTCACCACACTCGGAAACAACACTATTACTCCGAACATTTGTGCTATAGCAGATTGAAACGGGGTCTCTGCCATAACTGACTTCAAGTCCCCCCGGGTGGGTAGCCATCTCCAGGAAATGTCTGTGATCAAGACCGGGCGAGATAGCTTATCCAGCGCTTGGGTATCCTTGGTGCCAGTCTGACTACTTGGTGTGTTCCAAATGGTTGGTAAGGAAAGGAGAGATCCAGACGTGAAGAAGAGAGCGCCGAGGAGGTTGGTTATCGGCGCAACCAGCTCGGCCTCACCCCGGAATGTGAGCTCCGGGTTCGTTAATGGCAGCAGTGTAAAGAACCCATTGGCCACAAAGAATAAGCTCCCAAAGAAGAATAACAAAGCAATTATACTGTTAGCGTCACATAGTGACAATTTCGAAGATCTGGCTCCTGTCTGCTTCCAACTGCGCCGCGGGTCTACATCGAACTCTGGTTTTGGGGGTAACTCGTCGGGCAGAGTGCTCTGAGGGGTGGTATTCGGGCTTCTCAGACTTTCGCATTCAGCCTTGTATCTGTTCCAGTCGACAGCAACAAAAGTTCGGCGACGCTTCTGTTGGCCTTCCGAGTCTGTCTGGCTCGCTGATAGTATTATGGATGTTCGATAGGTGGATGCGGCATTCATTGTGAATTTTGAAAAATGACGGTGGGGTCAAGAGGCCAGCTCGAAACCCTCATCCGAATCAGCAAGAAAGACCGAGAACTAGGAAGTCAAACAATATGGAGAAGTGAACGGAAAAGAACGCATAGGAAACTTAAACTCAGAACATAGCCCTCACTTGTACAGCAGACCGGGAAACACTCAAAGCGCGTCGGCGTCCCACTTCTATTATGTACGAGAACCAAGTTGCCATAATACTGAATTCCACAGTTTAATTTATATATGCCGAAGGTCCCATGAGTTTCTCAAACGCCATCACATACACATTATAAAGTCACTTCCTGAACCGATTCAATCATGGCCAACCTGGGGTCTTCGAAACGGCCAACGCAGAGAGATCGCTCGAGGAACCCAGGATGATGCTAGACTTCCACTTTTCATAGAGCTTTTGACTGTAGAGATAAGACCCAACCTACCAAGCCTAAGGTTCAGAACAAGCCGTTGGTTACGGCAAGATGTGATGCTGCAAAAAGCAACTACGGTTTCGGGTTTCTTGGCGCTAGTCCGCCGACACCGATGCCCCGGGATTGTCAATGCTGAAACCCCCAGTGACCCAAATAACTCCCGAGGTCAGCTTTGTCATTCGGAACCTCGGAACAAGACCAATGAACCTTCAAAACAAAACTTAGACAGCTCGGAATACCGGAAAGCGCCCGACCAGCCTTCAAGGACAAGCGTCAATAGCCGTACTCAATCAAACCGACTCGATGTCTTCTGGCCTTTGGTCCCTTTCCTGATAAGACGAGTAAGTGGCCTTGATGAGCACAATGGCCCAAGGCGCAGAATGAAGTTCCAATGCTCGCTCCCCTAAACAGGCGGCAGCCAGCGATGTGGTGCATGCAACTTTCACATCCAGCAAAAGTTTCATAGGGTTCTCTCTACAACCGTCCACAAGTGTCGTGCTGTTGTCCTACGACTTCGCACTTCCGCAGCGAGTGCTTAGCAATTTTTGCTACAATTTGAAGTCAATTTAGACCCTGGCTGACTTAGGAGCTAGACTCGACTCAGTTGTACTATGATGAATCTGACTGCGCGAACATATATATAGCCGTGCTCAACCCCTTTCGCACAAAGCGCACGTACAGGAGACCCTCCAAACTCATTCATCTCGCCTGGGCATAGTTAATTATCAGGATAAGAGCTGAGGTCAGAGACAGAAACGGCCTCAGACAAAGAAGTTGCCGATTGGAGCCAAAGTCAAAGAATAAATACACTCCAAGCCGAGATTCCTTCTCCAGCAAGTCTATAAAACTGAACTCCAGCAGCATTATTCTCGGAAATGCGAGAGGATGGACAAAGGAGTTCCACATCGTCTCGGCCGACTATTGCTACACGAGTCTGGCATGATCTCCAAGCATCTCCAGGCACATGGGTATGCAGCGGCCCAAAACAGAAACCAGGCTCAGAGTGGTTCTGTTTATAACCCAAGTCTACTATCTCTTTGTGATGGCGACATGTGTCTATCGCACGGTTTGCTATTCTTGAAACAATTGCATTGTTTGTTGGTAAGCCGCGACTCATATAAGACTGCATAGCTTCCTTTTCGCTCAACGGGACTATGATCTTTCTTATTGATCTCGAAAGATTGATCTGCGGGATAATACCTCTGAAACAATGTATCCCAGAGAAAGGATTATGCAAGACCTGAAAGCACGAGCTGACCAATATCCAGTAGTGGTCCCGTGGCGAGGTTCGTTTTGGAGAGTGACGCTGAGTGGCTACAGATATACGGGTGAGGTTCTCATCAAAGCGAGCGCAAAGTACTCGAAATCGGCTGAAGGTAAAGAAAACAAGACGGTAGGACGCTTTCTGCGCCATTACAAACGAGATTCCGCCCTCGATCTTGAGGAGATAGATTTGCAGGAGCTTATGGAGCACTATATGGATCTGTTTGATCATATCTTTTTCTTTGGCATCCTTACCCGCGTGGGACCCCGTGGCCAGATCGTCATGTTGAAGGTTCTGCACAAGTCGCATCCCAAGCACGTCGGCCAATTCTATCAAAACAGCGGCGGCGGCGTTATTGAACTAAACACCATGCAGCGAGAAGCCATAAGCAAGAAGCGGTACAGCGAGAAGATGCACACGTTCGATGAGTTGCTCTCTACGCTCGTACATGAGCTGCTTCACGCTTACCTGGAGATCTTCTCTCACCCTAACTGCGTGCCGGAATCGCACGGTTGGGAGTTCGTAAAGCATCTGAAAACAATGATGAAAAGAATGTCAAGTTGGATTCCTGACTCCGACGAGTTCCGACAGGAAGCAATAAAGCCCCACGTGTCCAGTGATTAGCATGTTAATGCCAAGCATTGGCCGGAGGCGGTCGGTCGGATATGTTGTATCTAGTTTATAGACCCGTGACTAGAGGGAAACCGGCCAAAAATGAACGGATATTCTAATTCTATTTTTAATCTTGTTGATGACACTTGTAACATCAAAGTGATCAAGTCTAGTCTCCAAGAGAGTTCATGAAAGACTACTCGACTTTTTTTCTCCAGTGGCGGTTCAAAGAAGTGAGTGGCTCACCAATACTTCTATGTCATCATAGACTCTGGTCTCGATATTAAGTGCCGCACCCAACAGAGCACATAGGCTGTAGTCAAAGGATTCTCAAGATAACTCACTAGGTGACCAATGACACTGGTTGCTCGCCCACTGTGCCAAGTTGAATCAACGCACAACGGAAGCTGATCGCTATCCGCATTTGGTTCCACTTAGCTTACAACAGTGGCGATCTATACTCTCGCCTGCCTGTATGGGACACGCCTTACTCCGTACCAATGTAGTTTATTGTGGCAAGGTAGCGAGATAGTCGCATTTTGCGGGGTGCAGCGGCACGAGACCTCGACCAAGCTATCGGTTCGTCTTATCAAAGTCATGGCCTCGTCTAGAACTTGGCGATCTGCAGCTTTTCGTGTACATGAGTCCAATTGACGCATCTGGCTAGCTACTGGCCGCCAGTTCGTCCAGGAGCGCCACTGTCCTGTGGCTGCAATCTTGCAGGGCCTCTGTTTATTCAGGGAGGCAAGTTTAGAGGTGGAGGGCGGAGCCTGAAAAGGGATTCCCCCGCCATGATCTCCAAGGACGGCCGCGCGTTGGTGTATCATAGTAACCTAGGTTGAATGGGTAGCAGCAGTCGTGGCTGTAAGTTAGCCGCAACCAAATGCACAATGCGGACACTGCAACTTGCCAACTGTTGGCGCTTGAGCGTCGACTGCCTCGCTATCGAGGAATCTAATAATAAGTACGGAGAAGTTTTCGCAACTCTCCCTGCGGTGCAAGCTAAATATAATCGATTTCATGATGTGAGGGGTCCAGCACTTCCAGGTTGTCGTGCCGGGTCGCAGGGGAGGGAGAGGGGCTTTTTGGAGCGGGGTACTTACTCTGTACCTACAGGTAGGCCTGGTAGGTAACTTATTAGTGGTGTGGTGTGGTGTGGCGTGGTCGGGGGATTGGGGAATGCGATTGATCCTACGGCCAGCGCGTGGGCCGCGGCGCGACTGACCAGCTTCAAATGTCGGCGGTCGCATTTCTGGCGGCCAAGGCCGCCTGAACGACGATGTCAACGGAGAGAAAACTTGCTCATTCGCTCGCGATAAGACGTGCTCGACTCGTCGAGATATTGATGCTGTGCTATTCATGGCCCCTGGGTCCGCATGGACCTTTTGGGCCCCCCCGCTGGCCGTGCGGGAGGTGACTGCTGGTGTCGCCGTTACATTGCATTCGAGCCGCGTCTTCATGCTCGCGGAATCACACGGTGACCTATGGTTCATGCAGCGACCATCATGTAATGTAGGACACCGCGCTCTCACCCCGACGGCGACAAGAAAGCGCCCCGCGATGAGTGAAGGAATTGGATTCCAACGGAAGCCCGCAACTCGCTGCAGAGAACTGTGAGCTTGGCTTCCTCAGCCAACGTCGAGCCGACGTAGTCCGGATGGAGAAGCTCACAGGAGGACCTTCTAGTTTGGCACTCGCCTGAGGGTCTGCTGCGTCCCGCTACACTGGGTTGAGCCAACATAAGCATCTGGAGCGGAGGTGGCATGCCTGGGGGATGTATCTGCAGCAAATCCTATGACTGTGAGGCTGGCTTGGCTCGGGGGCCGAGTAGGGACATCCAATGCCGATTGCCGTCAGTGAAAATCCAGCTGGATATGCTCACATTGAAAGCCAAGACGGAGATTCCTGCCCGCTGCGTATGGCGCTCTATGGCGTCCCCGGAGAAGACCAAAGCACACGCCTCGGATTATCAGGGATCTCCACGGGTTGAGTGCCCTGTCCTTGCTGTCCATCCGATATCCTTGCTACAGCAGACTGGCTGATGTGGGTGCGCACAATCAATCGTCTTCTCTCCTGTGTATGGTAGAGTTCTCTTGCCTTGCCTCGTCCATGACGGTCACACTACCTGTGTTTAGGTAGCGGCAGGACTTTCAGCAAGGGCCCGTTGGGAAGACTGCCGAATGGGTAGACAGGACTGCGCCGTTGGCTTGCTTTGGCTGCCGTGATCGAAACCGCCACAGCGCCTAATTACCGACGAGCGAGGCGCAAGGCGGCACCGTTGCCCTGATAAAGAAAGTCGCTGTCCAGGGACAAACCTTACCCCTCGACTGGAGCCGGCGAGCCCAGCACGCGCTTTATTCATCCATCGTTCTCCGGCAGGAACCTTTGACTAGAGCCGCCAAGCCCAAGTCGTGCTCTACTCATCCATCGCTCGTCACCAGACATAACCTCATCGACCTGACTACTGCGGTTAGTACTAACCCGTGTCCCGACAGAGCCTCATGGATTAGGCCCGCAGAATTGCACGCCACCTTGAATCGTGTAACTTAAGCGACGACGCGGCAGCATTCCTGGGAGATTCCTTGCATCGTATTGATGAATTGGTCACTTCTGGCGATGTTGCTCACCCACGAGTTCCCAACACAAGCCCGAGCCACAGCGATGGAGGCACTTGGCCTATCCCGGCAACGATGTGCAGCTCCGCCAACCCGTCAAGCCTCCTGATCGGACGGTTTCCCAGGGCTTGCCAGCGGCCAGCCAGCAAGCCCCCGAGCCAGGCCACGCCGTCACCTCTCGCGTGGGCCCCCAAGCCAATCAGTGAGCATTGTGATCACCAAACAAGCGCCCAGCGCATCCATCATCCAGCGTTGACCAGGAGTCCATGAACGCTCCCCGCGATTGTGTCACCCTCCCTCTCCTTCGCTTGTGAGGGCGTGGGTGGTACCAGTCTGTTGTGCATCGCATTCACGCAGCAGAAGGGAAGCAATTTCGCCTCGTGTCGAACGACTTCATGCTCCCGTCCTACTGCTGTAGGTCGGTACTTTGTGACTTGCGAAAGGGGGTGTACGACTCGTTGCTACGCTACCTACATTCGAAGTAGCTGGGCAACTGGGGCATGTTGCCCGAGCTCAATCTTATTTTCTTCCATGCCTGAATCACCCCGGCCGACTGCACCTTGGGGCGACCAGCCGCCTTCCGGACTCGTTCAAGTGCGCGAGACCCGCTCCAGGATGAGCCTCCACCACCAGAGCGGGATTCTTTGGAGCTGTCCAACTGCAGCGCCGCAATGAGACGCTACCCATGGGCCTCCTCTCCCCTGCCAAGCTTCCTAGTTAGCCGTACGCCCCCTGGTCCTTCCCGGAGACCCTGGCATGCTTCTATCCTATTACGACAACGGAAGCTCGACCGATAGTAATGATCAACGTAGCTTATCACGACCAACATGCGCGGTCATACCCCATTTCTGGGCGCGGTCAAGTGCATTGCAGTGTGGCCCCCCCCTCCAGGCCTAGCCTAGGGTCTTGTCCAAGAACCAATCCATGGCGTGTCGACCCTGGATCGTGGTGCCGGTTGGAAATAGTCCTGGAGCTACAAATATGGCCGGCGCCGCTCTTTCACATGAGAGGGCCTTGGTCCTCACTCCACAGAGTCGGGTTGCTGCTTGTTCTCTGCCCCACGTTCTTTAGTGAGGCTCGTGTGTTGAAGGTTTCCCTTCGGTGAAGCATTAATATCAGTCGCCATGGTTCGAAGCAACTTGCTGTTGTCGCTGCTTGCCGGTGCAGCCTTTGCCGAGGCGGCTCGCCCGGTCAAGAACTTCATCCCCGGCCGCTTCATTGTCGAATTCGAGGACGCCGAGGTCAGTGCCAGCCGTGTTCGTCTAGTTGGAGCACTAGCAATGCTAACATCTCTCCGTGGTATAGGACTCGACCGAGTTCTCCAGCCATGTCAGCTCGTTGGGAGAAACCATCCGGACCTTTGATTCGTCCATCTTCAAGGGAGCTTCGATCAGCTTCAACGATCTCGCGACGGCGGAAAGCGAGGCCAGCAACCTTATGTCGCTTCGCAGCGTGAAGAATGTCTGGCAGCAGCGCTTATACTCGGTCCCAAACGACGAGGTTATCTGGACCGGAAACCCGAATGAGGCCAGCCAAATCTCCAGGAGGCAGGCATACAATGAGTCCGACACCTTCTCGCCTCATGTCATGACCCAAGTCGACAAGTTGCGCGCACAAGGAATTGTGGGCACGGGCATCAAGGTCGCCGTCATCGACACTGGCGTGAGTTGACTAACGAGCACATATATGAGGTCTAAGGCTGATCTATCTTTCCAGATTGACTACCGGCACCCTGCTCTCGGCGGCTGCTTCGGCCCTGGCTGTCTCGTCAGCTACGGTTACGATATCGTTGGTGATGACTACACCGGCGCAAACACCCCAAAGCCAGATGACGAGTGAGGCACAACTTAATGGTTTTTGGGATCATCCAATTACTAACAACGTCTGCAGTCCCTGGGATGGCTGCGCTGGCCACGGCAGTCACGTCGCCGGTATTATTGCAGCTCAAGCGAACGAGCTCGGCTTCACTGGTGCTGCCCCTGTAAGCTAATACTCGGGATTAGGGTTCAGCGGACTTGTCAGCTAATATCATAAAGGGAGTAACCTTGGGCGCATACCGAGTCTTTGGTTGCGACGGAAGCGCTGCCGACGACGTCCTCATCGAGGCTTACCTGCGAGCGTACGATGCCGGCAGCAACATAATTACGGCTTCCATTGGCGGATCTTCCGGTTGGAGTGAAGCGCCCTGGTCTGTTGTCGTGTCTCGTATCGTTGAACAGGGCGTGCCTTGCACAGTCTCTGCTGGAAACAGCGGCGACTACGGCTTGTTCTATGCCAGTACCGCAGCAGACGGTAAGAAGGTGACGGCTATCGCCTCCTTCGATAACACCCAGTCCCCTGCCCTTCTTGTCACCTCCAACTACTCGGTTGATGGTGGCGCTGATCAGCAATTCGGATATGCGCTTGGTGAGCCTGGCGCCTGGGCTGGCGTCAACCTGCCACTATGGGCTCCCTCCACCAACCCTAACGACACTGCCGGAGGCTGTGCGGCGTATCCCGCCGACACTCCTGACCTGTCTGGCAAGATTGTCCTCATTCGCCGAGGTAGCTGCACATTCGTGCAGAAGGCTACCAATGCGCGAGCATTTGGTGCCAAGTACATCATGTTTTACAACAATGTAGTTGGTGCCACTGCCGCTGCCGCCGCTGTTGATGGCATTCTGGCTGTTGGAATGGTGAGTCCCTTGTCCATCCCGAACCTCAATGGTGCAGATTCTAACCTCCAGTGAACAGACAACCGCAGCCACAGGTACAGCATGGGTGAAGGCCATTGCTGCAGGTTCGGAAGTCGTCCTTGACATGCTTGACCCAGAAACTGCCCCCGTTATTCTGCAGACAACCCCGAATACTGTCACGGGAGGCTATGCCAGCACCTACACGTCCTGGGGTCCCACCTTTGAGGCTGATGTCAAGCCGCAACTTTCGTCTCCCGGTGGCAACATCCTCTCTACTTACCCCGTGCCTCTTGGGTCTTATGCCGTGCTGTCGGGTACCTCCATGGCTTGCCCCTTGGCTGCTGCTGTGTATGCCCTCGTTGCTGAGGTTCGTGGCACTTTCGACCCGGCGGTTATCGAGAAACTGCTCTCTTCAACCTCCAACCCGCAGCTGCTCAATGACGGAACTGGTGCCTACCCAGTTCTTGCCCCCGTCGCCCAGCAGGGTTCGGGTTTGATTCAAGCATATGACGCCGCCTACGCCAGCACTTTGCTAAGCACTTCGAGCCTTGCCTTCAACGATACGGACAACTTTGTCGATACGCTCAACTTCACTATTTCCAACCTGGGCACCGAAGATGTGACATATGACATTGCAACCGTTGGTGCCGCCACTGGCTACACTTTCTCGACAACGGTGTACCCTGACAATTTCCCCGGCGTCGAGTTTGACGACACCTTTGCCACGCTTGAGTTCAGCGAAGCGAAGGTCACTGTCGCAGCCGGTGCCAGCTCGGTCGTCCAGGTCACTGTCACCCCTCCGGCTCTTGACGCAAAGCGCCTGCCCGTGTACTCTGGCTACATCACTCTCAATGGCACCAACGGCGACAGCTTGTCTCTGCCGTACCAAGGCATCGTCGGCAGTCTCCACAGCACCACCGTGCTCGCCGAGGCTTACCTTGCTGGTTCCACTGATACAAACCTGGCCCCCATCACCTCCGGCAACACCAGCTTTACTCTGTACAAGACCAACTCCAACACCACCGCCGCTGTCCAACCCGTTGCGGTCGCTGACCTGGCTTTCGGTTCACCCCTCGTCAAATACGAGGTCCTCTCCGGCAACTCGAGCTTGGGCGAGATCTTGGGCTCCCCAATCTACTACGCCTCCCGGGACCCCCACGGCGCTGCGTGGAACGGTACCTTGGCCGATGGCAGCTATGCGCCTGCCGGAACGTACAAGTTCCAGATCTCGGCTCTGCACATCTTCGGCGACGCTAGCGACAAGTCGCAGTACGATGTTGGGACAACCTCTGAGTTCACCATCTCCTACGCGTAAATGCATGACTAGCCTGGAGGCAAACGTCCTGTGCTAGCGCAAAAATGTATGAGTACTCATAATGATTACTTCTATGTCCATATTAATTAGAATTTTATGACCCAAACCCATGCTCTGTCATTGAAGTCGCACGTAGTCATTGTCTTATACTGGTGATTGGTGGGGCCCATCCAGGCGTTGAGCCAACAATCGTGCCGGGTGGACAGTCATCGGGCTATTGCCCCGCTGCTGGTTGCGAAAAAGACGTTTGTCTTCGATTTCAAGACAGTACATGATGGCATGAATTTGGACAGGACTTGCAGTATCTTCTATTGTGCATTGGCAAGCATGCTTCAACGCGTGCATCGTGCAGCAGGAGGACAGGTGCGGACAATTGATTTGCATCACCGTCACCACCGACCAACGAGACCCCTTTTCCAATACGTGATAGCCAGATCTACAATACCTCGTGCGAAGAGGCAGTGTGGCAGTAGTCGTGCTTAAATAAGTAGAAATGGAAGAACGTCACAATTGAACTCTCATGGTGGCTTTTAAATGGGACCGCGGGGCGTGGTGTCGTCATGGGACACTCCATTGACGCATGTCTTTGTCATCCCCATATGAGTTTATATTTCCATCTCACTCATCGTTACTTAGAAAACTTATTCTTGTGGAGGTTCACGATGCTTCGTATTCTATCGGGAAAGTCACAAACTCTACGCAGTGCATTCCGACCTCTGCAAATATTCAAGACAGTACCACAAGCAACGATGGCGACGGGTAAGCCCGGTCATGGATGCTTCTATTCCTGCGCAATGAGACTAACATCTTCACAGGAAAAGCAGACAATAAGGATATGAAGATTGACTCCCTCTTCGATGTGTCGCACATCACGGCGGTCGTCACAGGTGGCGGAACAGGCATTGGCCTCATGATTACCCAGGCGCTTCAGTCCAATGGCGCCAAGGTGTACATCACGGGGCGGAGGAAAGAGGTCTTGGATCAAACGGCCCAACGGTATAGCACCGGACCCGGCAGCATCCACGTTCTTCCTGGTGATGTCAGTACCAAGGACGGCGCGGTCAAACTGGCGAAGGAGATTGAGGGTAAAGAGCCTACGGGTATCCAGCTTCTGGTGAACAATGCTGGCGTGGCTCGCGACAAGGACACCATGTTCCGTAAGTGTTTTCAATTTTCGAAGCTGGGCACTTGATATTATGCTGACACTTGCAGCGGCTGTGGGACAGCCGGACTTCAGCGACGCCGTGTCCATATCGCAGCACTTCTTAAAGACCAAGGATGAGCAATGGGCTGAGACCATGAAGGTCAACGTCGCGGGCGCCTACTACATGTCCATGGCACTGCTGCCGCTGCTCGTCAAGGGGCGCGACGCCACGCCGGGGTACACGTCGCAGGTGGTCAACGTGTCGTCCATCTCGGGGGCCATGAAGGGCCCCAGCATGGGGCAGCCAATCTACGCGACGTCCAAGGCCGCCGAGACGCACCTGGGCCGCATCCTGGCGACGCTGTTCAAGGACGTCAAGGTCCGCGTCAACACCATCGCCCCGGGCCTGTTCCCCAGCGAGATGACGGCCGGGTCGTCGGGCGATGACAACAAGAGCGTGCTCAACACCAGGCCCAGTAACCCGGCCGGCCGGACGGGCCACGACACAGACATGGGGGCGACTATTTTGTTCCTGGCCGGGAGGGGCGGCTTGTTCTATAATGGGCAGATACTGTATCCGGATGGAGGTATGTTCGAGATTATGATGCCTCGAAACTTTGCTTACTCTGCCCCAGGATCGACGCTGATTCAGCCAGCAATCAATAATTGAGAACGTAGCAATACCACGATGACCACTGGAAATGTGTAGCAAACGGACGAGTGTGCTTGCATGAGCATGCCAGACGAATGACTTGACGTGTGTGAGAAACTAAAATAGCATAAAGGGAGCCTTACGCCGTGTAGTATGTACGAGTCGCCGCTGACGACAAGAAATAAGAATGGCTTGCGCTCCTCGTCAGAATCTGTGACCGTCGTCAAGCGCTGCAGTCACCATTCCGATAGGATTCATGCTTAAACATACTCAATTTCTAGCATGAAAGTAATCCAGTACGACATCCATGGCCAAATTGGGTCTTGGCCTCTCCCTAACAACCTGGTTTCGCGGCGAGGGCTGCAGGGTCGACCCACTCGCCCGTTCTCGACAGGGCCTACGACCAGGCACCGATCAAGAGATAGGCCCCCTCCGCAGACAATTTCCCTCTGGGATTTATCGATTTACCAGCGCGGGTGTTGTCATGCCATGAGACTACACTTCTTGGCAACTTCGAGCTCGTTAATTCCTAGTTAATTCTAGTACGTCGCGAGTAACTGAGTTTACTCGTCAAGGGCCGTGACAGCCCTAGCCGTGGTGACGGAGCCATCTATACCTGTGAGATTGCAGTCCGTTTCAAGTCCTGTGAATGTGGTCTAGCTGCTTGGCTTGAAGGAACATACGGGTCGAGTAATTTTAGCAGTCGGTTTCTGACTACCGACAGCTCCGTATAAGCGACGTTCGGATACTTTCGCAGCCTCAACCAGCCTTCCCATCCACGACTTGACAAGAATAGACATTGTGGTCAGTTCTCAAAGTAGGTCTGGCACCAGGATATTCACCGTGTGGAGAGTATACGGTCTCTGCCCGAAACTCAAGTTTCGACTTATCCGAAGCCATCAGCCATAAGGATTCGCGTGCAGCCGACCTGGAGTGGCCACGATCAGGTACTTAGGCAGACGATCGAATAGAACCGCTCTGATTCAGAAGATGATGAAGTGTTCAGCACAGTTCTGGCTCAGTCCCATTTTTGAGGAGAAACCTGCTCGAGTTACACAGTACTCCATATTTAGGACCATTGTCTGCAACGGGTGGGCTATTGTGGGGACCAGGTGAAGGATATTGGCTGGGTGGTAGACGGGCTAAGGAGAGCGCCGGGAGTCAAGCCAACCGAGAACCATGCCCGGAGATACAACCTGGTATTTCTGATGTCTAAATCCGCGCGCGTGCTATGAACAACATCATTCTAGACAGACAAAGCCATGAAGGTCTGGTAACCATGTATGTACGAGTCGAGTCGAAACTGTGACTGGACTTGGGCCAAGCGGCATCAGGTCTGGAAAATTTGTAAATCCGGCAGCCGACATCTTTCGGACCTACGAGGGCGACGAAGACGACGACGACGACGACAGGGCCCCGTACCCTGGCCCGTGCATGGGACAGGGTCTCGTCAGCGCAGCGCCTCTTCCAGGCATCAGAATAGATCCCAATCCGATCCCTCCCCGGACCTGGCACTGGACCCCTTCGCATACACACGGCGGCCTGCTAGTGTCCGGCCCGTGGTTCAGGCAGCAGCATTTTGCACTGCAAACATTTCGAGCCAGAGGCACCTGACCAACCACTGTCTCGCGGAGCCGCAATGGATCGGTTTCCTCGATAGGCACCAAAATTACGGGCTACCTGCTCACACGGAAAGGCAGCCATATTCTGCATCGCTGATGACTGAATACTTCCGCTACATTGCTCGCGAATGGCCCTCTCCACCTCCACCAGAAGTCATGATATGCATCCCCAATGTCCATCGAGCTGTCCGGAGCACCTGGCTGTAAATTTACCGAGATACTCACGGGCGTGAAAGAGAACGAACGCTACCCCGCCAAAACACCGCACTAGCCGGGGTGAGCTTTTGAGTGAGCAGTACCAGCTATACGGGCTCGAATACATACCAGCAAACTTGAGCCTCTTTTGGTTGGGTGAACGACTTATATAACTAGCCCGGCGCTTCGAGTCTGTCTCCTCTGCTCTGCTGGAGTTGGCTGGATCCGCCATTTGCACATCATGGAGTCGTTCCTACCCCTCGGCGGCTTCCAGCTGCCGTTCCAGCGGAGGCTCAGCAGGCTTTACAATGACACCAAGAAGCGCTCCGACTTCGTCAAGGAGCCCGTATCAGAAGACCCCGAGATCAAGGCAATGCACCGGAAACTTAAGATCCAGAAGGACAGGCTGGTCAGCTGGGGGCTTGAATGGTCTGACCCGTCGAACCAGGTAGCCGAGATCGACGAGTCTCTTTCCAAAGCGGGACTCAGTGACCTCGTCGGCAGCATCATGTCCACTATCAAGGACATCCTCGCCGAGGCAGAGCCATTGTGGTTGAGTTCAAAGCGGAGGGTCGGCGGCGAAAAGGAACCAGAGAAGGCGACCGGAGACCGGAAGATTCCCATAGTGGTCTGGGATAAGGCGCGCTTTGAGGACCTGATCAAGGACCTGACAGCCTCTATCGACACTCTGCATGACCTTTCCCGCACGAGGTCCTCGGCTGCCACGGCCAGTCGCGCCGGCAGGCTAACCAAGTCCATGGCTTCGACAGAGGAGCTGCGGCCCTTCGGCTCAACCCGCATTCGTACGCCACAGCAGATTGACCCTCGAACCCTCACAACACTTCAGTCCATGCAGGCTGAGCCTATCATGTCACCCATATCGGAGGAAAAGCGGCCACAGGAGGTCGTCTTCATGAGCAAACAGGCCTACTCTGATTTGACACATCGCCCTGGCCGCCAGCAGTGGTCGCCTCTGCTCCTTGAGTATGCCCCATTCGACCCCATCTACTCGTCGACGGGTATCATGCCGTCCATGTCTCGGTTTGAGAAGATCAGCTCCGGACTTCAGACAGAGTCCCACAGATCTCCAGGTGCATGGATCGGTCTGCCTCTCCTGCTTGGGTACTATGAGGACATGGAGAACTCGAGACTCGGCTTGGTATACCAGTTCCCGCCCACATTCAACCCCGTCACGTTCGAGAACCTGACCCAAAATCCTATCGATAACATGTGTACCCTCGCCGAGCTCCTGTCTCGGCCCAACTTCGAGCCCAGACTAGAGGCAAAATTCCGGCTTGCGCACAATTTGGCCAATACGGTGTTCGACATGCACGCCCGAGGAATCACCCACGGCAACCTCTTAGATGACACGATATCCTTCTGCAGTCCTGTAGGAAACGAGGCTGGAATACAGGTTGGAGAAGTCGATATAAGGCGGCCTCTCATATCATGCTTCGACGTCTTTGCCGACGAAGCCCCCACTCAACCCCCTTCATCCTCAACGACACTACACAGGCATCCTCTAGATCCTCGAATGATGTCCCAGTCGCCGCTTGCCAGCAACCGAGATTCAAAAACCCTCGATCTCTATTCTCTTGCCATGATATTGGTATCTATCGGACTGTGGACCAAATTAGAAAACCTCGTACCCAACCCATCTTCCCCTAGTATACCTGAATCTGTTCTGGAGCAACTGGCCATACGCTGCGGTACTTTGTACATGAGGGCAGTTCAAGTCTGCTGGAATGCAGTAGAGCAGGAGCTCACTCGCCCAGATGCAGGTGACGAGATTATGAGCCAGGTACAGATCCGTGCTAGCCGATATCTTGAAGCGTGCAGTATTCTGGACGGCGTCAGCGGTCTGGATGACCGTATCAGCGAGGACATTAGTGATGTCCCATCACTAGAGCGTGAGCGGCAACCGTCTCTGGCATTGTCCATGTCTTCACTAGCAGGCCCTTCAGTCGAGGCCAGGCAATCGAGGTCTGTAGTCTCCACACCGGTAGTCTACGAACGAAAAGAACAGATCCCCTCGGCACCTTCGTCGCTAGCACCTAGTAAGCTATATTTCTCGGCTTCATACGGTGAACCTCTGCTAATAAAAGTCCTCCCAGTTCTGAAACCGGCGGTTAACCCTCGCAAACCGGAAAACAAGAAGTGTCGTCTCTATCCCCAAATCTCCTTACCACCTGAGATAATTGACCAGTGGAACAACACGCTCATGCCACAGGTCAATATGGCTCTTCGTCACTTCTGCCGCAAGCACGTGGAGTCGGTAGAGATCACGCTCGAGTCCATAGGCGAATCTCCACAGAAGACAACCCCAACTGTCCTGGTTATTTGCACATCTGTCAGTACGGTCCGTGCGATCTTGAAAAAGAAACTCGGAATACTCTTTGATGGAACCACCGGCTTCGCACTTAAGGTGTGCAGAGGTTCAGTTGTCCGTTCGAGAAAGGGGGATACGACGAGATCCGCAGCAGCTCCTGGGGGTGATGGTGATGATAATGACACCGATGAGCCTGCAGCTGCCAACTCTGACTTTCAGCCACGCCCACAAAACGGAGCGAGCATTGGCGCGTGGATCGGTGACCGCCACTTACCCCCGGTCAGCTTTGGTGGGTTGATCACCGTAGACCAGAAGACATATGGCATGACGGTACACCACATGCTCGACGACCAGGAGCAAATGCATGCACAGTCCCTGGATACTGAGCTTGGCCCGCCACCTCTGCGTAGCAGCGCAGCAGCTCAGGACTTCTCCTACCTCGAAGCGGAATCGTCTGCTGAGAGCAGCGGTGCCGAAGACTATGCCTGCGAGTTCTCCGATACCGAGTCCGACTTCTCGGCTACCGACCTTACAAGCGACGACGAAGAGGATGACGATGATGACGAATTCTCAGAGGAGGGCGACATTCCTGGCGTGGAACCTGGTTGCGGCGAGGGGTACATCATCACGCAACCCGCGTTCGACGACGTCGGGGAAGGGTTCTACCCTTCGGAGGAAACACAAGATGAAGACCACTTGGACACATACCGTCTTGGCGAAGTATATGCGTCCTCCGGGATCCGAAGACGTCACGAGTCAAATGGCTACATCCATGAGGTAGACTGGGCGTTATTCGAGTTCGAGGAGGAAAGATTCCCAGACGACAACTACGTCCCACGGATTGATACACCGGAGCAGGCGTCTGAGACATCCACGGCGCACTTTCAACCAACAGCCATTGCCCAGTCTGCGGAGCTCCCAGGGCTGGAAGTTCAATGCAGTGCTCGCACAAGCGGGCTACAGACGGGCAAAATCCTCCAGGCGATTGCATCCATCAAGATTTATGGGCGTACATCGCTGAGTCAGACTTACCAGGTCAGCAGTAAAGCGTCCAGTTCTAACGTACCAGCACTGGGCTCCTCTAAGGCGCCTACAGACGTTGTGCGAAGCATCCCAGGCGTCGCTCTGGGGATTCCAGGCGATTCGGGAGCTTGGATCATCGACCGACAGAAAGGTAGCCTGTGTGGTCACGTACTGGCTTGGAGCCAGAGGAAGCAGGTTGCATACATCTGCCCCATGGACATCTTGGTGAGAGACATTGCTGAGACCTTGGAAGCGTCGGAAGTATGTCTTGGTGGTGAGCGGGTCTTTGAGAAAGGGTCTGGCAGGATCGAGGAAGCATACGATGATGAGGATCTGAGCGACCTCATCGAGGATGAGGACGACGGAGAGGATGAGGCAGAAATTGAGCCGAAGCAAAAGCAGCATCCTGCCAGACAAACATCGTCAAGGACCGTTGGATCCCTGGGCGCCAGTCTGGATCGGCTGCACCTGGAGCGCGGTCTCGTCTCATGAATACGATGCATGAATGATTGGGTATACTGGTGCATAGCATGGCAGTCCATGGGCCTAGAAGCGTGATTATGATGCCATGATCCCATAGTAATTGAACGATCTTGATATCATCCAACAGCCCATGTAAGCATCTATGCGCCCGTGCATCATCCAGGCCTGGGCAGTCGTTGAATCCTTAATGCTACGAGTGGAAAGTAAGTCCGATCATAAGGGGCCTCCGAAAGACCGATGCAGCATGGATATCCGGAGGCCCTGCAGTCCAGCTCTCAGACGGAGCTCCTCCGGGCGCTGGGAAACGGGGAAACTTGGACTCTTACGACGAGCGCTCCAGACAAGAGAACTTGATTCGGAGTTGCGGAGTTGGTGGGGGCTACGGAGACGGACGGAAGAAGCCGAGGTCTCTAAGAATGGTTGCCGTGGTTGCATGAGCGGGCGGGCTTACTGGCTGCACGCATACCTTCTGTTGAAGCTTGATTAGGTGATCAATAGCAGACCCGGGCAGCCCGGCCAGTCTAATCGCCGAGTCCTCGAAGCCTTGGACAAGAGTCCACACTGCTCCGTATCGTCACCACAGAACTGCGCGGGAGGCGCACCAACAGTCCCGTGCGATTGGTCCGTGGCCCCCAAGTCCCCCTGTTCCGCCGCCCCGAGGCCCGGACCCAGACGAGCCAGAAGCACGTCCAGGAGGTGCGGAAGACCAGCCGCACTCAAAGATCCACTCCGAGTCCACGATGACGTCCTAGTAGCGCCTGGAAGCGCTTTTGCTCAAGGCTTATTTTCTGCAACAGGCAAAACAGCGTTTGGGAATGCTGAAAATTTTCGTTATCGGCGTTATACTCCATCCAACGTCATCGAGCTGTTTCTATCGCCGCGGCTTTTAGCTTTGGCCATTGGTAAGCCCCATCCGCGGGTCCAAGTGTATCGGAGTATATAATGTCGTCGCCAGTATGCCGGGAGTCCATCAAGGGACACCTGCCATACCTGCATAACACATTTCTTGTCCTTCTAGTATCCTTCTAGTGGCATACCTTATTGATCCTATCGAACTTTGAGAATCAAGCAGACCAATCACAGCACAACATGCCTACCTTCACCGTCTTCAAGGGCTCCAAGGATGGACTGCCCAAGAAGTCCACCACCACTAAGCCCGACGAGCTCACGCGCGACCAGGTCCTCGTGAGGGTCACCGTTTCTGGTCTCTGTGGAACCGATCTGCACTACAAAACAGACGACATGGCCCTCGGCCACGAGGGTGTCGGCGTCGTCGAGTCCGTGGGCCCCGACTGCAAGGTGCTGAAGAAGGGCGACCGTGTCGGCTGGGGCTATGAGCACGACAGCTGCGGCCACTGCCACCAGTGCCTGACCGGCAACGAGACCTACTGCCCGGAGCGCGCCATGTACGCCTACGCCGACCGGGACCAGGGCTCCTTCGCCTCGCACGCCGTGTGGCGCGAGGCCTTCCTGTTCAAGATCCCCGACGCCCTCAGCGACGAGGCCGCCGCGCCGCTGCAGTGCGGCGGCGCCACCGTCTGGAACGCCCTGCGCGCCTACAACGCCCAGCCCACCGAGACGGTCGGCGTCATGGGCGTCGGCGGCCTGGGCCACCTGGCCATCCAGTTCGCGGCCAAGATGGGCTGCCGCGTCATCGTGCTGTCCGGGTCCGACAGCAAGAAGGCCGAGGCTGAGCGCTTGGGCGCCCACGAGTTCATCGCCACCAAGGGCAAGAAGGAGCTGTCCGTGTCGAGACCCCTGGACCGCCTGCTGGTCACGACGTCGGCCCAGCCCGACTGGAGCCAGCTGCTGCCCATCATGGCGCCCGGCGCCACCATCCACCCGCTCGGCGTCGCCGGCGGCAACTTCGAGATCCCCTACATGCCCATGCTGCTGGCCGGCATCTCGGTCCAGGGCTCCGTCGTCGCCCCGCGCCACCTGCACCGCCAGATGCTCGACTTTGCCGCCCTGCACGGCATCGCCCCCGTCACCGAGACCTTCCCCATGACCGAGGAGGGCATCAAGGAGGCCATGGACCGTCTGGAGAACGGCAACGTGCACTTCCGCGCTGTGCTCAAGGCGCAGTAGATGGATGGGGTGCATGGATGATGACTGGCGTAGTCACCTAACGAGACCATGAGTGTGATCCGTGTATAGTTATAGTGGAGATACCAAAGCGTTTTGCATATAGAATAATGTCAGAGATTGCATTTACCCAAGTCCAGGATTCCATCATCGTCTTGAAACATTTGAAGCGCTCCGCTCACAAGTCTCATTGCACCTGGGCCGCCCTGGTTATCCATTTAAAGCGTGAACCGGAATGAAGGGTGATTGTCACCGATGTTCTTGATCTCTTCCTCCGGTTGCGACAGCCGGTAGTCACGCTTGCCGGCATCACGCCTCCGATTTTCTACCAGCATGAACCCGAACATGGCCGTGGCAGAGAGGCCAGCGACCCAGAGCATCGCAAATGCTGTGCCGTATCCCGTGGGGTAGGCAGGAGACTCGTCGCTGAGGAAAATGTTGGCGGCGATGATGCCGGCGATGTTGCCGAGAGTGACCTGAAATGCGGAGCTGAAAGCTCTCTTCCAGTGTCCCGAGACATTATTAGAGAGCCATGCCAGGGCCATGGGGTTGCCGATGTGCCCGCCCAGTGAGACGAGGAAGATGGCAGCGAATTTTGCATCCCGAGAGAGGGTACCCTGATTCAGCAGTATGCCGAAGCCAATGGTTGCGATGAAGCACCCAGCCACGATGAAACTGTAGCGATGCTTGTATCGATCGGAAAGGAACCCGGTGATGAGCATGCCGGCGGCTGAAACGACATAGACGGGAATGGTACGGGCTTGTGCCTGCTCGGCCTTGTAGCCGAACTCCAGCAGAATCGTGGGCATAAAGAAGGTGGTGGAATAACCCGGAACGCCGACGCCCATGTAGATGAACGAGGCCAGCCAGATCTTGGCGTCGGAGAAGATGCGCTTGCAGGCCTGCTTGTTCAGCGTGTCCATGCGAGCGCAGTCCGTGCCGTCGCTGGCGAGTCGGTGTTTGAGGAGGTCCTTCTCGGCCTTGGTCAAGAAGCGACAGTCCTCGGGCCAATCGACTACCAAGAATACGGCTATGACGGCGACAACGGCGGTGGCTGCTCCTTCGATGATGAATATCCAGCGCCAAGCTCTGTATCCCAGCGACCCGTCTAGATGAGCGATGGCATAGGCGAGAAGCTTGTAGCTTGTGTCAGTGATGGCTGGTTCGTGAGAGGTCAAACACAGATACTCACCCCTCCAAAAGCACCCGCAACTTGCGTGGAGCAGAACAGAAAGCTCATGCGTATCTGAAATTCGTGTCTCTTGTAATACATGGACGTCAGGTAAATGATACCGGGAAAAACTCCTGCTTCCGCAGCACCGAGAAAGAATCTCAGCACGGCCAGCCCTCCATAGGTATGGACGAAACCCATGCTCATGTTGATGATGCCCCAGGAGAACATTAGACCTGGCAGGTACCAGCACGGCCTAACATGGCGGATGATCATGTTGCTGGGTACCTCAAGAAGTATGTACGGTATGAAGAAAACCCACAGGGCCGTTAGCGATGAGACATACCGTTTCTGAGCAACTTACAAACAGCGCAATGTTGAACCGGTTCCCCTCGAGCTCCAGATCAGCGGTCAGACCCTGGATTCTCGCATTGCTGATATTGACTCGGTCCAGAAATGACATCATATGGATAACGAACAGTATAGGATATACATCTTGAAATCTGCAGTGTCAGCCACACAATTTCACCATGTTGAATGATGCAGTTGGAAACTCACGTCGATCAAGCTTTCGCAGCAAGCGCCGTTGAACTTGCACATCAACTGTGTTGGTTTCAGATGACACCGAGCCTTTCCTGGGATTGGGCACCTTTTCGAGATCCTTGCCAGGCTGCATACCCCCCATGATAGGAGATTCAGTCGCTGTTTCTCTGGCTGGCATCCTGAAAAGCTTGCTCGGTTCTGGGTATAGCAAGCTTCGGATGCGTCCGATTACCACGTATTTGAAATCACTGGAGAACAAAATGTGAAGTGTGTTGTGAATACACGATAATTCAAATCTCTTCAGGGAAGGATGCGAGTCGATAAATAATTCTCTGGGAATGGGGTATGATAAGGCCAACCGATATGCATGACCTATTTCTCTTAGCTGCATTGAGATTCGCATATAGATGCCCCAGCTTCCGGGTAAAGGAACTTACGATGCAGACGGCGCATTAATACCACCTACAGATGTAGACACCTTGCAGGCTGGCTGTAAGGACGTGCACCTCACTGTCATGATTCGATAATGCATGGCTTCAAAAGACATCAGCAAAACCGCAAGCGGCATTCCGCCATGCTATCTGCGAATGAAATACAGCAAATGTCGCACTGAAGAAATCGGCCTGGGAACCAAAGATACTCAAAGACCGAGACCATGGTCTCATTTTGTCGCACGGAAGAGCGGGGATGCGTGCACCCGTGGAAAATCTGGAGCACAAGGAGTGAGCACAAACTCGAGGCACGTTTCCAACCTGAGGAAAGAAATGGACGGCTTAGCAAGGTAATGTGCCCTTTCCCAGAGATCCGAGTCGTTAGAGGTTTAGTTGGATAGAGGCGATCATAGGTAATATATAGCGATACGTGGTGAGTATCATCGTAGCTTGAGCAGCGGGCTCGTCCAGATTGGGCGAGGTGTCACATTGCTCGTATCTTGGCATCGGGGTCGGATACCTTGCAAGACTCGCTTGCATATAATTCACCTTGACAAGTTTGAACTGCTTAGATCCGCATTGTCTTATAATCCAATCGCAAAGTGCATGGGGTTTGTCTGCGAACCGTTGTGATATCTCCCGGCACCGATACTTACGCCAGCAGCAAGAGACCCATGCATTGCAACCCAGCAGTCAGCGCTTCCTTATACTTCTGTCACTTGGATACCATGGGCGGGGGACAGTCATTACGCTTCCTGTTACACACGCTCCAGTACGCTGGAGCTGCGACGACCAAGGCAAATGGAGCACCGGGGATCTTTCTCGGTGGTGTAGGTTGCGACAAGATCTGTATGCGCGGTCTCGCTTTATAAGGCACGTTGTCTAGGAAATCCACCTCTCGTCCCGAAGACTGCATTCCCTGTCCACGCCGGCATTTGCTCGTCCTCGGCATGCTGCATACTTGGCACTGAATCGTCTTTAGACCATTGCCAACAAGAAACGCAGCCGTGTTTGATGAGCCCGCCATCCATAATGTGCTGCCGCAGTCCCGTCAAACTGACAACGCTCAGCGACAGCCATACTGCAAAGAGAAGATGGCCCCTGCAAACCACGAAAAACTCTTGGAGATCAATGGTCTGTGAGGAGAACGAGTCTCAGCGTTTGCTGAACCCAACAACGCTATGTAGCGAACGATTGGTTCCAATGCCAGGTGCTATGGCGCATGTGGTACGCTTTGTCCGACTTTGTCATCTCGGATGCGTCGTTGAACTTTTGGCTTCTCTTCTCCCTAGGCACGACTGGTCATGCAAACCAAGATTTTACGACGCGCCATTCTACCACCTGAAGCGAGGGCCGGACTTGCTAGGGAAACCACGAGTGTCTCGAGGTGCCGTGGACTATGTGGGTATTTCTGTTCGCGCACTGATTTGATTGTACTGACTGTGTGAAAGACTGCCCTTTCACTGGACCGGCGTCGCGATGCGTTCAAGCACGTAAGGGTACGTTAGGACCTCTCCTGACTCCTTCCCGCGTCGTCTGGTCTGCATACACCAGACAGATCCTGGGGAAGGGGGACATGGCATGTTGACGCGCAGTGAGCATGGAAATTACCCATGTTGCGTCCAGATTGGACAGCTGTCTTGCACCTCGGATCGCGGGCGGCACATGTGGCCTACCAGCACGACGTCGTCGACGTTCAACGGGCGCCTGCCCATTTTACGCCGGCCATACCTTCCATATTTTTTTTGTTTTCGAAGAGCTGGCAGAAGAAGGCATTTTGGGAAGTCGCGAGACTGCCAAATTCTATTCATTGATTTCCTCCGGTTTGAGTTTGTTTCGTTTCACTTCGACGCCTGAACTCTTCAAGTCATCGTGTCGTGTTTGGTCAATCAAACGGCGGCCCATTCTCTTTCTGCTCGCCCGATATATCTGGCCCAATTATTCTTGAGTTAGAAACCCACCGGAACTTTCGGACGCCCGACTGGAAGTCCTAATAGCCCGCACTCTCGGTACCTCCGTCTTCATCATCAGACCGGCTGCTTGGGTTGTGGTTACTGCCGAGAGCGCACCATCATCGCCGCAGTCTCTATCCGCAAGATACCGCGTGGAAAGCTGTATCAGAGGCCAAGCCAACGCATCTCCTGGTGAGACTGAGAACTTCGAGCTGGCACGCTATCTATCTTTATTACAGCTCGACATTTTCAGCGTTGCAGATACTCAGCCGCCGCTGGCCAATCTGGGGAACCCCAGCATCGTTCATCCAACATGGCAGAGGTCAACGCATCCTTTCTTGGCGAGAGCAATGCTTCGCTCATTTATATTCCTTGTGGCGTGTTTTTTGTCTTGTCGCCACTTCTTGTTGGTACTCGCTTGTGGTCGCGCATGAGGAACGGTGGAAGTCTTGGTGCTGATGACTACACCATCATGGCGTCCGCTGTATGTCAGCCGCGGGAAGTGGCGATCATTCTTGCTGACTCGTGACCCAGACATTTGCCATCGCGTCGAGTGCCATTATGATTATCTCGTGCTATTACGGCTACGGAAGACACCGCGGAGTCTTGACGAGCCCCAACCTGGCTGACACACTCAAGTACTTCTATATCTGCCAAATCACTTACAAGGCATCCATCAATCTCACCAAGTCCTCGATTCTTCTACTCTATGTTCGTATATTTGGTGGCATACGATGGTTCAAGCGGGTGTGCATTGGTCTCATCACCATCATCGCCCTTTATTGTATCGCCTCGGTCCTCGCAACCATCTTCCAGTGCTCACCGGTGCGCAAGGCCTGGGAAAAGGAAGCGCAAGGGCAGTGTATCAACAATGGCCAGTTTTGGTACGCCAATGGGGGCTTCTCCATCGCAACGGACATGATCATTCTCGTCCTTCCAATGCCACTTGTATATGCATTACACGCACCAAGAGTACAGAAAGCTGCTCTGATGTTGGTCTTTGCTCTGGGAATTTTGTAGGTTGATTGTGGAGAACTTCGGCCCTGGGTTTCTGACTGGGCCTGCAGCGTCGTTGTCACCTCCTGCCTGAGACTTACCACCATCAACATCCAGGCAATCAGTCCTGATCCCACCTACGACATAGCCTCGACGATGTGGACGATAATCGAAATGAACGTGGCCATAATGTGCGCATGCTTGCCGCAAATACGACCGCTCATGCTGAAAATGTTTCCGAGACTCATGCCAGGATCATACTCCAATGAACGATCTGAACGGCCTCCGCAGGTTACCTACTTCAATGAACATGCAAAGGCGGATCCTTCGAGCAGCGAGGACAGCCGATGGGCGCATATTGAAGGCAGAGACGGCATCCACCTCTCCAATCTAGCAAATGTTCGCAAAGGCGATGGGAGCTCTGAGGAGTACATCCTTCAGGATGATAAGACCATTCACAAGACAGTGAACTATAGTGTCGAGTACTCGAAGAAACGCTCTAAGGACACCTTGAACTCAATGGTCTAGGTGATTTCAAAGCGTCAGAAGCAGTGGCTTTCGACGAGAGTATTGTATCACACGGCCGTTTACCACGGACCCAAGGCTGTGAGATGTAGCCGCATAAGGAAAGAATATGGGATGACGGCAAGATTATCTGACCTTGGGATTTGCTCATTGCCCGGGTGGCGATTATGAAACCGAGCTTATCAATTAAATGTGGCGATGAAGGGCCGACACCAATTGCTTAGTCGCTTATTTTGGGGGGACAACTTGGCCACATATCAAATCGAAGACTCGGATCAGGAGCTACTTTACTGTCTAATGGACTACCTGTACGTAATGGTGAAACATCACATGGTATTACTTCAACAGATTTCCTTGAGTGACTGAGTGACTGTCAGAAGAAATGACTTATGTATACGCTGTGCGCGATCCAGCTGCAGCGCAGCATATAATTACAGTGTTTGAAAACCCGGCAAGCGTTGGATAGGGTCCTGCAGGCAGAAAAGTTGTCCATGCATTTATACTTTAGCTCCCTACGGAACGATGATCAGTTCCACGAAAAAACCGCCTCTTGCCCGTATCTATGCCACAATACTCTTGATGAGCCGGCCGGTATCCAAGATGACGCTCGTGATGACGCATTTGTTTCAATACTACATGCGTCGACGCCCCATGGGCTGAGAAGATGGCCTATCTGAGTCTTCAGAGACCTTGAACTGCCTAGAGAGCGGCCTAGTTGCGCAAACTGCCCACGTGCTATGATGGCACGAGATCCGTGGACAAGACATCAGATAGAGGATCGATGTCAGGTTTCAACTATAGCGAAGAGAGTCGAGACAAATGTATTACTACAAATCTTTCCAGAGGAGCCACGAACACAACAATGCACTGCATGCTCTGAATCGGCGTGACGGCTGCTGAAACAGCAGAGGGCATCTCTTTCGGTCGATACGTCAGCCGTTCCAAACAGCTACGTCAGCGACTTCGTGTACTACACGGTACATGGAGTTTACACGTTGAGCTTCGTCACGCCCAAAATTCAACACGTTGTCGAAGGACCACACAAGGTGTACTATTGAACGGCGTGCGGCTCTGACCCTGGTCCGCCATGAGACTCACATCAGCATATGGCGCTCGTCAGGCACTCTCAGGCCGCTAGGCAGCTGAATGGAACATTGACCTGGCCAATCAACGGGCCGAGTATGCCAGTTCAAGCGGCCGGCCCAAATCCTCACGTGGTACGAAACCACCGATCTGGACTCAATCCTCGTGTTTCCCTCGTGTTTGATCGCGCGCCTTATCCAACTGTGGGACCATGAAGCATAAGAAAGGGTACCTGTGCCTCAGAATTACGCTACCACGAATGGAATTGAGCCTCCTTCGCCAGCGCTGACGATCTTGATTACCTATCAACTGGCTTTCCAGGAACATTACATCAGCTTTCAGCCCTACGGACATGTGCAATCGGACAGGGATCTACTGCAGGGGTCAGCTCCCTGGTGGGGTTGACAGTTACTAGTCTTAGCCATCCAACATGCTTCTATCAATACTTTATGACTTTAACGATGGTTTCCATGGCACTCCTATCCGCGGCTGGTCTGTTCGGGAAGAAATGTTTCTGTCCCTCTCAAGAAACTGGAAGACTACTTGCTGAAGCGAGCACCAGAATTTGCGGTAATGACGCAAGCAAGCCATGGTTGTGAACCCTCGACGCGGTTTCAGTCGGCGTTAAGGTATTATCTCGTTTATCTTATTACACCATGCTCACTCGTTTTAGGCATCACATGTACTCCCATTGTGACACACCCCCGTTTACTAATTAACTCGCACGCATGCTAAAAGTTCAAGGTAGCAAGGAATCAATCGGTATGTATATGACCGTGAGATAGCCTATGGAGCCGGCTCGCGATTTCACGCCCGTTTCGGCCGGCGCCTTTCTCGAATAGCTGAGGCGAGCTAAAAATGCCATGTCATGACAAATTGAGGGTCTTCGTAGTTTCGCCTGGGAGCCTGGAGAACCAAGACCTTCTCGTGTAACTCAACCGGGCTGACAAGTATTCTCATCAGCCCGGCAGGGTACAGTTGTGGCTGATGCCTTCCGCCGTCGGCGGTACTCCTTACAATCCTACGGCATCCGCCGGCCGGGCTCGGCATCGATTGGTTCGAGGGGTCCGGAGGCTTCTCTCATGTGTCCATTTTTGGACTGCTGTTATGCCTATAGTCTGTGCTAATTCCTTATAGGCCACCATTTGAAAACGCGCTATTCTCTATTTTGACCCAAAGTGCGTGATGTAGCGTCCTCACCCCTTAAATAACAGAAAACGAATAAACGTCAATAACCAAACCAGGGCTTCGCATTACTCCCTCTTCAGCAATGACGTGCTGTGGAATGGACATCATGGCGGTGCAATCAGGGGAATAGCCATTCACGCCCGAGGCCTACTAGTACCAAGTGAAGCAATCTGGATATATAAGTCATTTCACGGCGACACATATCATGCGATCCACCGACGCCTCACGAAAGCAAGCAGCACAACATCACCACTAGCTGGATGAGACTTGATCTCACCATTGTCGTGCAGTCTTATCACGCGCTGGCCCAACTTGGACATATCAATATTAAACCGCCCCTGCCTGGACTGTTATATGCCGAGAATGCCCCAATTCGTCTTCATCGAACTACCTGGCTTCCGCGTCAAGGATGCGAGTGGTCACACCGTTAGCCTAGGCTCTAGGGATAAGGGGTTAATGGTAGCGCTTTACCATTATGTCCGCAGCGGAATTCGCACAGTCGAGTACTGCGACCTTTCGGCCTCCCTGCTCTTCGCGGGCGGCGAGCCAGACCTCTGGACGTCATCTAACACGGCTCATGGTCTGCACGCCGAGGAGAACATGCTGTTCAGCTATTTCCAATCGTTCGACTCGCCCGGCGCCTATCCGATCGTAGACGCCCTTCTACTGTCGCACAAGCCCTGCAGCAACTGCATGAACTACTTCACCCAGTCCGGTAGTGGGCAACATCTCAAACCCGGCGGCGGCATCGCGCCGTTCCGCGCCAAGTTTACCCCCCGCTCCGACCGGCAGTACACCCCAGTCTTCTACATCGAGCGCCGGCTTGACGCTGCGCAGCGGGCAGACCTATGGTTTCAGCTCGGTAACATGTGGGCGGCCGAGTTTGGCGACGTGATCATCAGCTCGCCTGAGGTTGCTCGGGGCCATGCGTACTGGGTCATGCAGGACAGCCCCTGGTATGCCATCAATGATCAGGAAAACATGAGCGACGCCGAAATTGTGCAGGCGATCCAAGCACAGGGTGCGATTATTACTTATTGGATTGGTCGTTAGTAGATATTAACCCCTGTGGAATCACACATGAGACCAGGAAAGAAAAAAAGTTGGGCTTGATACAGGTATAGACAGGCATAGATTCATAGACTAAGAATTTTTTTTTTACTCGGTGACCTAGACTACGTACTGCATTCTGGGCGATTCAATCGTCATCCACTGAAAATTCATTAGGGGTCCATGACATGGTGTTGAAATCTAGGCTACCCTGTATTGCGATACAAGTTTCCGCTAGGACAGGCACAGCGGGCTCCAAACCATGTACATGAGAGCACGGATAGACTTTTCAGGGCCTTTTGAGGCTACCTGTAAAACGACGCGGCGTGAGAACGTTGCCCACGAGGATCTGGCAAGCCTCGCAGGTCCTGTGCCCACAAGTGGGACAGCAGACAGAGACGAACACAACCTAGATGCCTCACTCCCGAAGAACGTATGGCTTTCCGCGTGTTTGATATTTGACAGGAGGTTTATTGAAACCTCATTGGTGAAGAGACTTGGCAGCTGCGGCGTGATTCATGGCAAGCTTCAGATAGGGCAGCCGTCGGCTGCGTCCGTGCCTCTTGAATTGCCATGCCGCACTGCCTTCACGGAGTGTTGGTGATCCTACCAGCTTCGTGCACAGTTACTGGTAGAGGCAAAATGACGTTAAACATGTCTTATCGCACGTGCATTGTATGCGGGTGCTCACAATAAGCTTCGTTAGCCGCGATCCAGCGGCCTGGCTCAGACCCCTTTTTGTGGCGCCGCGACCCTGAACCTTTAATAAGAACACCTAAATCCTCGATCCTGGCAGTATCACTGCTGGGGAAATCCAAACATCGCGCAGGAGCTCTGCGCTGAGCAGATGAGCAACCAACGATATGCTCACCCGATGGTCGGGCTCATACCCTCGGGTGTGGCGAACCCTATGTGCCTACTCTCCCGCTTAGCTCCCAGAAGTCAAATCCACGAGACCGCACGGCCCTTGGCATATGTCGACATAGCCAGATCTGACAGCTTGCCAAGCCCTTCACCAGCGCCTAGCGACGTTCCTTCTGCGAGAAGATCTCCTTAAGCCGTTGGCGGGGGCACACTCAAGGTAGACACCGAGCGTAGATTGCTGCGCCTAGGCACTTTACGTAGACCTTCAGTCTACACTTGCCTATCTCTCCGCTGTGATACTCCCGTCTCCTGTTTCATGTCGTCCACTCATGCCGACGCCTGCCCAACTCCGGATCCGTGGGCTGTCAAAGGCCCGCGGTGGATTTGCCGCATCCTATATAGAACGATGACCAATTTCTACTTGACTTCGAGGTTTTGACAGCAGCAGTGCTCTGTTTCTCTTCTTGTACAGCACTCCGTTCCTGCTTCCTGGAGCTGTACCTTCAATTCTATCAAGTTGGCTGGGCCAGTTCATTGCAATCTTTCGCTTATACCAATCGTTCTTTCATTGACCGCATTCAACAACATTCACAATGAAGTTTTTCCAAAGGGTTGCCCTGGCATCTCTCACACTCAGTACGCTAGCCAATGCCGGATTGATTCAAGGAGGAGCAGGCGCTGGTAACGCCGGCCCCGGCGGTCAATTCAGAGGAGGCGGCGCTGGTGCTGGACAAGAAGGCCCAGCAGCCGGTCAAGGGGCTCCTGCACAAGTCGGTGCCGGACAACATGTGGGCGGTGATGGAGCCGGCGAGGCTGCCTGGACTTCGTCATCTTCTACAACCACATCATCCACCACCAGTACTACAACTACAGCAGCAGCAGCGACATTTGCCTTCGATCCTTTTGCTGCGGCAAACGGCTTGACTACATCTTCATCTAGCACAACTTCGACTACTTCGACTTCGTCAACATCTTCCTCTTCAACTACGACCGCTGCCGAAGCCGCTGAGACGGCACTCGGTGGCGGTATTGAGCACATAATTGAAGCTATCGGAAGCCTTCACAAGCCAGTGGCGCGTGCACACTCATCAATCATCGGTCTGGGATCTGGGGCTGCTTCTGGGCTCCACCATGCTGCTTCGGCCTTCACGTCCCTGATCTCCGATATCAACATGGCGACATCTCGGGTCCAGGGTGCTGGTCCCCTGAGCGTCGATGACATGCTGGCTCTCGAGGAAGCGATGAAATCACTTCAGTCATCATGTGATCGCATGATTGGGGATATGTCGGCCAAAACCAAAATCGTGGCCCGTATGGGAGGCTGCAATGTCGCCTCCGATGCCCTGGGCCAGATTCGCCAAGCCACAGGTGGTATGCTCCGCGCAATCGCAAGATCAGCCGAGGCTGGCGGCGTCAACATGGAAGATGCCAAGTTCCGGCCCATCGCCAAGATGATTCGCAGGATAGAGGGCAGCTTCGACAGCGGTGACTCAGCCTTTGGTGGTGGCAACTGTGTTAACGCTCTTGGTGGGCATCGCGGAGGTAATAACGAAAATCGCCCCCAGGAGGCAGCCTGCGACCCTGGTACCACTACTACACGTACGGTAACGAGCGTTTTGAGCCAAACTGTAAGTAGCTTCTGATGAATATAGTCTGAATTTGTTCAATAAGTTTTGGTGTTCTATACTAATAATCCGCGACATAGGTCACCACGACTGCCACAGCCACAGTTGAAGGTGAATTCACCGAAGCTGGATTTACCGGCTTCGAAGAGGTCTCCACAGTTACCGCAACAGTAAGTAGACTATGATGAGTAAGCTCATCCGGGACTAGAGTCGGCGATCATGACTTTCAAGGCACCTGCTAACCCGAGAGAAGGTCACTGCCTCAACGGCGACAGTCACTCTGACAAGCTCCGTTACGGTCACAAACTCGGTTACATTTACCAGTTCCGTTACGAACACAGTCACTGATTATTCTTATTCCACCGTCACGGACACTGCCACTGCGACCTATACAAGCTCCTACACGAACACGGTGACCAACTCTGTCACTTTGACCAGCTCCGTCACAGCAACTTACACGAGCTCTGTGTATCTGACGAGCTCTGTTACGGATACAAGCACGGCCACTTACACTAGCTCAGTGACCAACACAGCTACTTATACTAGCTCGGTCACTTATACTAGCTCAGTCACAGCCACATACACAAGCTCAGTCACTTACACTAGCAGCGTTACCGACACGGTATCTTCGTTCTTTACTAGCACCGTCACGAGTACGGGCGCTTCAACTACATACACTTCAACAGTAACAGACTATGTATACAGCAGTACATACACTTCATCGGTAACCAACACGTATACCAATTCTTATACCACGACAGTCACAGTCACAAGCGGTGGTTCGACTTACACCTCGACGGTCACGAACGGCAATACATATAACGCCAAGTCTGTGACTTCCACCGCTAGCGCCACTGTCAACGCCCTCGCTACATCAACCACCACCAAAACGGGCAGCTCTTCAACGACGACAACAACCTATGGAGCCCAGGCATACACCTCATCGACCAGCACGAGCACGACCACAACCTATGGTGCCGCAGGAGTTGGCTCGAGCACGACCACAACTACGACAGGATCTGTCGGTGCCCAAGGAGTTGGCTCAACCAGCTCAACAACTTCGACCACGACTGGGACTGTCGGTGCTCAGGGAGTTGGTTCGACCAGCTCAACAACTTCGACCACGACTGGGACTGTCGGTGCTCAGGGAGTTGGTTCGACCAGCTCAACAACTTCAACCACGACTGGAACCGTCGGTGCTCAGGGAGTCGGATCGAGCAGTTCTACGACGTCGACGACGACAAGCACCTCAGGATTCAATGCCGCCACGGCAGGGGCAGGCTCTTCTAGCTCCACGACTTCAAACGCTTCTTACTCGGCAGCCAACGCGGGAAGCTCCAGCTCGACGGCCAGCACGACTTCAGCGACGACCATCACGTACACGTCGGGTGGATCAACCTACACGTCAACCTTTACCAGCTCCCGCAGCCGGACGTCAACCTATGGCCAAACCACCACGTCGACTACCGCCGCATCCACGGCAACTGCCAATGACGTCTTCGCCAACACCAGTGAGGCCTTCAGTGTGAAGCCTAACCAGGTGATTGCTCTGATGGGCGCCGTGGTCGTCGGTGCTTTGGCTCTGTTCTAGATAAGTTGCGCAAGCATTTGGGAGGAGGCAAAGGGAGTTCACGCGAGTGCACTGCAGGATGGGTGATAATTTTGGGCTTAGAAGGGCTTGGCATGTGTGTGGCTAGGGAGGTTTCATCAGATTGCGATACCGGCTTGCCTTTTCTTCATTTGGAGTTGACTTCTAATTTAGTTTTATTTCCCCCATCCTATGCGATGATTATAAACAGGAATTGTATCGTTTTAAAACTTGCACAGATTCGTCTCACATTACCCACAGCTGTATTTGATCCGTCAAGGTCGCCGCGGCTGAATATACGTAGGCCGACCTAGTGCCCCTGGCTCTTCGCTCCTTGTCAACGTGCGAGAAAGTCAAGAACGCAGGAGCACGGGTGGCCCCCGAGGTGCGGTTCAAGCACCCTCAAGTGCAATAGGTCGAAAAAAGAAAGTCCATCTCTCACCTGAACAGGCCAGCTGATATGCGTGCGACGTATGATGTACGCTTGGCCTCCGATGTCCTGGGTTGAGAAAGTCATATACGGGATGAGAACCGGTTTGCGCTTACGGGCTACCCAATCATAGCTTTGTCCGAACGCGGCGACCGGTACGGAAAAACTTGCCAACATGTGCCAGACTCACGTATCTGTTGCTTGGCGAGTCTCTGCTACACGGAGGTCCTCTGGGCCTTAATCGACGCCTGCTTGGCACTCACAGGTCCCGCTTCCGCTCACAGAGTCAGCAGCAGGGTCTAGCGACGCGCTCCTGCCGTAAGGCAGTTTAAAGCAATTCATTGGATGTAGATAATACTCACCTTCTCGCTTTCTCGTGCCATTTCCACGACCTACTTTGTAGTGAGATGCGAAGAAATCCATGGCAGAGCCTTGAAACTACACCGTTTCATCGCCGCGCGGCTACCTGGTGATCCCGGTTTAGTGGTTGACGTTTGGGGTTTGGGCGGCAATCCTTGTCAATGATCTATTCTTGGCATCCCACGAGGCGGCATCCGAGAATCAAGATAAACTCATGTTCGTCTTCGTTTGGATGCCAACGTGGATCGGTGGCATCGGACGATCTGCCTTCCGGTGGGTCTGCGACAACTCCAGCAGGGGTTCATCGACGTCCGTTTCTGGACATCGCGCGCGACTAGCCCGCGCTCTGTTCCATGCTGACGTTGGAGGCGAAATCTTCGTAAAGCTGAGTCTGCCGCAATGGTAGGTTCTTATCACCTTCAATTTACCGGATGGACTGAGAAACTGGTGATTGCAGTCGTCACCGCAGTTTCATCAATAGGGGCGCGAGGTTCTGAGTAGAAGAGGACGCGTACTCTTGGCATCTGAAACACCCTTGTCGTTCCAGGACCCCAGTCCAGTCTCCCAGGATCCGCACGGCACGCATGGGGAGCCGCATTGCTCGTGCCTTTCAAGACCTTTCTATGCGTATGCATGGGGACGAGGAAGATGAGGGCGAACCCGTGGACCGACCGTTGCCAAGGGGCTAGAGACCGCCTCTTATATCGAAGCTTGGTGCAGGTTCGCCCCACGATGCTCATGGCAGTGCCGGTTATCCGTTCTGGTCTTTTTCTTTTCTTGATAAAGAGAGCACAGATGAATAATACAGGGCCATGATATCACTTCTGCGCCTGCTCCGACTAATTGGAGTTGGGGCTTGCGGTATTTCTGCGCAGTTTGTGACGCCGCCCGACGACCTCATTCAGTCAATAGGGTATGCCGGTGTTCCAGTCCGGTTCAAAGAAGTGCCTGCGGGGATTTGCGAGTTGGACCCGAATGTAAAGAGCTTCTCGGGTTACGCGGACGTCGCCGATGATCAGCACATATTTTGGTGGTTCTTCGAAGCTCGCGGTATTAACCCGGAATATGCTCCGTTGACGGTGTGGATAAATGGAGGCCCAGGTATGTTTGAATCAACGAGCGTTACTTGGGAAGTATACTTTTCACCGGCTAAACTTCTACGTAGGCTCTAGCTCAATGCTTGGACTTTTCCAGGAACTCGGTCCCTGCGGTGTAGATTACTTCGGGAACATCTACAGCAATCGGAATTCGTGGACCAACGCGAGCAACGTGCTTTTCATCGACCAGCCGAGCCAAGTCGGGTTTTCATATTCAAACCCTGTACCGGCGTACGAGGAGGACGGAAACATAATCGTACTCCCTGACCAGACCTGCCCTGAGCATTTACCGACACCTTCAACATGCGGCACCTATTCGAGCCCTAATATCACGCTCACGGCAAACTCGACTGTTGGAGCAGCGCAGGCATTTTGGAAAACGTTACAAGGGTTCCTGGGGACTTTCCCGGAATACTCGGAGAATGGTCTTCATCTTGCTACCGAAAGCTATGGTGGTCATTATGGGCCTATCTTCAGCTCATTCATCGAGAGACAGAACGATTTGGATATTCCTGGAGCGAAAAGGATACAGTTCGAGACGTTACTGGTTGGAAATGGCTGGTTTGATCCCATTATTCAGTATCAAGCCTTCTACAACTTCACCGTAAGCCCGGGAAACACTTACGACTACGCCCCATTCAACGCGTCAACAGAGTCTTTGGTATTTGACAACTTATATGGACCCGGGAATTGCCTGGACCAACTGCGAGAATGCAAGAGCACCGGCCTCAACAGCGTCTGCTCGAAAGCCGACGATTTTTGCATGCAGCACGTGGAGGACATCTACCGAGATGCGCTCAGTCGGGACGTATATGACATCCGGGAGTTATCCCCGGATCCATTCCCGTACAAGTTCTTCGTCGACTATCTCAACACGCCTAAGGTACAGAAAGCGATCGGTGCCTACACGAACTTCTCGGCGCACAGCGACACAGTATATGAGGCCTTCAGTACGACAGGGGACGATGCCCGAGGAGTAAATAGTATTGAGAACATCCAATTTTTACTCAGCCGGAACGTTACAGTAGCACTGTATGCTGGCGACGCGGATTTCGACTGCAATTGGATCGGAGGCGAGGCAGTGGCGTATGAGATCCTAGCCCCCGGCTTCAACAACGCTGGGTACGAGAACTTCACTACCCGTGACGGTGATGTTCATGGACAAGTCAAGCAGACAGCGGGGTTCAGCTTCACTCGGATCTACGAAAGCGGCCACATGGTGCCTTTCTACCAACCACTGGCCGCACTTGACCTGTTCGAACGGACGATTTCCCGGACTGACATTGCGACCGGCACTCAGAACGCCAGCTCCGTTTACCAGTCCACGGGGCCGCCCAAGAGTCTGTACCGCGAAGGCAATGCGACCATGCAATGGAAGACGGTCTCGACGGACAAGACTTACGACACCGAGGCCAACCGACCCGGCAAGGCCTGGGTAAAGCTCCCAGATGAGAGCGAGACACTGATAGACAGCGATTATCAGCGACAGTATCCGTTTCAGAACTTTCGAGGAGAAGAGGATATGAGCGCCTGGCGTCGTCTTTTGGAGTATTTCATTTATGTCTTTTATTCTTGATACCCGTGCGCCGCTTAGGGAGATGGTTTAGATAATACGATCGTACAAATCCGATCTCAGAGTATTGTAGTTCTTAATATTCCCTCTAACATACGATTGCCATTACTGATCCTTCGTGCTCGCTTACATATCATCGGCCGTAGCCCTGCCAGATTGCGCCCATCCACCCGGGTCACAAGGCCCTTGAGGGATCACACCCGCCAAGCCTGGCGCTCTTTGCCGCACCGTCAAATACGATCTCGCTCAACAGCTTGCCTGTGCCCGGGGCGTTCTGGATGCCCCAGCATGTATGTCCTGCAGCGACGGTCAATCCTCTCGTGTTACCAACCGGGCCAATCCATGGGCCGCCCTGAGGCAAGTAGCAGGCCTGCTTTGCGAGAACCTTCCCATCTCTTCCCAGCTCGTCACTGATGCCGCCCACCTGACTGATGATGTCGTCACAGCGCGCTTCATCGACCTCCACCTCGGCATTCGTCAGTGGTAGCTTTACCGTCTGGTCTGTTGGTCCACAGGCATAAGCTGTGCCATCCGGGCGTGCGTAGATCTCGGGCTCGACGACCTGAGACCTCTTCAGTGGACCCTGCGCTGCCTTGGAGCCTCGCGCCTTTTCCGGAGTTGGCGTAGGAAACCCGGAGGGTAATGCGATGGATGTGAATAGCGCATACGCCGAGACGGGTGTCGGGGTCTGTATAACTACACTGTGCGCCCTGGAGGCAGTGACGGGGACGTTTGGCAGCAATCGCGACGTCCACGGACCAGCTGCCACCACGCAGTCGGTTGTGGGAAGAGTCTCAGAGTTTCCTTCTTTTTCGTATGTGACACTTTCGACGCTGTCTCCGCCTTTGCTGTAGTTGATGGCTGTCACTCGCGCACCCGTAACGATCTTGACACCCTTCTCCTCGGCTAGCTGGGCCATGCTCCTGGTAAACAACTCCGGATGTACCTGTGCAGTGTTGTTTGGCGTACCCATGCCTTCATATGCAACGAGTGCCTGTTCTGTATCCAGCCAATCCAGGTCTTCCGGTGCTCCGATTTTCTTCAGCGCCTTGATGGCCGTTTTGTGGTCCTTGTGCAAGCCCTTGGATGGCGCGGTCTCGGCGTCCGCCGCCGTTATCTTGCTCTCGTCGCTACTGAAGCCGGGCGGCAGCCGTGCACGGCATTCGACCTGGCTGGCGTAACATCGGCGATAGCCCCATCTCCTCTCGCCGTCGTGCTCCTTGGCCAGCTCTTCGTGCAGCCTGAAGCTCAAAGGCACGATGTTTGACGGAAACGCCCATAACGCAAGCAAGCCGCCAGCCTTTCCGCTAGCCCCACCAGCAATGCCGTCGTGGGCCGGATTCCGTTTCCACTTGGTATTGGGGTCGGCGAGAGTCGCCGGGTCGCTGATGCTGTCTTTCGTCCGACCGCCGGAGCTAGATGTGGACGCTTCGACCAAGGTGATGCGGTGGGTTTCGGGCGAGTAGGACGGGTGCCGGGTCAAGTAATAGGCGGCGCTGCAGCCGATGATGCCGCCGCCAATGATGGTAATATCTTTTTGAGAGCCCTCGGACATTGTGCTTGGACTGCAGAAGCGCTTAAGGGAATGAACAGGAGCCAGCTGCCGCATTGATGAGCTCCACGCTTTCTATTAACGACTGGTGTTCAGCGACAAACGGTTGACAGAAAACTCCTCGCTTCATCTCGACCCTTTAGCTGTGGGCGCGAAGTTTGGAGGGGCAAACAGCGGGTGAGGGGATACGTCATGAATGACATACAGTTGGTGGGGCAGGGGGGACAGCGCTCCACGCTCGTGGACGGCCGCTAATTAACCATCGTAACACAACGCTATACTGAATCCTTTAGTGTACCTAGTCCCTAGGCAAGGTTTCTAAGGACATATGTTCTTGGCACTTATGTTGATTGCAGAAGAGGGTGGAACCGTGCAGTAACCTGGATTAATGTCTGACTTTTGCTATAGATGTTGCTTCCTTCAGCTATCTCATGTTTGTACTCCAAGGAATGCGCCGAATGGTCTGAGACTTGATTCAAAGCCCAATGTACACCGCTTCTAGAGGATGCTGTGCGATAGCGATATCTTGCAGAGTCCCGCTCCGAATTGCAGCGGTTGGTGGGCACGGAAGGTTTGATAAACCTTCTCAGACTGGTGTGTAGAGTGATTGTGTATTCCAGCGCCAGGCTTAGCATAGCATGTGTTCCCCAAACCACCAGGTGCTTTATGCGACCTCTACTGTGTATGGTACTTGATACTCCACAACCCTAACGCGCCAGCAACCTAGGTTAGGGATCTGCGAACTACACGATTCCCTATGTATCTAATAGAAAACCTCGCAGAGCGCTACTATGAGTGAATAAACGCGTCACGATTCTACTTACAGCGCAATGGTGGTAGTTAGGTGCCCTTCATGTTAACTGCTGTGGGGATTCTTGTCCAGTACAACCGTAACGCCATGCCATGTCAAGGGCCGGAGAAGGAAGTAGGCCAACGCATCGGAATTGAAGCACCCGAGAACGAATAAAATAATGCCTCGATGGTATGCAATCCTCGTGAATATATGTTGATGTTGTGTGCGATGTCCTGCCTTCAGATTGGAATAGCCCTCTGAATGAGTGGTGGGGGTTTGTAATCCCTGCGCCCAAGGGCACAGCTACCAACTGGTATCAAAGTACACCATGCCCTGACTTGTCGTATAACAGCCGGATTCCCCGTTGCTTGGTACCAGGCTGTTCCTTTTCTACCCGCCTTTTTCATATCCCAGACCAAGTCCGCCTACTGCACGTCTCAAGCTGACACGATGCCCTTGGACTTCCGCAGACGCTATGAGAACTACATCGAGATCTGGGATCCTATCGTGTATGCGCTTTGGGGTGAGCGCTCCTCTGATCATCCACTGAATGCCACCCCCATGCGCACCCGATCCTCGCCCCCTACACCCCCCCCCCCCCCCCCCCCCCCCCCTGACTAGTAATAGCACTGCGTCTCACTACATTGAAAGCGATCAAACGGGATGGAATCGCTGCTCTTACCTCTTTCCCGAAGCTTCTTGCCGAAGGATTCGCCCTTTGGTACAGGACCTTGAGTACGTTTAACATGTCTGGTTCTACTTTTCTGTTGTGTGGCGCTCTACTTAATGATCAGAGCTATCATTCCGATCCAACAATCAAGGGCTTTAAATTGTTCTAGAAAGCTCAATATCTTGCGGTTGACTTTCGTACCCAATACAGATACTCACTTCGTCCGTTTTGAAAACACAACCGCACTTCCCACTCTGGTTGGCTCGGCCGAGGGCATCGTTCTAGAGTTAGGGCCAGGACTCGGAAACCAGCTTCCACGATTGAATCAGGACAAAGTGGAGCACATATATGGAATAGAGTCCAATGAGTTCTTCATCCCTGAACTGCGAGACAAGGTGGTGGAATGTGGACTTGTAGACAAGTACACAGTTCTTGCCGCCGGTGTGGAAGATACCAATGTGCTGGAGAAGAGTGGCGTTGACTATGAGACCGTCGACACCATCCTCAGTGTTCAAGTGTTGTGCTCGGTCAATGACCCAGAAGCAGTTGCCAAGGATCTTTATAAGGTTTTGAAGCCAGGAGGTAAGTTGATATTCTGGGAGCACCATCGTAGCCATGACTGGATGACAAGGTTATTCCAGAGTAAGTTGTCTATACCCAGATCTTAAAGACTGCCATTTACAGACTACACAGGCCTATGGAACCGTACATGGTCCTGCCTCATTGGAGGATGTAACATGAATCGCGACATTCTGTCGATACTTAGAGGCGCTGGGGAATGGGAGGGATTCGGCACCCTCGATGGTGATGAAGAACCTTGGAGTGTCCTCCCAAGGACATGGGGGACTCTGGTCAAGCCGATTAAGAGATTCAGTTGACCGACACGGGATATAATGTTTGCAATATAGAGGGCATGACGAATAGCTTGCTTTAAGATAAGGTCTGTTGGATCTTGGGCGTACGGAGGTGTGATGAGGAACACGCTTTGGCATTATTATTCCCATTCGCTTCTCTGAATGACTGTTGCGATACCTACTATGTCTCACCAATCCACAAAATAATCGATGCCGTCTGCTAATGCTACCGCTCCTACAGAAGCATGGTCGCTGCCATCGTACTGCTTCAAGACTACATCTCTAAGTTTGCTGCTCCCCTTGATGCTCTGGTAAAGAGCCTTGCAGTTGTCTGTCATGTTGAACGTGGCATAGAGGGCTTTCCTCGCCTGATACGCCTCCTCGGTCTCGGTGCGCCGCTTTATGGGGTATTGTTCTAAGTCTCCATACGCGAACTTGAAAGCTGGTTTTGTCGCATTGACAGGCAGCTGGGCTTCATCCAGCCAGCGAGTGTGGTTGAGGAGGTAACGGCCGTTCCAGAACAACGATGGGCTGGACGCCAGAAACGTGTCAAAGAGGTCTGGACGCCGCAGCAGAGCATATATGACGAACATGCCGCCAAACGAGTGCCCATACAGCGCATCACGAGTGAATGAAGAATTCGGGAATTGCGAGTGCACGAATGGGCGCAGCGTGCCGTCGATGAAGGCGATGAAGTCGTCGGATCCTTCGCGCACCCCAGGCACAGGTGGCGGGTCCTCACCGGGTGTGACAGGCTGGAAATCAATGCTTCGCTGTGGGCTGTATGGTGAGTCTGTAATGGGGTACCCAATACTGACGATTACACTGTCTGGCGTGGTAGGATCCACGGGAAGACGACGTCGCCAAGCTTCGGTCGCTGTCATTCCCAGCGCATTGCCATCAAGAACGTACCTGTCGCTCAATCAGCACTATATAAGCTGTACTTTAGATATCTCCGCTTACATAGAGAGTGCAGTGGCGTTGATGTCGCGCGACCCCCAGGCCAAAGGCCATGAGAGTTGGATTTGATATGTCAGGTTGGCATTGTTAGTGGCATTCCAAAGCGCAATATTCGGCAGTATCATCTGGGGGATGGCGGTCACTATTGGGCTGAAGGACCAGGTGTAGTTGGAAAGATTCGCCATGATTCCACGCTGTTTATGCGAAGCCTCGTGGAACAGCTTGAACTAAAGTTCTTTAAGTGGATAACGACAACTAAGCACAGGAAATTTGACCTCTTAAATACTTCTCTGAGCATAGCTGCTCATAGACCTGAGCTGCCGGATATGACGTTCAGGGGTACATACGACCATTGCAGCTGCGTCTTGGCACAATGGAACACATGCGTCCCATTATCTGAACCCTTGCATGGACGGTCCTGTTGTACTTGGTCGCCAATGCTTTGCCATACAATTTGGAAGAAACCTTTCTCATATAAATGCCGCCTTCGGGATCATTGATGCAGGCTCATCCAATTGTTCAAAATATTTAGAATGTTTATTGTGGGTGATGTTCAGCGACTCTACCCCGCTGCCATGTGTGCGCCTCTGTACAGGGAATTTCAACCAGTGATCGGACTAGATGCTAGATCCGGCATAGTTACACCAATGAGTACGTGCTGGATTGGCGATGAATTGGATCTGAAGTTGGTAGCCTAGAAGCGTGAAAGTTGTGTAGAAGGGAGTTGCTGAAGGCTAAACAACTCTGGCGACTACAGCATCCCCACTTCTTTGCAGTATTTAGTTTCACCCATGGCTCGGTATCACTCGTTGAAAGGCGCGACTAATGATTGGAAGTTTACTTATATCTTCAATTGCTACGAACTCTACTGTAACGTACTAGTCGGACGACTTACAAGATATAGCGGAAGTCTGGGTGACGGTCGCCTTTCTTTCCAGAATTGATCTCTCGAGCCCGCTCTTCAGTGCTCATCGTATCCCGCTTGTCGTTCAGAGTCTTCAGCGCAAGAAACATGGTGAAGTATCCCACGGCGGCTAAGATAATGGCCCCAAGAGACACCGCGTGTCCGATTGTGTATCTTCCATCTGATGCCGTAATCCTGTAAATTTGCCCAGCCATGATACCAGCACTGTTACCAATTGTCTGTTGTAAACCGATGGCCGTCGCTCGCTTGAAATATCCAGCATTGCTGTTGCTGACCCAAGTAACGTTCAATCCGACGACGCAATATATGCCAGTCGCGGTAAGGAATGTTGCGAAGTACAAAACCCCGGTTGAGACCATGGCGACACCGAGCATCAGAGAGTATCCAACGGCGGTTATAAGTGCCATTGGAATCATGAAGACCGCGCGCTGATTGAATCGATCGGACATGAACGAGATGAAGATGTACACCGCAGATGCCCAGATGTAGACAGGCACTGTAAGTAGTTGGGTTTGAACCGAGCCATATCCAAACCCCTTGATAATAACGGGAAGAAAAGTACTGAAACCGAAAGAGCAGGTATCAGCAAAAAACTGACAGATGGCGGACAGCCAGACCTTCGGGTCTTTGAACGCCAGCTTGACTTCGGCCTTGTCGAAGACCTCGGACTCTCCGACGTACACGCTTGTCTGCTCGTTACGGACACGCATGAGGGCTTTCTCATCGTCGCGTAACCACCAAGCCGATTCGAAGTTATCGGGAAGGAGGAAGACTGCCATGATTCCCACGACAATGGATATGATTCCTTCAACAAGGAAGAGCCATCTCCATCCAGCAAGGCCCCGTGTGCCATGTATACTTGTCAGCCCAAAGGCGAGTAAACCGCCAAAAGCACCTGACAGCGCAGCTGCAACGAAGAGATACGAAATCCGGCGAGCCTGTTCCTCTTTCTTGTAAAATGTACTGAGGTATAGAGTCAGGCAGGGGAAAAGACCCGACTCGAATGCCCCAAGCAAAAGACGCGTAGCGATCAACGTGGCATAGTTGGTCATGAAAGCCGAACCGATAATGACGGCACTCCAGCCTATGATGAAGAAAGGTATGAGGCGGCTGGGACGGGCTTTCTTCAGAACCAAAGAAGCCGGGATCTCGAACGAGATGTAAGTCACGTAGAAGACTGTGACCGCAACATTAAGCCGGTTTCCAGTGAGTTCTAGGTCTTCGGTCATGCCCGCAATAGCGGCATTCCCTATGAGAGTTGTAAGTGCTTGTTCGCGCAACCACAATGAGAACAATTATATGAGACTAACCTATGTTGCTTCGGTCGAGGTACGCAACCAGGAAGAACAGAACCATCATCGGAGCCAGGAAACAGTCCAGCTTCCGGAGCAACCGCTTCTCGGCTGCCGGATCCACCTGGAGGTTGGCCTCATTGACGGAAGGCGGTGATTCCACGTCGTCAGTGCTGCGAGCATCAAACAACGTCTTTTCTGTTGCCATTATGACTAACCAGCATCGGACCTATTCAAAGCCAATTGCGTTGCCCCTTGTTGTGGACGTCGCAAAATGCGCTCAGAATTCAATGATCTGAGGTGCTGGATGTTGTAGCTTATTTCCGAGCAGATTCGCGAACTATATTCATGAATCGCCAACATAGCTGTGATAAGCTCTGATGGGCGTTGAGGTGCATTTCCTATCTGCGATCTGTAGTGTAGGGGTTATTACCGATGACTCGTCGGAGAATTCATTGCCTATCATGGGCGACTGCAGTTAGCGGGGGCGATTATGGGGAACCTTATCAGCGCTTACGGGGCTGCAGTCTTGGTTTAGCAGGGGTTCTGTGAGGTAGCAAGGGTAGTGTCGGCTAAGTGGACATTCAGGTCAGTGATAAGTGAGCATCTCCAACGTAAAAGCCGACGCTGTGCTCTAGAGTTCCCACTTGTGACCTTTCCCCCAAACCTGTCGTGACCCGAGAGGATCAGATAACCAGCTCTGCTAAATTCCCGATAACCATCATGCCATTATTGCCCGCCGAAGCCTGATTTATCCACCCGTCGTGTTGCTGACCGATGATCGTCGCAATATCCCTGGCCGAAGCCGCGAAGCAAGCAATAGTATGAGCTCTTCGGGCATTAACAAGCGAACGAGGGCCAGTATTGAACCCAATGGTCTCCAAGACGAGGCTCGGGAAACCGCAATTCCCGTATCCACGGTGACTAAGAAGAAGAAGAAGAGAGGCAGGCATGCTGTCGCCTGTGCCTCGTGTCATCGCCGAAAACAACGTGTAAGCCGTGTTGGGCCGGTTTGGCCGATTTCTTCTATCAATGGGTTCTATGAATTAGTGACATTTCTTTCTCATGCTCGAACCTAGAGAGAAAACTTCAAGATCTAATTCCGCCTTTTTGTAGTGCGACGGCAGTCACCCGTGCTTCAACTGCAGGTATGTGACAAAGTAAATTTGTCAGAGATGATCAAAGGCTAAGACCGGACAACCCACAGCCGCAGAGGAGTAGGACATAGTTGCACGTATGCAAACCATACCGCCGCAGTCTCAGCCCAATTATCTCTGGATAGCCTTGGAAGACCGTCCACAGGGTCACCTAGAACCCCCGGTATCAGAAATATCGACAGCTCTGGGGAGGAGGCGCGACCGTTGCCATCACGCCGCTCCAGTGAATCTGGCAACACGCAGTCTCGAAATGGCGTCGGCGATGCACCCGAGTGCTCCGTGGGAGACTTATTCAGGAGCAGAGATGCACCCTCGTTCTTCGGGTCATCGTACTTTGGGCCCCAGGCAGCGGCGAAAATAATAGAAGCGCCGGCTCCTGAATTCTCGTCTGGCCTCCCGCACAAGTCTCTTGCGAGTTCCACGCACTCGTTCCGCGACGAAGGCGGACCTTTTTCTCAGATATGGGACCTACTAGGAATTCTGCCACGGAGGAAAGCAACCGTTGACCGACTGACAGAGTGCTTTCTTGAAGAGTTGAACTGGGCTATCGATGCGGTTGAGGCGAAGGACTTCAGGGTCAAGTACGACACTTTCTGGTCAAGGAAGTTTGGCTTTGATGATTTTGCCACGATAGACCTCAGATGGCTGGCACTTCTCTTCATAGTGCTCGCGTATGGAGTTCTTCTTGATTGTCCGGAACCCAAAAACAAGGATATGGCCCGCGAGCTGCAAGACACCTCGCTCCGCTTCTACTGGGCCGCAAGACGCGCTATAGTCATTGCGCCTACGTTCTATGGAGAGTCGGTCGACCTCGTCAGGGCCGGAGTATTGGTTACACGGTATCTCATCTACACACGCCGCATTCCTGAATCGTGGCTTACTACTAGTTTTGCGATGCGCATGGCACAAGCCCAGGGAATGCATATTGACGGCGAGCGATGGAGGCTATCGCGGCAAAAGACGGAGACCCGACGCCGCCTATGGAGTCACCTCTATACACTAGATAAGACCATCGCTCTAGCCATTGGGCGTCCTTTTGCCATCGTGGACCAGCAATGCCTCGTTAAGCTAGCGTCTAATGTCTACCTTGATGAGATGGATGAGGTGGAGGCAGAAGACGTTACAGAGCAGCCATTATCCGAGCCGACCTTAAGCCTGGGCAATCGACTTGCGCATGAGCTGGCAGTAATCATAGGGAAGATCCAAGAGCGGTGCTTTGGACTTTTCCAGGTCTCTTATGACACTGTCCTTGCTCTAGATGCAGAAGTCATCACGTGGAAAGAAAGGCTGCCTCCGTACTTCAGGCTCGAGAATCCAGACATCTCCAAGGACAACACCTTGATGTGGCTACCCTGGAACAGGCTTCGACTTCATAGCATGTTTCATTTTGCCAGGGTTACCCTCCACCGTCCGTTTCTTTTACGGCAATCCATTACCAACCGTTATCGCATCAGCAACGATGTCTGTATCGCATCGGCGTGTGCCGACCTTGACATGCGTCTGAAGTATTTCGCACAACCTCTAGCAGATAGGATGAAGTGGACCCTCGGCCCTCATCATATGTTTAACAGCGCTCTAGTCCTAGGGATTATTGTCGTCCGCGATCCAAATTCCCGCCGTTCTCAGGCCATTTTAGAGGATCTGGCCGCCTATTGCGAGATGCAGCGGAACGACATTTGGCTCAATGAGTTTGCACTGGCTGAAGTCAAGATCTGTGAGCTGTGTATCAAGAAAGCACGGCAGACAGCAAACAAAGGCCCTCGTCAACAAGTCCCGAGTACAAACTCTACACCAGCCATGATGCCGTCCCCAGCTCAATCTTCGCCAACAGACCATTTACCACAGCCGACTGTCACGGCGGAACCGGCGGCAATGAGTGACCAGCTCCACGATCCGTTCTTTGGGAACCCGATAGGGGGAGCTCTAGGATCTATACCGCTAGGAGGCCCAATGATGTGGGACGAACAGTCATACGCCTTCCCCGAGACAGCCAATTTGTCGCAATGGGAACATGTATTGGATTCAATCATGCAGGATCACCAGATTCTAGACTGAAATATCAATTTTAACATCGAACAAGTCTTGACCCTTGAGCATACAAAATTGTTGCAACTTGAACGCGAATTGCATAGTCTGGTCGTGCGGCTTAATATATCTACTTCAATTACACATTGGGATATTAAAGGAATATGATGTAGGGTATCCATGTATAAATGGAATCTAAAAAATTCTTGACCACACTGCATGCATCACACATCCCCGTTCTTGGTCGGGCCAGGAGTCTGCTCATACTCAACGCTGTTGACCAAGCTGCCTAACCCATGGCTCATGACAATTCTGATATCGTCACCTGGCTTCAGGTACACAGGCGGCGTCTTGCTGACACCAATGCCGTGGGGGGTACCCGTCATGATCACAGTGCCGGCCTCCAACGTCGTCCCCTGGGATAGGTACGCGATGATCTCGGCGACACTAAAGATCATGTCATCCGCCCGACCCTCCTGCATGACTTCCCCGTTGAGTAAGGTCTTTAGCTCAATCACACTTGGGTCTGGAATCCGGCTGGGCGACACGAGGCACGGTCCTAACGGGGCAAAGCCGTCGAATCCCTTGCCGAATCCCCACTGCGCCCCATTGAACTGATGTTTCCGCGCGGTAACGTCATTGGAGCACGTGTAGCCCAACACGTAGTCTAACGCTTTTTCAACGGGCACATTGCGTGCAGGTTTCGCGATCACGACAGCCATCTCGGCTTCGTAGTCAGCCTGGCCGTCTGTCGCCTGATGGGGGATAATGACGGGCGCATTCGATGCATTCAGGCAGGTCGACGGCTTGAAGAACAGCGTTGGGTGATCCGGTAAGGCCAGGTTCATCTCCCGAGCATGGTTGCGGTAGTTCAGTCCGATGCATCTTATGGTGCCCACCTCGCTGCTTGATAAAGGAGGCAGGAGCCGTGCGACAGTCCGGGTGTTGGACGTTGCTTCAGCCGACAGATCAAGGGCCGACCTCGCAGAATAGACCCTGACGGATACTGTTTTTGATGAAGCCAGAGCAGCTCCGACTATGGGGATATCAGTTCAAGTTCTTGAAGTCATCATTATGAGGTCTCACTGTCGAGGCCACCGTCCACCGGTTCTCCGATATATTCATGATTGTCTTCAAGGGCAATGAAGCGTACCAGTCTGTCCCATTGCTATTGATGGTGAGCCAGGAATCTGATTGGGTGACACTAGTAACGTACTGTTGATACCATGGTCACACTTCTTTATCGTCCCACACGATATGTATGCTGAGTAGGTGACGCCTGGGCGGTTGATTCTCTCTGCATCTATCAAAGTTTACGGGACTTGCCATAATGGTCCTTACGAAGGTTCTTCTAATAATAATTCTTGGAGATATGTATGGCGATAGGAGCCGATTGCAGGCATCGTAGCACATCACCCGAAGAAAGGTCGGAGTTGAATTGTCCGATCAGATCGGCTTTTGGATCCATTGAATCTTGGCGCCCCAACGAGTGCCATTCCCGGCTTACAGCCCCAACTCCACTCGGAGGGGGCCCGAATGTCACTTATTTTCAGTGACCCCGGGAATCATCAACGAACACTCTTCGCCAACTTGTCCTAAGGCGATTCCCACCTGGCATTCAAGTTAATAATAATAATAATAATCATTGGAATATACTCTCATCAGCGATAACATTACTGGTTGTCTAGTAGACGTATTCTACACTCACATGGGATTCATGTACTTATTCGACATCGTCCTCGCATCGTCATTTACATCCACTTAGCATGCAACTTATTATACACACCTAGTAGGAAATAACAACCTAAACTCAACCGAGTCAGTCAGAACAGCGCGTTGCTCCGGGAATGGGTTCGGTGGTAAAAACCAGTGCGCGTCGTCGCATTGGAACGCCGAGTGTTGCCTCGGTGTTTGCTCTGAAGAATCGTTCGACTCTGGGCCGAGCTGCCAAGTTATGGGGAGGCAATGCCTGTCAGCCCAGTAGTGCTTGCACAATGTTGAACTGGTTTTCTCACGAGATTGCGGCACCGCACCAGTGTCAGCAAATTTTCATCAAGAGTCATTGAAGATCAGGCGGCCTACATCCCGCGCGGGTTTTGGTTACTAATTGGTTGGCGTGGGTGTGCCCCTGTTCGGCAAGTTAAGAGGCGCCAGTCGACAAGTCGGACAGCGGCCCAGCCCTGCCAGCCATCCCGCGGATAGCAGCTGGGCAGCCCACAATGATTGTCGTCATCCCTGCAGGGCGGCTACTTGGCATTGCTTGTTCCTTTCGCCGCATCGCTGCTGGCATCGACGTCGCGAGTTCAGGATCTGATGATTTGTATTCGACGAACTTATCTTTCGCGGGGCGGACTTTCGCAAAGGCAAGGCCCCGATGTGCCCCTGCTTAGACCGCACGTACCTGACTCCAATCTGCTCCTCACTCAGTCTCTCCATAAACTCCAGAAACCCCAGGTCCAAAAGCCCGGAGACTTAGAGTGGGCCGGCATCACCGGACCGATTGCACATCAAGAGCAGTCTAGCGTTGAATTGGTGGCCACGAACAGTCTGTTTTCTGTCTATGATATCATCATCGGCACCCTGCGTTGCAGGCGTGCATTTGTCGGTCAGCATTAAGCGTAAACCAAAGTTTTCTTCTCCCTGGGTGGTGTGCTCGCTCCCCCGGATTTCGAGCCCAGCAGGGTGGCCATGATAGTTTTTCAATCCGAAAGCCGTGAAGATTGAACGCGGTATTTCTCAACTTACCCTAGGCGGCCACGCTGTGTTGGTACTATTAGAAGACGTACTGACGGAGATTCCGGTTCTGCTTAAAATTGGAAGGACGGCCCTATGGTTTTCCGTTACGTATCTCGCTCCGAATCCGAGTCCCAAGTTGCGCCTCAACCCGCAATGCAACCTAGCAGAAATATTGCAGTTTCCAGATCCCCACTGCCCATGGGCAAAGAGACTCAATACCCACACGCGACTCCGGGGAGTAAGGTGAAAAGCGGGTACCTGGCTGCGTCATAGCGGATACCTCTGCGCGCTCCTCGTGCGTTTCGGTGTCGACATCTCGGCTCCAGGACATGCAATTCGATATGCACTCGAAAGTCCGAGCGATAGATACGCCTGGTGATGTGACGAGAGATAGTTACGAATACCCGTCGCGCCTCAGTTGCGCACTCTCTAACCGCATTGGCTGGATTGGTGCTGCCAAGTATCGACATAGGGACTAGACTTGCTTGGTACTTGGTATTGATTGTGATGTTAGTCCTGGAATTGCTCTCGCCTGCAGGCTACGACCCCAGAGCCCGGGACAGTCTGAGGAAGATACCTTTTCACCTATGCGCGTATCATTACATCACTCTGCCTTTGCTCTCGCTTCCCTGCTTTCTACTGCGCACGAGTACGTGATCCTCCACACCATCCAGCCATCAATCGGCCCATCGCCCTTTCTCCGTGCCCCTACTCGCGTGGAATAGCGCGGATCTAACATGATCGCCCACTGGCCTCCGCAAACCTTCTCCATACATTATCACAGTAGGGTTCTCGAGCTCCACTTGCCACTCCTGCCGATACATATCATGAGGGCAGCCCACATGAAATTGTAGCCGCTTCCTCAATAACTCATTCCCTTACAGCACTGCATATCTCGGCGACCGGACCTACCCCCGTCCTCCTATTATATCTCTTTGGGGTATCTCGGGCTAGTCATTCTGCTCTATTGCAGTGATTGTATGCTCCGAGCATCATGAATGAAAAGCCGCCATTGTCCGAGACCGAAGGGTCCTCCAACGGAGGTCAAGAAAACCACCCGCTTGGTTTGAAGCCCGCCAACGAAACTGTCGAGGCGCGTAAAGAGAGGAAAGCAGAAGACGCCGCTGCTAGCGGCAAGCGCGAGATTCGCGAAGAGGAATGTGAGGACCAGCTCGGATTCGCGTTCCCAGAAACCTACAAGTGGTGGATTCTCACCGTCATCTTCTTGGTGCAAACCTCCATGAACTTCAATACATCGCTGTATTCGAATGGCCTGGGCGGGATCTCAGAGCACTTTGGTGTGAGTGAACAAGCGGCGCGTGCCGGTGCCGCCATCTTCCTGATCACATACGCCTTCGGATGCGAATTGTGGGCGCCATGGTCTGAGGAGTTTGGGCGAAAGCCGGTTCTCCAGGCATCTCTGTTCCTCGTCAATATCTGGTGTATACCGGTAGCACTAGCCCCCAACTTCGCAACTATTCTCGTCGGGCGTGCCCTTGGTGGTCTTTCCTCGGCCGGTGGTAGCGTGACTCTGGGTATGATCGCAGATATGTTCGACTCGGACCACCAGCAGTATGCTGTCGCATATATCGTCTTCTCCTCGGTCGGAGGATCCATCCTGGGCCCCATTATTGGCGGATTCGTGGAGCAGTATCTTGACTGGAGGTGGACTATCTGGATCCAGCTTATCTTTGGCGGCTTCGTCCAGATTCTCCATCTTCTGACTGTCCCCGAGACCAGAACCACGATCATGCTGGACAACATTGCCAAAAAGCGCAGGAAGACAGGAGTCGACCCTAACGTGTATGGGCCCAACGAGATCGAATCATTCTGGCACCGCTTCACTCTGAAGGAATTGATGTACACCTGGCTTCGACCGTTCCGCATGTTCTTGACAGAGCCCATCGTCCTTACTCTCTCTCTACTCTCTGGTTTTGCCGATGCCTTGATCTTCATGCAGATCCAGTCATTCGCTCTGGTTTATAAGCAGTGGGGCTTCAATGCTTACCAGATCGGACTGGCCTTCATTCCTATCGGCATTGGCTATGTTATTGCTTGGTTATCGTTCATTCCAGCTATCAGGAGAAACATCAGGGCCCGCGAGAAGGAACCGGAAAATGAGCATGCGCAGTACGAAGACCGTTTATACTGGCTCCTCTACCTAGCTCCATGTCTGCCTATTGGGCTTATAATTTTCGCCTGGACGAGCACTGGACCTCCACTACACTGGATCGGCACCATGTTTGGGTCTGCTATCATTGGCATTGCCAACTATGGTAATACAATCCCCCTCCCTTTCTCCCACATCCCCGAATTATTCTGTATATACTAACGTACATAAAGCAATTTATATGGCTACAATCGATTATATGATCTGCGCTTACGGACCGTACTCGGCAAGTGCGACTGGAGGCAACGGCTGGTCGAGAGATTTCTTGGCTGGCGTGCTCACGGTGCCGGCCACACCCTTCTATTCGAACATTGGCGCAGAGAAGGGCATGAACCTTCCATATGCGTCAACCATACTTTTCTGTATCTCTTTCCTCCTGGTTACTGCAGTATACGTCATTTACTGGAAGGGTCCCGTCCTCCGTAAGAGATCGCCGTTCGCCCAGACCCTGGCCTCACACGCCGAGGAGTATCAAGGACGTCGACTCAGTTTGGTACATCAGCATTCAAATGTGAGCAGACCAGGTCCTGGCTCTCGACGGACCTCTCACGCAGCAAGCCAGCGTGCGGCTGAGAGGGGCTATAGCCGCCAGGCGAGCCGCAACACCAGCCGGGCCAACAGTATCGACAACCCGACCTCTGTTCCGACTACCCCCGCCGTAAATACACCAACTGCAGCAACTCCAACCGGAGTGCCACAGCGTCCGGGGATGGGAGGCGACAACTTCGGGCCAGGATCGAGGCGTAGCTCCTACTATGCGAGTCGCAACGCCGCCAGTCGTAACGCTAGTCGTGCCAACAGCCGCAACAACAGCAGAGCCAACAGCCGGAGGAACAGTCTGGAGGAGCCTGAGACAACAGGGGGCCCGGCAGCGCAGCCTCTCGGAGACCGGCTTGCACACCTTTCGACCATTCCATCAGTCCAGCAGGGCTAAGGAACTGCGGCGTGGCCTGGTGCGCAGCTGTAAAGACACAATTGGTAGATTTTACAGAGATATCATGGGTAATGCATTGCTTTGAAACTTAGTGCATTGGTTGGAGTTCATTGCAGATACCAGAGGCTTTTGGCAGTGTCTTCGAAACAGTTGAAAGTTCGACTGACTTCTGTGTCCAACCTAGAGCAAAATGTTCAAATACAGTAATATACTGAAGATACCCCGTACCACTATCGTAGTTACCATGCCGGACCCTTAAACAGAATGTCTCGCCAGATAAGCGTCTCCACCAAAAGAATAACTAGAACAAAAATAGAGATGTAGACAAAAACATACAACACCGGGTATTCGCTGGTGGTCACCCACCCAACTACTAATCCAGCCCTTTCCAGTTTATCTATGGGAGAGCGGACGGGATCCCGAGTTCTCTAGAAGGTATGGTCGTATGTGATAGCTGGAAGGTGTATTCATCGATATCACAGAGCCACCGCGGGGAGAATCACACATGACGAGGTGAGACTCTCCAGCATTAGATTCTCCACTTAACATCAGGCCTATAGCAATCCAAGCCTTCATCCTATACGTGGCGTGGCCACTCTACTTTGCCAAGTAATTGATACATTCATTTGACTCGGATAGGCGGACAAAGTTGCCGATTCCTCAACACCAATATCGAGAACGACACTGGTAGCTTGGACCTCGGCATCCTTACAGCTACCTACTACAACTGCAAAGCCAGTCGCTAGCAACAGGGTACCATAATCAGCGGAGTATATTGTGTAGCACTGTCGTTGATGGATAGTCCTCGTATCTATTACCTCGCCGAACCGATGTTGGTTGACAAGCCCCAACCATTGAATAGAACCCAGACATGTAAGAATTTGCTTCGAGGCTGCGACTTGTATTTCCGTACCATCTAGTAGTGTCCGCAGGGTACCATCATTGGATCAGCAGAGCTTTGCTCTGCGTTGAAGAAATTGCTCTCTCCCTTACCCAGCACGGCTCGAGCGTACACGAGAAAGGAGAGGCCTCGCCGTTTAACGCTAATTACGATTCACGAACCAACCAGCATCTCAAATCCCACTCATGAAGTACACAGAGCTCCTGGAGCAAGCCTTACGTATCAAACAGTACGTCAGAGCTGGCTTCGCTTTGCCTGGTTTGGTCTATGCATATGATCAGAAAGTATTTGCAGAACTAGAACCGCTGCTGAACAACAACATCCAGGAGATTCCGCGTTCTCGGAATCACGTACCGTTGAGTTGAATCGAATTTGCGCATTGATTACTCGCACATAAATCCTTCGCATATGTGAAAGGCATATTGGTACTGTCTTAAGCTCCGCACTCGTTCGAATTCGACTTGGTTTCATCCTATAACTTGACGAGAATGTCGCATTTGCACTGCAGAAACTAAGCCTAAGCTCTGTCTGTCATCTGACAAATTTGTGTGACTTTCTCACGTTTTACACCCTGTGGCCCTGGGTGCGTTTTGAGCATGTGCCCCAACAGCTAAAGCCACTCATTGATCAATGTCCATCATAATCTAGATGTGTTGACTGCGAGCCCATCTAGCTACGAGCTATGATTCAACCCGATCTTCGCACCGGGGGTTTCTCAGAACTGCGTACACAATCGGCCTCGCCCTAAAGCATCCTGGCGACTTGCCATGCCACACTCAAGACCCAAAACAACAGGCTTTTCAGCAGTCAATAACTAGCATCTATTATTTACGACGTGCTAACCTGGCTATTACTTACATCTTTGATGCTGATGAGCTGACTTGTGACGCCCCTGACTTCGTCGAGCTCAACATGTTATTGGAACTGGTCTTCGAGGATATCGTCACCGTGACGGTAGGTGTCCAGAGCGTGGTACTCGTCGAGGTGCTCGTAACAGTGGACTGTGCAATTGCACGAACATCCACGGGGTTTGTTGCGCCTGCGGCGGCCGTGGGGCTTGGAAAGAGCGCCGTGGCGGCGGCTGGAGAGATCCGGCCGGAGATGGCTGTTTCGATCGGCAAGGCAGTAGCCGGCGTGAGAACCTCTGGCTTCGCTGCAATCTGGGCCTTCGAGCCTTCGATGGCTGGTTCCGAGGCGGCTGCTGCGAGCGAGAGCGCGGCGAGTATCCAGGTCATGCTCATGAGCAGCGTCTTTGCCGTCACACGATCCATCAGTGAGTGACTGAAGTTCGAAGCGATCTGTTAGTATCAAGTAAGTGACGATCACCTGGTTTGAGAGCCACTCGTGTGCAATCATCCATCGAACTTGACTACACAGGGACAATGAAAATAACAGATCCTCATCTGCAAGGTGCCCAGAAGGCGATATATGAATCATTTCCCGCCTTGATATTGTTTTCAAGGGGCCAGGGCTCTGATGAGTGCAGCCCGTCCAACCGTTCCCGTGCTGTGTATTATGCCACCACAATACCCGGTAGATGAACTTATGCAACGATTGGCTCGAGCAAACAAGCCGAGGCACCGCAAAACAAGGAAGTAAATGAGTTTTGAAACAGTGTAGTACGCGTTTTGTTCGCAGGGAAGAGAGCCGTCGCACACGAAAAGGACGTAATCAAATGCTGGGGTATCGGTGTGTTCATTCCTGGTGCTACCTATCCACATATTGCGGTGCCCACAATCCTGCCAGTGAGCTCGCTGAGGCCTTCGCTTATAACCTAAAATACCAGGGCCGCACCCACTGCCATCATCATGCCGGCCGTGATAAAACTGCGAAGACCCTCTAGTGAGCCGTACGTGGCCACACCCGCGTTCTTGGTATTCGTCGGCGACGAGGCGCTGCTGGTGCTCGAGCTGGTGCCGCTAGTGGAGCTGGAGTTGCTTGAGCTGCCCGCCGAGGAGGCCAGAGCACTCAAGGTATCGTCTGAGGTGAACGAGCCGGTGACACCGGACGTATTGGTGCAGGTGCTCGGAATGTTGGAGTTTGCACCAGAAACAAACTTGACAGCCGCGCACTAAGCAAGTTAGCAAGGGGCCTCAGAGTTGCTATCTAACGATTTGGATATGCGCTTACCTGGTACAGCAAACCATCTGGGCCATTGGCGACAACGCTCAGCACGGCAGTCTGACCAACGTAGCTCTCTGGGACGGTGACAGCAGGCACACAGAACGTGTTCAGTCCACTCTGCTGAACGATGGGGTAGATCTCGGTCCAGTTGCCGCCCGCGCTCTGGTCGGTGGTGATGCGGTACAGGTAATTCGTCTGAGGGTGGGAAGACTGCGTGGATATGGCGTCTCCACCCACGGCAAAGTTGGTGATGGTGTTGGTTGAGAAATCTGGAGTGTAGCCGCCACAAGGAGCATTCGGCTCGTCGTCATCCTTAAAGACGCCAACGGGCGCGGGAGACTTGAGAAGGAAATGAGCTTGACACGAGCCAAGGAGCAGCAGAGCTGCGGAAACGGAGCTGAGGAGAGACATCGCAGGTTCCGATTAGATGTGGTGTTGTGGGGAGACCGTGTTCAGCTTCGAGTTTTAATGTTCTTGGTTTATATGCGTTCCCAGCGGTCTTCACAGAAGGGGAAAGAAAAAGAAAAAGGTTTAGATACCAGGGTGGAAATGAGACATGCAGTTGCTGGGAAGGACCAGAGCTATGTATAAAGCCCGGGCAACGCGGGAGTAGAAGCATTTCGAGAAGGAAGCTGTTGGAGCTCCCGACCCCAGTTCCAGGTTCGGCATGGAAGGCCGAGCAGCCAGGCCTCTCTCCCGCTTAGTTGCTTCGCTAGTGGAAACATGAGCAAGATTCTGGCCGGGATGTCTCGATGGATCCAACGGTCTCGGGCTACCTGGCACTATGTACTATGTAAGAGAGCTGCAGGCGCATCGCTGGTGCTGCTGGGACGTGTGCACCTTTGTAGATCCGATCCGGGCGGCACTACCTAGGTACGGGATGAGACCGAGGCGTTACTGGCATCAAACATTCTCAACACTCGTCAACCCCTCGTAGGGGCTTGGGTTGTGCAACAGCAACAGCAACAGCAACAACGTCATGAGGCTTGAAACGCCGTTACCCAAGCCGGCCTGGCAATTGACTTTTCCTGATGGGTCTTCCATTCAAAGATCCCCTGCACCCGTACCTAGGTAGGCACTTAAGCATTCGCGCCAAGGCGGGAGTTCAGATGGACCTCCCACAAGTGAGGCCTACCAGACTCCCCTCTTCTTAGTAGAGTGTATCGCAACGCCGCAGGAGCACCCCAAACAAGAACGAGAATCTCAAGTCGATAACCATGTTCTGGCTCCCAGAAGCTGTGCTATCGTGAGAGAGAGACAGTCACCAGCGGATTGACCACATGCAGCGCAGCGCAGACTTTCACGCATGATGGTGGGATCCATGGTTCCCGAGGACCTGGAGGGGTGCGGGGATTTAGTGACAGGGGCTCAGATCCCCCGCCAGCCAGTGAGGCAGGCGAGGGTGTTTTAAGGTCTGCAGGGACCGTGTTAGCGTCGGAGCTGGGTAGCCCAGCAGTACCGGGTGACAGTTGAGCCGGCTGGGGTTTGCCCGCGGGAGCCAATGGGACCTATTCACCAGCAGCTAGCCTCATAAACTCAGCCGCTGATTCGCTATCTGGTCCGACGCAATTAGCTCATGATACCTAGAGGGTACTTCGCACTCTGCCTGTGCTGTATCTGGGAATACTTAGGTAGGGTCTAGCCTACACTTTAGAAGCTGCTTTAGTTTGCTCGTCACCAGCCGCAGGAGGCAGTTTGAGCAAGTTATGGCAGCTCGCGGGCTGCTGAGAGTCTAGACGTCGAGTTCCCGGCAGGAAATCGCAACTCATGCCCGGTTTGGTGCAGGAGGTCAGCAAGATCCGATAGTCCTACACCAAAGGGCCCGTACGCAGATAGGTGCGGTCTACGCTGTAGAAAGCCAACATTGGGTCGAGGGCAACTCACAGCTATCCTCATAGCGCTGCGCCGTGGGTATTGTTGTCTTGGCTATTCGACCTATTGCAGCTGTCTACTGGGACTATCACACTCGTCTCGGCCCCGGTAGCGGGCTTACAATATATGAACCGACTCGAACCAGCTTCACACCTTGTTTCTCCGCTTGGCACGCGGCCCGGACTGAGCAGGTTTTGCCCGTCATCCCACATTGCATCGCCGCCGCTTGTGCCGACCCGTCCATTCATCACCTGGGCAGTACGTCTACAGTTCTCTGCCCTGCGTGGGTGGCTGCGCGTCTCTGCCCGCCGTAGCCGTAGCCTGGGACTGGTACTTTGTCGCGCACATTCTCCATCGATCGCATATCTGTGACCTGTTCCAGACAAAGCCTTCAGAGTCACCGTTCGCTGTTCGGGTCCTCGAGGCATTCTAGACTCTTGAGCGGCAACTTCGCACCATCTTACTCGTGCCCTTTCTGCGACACTGCATGAGCTTTGCAGACGTCGGGTTCGAACCAGTTGCGCCTTGCACGCTACTTCTCTGATTTGGTGGAATCAATCCCGGTTCTCAATACACGCTTGCGCACTACCGCTGCTCTGTCTTTGTGCTCCTGACTGGCTGGGCCACGATTCTTTATCCTTAGTAAACCACCGTGAGGATACATACATCGCCGACAGCAGGCAATTCAGTTCGGCATTGAGCTGTCTCAATTAGATCTTTGGATTACTCCCCTCTGCGATATCCCTCGGCAGTTGCAGGGGTTTATAATACTCTCTCGTTGGTTCCGCGGCCTCGAGTCGCAAAGCCGTCAGGATGGACATGGGCGACATGGAAGGCATGATGGAACTGGGGATGACTGGTATGAGTTCCGGTGGAATGTTCCAACCCGACAACATGGCGTTGGCCCGGGCATACTGGTACCTCATCGCAGGAGTGCTGGCACTACTGTTCATGGTTCGCATGTTGAACCACAGTCAGAACTGGGCTAGGTACACAACTTATCCCATCTTTCCATCATCTAACCGCACTACTGACTTTCCCCAGGTTACGATCTTCTCGAACGAGCTCGGTACAATTTCCCACGAAACCGACAAATGGGCTTTGGCAGATATGGGCCACACTAACCGCTGTTGGGCGGGAAATCAGCTACCCTCAGTTATACGTCCCATCGACATGGTTCTCGTGGATGACACCACCCCCAATGGGAAGGGTCATATGTCTGTTTATCTACTGGGCAGTCATTATATACATGATGACAGCGGGTGCTATCATTAAGGATGCATACTTTTGGGAGCGCATTGGATTTCGCAATGCCTGGGTGACTGTCACACAGGTACCCTTTCTATACCTCCTGTCCTCGAAAACGAGCCTCATCGGCTTGATTGCTGGCACAAGCTACGAGCGACTGAACTGGCTACACCGATGGGTTGCACGGACTATGTTTGTCACAGCAACAATACATGGGTTCCACTTCTGGACCGAATGGGTTCGCGCCGACTTTCTCGAGTTGGAATTGCAGATGATGGCGATGTCAAGTGGGGATTAGGTGGATGGGCCATTCTACTCTGGATGGTGGTCACGTCGTTTAAGCCACTCCGATCCGTTGCATACGAGGTCTTTGTGGCCCAGCATATCATTGCCGCAGTCATCTTCCTGTGGGTTGTCTATGTCCACGTCCCCGAGGATGCACGCTACAACATTTGGTTCGCCATAGCAGCGTTATGCTTTGACCGAGTCTTCCGCCTTGGACTATTATTGTGGCAGAATTTGAAGTTCAACCCGAATCCTTCCAAGTGCAAGGGCGGCCAGAAATTTGGTCATCAGACTCAAGTCAGTGCCGTGGGAGACTCCATCACGATACTAACGATCAAAGATGTTCACTTCAAGTGGCGAGCCGGACAGCACTTATACCTGTGGTTACCACGAGTGGGGCTTTTGGAGGCACATCCTTACACCATCGCATGCCCGCACCAGATGCCGGCCACCTGCATTTGCAACAGTATCCAGCTCGTCGTCCGTTCACATTCTGGATTCTCGAAACGCCTTCACTCGTTTGCGAAAAAGTTGGAGTCGTCAGAGCAAAAACGAACGATCACTGCCTTCGTGGCTGGGCCCTACGGTCGCCCTCCGCGCTGGGATATCTTCGAGACCTTGGTACTTATATCGGCCTCTACAGGTGCCTCGTTTACTCTACCGATCTTGGAGAGTGTCCTCCAGTCAAAGGGCCCGATCTGTACGAAGAGAATAGATTTCCTTCTTGCCGCCCGACAAGGCGAAGAGATCGGCTTTTATCTCGATCGCTTACATGATGCTTTATCAAAAGCTCACGAGAGAGGCATCGATTTATCTGTTTCGATAGCAGTAACGGGCAACGGCCAGCTCGAAACCATTTCGGGATCCTTGTCATCGCGTTCAGGTTCTAGGGGCAGCCAGGAGAAGAAGGATAGAATTACTGAACGAACAGAGCCATCAGAGAAGGTGGCAAGTGGAGGATGCTGCTCGGCTAACGTTGAGGCGGGAGATCCATCTTTGAGCTTGCCCAGAAAGCGACTCTCAAATACGAGCATAGACTCTCACATTCACCACTCCTCCTCCCGGCCGAATGTAGCCGACTTTGTTCGCACGGCAGTGGAGGCAACGGGTGGTGAAACAGGTGTTGTGGTCTGCGGTGGGGTTTCTCTCGTCGCGAAAGTTCGAACCAGCGTGGCAAAACTCAGCGATGAACGTGCTGTACACAAGGGTACCGGGGCGCAGGGCATCCACCTTCATGTGGAAGAGTACTGCTTCTAACAGGATCGCGAATCATGACGTAATGAAGCTTAGCCGCGAAGTATCCGATTGGAGAACTGCGGAATAATCAGTATACCCACGATTGCGAGATATGGCAGACATCTTTGGAGACACAAAACTTTTAAGAATTCACAATGTCATCACTCCGTTGAGATTTGAGTGCCAATGTCAACTACTCATGTGGAGACTCTGGGCTTCAACGTGGAATCCTACCCAGTGCCAATATCTGCTGTAACTTCACCACCAGATTCTGCAGGTGAATCAACATTGAAACACGTGAAAGCCCATACAGGCTTATTAGGCGGCTTGCTGGAAAGAGGTCACCAGCTTGAAAGGTCTGCCAACTTTCAAGGTGTACCATCTTGGGAGGTCTGGTGGACTCCCTCTGAAGAGGAGGCCCGGATGACGCCTATGGTGACCTCACCACCGTTACGTGGTCGTCCAGTCAACTGCATCATCTCCTGGTCAAGGAACTCCATTATCATGTACCTGCGAGCTGGGCTAATAAAGCCATAGCAGAGAGCTATAGTCGCTACTGGAGAAGAACAGTCGATAAATCATCGAACAAAGAGAACCACATCTGAGACTATTCGTTGAGTATAACTCTATGCACGAAGCACACTGGCCAGCAACCATCTCTGATTGGCGTGAAATTTACTTATAATAGTTCCTTCTAATTTTCCGGTTTGCGTATGCGTTGTTGAAGACCATGAAAATTTCCAATACCAGGCAACATTATTCTTCTCGTGGGGCCACCCTTTACCGCAAATATATGGACAAAATCATGTTGTGGGAGTTGGCCGGTGTACGAAGCCGCTTGAATTCGTCGTATATGTCAATGAGTTGCATCTTCGTCTTGTTCGAAATGCTCCCTGGCCCATGGGCTTTTTAATCTGATGGCTTCTCCCCGGTAGAAAAGCACCCAAGGAATGGGCACAAGGAGAATGGCAATAAAGCCTAGTAGACTCGATGCCCATTCCTTGCCAAGTCTTTCATACATCTGAGTAGCGAACAGTCTACGGAGGAGTTGTCAGCCATCTTTGGAGAGCAGGACTGGGGTAATTCAGCTAGGTTTCGGAGAACACTTACGGGAACCCGCCTCCCACGAGGTTGCGAACCAAAATAACTCCAGCCAAAGCGCTAGCAGAGTATGTCTGGTATGCATCAACAACGTAATTTAAGATGCTCAGGATGATGATGTAGATGCCTGCACCGAACAGGGCCGAAGCGAGGATAGGCGCAATCCAGTGTATGCTCGGGTAACTGGTCCAAGCGAACCAGAACAGGCTAACAGGAATGAAGACGGCACCCCACCGAGCCATCCAGACTCTGGCCTCGGGGACGCCTTTCTGGTCATTATGCGCTACCCGTTTGAGATAGTACCGCTCCTGCAGTGGATAGAAGCAGAAAGCAATGCAGGGGCCAATGGCCACCCCGAGGAACGATAGTCCGACCTGACCTGTGTTGAAACCATGGCCCTGAGGGCCAAACACGATTGGGAAAGACTCGTTGAAGATGTAGACAATCCCGTACAGAAATCCGTTGTACGCTGCAGCAAAGAAGGTGATAGGCTCCGTGAAAAGAAAATGCAGCGGTCGTGTCAGCGTTATGCTGAACAGCCCTTTGAGGCCCATGCGATCATCGGCGTTCTCATCTCGCAACGTCTCACTAGTAGCCAAGCCCTCCTTGGCCATCTGTTTCCGCAGCCTACGGGCTTGACGCTGCAGGATGATGGCATGGCGCGTCTCGGGCACCGTGAGTACCAGTAGGACCCAGAAGCCACCAGTAATGGCCATCAAGATCCAGAAGATCCAGCGCCACCCGAGTTCATGATTGAGTGGAACGAAGCCACTGATGACCAGGGCCATCGGTGGCCCGAATGTGCTGCTGAGCCCATAGACAGCCATCGGGCCGCCGCTTTCGTTGCGTTTCCACAAGTCGGAGATCGTGCCGCCGGTGTTGGTGAGTGGCGCGCTACCAGCGAAGCCGCCGATGAATCGGCACACGATGAGCGTGCCAATGTTGGGCGCCAGGGCGATGGGGAGCTGGAACAGAAATAACAGGAACCAGCTGGCCACATAGACCGGCTGCCGCCCGTACCGCTCCGAGAGGGGCGCCAACATGACGGGACCCACGGCATACCCAAGCACGTACATGGACAGCAGCAGCACCGTCACCTCCGATGAGACGTGAAACTCGGCCGCGATATCGTCCCCGCCCGAAGATACCGCTCCAGCGCACCATGTAGTGAGAACGTTCAAGAAAGAGACAAAGGAGGAAAGATACCATTTCTTCCACCTGGGCCAGTTGCGGGGATTGGCCGGGTCGTCCGGGGAAAAGACGACACAGATGGGCAGAGCATTCTTCGGTTGCTTTCGAGCATGCTCGAGGGCTTGGGATCTACTGAGATACAATTTCTCTTGATCTTTTCCCCTCTCCGGGTCGCCGACCTTTTCTGCCCTTTCCATGGTCCTGTTGACGTTGCCAAGAGCTGTGATGGCCGAGTTGGGATCCTCCAACTGCTGGCTCTGAAGCTCATCTTCACCCATAATCGTTCATCGGGTCCAAGACAAGTTTAAGTATTGAACCCTTTGATAGACTAAACGTGGAGTTCACAAGAACGCCGACATGATAATCCTGCTCAAGGCGCCGTGGTGCCAATAGTTCGGCTACATCGGCGAAGCGATGGCTTAACCACCGGTTTGGTTCGCCCCCCTTAGCATCAGTAAGTCGAAGTGTGTAAGGACGGGCGTAGTCGAATCTCGCGGTTTATTGGATAATTGGCTATGACATCACGCCAGCCAAATCTCCGGACTCGCGCTACACCTGAGTGCTAAGGTTTCGGGGATCAACGATCTAGGAGGGGTGGGCAATTCGAGCTAATTGATCCATGACAACACTATCTCGGGATTTCTAGAGTGCGTTGCCCGCGGTATTTGAGCGACGGTTTTAAATATGGTGAGCATTGTCACATTGTCACAGTGTTCTGTGTTCGGCTATGGTGACGTGACCGCACCGCCTGCTTCGATAGCTCACATTGTATCAAGAAACAAGGGTTGTCTAAATGACATAACATCGGGGTTTAACATAGGTTGGCAATCCACCTGTCTGAGATCTTAGAAAAGTTACGTCTCGAGAAACAGTTTGATTGCCTCAAAAAGCCGGGCGTTATATCCGCTCGGTTGGTAGTTAATGGGGACCAACGTTTACTAAACATTCCGCCCTAGTCTCATGCAGTGTTAGCTCCCTTGCAACGTCACTCTATCCCCGATGTCGTATCGCGCTTCCTCCCGTCCCGACCCGTTGCCAAGAGCTTTGCGTAGCGATGCCAAGGAAAATTTGTCGATCGCACGAGACAGGACCGCAGGGAACACCGTGGTTCGACGAAAAGGAGACTGAGGCTCCTTGGGTCAGCGATAATGGCCGTAAAATATCCGGCACCACCATCCAGAGCGCTGACGGGACGTCACGGGTTTTCCCTCCAGGCAGCTGCAGGTCCAGTCGGCCCATCGATGGATAAGACAGGTCTGCTTCCGAGCTGTCAATGAAATGTAGGGGTTTGTGGATCTACAAGATCTGGAGTGATTGCTGTCCAGGTCTTGGATGAGCAGGCCCTGATGCACTCTGGTATTACAAGCTTCCAGTGACCCGCTGCTCGCCTTGACATGATATCTAGCATGAAGCCAAGAAGCTGACTGGCTTCGCTAAGCTTTCTAGGAGGCAGACGTGGGCCAGATCATCATCTACTTTCGCCACGATTTTCCTCCCACTGCGGAACCTCCCGAGTAGGCCTGTGATGTTGAAGATATCACTAGAGTGGCATCTCATGAGAATGAGAGCATCGTATGACCGCTGGACAGCTCCAGGCTACGGTTCATCACACGAACCCCCATTTGCGACCCACGGGTCTGCACCGTTTCCATTTGCCGACTCGACAACCGACAGACGCACTCCATAGAAATAAATAGCGTCGAAGCGCTCGCGAACTGCAATCGAGCCTTCAGCTGGTGCAAGTGAGTGGATCGAACCCCGGCGGTCATATACTCTCTGTCATCTTCTCCAACACTCGGTGCATAGTTAGCCCAAGCGCTCGGTGTGCTCTTTGTCAGATTAAACAATCTTGCCACATTCAGAACTTTGCCGTGGAGAAACATGAGTCTGGACCCAAGATTGAAAGCCTCATTTCTGGGCGCCGAGACAATAATTCCAGAAGGGGTGATCACGGCTTGAGATATGGAGGGGTCGAAGCTTAGGAACACAAGCATTTCGAGGATTGGTAGTAGGACGTTGCCTACCCAGACGCCTGTGGCTGTCTAAAGCTTGTAAGATGTGGCTGTCCGCAGCTTGCCCGCGTGAGCAATACCCTGGCCATGTGAAACAGTCTATTTGCGGTGCCAAGCGTATAGCTCGGCGGCTGAGCGTACCCTCGTCAATCCTTCATTCCAGGCACTGCGGCGCCAAGAACGTGGGTGGGACAGCCCGCTGCAGATTTTCGAGGCTGAAAGCTGGCCAACTAGCACGTATTTGGAGCAAGCACGAACACGCCCCAGGCATGGATGTGTATACCCATATAGCCCGAGACAAGGTGAACAGACCACTAGCTTCAGCGACTAGGCTGACAACCAGAGTATACAAACGAGGTGACAAAGCAAGCATTCCACTCCTGGCAGGCTCTAGCAAGCTTTATGCTCTAGTATACTCCCCCATGACAGTGAGTCTCGTTAGTTCTAGAACAGCGGGTCAAGACCCTATTGGCACGGGTCAGCCGCAAAATCTCCGCCAGGATGCAGCAGTCCACTTTATGAACATACGCTAATGGAAAAAACGACCCGATACGATCCGCTGTCCCACCGTTTATTAAGCGCCTGTAGCGAACATATTCGCCATTAGGTCAAGAATTTGCTTAGAAGGCAGAATACTTGAGCATATACCTTGGTACAGTAGCCGAATCGATGTATGGGAGTTGATGGCCGCGTGTGAAGTTGAGCAGGTCACTAAAAGATCGATCCACATTACTACTTCTCTGCATACGTATCGCTGAGATCGAATATCTCCCTAAATACTACCTTGGCAAACGGTTTGAAGCGGCATGCATCGAGGCCGAGGCTCGCTTCCAGACACGTGGTAATGTGCGTGCCTATGTCGCGACTAGCTCAATATTCATGTGCCAGGGCCCATGTGGTGGCTGCAGACATGGCTTGACCCAACGCACTGGGTCCAACGATACCGGTGCAACTATTACAAGCTGAGTAATATCAGGCGTCTTCGGTACGTACTAAGAACTAAGACCGACTAAGAGAGCTCTACTCGCACTTCTCGCCCGAACACCTACCTCAGTCCATAACTTGTTATTAGCTTTCGATGAATCATCTACATACCGGCACCCTTGTACGATTAGTGGATGAAGCAGGGTATACAATACTTTCTTCGGGGATTCTCCTAAACAGTGCTCTGTCCCGGCCTCTTGTACAGGGTTGCTCGGAAAGTATGCATACCAGAGCACGCGGCAGGACGGTCTATTGGAGTTTATCCACTCCTGCACTGGAAGAACAGTCATCCTTTAGACAGAAATCTCACGATGAGGTGCATGACTCCATGAGACCAACGACAAATCAGGGAAACTAGCCATCAGCTCATGATCGCTGGGAGAAACTCACGTCGACTTTTGAAGAGTCTGGACTCTGACCGGCTTGTTTTCATATTCGCTATGGTAGTACAGCGAGCTCTGGATGATTATAAATACTTGAAGAATTCCTCTCTTGCTTGATTTCCTGGATCAGTATCATCACAGGAACCTTCACTCTCTATCCATTCACTCGCAACTTTGACATTCTTTCACGATGATGACTCCAAAGCTCAGCTGGCTCACGCTGGGAAGCTGCCTGGTGGCATCCACCTTGGGGCAGACATATGTGGTAGACATTCCTGCTGAGGAGTCTGCTGCTCTTGCCACCATTGTTGAGGATATCCCGCCCCCAGTTATCAAAGCCAGGCAGATTGCTCAGAAGAGTCCCACCTACTCCCAGATCTATCAGGTTCCCCTACCAATCCCTCCAAAGAAGGAGCCAAAGAAGTGAGTTACCAGTGCGGCAGTATCCAGTGCGAAGTGCGAAATTCTACACAAAAATGTTGAGTGAAAGCCATGTATGACATCTTGTTCATTAATCTTCCCCATATTCTGGCAATGACTTGGATGTTCGTGTCAAGCCATTGCCTGATAGGCCCGAAAAAAACTAACACACCATAGAATTGTGACAAACCCCGTGACTGGCAAGGACATTTGGTATTATGAATTCGAGATCAAGCCTTTCCAGCAGCAGGTCTACCCAAACTTGTCACCAGCGAGACTTATAGGCTATGACGGCATTGCGCCAGGCCCAACTATTGTTGTTCCGAGAGGAACCGAGTCCGTTGTTCGCTTTATGAACCAAGCGGACCGTGAGAACTCGGTCCATCTCCATGGTTCTCCATCACGGGCTCCTTTTGACGGCTGGGCCGAGGACATCACCCGTCCTGGAGAATATAAGGATTACTACTATCCTAATTACCAAAGTTCAAGACTTCTGTGGTATCACGATCATGCTCTTGGTATTGTAAGCTGTCTTTGTGCTCCTCTGGACACTTCCAAACACACTCTAACATCGCCCTTTACCAGACTGCCGAGAACGCCTACTTTGGCCAAGCGGGTGCTTATCTTATCACTGACCCGGCGGAGGATGCTCTCGGTCTTCCGTCTGGCTACGGTGAATTTGATATCCCGTTGATTTTGTCTTCCAAGTTCTATAACGCCGATGGAACCTTGAAATCGACGGCAGGGGAGACTGACAGTACATGGGGCGATATCATTCACGTGAACGGCCAGCCATGGCCATTCATGGATGTCCAGCCTCGAAAGTATCGTTTTAGGCTTTTGAATGCTGCTGTATCCCGAAGCTTTTCCCTCTACCTGGCAGCTACCGGCACAACAACCAAGATCCCCTTCCAGGTGATCGCATCAGACGCTGGGTTGCTCGAAAGTCCTGCCACGGTCTCTGATTTGTATCAGTCGATGGCCGAACGCTACGAGATTGTTATCGATTTCTCAGGCTTCGCCGGAAAATCCATTGAACTCCGCAACCAGGTCAAGGTTGGCGGTATCGGCACAGACGTCGACTACACCAACACTGATAAAGTTATGAAGTTCAATGTGGGTCCTGGCCCAGTCAACGACCCATCTACTGTACCGGCTAGTCTTCGCAAGGTCCCGTTCCCGAAGTCTACCACTGAGATCGATCACCACTTCCGCTTCCACAGGAGCAACGGAGAGTACCAGATCAACGGTGTGGTCTTTGAGGACGTCCAAAACCGCGTGCTCGCCAAGGTCCCCCGTGGCACGGTTGAGATCTGGGAGCTCGAAAACAGCTCTGGCGGTTGGACCCACCCTATCCACGTCCATTTGGTTGACTTCAGAGTCTTGAAGCGAACTGGCAGCAAGCGTTCGGTTGAAACCTATGAGTCCAAGGGATTGAAGGACGTCGTCTGGTTGGCTAAAGGCGAGACTGTTCTGGTGGAAGCCCACTATGCTCCGTGGGATGGGCTATACATGTTCCATTGCCACAACCTCATTCACGAGGATCATGATATGATGGCCGCCTTCAACGTCACGGATCTGGTTGGTCTTGGCTACAACGAAGCAACTGACTATTCGGACCCAATGGATGCACGCTGGAGAGCCAAGCCATACGATAGGGCAGACTTTGTGGCCCGCACCGGCATCTTCACCGATCAGGCTATCGTCACCAAGGTCCAGCAATTGGCCCTTGAACAGCCCTATAGTGAGCTCACAGCCGTTGAACAGGCGCTTACCGACTACTACACCAAGAATGGTGCAGGGAATCCCAATAGCCCGGTGAAGATCAAGCGTGATCCTGAGTCTGCTGGCACGATTCCCCGTTTCCGCCGCTTCCAGGCCTAGGCGCGACCAGGTTTTCATCAACCAGCCAGAACTTCTATTCAACAGTATATATTTGATTGCTTTAAGCTTTTGGAGGTGCAAACAGTCTTTCTCGGCAGTCGACATCGGAACATAGAAGATAAAATCTGTCTTTATCGGCGTTCATTTCTTCTATACATATTCAACAAACTCTGTCATTACCTGGTTGGTTCGGAATTCTGCTTTCCCTTTCATTCTTAGTATATATTTGGCATCTCATAGTAAATATCAACTCTGATCGCACTGAAAAAAATGATCCACTAAGTTATGCTGTACGGTTTTCGATATCGTGCTTATATTGAATACTCAAGCTAAGATACTTCAGATTTCTGGCCCATTTTGGTCGAGGGCGTATGGATATAGATGAATGTGCTAGTTAGTAGATATTTCAAACAAGGAGATTAGTTCCTCCGTAACTATGCGGCAAATGCGTTTTGATAGGTGCCATGGATAGCTGCATTTTCTCTTTCCATTTGCCACACATCGCACCCCATAGGGATCGCATCGCCTGCTTCTGAGATACAACCAACAGCATCTTTTTCGTGCAAATTACAATACCTATAGTATTGAACACACATAGCCGAAGCATGAAAAATTGAAGAGGTAGAACAAACCGAACCCCAAATATTACGTTGAGTAAGGCGCGCAAAGGCCAAGCTACTCAGGCCAGAAACCTTCTCTGCAAAAATGAGTCCATCAACTTAGCTACCCCTTCAGGTTTCTCCAGTGGGATCCAGTGGCCACTATCAACGGTGTGTTCCTCCAAGTCCGGCAAGAAACCACCATTTTTGGCTGCTATTGAGAGCTCTGGCCTACAAATAGGATCCTGGGTGCAAGTAACGTGGCAAGTGGGCACCCGAACGACAAACCTATCCTTGTCGAGATCCTTGGTGGTATCATACTGCATGCTGGAATACATCGCTTTGTAGTAGCATAGCGGACCTTCAAAGCCGTCCCGCTGGAATCGCTCCTCAAAAGTCCGTCGGAGTGCTGGGTCTTGGGCGTAGCTGCGGAGCTCGACCTGCCAGTCTCGATCACGCAACCACTTGGTCATTGCCCCTCTCGTGCACCATATTTGCTTCATCCAGTCGCGAGGTGCACCATGCATGGCGTAGTAAAAGCGGTCTACATTTGCTCTGAGGAGTGCTGGTGCATCATCGGAGAGGAGAAACTCGTGGTATGCAAACGCAAGGTATCCGAAAGCTGCCTCAAACTGTGCATTGGCCTTCTCCAAGTTTGGCGGGCTGGCAGACGGCAGTACATAACCGAGGCTCAGCAAGATTAGTCCTTCAACCCTGTGTGGGTGATGAATGTAGAGCCTCTGCGCGATGATTGCGCCAAAATCGTGTCCGACTGATACGACTTTATTGACGTTCTCTGCATCGAGGATCTCCACTATGTCGCCGGTATGGTCGACGTAATTGTACGCAGTTGGGTCTGTGGGCTTGGAAGTGTCCGAGTACCCGAGAAGGTCGGGAATAATGAGATGGTATAGCGACAAATGCTTTACTATTCCGTCCCAGAGACGAGCATCATCGGGGAAACCATGCTGAAGCAGCAAAGTTGGCCCGGCGTTGTTGGGTTTGGAAACATAATAGGAGAAAGTAAAGCCCCGACGTGTTATGACCGACTTGTGCTCGCATAAATCCATTGGGTCTGTTCAGAGGCTTGAAATTTGGAAAGGTAAATCGGAAGAGTGAAGGTGTGTAGAGAGCCCTGTTGACCGAGGCAAATGGCCTAATTTATCAAAGACCGCCAGCGAAATTCAACTCCAAAAGTTGTTGGAAGCGATGGTGTCCATGTCGCACCAACGCCGCAAACCACGTGCCAGTGTACTTAATGTTCTGTCGTGCCCCCACCCCACCATCTTTTAATAATCACACGCCGAAATGGTATATGGTGCGACGCATGCAACACAGCCGATTTCGAATCCTCAGGTAGCTATAGCTTTGAACGAATCGGATCTTCAAGCCCCCTCAAAGGTGTAGTGGCTGATTCACTGCCGATGAGTGGCTGTGTTTTAACACCATATGGCAAGGCTATATATTCTTTAAAGTTGCTCAACTACTTGATACTGCTATAAACTTCGAGTTTGGCGCGCTATGAGACAACCAGTTCTCTGAAATGATGCCACTCTCTAGAAAAAGGCTAAAGAGTCTCAGCGTGCCAGTCTTGTTATAACAACTGCTGTAGAGCCACTAGTCAGTCTATGGCCAAGCCACAATTCCTTCGGGTTGTTGATAAATCAGCAATCTGTATAGCTCTAGCTTGTCATGTGAGGGAAAGCCTTCCAGTCATGGTTGATTTCAGCAGCCAATCACTTCCCTTCTATGAACTAGGTCGTACGGAGCTTAGTCCAGAGGTTTTGGTCCCTGGAGACCGACAGATCATTTTCCAGAAACCTAGCAACGGAGACCTTGAAAGTCCTTCAGGGGCTCATCAACATCGAAAGGTGTCAGTAGCCATGTCAAATAGCTGCATTATTCTTCCCCTAATACATCACAAATGGCAACACATAAGGATCGCGTGAATCACATTCAAATCCGTGTTGATAGAAGTTCTTGATATATTCAATTTGAACAAAGGGAAGTTTCTGCCGTCCAGGCTTGTATTACACTTTCTTTCACTCTTCTGTCCCCGCTCGCCTGCCCCGCCAAGGTTTGTCAGGTGTGTTTGCCTGATCTCCCCCAAAGGGCATCCATGTCCGGGCCTGGACTGGATATATATACATATACAAAGTTTACGAGGGGGGCTCCTCTCGCAACCTTTTGATTCGTCGGTTGAGTGCGAGTCTCTCCAAGGTTCGAGAAGTAAAGCTGTTCCACCAACTCCAGTCATGAACGCGTAACACCGAATCGCCAACCCCACCCTAGGCCGCCAGCCGATCCAAGAGAGTGGTTATGCCCCGTCAACTCCGTAAATGTCATCCGTGTCATGAAAAGCAAATGTTGCCATGCTCCTCCCTGTGCGCCCCTTATATGGAGTTGGGTGCTTGCCAAAAAGAAGAATGGTATATCTGCTCGGTATAATGGTATCAAGACAAAAAAAGGGAACCGTAGAGAAAACGCGGGCCGGGACTAGTACGTCTCATCCAGGTCGCCCAGCGTCGATGGGACTCCACTGGACCTTCGTGAGCTGGAAGTAAGGCCACCGCTCTGTCGTCTCGGCATGGGGATGGAACTAGTCGACGGGTCGGCGTCGAACTTGCTGTAAGTGCCTCGCCGAGAAGGGGTGCGGCCGCTATCTCCCTCATCCAGGTCGTCGAAGTCGACACGGCTGACACTTTGGGAGTGGCCGTGCATGCTGCCGCTCATGGAACTCCGGGGCCTAACGCCCAGAGGTGTCCTCGCTCCCCCCAGTGAAGTCCTCGAAACTGGCCGCGCGATCTCGGAGCGCGAGACTGGCCTGTCGGGTTTCACGAACTGACCAGACGAGATACTAGCTCGACTGCTGGGCCGCGAGATGGACACTGAGCTCGAATCGGGGTCGTAGTTGGCGGTTCGGTTGGGTAGCGGACCAAAGGATAGGCGTGAGATGCCCGAGGTGCTAAGTCGAGGCACGTGCTTTCCCGTTCCACCAGTCGTAGTGTTTTGGGTTGGCGTATCGTCGGTAACAGTCGACGAGGCCGTGGAGCCGACATTGCGTTTCCGACTACGGACCGTAACCGTAGAGGGGACGGAGCCGACACCAGCTAGGGTGGACCCCCTAGGGGAGGCCCTCGGCGGAGTTGATATGGGCGCAGGCAGCTTGGAGCGAGCATTCTGGACGCGAGCTTCGAGGCGCTGCATCTGAGCCGTAAGAGAGCGGATATGTGTGAGCGAGGTGGATGGGGGTATTCTGTGCGATGTAGCACGGTTGGCCGGGGTCCTCGCGGGGGCGGGCGTGCGGACTTGGGTCTGGGTTGCGGAGCGTGTTCCAGGTGGTCGCATGTTGGTGGATGAGTTGAGTGCCCTGGGCTTGGGCGTGACGCTGTTGTCTGCGGACGAGGGCAGCCTCGACCTCTTCTGCGCCGACGGGCCTGGGGTCTTGAGCTTGGAGGACGGCCTGGGAATGGATGCCGAGGCGTCGGACATGGGGGGCGAAGGCGGATCGCTCGCCGGCGGGGGGATCTTGCTGAGAGGCGGGAGGGCGACCTCGTCTGGCGGCGTCGAGATGAGGGGCGAGCTGGCGGTGGAGCGCGGTGAGTTCTCGAAGGTTGAGGTGTCGGGGATGGAGATGTCGGTAGAGATGGTGGACAGGTGGCGGTTCTCGGCCTTCTTGACCTTGTCCTGCAGGATGTCGGCCTCGATCTTGAGGTCGGAAAGCTCCTCGCGCAGGCGCTGGGCCTCGATGCGCAGCGTCTCACGCTCCTGCTCGCCGATCTTGATCTCCTCGTCCATCATGACGCTGCGCTCGATGGCCTGGTTGTATTTGGACTCCATGTCCTCGAGGGATGAGGTGGTGTTGCGGGCCTGTCGCTCAAAGTCATCGTTGGCAACCTCGATGTCGCGCAGCCTGAGCTGAAGGGTGCGGTTGGTGTCGCGGAGGGTCGTAATCTCCTTCTCCAGCGTGTTCTGGGCCGCGTTGGCCTCTGTCTTGGCCTTTTTGCATTTTTCCTGTGGGTGGCAGTCAGGGAACCCGGCTCGGTTACTGTGGAGGGTCGGGAGAATCAACATACCTTCCACTCGTCCACCTCGAACTGCAGTCCCTCGGCTCGTTCCCTCAGCGAGCGCTCACGCTTGTCGGCGGCGTCGAGGTCCTTCTCCAGCTCGGCCTCCAGCTCGTGACTCGACTCTCGGAACTCGGCCAGCTCCTCGGCCAGCTGCTCGTATTGGTTCTTGTACCAGGCCAGCGACTCCTCGGCGGTTGCGTCGCCGCGCGGCGGGGAGGAAGGTGGCTCGGCCATGATTGTTTGGCGAGGGCCTTGGTTCGCGATCGTCCTAAAGCAAGTCGGTGCGGTGCTAGTCCAGGTCTACAGCCAGGGCGGTCGCATCGGCGTTACCCAACAACCTGCCAACAACGGGCTGGGCAATAGCAGAAGAGATGTTTCAATAGCGTGGTAATGGCAAGAGAAGAATATTGCGAAAGAGCGAAGCGTGGCGAAACACAAAGACTCAGACGATCATACCCGGTGTCGGCTGTTCTGTCGTCCTTGTCGTCCCTGTTGTCCTTGTTGACCTTGTTGTTATGGCAGCTGGTTGGGCTCGGTCAGCCGTCGCAATCTCGTGGCGGGCGAGCGTCGCGGGATGGAAGCCGTACTCGTACAATAAATACCGAGGAGGTTCGAGGCGCCGCCTGCTCCTTCCGAGACAGATGACACAGCTCGAGGGCCGGTCGGGCGCGGTTGGTGCGCGGTGTTTGTCGTGGTGTCGTAGTGTCGTGGTCGCGGGGTGGGTGGTTGGTCGATGGTTTCCACCCGGATTCCGGCCGCGCTCGTGCCGGGGTTGCCGTTTGTGAGTTGCTGCAATCGTTAGTCGGGTGGTGCCGACGTCCCCGGGTGGTCGTCGCGTCGTGTCGGCCGCCCCAGTCGTGAAGGGGATGTTGTCGAGAAACTGGCCGTCGGTGATCCGTGGTCGTGGGAGAGGATTCCGTCAGGGCGTTTCCCTCCTTGCCGCCCGGGTCCTGGGTCATTGGGGACGGGTCTCTCTGTGTGTTGATTGCGGGTGGCCGCGACTCCCCTTGAGTTGGCATGGGCCTAAGCCTAGGTCGGACTAGCCGCTACCATGGGCAACCCAGCGGCCCCGGGAGCCCCAGGTGCCAGGAGTCCCCATTGCCCAGGACACATCAACGCCCAACCACCACTCCCTACCTAGGTACCTACTGTAGGTACCAAGTTACGCTCTACTGTGTACTGTGTAGTTATGCTTGGCGGGGGCCACTGTCCGCCAGCGCCACCCAGGAGACGCACGTGCAAATCCCAAGTCAAGTGTGCTTTTGTTGATTGATTGGATTGATCGATTGGGCGGGCGACTGACAGCACCCACAGGTCGCGTGTCTTTGGTGCGACGGGATGCATTCTTCTTCGTTCTTCTTCATGCTCGACGCTCCCAACTTCACTTCCAAGACACTGCCGTGGCCTGCCGTGGCCTGCATGACAATGCTGCGTCTTCCTTCTTCGAGTCTGCAAATCCGTTTGATGCGCTCTTGCAGGGGGTTCGACTCTAATGATCGCCCCAAGGTCGTCCGTCGGCTTCATCTAAAGTTCAATGCAACCCTAGGTTGACGGGCCCCTACTTAAGCCACCTAAACCTCGTCATTGGGCATGTTGCTTGAATCCCGATTTATGCTGCATTCTGGCATAAATGCGCATCGCCGACTGTCCAATATGCTCTGTACCTTGCCAGTCCTGTCTTTGCTCCTCTCCCCCGTTTACCCAGGTTCAGGTACTGAAGGCAGAGGCACACGGGCGCGACACGCCAGCGCAGACGCCCACTCTCATCAGTCTTGACAGTCAAGTTACATTCCGAATAGCGACTGTGTGATTTTTCTACCCTGGTCATGGACAGCTCTATCGCGTCTGGCGCTACTGCAGCCCTCGGCCTCTTGGACCCCCCCTCGTGTTCGTGCTGCAGAACTTAAACCCATCACCAAGGCGGCTTCTAGCTGCATTGGATGGATGGGCTGCAAGCTGCATTCCTTTCTCTGCACACCCCCGGAACGTACGGAGTAGGTAGAGGCCTTCAGCCGACTCATGGGGCCCTGCGCTCTGGAGTCTACAGACGAGAATGTGCACGTTTCAGCCAGTCTCCATACCAATCTTGGCCGCAAATGACCTCGATTGTCAAGCATGCCCAGCATGAATGCCCGCCGGCCTGTCATCGCTGTGCAAGACCAACTCTGGCTCGCTAGCACCAATGCAGCCTCACATCTCTGGGGCTTCTACTCTGAGATGAGGAAGTGGAGGCAAAGAGCACAACGGCCCTGATTCTTGCTGTGAAATCTTTTCGTTGAGTTTTTGCTCACTTATATTATTACACTAATCCACCTGTGCGCCGGAGCTCGTGCTCGCCGAAGCCCTCGACCTGCACCAGCTCACCGTCTGGATAGACCAGCTGCGCTTGGATATGGTCGTCTTGCGTGGCATGAACATGCACAGGGTCGAGGACGCGTCCTTGATCCCATCGAAATGAGACGACCCAACCACCGCGGACGCACACGCCGGACAACTCTCCTCTAGACCACTCTTTCGGGCATGCTGGTAGGAGCCTTATCGTGATGCCGTGAACCCCATGGAGCGAGATCTCCCCAGCCTCGGAGGACTGCACCAGACATTCCAGCACGCCAACGCAGGCACCGAAATTGCCATCGATCTGGAACGGCGGGTGATTGTCCAAGAGGTTCGGCAAGGTTGAGCTGCTCAACAGCAATTCCATGTGGCGCCCGCAGCCCTCAGCATCACCCAGCCGCGCATGCATGTTGAGCAGCCATGCCCGACTCCATCCCGTATGGCCCCCTCCGTGTGCTGCACGCCGCTCCAGGACCCTTCTCGCAGCTTCTGCCAGCTGGGGCGACTCGGTTGGGTTGATCATGGTGCCCGGGTATAGTCCGAAGAGGTGAGAGATATGTCGATGTCCAGGCTCGTGCTCCTTGTAGTCCTTCATGCCCCATTCCTGGATCAAGCCCTCCTTGTTGATCTGAAGAGGTGGCATCCTCGCCATCATATCTTGCGCTTGCTTCTCGAGTGACCCGCGGCACCCAAGCATGCGATGGCTCCAAACGTACAGCTCAAGCGCTGACTTGATGATGGTCATATCCATTACCGACCCTTCGCAGAATATACCGAGCTCTCCTGTCTCAGCTACAAAGGTGTTTTCCGGAGATAAGGATGGGCTTGCTACCAGATATTTGTTGTCGGCCGATGGTATCAGAAAGTCCTGTAGAAACTCAATACAACCCTCTAGGATGGGAAAGACCCGCTCGTGCAAAGCCTTGTCGTAGCGATAATGCAGCATCTTAACTACATCGATACACAGCCAGACGCCGCCGAGGGGCCACAGTGTAGCAGGCATCCACGTATCTTGGGGGTCGGTGTCTGCCCAGATATCCGTATTGTGGTGGGCACACCACCCTGAACATCCGTACATGTACTGCGCTGTCCGCCTGCCTCGCTCGGCCATCCGTTCGAGCAGATCCACCAGCGGCTTTGCGCACTCGAGTAAATTGGTCGGTGCTGCTGGCCAGTAGTTCATCTGCGTGTTGATGTTGATGGTGAACTTACTCCCCCAAGGCGGCGAGAAACTTGGGTTCCATATCCCTTGCAAATTTGCGGGTATTGCTTTGCTACCATCACGGCTGGACGCGATGAGAAGGTATCTGCCGTAGTTATGATATAAAGCAACGAGCCCAGCGTCTTCCGATGTCCTCTCAACTACCCTGACACCTGTAGGGATGTCTGTGGGGTCTGGCCAAAGTCGCACGCTGGTGCGGTTGAATAATCGCTGGTAGTCTGCAATGTGCCTAGAGGTCAGTTCGTCCCATGTCCGCCGCATAGCAGCTGAAACGTCAGATGAAGCTGCGAATGCCGGGTCTGCATGACGATATGTAGTGTGAGCCCCGATGGCAATGAGGCAACCCGTAGTGTTAGCCTTTACGCAAGTTCCGGCCGCCTCGACTGTACCTGAACCAGGAAAGCATTTCACTCCAATAACACAGGAAAGCCGGTTGCTACCGTATCCGCCTGGCGTGGCAAGCATGGTGATACTCGCTGACCCGAGCGCATCGTCGCTCTTGGCGCAGACGCTGTCCAGGAACTCGTTAGTGTCCCACTCGTTCTCGCTCCTGCGATTCAGCTTTACGGAGAACGAAATGGGCTTTGATGATGTGATGCGCATAACGAGGACGTTGTCCGGATAGCTAGCAACAACGTCCCGCCTAACTCGGACACCGTTTACTTCGTATGCAACCGTACAGATTGCTTTCTGAATGTTCAGCCATCGTTGATAATCGGTTACGGCATCTTTCTTATCAACGTCGAACTCCAGGTACGCAGAGCCCAGCGGCTCATAGTGTCTCATGGACGCTGGACTTGAGAAAAACTCATCTTGAACGAGTTGTTCGGCCTCCCTGTGCCGGTCCTCCCGGATGAGTTGACGAAGTTTTGGCAAGCTCTTGGCACAGCGTGGTGTCCGTTCTTGAGGCCCTCCGTACCACACTGAGTCCTCGTTCAGCTGGAGAAGTTCTGTCGTGGTTCGGCCGTAAACCATACACCCCAAGCGACCATTGCCGAGCGGCAATGCTTCTGACCAGCCAGTCGCCGGAGAGGTATAGTGCAGGCAGTTGTGTGCGTCCTTTGGATCCATGATCTAACTAGCCAATTGGGCCGGGTAGTAACATGGGCTTCCAGCCTCCCAGTAGACCGGACAGTACGTGACGATTTGTCCTCGTCAAGCAGTGCAATAGTGTTGATTCGGCGATGGAATCCCTGCCAGCCACTGTGCCACGTAATTCCTCCAACACGGGCAACTTTCCAGAAAGACTTCCAGAGGTGTGTTCTGTTTTTGGAAAAGTTGCACACATTATCGCTTCTCTCGTTCGATACAAGTGAACTGACATGATAGTCGGACAACCCATCATATGACGAGGGATGGCCGTCCCGATATCCCGGCACCGTTGGAAGTGAGTCCCCGCTAGTCAGTCAACTACGGATCCCAAGTAGATGGCTAAGCCCAAAGCTTGGGAAACTCTGCGTGTTCTGAAGATGTACCTACAGGGTCGGTAAGATCCAGTCAGCCTGGTTGGACGGAATATCTGTGGACCTGGCTTCTCAACCTTGGGGAATAAGTCTGTGGGGTTTGCAGTTGATGGGCTCGACGCGGGTTAGTGTTATCCGGGGCGCACCAATCAGTGCGGGCTATAGTGCCCCGAACTCCACCAGTTCAACGTCGGCTGCTTCCAACTCTTGGAGAATCCCAGCTGCTCGATGCATGCGACAACAGTTCAGGGCTTTGCACACTATTGTGATTGGCTTTGTGAGGCCCTGATAGCCTCGGATGCATAAGCGACTGGCCAGAGCGGCCATGGCCAGATGCTCTGTACAGTTCCGGCCCGGTCTTCATGATGGACCCTGGGATGGCACTGGGTTGCTCGCAGAAATGGCTGGATATAGCTTGGCCGAGTCGGAGTGATAAGCTATATATCAGCCGCGTCCCGAGTCTACTTGAGGCGTATCCCAAATCCACAGCCCACCACAAGTGTACTGTTGGCACGCAAGTGGTATCCGGTCGCCCTTTTTCGAACCCGCCCACAGTAAAGGTTGAGCAAGCCGACGCTCGCTTTTGCCCATCATGGCTGATCGCCCCTTCAAGACGGGCGTCACCCACGTCGACGCTGTCGAGACTGCCGAGAAGCTCGGCACAACGGTCGATGAAGTGGTTGCCACCCGCATCACGGAGGAGGATGTGATGAAACAGTCGGCTACCGATCTCATCTTCCGAAGCCGGGCTGGACTGCGCCTCTGCGGCATCATGTTCGTCATGGGCTGCAACCAGGCCGGATACGGAATCGACTGGGCCGTCATCAGCGGCATCAACTCGTTCGATCGCTGGCACGCCTACTACAGTTTTGACAACGCGGGCGTCATCATTGGAACCATCAACGCGCTCATGACGGTTGGCACTTTCGTCGGCGCTCCGTTCCTAGCGCTTGGTGATACATTCGGCCGCAGGGGCGTCAACTTTCTTGGAAACTTCCTGGTCATCATCGCCGCGCTGTTGCAAGGCCTGGCGCCAAATCTCCCATGCTTCTTCATCGGCCGTCTAGTCCTCGGGTTCGGAACTGCGCTGTGCACGGCACCGCAGTACATGGCTGAGATTGCCCCGGTGCATCTGAGAGGTAGATTAGTCGGCATCTTTGGGGCGTGCTTCCAGCTCGGCAGTATCGTCATGAACGCCGCCATGATGGGCTTTACAAAGTGGGACAGCGACTGGCAGTGGCGATTGCCTTTGAGTAAGTCACATCCACTCGCCGCAGAAAGGCGTCCTCTTTTGAGAGGCCTAGCTCGTTAGAATATCACTAACTTGTTCTTCCCACTCATCATAGTCCTTGAAGCCCTCTTCCCCTTCATTGTCTGCTCTACCATCTATTTCCTGTGTCCTGAATCCCCTCGATACCTCGTCATGAAGGGCAAACAGGCCGAGGCCCGAAGCGTGATTGCCAAGTACATGACGACACATAATGATATCAACGCGCCCATCGTCGGCCTTATTATGACCCAGATTGAAGAGTCTCTGGAGGAGTCCAACACTGGAGTTCGCGCCGCCTGGGACTACCGTGTCTTCTTCACGAAAGAAGTCCGCTACCGAACCATTGTCCTGGCCATCTACTCTGTATTTCAGCAATGGAATGGCGGCGGGATTATTGGCAACTATCTTGCTCCGGCCCTGGACACCATCGGTATCACGACTCCTCTGGACCAGCTTGGCATCAACCTGGGCCTTACGTCCGTGTACTTCGTCTTCACCGCCTTCGGAAGTTACCTGATCGATATATTCAGGAGAAGAACGCTCATCTTTGCGGGCTTGATCTCCATCATCATCTTCCAGACCGCCGTCACAATCACCTCCTGGCAGTACACAGAGACGTCGTCACGCGCCACCGCCATCCTGACCGTGCTCTGGATCTTCGGCTTCCAAGTGTGCAGCGCCAGTTTCATCGCCACCATGCACAACCTTTACCCGGTCGAGATCCTGTCGCTGCCACTGCGCGCCAAGGGCATGGGACTGTACGCCATGTTCCAGGGCGCGGCGGGCGTCGTCAACACGTACGCCATCAGCCTCGGCATCCAGCAGCTCGGGTATAAGATCTGGGCCGTCTACATCGGCTACAACCTGGTGCAGCTGGTGGCCAGCTACTTCATCTTCCCTGAGACGAGCAAGCTGAGTCTCGAGGAGATTGACACTATCTTCGAGACCAAGAGTACGGACCCGGTGAAGCTGAGCTTGAAGATCAGCAAGGCCAAGCAGGAGAGGGCCCGGGCTGATCGGGATGAGACTCAGGCATGAGATTAATTCGGCTAGGCGGGTTGATGGGTCCAAGTTCCGGGGTATCCTTGATTGAAATCTTTGGCAGCAAGTAGGCGAATCACACATTACTCACTTGAAACGAGTGGCGTTCATCAACATCTCACGGAGGACTGCACAGTGATATTCGCTCCGGTGGGCAAACCATTTTGACTAATAATAGTTCACAATGGCAATCAACTTGACAAGAACGCCAGAGAACAATAGAAGCAGTGAAGTCTCCGTAAGGAAGTGGAATGGACCACATCCGACGGCCATGTAAGGGGACTGCATTGAATGCGTCCTCCACCAATCTGACACACCCCTAACAACCTTGCCGTCGACTAGATCCTCGAGCGATCCCATACACTCGGTCATGACAAGTCATCTCACTTCGCTTGACGCTGACGCTGCCGTTCCTCGTCCCGTTCCCGCCTCCGCCTTTGCTCATCCTTTCGCCGATTTTCCGCACTTTGCATTGCCAAAGCACAACGCGAGCATAGTCCGTCTGTCAAGGTGTAGGTACTTGTTGTCCTGAGGTAAGGGCACTGCGGAGTGTAGGTGTCAAGGCTGGTGCACAGGACCCCGTCCCGACGGTCAGGTTCGTAACTGTCATACCATTCGGTCATGAACCTGCGGCATCTTTGGCAGTGGACTACGATGCGGCGGCGGGTGCACATCTGAAGATATTTTGCCTCGAAAGCGGTTGATTGTTAGGTACGCTGAACATGCCCGATCTGAACTGGGCGGTCTTCTGTATCTTTTTAAATACAATATCCCCCAAGGTTATGACCGCGATCCTCCACTATTGTGTGGTCCAACACCGCTGAGAAAACAAAGAAGCGTGCCTTCTTGCCACATGTACTATAACAAACCAATTGCTACAGGCGCGATCCTCTACCAAACACCGGCAGATTAACTTAGCTACAGAATTTTTTTTTACGTGATTCATGTAATACTCTGCTGCTACCTTGCCGGATGCGGCCCCCTGACGGTGTGATACGTGGCGGAAAGAGGTTGCAAGGGAGCCAACAAGACTTGGTGCTACGCAATGACCAACCTCGGTGAAATTGTTAAGCCCACGATCTCATGGTAGTGAGCAAAGTCAGAACGCTTGCTGCATTCCCAGTTTGTCAGGAAAGAGTCAGTTCATTTTGATACGTAGATCCGCGCTTCGGAGAGCAGCAACTTGATATGTTGCTTCGACACCGAGGGTATTAGTGTCTTTTGCTGGTTACGGCTACGACAGTGTGAATTCTTAACCAAGGTCCTTTAAAACATTGTGAAGGATGTATATATTTGTTGCACGCCCCATCTACGTAAACTTTACCTGAAGATGTCCCTTTGCTACTTACTGGGCGCTTTTGCTGTCATTGGTTCCTATCTCTGTTCCTTGATTCTAGCATGCACTCGAGTCCGGCGTATTATAGCCACGACGAAATATCCATACATCCTACGAGATTAGAAGAAGATCTTTATCGTCTTATGGAAATTTAATTCGCTGTTGTTGCCGTCTAAATGCTCTCTCTCCCTACTTTTAAAACGTTATGACAACGCGGACAACATGCCAATAAGGCCATAAGTGGCTGAAAATTGAGATGTATGGACGACAATTAACTCTATTTAAAAGAAGAAGAGTCTCCCTGGATCGGTCATCGTAACGGCAAAGCACGGCTCGGCACAATCACGAGACTAGATGAAGTGTCGTCAACACAGAGTCAAATGAGGATCTGTTCAGTGTGTAAGGAGAGAGGAGACCGAGGGGTCGTAGTTGGAGAGTTTGGATCTGTTTTTTTATCGGCCATCGCTATATTTGGAGACACATTGGCGATAGCTGTGCGAAAAAGGCTAAATACAGCCATCGAGGCAAATTGTCCAATCGAGGATAGTCCGAACACAGTTTGAGCAACATATCATCAACTAACACACTACAACAGCAAGATAATGAACGCGGCAATTGAAAAATCCAACTTGCAATTTCTAGGAATGACAGAGTTCATATCCAACTCAGCAGTCCAGTCGTGAGGTAGCTACTATTACAGAGCATCAGACCCCTGGACGAGCCACTTTTCCACCATCTCGTCAAAGTAAGGCTCCCAATCTTTCTCCTTGCGGTTGCTATGATTCAAATCCAACAGCTTAGGCACAACTTTCCGAATGTGATCCAAAACCTTGCTTTCAGAATGAGGCCGGCGGGGTCGTGTCATTATATACTCGACAAGTCGTGCAATTGAATGAGCCCACATACTGGTGGGGATCTCGAGGTCAATCGCCTTATCGGCAATGATATTCCCAACTTCAGTCAACCGTTCGACCCTTGCCTGATAGTTCTTCAGAGGGTCCACGTGCTCGTCGTTGCTGTGTCCGGTGGCTGCGCTCTCACACTCTTTTGTCCACTGTCGTTTAAGTTCCTCGAGACCTTCGTCATGGGCTCGTAGCAAAGACTCTATCTCGTTACTACGGCCCAACCCGTTGAACGCATCCAGGCACGCAATTCTCATTTGAATGAAGCCTCGTACCACTGACTGTATCACTTTCGAGCAATCGGGACAGGATCCCGGCATCTTCGGTAAAAGTTGGTCTCGGACTTGTGATTCGTCCTGGCCGGGTTGTAGAGATATTGTGCCATCGCCCAGCGGTGTGCCTTCTCTGTCCTTGTGCCAGCACCACTCAAATACAGCGTATCGCTTGACACGGACTTCGTGGGGTCGGGTCTGTTCGGAAGCCATTTTGGCGTGGACGTTGCATCTGTGTGAGGGTTATGGTTGGAGTAGAATATCGATGGTTCAGTTTTGGACCCAATTCTATATTTCCATTCCAGGGTTATATATGCTTTCTAACAGACTTCCCGCGGTCAGTACTATGCACCCTGCCTCTCAATGGACAAGGGCTTGATATTTCTTTGTCTCGTAGATACCAGAAAACTAGTTGCCTGGAATTATAGGAAGCTACGTGCCTGTCTGGAGATTGTGTCTCCAGCGTTGCAATCTTTGTTGTCTTGCTACCGCTGTTATTGACCACAACGTTTATAGTCTCTGGAAGCCCGGTGGCTCCGTATGCCTAGAATGTAGCCGGAAAGGGCATTTGCCCGCATGATGCATCAGCATGGCCAAATGTAATGCTCAGGTGACTTCCGGTGGAAGCTGAACGCGGTACGCAGAATATGGCTTTCGATTTTGCTACCAACAAACAACACATATCCAGTTCCGCCCACATGGTCCGAGCGAAGGGTAAGCCAACTTTGTAACGGCGTAAAGGCGAAACAACCGCAATTGTCCCAGTGCAATGGGTGCCATCAAAGCAGGCAGCACGTGTCCCGATACAACATGCCAAACTTGTAACTACTAAGCGAGACTCTGTTTTCGTTCGTATGCCTGCACCCAAATATGGAGGTCCAACAAATGGTGTGACTTTGGGATTCAAGAAGATGGAGCTCTGGGATGGAGTCTTACGGAATCATGTTCAACAGAACATGGAAAAAAGGTCATGAGGCGTTCCAAATAATTGCCCACCAGACGCATGACTTGGATTCATTCACATCATTTCCCCGTCTGTTGGTTGGTGTAGGTTTGCGCGCGACTCTTGAATGGCCGCATTTGTCGAAGATGTTTGGGCAAGTTCCACAGCATGCATTCCGTGTTGTCCACCTGATGATCTACTGCCACTTAGTCGCAGGCCAACTACAGTGTGCGTAGTTTGCGAACATGCACAATCGCAATGGGGACTAACAAATGGGCTCAAGTGGCATATCTCGGCTCGCTCCCTTTCGGTGATTTGTATCAATTCCTTGCGAAGCAGTGCAGCCGCAGCCACCAATGATTAGGATTTCGCAAGAATCTCGCTCAGTTGCAATGAGTATAGAAGGAACGAGGTTGAGTTGTTCTCGGAGAACTTGAACTAATACAAGCATATAGAACGTATTTTTCGCTGCAATCTCTCGTAATTCCATGGAAACCGTTGGCTCGGCGGCAGGCCGTCGGATTCGTTGACTGGAGGTCCGTCCACAGACAGCTTTTAAGCTAGATACGTTGAGGATGAAAACATCGAAATTGAGGGAACGGGTTGGAGCGGCGGCGAGCCTCGTGTATCGATGTCTGAGGTATCGAAGGAGGGATGATTGGGCACTGTTTAGTATGGGGGGCCAACAACGTCCACCCCCTCTCTGTTATTGGATAATATTATGCAGCAGCTCGCAGTATCACTGCACGTACGTTGTATGCCACCTACTTTATCAATTGGCATTGTCTCAGTCTGCGGCGCGTTGGGCGAGTAAATTCGGACACAAGAGCCCTCCTATTGCTTGAGGAAGGTGGATACGGAAGAATGAACATTCAAGCAGAGACAAGCCAGCGTCCATGAGAGTGTAGTCCAGTGCATGTCAATTGCGGCTCAACAAAGCTCATCTCCAAATGAAAGATATCTATGCGCGGGTGCCATGTGTCGTTGATTGGGATATGCACATCATTTCTGCGCTTGCGGGAGGCTCGCCTCAGCCCTACACACTACCACCGAGCTACCCCTGCCCGGGCTGAAAAATCGTACGATTCTGACATCAAGCTGCTAGGAACCAGACTCGGGGAAGTTGGGGATGATTTTCAGGGTCCAATGCACGTCAAGGGTGTCATTCAATCATTAAAAGCCCGAGGGCTGTGCTCCTTGGGGGAGGCCAACTGCTGAAATTTCTGCTCTCTGAACATGTTTGCGATGTAGACTGTCTTTCGCACGACGAGGCAAGAACCACGACGGCCACGACCAAGACGGCCAACCCCACTCGGCCACAAGACGACCGCCAGACGGCACGTGAAAGCCATGTTGAGTCTCCCAAACCCGAGGGAGTTCCCACCGGACTGAGGGATCAATCACATCGACGGAGCCAAGACGATTGCGGAAGCCCAATACTGTGTAACCATGCGTCGGCTAGGCCCGCTGCACGTACATCTCGACTGAGCTTATTACTCTCCACGGGCTATCCTTGGGCGGTTTGCCGTGCCGCCCAAGTATCCGCCCGAGCGGGAAGGTGGTGCTGTCCTGCCCTGACGGTTCCCAATTACCGATTGGCCGTCGTTCCAGTGCTGGTAGTTGGACATCATCCTCCGACTCGGGAATGTTGATGCGTTGGTCGTCTGATTGAAACATCACTGGAGGAGATTAAGGTGAAACCACACGGAGAAGAACCCCCAGGATTGCCACACCCACTGCCGTTCCGCGCCGGAACCTGTGCGGACGTAGTCAAACCGGGATCGCGACCATCCACCCACCTTACAATCAACACGGGCACCAGCTCGGCCCTGCCCTGTTTCATGCTCTGGGTTGGGCATGGCAGATTTTGACTTCAATTTCGCAGATAGGCACCAAACCTTGGCAGACCCGAGCTAGAGAACGACGGATGTTCCCCAAACGACAATCGGCACCATGACGATTCGCTACCGGCGCGGGAAAAGAAGTTGGGAAGGGCGGCGACCAGTGCCAGGCTTATGCACGCTTATGCAAACTGCGGACAAGATGTTGGGGATCTGCGAGGCCCGCGGTGGAGCGAGGAATGCAGCGAGAGAAATTTGGGGCCTTGGGGCGACCATTTTGGCACTCCCGTGAGCCCCGGACCTGGCAGAGTCCCCCCTTGAGGCTAGCCTGGCCAGGTCCCCTAATTTGGCCCTAATAGGCTCCGGGATGCCAAAGGGCCTGCATAGTGGGATGGGACCCCCAACAACCACCAACAATTGAGCCTACAGCGATCCATACAGGCAAAATCGTACACCCAGATGGAATCTGGCTGGAGCGGTGCGCCCTAGCGATGCGAGATACTGCAGGTCACCATGCTGCATTATATCTGACTCCTCCGAGACTCGTCAACAGCGACCAGCTTATCTGTCGCTGCACCAGGTGTGCCAGGATATCTTGCTGACGACAACTCTAGATTATCACGCAGAAATGCACACGGTAAGTTGGTAAGATTATGGATCGCATATTCCGCGCCCGGACTGAGTCAAGCTGGACGGCTGGATAGTGAGCCGGACGCAACTCTCTCTTCCCCAGGATCGGCTAGACTGCTTTGGGCCAAGCTTGGCTGCGTGTGTTGAGCTTGGAGCTTCGACCGTCTTCTGTGCAGATGCAGGTCGAGCGAGAGCTTCGGCGAGTTTGAGAACCGCATCGGCGAAGATTGAACAGGATTCGGTGGTGGAATCAAGAATTCGGCGATAATACGCCGAATATGGTCAGACTCCTCACCAATGATAGCCCGCAAAGATGACCCGCGATAACAACTGCTTGTGATACACGCCTCGGCGACGCAGCTTGCTGCTACTGGCCAACTCTGGCGCAATCGAGGTCCTCACTATGGAGGAAGAAGGAAGAGCCGTCGTCGGATAAGCCAGGCAGGAAAACGGAACACCTGGTTCATGATGTGCTAGAACAAGTTGCAATTCTCGTCGCAATTGCGATCTGACAATGTGGATCTCATCTGGCGAAATTTGATACTTGTAGCATACCGAGATGTACCTACAGTAGGCACAAACCTAGGTATACTAGGTGACCGGTCGAATCAGCGAGCGGCGAGCGCACACCCATCCGCTCAGCCGTCTTCGACAGCGAAGCTCTCAGCGGAAATGGAGGGGAGTGGGCGTGGGATGGGATGGATCTCCCCAACGCCCCGGAGCCTGTCGCAATTGGCCCGAGTGCGTACACCAAGCTGGCCCAATGGTTTGTTAACTTTTTTTTGGTCCCCTTCCCAGCGCGAGGGAGAGTTGTCGTGCACCCGGTACCCACCCGTGCACCGGCCGGTTGAGTGACGAAGTGCTTAGCAGGGGGCAGGGGGTTCGAGGATAGCGGGAGGCATGAGAGGGAGAAAAAAAGAGAAGAGGTACCTAGATACGTGCCCAAGTGGCGTCGACGAAGCTCTAGTTTCTGTATGTGCAATGGGAGGAGTGGGATGCATGGTGGCACCCCCCCGGACACGGACGGCGACGATCGATAGTTCATTTAACCATATCAGCCTTGTTGGCCCCCGACAAGTATTAGGTATTGGGAAGTCGGAAATCCTTTTATTCGTGACATCCGCACTCCTGCCTGCGAAGAGCGACTTGCTACTCTTGACCTTTGCGTCTCTCTTGAAGAAGAACATCATCTTCCTTTCCTTGTCAAAACCCCCACTTCGGTAGACTTTCTTGGGTCTGGGGCCGCGGTTGGAATCAAAACGTTGCATTTTAATCGCCGTGTGTATGTAAGTCTACTTGTCTGGTTGTTTTGCTTTGGCTGCTCTTTGCTGGTGAGGGAATGCTGGATATATTGGAACCCCGGAATATCAGCCTCGATGGCTTTGGCGTCCTTCTCTCTCGCCCATGCGCCAGGACCTTCCAAGGCCGCTCGCCCGGGTCCGGGTGCTCCGAAACGAGAGGAGACGGGAGAGGTGAGACGAAAGGATCTCGGGAGAGTCCAGTGAGAAGAAGAGCGAGAACAAGCAGGACCTCGCTTGCCCTCTCCCTCTCTCTCCCTCTCTGGCCTGTCAAGCCCGCCGTGGTGCTTGAGCCAGTCAGCCAGTCCGCCAGTCCGCGCGCCCGCTTTCCGCAGCCCCAGTCGCAGCTCCCGCTCGGTCCAGGATTATCGGACCCCGAATTTCCCCAATCGCAGCAAATCCTCAACAGAAAGACTCCGAGAGACCAATGAGAGGCTAAAGAGACGACCTGGATCGCCCAAAGCTGGTGCCAGTCCTGGTATCTGCCCGACTTATTTCTCTGCCAGTGCAAATCCTCTCCCTCCGTTACGTTACGACTCGCGCCCGGACAGATATTTCTGCAGTTGGAGGAGCTGGAAGACTCTGATTACCTAGATAGACTTCTTGCCATTCTTCTCTTCATCGTTATTTTCGTCCGATTGCTGATTGGGAAGTCAACCGGCTTACAGAGTTTCCCCCCCCGATTTTGTTCGACTTGCACCCGCGATATCGCCTTGCTCTTTCCACATTGGGGAGCTACGACCGACACGACGTCAGGTGGCATCCGATCCAGAAACTGCAATTGCACCTTGCAGTGACGACCAGAACCACCAGCGCCACCACCAGCACATGCAAAAGACGCTGTCTCTTTGACAACTCGACCTTCCGACCATCCTCCTCTAGATAGCAGTTTGCACCCTGTTACCTAGAGCTAGAACCGTCAGAAGCGACCGCAGCGAGACAGACAGACCCTCCTCCGTCTCCGTCTTTCTCCCTCCCTCCCCCTCCACGATTGCACGATCCTCGGGCCTACTGGGAGCTCGACTCGGGCAGTCTCTGTACATTAATGATCAGCTTGATCTCCTCCTATTGCGCATAATCAAGAAACACGATTCGAGACCATACTCCGGTCCCTCGGGTCCCTACACCAACCACTCACCTCCCCCCTCGCCAACCGACACAATGGCGACGACTAACGGTCACGGGCCCGTCAACGGCGCGCAGGCCAACGGCAAGGCGTCGTACGCCGAGAAGCACCACATCGCCGACCACTTCATCGGCGGCAACAAGCTGGAAAATGCCCCGCCGTCGAATGTGAAGGACTTTGTGGCCGCCCACGACGGTCACACCGTCATCAGCAACGTAAGCAGCGCTTTTCACACCCACCTTTTCCTGCCCACCCCGAAAGGATAGAAACACGGACAAATTGGACAAGAGACAACAGATGACAAAAGACTAACATTTTTACTACCCCCAGGTTCTGATTGCCAACAACGGTATCGCTGCCGTCAAGGAGATCCGATCGGTACGGAAATGGGCCTACGAGACGTTTGGCGACGAGAAGGCCATCAAGTTCACCGTCATGGCCACCCCCGAAGATCTGGCAGCCAACGCCGACTACATCAGAATGGCAGACCACTACGTGGAAGTGCCCGGTGGCACGAATAACAACAACTACGCCAACGTGGAGTTGATTGTCGATATTGCCGAGCGTATGAATGTCCACGCCGTGTGGGCAGGATGGTAAGCGCTGAAAACCCTGCGAACAACTTGCTTGTATTGCATTGTAAACGTATGATCCCATTGCTGACTTGCTGTTTCCAGGGGTCACGCCTCAGAAAACCCAAAGCTTCCCGAATCCCTGGCCGCCTCGCCAAAGAAGATTGTCTTCATCGGACCCCCCGGCTCTGCCATGCGCTCGCTGGGTGACAAGATCTCCTCCACCATTGTGGCCCAACACGCACAAGTGCCTTGCATCCCCTGGTCGGGTACCGGCGTTGACCAGGTCGAGATCGACGATAAGGGCATTGTCACGGTAGCAGACGATATCTACATGAAGGGCTGCGTCAGCTCGTGGGAAGAGGGCCTGCAAAAGGCCAAGGACATCGGCTTCCCAGTCATGATCAAGGCCTCCGAGGGTGGTGGTGGCAAGGGTATCCGAAAGGCCACGTCCGAGGAAGGATTCGAGCAGCTGTACAAGGCCGCAGCCAGCGAGATTCCTGGCTCTCCCATCTTCATCATGAAGCTCGCAGGAAACGCCAGGCATTTGGAGGTCCAACTGCTCGCTGATCAGTACGGCAACAACATTTCGCTGTTTGGCAGAGATTGTTCCGTCCAGCGAAGACACCAAAAGATTATCGAGGAGGCTCCCGTCACCATCGCCAAGCCACCGACCTTCAAGGGCATGGAGGATGCTGCCGTCCGTCTGGGTCGCTTGGTCGGTTACGTCTCAGCCGGAACCGTCGAATACCTGTACTCGCACGCCGATGACGAGTTCTACTTCCTGGAGCTGAACCCCCGTCTGCAGGTCGAGCATCCCACTACGGAGATGGTCAGTGGTGTCAACCTGCCGGTAGCCCAGCTCCAGATTGCCATGGGTATTCCTCTGCACAGAATTCGAGACATCCGTCTACTGTACGGCGTCGACCCCAAGGCCGCCACCGAGATCGATTTCGAGTTCAAGACCCCCCAGAGCGAGAAGACGCAACGCCGCCCCACCGCCAGGGGTCACTGCACGGCCTGCCGTATTACCTCCGAGGACCCCGGCGAGGGTTTCAAGCCATCCAACGGTGTGCTGAGAGACCTCAACTTCAGATCTAGCGCCAACGTTTGGGGTTACTTCTCCGTCAGTACCGCCTCCAGTATTCACAGTTTCTCCGATTCGCAGTTTGGCCACATCTTCGCCTACGGTGAGAACCGAGCTGCCTCCCGGAAGCACATGGTCGTTGCCCTGAAGGAGCTGAGCATTCGTGGTGACTTCAAGACCACGGTCGAGTACCTGATCAAGCTGCTTGAGACCGAGGCCTTTGAGGACAACACCATCACCACTGGCTGGCTGGATGAGCTCATCACCACCAAGCTGACTGCTGAGCGACCGGACCCCATACTCGCAGTCATTTGCGGTGCCGCTACCAAGGCTCACGTGGCCAGCGAGGAGTGCATTGCCGAGTACCGCGCTGGCCTCCTGAGGGGCCAGGTTCCTTCCAAGGACATCCTTAAGACGGTGTTTGGCATTGACTTCATCTATGAGGGCTCGCGATACAAGTTTACGGCTACCCGAGCTAGCTTCGACAGCTACCACCTCTTCATCAACGGCTCCAGATGCTCTGTCGGTGTCCGTGCCCTCAGTGACGGTGGTTTGCTGGTGCTTGTTGATGGCCGCAGTCACAGCGTGTACTGGAAGGAGGAAGTCGGTGCTACTCGCGTATCCGTTGACAGCAAGACTGCCTTGCTGGAGCAGGAGAATGACCCTACTCAGCTCCGTACCCCCTCTCCTGGCAAGCTTGTCAAGTACACTGTTGAGAACGGCGAGCACGTCAAGGCCGGTCAAACCTTCGCCGAGGTTGAGGTCATGAAGATGTTCATGCCCCTTGTCGCTCAAGAGGATGGTATCGTGCAGCTTATCAAGCAACCTGGTATCACGATCGAGGCGGGCGACATCCTGGGCATACTCGCACTGGATGACCCCACGCGCGTGAAGCAGGCTACACCCTTCCTTGGTCACCTTCCTGACCTTGGCCCGCCTCAGGTCATCGGTAACAAGCCTGCTCAGAGGTTCGCTGCGCTGTACAACACTTTGATGAACATTCTTGGCGGTTTCGACAACTCGGCCATCTTGAAGGAGACCCTTGACGAAACCATCAAGGTTCTCCGTGACCCTGAGCTTCCGTTCAGTGAATGGAACTCGCAGCACTCTGCCCTGCACTCTCGTATGCCCGGAAAGCTGGATGCTCTCCTGACTCAAGTCATCGAGAAGGCAAAGTCGAGAAACGCCGAGTTCCCTGCCAAGACTCTCGGAAAGACTCTTGCCAAGTACTTGGACGAGAACCTGCCGGCGAATGATGCGGATGTGTTGAGAGCCAGCTTGACTCCGCTGACTGCTGTCCTCGACGTTTATGCCGAGGGTCAGAAGGCTCGTGAGCTCAAGGCTATCTCTTCGCTGCTCGACACGTACGTTGATGTCGAGAAGCTGTTCTCGGGGCGTCGTTCCCAAGATGAGGAGGTTATCCTCATGCTGCGTGATGCAAACAAGGACGACTACATGAAGGTTATTCAGCCAGTCCTCTCCCACAGTCGTGTGGGCTCCAAGAGCAACCTCATTGTGGCTATTCTCGAGAAGTACCGCCCCAACCAGCCTGCTGTTGGCAACATCAACAAGTACTTGCGACCATCGCTCCGCAAGCTTACTGAGCTCGAGTCTCGTCTGACCGCCAAGGTTTCCTTGAAGGCTAGAGAGATCCTTATCCAGTGCTCCCTTCCGTCCTTGGAAGAGCGCGCTGAGCAGATGGCTCATATTCTTCGTTCGTCTGTCATCGAGACCAAGTACGGCGAGTCAGGATGGGAGCACAGAGAGCCAAACCTTGACATTATCCGCGAGGTTGTCGACTCCAAGTACACCGTCTTTGATGTCCTGTGCAAATTCTTCGCCCACGAGGACCAGTGGGTCGCCTTGGCTGCATTGGAGGTTTACATCCGCCGAGCGTACCGTGCATACAATCTTAAGCAGATTCACTACGAGTCTGATGAGACTGATGCTCCTGCTTGCATCACTTGGGACTTTGCTTTCAAGAAGATTGGCCAGTCTGAGTTCGGCATCCCTGGCACCTCTGTCCCCGGCACTCCAACCCACGAGTATGGCTTCAAGCGCATCAGCTCCGTCAGCGACATGTCGTACCTCGACCGCCACGCCAACGAGGAGCCTACTCGCCAAGGTGTCATCTCTGCTTGCAAGTACATCGATGAAGCCGAGGAGTACCTGCAGAAGGCTCTTGAATCGCTTCCCAAGAAGAAGAATGGCTCCAAACTTATCCCTGACCTGAGCGGCAAGCGCAAGCCTATCCGATCCGAGACCCTGGATGAGCTCTCCAATGTAGTAAATATTGCTGTTGCCGATTCTGAGTCCATTGATGACAAGGATATCCTGGCCCGCCTCCGTACGCTGATTGACGGATGCAAAGATGAGCTACTGGCCCGGAGAGTCCGCCGTGTCACATTCATTTGTGGTCACAATGACGGCTCCTACCCCGGTTACTACACCTTCCGTGGACCCGAGTACCAGGAAGACGATAGCATTCGTCACCAGGAGCCTGCCCTCGCTTACCAACTGGAGCTGGGTCGTCTTTCCAAGTTCAAGGTCTCGCCTGTATTCACGGAGAACAAGAACATTCACGTGTACGAAGCCGTGGGCAAGGGCGTTGAGACCGATAAGCGGTACTTCACCCGTGCAGTCATTCGGCCGGGTCGTCTCCGAGATGAGATCCCTACTGCTGAGTATCTCACTTCGGAAGCTGATCGCGTCGTCAACGACATCTTTGATGCACTTGAGATCATCGGCAACAACAACTCGGATCTGAACCATCTGTTCCTCAACTTTAGCCCTGTATTCCAGCTCCGCCCTGAGGAAGTTGAGCACTCACTCCAGGGTTTCCTAGATCGCTTCGGACCCCGTGCTTGGCGCCTTCGTGTTGCCCAGGTTGAGATCCGTATCGTCTGTACTGATCCTTCCACCGGCATGCCATACCCTCTCCGTGTCCTCATTACCAACACCTCTGGTTATGTCGTCCAGGTTGAGATTTACGCTGAGCGCAAGTCGGAGAAGGGAGGAATGGTCTTCCACTCAATTGGAGGTACCACTAAGATTGGCGCCATGCATTTGTTGCCCATTACTACTCCCTACCCGACCAAGAATGCCCTCCAGCCCAAGCGATACAAGGCGCACTTGATGGGTACGCAATATGTCTATGATTTCCCCGAGCTCTTCCGCCAAGCCATACAGTACAGCTGGGTCAAGGCCGTAAAGGCTCAGCCTTCCCTCGCCGAGAAGCAACCTGCCCAGGGTGAATGTATCGACTTCAACGAGCTGGTTCTTGACGACTCTGACAAGCTTACCGAGGTTTCTCGCGAGCCTGGTACAAATGCCTGCGGTATGGTCGGATGGATGATCAACGCCCGCACTCCCGAATACCCCCGTGGACGGAAGTTTATCATTGTTGCCAACGACATTACCTACAAGATCGGAAGTTTCGGGCCCAAGGAGGACCACTTCTTCAACAAGTGTACCGAGATGGCTCGTGCTCTTGGTATTCCCCGCATCTATCTTTCGGCCAACTCCGGTGCTCGTCTTGGTGTTGCTGAGGAACTCATCCCTCACTTCAAGGTCGCATGGAACGACCCCGCTAAGCAGGAAGCCGGCTTCAAGTACCTCTACCTTGACGAGGAGGATAAGAAGCGATTTGAGGATGGTCCTAGCCGCGATGTCATAACCGAGGAAATCGTTGAGGATGGCGAAAAGCGACACAAGATCACTGCCATCATTGGTGCCGAGGATGGTCTTGGTGTTGAGTGTCTGCGTGGATCTGGTCTCATTGCTGGTGCCACCAGCCGGGCCTACAACGATATCTTCACCGTCACTCTCGTCACCTGTCGTTCCATTGGTAAGTACATGAGCTTTCATTTCCGTGAGAATTATGACTAACAAACGCTAGGTATCGGTGCCTACCTTGTCCGTCTTGGCCAGCGCGCTGTCCAAATCGAGGGTCAACCTATTATCCTCACCGGTGCCGGAGCTCTCAACAACCTCCTGGGTCGTGAGGTCTACACCTCCAACTTGCAGCTCGGTGGCACCCAGATCATGTACCGAAACGGTGTTTCTCACATGACTGCCAACGATGATTTCGCCGGTGTCTCCAAGATCGTTGAGTGGTTGTCCTTTGTACCTGCTCAGCGCAACCTGCCTGTACCGATCGCCCCTAGCATCGACACTTGGGACCGTGAATGTATCTTCGCACCTCAGGGTAAAGCTCCTTACGATGTCAGGTGGCTCATCGGCGGTAAGCAGGACGAGGAAGGCTTCCAGCCTGGCCTCTTCGACAAGGACTCTTTCGTCGAGACACTCGGTGGCTGGGCCCGTACCGTCGTTGTTGGCCGTGCTCGTCTTGGCGGTATCCCTATGGGTGTCATTGCTGTCGAGACACGCACTGTCGAGAACGTTACCCCTGCTGACCCGGCCAACCCCGACTCCGTAGAGCAAGTTGCTCAGGAGGCTGGTGGTGTCTGGTACCCCAACTCAGCTTTCAAGACAGCACAGGCCATCAATGACTTCAACTACGGTGAGCAGCTTCCTCTGATGATCCTCGCCAACTGGAGAGGTTTCTCCGGTGGCCAGCGCGACATGTACAACGAGGTCTTGAAGTACGGTTCCTACATTGTCGATGCGCTCGTGAAGTTCGAGCAGCCCATCTTCGTTTACATCCCGCCCTTCGGTGAGCTCCGTGGTGGTTCTTGGGTCGTCGTTGACCCCACCATCAACCCTACCGCCATGGAGATGTACGCTGATGTTGAGGCTCGTGCCGGTGTCTTGGAGCCCGAGGGTATCATTGGTATCAAGTACCGCAAGGAGAAGCAGCTTGAGACCATGGCCCGCATGGACCCAACTTACGGAGCCCTGCGCAAGCAAGCCGCCAACCCTGACCTGTCTAAGGAGGAGCTTGACGAGATCAAGACCAAGATGACTACCCGTGAGAAGCAGTTGCTGCCTATCTACGCACAGATCAGCATCCAATTCGCCGATCTCCACGACCGATCTGGTCGCATGAAGGCCAAGGGAACTATCCGACAGGAGATCGAGTGGAAGAACGCTCGCCGCTTCTTTTACTGGCGTGTGCGCAGAAGACTCAACGAGGATTACATCCTCAAGCGCATGGCTGCTGCTACGGCCACCTCCAAGAGCCAGCCAGCCAGCGGGTCGACTGCGGCCGTCCAGGAGCGCGCCCGACTCCAGCAGATGCTTGCAGCATGGACCGGCATCGCCGACTTCGACCGCAACGACAAGGCTGTTGCCACCTGGTTCGAGGAGCAGGCCGAGACCGTTACCAACAAGGTGAGGCAGCTCAAGGGCGAGGCCTCTGCTGGCGAGCTGGCGGACATCTTCCGCGACGACAAGGCTGCTGCGCTGAAGGGCCTCAAAGATATCCTGCACACCATGCCTGTTGCAGAGCGGGAGCAGATCCTGAAGTACCTCAAGTAGGACTATCAACCACTATAGACTAGAGGGGTGTTCATTTAGATGAAAATGCATGACTGAAACGGCAGGGTTCACTGTATATATGTATTATGGCATTGGTTGGCGATCGGGTGGTGCTTATGGTTTTCTGCTTTAGAGCTCTTGTTTCCCCATTTCAAAGTGTCACATAGAAGACGAGGTGCAAACGTCAAATATGAGATTACTTCCCAGTATCACTTGGTCCTCTGTTTCGCAACGTGAAAGCCATTACTCTTGAAATTGACTTAACGGCTCTGATTGTAGAGAGATGATGGAGCCTGAGAATGATGACAGAGCACCTCGTGTAACCAATCGACAGCTACCGCAGGAGTGGTATAACGACGCGCCACCCGTTACGACCTAACTTTATCAGCCGGATTGTACCGTTGACCGTACGTCTCTGCGTACAGTATATGGTTCCTGGTAAACCTAACTATGTCATATATCGACACGTCGCTCCGCCATGGACCGGGCCACTGCGTTTATTTTGGTTGCGGATTGCTTCGCCTCATTTAAAGTTCGTATGTCATCCGTAATGAGAGTCCTACTGGACTAATGCTGACATACAGGCGAGCTGGGCTTGATCTTCTATTCTCTATGGCGACTAGTGCCAGAAATAGAAATCGGGTGGTAAGAATGTGAATGCATGCACTACTCCGAAATTCACTCATCCTTCCTGCTGACAGTGGCGCAAATCTTAAAAGCGTGTCATACAGCTATATCAACGGGAGATGCGCACAATACTAAATGTCCAAACCCATCTTTCAATCTCTTTCTCATATTTTTCAGCACTTCCGTTGACCCACCAATATGGAAGAAAATCATTCGGACGTCGAATCACTTCAGAAAAGGCAGGCGCCGCCCTGGCATCACAAAGCGCCTACGAGTCTACGAAACGAGGTGATACAAAGGGCCTGGCTCGCCGGTCTCGTCGGCGTCGCCTTCTGCCTCATCATCTTGGTCATTATATTCGCCCCGATTTACGTCTTCCAAGACATTCCCATCTATTCTTGGGGTTGGAACGTCTGGTCGCTCGGTCTCAAGGCGGCTCTGGCTTTTGCCTTGCTCTGCGCCGCCTGCGTGTTCTGCTGCACCACCGCCGGGCTCCGCGTGCTGGCCGACTTTTTCTCTAGAGACCAAAAGCGAAGCTGAGTTGCTGAGAATGGGTCCTGACGGTGGACCAAAGTCGATACGAGCGCTTCCAGGCAATTTACTAGAGGACAGGTGGGGTCCGAGGACGTCGAGGCGCAGGATCCTCGCTGACAGGGCGCAGCTGCGCAGTCGGCGAATAGTGGCACGACGTAATGCCCAAGGCTGCACACTTCGTCTGGCCGAGATCCTTGCCTTTTGACCAGAGGTCATAGTCTTATGGGTCACTGTTGCTGTGCCACAGTGCACTTTCAGCTGGCCATTCCTTCCGAATTGCCCGCGCCGGAGCTATTGGGCACCCTTCACGTCGTACAGAGAACTTACGATCCTGCATGTTCCTATACAGGTCTGCATGGCCGACGCGCATGCAGAATTGCACTTTGCCTTTCCGAGGGGTTGCTCCAGGATAAGCCCGCTCCAGACTCAAGATTGATTGAATCCGAGCGCACCCCTCGGGATCCTTCCCAATGAACGCCATCAACTATACCCAGAAAGTGGTGATTCTCGATTGACATTGACGGAGTCTGGCCCTGGTCACCGGGAAACACGTGAAGCTTATGTCTCCTATAGAATCTTGCCCAGTCAAGTGTGACTTCGGCGATCATTTTGTCGAGGCAAGGTGCCCTGATCTGAACTGGGCTGAGTTATAGGGATGAGCAGCTGACAGCAGATTGCATGCTCATTCGATGTCAGGCTCTTCGTCTGGGCTGATGTGGTATGGATAGGCTCAGTGTATGTTTGGTTGGATGTTGACTTGAGGAAGTTCAATGTAGGACCTACCCAGATATGTAAACCCGTATTACAATGTAATCCTCTGGTTATTTGGTGTTTACGTCTAGAATTCTTAGTGATTCTTGCCTAATTGGACACTATGCTATACCTTAGCAACCCGAGGACTGCGCCCATCAGAATTGCAACGGGGGCAGCGATCCCATAGTATCTCCCACCAATGTACGCGGTCGCTGTTACTACAACCCACCAGGGGTCGTCTCCAAGACTACGTCCAGTCTGAAATCCCTCATCTATATAGCCAATGATCCAGATTCGGTACACGGCCGTGAAGATGAGGCCAACAGCGCCGGCATTGACACCTCGGATCCCTGATTTCACCCATGGCCTGCTTCTCAGAGATCCCCATACGCCCATGGTTCCATGGACAAGGACCAATCCTGGGAAGAAGATGCCAATATATGATACCAGTGCCCCAGAAATGGGCGATAGGCCGCCATTCGACGCGGCTAAACCTCCGAGGAAGACGGCAAAGTTGAAGTTTGGACCTGGAAAAGCCTGCGCAATCGCGAGGCCTATCATGAAATCTCGGGGGCTTACCCAGCCCTCTGCTACTATGTACTCTCTCAGAAGAGGGATAACCACAGGACCACCACCAAAGATGATGGTGCCGGCCAAGTAAAGGTTCGCAAACAGTCGGAAAAGGAATGGGGAAGCCGGCACAGCGCCGCGTACGGCCATTACAACGACGAAGGAGGCCATAAAACTGGCAATGATGATAACTCCGTATCTCCATGAGAAGTTCAAGCGATACTCATTGGGTATTGTCCGTGGCTCCTGGTCTGTATTGGCTCTCGTCTCATGATCAATGTTATCAGAGACACGAGTTGTCTGCTCACCACTTTGGTGAGGTTGGCGTGTCCCTGTTGCGCTATTCTGGAGAGACTGGTCATGTCCCAACTCCACAGTATAACCATTGCTGGGCTGCCGTGATTGGGGATATCTCCTGCGTGGAACGTGTGTTTCCAAGAAACGGCGCAGTCGCTCCCGTTGCTGTACCCAAGTGGCCTTAAACTCTCTGATAGGCTTATGCACCCAGCGGTAGTCATGGATTATCGACGTCACTCCGCACGCAAGCATCAGGACTGGGAAGTACCATAGGGCGTTGTAAAGCAAGCCAGCCGCACCACATACAAACACCAAAGTTCGGGTCATCTTGTCCGTGACCGTCTTGTTTGATAGCTCCACAGCGGCCAGAGCGATTGACCCAACTGTAGCAGCATTCAGACCAGAAAGGAGAGCGTACACGGCGCCTGGCAGGGAAGATCCAATGTTAGAAACGCCAACTGATAAGCCAAACATGCCCAAAGCTCCAGGCAAACTGTGTACATCCATGTCAGCGCTCTGGCTTCCTTGGCTAGAGATCGAGAGGCAATGGGAAATACCTCCAAATTAAGAATCCAACCAAGGCACCGAACAAACCATCGTGAATTAGATTGATGCAATACAGCATCTTCGTACTCGCGGGGCCTGAAAGAGCTTGCGACACGCCGAACAGCTCTTGATACTGTGACTGAGTCAGGCACCTATCCAATCGCGCTGATCTGGTGCGGTCATCCGCGAGACTCGGTGAAGAGCATGTTACCAACCAGCTGATCGTCAATCCATTTAGCTTCCGTCACGAACTTATTGTGAAACTACGAGCAAAGATGGTTATTGAGAGTGCTGTCATCAAAACAACGGTTGTCAATACGCACAAGCTTGAAATGGACAGGCGGCCCACCAAATGCCGTTAGTCCAAGATGCCATTCTGTTCCGATGATCCCAACGATGCGGTTCCTGTAGGTGCTGAGGCTATCTCTCCATCTTGAAGCGTGCATGTTGCCAATGTCGAACTTCGGCGTCGGCTAAGGGTGAGAGGACTTCAACAGTCTAGCTGAAGCGACGTTGCGGTTGCCAAGACGCAAGAATCATGGCACGTGCGAGCACGCCATTTCCTTGGCCTCGAAAGTATTGACTTGCGGGATGGATTATCTGGTACCCAAATTATCCCAGCTCAAGTGCCCGGGGTGGTGGTTTTTGCTACTCATTTGAAGCCATCAATACTCCTACCACCTGTGTTACGGTTTACAAGACACACAATGACCTTACTGAGTTCAGCCCTTCTTATTGGTTCGCTATCTCCTTCTGGGTTCCATGGGTGGGTACCTGTCTTTAGGATCGCACTAGTAAGTTGCTGGACCCAGGGGGCATGATGTTGCATATGGCTCTCCGTGACTTCCGGAAGAACTATCCATCAGTTTGGGTAATTTCCCTCTACGAGTCGTAAGCTGTCTCGCTTTGCCGTACACTGCACCATGCTAGTCTCTGCCTTAGCTCTCAAAGGGCGCTATGAATGTCTGCAACCCCCCACGAAATTCGAGTATATAGCTTGGGCCACGCAAGGGAGGTATGTGTCATCATGTTATGACTGTCTTTCTATAATCTAAAAACATCGAAGGTTTCTTGTGATATTAGATCTTGCCAGTTGATTTCCGCTTCGCCGTCTGCTCGTCTGGCCCATATTATGCTTATCATATCCTTAAGCACAGTCAAGTTCCTGAATCCTAGACCTTTCTTCCTTTGAAACCAATTTTTCACCCGAATTTTAAGCCCCGGGTCGTTACATTCGGCTCCGAGTACAAGAGGTGCCCACATCATCACAGAGCCAGTCGATCCTTGGCTTTCTGTTTCTATGGCCTCCAATTGCATCAATCCCTTTTCAACAAGTACCTGTACCTCGTCGATTGGTACTCGTCGAATACATCTCTGGTAAAATACAAGGCAAGCGTAATAGAAGCATTGTGCCATGCAATGTAGAATGGCAGAATTGGCGCCGGGTTTGGAATTTGCGGTAGTTGGTGGGAAGCCCAGGTACAATTGAAGCTCAAAAATATCAAGCTCTGCACTTTCAGGGGCGCAGGCTGAGGCCAGGGTCGTATTCATATGGTCAAGATTCCTCAGAACTGACTGGGAGACCCCATAATATGGGAACGATAACTCCATATCTTCTGCATCGTGCAAAAATGACTTCAGTTCAGCTGGTATCTGGTATCCACAAAGTATTGCCATTGAAACCAAGTGGACCTGGAACGCGTTGGGACCATCCTGGTCAGTGACTGTTTTACGTTGCTCGACGAGGTATGCAAGCCCTCCGTCCAGATGTGTTCTCCATCGGCCCGTATTCCCTGAAATGGCCTCGATGGTTATACATGCCATGATGGCCATTGCGATAGATTGGCTATGCTGTTGATCGCCTTGAACTAGATTTTGACGTAAATGTCGAATGGCTTGCTGGTCGTGCGTCCAGGCTAGATCCCTGTCTTCGTCAACACGCCGGCCACCCAACTCGAACAGATTGTATGCTGCACATGCACAAATGGCATGAAATATTGATACATCGGCGGTGGACTCGTTGAGGCTCGACAATATGCCTCTCAGTGCCATTGGTAGCATCATAGTCCGACATGGGTTATGGGGTTCATCCACAAGAACTAGTTTGCTACTGGTAAACGTGATCCAGTGATGAATCAATCGCTTCTGTGACGCGGGGATTTGGAGCAGGTCCAAGTGTCGCGAAGGTCGTTGCGACAGCGACTGAGGTGCATATGTTGAAACTGGGGCGTTTATTTGGGCTCTGGCCATGCCATTGTCATCGTGTATCAATTCCAAGTCGTGGACGGCGGGCGAGTCTGCGGTGCGTACATATTGGTGATCTGTAACTGAATTCAGGACGATGTCAGTCGGGCTGGTTTTGGGTTGCTGGGCAGGAAAGGTATCGATCAGGTCCTTTGGGGATCCAGGTCCAACCCCTCCGGATCTCGATCCAATAAGCGGCGACGATATCGAATCGGACTGATGACAACCAGGAAAGCTTATAGGGACCCTCTGCCCGGCAGACTCTTCTCCGATCAACTCTCTCGCGGTGTGATCCCCAGACCTGGAAAGCGCTGTCCGGACAGGGAAAACCGAAAAGACCCCAGACTCAGTCCGGGAAGAATCGACGGGGCAGTCATCAATCCGTTCCAGCATGGCATCCAGCTCCAATGCAGACCAACCTGGAGTGAGGTAGAGCTCGGGACGATCAAAAGTGCGCATATTACGTTTGGGTCTGGGTGTGGAAACATCGGTCATGTTTTCATCCGTGTCCAAATGGCCCTGGTCGTCGCCATCGCCGACCAACCAGGTGAGCCTAATGCCGTATCCTTCGCAATCGACGCCGAAAAGCCGACATCTCTGACAGCAAGGCGTCTGTTCGTCGCACTTGACCCGGCGAGACCTGCAAGTCCAGCATCCTGTAAAGGTCTTCTTTCGCTGCCGCTTTGACTGGTGCATGGGTTCGGTACGTTGGCAGAAGAAGAAGCTGATGAGACGGAGGTGTCTGGCACCGAGGTAATCACAAGCGAAGACTTACATTAAGTTATTCGCTGTGTGTTGCCCGGAAGCTGAGATCCGAGTGGATTTCTGAAGTTCCAGCTAATTAAGACAGGCCTGAAGGATCTCACACGATTGGTTCGCTATCTCTTTCCGTGGAGTCGAGGGTCCCCACATCAAACCAACGCTTGCGGTCGGCGTTTCTCAACCAGGCAGGGATTGAATGCGAAGAATTCCGTTGCCGAGATGAAGTAAAGTTCTCGTCCAACCAAAACTCTTGCAGCATGCACTGATGTAGGTAAAAATGGACTCATAAGCCCCAAACCTGCTGAACAGGCGTCTGGTGCGTTGCTAGTTGAAATCGTGTAAGTTAGCAGTTGATAGCGACTCATTCTTGAAGCAATTCCAATGGGCCGTGGCAATTTCGCCTGACCCTTCCGAAGGACATGTTCAGTTGCTCTCCAGAGATTCTATGTATATATTTCATTCAGTTTCTTCGAGCCAATTAATGTATTCTCTCGTCTGACATCTTTTCCCTGGGCCGAGCCACACAGATACCTGGCCAGCACCGTCAATTTCCAAGGTCTGGCTATACAGATGGACGTTATGAACAACCAGAAGACCGGGGCTCCCGACATTGTTGAACCATTGCTATCCTCAGCATCCGAAACACGACCTTCCATTCAGCCTAGAACCATGAATGCCGCAAACAAACAATCTGTGACAAAAGTCAAACAACCAGCAGCAAAACCGATCAGTCTACACAACAATGGTGTGCCCTCCGACCACCTTGAATTTGGCGGTTCCCTCGGAAATTCCGTCCTCATGGTCGGATTTCCGTTGTTGATGTGGTACATGTTTGTTGGTGTCGACTACTACAACGGGCAATTCCCACTGCCCTCGACGGGCCAGCCCTGGCTTGAGTTTATTCAGCATCTGTTTGATCTGGCGTACGAGGGGGCATTTCCAACCCGCAGAGCTTGGGCGATATACTGGTCGTTCTTTGCCATGGAATTTGCTTTTTACTATACGCTGCCAGGTGTTAGCGGATATGGCAAACAGCTGAGACATGAGGGCGGGAGACAGCTGAAGTACTTCTGCAATGCTTATACCAGTTTCTACACTACGATTTTCGTTGCAGCTATCCTTCACGTTATCGGCCTTTTCCCCCTCTACACCCTGCTTGACGAGTTCGGCCCTATCATGTCGGTGGCTATTCTATCGGGATTCATCAACAGCATCTTAGTGTATTTGTCGGCCATGGTTCGGAGAAAGACCCATCGGCTCAGTGGGTACCCCATCCACGACTTCTTCATGGGTGCTGAGTTGAATCCACGTGTTGGAATCTTGGATCTGAAAATGTTTTACGAAGTGCGGATACCCTGGTTCATTCTGTTTCTTATCAGCTCAGCCGTCGCTGTTCGACAATACGAATCATACGGCTACGTCTCCAAAGAAGTCATGTTCATTCTAATGGCACATTTCCTATACGCCAACGGATGTGCAAAGGGAGAACATTTGATCATCACTAGTTGGTTAGGATTAACACCCTGTTCTCACCTAGAGTATCGTACTGACTTCCTCTAGGGACATGTACTTCGAGAAGTTGGGCTTCATGCTCACGTTCTGGTACGTACACAGCCGAGCCTTTTTTAATTTACTTTTAGTTCAAACGACGCATTGGTGGCTCTGTATGACAGAGACTGACTAGAATATCACTTAGGAACATGGCAGGTGTGCCATTTTCATATTGCCATTGCGCATTGTATCTGGCAAATCACGACCCAGAGGAGTATCGATGGAGTTATCTACCATTGGCAGCACTAGCTATTGGATATCTGTTTTTCTATTGGGTGTGGGATACCTCCAACGGCCAGAAGAACGGGTTTCGACAGATGGAGCGAGGCCAGCTTCTCGAGCGCAACACTTTCCCTCGGCTACCATGGCTCGTTCTGCGGGACCCAAAAACCATCAGTACTTCTACTGGTGATCGATTGCTAGTCGATGGGTGGTTTGGGATTGTTCGGAAGCCAGGTTATGTGTGCGATATGTACTTTGCAATCTCATGGGCTCTTATAACTGGTTTTAAGTAAGTGATACGTCTCCCGAGGCTCTCAATTGCTGACACAACCATAGGAGTCCTTTGCCGTGGTTCTATCCTGTCTTTTTCTGTTTGATGATACTACACAGGACAAGGCGAGACATCAGAAAGTGCAGAAATGTGTACGGTGAGGCGTGGAGGAAGTACGAAGAAGCGGTTCCTTACTTGTTCATACCCGTAAGTGGATTGAAGCGAAATGTCCCCTCTGCGATCTTGGCGAAGCTAATGATAGTGCAGTACGTTATCTAGCAATCTACGAAATGTTATTGTAGTCACAGAGTGGCTAAATGCAAATCGAAGGGTCAAAAGAACACTTTGTATACTGGTCAAGAAATTGGGAAGGTCTCTTGGCATAGATTAGCAAGGATTGTCTTTGTTTTAGAAGAAGGGATCCAACAGACAGCGTTTAGAAGTCTTCTTTTTTTTTTTTTTTTTTTTTTTTTTTTTTTTTTTTTTTTTTTTTTTTTTTATTTTTTTTTTTTTTTTTTTACATCGGCCGCATTGGGTTGGCCATGGGGTTGCATCCATAGGGGCACCGGGCATGTTACCATTATCTTCTTACGATCACTGATATACCCTCTTGGATTACTCGAGGAAGCAGATTATACCCACGTGTGGCGTTCTGGTCTGGTTTGGCGCTTTCTTGATTTGCATTTGGAGTGGCAGTGGGCCGGAGACAGGCAAGTGCTCCCGACAGTCAGCATGATCTACAACTGGCATTGAGCCATTGTTTTCTCATCACTCGCTTTGGAAGCATTTCTTTTGAAGCTCGAACTCGACATCTCAAAGGGGTCTGTGGGCCATCTACATTGTTACCGAAGGAACTTCTTGTATGTAATACACGGCGCACTATTGATATGGGATCCATTGCACGCCATCACGCCGTTCACTAAGAACTTACTAGCTGAATACCTCAAGAAGATAAGGCTACTCGATCGACTCCACACTCATATTATTCACTGTAGAAGCCTTGTGTACCTACATATCTGTACTGCTGGTTAGGCCGCCGAAAATTGTATCTATTACCGTCCGCATCTTGATCTTGCTAAGGTCTCTGAGCCGATAGTCAGCAATACTCAATCCTGGGTGAGGTCGAACTTGGCTATGATGTAACACTCGTGGACACAACGGTTGGCAACCCACTTGCAGGGATTGGCATGGGGAAATATATGCTTTCAACAGGACCCCGAGGATGAGTTCCCACTATACCCCGCAAGCTAGTTAAGAGCAATGCCGGTGGCCGGCACTCCCATTCCTTCGTGATTTATGTTGGAGGCACGAGGTGCCCACTCGGAGGGTATATCGTATCCTTTCTCTTATTTCAACAGCCCTGCGCGACAATCGCGATGACTCGATAAAATACAAGCACGCCCGTCATGCGTTCTACGAACTTTGCTATATCATTGGCATTCGCATCGTGTTCTTTTACACAGGACGTGCCACTCGCCCTAGTGCAGAATAACACCTTCAACGCGACGCACGGAATTTGAAAATTCCCAAACAGCCAGATCACGTATAGCAGAAGCCAATCTATCGACAGGATCCTCTGAAGCTGTCCTGGCGGCTCTAGACTTTGAGCGCTCGAACTGGGCTGGGACTTCTGTGCGCCTCGACCCTTTTTACACGGACCTACCCGCAAATTGGACAGATGCACCTGCAGGATCGGCCATCAAGATTGAACAGCGCACCAATACGTCTCTGTACACGATTGCCCCGACCCTTGCAATATCCAGGCTCGTTTACACCACGAAGAACCTCAATGGAACAACGATACCTGCCTCAGCTTACGTCCTGTGGCCTTGGGCACCACGTCGGTTTGATTTGGCTCACAACTCTGGCGCCGGTGGCCTCCCCGTGATCGCCTGGGCTCATGGCACATCGGGGTGGTCTGGCGAGTGCGGCCCTAGCCATGTCCGCAGTCTGTGGTATCAATTCATGATTTTCACCGCGGCGACGCAAGGCTACGTGGTTGTGGCACCTGATTTTGCAGGATTGGGCTTAGACCATAACAGCGCAGGCAATTTGATACCGCACCAGTATTTGTCAAGCGAAGCGCATGGGAATGACTTGCTGTATGCTGTCCAAGCAGCAAAGCAGGCTTGGCCCGCGCTTGGAAGCCAGTACGTCGTAATGGGCCACTCGCAAGGCGGAGGTGCTGCTTGGGGTGCTGCTAGGGTTCTCGCGGGAAACGGATCTGACGTTGATGAGCTTAGAAAGGGCTACTTAGGGAGCATAGCTGGTTCACCTTGGACATCTTTTGGTACATCCCTGAAGTTTCAGCAGTCGGTCTCAGGTCTCAACTCGATAGTCGCTCGAATTGCCACCGGGGTGGCTTCCATATTCCCGTCCTTTTCTTACAGCGATTGGCTTACAGAAAAGGGGGTGCGGGCTGTAGAGCTGATGCAAGACCTGCAAGGCTGCCAATCGGTAGCGCTTGAGTTGTTGTCGACTTCCGACCTGGTACGGGAAGGCTGGAACCAGACGTGGTACGTTGACGCGTTCGACAATTTGACGACCAATATTGGCAAGCCAGTTGCTGGTCCACTCCTCGTCTTACAGGGGAATGCCGACTCATCTGTCAATGCGACCGGCACGTCTGCGGCAGTCAACACTACCTGCGATGTAGTGCCAGACGCTCAGATCGAGTACGTTGAATTTGAAGGGGTGAGCCACACGCCGGTGATGTTCGCCGGTCAGCAGGTGTGGTTGAATTGGATTGCTGATAGGTTCGAAGGAAAAGAGGCACCGAAAGGCTGTCAAAGAAGGAGTTATCAGCCGCTTCTTAATATCCCAAGCTACCAGAAAGATCGCAACTGGTTTCTCGAATGGAACCAGTACCCTTACGGAGTTGCCTGATAGCCAACCGCTTGAGTCGTTGTGGGGGATGTTAGTAGGACGGAGCCAAGCTAGTTGACCGGGGTAGAAGTTCAACAACTAACGTATGGCTTAATTGGATCTGATACTCAGTCAGGTCAATAGGAATAGCAGCAGCTTGAGTGACAATGCATTGTGTGTCTCCCCCCTCATAGTGTATTCCGGCTCTAACGTGTTTCTGAAGCCGGCGTCACCACGTACTACCAAACAGGGTTAGTCTACTGTGTCGCGCACTATCAGTCGCGGCTAACTCGCCGTGCCCTACGCGTGTGTCGGAGTGATAACTCGAACTTGCGGCAGATTGATCCCAATGAGTGAACTGCGCAATACATACTCTTATCTATACGGTTAACGGGAGACTGTGAAGCAGTGATGAACGGCATGTACCACTGGGTGGTGAAAGGCGTCTACTGGATGTGCCCTCGGTGCGCTAAACATGCGCTATCTAGCCGGGATCAGCAACCTCGGCAAGTCGCAATTACTTGCCCATCCGTCCTCAGTAGCCCCAGCTGCAATCTCACCTTTGGCCAACTGTACAACTGTAGAGCAACAGAAAGTGGCCGGGTGTGATTTGTGACAGCATTGGCCACATCGACAACTGTGTCTGTTTTGATCTTCGGCTTACCACCACAGCCGGCGGTTCTCATACGGCAAGCCAAGTGAGCAGCGGCAATGGCACCGGCCGAATCTGATCAAGAGTCTACCACGGACACGATGAAAGACCTCATGAGCGCTGAAGGCATCGATAGAGTTCAACAGTACATGGACTGGAGCCGCGAGCGAGCGAAACACGAGGATAACCAAGTAGGTCACCCGCTTTTCATGCCAATTTATCGCTCCATTCTCCCGCCAGACGATCGCGTCCAGCAACTGCCCAGAGTGATCCAGGAGCCAGAGACCGACCCTCCAAGCCTCTGAGACGCCTACCAGTGTCCCTATCCATGAAAAATTGCTAACACGGATCTCAGGACTGGATGACGCATATCATGCCGTATTTGACGGTTCGTGCGCATTCTACATCATTGCCACACCCTTACATCGACTTCCGGTTCACAGTGGAACCAGTTCACGCCAATCAAATGGCTAATCTGCACGGAGGCTGTACTGCTAGCATATTTGACATCTGCACCACTCTACCGCTTTATCTCATCGCGAAGCCGGGTTTCTGGATGTATCTCGGTGTCAGCCGGACACTCAATTGTACTTATCTTCGACCTATCCCGGTCGGATCTACGATCGAGATCCACTGTGAGGTCTTGTCCGTCGGCAAAAGAATGTCTGTCATCAAGGGTGAGATGAGGGCCGTTGGCGAAGATGGAAAGCCGGGAGCGCTACTTGCTGTGTGCGAGCATGGTAAAGTGAGTACAGATCCACCGGTTGAGAAGTTATAGGATCTGGTCAGCAGGAACTCTGTTCCCCGGTCCACACTGCGTAGGACGGTGCTCTTTGGTCAGGCGTAGATCGTTTGATCAGTCGGAATGACATTGCGTTCGATCTTCACCATGGCTAATTTTCTCCTTGGTCGGTACCACGTCGATGCGTTGAAAGAAGCACGATGCCTGGTATATCAAAGAAATCAATCTAGAGAGCTAGATATAGAATGTCGTTCGCCCAGTCACAAAAGTGCGGAAGGTCACCAAGTCAATATGGTCTTTCCTTCATTCGCCTGCTGGCTCCTCCAGCAAGAATGCTAGCAGCTGCAATGCCCGCCCAAGTAGCTCTTACCCACATTTAACACCCGTGTTGCATTTTTACCCATTACTTTCCTGTATACATCACTATCCTTCCCGAATCCCTCATGAACGGCCTTCTCGTTACTCCACATCGAAGGCCACATCTCGTCACCTCCTGAGGGCCCCGTAGGCGGGGGAAAGAAGGGGTGGTCCGTGCCGAACATGACTCTATCTGCACCTCCTGCCTCGATGGCCATCTTCAAAGGAATCTGATCGTACACGATGCCATCCATGAATACATTCTTTCGTAGAATATCCCAGACCGACTCCCGGGCCGGTGACGATTTCCCTCGCGAGATCCAGAGGCGGTCATGATCTATGGCGTTATCAATCCTCCCTGCCAAGAACGGCAGCGTACCACAGGCGTGGCTGACAATGAGTTGAAGCTCGGGTACCTCTTTGAACGTGCCGGAAAGGATCAACCTGGTAACTGCAATGGTTGTCTCTAGTGGAAATCCCATGCTTACCGGCAGGATCTGGCCATACTCCTTGGCTCTAGGGCCCCATACCGATTCAGGGAGGCCATAATTCGGGTGCACTGTAGTATTGTAGTTAGTCATCTGAAGGAGCCTGTCTACTTTACAGGCCTTGGATCCCCCAGCCGTACAGCAATGTACAGAATTTGAAATTGAATGCGGCAACGGGAGCTGATCTCGTCGCTACTCACAGAAAACCGGATACTTTGCATCTGCCAGTGCGCGGTACACGGGAATGAGGACAGGATCGTCGAGTCCGTTTCCTATCCCACTACAACCCATCACAATACCACGACAATAGTCAAGCTCGTTCAGTCGATGCACTTCGGCAATGATGACATCCCGATTAGCACCAAGGGGCAACGTAGCGAAAAAGAACAATCGCCCCTGGCTCTTCGCACATAGCTGGTTGAACTGGTCGTTAACATCCTTGGCCACGTCCGCGGCTGTATCGTCCTTCAAGAAGTCAAGCCATGGATTGCCAATCGACAATACGGAGACATCAATGCCGTGTGCATCCATAAACGCGATCTTAGTCCTGACGTCATGCAAGATCGGGAGGATAGGCTTCCCAGCACCAGCCGCGGATGCCCGATTCACCAACTTGTTGTCCTTGACGTAGGGGATCTCTGTTCGAGATTTGAGTAAGTCGAGGTAAAAAGTTGGATACAGATGGGAGTGCACATCCACCACGAGTGGGTCGCCTTTCTTGCACCTTTGCGACATTGCTCAAACACCAGGTCCACGTATGGGGTGTTTCTTGAGATGGCCTGCGGTAAAAAAGGCTAAGCGATGACGAAATTGACTGAATGGATCCCATTCAAATCAATTCAAGAAACAACTGTATATGCATAACAGTCGACCGTTTGTACTTGGCTGGTCATCATGGACAACTAGTGGTCTCGTCCTAAGTGTAGTATTATAGTGTGCGCCATTCGGGCTGGTGGCAACTGGCAAAGCCGTTCGGGACCAGTCTTCCGACGGCTGTACTGGCGACAACCAGTTGAGATGGGACTCTTCCGCATGCTGGATCCCGCTGATAGGAAAATCATAACACACTGCGGGGTGTTTGCCCCATCCTACATACAGTGCAGACTGAGAAACTAACTCGCGACATCAAGGCCATGGGTGCTGCCGGGCCACAGCGGTGGTATTCCGGTCCAGGTAGGCGGTCCATAGTCCTCGTGCAGATAGATCCGCCACCTTTATTGGCTGTTTGGCTGCAAGTCAGCGGCAGTGCCCGTCCGACATTCTGTGTCCACTCTCCAGGGTTGGTATATTACTGTAGTCGAGTAAATTTTTATGTGGCGTGAGCCTCATCCAGGCCCTCTCCTTATTTGTGCAAGTTAGAAATCCCCAGCCAGGCTTCGTGAAGAAAGAGTGGCCGAAGTTTGAACTCCAGATCAAGGGACATGATCTGTATACGCCTATGTTTTATCATAGTCGCTCGCTACCGTCTGCTTTTACTTCAAGATCGGATCCTGTTCGGACATGGCTGGCTTGCGGCCTTCATTTGATGTTGCCATAATCGGCGCTGGCATTGGTGGCTTGGCACTCGCGATTGGACTACTACGCCAAGGCGTTTCTTTCACACTCTACGAGGCTGCACCATGTTTCAGCTCAGTGGGAGCCGGGGTGGGGCTTGGACCAAATGCTATTCGTGCGATGGAATTGATCCAGCCGGGGTTTCATGAACTATACAAGCGTATCTCAAGTGGCAATATTACGCCGGGCAAAGACCATGTCATGATGGATGCCATGCTCGTGGAGGATGGCCTGGGAGAAAGACGCGGCATGAGACCAATGCCGTACGGAGCACCTTGTTATGATCGGACCAGCGCGCACAGAAAGGATCTCCTCGATATCCTGACAAGTTGGATCCCCGGGAAGAACGTTCGCTTCAACAAGCGGGTGAAGAGGCTATCTCAGAACGAGAAAGGGGCCGTTATTGAATTTGAAGACGGCAACATCGTGGCAGCATCTTGTGTCATTGGCTCGGATGGCATAAAAGGGGCGTCTCGCGGCGCTGTCCTGGGGGACAGATGGCCAGAGTACGTACAAGCCAGATATACTGGTAAATACGTGTATCGATCTATAATACCGATGGAAGAGGCGATGAAGATTCTTGGGAAGGATGTGGATGGGAACGAGATCGCTGGGGATGCTAAGATGTTCATGGGCGACCGATGCATCATTGCGACTTTTCCCATCTCAAAAGGCACTCAGTCCAACATGGTCTGCTTCAGACCAGACGACCAGCCATGGTCACATCCAGAATGGACGAGAGAAGTATCCAAACATACCATGATGCAAGATATTAGGAAACTGGGTGTCGACGAGCGTCTCGTGACGCTTCTCAATGTAAGTTGCTCCAGAAGCCATGCTTTTGACTCAGGTATACTTTGTTCCAACCTTGCAAAGATGCTGACATTGCATACCAGTGGGCTAACCCCCTTCAATGGGCCCTGTTTCATCACATAATCACTCCAACCTACTACAACCACCGTATCTGCCTGCTTGGCGACTCGGCGCATGCTATGCTTCCCCATCAAGCAGCTGGAGCTGGCCAATGTATCGAAGATGCCCTAGTTCTGTGCCGGCTGTTGGGTCTGGTGAAGGATCCCAGCCAGATAGAGAAAGCATTCGAAGTGTATGATGGGATTCGTCGGCCCCGAGCTCAGAAAGTCGTCAAGACTAGCCAGGAGGCGGGTGACCTCTGTGCGTTCCAAGTTCCAGGGGTTGGCTCCGACATGGACAAGATAGTGGCCAACCAAGCCGAAAGGTACCTCTGGATATGGCTACACAACCTAGAGGAGGACGTAGACAGGGCCGAGTCCGAGTTCAACGCACTCTCAGAAGAGGCTCGCTCAGCAGCACAGCCGACTCTGGTGGGCATCAAGACTGCTTCGGCTGCCCTTGTTGCATGAATTACGGCATGGTCAAGACTTTCTCATTGACAATCTTGACATATTTCGGGCACGATAGCTTATTGCAAATCGGAAGGCGGACGACTCTGTACTGATTCACTTATGGGCTAGTGTAAGCAGGAGCTCTATACAAGTGTCCTGATGAAACAGCGACAGCCTTGGGGCTTGGGAGAGAGCCTTGATGTCTTTGAGGCACTTGTCACTGAGGGACATGCACCGACATGACTCGTACCACTCGATTTGGCTCCGCCGACAGTCTGGTAGCGAGGGTGACTAGGCCTGCCAAGCCGGCAGACGGCCGAAATCTGGGGTAGAGAACCCCTAATCGTTCGTGAGACTAAATACTTAGTACCCAGGTAGTCAGACATTGGACACATCCAATGGATGTTTGCACTGACGGGATTGAGTGATGTCGACCGAGCAGAGCACGTATGGCGGCATCCCAACGTGCGAAGTTGTCCTTTTTTACTTGAAAACCAGTTAGCATCACTTGTCAGGCGCGTGGTCTGATAACTTGATGACTTGACTAGCGGTGGTAAGACGGGAGGCCGTGGCCGGCCCTATTTCATTACCCGGAGTCACGAAGGCTCGGCGATTACCATCGCGGTGCTCCGTATGCTCGGCGGGAGACTTCTCACAGCCCATTCGTCAGGCACAGATCGATCGACGCTTGCGGGGTTGAAGGGACAATGAATAGTAGACCCGCTAGCCATGAAACTTCGGAAGCCGGCAGCCGCAAGCGTCGACCAGCCGCCTGGAGTGAGCCGAGCAGACCGGGACTTTCACGATGGCAAGCTCTCTCTTTTCACGACGCAGCCTGCGCAACGTTGGCCACCCTCTCTAACCGACTCTCCACTTATCGCTTACCCAATATCCGAAACTTGTGCCGCGTGGACGTTGCTTTGGCCGCGCGCGGGTTCGCCAATGACACCTCGCGATGCCGAGTCGCCGCGTACCGCCTGAGAGGCGCAAGCGCACCGAGATCAGTTGTGACAAGTAAGCTGACTGGTGAAGCCCCGATTTCCTTGGCCAATCTTCTTGGGAGGGGGATGATAAGCCCTGGTCTCTGTACTGTCGGTCGTGCGAGCACTGCATACTGACATTGCTTCTTCCTAGGTGCAAGTCAAGGAAGCAAAAATGTCACAGACCACCAGAGACGCCGGAGGGTTTGGAACATGCGCCGTGCCGGTACTGCCAATCACATGGCTTCGAGTGTGTCACTACGCAACTGCGGAAGAAGCGCATGTTCACGTCTGTGGAAGGCTTGGGGACGCGGCTCAGCCTCCTCGAAAGCCTCGTCAAGGGTCTTGTACCCGAGGTGGACACGAATGACCTGGACGGCATGCGGGCTTTGGGGAACTCGCTGGGGATCCCGCTGCCGCCGCCCGAGGCGTCGCCAGTGATGATTGACCCCGAGGAGAGCGTCGAGCAAGCGACCCGCGCCCAGCAGGAGGAGATTCCGGTGCTGCGCGACCAGCAGGGCCAGACCCAGTACATAGGGCCGGCGAGCAGCTATGTGCTCCAGATACGGATCAGATCGCTCTTCAATGGTGGGCAACCACAGAACCAAGGCCAATTCTTCCTGTTTGGCAGCAATCCCACCGAAAAGGCCTGGGTCAGCGAGGTCACCGATCTGGGAAGAGAGATGAGCGCAGGCCGGAGTCCGCATACGAATATCTCCGGGGCGTCGCCGGCGGGCGTCGACAGCGCAAACCCGCTGGGTCCATCGCCGGCCCCTACCATGCATGATGTGGTTGACGGCGTAGTGCCAGATACCCTGGTTGCGGCGTACTTTGACCGCATACATGCCGATTTCCCGGTGCTTCACGAGGCGTCCTTCCGAGAAGAGTACGAGCGTTGCAGCCTGGACCCGGCGTTGCTGACGACGGAAGCCGACCCGACCTGGATATGCAGCCTCTTGTGCGTCCTTATACTGGCACGACGAACAGCATCCGTAGATGCATTGTCGCTCAAGCAGGGACAGGACGCTGAGGATCGTTGGTGGCGAAAGGTCCAGGCCCTCCTTCCGAGCGTCATCTTCACGTCTAGCGTCTCTGCGGTGCAGGCCTTGCTTCTTGCCGCACTCCACCTGAACAACACCAACCACAGAGATTCAAGCTGGACGCTGACGGGGACTGCGGTCCGCATCGCGATTGCCATAGGCTTGCATCGAGAGGCCAAGGCCCCCTTACATACACCTTTGGCTCGCGAGCTACGGAAACGCGTGTGGTGGACCCTGTATCAGTTCGAGCTCATGCAAGCTGCGTCTCTGGACCGCCCGAGCGCCATCGACGATGCCGCGTGCTCTGCGGGGACTCCCCGTCAAGCAATCCTTGATATGGGCTCATCCGACAGCATGGCTTACTCGAACCGCCTGCTGGTCTTGTTATCAGAGGCTTGCCGAGTTGTGCGGACCATCAACAACACAAGCGATGTAGGCGAAGAGCCATACAGCGGACCGCTTTCCCCTGCCGCCGGCCTTGTGCGGGACTTGCGACGCTGGAAAGAGAGCCTGCCTCGGCATCTCTGCCTGGAAGCTGTAAGCGGCCAACAGCCGTCCTCACAGAGAGCGATTATTCTACTCCATGTGCAGTACCACCATGTGCTCTGTGTGCTCTCACGGACGGCACTCATCGGCCTCGCCGGCCGCCTATTCGCCAACGACCAACCCGCGCCGCAGCCGGCGCAAAGCGACTCGAAGACCCTCTCCGACATATGCGCTGAAGCTGCGCAAGATTCCATCCGCCTGCTGCTGAGACTAGACAGCATCGGCGGGTTCGACTCGGTGACGTGGTGGGACTTCTACTTTTTCTATGCCGCTGCGCTGGTCCTGGTTCTCAGCATCATCTGTGAAGCCAAGCAGCTGGGCCTCAATCCCGCATATCGATCTCGCTGGCTGGATACATCGCGGTTGCTACTGGCGGCGTCTGCTGAGTTGTCTGCCCGCGTCCAGCAGAACCCTCTGGTTCCGGGCACCACGCGACGATATGCCATCGTCATCGAGGATCTCAACAACAAGAGCCGCAACTTTACGGGCGGGAACCATGATGCCCCCGTACCGGCCAAGCAGGAGCCCGAAGCGCCCACCGCGAGCGCTTACCCAACTCTCGAAAGCGCTCAGCCAGTCAACATGGAGCCTAGCCAGGTCATGCCCGATGCTCCACAGGTGCTTCCGCAGCAGGGGATATACATGTCGCAGGGGCCGGCCGGGGTTCAGTTCTCGCCGGACTTCTCCGGAAACTTCGGCTTCCCGGATTCATCGTGGGGTTGGAGAGAGGGCCAGTGGAACGATATTGCTGCCATGCTGCTAGGCAACGAGTATGGGGCAGCCCACCCGCAATGAAAGAACAATTCATCTTCGATTGGGATCTGTCAAGCTAAGGAAAAGGTGAAGGTGTTATCGAGACCTAGGCAACACGTATAAAAGGCAACGGGCAATGGATAACGAACTATGATACCCCAAAAATACATAAAAAAGTCATGGGATACAAGCTACCGCCTGATGAAACATGACATATTGCAGGTCTCGCCAGCAGTAGGCACCCAAGTGTACTGCATGTCAAATGTGCGGCCGTAGTGGCAATCGACGGCTCCTCCACGGCCAAACCCTGACGTGTGCTCCATCACAAATCAAACTGATGGATCCGTCGACGGTGGCCATGTATTACAACGAGGTTGTGATCGAAGCGGGTGCTGACTGTGAAGACATACACCAGGATTGCATCAGGGATTGCGGAAACACGGTGTCCGACAGAGGTATCTATATACTGCACTGAGTGAGATAAAACGCTGTTGTCTGTGTGGGGCCGCCAGACGTGGAGGAACCACTTCCCTTGGTTCTCAACCTCTCAACCTATGGAGTGCAACACACTCTTGCCCAGGTATAAGTAGCTCGGTTCAGAAATTATGAAATAAGATTGTATGCCCTATGAAACAATGAACGCACAAGCCTCAGGCTCGCCCGTTGAGGTGACGCATATCTCATCTTGCAGGACAGAGGTTCGTGAGGTACAATGAGGGTCCACTGACCTCGGATTGCCAGGCCTGTGGCCATAAGTCTTCTGTGGAAGTTGCAGATCCGCATGACATGCTCATCAAGAACCAAGCAGAGAAGCGAGACCTCATGTTATACACCCATGTCTACTATATGACATGCAAGAATTTCATACGCACTGCCCCGCCGGCAGGAAGTAGAGACCAACAACCAATCCCCTGCGGCTCTCGAATAGACCAGCCCATACTGTGCAGTGGCCGTGGCCGTAGCCTCAGGCCAGCACCAACCCGGCGTGTGTATCCCCTTCACTCCGGAGGCACAAGAAATCCAGTCCCTCAATACCAATGACCCAACTGAGACGATAGACAAAAGCTGACGGAGAAGAAAAGCAAGGCAACTCAGGGAGTCAACCCCGCTCATGCCTCGACGGCCTTGTTCTTCTTCTTCTGCTCGACCTTCAGAAGAAGGGCGCGGTTGATGTGCGGCAACACACCGCCGTAGGCGATGGTGGCACGGATCAAGGTGTCCAACTCCTCATCACCTCGGATGGCGAGCTGCAGGTGGCGCGGAGTGATACGCTTGACCTTGAGATCCTTGGCAGCGTTCTGGACCACGGTTAGCACGCGATATTGCGTGGCGGGCAAGATGCGAGGGGATTGTAGGGGTCACGTGGCCTGCGCATCGCCGACAACAGCGCGTGTGGCGACATGGGCGGGCAGTGGGAAATGGACGGTGGTGACTCACTCCTGCCAGCTCAAGGACTTCGGCAGTCAGGTACTCGAGAACTGCGGTGACATAGACGGCAGCCTTGGCACCCACGCGCATCTTGTTCTGGGTGTTCTGCTTCAAGAAACGCTTGACACGGCCGCAGGGGAACTAGACAGACTGCATGTCAGAGAGTGATTCCAGTGGTGAACCCGGAACGAGGACGAAGGAAATGCAGATGTGGCGGTGCTGCGACCGGCTCGGCCGACCATGAGGCGCGTTGCGACAGATGGTCGCGATCAAGGGACGGCTTTGGGCGTATTCCATCGAGAGGGCAGGCACTGGTCTCCTGGTCGCAACGCGCTCCGAGGTGGGCCGTGGAAACGCGCAGCGATGAGGGACAGGATAAAGCGGGAGTGGGCGCGGGCGCCTCGTGCCGTCGCAATAGGGATTGGTGGACATGTGCACGCGTCGTCGTGCATCGTGATACGTATCGGCGACGGTGGGGTTCGGGCCCGTGTCTAGTGGTCGCGGAGCGCTGATGATGTCGAAATGACGGGCGCGAGGGTGCCGAACCACGAGCAACGCCGGGATGCATCACGAGGGCAGCAGCTGCTTACCTGAAGACCAGCGCGGGCGGAGTGGCTCTGCTGCTTCTTGGGGCCCTCGACCGAAGTCTTCCCCCCGGAGCTCTTGCCGCCAGCTGATTTGCCTTTTCCACCGGCCATTGTTTATATGGATGCGCGCAAGGTCGAAAGTGGTGATGCGGTGATAAGCTGCGGCGGTGCACGACGAGATGCGATGTTCGAAATGGAATGCGACGCGTTTTGGAGTGGGCGGAAGGATGCGTGGAAGTTGTTTGTTGACGTTTTTTTTTTCCTGGTCTGTCCGGCTGGGCAAGGCTTTCGTCGATGGGATGGATGGTCGAGGTGAGAAAATCGAATGGCGGCGCAAAACGGCTGCCCAGGTGTGCTGCACCCAAGGAAACGCCTGGTGATTGGGCTGCTGTGTTTTGGGGGGGACGAGGGCGACCGAGAGCGCCGTCCAGGCTTTCGGCGGGGGGGTCCACGGGTGGTAACCTGCTGTTAACTCGACTCGACAGCTTTGCTTCCCTTCCCTCCCCTCAAGGCGTTCTGGCGTTCGCAGGTCGGTCCTCGGGCTAGCTGTAGCTGGAGGTAACTTAGTGGGGAGCAGGGGCACTCAAGGCCACAGACAGGCGACGCAGCCCAGTCCGCCACGCGAAGGCACCAACCCGCCAGCCATGATTGCCTTCCAAGGTTCTCCCAGCTGCTCGAGCTTCGCGCTCCATGACCCGTCCGAAGTGCTCCAGGGACTAATGAGATAGCCACGCAGGGAGGGGGTCATTGGGTGCCCAAGTTTCCTGGCGCGCGCCTGCTGCCTTCCACAAGGCGCCAGCTGGCTACCTAAGTTAGATAGATACCCAGCCAAACCAGCCCTGCCAGCCTGTGGTGGCTCTGCGCCCGCGCTGCAGGCGGCCAAGCGGCCATACAGACAAGGTGATGGTGAGAGCAGGCTGGGGTGGTCGGGAGAACTACGGCGGGCCGGGCGGACCCAGCGCGCAGTTCGAGGAGGAGCGCAGGGCTCGGGGACGAGACAGTATGAGAAGGCCTCACTGGAGGCATAGGGGCCTCAAAGGCGCTCGTAGGGGCCAGGAATCCATCTGCAGGCTCGAGAGAATGCTCTCCTCGGGCTTTCCTGCGGATGCAAGCAAGGAGAGAGAGGGTATACTGACCTGTCTTGACTTACCCAGAGGACGCCAATGGCCATGGCAGCGGCAGCTAACGGCCTGTTGCAGCGCACATGTTGCACTCTGGCCGTTTCCCGGCCCGGCAAGCGGCTTCCCAAGGCACGGAGATGGAATCCCATCTGCCTACAGGAGCGTGTAAGCCGTTTTGTGGAAGTTATGCGGACATCGGACTGTAGTCTGCTGGCCAGCTTTGAGGCTCTCCACGGGACGCTCGTAGTCATCTGGACACCCAAGGATGGAAGCTCGGCTCCCGAGATGTGGCTGTGGGTACCTAACCCCCGTTCCTTTCCCCGTCTACGCCACGCCGCCTGCGCCACCTCCTGGACCCCTGTCTGCTGTGATGCATCGGCAGGCGGTCAGTGAAGACTTTCCTGTGGGACATACATACGACAACGCCCGGGGCAGGGGGCCGGTGTAGATAAAATTATTCTCTGCTTTGTATCTTTCAAAGGTGCTCTTCCAGATCTCTGTTATCGTGTTCTACTGAGACCTCAGGTGAAAGGATGAGACTCTTGGATACAGAAAGTCTGCATGTACGCCTCTTCACCGGCGAACCACCGCCTAATTATGTCATTCTTCCGCACACATGGGCTGAAGAGGAGATCCTGTTCCAACATTTGGAATGCAACAATGAGAGAGACCCTCTCTATAGGCCTGCAATTGCCTTATGAAGTATTAAGGGTCTGGGCGAAGGCTTCTCGTTCAAACGTTCGAACGTTGGATTGGACTCTATAAGATCTCCCCAAACCATTATGAGACTCTGATTGTCGTCAGGAAAGGCTCCTGTCCGCGCTTCAGCCATTGAGAAATCGGATCATGTCCCGACGCCTCACTGCTCCTGCCGGATAAGCCTCATTAGAGACGCCGCACCTTTCAATACAGCGGAGGAATGCCGTGAAGTGGACTTGATGCTCGTTCTGTGCAACAAATACGATGAATCATACGAAATATGCAATATATTGTTGGTGTTCAAACTCCCAGAGCTTGCAAACTCTGTCGGAATGTACGACCCGGTTCCTCATAGGGTTACAGTGGAAGTTGCATTCAAGTCGTTCCTCGAGCTAATTGTGATTGAGATCAAGTTACATATCACAGATCTCAGTAATTCCAATTTCAAAAGTCGTGAAAGAAAACTAAAAAGGAGAGGCAAATGTGTGGTCTTTACATTACGAGGCTTGGGGTTCGACACTGAATCGCAGCATGTGTGACTAACAGTCACCATCAACCATTTGCCCACATGTTTCCCAACAGCCTATGGAGGGCCTAAGTGAAGAACAAACCTGACGGTACTCTCAGTATCTGGGTACATAGCCTGGTAAGATACAGGCAAGCTAGATCCTTTCTAGTGTCTTGGTCGCCGGGCTTTCTGTTTCACTTCGCCCGCGATCCGCCGCCCACACAGAGCTATATCCCAGTGGCATCCACTTTACCATCCCTTCGATCCGAGAGATGGCCCCATTCTCGATTTTGATCAACTGTGGTGTCATGTAGGTACCTGGAACTCGCTCCTGAACAGCTGATGCCTGCCCTGACTCTGTTGCTAAATTGTCGACCATGGCGACAGCCAGAACCCCTTTCTGCGCGTCCACAGTCAAGACCCGACGATCGCGCACGGCTGATGTTCCATTGAAGAGACCGTTCGGAGCGGCCCCATAATCCTTCATCTGGGCTGCGCAGCTAACGTTTTGTTGGATGGCAAAATTGTCGCGTCGCAAGCAGTGGGCCGAAAATGGTACGCCAGCACTGGAATGCCTCTCCAGACCATCAAAGTAAGCGGACATGAGAATACGAGCGTCCACGCTGGTGTTGTTGCTCTCGGATGAGAACGCAGCGTCAAGTGGCCCGGTCGTCTCGCCTTCCAGCCATTCAACTGGCAGAGGTGGACGCATCAGAGTCATAGTTCCTCCCCTGGAGCCAGTGGACTCAGTGCGCACGTCGATGGCCTCGATTTCAGTTATTTTCCCGTGATCGAATTTGATTCGGAGGGCGAGAACACCAGTCGTGTTATGCTCTCTGGTCACCCCCCAGTAAGCCGCCGTTTGACTTTCAGGGTCAGCAAGATATACCGCATAGTCGTCCACACCAGGCTTGGCGAAATGGCCGAGGGTCTCCCACAAGCCATCACCTAAGGCGAGGAACTGGCCGTTTTCCGCGTACCGCACACCGTTTTCCAGCGGGAGACTTACAGTGTCGTTCGACGCCAAGGCATAAAGTACCCGGTCCGTGACGCTGTTCAGGCACGAGGCGTTGCACGGATTCGTAACGCTGCTATTTGTACCTTTCCCACTCGTATCTGCGACCTTTCCCTCGGGAAACACAGATGCCATGCCATATGGAACCTCGACGAGAGTCATTTCTATCCGGTATAGTTTGTCGGCCTTGAAGCGGAATGCCTCCACGGCTGCCAGGGATCTGGGTACATCAAAGTAAGGCGGAATCGGCGAAGATGTGCCATTCACCTCTGGCAGCGAGCAAACAGTCCCGTTATGATCCAATGTCGTGAAAGCCACGACGGTCTGACGCTCCTCGTCCACGACTGAGAACCTGCGGTTGCGAATTTGGGTTACAAAACCGAGGAAACCCGTCTGAAACTGGGCTTGACATCCTAGAGATGCAAAGACGGTGTCGTTCGAATGGCCATAAGGATCGCCGCTCTTCATATTCGTGGTCTGCAGGCCATCCTCAAGACGATTACAGTCCTCGTCGAAGAATGAGTAGTCGCCCTTGGGATCATTGCGCTCCATACCAGTGTAATATTTGTTAGTCTGGGAGACCAGGTCGGCGCGCGGGATGCGCTGCACGGGAGGCACGGGGTCAAGCCAGACAGATTCGGGTTGGGTCATATTGTCATAACGTGCAGCTCCAACGGCGTCCCGTGTGATGGCGCTCTCAATCTCGCTTACGAGTCCGCTCATCTCGCGCTTGAGACGAACAACGTAGATGACTGAAACACCGTTCTCGGACATGGTCGTGATGGCTGCGACTTGGCCAGAGTCTGGATCCGAGAAGACGTGGCGGTACGTGCCCAACGAGCTGGCGAGTGGCCATATAGCCACCTGAGAAAAAGAAAGACATATAAAGTCCAGCCGAGTGGCTCAATGGCAGTTGACACTAAAATAGCGCTGCTTAAGTTGGTGTACATGTTCTATGGGGTCTACGCAGTGGCCTTATAAGAATGTCCGTTAAGAGGCGCCCGGCTAAACATTTAGAGTCTGGTAAGGAATTCAACGGCCAAGGATCTCTCTCCAACCCTTTGACCTTGGATGCTACACAACTACATCTGCCGTTTATCAGCGTACATCGGGCAGTGACGGTTAATATATACTCGAGGATCAATCTTTCAACCGCAGCTGGTGACTGTTTTATAAAAAAATTACACGGACCTGTATATATGGATACAATGTTTATACTATGGCCGTAGAAAGCAAGCGATGGGTCAGGTATCCCCACTCAAAGCAGTTGCCAAAATACTATATACTGATGAGTTTGAGGTCGCTTTTTACGAAGCACTTAATCACGACTCGATACAATAGTATTCTTCGATCATCGAAAGCTCAGCGCAACATTTGCCACTTTCAGGCAGTCACTGGGCCGCGCTCTTTGTTCTCCAAGCCACAGGGACCAGGGGCCGACAGTCGGCTGCTTTCCCAGCACTTCATAACAAAGAGAATTGAGCACCACCCGAGGCAAATGCTGCAAAAGGAGACAATGAAATCCTAAAGCCTATATGATCCCTAATCCAGGAAGATGGTTTCCGTGCAGTGCAATGTGCTTTCTTCATATCCTTGCTTCCTTCTCCAGTGCTTTTCCTCGGTTTCCTTTACACGTAGCTGCCAACGGGCACATCCACTCATTATACAACTTCAAAACGCTCTTTTCCCTATTCTTGGAATAATTCCTAGTTACCTTTCGAGTATACGGGTTTTACTCCTTGGGTTCCCTCTAAACACCTGCGCATCTGCTGCCCGGAGCTGCAGACTAACGAACAGAAACCACGCCACCAACTCATTGAGGAGATGCCGTCCCTTCAATTGAATGTTTCAATACCTAGTGCTAAGGTGTCAGCCGGTCCTGGCAACCCTGGTCTGATGTCTTCCTTCGCACGGCGGCGCCTCAGAAGCCTCTTCCCTTCCTCGCCTATCGCCTCACCGATTCCTCCGCCATCCAATCCGACAGCCTGGGGTTGGAAGTGCTGCAAGTGCCATGCATTATGGAGGATATCGGTCACCCAGCGCTGCCTTCTCTGTTCACACGAACTCTGCTCAACTTACATCCCTAAAACCGCGTTGAGCGCAACAATGAAGAAGTATCGAAAACGGAGGTTCAACGGATACGGTGTCCCCATTACATGCACAACCTCCTTTGACTTTGTAGGCTGGGAGGCCTGGGGCAATTGGAGGCGGTCTGCGACTGGCACGCTGATCACGGATCATGGGCGCGATCTTAAGCTACTGGATGGGACGTATGACGACTGTCTTCATTGCGATTATCCATCTCAATGTCGGCAGAGGATGTCTCAGCTCCAGATACATACCCGTCGTGGGTTATACCGCATCGAGGAGTACCAGTTCGCATCCGACGGAGGCAAACGGTCGTCGAATAGCCCTTCCATGGCACTAAGTCGGGACGACAATCTAGTTATGAACGAGCCTACAAAGCTCGATTGTCCCCCAAACTCTATTGGGAAGCCGCGCTCGCCTGCTGTGGATGCTTCAAACATGAGCGAGGAGCAGCTGTTTGGCTACCTCGAGGAGGATGATGACATGATGCCTTTGGACTATCGCCCCACCACGAATGGGCTGAGAGTTCGTAATCATTGCGAGCAGGACTGGGAGGATTCTAGTAGCGAGTCAGGTAGCGACGACGACGAGGTATTGGTAGATTCAAACGGGAATTTCTTACAATCCCACAATAAGACCAGTGCCGACGAGGGGAGCCTGGCATCCCTGATAAAGGCGAACAATGCTTGGCTGCGGGGAGATCAGTCTTTTCATTTCTAGATGGAAAGTAAACTCCATGGCTACTGGGATGGAGGCTTTGGCAACAGGTAGTCACGTATATTGCCTAGGTAGAAATCATTTTGTTCCGTCAAATGCACGGCTGAGCGCTGGGGGTACAAATGTGGCGAATCGCAGCAAGTTTCGTCCACTGAGTCTTTCTTCATTCAGCTTCTCTTCCGAGCTATTGGAAACAGCTAATGAAGCTATCTGTAGCAACCAAGGGCTCATACATCTCGACCAAGTCTGAAGAACTCATAGGGAAGCTCTTGATCTAAATGAAAGAATCCCCTTCTATATTTGGTGATGGCCTGTGAGCGTGAACGGTCTTTGCAAACTGCATTGAACGGACGACAACGATGCAAGACTAGTTATTGGATGCCACTTGAGATTTCCAGTTGTGTTTGGACACAAACGATGTATTAAATGTTGCGATATTCAATATATGTAAAAGCCGGAGACTGTTCTGTGTAATTCCTACATAGCATTGAATGGTCAGAGCTTGGGAGATTTTAGACAGTAGCGCGCCAGTAAGGAGCAGCAAGAGGACCGAGGGTGAGTTTTTTGATTTGATTTGTTTATGGGAAATTTTTCGGAACCCCCTGCCTCCCCCTTTTTAAACTGAGGGGCGACGATTTGAAACCCAAAAGATACTTCGCCCTGAGCACTATTATCGACGACGGGCTTTCGAGTAGAGTGTTGGACCTGGAACCGGCAGGAACCGCATCAAAGGATATGGATGAGCACAATGATGGAAAGCAGAAGTTTTGATCATAACAGACCAGGCAGACGTGGACCAGCAGAAGAAATTAACGGCAATATAGCGCATGAGATGTGCAAACATTGAAAGGCTCTCTTGGCCGAAGCCATGATACAATCCTGATCTTGGTCGTGATTATATGATTCTAAAAGTACAGTCGCCACGATGATCTATTCTGCAGCTGGTGCTTCACCCTCTTGCGTGTTGGGTGCCTCGACCCTGTTCAGAATGCAAAGGCCTTCTACATGGCCTGTCTGAGGGAAGAAATCAAAGCCCCTGAGACTTTCAATGTCATATCTGATCTTCTTCCCGTTCTTTGCTGCGATCTCGGCATCTACCTCCCTGTTGCCTGTCTCACCCCTGACAAGTATCCCCACATCCCTGGCCTGCGTGTGCACATTGCAGCTCACGTAGACCACCCTCTTGGGACCGAAGTTGAGCAATTGGCCCAAAAAGTTAGTATCGCATCCCTTGCGGGGTGGGTCAAGGATTACGACCGTCTGGTCGGCGGGGTAGGCCATGTTCCAGAACAAATCACGAGCATCGGCGGCGATGAATTTGGCCTGCTTTGAAGGCATGTTGTTGGCTTCAGCGTTTCTGCGGGCGGATGCGATTGCCTTGTCATCAATGTCGATGCCTGTGCTGCTCTCGAATACAGAGGAAAGGGTGATGGTGAAAAGTCCCGTCCCGGAGTAGGCGTCGACGAGATACTTGATGCGACTGGAGGGATCGGTGGCTTCATTTTGAGACGGCGGCAAGACGTTTTGGCGTATGTGCTCTGTGAAAACTGGCAGAATCGAGTTGTTGTTTTGGAAGAAGGCGCCAGCGGTGTTATGGAAGACATGGTCGTCGATATACTCGGTCGAAATTGCGTTGGAATCAGTGATACAGGTCTTGTAGTCGGTGAATTGTTCCGTCTCGACTTGGATAGCATCGTCCGGAATTGGCGATGGCGAAGCAGACCCGTTCGTGGACACTCTCTTGGTGCTCTCACGGAGGAGGACCGTGGCGCCTTTCACGTACTCTGTGAACTCATGGTCTATCCGTGCCCTCTCCTGCTTCATCCCCTTCCGCACGGCATCTGTAGCAATGGGACAGTCCTCAATGTCCATGGTCTGTCGGCCGGTCTTGGGCTTGAAGCCGACGTTGGGCCTCTCCTGGAATCTCGGCTTCGCGCCCTTGGCGTTTCTCCTGTTCCAACCCGGGGGCCCGTCGAAGTGAGGCGTCAACTTGGTCCGGTAACCGTACTGCAACGGGCTCCCGATGGTGGGCAACACAGTCGGTACCAACTCGGGGGGGAGCTGAGAGAAGTTGCGGAATGCCTTCTCAACGATGCGCCGCTTCAGCTTCAGCTGCTCATCATAGTCGAGCATCTGAAACTGGCAGCCCGCACAGGACGCAAAGTACTTGCAGCTGATCCTCGAGTCGTCGCGGAGAGGTGAGGGCTTGGTCACCGAGATAAGATCCGCCACACTGTAGCCCTCGCGCTGGTGACGGTAGACCTTGACCTTGATAGTGTCTCCAGGGACGGTAAATGGCACCGTGTAGACACGCTTATAGCCCTTCTCCTGCGCCAAACCATCGCCTGTCGATGAAAGCTCCACCACGTCCAGCTCGACGACACTTCCTTCCGCGGGGAGGGTTTCCTGTTCCGCAGGTTCGTCGGCGGTGCCTTCAGAAGCGGCTTTCTGAGACGCAAGCAGGGCGTCAATATCCTTAGCCAGGACTTGGTCGTGCCATCCGCTCGTCATGTCACGCTCTCGCTTCTTGAGCCGCTTCTTGAAGTTCCCTATGGTTTCCTGTGGAAGGACCCTCTTCAATACGGCCTGGCGCTCCTGCTCAGGAGCCTCAGAAACTTGTCGAAGACGCTTCTTCAACTCGGCTTGGGGATCCCGCTCGGGTTCCTCAGTAAGGGCCGCAAACGGGTCCGCGGCTGCGTTTGGCAACAAGCTCCCCTGGTCATGTTTCTCAGCAGCCTGCCGCAGGGCCGCCGACGGGTCCTCAGCTTTGAGTGAAGCCATAGCCGAAAAGGATCTGAACTGAATAGAAGGACTGACGAGAGGCCGGCTCCCGCTCAGGAATATTCGCGCTGGCAGGCTCAGGTTCAACCGCATCGATGAATGAGCGTGACTGGGTGCGGTGCGGCCGGTTTGCTTCGCTCCCAGTTATAAAATTCTCTAAGCTGCAGAAGGCCCCGGTGAGAAAAGCTTGCAATGCACGCCAGGTGATTGGCAGATGCATGAAGGTGGAGTTCTGCGGTAGCTTGTTCTGTGGGGCCTGGGCCGTTATCGTTATCGCCGCCCTCTAACCTGCTGTAGTCATGTACCTGCTGTACTGTACTGCACTGTACTGTATGTAACTATGTAACTTACCCCCGAGGGCCCCTTATCGCCCCAGGTCTCACCTAGCGCGCACCTCATCGGCTTCGGCTTCCCATCGGGGGCCATGCCGGAGATGGCATCTCACTGGCTTAATGATACGGACGACAATCTCGGCCTCGGCACGCGAGTTCTGACTGTGCCTCGCTTTCCGTCCTTTGGGTTCTCGATTCCAAGTGCACCGGGCTACAAGGCTGCGGGTATTCCCTGTCCATGAGTTTCTCTCTTTGAAGTGCCAGTTTTGCTACCTGTTGCTGCGCTATCGTTTCACCGTAACCCTCACCCGCTTGTCCTCTTGCGCCGCCATTACAAATCATGAGTGAGTTCAGACACCGACGACCACACGAGCATTCTGGCAACCCCCAAAACTCACGAGGATATCGTAGATACACTAGCATCCCTGCCTCGGAGCCTCCTGCTTCTTCTGCTCACAGCATCTCAATCATTTGCCAGCCCAACATGGCCGCCGGTATCGGGGGATCAACCGGTACTTCAGCATCCTTCCTCTGGCGGCCGCAAAGGCGGAGTGGCCTGTGAGAGTAAGGTATGCAGCCAGATTGGCATCGACCTCTTGGCGCGGGGCGGCAACGCTGTGGACGCCTTCGTCGGCACGCAGCTCTGCGTTGGCGTCATCGGGATGCAGCACTCTGGGCTCGGCGGCGGCGGCTTCAGTCTGATTAGGGACAGGAACGGGAGCTACACGGTGATTGACTACCGGGAATCAGCGCCGGCTGCTGCCTTCCAGGACATGTACCGAGACAATGTCAGGGGCAGTGTGTTCACCGGTCTTGCGGCCGGTGTCCCCGGCGAGCTTCGTGGGCTGGAGGAGGCGCATAAGAGATTCGGGCAGTTGCCCTGGAAGGCCGTCGTTCATCCGGCTGCCCACGTCGCCCGGTTTGGGTTCCCGGTCACCGAGGATCTCGTGCGGTACATGGACTACGCCATCTCATTTGCTGGGTGGAACTTCTTGGTGGAAGATCCGAGTTGGGCGCAGGATTTCGCCCCGAATGGCAAGCTGCTGACCTTTGGCGAGACCTTGACCCGCAAGCGCTATGCTGACACCCTGGACGCGGTCGCCGACGATGGTGCTGATGTATTCTATACTGGTCCCATCGCTAACCATACCATAGCTGCCCTTCAGGCTGATCAGGGCATCATGACACTCGAGGACCTCGTTGACTATAGAGCAATCGTCCGCGAGTCCGTCAACATCACCTACCGGGGTTATAAGCTGTTCTCCTCGGGAGCACCCTCCAGCGGTGCCGTCTGCCTCAGTACCCTCAAGACCATGGAGCGCTACCGGACCGAGGATACTGCAGATACGAACCTGACGCTTCACCGCTTCGACGAGGCAATGCGCTTCGCCTACGGTGCTCACCAACAGCTTGGCGACCCTGCCTACGTCGAGTCCATGGACACACTGGAGCGCGTGATGCTGTCAGCCTCGGGTGCCGAGGCCACCCGCCGCTTGATCCTTGACAACACGACACAGCCGGTGGAAAACTACCTCTCCAAGCCCTACTATACACCGGCGGCGCACGGCACCTCGCACGTGGTGACGGCCGACGGCGACGGGATGGCCGTGTCGTCCACCACGACGGTCAACACACTCTTTGGCAACCTGATCATGGTGCCCGAGACGGGCGTCATCCTCAACAACGAGATGAACGACTTCTCGATCCCCGGCGTGCGCAACGAGTTCGGATACGCGCCCAGCCCGGCCAACTTCATCCGCCCGGGCAAGCGACCCCTCAGCAGCATCACCCCCGTCATCGTCGAACACCCGAACGGCACGCTGTACGTGACGGTGGGCGCCGCGGGCGGCAGCCGCATCATCAGCAGCACGACCCAGGTCGCCTGGCGGGTGCTGGAGCAGGGCATGACCATGCTGGACGCCATGCGCGAGCCGCGCTTCCACGACCAGCTGATGCCCAACGTGGCCACCTTTGAGTACACGTTCGACAACGCGACGGTGGCGAGCATGCGGGAGAAGGGACACAACGTCACGTGGGTCCGCGAGGGCGTGAGTGCCGTGCAGGGGATCAGAGTCACCGCTGGGCGTTTTGAGGCGGTGGGTGAGACCAGACAGAAGAACAGCGGAGGGCTGAGCTTGGAGGCACACGAGACGCGGATGGGTGAGTTGTAGACGTGTGGTTCGCACGATAGATTTTACTTGTGGATTTAATGTACATCTCGGCAATGCAAAGACCAGATTCTCCGCCCAATGCTTTTTCTCCTGTTGAGACCTCCTTCTATTGTCCCAGCCGTTCCGGCAAGAAGAGCGACCGTGTTCCGTGGATTTTGCCGCGATACGTAAAAGTCAGCACTGTTATGACGTGCGTATTGACCCCCTAGACAAAAGATCCTGGGCCATGTGTGAAGCAAAGCTTGTGCTGCCAGCATTGAGACCTGACCCCCTTTTTGGTGTCGCCGTCAAGCATGCGATCATACCTTCAGGCCGAAAACACTGTCAAACCCATTTGTCAACCAATTCTGCCTGTGTGCGTACCATGCAGTAAGATCTAGTCCACCTCCCACACGCGCGGCTTGTCCTTATCCTCCAGCAGCACCTTGAGTGCCTGGATGGTGACCTCGACAACCTCGGCCCGTCTGCTCTTTTTCGCACATTCCTGGAGAATTGCCAACCCGTTCTCGTCTCTAATCTTGTCCCGAATGGCCTCCCCGGTCTCACCTTCGCACGAGATCATGTTGTAGACCACAAAGACGCCACGATGCCTCAGGTCCTCGCTTTCCTCTGCACATAAGCCCAGAACGACCTGGACGCCACGATCCCTCAGCAGTATGCCCTTGACGATGGGCTCATACGAGGTCAAGGACGCCAGGGCGCCACCTGCTCCACTCCGGGTGGCTTCGTCTTCCGAATCTGCAAGCGCGAGTAGGATATGCAGTCTGTTCTTCGCTTGTGGCGTATCCTCGGCATACAGTTGAATACCCTCAGGGGCCTGGACTATGTTGCAGATGAGTTCGACCGCTGCCTTGGAGACCATGTTATTGGGGCTCAGCAGCTGCTCTTCAATCTCCGTCCACCCCGCGCGAATGATCGTAGCTCGTGTGTCGTCATCGGTGGACGCGAGATTCGTGAGTGCCATTAGCGCCTCGAAAGTCGGCAAGAGGTCTCGAGTTTCCGCAGCAGGATCCGGTGAGACAATGGAGATGAGAGGCCGAATGGCTGAGTTCTGTGGCCGGGCACGGGTTCCTCCAAAGACAAGAGCAGGATTAATGCTGATCAGTATCCGAGCCAGCGCTTGTGCAGCCGTTCGCCGTGTCTGGGCCTCTGATTCGGGCAGGGCCGTCCAAGCGCCGATCATCAGGTTGACAGCCCCTTGTTGGGCAAGCTGGCCTCGAAGTGAGGTCGTCACGGAGAGGGCGTAGATGATCGATATAATGATGGAGAGGGAAGCGACGGACCCGTTCCTGCTGTGCGTCACGAGGACAGGCACGAGGTTGGCCTCAAAGACAGCCTTACATCGTTCTGCGACGTGCGGGTCGTCGTTGAGCGGGTTCGGCGCGCCCGTTTTCCCTGCAGCGTTTGCATACGCCTTCAGCTGGCTCATCTTCCTTTCTTCCTCGGACTGGGCAGGGCGATATCGTGTGACGTTCTGGAACACACTCAAGGCACCGTACGTGAGTGGTGATTTGGGGGCAGCCTCGGCCAGCAGCTTGACCAGGCTTGTGAGGAGCTTCTTGTCGTGTGCAACCTCCTCCCTGACGGTTGGTTGAATGGTTGCATACGCCAGACCCTCGACGGCGTGCTGCTTTCCATGACCTGCGTCCGTTAGTATCATCGACGTGAACTTCTTCGAAAGATCCTCGATGCTCGTGGTGGCCAGCGTCACGCGCTCGGCCCCCGGTTCTCCCGCTGACTGTTGGTTGGTTGAGGGTACAGCCTGAAGCCTTCAGGTCAGCCATTCCCGTCCGTCTCATCTACTTCCAGTAAAGGTGCTCAAAGACTGGTGAAGCAACTGGGAGTTGCAGCGTGCCTACCCTCAGTTTGGCCAGAATGACGGCGGCCAGGTTCTGTACGGCCTCCGAGTGCCTCCTCATGGCGATGGATCCCTGGGCGCCTTCGACGCCAGTGTCGGCGGAATGGACCGCGGTCGACAGCTCCGATGGGTCCTGGTCGACGATCTCCTCCAGCCATTCGGTGCAGTACTTGGCAATGGATTCGCGGCAGGCCGAGTTCATGGCGGCGGCATTGAGCATCTCGAGACAGGCAGTCTCCACCTTTCTGCTCTTCCACTTCCGGCGCATGAGGGGCCCGAGGCTCGGGAGGAAGCCCTCGCTGAGAAACATCTCTGCCACCATGTCGGGCGCAATGGGGAAGATGGCAGCGGCCACGCAGAAGGCGACAATGTAGTCGTCGTACGTCCCCCGCTTGACTCTATCGAAGAAGAAGTAGGTCAGGGACTTGGAGCCAGCATCGCCAGCGGCCTTGAGGTAGGCAGAAGTGGTCAGTATGGCGTGGCCGCGAACACTGTCAGCCTGGCGCATGTCGAGATAGCTGAAGATGGTGTCGACGCAGACATCGTCGATGACGGTGCAGATAGACTTGTGATCCTTGTCGCGTTTGACCGCTTCGATGTCTTTGTTCAGCAGCTTGGTAAGCTGATCGAGTGCCTTGCAAGTATCGTCATCCTCCTGGCCGCCTTCCATCAGTCGGGCGAGGATGAGTTGGGCCTGGTCGAGATTGTCCAGCTTGGCCATCTCCTCCTCATTGGATATGATGGCAAGAGAGGCCTCGTCCATCTTGATGAGATTTCCGACTCAGCTGCGTGCGGGAGACTTGGAAAGAATGGAGAATATAGGTGCCAGTCAAGTATGTGCGGTGTTAGTGAGAGTCCAGAGGGCGGCTCAGGTGGGGGGGGGCTTTGGATATAAGTCTCACTGGGCCTGACAGCCTCACAAAGACGGACTCTCGAAAGATTCTAACTTGAGCACGACTTCAGTCTGGTGGCACGGAAGACTCGGAGCTAGAGGAATATATATCCGGGGCAAAGAAATACTCAGCAGGCGAACCGCTTGGCTGCCTTGCGGGGAGGTGCGTGACCCGGAGAGAAGGAAGAAAAAAGTCTGCTGTACTCGTGAGCAAAGCTGCTGTGAAGGGTCAACCGTCTGACGCGCCCGGTCCCCAAACCCTCTGTGATTGGCCTGGCAGTAGTTGCGAGAGAGGGATTGCCTGAGGGAGAGGCTATCCTTTGGGGGGGATATGTCGAGGAACAGGACAAAGCGCCGAGCCTTGATTCGTTGCAGGCAGTGTCACTTGGCACAAAGCGTGGGCGGTTGCTGGCGATGTGACGGTGGCAGCGCGGGATGAGCAGGGTGGTGGCGTACGAGGATTGCCGCTACTGGTAGCCGGCAACGGGGCGTCCAGGGCGTTGTGTCCTGGAATGTAGGAGTGAGAATGAAAACATCGATCTAGGGACAAATGTATGGCGGAAGAGACGGCGTGCATGCCGGCATGGACGTGTATATGCTGAACCCTGTGGTGGATCGAAGCGATCTGGAACAGCACGCGACGCTGGAACTGCCCCTCACTTTAAGCACCCGAAGTATCGCGAGCCCACCCACTCGAGCTCCAGCTGCCACCTGGGCACTCGCTCTTTGTTTGAGAACAGCTTGCACACGTCCTAGCGTACCTACATACCTAGCTACCTGCTCATCAGTGCTCCGCGCACATTTCAAAGTAGTATTTACCGTGCGCTACCTCAATTGAGACGTACGAAGCTTCAAGACAGGCGTTTACCTTGTCTCCCGGATGCACACCGTGATCCCTGGATGTCGTACATGAAGTCAGACGAGCCCTACCTAGGCACCTAGGCAGGTAGACACTCGAGGTCAATCGCACACACGCAGTGACGTAGGCCCCCCCCGAAGGCCCCCCAGACAGCGCCGAGCCGGACGGGAGCTCCAGTGGGTCGTTGGCGCCGGCAGCACGGCCAGCCCAGTTGCCAGGCATTCATTCAGAAGCTTCCGCCCAAACCGCAGTCGGGCTAGCGCGCCTCCCAGGGCATCCAAGGGCCTGGAGCCCGGCCGAGCAGGGATCGGATTGAACCTCTATACATAGTTCGTTCACGCTACCTATGTAACTTCACCATAGAAGGCAGACAGCAGCATCTCGCCCCGGGATACTTCGTGGACGGCACGTTCTGAAGGAGGCGCCACAAATCTCCGTACACCACGAACCGCTGAGTACCGTGGGCGTCGGCGCCGGCGTCGGCCGCTGCTGTTCTGATCGCGCCTTCTGCCCACCCAGGGCTTCGGCCCGTCCTCTCGCCTCCTCTGCCTCGCCTCGCACCACCACCCTCCCGTCGGCATGAACAACATCGACGCGTCCGCCCACTACGAGGTCGAGGCGACGGGCCAGACGCCGTCCCTGCTGACCCTCATCATCGACACGAACCCCCGCGCCTGGGCCGCCCTCGACGGCAGCCTGCCCTTCTCCAAGGCCGTGGCCAACATCCTGGTCTTCGTCAACGCCCACCTGGCCTTTGGCAACGACAACCAGGTCGCCATCCTCGCCGCCCACTCGAACCGCGCCGTCTGGCTGTACCCCCCGCCCCCGGGACGCCATGCTCGTCACGGCAGCAGCAGCGGAGGGGACCGGGACGGGGACGTCGAGATGGCCGGGGCCAACGGGCAGAACGGCGACAGCGCCCGCCAGGGCGCGGCGTCCTCGGCCAACAAGTACCCCCAGTTCGCCTCCATCGAGGCGTCCATCGTCTCCTCGCTGCGCTCCCTCGTGTCCGAGACGGCGGCCTCGTCACTGCCCGCCACCACCCTGGTCGCCGGCGCCCTGACGACGGCCCTGGCCTACATCCACAAGACGTCGCTGGCCTACGCGCCCCCCAAGCAGTCGTCGGACCCGGCGAACCCGACCACGGCCGCCACCGTGACGGCCACGCAGACGCCGACGCTGCACGCGCGCATCCTGGCCATCTCCGTGTCCGACAGCGAGCCGGCCCAGTACATCGCCACCATGAACGCCGTCTTCGCCGCCTCGCACGCCCGCATCCCCATCGACACGCTGTCGCTGTCGCCGCACGCCTCGCCCACCTTCCTGCAGCAGGCCGCCTTCATCACGGGCGGCGCCTACCTGTCGTGCGCCGCCAACCCCTCGGGCCTGCTCTCCTACCTCATGTTCGGCTTCCTGCCCGACGCCGAGGCCCGCACCCACCTCGTCACGCCCTCCCAGGACTCCATCGACTTCCGCGCCGCCTGCTTCTGCCACCGCAAGGTCATCGACACGGGCTTCGTGTGCAGCATCTGCCTGAGCATCTTCTGCGAGGTGCCCGAGGGGTCCGAGTGCCTGACGTGCGGCACCAAGCTGGCCCTCGGCAAGTACGGGGCCAAGCCCGTCGTTGTCGTCCGCAAGAAGAAGAAAAAGAAGAGGATCAACGGGTTGACTGGGCGCGAGGAGACAGGCAGTGCGACCGGGACACCGGCGCCCACATGAACAGAGGCCATCTTTTTTGGGGGGGAACACATTTGAGCCATGGATAGGGACTTTTTTTAGTTTGGCCGAAAAGGCGCTCGCGGCATGTAGGATATACGGAGTTTTTCGGGGCATTGAATCGGCGCAATAGACAGAATGGAATCACGGCGATGGATCTTGCATTGCGTTTTGGTTTTCCAGGCTGGGAATGGTTCAACGCTTAGTATCATGATTGACAACCGAGATTCATATAATGACTCGCCGGGCAAAGACTCGTGGTGAAGAATATATCTCTATGTCCATGAGCTCTGTCTCTCTATTTGCTCTCTCTCCAAGTTGTTCACCTGATTCTGCCCAGGTAAGAGAGCGTGCGTGGTAGTGGACATGGGGTAATTGGTAGGGGTCTAAAACAGAATGTTAACAATGCATGAGGGTATCAACGCAAAACGCCACTAGGATGCACGATCTGCTCGAGGCAACGCCGCCAACTCAAAGGGTTCTCGCCAATTAGACTGAAGTCGCCCGGTGAGCCTGTCCAGGTACGCAGACCACACACGGAAGAGAGCGGGGAGGTGCTCCCAGTTTCCAGCCCTCTCATGCCGCCCCAATCTTCCTGGCGCCTTGCGCAACTCCAGCGCAGCCATCCGGCAGTCTGCTCATGACACAGTGGGGCTGTCTATCGCTGCTGCACATGCTGGCCAGTGCAAAACTGTCCGTGTTGTGGGCAAAGTAAAGATAGTAGCCCTTCTTGGTCTGCTTGAGGGCCATGGCGCCAATGGCGCTGGCCGATGACGAGTTGAGGACGCCCGGATGGTTCTGAAAATCGTTGATAATAAAGCTTTCCATGATGAAACTCTCCTCGGACTCCTCAACGTCGGCGCCACCCTCGCCACGTCGAGTTCCGTGGTAGAGGCGTTCGGCGCATTTCTGAGCGGCCTGTGTCGTGGCCATATGCTCGCCTGTGCCGCTGGTGACTGCACCCACCACCATACGATCGTCATCCTGGCTGTTGGCCGGGATGATGGCCGTGCCGATGCCTACCAGCGCGGCTGGTCCGACACGGCTGCGATGCTTCATGCCAATGCCGCCAGACGAGGAGCCTGCAGCCATGTTGCCGTACTGGTCGATGGCGATCGCACCAACTGTGTCAGTGATTATGTCCTCGTTTCCACGGTACATGTCATCCCCCAGAGGGCTGCTTAAATGAATGGGATCGGGTTGGACACTAGCGGCGGCATGAGAAGGAGAGGACGGTGAGATTGGCGAACTCGCCCCATCGCGCGTGTTCGTCTCATCACGAAAGGAAGCGTCATGTATGTTGGCGTCGGGTGTCATTCCACTCTTATGTCGGGCTTTCTTCGACGTGGGTGATCCCGATCTAGGGGGCACAGTGTTGGAGGCTCGAGGGCTGGTCAAGGCTCCAAGAAAGCTCAAGGGGCTGCGTTCACTAGGCCGGGGTGTTCTCGGGCCAGGAGACGTGTTCGATGACACAGGGGATCCAGCTTTGAGAGGGCTGGCACTGGCAAGTGGCGCGTCGTTTACCGCTGGCGTGTTGGCTTGAGCAGGAGAGTCTGGCTGCCCCTCGTTCCAAGTACCCGTCAGAATGGCATTTGTGTGGTCACGCTGGTTTTTCGGGCGAGCGTCCTCCTGTCGATCCGGAGCCGCCATAATCTTCACAGTATTGGGTGTGACGGAGGTTTTTGCATCAACGCGGTCCAGGTCCTCCTTCCACTTCATAAAACGGTCTCTGGCATTGCGAGACACAAGCCATTCGTTAGGTACCAAAGGCATCCCATGCTCATGTGCAAAGTCCTTGGCGCCCTTACCAACAAGGAGGTTGGGAGGAACACGTCGAAGACTGAGTGGCTTGTGACTCTCATCAAGTATCATCTTGGCCAGGCTGATGGGGTTTTTGATGTCTGTGCAAGATCAGTCGAGAAGGACATGCAGGGAACGTCCATCGCCCAAAGAAGAAGGCGCAAGAAACAACCGCACTTACTCGGGACGGCGCCGCAAGCACCGCTGCGGCCATGATGATCGACAATGGTTGCATCACACGCCACAGTTCCATCGATCGCCAGATTGCTGCCGAATCCAGCGTTGGTGATCTCCTTGTCCTCGAGGATCTTGATGGCTGCCTCAACGCCTTCAGTGGCTGGCGCTCCGAGCTTGAGGAGCTTCATAGCAGCGCGAGCAGCACTAATGAGTTGTCAGTGAGATGACGCGCATGGCGTAAATGAATCCGAAGAACTCACTCGCTGCAGGCATCCAGGTGAAGGCGCTCGTTGGCAGTGCTGTGGTACCCAGCTCCCGCATGGATGAAGATGGCTGCCACGCCAGGTTTCGCCCGCATATTCCGTCCTTCGGCACCGTCAACCCACCAGTTGTCCTTACTAGCACCAGCCGTGTGCCACGAGGGGACCTCTGAGCCAGGCGGGAAGATGGGCTGGTCAATATCAGGGTCGTAGGCGCGCCGAGGTTCCCTTGTGTGGACCACTGTGCCCTCCCGTGTCGTCGGGCTGTCCGATGGCCCCAAGATGTCCTTGTGGTACTTTCTCTTGCCAAGAAACGAGTTGAAATCGCGCATGTAGGTCTTGGCGCGCGACGGAGCCTTGTCGTCTTCGTGGTCCATCATGAAGACTTGTCACGACGAGAGTTGCAGGAGAATGGGTATGCACAGGCCCGATAGTCTCGAATGTTGCACGAAGATGGTAGCCGTTGGGCTGCCCGGGTCAGATGCTAGACGAAGTCACACGTAGCGACAGTAACGGTGACTGGCTAGGCCACAAGGTTGCTGAACCGAAGGGATCGCAAATCGTAACGAGTTGCCACACTGATGAGATGAAAGAAAATAGTGACCGTGGGATGATGAGATCTGCTGCCCAGAACGGGAAGTAGACGGGGGCTAGAGATGCTGCAGTATGGAATACCACGTATGTATCTGCATCCGCGCCAATCCCATCCAGTGGGACTGGTAGGCGGGATCGTGTAGGAAGAAGAGGAAGATAGGAGGGGACGGTCACGACGATGTCATGGAGGCAGTAGGGAACATCAAGACGCCGGGACTTGTTTGAAGCGCTCCCGCACTTCCTGAGCCCGATCGGCGTCGTGGCTTCCCGACGAGACAGCGTTCACGCCTTCTCGCCTTCTCGGCCGTGGGACAGCAGGACAGCAGGACAACAGGACAACAGGACAACAGGGCCAGCGGGTTGCCGAGGGAATCGGACGGAGGCGGCACTTAGTATAAGCAGACCATGACGCTGCTGCCGGATGGGGATGCTGTTGCTCTCCAGTCCCCAGTATCACCTTTTCCCAAATTTGGCCTTGGCACAGAATCTCCAGCAGCGAAGCTCTAGGGAACAGACAAGACAACGGCTCTTCACGGATAGCCCTGGAGACGACCAAGTTACAACGGTAACCCAGGTGGCCCCAAGCCGGTCGCCGAGTCGTGATGGAATGAGTCTTCTTCTCTGCGATCGACGACAAATATACGTAAGCTGGCTCATGTATTGCAGCAGCCAGCGGAAACGTTCCAACCATGGGCATGTCTATCGATGATTGGCCTCCAGCCTCCAAGATCATGGTGGGGCACGAACTACCCACCTTGACTTGGTTGTTGTTACTGTGCCATTTCTGTACACAGCAATACCAGCTAGATCGGACAAGTCTTGAGATTGAAATACGGTATCTTCTATATCGACCGCATCCGCCGGCACAAGAGGGTGACATCGTGTCTAGACCGAGTATTGGGGTCGCTCTTGAGGGCCGCTGTGCATGTACTCCAGCTGTGTACGCCGTAGTGCCCCACCAAAGCCAGCCCCAATGTAGCCCACCTTAGGGTACCTACCTGGGTACCTAGGTATCATGGTAGTGCCTAAAGTAGGTACTGGCCGGGGTCCTTCGGTGCAGCACCGCCACAGCCATGTCATACCTCGAGCCCCCCCCGGCCAAGCCAGCCTTCACCTCCCAGGTCACGATGCAAGTACAGCAGTAGCCCAAGGCACCCAATTGCCATCCATTAGCGACAGCTACCCCGCCGGGCCTCCCAGCATCCTCTCCTCCACGACGACATCACATCCTCACCGCAGCTGGAGACGCTCCCTTTGCATCCCCCGTCGCGCCCCTCCTCCCGCCATCCAAGATGGCGAACCAGACGCCGGCCGTTGTCATGGACAAGTACGTCGTCTCCTGTGGAACCCCGCAATCGCACCCCGTCCCGTCCTGTCCTCCCCGTGCCGTCACCCAGGCCGCATCTTGTGAGCCACGATCAACGGCGACGCACGCATGCTAACATGACCTCCCCTTCCCCAGCGGCACCGGTTTCTCCAAGCTTGGTAAGACGACGCAATGGCCTCACCTCACCCGGCCCACGCCCCTGCGCACCCGACGGACTGCCCGGTACTGACAGGCCAAAGGTTTCGCCGGTAACGACTCGCCCTCCTTCGTCTTTCCCACCGCGATAGCTACAAAAGGCCCGGCCGCTGGCGGTGGCGGCACTGGCTCAGGACGCCCCGCCGTCGCCAACAAGCCCTCGTTCCTCACCGGAGGCGCCGGCGCCGGCGGCCATCTGTCCGGCAAGCGCGGCACCGAGGACCTCGACTTCTTCATCGGCGATGAGGCCATCACGGCCGCCGCCGGCCCCGGCTACGGCCTGCACTATCCCATCCGCCACGGCCAGATCGAGAACTGGGACCACATGGAGCGTTTCTGGTCCAACTCCATCTTCAAGTACCTCCGAGTCGAGCCCGAAGACCACTACTTCCTGCTCACCGAGCCTGTACGTTGTCGCCGACCCCGGCATCCTCCCCGATGCACGATGCACCCTGCTGACCCTAGGCCCCCCTCCCTAGCCGTTGAACCCGCCCGAGAACCGAGAGAACACGGCCGAGATCTTCTTCGAGTCCTTCAACTGCGCCGGTCTGTACATTGCCGTCCAGGCCGTCCTCGCGCTGGCCGCCTCGTGGACGTCGGCCAAGGTCTCGGACCGCTCCCTCACCGGTACCGTCATCGACTCGGGCGACGGTGTCACCCACGTCATCCCCGTCGCCGAGGGCTACGTCATTGGCTCCTCGATCAAGTCCATCCCCATCGCCGGTCGCGACATCACCTACTTTGTCCAGTCGCTGCTGAGAGACCGCGGCGAGGCCGACAGCTCGTTGAAGACGGCCCAGGAGATCAAGGAGGAGTACTGCTACGTCTGCCCCGACATCGTCAAGGAGTTCTCGCGCTTCGACCGCGACCGCACCCGGTTCGCCAAGCACGTCGTCTCCCAGCCCGGCGGCCGCCAGGTCTCGGTCGACGTCGGCTACGAGCGCTTCCTGGCCCCCGAGATCTTCTTCAACCCTGAGATCTACTCGTCCGACTTCCTGACGCCACTGCCCGTCGTGGTCGACGGCGTGATCCAGCAGAGTCCCATTGATGTGAGACGAGGACTCTACAAGAACATTGTGCTCTCCGGCGGCAGCACCCTGTACAAGGACTTTGGCAGACGGCTACAGAGAGACATCAAGCACCTGGTTGACGACAGAATCCGGGCCAGCGAGGTCCGCAGCGGTGGCGCGAGGAGTGGTGGCTTGGAGGTTCAGGTCATTACGCACAAGAGGCAACGTCACGGACCCTGGTTTGGTGGCAGCTTGCTGGGACAGACGCCCGAGTTCCGATCATATTGCCATACCAAGGCCGAGGTATGTGAACCCCGTCTATTGGATTGGCCGTTGAATACACCGCTAATGTCGAAAACAGTATCAAGAATATGGTCCAGGAATTGTGAGGAGATTCGCTTTGCTCGGTGGACCAGGTGGCTCATAAGCCGTGTTGTGCGCAGTTTAGACGGGGATGCCACCAAAATGGGTTGTTAGGCGTATGGAAAATGGAGTATCCCATCAATGCCACTAGATCCTTTTTCTTCAAGCGAGCACAAACCGGCTGCTTGTTTACCTCTCCACGTTTTACCACGATAACTTTGATCCAAAACACATTCTGAACCCTCTGTCTACAGAAGTACCACCGGCGATTCCCATTGACTGATGTTGTATGTTATGTAATCATCTCTCGGACGAGGCGCACGATGCCAGCTGGTCTGAAGAGTGTGGACCCTTCCCGTGGCAGGCGGATGACATCTCCTCAGCCTACATGTGCCTGGTTTCCGATCCCGTTGCCGGGCCCTCTCAATAGAGAAAACAGGTGTTTTGACTGTGGTGAGTGCTCTGGGATTGGTTTCGCTGGTGTTTGTGGTCGCGAGTGCCCCCGCCAAGCGCTTGGCCACGACCTCCTGTTTCGGTCTCCACGTCTGAGCGACGCAACCACTAGGAGGAAATGCGACGGTTTGGTGACAAGGGTCCATCTGACAGGTGTTCTGTCTCTTGCCAGAGTGCGAAGATGGTGCGATTTCTCGAATTCAGATTGACAAATGCTTATCTGAGTACCTATATGAGGAGACACCTCATACTTATAGTCATGCCCGGCCGTTGCTGTGGTCCAATCAGCGACCGGCAGTTGGTATTGGTTATATGGGCTAGCGGCAACTATATACGAGGCGACATCACCAGTGAGATATCAGGCCCAAAGGCGTGCATGCGCTGACAGCTTTCCCACTGCGTGTCCATCCCATGCATCTCGTCGCTACCCATCACAGTGATGTCTGCGTAAGGCTTCAGATGATGTTCCGAGCGGCCGGTTCGAAACATTGGCGTCTTGAGATCTACGATCTGCAGTGGACGCCGATCCTGTGTCTACTACCCCACAAACCAAGTCATACGAGTGCTGTTTCAGCACGGGTGGTTGGCTAGGAGTTTTATAATCGCAGATCTACGTACATAGAGCCATCTTTCTGCCCATCCAAAGCGGCCGTGCTGCCCAGGCCGATTCTTGCATACTCGTGCCGGAAAACCAAGACGCCAGCAGCCATGGAAGGACGGCCCAGTTCCAAACGCAGGAGCAACTCAAGAAATCGCAGCTCTTTCAAGGAAAAACAACGACGGGAATCATGGAAGGACGACCGTCTCAATACCATCACGCCCACCAGTGGCCTGGACCTGCTTATCCGCCAGGCGCTGGCGCGCAATGCCTCACCTGCGACATATCTATTCGATGAGGACGGAAACCGCATTTCGCCGCCAGCCTCGCCGCTACGGCGCTCCGTGCAGCCCCTGGAGAGCATCGCGGACCGCATGCGGCAGAAGCGGAGGTCCTGGTATGACGGTGCCGAGCCCGGGCAAGGCGAAGATGACGACGACAAAGAGGCTCGGGACCCGGATGCGCCGTCCCGCCTGCTGGCCCTCCCCACGGAGCTGCAGTTCTTCGTGTTCGCGCACCTGGGGCTCAGCGACCTCGAGCGTCTGCGCCGCACCTGCCAGTTCTACCGGCACATCCTCAGCCCGGAGTACGTGCGCGCACTCTTCGGCGGGCACCAGGGGCTTGCGAGCCAGCTGACGGGCCACTGCCAGACGTGCCTCGCGTCGCCGGGGCGCGCGTCGCTCATTCTCCAGCCCCAGACCCGGCCACTCAGCAGCAAGTGCTTCCAGTGCAGCGTCAAGGCCCGCGAGCTCGGCGTCGGCACGCGCGTCCCGCTGGCCAGCGGCGCGGGGGCAGGGGCCTGGGTCTGCCGGTGGTGCGGGTGGCCGGTCGCCGGCGAGGCACACAGCTGGGCCAACGAGCAGTTCCACGTGCAGTGCTACGACCGCTACTACCGCGTGCTGTGGGTGTTCCTATGCCTGGGGTTCGCGCAATTTGCTGTCGGGGTCGTGGCTGCGGCGCTGAGTCTGGTGTATTTCCGGGGCGAGCTCGTGGTCTTTGCGCCGACCGTCGTCAATTTCGTCCTGCTGTGGGTGTGTATGGCATTTCTAATGTTCAGGGGTAATCGAATACGGACGTATCACTGGGTGGGGATGGTCGAGCTTGTCATCATGGGGCTGTGGATTCCGCCTATATATGCCGTGGCGAGAGACCTACAAGACGGGGGAGTGGGCAGCAGGCCATTTGAGAGCTCAGTCGCCGCGCTGGCCTTCTTTGCTACCAACATGTAAGTTCAAAAGGGACCATCATGGAAAGTCGTCCAGGTGCTAACTCAACCCAAGGCTATTCCGTCTGTTCAACTGCATCGGGAACATAGTCCTCACTCTTGGGTATGATATGACCAAGCATTACGCGCCACAAATCACGCTGCGGCGTCGACTGATGAACTTGCTGATGACTGGTCTGATATACTGGACATACCCACAATGTGTCGAGCAGAGATACCCCCCTGACTTCAATTGAAGTAAATTTTGTTTATTAATACACCAATCTAGATGGTATTATAAAATGATATCGTATTTGAAGTGACCCCCTGAGCTGAAATACTACAAGATCGAAGAAAAGGGCTAGACAATGGTGCAAGTGGCAAAATCCACTCAGGAGGAAAACTGCACCACTGGTGCGCATGATTTGAACCGCTCTGACTTGTAAACGAACGATATTGATGAATGGTCTAATGTAATCTCGGGATTAGCTCGCCCATTACAGCCAGAAGATTCCAGTGATGGCTCCAATCATGAGCACCACGATGGAGAACTGAGCCTGGGATGCGCCGGCAGTGGCGTAAGTAGGATAGGCAGCCGCAGTCGCTTTGGTATCGACGGGGCTGTCGCCGGATGTGCCTTGAGAGGTTTGAGCACTATTTCCAGCGGGCTCGCTTGCTTGGGCAACCGCTGGGAACGTGGATGCAGGGGGAACCGCGGCTACAGTAGGCGCCTCCGCTCCTACTGGTGCGGCAGCATACGTCTCAACGGGCTTTGGAGGCTCTGGCTTTGCGTAGGTCTGAACAGGTTGAATAGGCTCCTCCTGAGCATAGGTCTTGACAGGCTTGGCTGGATAAGTCTCGGCAGGCTTCGTGGGGTGTGGTATGGGGTACGTTTCCTTTGCGTGGGGCTCTTCCGTCTCCTCTGGGCACCAAGTTGTAGCCACAGTCTGGACCTCGGTGGTTTCCTTGTTGATAGCGCAGCTCGTGACGGTAGGATGGCACGACGTGATGGTATATGTCGTCTTTCGGGTGTAGGTGGATGTGTAAGTGGTCTTTGCTGTTGGATGCTCAGCAGGGTGAGTAGCGGGATATGCTCCAGTTGGCTGCGGCTCGGGCTTGGGCTCAGCTGGATTTCCTTCAGGCTTTGGCTCCGGCTTTGGTTCGATCGGATATCCTTCATGCGCCGGAGGTACAGGCTTGGACTCAGATGGATATCCGTTCGTGGGCGGTGGATGGGGCTTGGTATCAGTTGACACCGGTGGAACGGGATACGTAGGAGGTGGAGGATGCGGATTGGTCTGGGTTGGCTCCTCAGTACCTGTAGACACGGATGGAGGGTACGTTATAATCTCAGTAGGCTCCTCGGTCCCTGTAGAGACGGGTTGGGGGTACGTTGTGATCTCAGTAGGCTCTTCGGTCCCCGTAGAGACGGGTGGCACCGCGTACGACTCAATCACGGTTGGTCCCTCAGTTTCTGTCGGCAGCTCAGAGCCAGTTGACGATCCGATGACAGTAACTGAAGGATATGGTGTGAGAATCCCAGTGGCAATTGGGCTGACTTCTATGGTAGAAGAGTCTGTGACTAGGTCACTAGATATAGGCACTTCCACCGTTACCGTGGGGAACAGGGTAATGCTTGTGGTCGAAAGCGTTGTTGAGGTGCTAGAACTGGCCGATACGACGCCGTCACTCGTGAATGTGCTTGCAGAGACTGAGAGCGATGTCGAGATCACGACAAAAACTGGCGGGAAAAGGCTCAACCTGCTAAAGACCGTCGTCGATGTTGAAAGGGAAGTTGAGGTGCTAGTGCCGCTGACCGAAAGAGACGATGTTGTTGAGAGGATTGTCTCCACGTCAACAATCGTTGTCGGTGAAGTCAGAACAACCTCGCTCTGTGACTGTCTTTTTTCTAGACGGGGCTGTCTTCCCTTCAGGGCGCTACCCTGAGCCAGAATAGGCAGCCCAAATGCAACGAGGTGGAGGTTTGACCGCATGACGTCCCGTAAACGAAGGCTTGGAGGCCACGGGTTGGTAAAGGAGTGAATGATGAAGGACAGTTTTGCAGTATACCCCCGGAGTCTGTCAGTCTATCTATATAGCAGCGCTTGGACAGGTAGTGGAGAGCTCTGACCTCGATGTGGAAATGAGTGATGCTAGTGGCAGTCAACACTTGGAGGTGTATACCTACTCAGTTGCACTTCGATATGACGCTTGCTATGGCCATGGACGCACTGACGGCCAAACTGAAGAATGCCTAGTTGGCTATTGCTTCTGATACATAACTGTCTTACCTTGTTCCAGCTATTGTGTTAGGGAAAAGGGAACATGCGTCTTAACGATGCATCAGCACCAGCGGCCTGGCAACCAATCTCAATAGGTGATGGTTTCCAAGAATGATGACATAACTCGCGATTACTCCGTAAGACAGCAATCTATTTCGCAGACAGTCTTCGCCAAATACTTGTTCCATCTCTTTCAGAGTGAGGTGTGTACGAAACTATTTAGCCATCCTTCTGGCAAAGGTTAAGAGCCCTCCCACGTTGGACCCGGGTAACCACTTATTACCAAACAAATTCTAAGCGTGTACATATAAAGCAGTCTATGCGTTCGCGTAGACAAGGTTACCGTCTAATACATCTTATAATTTCCGGTATTATATGCAATAGCACGGATCTTATGCTCGCAGAGAAAGAATGGGTGAATGGCGGAAAATCATTCGAAGCCTAGACACACACAATCCCAAGCTGGATGAGGCTCCATGGGTTGATCCGCGACTATTGTTGCCATGCGGGATATGTCGTTTGTCTTGGCACAGAACCAGGCCAAGCGGTCCGCGCTCCAATGCAGGTCCACACAAGACACTACTTGAAACATGGCATGTAGAATGAGTTGGGAAATTCGACATGGAGGTCATTGACCATATCCGAGTTATGGGTCAACACCACTTTTTGAGCATTGGCTTGGTCAAGATATTCCAATGGGTGGAAATCCATCGCTCGCGTTTAGCAGCACTACAAAATGTATAATTCCACAAGAATGTAGGAATATTAACTCTCAGGCCAGATTTTCGCCATGAATACAACTGGCGAATCTGCTTGTCACCTGAGTACCCGTATCCTTCGGCTAGGGTTCAGTTAGAGTACATCACATATATATCTAGGTTATCGTTCTGAGTAGTAAACGTGCCAGATTTCATCCAAGTAAATAAATATGACAGTCAGAAACAGGAAACTGCTGGAGCACTGGTCGGACCTGGTCGGAGAACTAGGTCCGACCAGAGCAGCGCATGGCATTTGAAACATGATCGTGGCGTTTGGCCAATTTGCCATAGGAAAGGGACGAGATAAAGCTATCGAAATTCAAAGCTAAGATTAGCTTGCTTAGGCGTAAACTCTGATTTTGCTTCACCCTGGCTATCATTCTCAGGCCATAAGAGGCTATATAATTTCCAGACAAAACCCCGTGTTGGCACCGTCTGTTTCTTGGTAGTGGAGGAGGATGTGGCTGAAGGACCGACCGCAAGAGATGAAAAGGCCCAAACAGGAGGCGTTGATAACCATAGCATCCAATGGCTGATCTCAAACCTCAGCTCCAAGAGAATTGCTCATATCGCGACCGTGAGCTCTGCGTAGTCGGCATAGCCGCTATCACAACAACAAGATTGGATCTGTGCGCGAACAACGGGATAGTGGCGTTAACCAGACAGCGTGCTGCTTGTGCTCTACTGAAAGCACGAAACTACAGTATGGGCAAATATTTCCCTGGCAACCATCTCTACATGTACAACACGAGACGCACTTCTAAGACTTTCGGATTGGCGTCAAGTTCGCCATGGAAGAGTGGTCAAGTGGAAAATTGCATAGAGTAACCGATTGAATTGTAGAGAAGTGGTTTTGATGGCGCCCACCGCTGCATAAGTTAGTCACGAACATCGAACGACTGAGAGGCAGTAAGTGATCTAAGTTGGACAATGAATGGACCTTGCGTCCCTGAGAGTAATCACCTAAGATGATCTCAATATTCCTCGTCGATGTACGAAATATGAAAAGACTACTGAATCCCCTGTAAATGACTGGCTACATCGTTACACAGATTGAAACGGCCTTCTCGTTATATCGTGTAACGATAGTAGCAATGCGATGCGTCTAATGCGCAGGATTGCATTCCTCTCTAACTAGTATGGGATGAAAGTCGGTGAAACGTAAGAAGGGGAACAGACATACCTGATTGGCAAATGAATGGAGGAGTAAATACCAATTGATGGGAATTGAAATGTTAGTTGCGGGTTTCGTCGGCTTCTAACCTGAAGCTGGCCATAACCCGAAGGTTGGCTCTTGCGTATCTCCGCACGCAAAAGCCGCACGAATGGCGTGCTCATTTAGCCATCTGTCTGCATCAGCTTCCATGGCTCCGCATCAGCATCACTAACAGCTCCACGAACTCTCTACACACCCTACTCCCTGCGTGAGAAGGAGACATTGGCGCGTGGAACCTCACAATGACCATGGTCAATCGCCCCGCAGTGGCGGACCCCCAAGACGACCTGAAAACGGTCGTCGACGCCCGGACCCGAGAGTGGCATTTCCATATCTATTTCTTGCTACAGTCGCCCACCGAGACGGCGGCAGCGCTCGCTCTTCGTGACGCCGTCCTCAGGCTACGCCGAGATGGTAAGCTCGGTGGCACTCGTAATAATTGCGTACATGGGAAGACATGCCAGCTGATCCATCCCCATAGGTGCATTTGTTGCTGTCCCATTGTTCAGGGTCAACGAGTACCCAATTGGACCACATCCTGCTGGATCGTACGAGAGTGAGTAGGGCCAACACCTTTGGGCGAGCTTCGGCGCAGCGTATCAGTGAAGCGCCCCGTCTCACAACGTCGAGGCTGAGAACAACCTTTCGATGTAGTTTGGGTCCCCGAATCGTCCTTTTCTGATGTCTTCTTCTACCTGGCATCCAATCGAGGCAGCCTGAGGTACGTTTTTCTTTCTCTACACCCTGTGTTAAACCATAATCTACACCTATCTTGTTCCAGGCACAGGCCTCTCATTTACAGGCCCCTGATATTACCTCCTCATGCGCAAAGAGGCGGATGATTAGATCTGCAGCCATGTCTCACACTGCGTACAGCGTCCTCGTCCATCCCCTCACTGCAAGTCAACGTCAAGATCATGAGTCTCGCCAAGCTTGGATGGGCACACCATGGCCGATTTACCTAGATGGCTTGCCGCGCGACGGCGATGTTCCGCTTCAATATCCTGAACTGGGTCTTGGCTGGTCTACCTCGCCAGAGCAAGAGCTCTCCCTCGAGGAGAGGCGCAGAAGGGGCGCTCTAGTCGAGGCATTATTAGCCGATGACCCGGAGGCTGCGCCGGCTCCTCAGCATTGAAGCGCTTGATTTTGGCTAGGTGGATTGACATGTCTTGGGGAAGGATTGCAGGTTGACGAGGTGGCACGAAGTCATTGAGGGCATGCGGAATACAACTGCAGAGAGCTTTATACAGCCCGGAATCCCGCTCCTTCTGCATCGCTATCTAGGTATGCAAGCCATTGATGCCATGGCTGGAATAGGATTTTGCAAGATCTGGCCCTCTCCATTCCGATCCGCGCGCGGGTAAGACGTAGTTAGCTCAGCACTCCACTATTCACGACAGCTCTCATAAGCAAAGTTGTGTAGCACACGCAGATGGGCTCCGTACCACACAATATACTCGACGTTGCGCAAAGGCACTCTGCTTACTAACTCAAGCAATCTGATGGCATTTACCGCGCGGCATTCCCCGAAACTTGAATTCCATGCCGTCGTTAAAGAAGAAGGAAGAAGAAAAGTGGAGCTTGGATTGTGCGGCCGCAACAAAGCCAACCAAACCATTTGCGCCGGTCCTGCGGCAGACGCCGAAGTGTTAGGAATGAATATAGCGCTTAGTTAGCCTCTCTCTCTCTCTCTCCCTCTCCCTCTCTGTACCCACTCTCCATGCCATCGATCGGCACGGATCCTGAGTTACGAATTAATCACATCAGATGACTGCGCTTTTTGCGACACGTTCGTCCACGTATCGATATGGCATGCTACTGTGTATGCAGAAGTGGATCTCATTAGTGTATCAAAGAGGAAGCGGAAATAGTTAGTCAGATACGGCAGGATCAAGCCGTAGCTCTATCATGGAAATCCTGCGACTGGTGCCTCCAGAACTTATCGAATTCAGTGAAGGATGTACACGAAAGTCTCGCGTGCTACCTCGTCCAAAAGGTCATAGTAGCTGGTTTCTTCGCGGCCAAACGAGTCTATATGTAAATGCAATAATATACAGGGGGGAGTAAAGTTATCTAAGCCTGTCTTGGAGATAGTTCTGTCGTAAGTAACCCGGTATTGCTAACAGACATTATGGAGGTCAAAGAGTGTCCATGAGAGCTGGTAATTCAAGTTATTTATGTGATATGCCATCAAGATGCTCTGAAATGTATGCAAAGACCTCTGGATATATACAATACCACAAACACAAACAACAGGAATACACCGAACGATGCACGCTAGAAGTAGCGCTTCACAGCTCTAGTCCAGGAGCCATTGCACCTCCAAGAATACCTGCTCCGGCGACATCTCAGCATCAACCGGAAGAACATCTGCCTCTGCTTCATCAATCGCCTCGTATGTGGAAACCTGGCCATCTACCATCGACGCTGACATGTAGTGACCCTGGCGACTGAGTGTTCTTTGGAGCAAGGTATCCTTTGTACACTGAAGATCTATGAAGACAACTGAGACCAAGTCACCGCCCTCGGTTTGGATAGTCTTCCTGATCGTGTCTCGGTATGCCCTCTTGAGGGCGGAACAGCTTACCACGACTGAGTCGAAGCCAAGATCTGAAATAGACTCGACGGAGCGCTTCGAGATGCGTTTCAGCCACAGAGCCCGATCGTCATCAGTGAGTGCAACACAGCCCGCCATTTTTTCCACTGCGGCCTTGCAGTGTAGGCCGTCACCTTCGATAAATGGGATTGCCAGAGCTTTAGACAACGCCGTAGACAACGTGGATTTGCCGCAGCCCGCGGGGCCAGCTATGACAATGACCCTCTTCGGTGGTTCAGACTGACGTGCATTGACCTTCCAGGCATTGGCACTGAAGTATCTGACGAAGTTATCAACGAGCTGCTGACCGAGAACGGGGGCATTGGCCAGCGCAGGAGATAATGAAACCGCACCGTCGGTAATGAAACTCTTGGATGGTGTAAAGTCATCCTTGTCATACTTTGAGGCGAAGAAGTCCACGAGCTTGATTGGCGGGTTCACACTCGGGTCTGGATTGGAGGCACGCAGACGTCGAACCCATTCCTTGGGCTCTACCTCTTGAAACTGCAAGCCTGCTGCCTTCAAAGCGGGCAGCAGATCGTTAGTCCAATCGAATGTCTTCGGGTTGGTCACATTGGCGAATGTACTGCCCGTATCGGACAGAGAGATGTCTAGAATCGTCTGAGCAACAGTATCTACAGGGAGCCAGGACGGAGTCTCTTTCAACTTCGGCAACGCTCCCATAGTGGCGGCCGTTTGAAGCATCAATGGGATGGCTTCCGTGGCGTTCCATACACCATGGACTGTATCCGCAACAATCTGACCTACGCGGAGGACTCGGCAAGGGACACCGGTCTTCTCTGCAGCCTGGGAACATATATGCTCAGCCACCGACTTGGACTGCGCGTAACCCATGCCTTGAGCCCATGTCAGGTCTGGCAGAGACTCAGGAATTGGCACTGTTGTTGACCTGGCGACGGCACTGACAGATGAACAGAAGTTGAAGCTCGCAGGTGTTGCTCCAGACGCTTTGCACAGGCTGATGAGGTGGTTGACACCGGCAATATTGCTCTTGACGAAGCTGGTCAGACGCATGTTGAAGTTGACGGACCAAGCACAGTGAATGACAGTTCTGAGGTTCTCCTTCACTGTTTCATAAGCATCGACGGAGAGACCCAGCTTGGAGTCAGAGAGGTCAGCGGCCAGAGCCACGAGCTTCCGTCGGGACGACAGGGTCATGGAATGGTATAGCCGACGCTGGATAAGAGACTTCTTCACTCGTTGCATGGCCTCATTATCCGACCCTGCACGCACAAGGCAGTATATGGCGGTGATAGAAGAGTCCATGGCGAGCTTGGCAATGACATGGGCACCCAGCGATCCCGTGGTACCTGTTACGATCTAGCTATTGTCAGCTTTGAACTATTAATAATCATAGGTCATTAGGCGTACCGCAGACGACTTCGGGGCTCTTTCAGGTGCCTTGAAGTTGCCGTACTGGCCGATGAGTTCAAGCATCTCATCTTCAACAGCAGAAGACATCGTGATGTCTTCGCCGGACCCAAGGCTTAGCAAGTAGCGGCTCAGCTTCTCGATCGATGGATACTCAAAAACAACAGTCTGGCTCAGCGAATGACCGCCGATGTCGACCGTCTTCAGTATCTCACTTCGTGTCTGGATCGCTTGCAGTGAGTCAAGGCCAAGAGAGAAGAAGTCAGTGTCATCTTCCAGAGTGAGATCCCTGGCGAGGGTCTGGAGCAGTGACGAGCGGAGGAAATCTCGAAGTTCAGCAACGGCAAATCTCTTGGCATTGCCACTGCTGGAGTCGGCTCGGTCGTATGTCTCATCGATCTCAATCGCCCACTTCTTATAGAATGCTTGGCGAATCACGCTGCCCTTGTCTGTTCTCGGATAGGCACAGTCATGGGGGAGCAGCTTGATCATGTTTTTGGAGATGCGAGCATACGCCTCTGCTGAGCGGCCAGCTGCTTCCACCACAGGCCATATAATCTCGAGGATCTCGTCATCCGACTTGCCGGCCAAGCTAGGGGCGGGCACAATCAAGGCACCTAATGCCGGGCGGCCGATACCGAAGACGACGGCCTCGGTGACATTCTTGTTTGAACGGATGGTGCCCTCCACGTGAACAGGGTTGAACTTTTCGCCATTGACAAGTGCAATGGTGTCGTCGAGTCGGGCAATGTACTTCCAAGCTTGAGGGATGGTTGGGTGAGGCTCGAACAAGTCCTTGGTAGTGTAGGACCCGTCGGGCTGGTTAGAAGCCACCTTGGACGGCCATCCAGGCAGCACACAACATTCGAACAAGTTTGGCCCCCTGGAGATCCATTTAAGATACGGCGACAGCTTGGGCGACTCGCGCACATAGTTCCAAGCAGTATCCCCATGGGGCCGGAAGGATGTCATCAGCTGACCGACCTCAGTCCTGTACCAAGAATATGAATATTTTGTACCTCTAAACGGATGTGAGCGACACAACTTACGCGCCATAATGACCAACAAGATTGACTCCGCTTGCTACTAATTGGTTTCCAAGATCATCAGGGCAAGCCGAGCCACCGTACATGACGATGTTCAGCTCACACAGCAACTGCATTCCCTCGTCGGTTTCTGCAAGCAGTTTTAACGCGTATGGAACACCATAAAAGATCTCGAACTTGTGGGTCCTCATTATTCCGGTCAGGTGCTCTCGGGTCAGTGGCAGATCTGCATTGTACAAGTGGATAGGTTTCCCGGAGTAAATGGCTCTGAACATGTTGCAAATTCCATGGTTGTGGTAGAGGGGAAGCGTGATAAAAGCCTTCATGTCCATAGACATTGAGTAATTTGCAATCGCCGACTTTTGCGTCTGGTAGATTGGCTTAGGCAGTCCAGTAGATCCTACAGCACCTGTTAGCGAAGCCTTGTGTGATGTACATGCTGAAATACTTACCACTGGAGTGAATTATATATACAAGGTTATTGGTTTCGACTGAGTCATCGAGGCCCCTAGTCAATTTGGTATCCGCATGGATCTCAATGGGAAAATTGAACGTCAACTGTCCTGCAATTTCTAGAACGCCAACATGATTTAAAGTCTGATGCACAGCCTGCGCCGTCTTTAGGTACCTCGGGTCCGCGAGGAGGAACTGTGCATTCGTAGTCGTAATCAAAGACTCGATAGCTTCTTGGGAGATCCTGGTCGAAAGAAATAGCGTGGTGATGCCAAGTTTCGTCAAAGCCAGCATGGTGACGAGATAGTCAAAGTTCGATGGCCCCAGGATGGCAACGACCATGGGTTTCTCTTCAGAAGACGTTCTTTTGGGTATGTGCTGTTGGTAGTGTTTTGCTGTGCGGAATGCGAAGACGTCTAATTGTTGCATAGTGTAGTTGACATATTCAATGCCAGTCCTGGGATACGCCACGATGACTTGATCAGGCCGTGAGCGAGCACGCCGCCTGACCAGGTCATCCACCGTCTTCATTGTACTATCATCCTCATCGTACGTCTCCTGCGCAACCGTTGTAGGCTCTAAATATGACTTGGTGTCCCGCACAGGGCTGGACACGTCCAAGCTAGGACTTGCCACTGACGGAGGCGCCATAGTAAAAGAGGTCAGGGCTAGCAAAGTATGAAGAATGAATTGCTCGAAACATAACATGCAATCATCTCGAAAGAAGTTATATGTAAATGAAAAGTCCTTGGAGGCTATTTTGAGTATCGAAAGGTCGCCAGTGGCTATGTGATTCTCCGGACCAGGATGCCGTACTCCAGATTGAGATTCCGCGGGTGGAGGCGCTATCGTGAATAGTGGAGTATAAGCCGGAAAAGCAACCACGCGTGACCTGAGCTCCGTCGAATTTCCGTCTTCGTCCCGAGCAGGGGCCTCTGAGGACAATTATCCGTCAACGCGGAGGAGCATCCCACAACGCTGGGGCGTATACTTCTCCGTACAGGGGCATACTCTCCGTCATCGCCCACCTATCCGCTCAGCGAAGTGGCACCCATAAAAGGATTAGGCCACTTTCAGTACAACGTTCTCAGCCCCTGACTGTATACGACTTCACCACTTCATCTCTTTTGCTATCCCTGTCTACAACCATCTCCAAAGTACACCGCCAATATGCCTATCGCAACTCATTTCACGTTAAACACTGGGGCCAGGATTCCCGCGGTAGGGTTCGGCACCTGGCAGGCCGCACCTCGCGAGGTAGAGCGGGCCGTAGAGACAGCCCTTAAGGCTGGTTATAGGCACATTGATTGCGCTGCCATCTATCGCAACGAGGCCGAAGTTGGCGAGGGTATCCGTAAGAGCGGTGTTCCGCGTTCAGATATCTTCGTCACTGGCAAACTATGGAACACGAAGCATGTACCCGAAGATGTCGAGTCGGGCCTTGACAAGACATTGAAGGATCTGGGGACAGATTACCTGGATTTGTTTCTCATGCACTGGCCAGTGTGAGTACCCCTGACACTCGTATCAATCGTTTTCGCAATTCAGGTCTAATGAAATTTGCAGAGCTTTCAAGCCCTCGGACAAGTGGTTCCCCATCGACTCAGATGGCGTTTTTGAGCTTGCGGATATTGATCCTGCCGAGACCTGGGCGGCCATGGAGAAGCTGGTAGCATCAGGCAAGGTCCGCGCTATCGGAGTGTCCAACTTCACCAAGCAGCGCCTGGAAGACCTTCTGTCCAAGACCAAGACTGTTCCGGCTGTCAACCAGATCGAGGCCCACCCCTATCTGCAACAACCGGCTCTTCTGGAGTTCTGCAGTTCAAAGGGTATCCAGGTGGCTGCGTACTCGCCGCTCGGTAACAACCAGACCGGCGAGCCGCGCACCGTTGATGATCCGCTGGTCGGTGAGCTCGGCAAAAAGCTGGGCGTGGACGGTGGCCAGCTTCTCGCGTCCTGGGGAATTCAAAGAGGGACTGTGGTTCTGCCCAAGAGTGTCACTCCCAGCAGAATCGAGTCGAATCTCAGGGTGCAGGAAATCCCCGCGGATTCCTTCGCCCAACTAAATGGCCTGGAGAGAAACAAGCGATTCAACTGGCAGACGAGGTGGGGTGTTGACATCTTCCAGGAACTAGGCGATGAGGAGGCGAAGCGCGTTGCGAAGGAGACCGGCCCTGAGAACTTGCAAAAGTTCACCGCCTAGAAAAGGGACGTAATAAATGGTAGTAAAGGGATTTGTTTGAATAGATATAGAACTAAGCGCCGATATTGGGCATCCAGCCAAAAGAGCTGCTGTTATCAAAGTTATATAGACCAAATGCCGACGAGTCAAGCTCCAACCAATCTGTTGTCTGCCATTCATCCAACAGATTCGTGTCGCGAAACCCAAAACCCGCGTCAGCCATCATGAGCTGGTCCTGGTGACCACCAAGCTGCATTTCTGCCGTGACGTCGCGATTCTGAAGCGCAAGCCTACCGGTGGTCGCTGGTTGTTGGAAGGCTTGGGCCGAAGACCCGTTGTTTCTTTCGTGAGAGCCTTGACCTGATACGTCCTCTTGACAGTTGACTGGCTTGCCAAGAGCTTCGGAACTAAGTTCTTCGAGAATAATTGCATAACGGCGACTTGGTGAGTTCGTTGCGGTAGCCATGGCCAAGTGTGTATGACAGCGTTCTGCCAGGGCCATCAACTTGCTTTGTTGCAAGCCAAGGTCCAGTGCCGCGCCGCCCCGGCGTTTTTGTTGTATGTCCCAAACATATGCAACAAGAAGTGCACAGAATGTAACATACTGGGTCCACCAGAACGCATGGAAGATGGGCCCTTCCGCCGCCATACGATCTACTGCCTGGAAGACATCCATCGCCGCGCCAATGCACTCGATGATCTGTGGACGACTGTTGTCGTTGAGGTTGCCTAGTAAAAATAGTCGGTTTGCGTGCATTATAGCATGCGAATATGCCAGCTTCAAGACCGTGGCCTGTCGACGGAAGCCTGCGATGAGCATGGACGGTCTGATCGATCCCAGATGAGGTGGCAGGCTTGCTTTCCACTGGTGAAGCTTTTCGCTGAGTCTTTGGGCTGCCGCAGCGCGTTCTTTCTCCGTAATCTTCTTGGTGGAATATACCTCTCTGGAGATGCTACCAATAATCTGAGCGATCCTACAGCCAGCCAAGTGTCAGCACATCTGTCTCGTTACCGTCTTCACTGCGTATAACATACCTTGCATGAAACACCAGTGCGTTGATGAAAGTATCGGACGGATATTCGCTATCTGACACCGGGCCCTGAGGTGTCATGTTTTCATCATCAATACTATCAGGGAAATCTTGATCAACGTCGTCATCATGGAAGTGTCGTGGCCTCCCAAGGATAACCCCAAGGTACTTATCCAGGATGTAGGCTGTCCAGAAGGTACGTATCCTGCACTGCTCCTGCATGTAGTCCGTGCTACTCGCAGCCATGCGACGTTTCCGGGAAGATTTTCGATGCATGCCGAGCGCCGAGATGATCTGCAATGCAACGCCAAAGGTAAACCATGCGTGGTTCATACGCGAGGTTGTGAGGAGGTATAGTACTTGGATTATGCGCGCCTGCGCGGATTCGAGTTTGGGAAACCCGGTCTCGCCGTCAGTCAACTGTGAAGAGACGCAGAACAGGCGGTCACTACGACGAAGCGAGGCCTCTTCATCTTCAATGGTCCGGAAGCCCATGGATTTGTCTTGGTGAGCCGTGGCAATGGCGAGCGCCGCCAGGACCATGGCAGCCCTGGCGCGACCAACATCCTGCCATAAAGGTTTCTGTTGGTGTATATTACTCACCAGAGTTGCCAGCCAGGATTCGACGGATGGTCGATGCACTACACGATACGTGGCGATACACACGTCAAAGTACAAAGCCATCAATCCCCGAAGCTCTCCATCACTCGGGAGTGACAACCATGGTGGCTCACCGTCTAGTAGCTGTGGCAGTGGCTTGTCACCAGCCGACATCAACGGCTGTCTATCGGCTGATGCGGCGGCACCGTCAGTGACTTCAGTCTTGTCATGCCTTGACAACCGACGCTGGGCCCTCTCTAGGAACGTGATTCCCGAAGTTGGGTCGAAGATCTGGCCCTCTATCTCGGCCACCCCTAGCTCTGGCGAGGCGCGCGAGGCCGGACCCTGGCTGACGGGAGCCTGATAGCGATGACCCTCAGATGAGAAGGCCGCCGAACTGTCGATGGCGGATTCCCGGAGCATGACGGCCTCATTGTCTGGCAGATCCGACGATGCGGTAGGCTGCAAGGACGGTGTTGGTTCTGGTGGATGGCCTCGAGAGTACTTGGCATCGTACAGGCACGTGCGCCCCTTTTTTGAGCACTTGTCACAGGGGATGGTGCCGCTGCATTTGGCCTTGCGCTGCTTGCAGAAGTCGCAAGCTCGCGTCACCTTGAGGATCTTGCGCCGCTTCGGCGACCTGGGACTGAGATCCTCCGAGATAGTCAGCGAATCCGGCGACCCGTCTGCATGGCTGTGACGTTTGGCTCGCGTCAATTCCGAGGCCGTCAAGTCCACCGCCGTCAAGTCCACCGCTGCGGCCGAGGCCGAGTGCGATATGGCAGGACTCGCTATAGAGGGCTGCTCCATCTGCAGGGACGGATATCCTCGATGTCGAGCAGAGCAACTGTGATGGGAACACGAACGCCACGGAGCGGAAAAGTTGCCAGAATAGAACGGAAAAGAAACCCTATTATATGTGACTGAAGGCATCGTGGTGGACCCCTTAAACTGGGTCATGCGGGGAAGCGGGGGAGGTATCAGGGGGCTCTCTAGCCCCCGGTCTGAACCCCCACAGACTTCCTTGTGTCTGTCCACAATTCTCACTGTCCACCCGGTCTATTCCAGGTTAGCTTTCAGGCAAAGTGAGCCATTGTCACGCCTCGCATACTCACAGGCTACTTAGACACCATTACCAGCAGTCTGGGCGCTTTGATTGAGACTAGAACACAAGCGTTAACCGTATATTACATATTGCATGCCGTAGCTCTGCCGAGAGTGGAGTAGTGTGAGCCTGGTGCTGGTCCCAAGTGACCATTTGGCCAAATGGATATTACTGACCAAATCGCTCTGCCATTCGCGCTGCTGCGGCGTCTGCGAAGTTGAAATAGCAATGTCCCTTGTGTATACTAAGTTATCTAGATACCCTACGTACGCAAGTATACAGCGTCCATTTTCGTTAGTCCAATTTCACGTTGTCGACAGAAGCAACTCAAGATGGCAAGTCTATATCGGGATCATGATCAATTGGATCCTAAGGTGGATTATGTTACTAATAAATGTCTGATTGTCCTATAGTCAACCGTCGTCATCGTCCTCTCCGAGACGCCGACGCGCGTGGACTTGTGGAACTCGCGCGGTGTATCAAGATGTCATACAGCACCACCTTGGTACGGATTAAGCCGGCAGCAGAAGCGGGCTTCTGTTATATCAACTCCTAGGCTAATCGAGCACGGCAACGGGTTACAAAACGACAGCATTGATCACGATGCAGGGTAGCTATCTCCACGGGACCAGCCTTGCAATAGTGTTTGCCATGAAGTGGGGAGCATTGGGCTTGTGGGCGACGACACGATTCATGGACTGTGACGGACAAAGACGATGGAAAAGCGTCTGACTCGCAGCCCAGGAGACTGGGACACATCCACCTTGGCTGAACCGTGGAACCATAGTGGAACGATTAACACCACGCGCAACGGTCGGATCGTCATTGCGAACTGGGCGCATCACTACTTGAAGCTGAAAGTCTCGAGCATGATAAGCTCATCCGCCAAGGCGTGGGAATGAACCAGGTGGGAAAAGTTGGGGATGGGCTGCGGGGAAACACGGATTTCTGTCTCTACGAGACACTGCGAGTCTACACTACGGGCAGTTCATGTCAAGAAAGCCAATCACGAGTAAATCCGTCCTCGAGGACCGCTTCCCGCTACAGGGAACCATTTGCGGGGCCCCGCAGTCATTGTTTTTGGGGTTTCCAACTCGGTGCGGATGGACCAGGCGAGGCTGGCTCTGCAACGTCGGGCTTGTCGCCAGGGTTGTTTGTGTATATGAGTCCATGATATGCCCAACGATATAGATGGCTCTTCTAATGCATCACAGCACATCATCCTCTCTCTCTCATCAGTGGGACCCAGGTTCCACAGTGTCGTGCTGCATCTTTGACACCAGCCGTCCAATCCGATTTATAACTCCCCCGACTCTTGGTCTTCAGGCTGTTCAGACTTTTCAAAGAATCAGGCGAGATGTCTGATGAGAAGCCGGAAGTCGTGATGATGGATCGGGATGTCGATTCTCGCAGCGACGCCGAGAAAGCTCCTGTGGCGCGAACCATCGACAACATACGTGTTCTCGGCCTAACTGACGACGACGCCGAATTTTATAGCGAGTTCGGCACTGCAAACAAAAAGAAATTGATCCGCAAAGTAGGATACTCACGAGGTCGCTGAGACAAATCATCCAGTGCGCTAACCTGTCCATCCTTGTAGGTCGACATACGCTTAGTGCCTATGCTCGCGATCCTTTACCTCATCTCTCAGCTGGATCGAGCCAATATTGGTAACGCCAAGATTGAGGGTATGGACAAGGACCTTCACCTCACCGGCGTCCAGTACAACATCGCCCTCTCGCTCTTTTTCGTACCCTATATTCTATTCGAAATCCCAAGTAACATGCTGTTGAAGAAGTTCTCAAGACCGTCGGTTTATCTAGGAACTCTCGTCACCTCTTGGGGCGTCATCATGATGTGCCACGGTTTCGTGAAGAACTTTGCAGGGCTCATGGTAGTCCGGATGATCCTCGGAGTCCTGGAAGCTGGTTTTTATCCTGGTGCGGTCTACCTCTGCACCTTTTGGTACATGCCGAAGGAGCTGGCGACACGAATTTCCGTATTCTATTGCTCAAGCGCACTTTCTGGTGCCTTCTCCGGTCTTCTGGCTGCTGGAATCGCAGAGATGGACGGCGTTGGTGGATACCGTGGTTGGCAATGGATTTTCATTCTGGAAGGACTCTTGACCATTGTCTTGGGTGTCATGTGCTTCTTCTTCCTGATCGACTCCCCTCGCCTGTCCAGCAAGTGGCTTAGTCCCACCGAAATCCGGTACCTGGATCTCCAACTCTTCATCAAGCAGGGTGGTCGCTTCTCCGACGCGAAGGAGGGTATCACTCATTGGCAAGATTTCAAGGCTGTCATTTCCAACCCTCGCATGTGGGGCCAGGCCTACATCTTGCTTTGTATTTCGGCCTGCTCCTATGGTAAGTTAAACTGTAGTCCATCTTACTCTGTTGTAATCGGTCGCTAATTCAGTCTCTGTAGGAAACAAGTTCACTCTTCCGTCCATCACAAAGGCTATGGGTTTCACCAACACCAATGCTCAGCTGATGACGGTTCCCCCCTACGTTGCCGGTGCTATCTCGGCCATCTTCTTTGCGCGCCTCTCAGATCACTTCTACTGGCGCATGCCTTTTGTAGCTATTCCTCTGGCGCTGATCGCCGTTGGATACAGCATCATCATCTCGTTCAAGGGGGATCTGCCTGGCCATGTAGGCGCCAGCATGTTCGCTGTTATCGTTGCATGTATTGGTATCTACCCAGTTCAACCTGCCTGCAGCTCATGGGCAGCCAACAATTTGGCTCCATCAAGCCGACGAGCTGTCGGAGTGGCATTCGTCATTGCCACAGGTAATATCGGCGGCATCATTGGATCGTACATGTTTTTCGACCGCGAGGCGCCAAGCTATTTCACGGGCTACGGACTGGCCATTGCATTTGGCGTTACCGGCATGATCATGTCCTTCGTTCTGGAGTTCTCTTACATCTGGTCCAACAAGAAGAGGGCAAAGATCTCGGAACACGAGGTCCGCAGTATGTACTCTGAGGATGACCTGTTGCGACTGGGTGACAACTCGCCACTATTCAAGTACACAACGTGAAGAGGTAATGAGTCCTGAGTTGTATTGGAACCGCTGTAAACAAATAAATTCCAACTCAACAGTAGCTAGATATATATACATATGTTATAAATTTAACGAATACGTCCTGAATGCTTTGTCTTCCTCAAGAAAAAAGAAGGAATAGTCTGACCCTACATGTCATGAAGCGAAGATGGCGCCCATCATCTTCATGGTAACCTCTTACGGCAGCCACCAACTATTGCATCTAAAAGTAATATAGACGAATCAAGAAGCATGATGTGCACTGGTAGATATGACTCTGGATCAATAACAAAGTATGTAAGCTCACTAGCAGTTGAGTACAACCCTGAACCGGCCACCCATTCGCAATTTTCTGGCCTTGTGCCAAACCTCTAGGTCTGTAAGTTTACGTTCGAAAGTATTGTCCGTCTACGGGCAGGCCAAAGGTCTGCAAAAGAAGCCAATCTTGCCAATCTGGATTTCTGGGCGTCTCGCCTGGAGGACCAATACTTGCACCGTTGGAGGGCCTTTCAAAGCTGGTCTAAGCTATATAGACTTTGTGCCAACCGTTGACTAGTGCATGGGCGTTAGTAATACCCTTGTTGGAGCGATCTAGCTCGACCTCGGCCAGAATCATAAATGATACCACAATTGAAACCCCTCATGACGTAGACTTCTGTGTTCTAATTATATAGGCGATCCTAATAAAGCTGCATTGCTATCAGAGCCATTGTCAATGCACACCAATCTACCAGCAACAATGGCACCACCCAAAAGAGCACTCATCGCTGTAACGTCTGCTCATGCCCCTCTGTATCCCGAAGGGCACGAAACGGGTATGACTCTACAGCCAATACTTTGTTCGTGAAGTTTTACATCTAACACTTTCGGAAGGACTGTTTATCACAGAAGCACTGCACCCTTTCGAGGCTTTCGAGAAGGCTGGATTCGATGTGGACCTAGTCTCCGAGACGGGCACGTATAGCCCTGACTGGTTGTCGCAGCAAAAGGATTGGCTCTCTGGGCATGACCGCCAGGTGTGGGAGGACCATTCAAGCCACTTCCGCCACAAATTGGATCATCTCATGAAACCCAGCGACGTTATGGCAGATCAGGTAGGTTCCACCGCAGGTAACTCAGGGTGGCTCCTGTTTAATCAGTCGATCTAGTATGGAGTCTTCTTTGCTTCCGCTGGCCATGCCTCTTTGATCGATTATCCGGAGGCCCATGGCCTGCAGAATATTGCGTCACAAATGTATGCAGACGGGGCTGTCGTCTCTGCAGTGTGCGTATTCCGCCCTAATCCAAGACGTGTTGCTGATCTATCATAGATGTCACGGCGGTGCAATATTTCCCGGGATCATCGATGAACACACGGGCAAGTCAATTATTGCTGGGAAGAAGGTCACTGGTTTCACCACCAAGGGGGAGGAGGAGGAGGGAGTGCTCGATACCATCAAGAGCTGGCATCGCCCCACCATTGAATCGTCTGCCAGCTCAGCTGGTGCACAATGTAAGTCTTGAGTCACGGGTACCTTTCGTGAAATTACAAAGACTGAACTAGAGCCAGACATTTCCCCACCTGGGCCCTGGGACGTGTTCACTCAAACCGATGGCAGAATCGTGACTGGCGCAAACCCTGCGAGTGCTCAGATGACCGCAAAAGCTGCCATTGCCGCATTTGATGAGTTGTGAAAAGCATGGAAGGTAAACTCGGGATAATCAGGGTTTCTTTGGCATGTCGATACGAACGCCAGACTGTACTATGAAGAGGGCTAGACCTTAACCACATTCATTTTTCAAGTAAAGTAGTAAAATAGTTTTCTTTTATGGGGAAATTGCATTAGCACCAGACCCGGGAGATATTTCCTTCGCCAAATTGGCAGAGTTTTTGTTCCATCAGCCGGTAACCTGATTGTGGATATCAATTCTAACGGTGCAATAGGGTATCACTACAGTTGCACGCGCAGATCCCATATGTCAACCTTCAGAACCAAGTAGCAATGCTCCATTTAAGATAAGACTGCGATATTTGTGGCATAAAATCTGATACGAAACGTTTGAATCGGAAGTACAATGGGCACAACATTGATGGAAGGTCCTCATGGCAAGACCGCGGGGGATGGACGAAATCAAGTTAAAAAGTTGAGGAACCATCCCTCTGATTTTGTTTTGTTTTATTTTCTGCCCCTGGTGTACATGTGGACACACATCATCGTGCTATGCGCAAACAAATGAAGCCCAATCGTCCGAATCCCCTTCGGTATAATGACTGGTTTTTGGATAAGGACACAGTTTCCTTGTTCGGTTGCTGCCATCAGCAGGGGCACTGCTCAGCATCTCCACTGGCCTGTTTCCAGCCTCAACCCACCCGGTCAGAGCATCAAGCGAAGACAATATCGCAGGAGCCTGAGGATAGCCCTGTGCGGCACCGCAATGGCCACCACCTGGTTCACGATTAGTCTCAGTCGACAAAATGACATGCGTCATGTAAGGAAAAATAGAAAGAGGCACAGGCTGTAGAAAGTTCATGACTTACCGGGAACCATGTATAGTTCAAACCAATCATCAATGTTGCCTCCCATTGCAGCTTCTATCTGCTGGAAATGCTGGATAGGCCACACAGCAGCATTGAACGGATCGGCCCACCCTTGCGTGACGATCATCTTACCTCCATTGGCACGAAAGGCTGACAGGTCCGGGCTAATCTCGTCGATGAAAGTGCCGGCCTTTTTGTCCAGGACATCAACATCACTGCCCCAGTTGAAAGCGGTGGCATCATAAGACAGATTGTCGAAAACGAGATTCTGAAGGATCGGTATCGTAAAAGCATTGGCTAGTTCTTCTTGTTGTAACATCCATTCCGATTCGCTGCCAAACGAAAACCCAGGATAGAGACTGGAGTTGTCTCTACTGTCGTGAGGCCCGTCGTAGAAGCGCCGAAGAGCCACCATCTGCTCGGTGGTCAAGCAACCAGAAGTGTTGTCCGCAGCACAGCTCAGGGACTCGAAGTCGAATTTGCACACAAGGGGGTCCTCAATAATACCATCCAAAACTCCGTCTAATTCGTCACAAGCCTTCACGACGGATGAAGTGATGTAGTCGAGAGTCTCCTGCGGCAGAAAGTAGGGACTCTGTGGAAAGGTCAAATTAGCTTCATCGTAGAACGTCAACGATTGCCTGAATTTTACACATACGGTCGACGATATTGCGTTCCACAGAAACGAGAGACTGAGGTGAGAATACCAGTTTCCTGGACATCCGGCAACAATGCCATCGAACAGCGTAGGGTGAAACTGGGCCAGTGCGAAGCCTTGGGCACCTCCCGTAGAACATCCAACATAATACGTATAAACCGGTGCTGTGCTGTACAGGTGTTCGACGACCGCTTTTGCAGGCGGAGTGAATAGGGCAATGGAGTTGTGAATCCATGCGGAAACCTGATTTTCGTCATGAAGATAGGGGATATATACCCCCGGGGCACCTTGACCATTGTTGTTCTGCGACCCAAGATGGCCAGAATCGCCGCCTGCCACAGCGAAGCCCATGTTCATGTTGAACATGAGTGCGGATTGCTCGACATTTCCCGCAAAGCCCCCATTGCCTGGAACATGGTTAGCAAAGAACTTGTATTTTACTCAATATTGGAGAACGTACCAACAGCAAGAAAGTTCCCGTTGTATGACTTGGGCTCAGGAAGCCACACCTCAAAACCAACAGTGTTGTTTTCCGGGTAAGGTACCTGGGCATAGACACGGCAAAACGGGAATTGATTGAAACTTCCTGAGATGTTCAAAGATGCTGCTGGTACGTAAGTAGCATTGATGATACTGAACTGTTCACCGAATGCGGTGCCGGGTTTTGCAATGTCGGCACAGCGCTCGGCATCGCCTGCCGGCTGGCAGGGACTAGCTTGCGCAGCATAAGCTGCGAGAACCAGCAGCTTGAAGGCAATCATCTTACTCGATATGGATAAAACCTGTACAAACCCAAGAATCGACCTATCGAGTATATGGAACGTGCTACGAAGCGTCGAGAGAAATCACCTTGGATGAGCCTCGGTATACGGTCCATCTTATACTGCGGAGATTTTCACGGCAGTGCAACCAGCTTCCCAGTTTTCCAGGCTTGTTCTGCGATAGGCATCAAGAGTCTGTCTGACATGCATGATTGCCGGCTTGGAAGCTATCTTTTCGCCCTTCTCCCCCAGATTCCCAATTCTCGGAAATCATCAACAGGGGGAACATGTCCGAAGGGCGGGGAAACTGGGGGAGTGGGGTAAAGAAGGCCCGCAAGTGAACGGTCACGAGTGAGATTGAGTATCCGCAAGTTGTGTTTCCCAGGCTAGAAGAGGTTAATGGGACCCGTTGACGTCCTGTCACTCCGCTTGAGAGAGCTCTCGTTGGTCGTTGTGACGTAGCATTTCCCCAGTCAAGTAGGGTTGATGCTTGCAGTAATCCTGTCAGTCAGACGAACAGTATCACGGACGCCGACCTACAGGAGGCTTGTCAAACGGAGAGTCTCAACGGCCGAAGTTGAACCGTCCCTATACTGAGATGAGAAAGCGGCGCCTATAGCCTGACTAGGAAGTGGCAAGGGGTTGATTTGATTCTACCCCTGGGGATAAATGGGTCGCTGCTATCTATACCGCTGACCTGGTTTTCAAGTGCCCCAATGCCCCGCATCTGAAGGGGAAAATGCTACAGCGAGTCATCGTAGGAAATAGGATGAGCAGGTCGGAAAAATGCAAACTGACACGATTTTCTCGTGAGAGTATCAGCTGATTGCGACAATCTGCAGCTCTTATAGATCTCCATGCTCGTATCCGTGCGGTAATTCCTTTAAGCGCATAAAGCAGCCTTGGGCCCACCCAATTTGCTGCGCAGAAGTTCCCAGTCCAAGGAACTGAACACTGCACTTTGATACCTGCAGGCTCGCCCATCAACAATGTCTGACCAGACAGCTAAGATCACGTCGATAGAGCCATTGGTACCTTACTTCTCCGCCGTCCGTACTTCCCAATCCGTCTAACACTATAGCAGGACTCCAAAGACTCCAAATGGCTCAAACTTGTCAAGTCCGTACCTGCTGCCGCTTGCCCGGGTACCAACCCGGTGGCCATACCAGCATCAGCTCATCCGTGTGTGACCTAGGATCAACTATGAAGACAAGAACGGAAAACTGCGTACATGGGAAGCCATGCGGCGTCCGACGAAGCCCAAGACCAGCGCCGTAGACGCGATTCAGATCCTGGCTATCCTGGACAAGGAGGACGGCCCCGAAGTGATTCTGGAGAAGCAGTTTCGACCGCCCACAGGCAAGGTCGTAGTCGATTTCCCGGCGGGCATGGTCGATGAGGGCGAGACCCCCGAGCAGGCCGCCGTTCGAGAGGTTGGTAACCCTTCCACTGGCTATGCTTTCCGCGGGTCGCCCCTTTAGCTGACCTATCACTACAATGCCAGCTGAGGGAGGAGACGGGCTTCGTCGGCACAGTGATTGCTGAAGAACGACCTGTGCATTGGAACTGTGAGTCTATCGCTAGTCATTGGTTGGTGAAGGTCTATGTGCTAACTACGGTATAGCGCCTGCATCATCCAGGTATGATATATACGTTGCTTACTCACTTGAAGGCTACATGACTGAATTCGCGCACAGTTCCTGCGTCTACATGATCCGGATGAATATTGACCTGACCAAGCCCGAGAATCGGAACCCCAAACCGGAGCTGGAGGAAGGCGAGTTCATAGAGACCTTTACAGTGCCGCTCAAGGACCTTTACGCAGAATGTCGCAAGCTCCACGCCCAAGGCTACGCAATCGATGGCAAGGTTGGCTCCTTTGCAGAGGCGCTTGAATTGACGAGTGCCTGGCGGGGTTGATCGAGCACGTAAGGGGGCCAAAGAAAGCCGAGAAGAAGGATATAAACCAGCCAATCTAGAACCTTATAGACGAATACCAATCACTGTTCAAACTGAGGGAATCCATCAACACGAGGAAGCCCCGTTGTCGCCCGGCTTGCCCGACCTTTATCACCATGCGCCGGGCGGCAATTGTGGACCCCCATGGCATCCCTTCGTGCCCTTCACCCCGAGACCGCCCGTTTCTTCACTGCCCCACACCGAGAACAAGGCCCTCCCTCCATGCTCCCCTGGTCCTCCCCTGGTCACTATCATGTCCACACCCGCATCCTCGGCCAGGCAAAAGAGGCCCAAGAAACCAAAAGCTGCAAATGCAATCGAGGCGGCCGTGACTTCGTTCTTGGTCCAACGCCCACCTTCTCCTGAGCGTGACGTCCCGGTCCTGATATCCCAGGCCCCCAAAAGATGGACCATCTACGAGCCCATGGTTCTGCTGCCTGCAGGTTCCTTCTCGTCACCACAATGGACTGAATTCCTCAACTCGCTTCCGGAGCCCGAGGCGTCGGACCTCTGGGCGGCCGTGCTGGCCCAGATCTCCCGCACCGCTTCCAACAAGACGCCGCTCACGCACCTGGCCGCCAACGAGGGCATCCCCCTGCACCTCCAGGACGGGGCCGAAGACGCGGAGGAGACCGAGAACGTGCTCCGCAGCCCGAGCGGCCTGCGGGTGCTGCACGGTGACTTTGGCGCTGCTCGGCTCGGCGGTGCAACCCCCGGGCTACAGGACTTCGCCGCCGCGTTCTGGGTCTCGACCCGGCAGAACGGCATCTACCAGACGTGGGCGCCGCGCTGGACCATGTTCAGCCGCGGCAACATCAGCGAGAAGGCGAGGCTACTGGGTTTCCACTCGCCTTCTCCTTCCGACTTCGTGGGTAGGCCATCGCAATTTCAGCACAGGGTAGCACAGAGCAGCGAGCTGAGGGACAGGTATGCCGTCGACCTCTACGCCGGCATCGGCTACTTCGTCTTCTCGTACGCGAAGCTCGGCCTGCGCGTCTTGTGCTGGGAGTTGAACCCCTGGAGCGTAGAGGGCCTGCGACGAGGCGCCATAGGGAACGGGTGGGATGTGCGCGTGTTGCAGGGCGAGGAGCTGTCCAGTGTCGACATGCGCGGGGTACTACGGGGCAAGGAGCGGATTGTCGTGTTTCTGGAGGATAATGCCAAGGCTAGGGAGCGCCTTGCGCAAGTGGATGCCCTCGAGAATGACAGCGAAGTGCGAGGCGACGGTGATGTGAAGGACGCGGTTGAGGTATTGCATGTCAACTGTGGTTTCTTGCCCACGAGCGAGCCCGTATGGAGAGACGCGTGGGAGATGGCCAGGCAGAAGGGGGCGGACAAGGCCTGGTTGCATCTACATGAGAACGTCGGAGTGAACGACATCGAGGCTCGGAAAGGGGAGATACAGAGACTGTTTGAGAGCTACAAGGGCGGGGACCACTCGAGGGATGTATCAGTTGAACACGTCGAGCTTGTCAAGACGTTTGCGCCTGGGGTCTGGCACTGCGTGTTTGACGTGTACGTTTATAGTCGTACTTCGTCAAGACCAACTTGAAGCCAACGTCCGCCGTGCACCAGCAAAGTCCTCGGCATACGAGTCTTAGGAAAAGTCCAGATAGACGGCTAGTCCCAAGTGACCCCTAGACTGGGATGGGTCGAGTCGCAAAACATCCGACACATGCAAAAGGCTAGTTCAATTAGTCGTCGATTGTACATTATGATAGGTAATTATAATGATAGTAATAATATGCTGCTTATAGGTGATCCTCCATCTTGTCATGAATATTGTCATGAGGGAGGGACCACCAGCCATAAGCTTCCCGCCAGACAAGTCCCGCTACGTGTATGTCGTTCCTCATCAACTGTACAGCGCTGCTCCTTGACTAGGGAAGGAGGTACTATGTACAAGGTCGTTGCCCTCGTATCGTGGACACCCTTATAAATGGTGAGTGCTGCACCAGGGTCCCTCTCTGGTGAGACGAAGGAAGCGGCCAGCCGTATATGTATCCTAAAAAGGCCAAGATGGCCCTACGTTGCCGAGTGCGGATGGCGTTGAACGCTCGTTTTACGGACCAGCCCGCCTGAACTTGGTGGGGATGTTTTCCTCGACGATGCTCATGCGGTTCAGCTTCTCGAGGCGCTCCTCGGCCTCCTCCAGCAGCTCGTGCTTCCGGAAGTGCTCGATGTCCTCGGGGTGGGTCAGGTCCTCCAGCTTGGTGTTCTCGTCGTGGTACTTCTCCCAGTGGTGGATCTCGTACTCGTACTCGTCGTCGCCGTGGTGACCGGGGCCGGTGCCCATGTCGGGCAGGGTGCGGCCGGAATGTATGAACTCGACGAACTCTGAGCGGTCGACGAAGCCGTCGCCGTTCTTGTCGATCAGGCCGAGGATCTCGCGCGAGATCTGGTCGCGGCGGGCGGCTGTGATCTTGGCATTGGACTCGTCGAAGATGCCGTAGGTACGCAGGATCTCCTCGGGCTCCCAGCGGCCGTCTCCGTCGAAGTCGTGGAGAGTAAAGAAGGAGGAGGCGTCAAAGTCCGAGATGTGATGTTCCTCTGTTGGGGATTCACGTCAGTCACTCTGCTCTGCTCTGCTCTGTCTGCCGTGCTCTGCGCGGGCGACGGACGTGCGGACAATGGGATGTGATGAGTTTTGGGGGTTTTGTGTCTGCCGCTGGTGCGACCGCCCGAGACAGACAACGGGCAGGCGATCCTCGGTTGAAGCAGTCAGGCGACTCACCGGCCATGTGCTTCGTCATCCAATTCGCATTCTCGCCGACTATAGGCTTCTGCGATCCGCCGTGGTCGCCGTGCGCGAGGGCTTTGCTGGCCAGCGCCAGTGCTATCACGGCTATCGAGCGCATCGTGTGTGGATGGAATCTGGAGCAGTGACGGCGCGATCCCCGGGTCTCGATTGCGCTCTCTTTATGGGGGGCGGTTGAATCGCCGGGAGGAGCAGCAGATGGAGAAGTGTCGTCGAGTCCAGTTCTGGTTCTCTCTGTGGTTGCGCAACCTCGATGAGATTGGACCCAGTATCTTACGGATTACCACAGCACAGCACGGCGGCCGGGGGCACGTTGATCGGCAGCTGCTGCAGGGGAAGCGGGCCACTAGAACGGGCGAGACACTATGGTACAGGGGTTGGTTGGACTGGACTGCATGCGGCGTGGGGTGGGCTTTACCGGACGGAGTAAGGCTACGGGGGACGGGGGCCCTCTATCTTCGACTCAGGAACCACCCACAGGAACCACCCACAGGAACCACCCACAGGAACCACCCACCTGCCTAGCAGCCTAGGTGCCTACCGTACTATCGCGTAGGCGCATAGCTTATTAGCTCGCTGAGGAGGACTCGAACGGCCGCTGGAGGCCCATGGTGAGCGCAGGGCTACCCAAACCATCCCTAGAATCATGGTGTTGGATATCGCGTTTCTCACGAGCGATCCTGTCCGTCTGTTGGTCGTGTCCACAGCCTGAAATGTCGCTGGCAGAGCTACTGTGTCATATTCTCTCCTTCAGTAGCCTGACGTCAGCTGCAGCCCGAGACCCCCACCGCCGCCACACACCACTACCCCCCGGGGAGTTCCAGAGCAGAGCGTCGGTCCGCTAAAGCTTGCCGCGTCTGTGCAAGCTCCACGCCCGCGTCGACATCACGGCACGGCACGGCACGACGCGACACGGCAAGGCAAGGCAAGGCACTCCCTCCGTTGTGCTGCCACCACTACAGACAGCAAGCGATCATGTCACGCTCCCTCGAGCCCACGCTCCTTTCGCTGCTTCCCACCCTCCCGTCGGCGTCCTCGCTGCCCCCGCCGCTGCTCGAGTACGCCTCGAGTCTGCTCTCGCTCTCTCGACACAATGCCAGCACCCTCAAGGCCGAGGAGGAGGTAGCGCGCCTCTACGCCTGCGCCCACCTCGCCTGCGAACGCCTCAAGACCACCCTCGACCTGCCACCCATCCAGGCCCGCCCGCCCGTCATACCCAGGATCTACAAGCGTCTGTATACCCATCTCGACCACATCCTGCCCGCCGCCTCGGTTGGCAAGAGCGGCAGGGTCCGCACGCCGAGTGGGAAGGCTAGGGAGGCGACTGGCGTGTTTGGGAGCGCGGCCGGGCAGAGGATCAGGGACCGCGCTACCCCGAACAAGGAGATGTCCCTGGCCCAGTTCAGGCCGAAGGCAGATGGAACTCCGACAAAGTCCACTGGAAAGGCCGTTCTCCCCGGAACAGGCCGTACGGCTGCTGCTCGGGATGCACTACCTCCGTGGATCAGGCCGACTACGCAATTCATGTGCCTCAAGCTGGACAACCAACGCATGGGCCGCACAGTTCTGGCCGGCATGCAGACCATAGTCGTTCCACACGGCAAGCGCAACAGAGATGCCTGGGTCACCGAGCACTTGTCTCCGCTCCTGGCCGCTGTTTGCTTCATGGTGGCCATGAAGATCGCCAACCTCGAGACCGGGGCGCAGATCAGCAGCGACCAATATATCGCGCTACGTCGAGATATCGTCAGGGCATTGAAGTCTGCGAGGACCGAGGTGGACCACAGAAGAGAAGACGAAGAAGTCTTCTGGGAAGGCTGGTCCAATCCCACACCAAAGGCCGTAGACGAGGCATTGGCCAAGATCAAAGAGAGCCAATGGCAGGAGGAAGATTGGTTTGCAGGCATCGATGATCTGGTCGCCTCCACACACGCTGCCGGTGACAGGGACCTCGAGATGGCGGGTGCGGACGACCATGGCAGCGGTTCCAAGGCTCAGATCCAGCGAGGCGACACTATGCTGCAAAGTCGGTGGGTCATGACGGACGAGAAGCGGGAGGACTATCGCCGGTGGAAAGCCGATATACTGAGTCATATTGAGGAGATGGAAAAGGCACGAGGCAGCGCGATGGAGGTCGACGCCACGGCCTGAGCAGTCTATGACCTGACGAACAATGATACCCCATATTTCCATTGTGCTTCTCTAGCCCATATAGCCTTGCATTGCATTGAGGTATTCCAGAGGTTATCTCAGTCGCCTGTCGCGCAAGCGCTACATGAGGAGACCGTACTTGCGGAGGATAAGCTCGTTGTGCTGAACATGTCCCTGCCACTATTTCCACTTCTTTGGGGGATTTCCATGATACATGGCCCCCCTCTCCTAAGCAGCGCTTCCGCTGTTATTACTACCCGCCAGTTGGTGGATTATTGTTTTCAAACCAGGCCTCATAAGTGAAACTAAGAATGCTGCCGGTTGCTATTAATAAGCCGCAACAACTGGCAGAGCCCGGTGGGCGGCAGGAGAGGGCCGAAGGATCGAAGGTCATATCATTTGTACAGTGTAGTCCCGGGGCCCATGAGCTGCGCCGCTGGACCATGCGGTTAGGTGTCTGGCCCTTGGCCGCCCCTACCCCTACAGATCCATCCATGATGTTCATGATTGGCATGTCGAATAGCGACCCCGCAAAGGTAACAGAGTTCCGAGCTCGGAACTGCTGATCAGACCTTTCCCATACGCATACGAGATGGGAAGTCAAGTACAGTCGCGAAAACTCTATAGGCGTAGTTCCATAAGGCAATTGGAAGAGTCCCAGGTGTGGGAACCTGCCCCACAAGATACTCCTACCCTGCTAGTCGGAAGCAGCCGCAAAGCCACTTCCAACACCTAGGCAGCTTAAGCAGTGGAACCACTGCTATACCCATTCCCCCTGGAGCATTGTAGCGATCCCTGCCACCCGCTTGCGAGACTGAACATGATTGGCCGTGTTCTGCAAGTCGCATCCTTCGTCAAGACTAACAGCCCCCGTGGGACGACGCTGCGCCACGGGTCCTAGATGCAGGACCTCTTGTGCAGTTCTTAAAATGTGCTACAGCCTGCCCTCATCTCCTAGCAACTCTTTGTTTGGCGGGAAGTCAACTTCAGGCGAGAACTCACGGAGAACTTGGGCAGTACCATCGACTCTGCCGCGATTCTGGCAACCAAACGATACGGAAGGGCCAACGTGCAAAGCAGCCCTTTCGGAGCCGCACTTATCACGACCAGGTCTCACCAGAGAAGTAAAAAGCAAGACTCGCCAGGTGTCCATTAGCAAAGCAGCCCGACGTCGCCAGCCATGTGGAAGTTCAAGTTGACACCTCCGGGCAACACGGAGCCAGATAGGGATATCATCCCACCCGATGTAGAGGACCCTCCGCCCCAGAGAAGCCAGACACGGACGCCCTTCCACAACATGGCATCTCAGCCGTCCTCGTTCCCCGAGACTCTGCCGCCTCGGCCGCAGAAGTCCAAGGATGATCGTCTATGTCCCGGAGCACGTTTTGTAAGTGCCAGCCACTAGATGAACTATCTCGACCAGACTCCGTTGTGTGCATTCCCAGAGGCGGGCCTGGAGGCTGTTGCGATGCTTTATTCATTGCCGAGACGATTCCTGACCCTGAGGCTGACATCCGCAGTGCTGGCCCTTTGACTGGTCCTCCTGGTCCCTCAACACCAATGGCGACCACGCGCTGCTCATGCGACGCATCTGCATGTGGGTTACGCTGGCAGTACGCACCTTCACCTACATCATGAGCCTCATCTTGAACCTCTACGGCTTCCACTTTGGCGCCTTCGTCATCGGCATCGTCTTCACCGTCCTTGGCTTCTTCTTCATCGCCTGGTGCCTGGTGGGAATCGCCGAGGCCAAGGGCAGCCGCCGCGTTCTGGGCACTTCCGTGAACCGCTGGCATTTTGACGTCTTCTTGCTCGGGTCCGCTGTGATCCACATTGGCCTCATCTTCATCCTTTTCTTTGCCCGGTCCGCCACCGGTTTCCTCACTACCTGGTACGGCATGTGGATTTTGATTTTCGCTGCCAAGTGGATCACGGCTTGGACGCCCGAGGAGCAAAGCAACGTCTAAAGCAACGTCGTTCACCATTGTTGGGAAGTAGAGGCAACACCTCCCGATGGAATCCTTAGTCGTGATTACTTGTTCGGCTCTGACCACGCCAAGTCATCTGTGCCATGTGTGTGGTTGCTGTATCAATATGTTGTGTATTGACTCTTCAACGGATCGATGAATTTGGCAAGCAGGAACGTCCCTCGGTCAGATACAATACAGCTTTGGATGAATAATGGCTCACCTGAAATATCAAAATGCTCTCGGGTTAATATGAGTAACAAGCGTGAAACTATTCATTGCGCCCATTAGGTCTTCTGAGGACGGCTGTGGTTCGGCCTTCATGGCGTGCTATTGAAAATTTAGTTTTTGTGTGCTTTTACACACCTGTTGTCTCTTCGTTTGGTGTGAATCCATGCAGCAACTGTATACTGATTTCCCGGTAGAGACCAAACTTGTTGTGTCGTCTACGTGGTACCCACCTAAGCAACCGGATTGACACTATCAGCTGATAAAAAGTGTCGTGGGGGACTATAGCCAACGGTCTGACAGCCAATGTCCAATATAGAGTGCGACAGTACCTACCCCATCAAGGGACACGGGCCAAGATGGCTATGATTGCCTCACCCAGCACCTTGGGGAACTCAATTGAAGTAGGCGTTAGGCTAGCCTTCGCATCTGACAATGACACGCAACCTACGTATGTCGAAACTCAAACCGCGGTCAAACGACGTAATTGCGTATCGCCCCCTCCATCTCCAACTCGGTTAGCTAACGGCATTACAAGAGCCCCCCTCTTGAACTATTCAGACGATTGTGTTCCATTTGACAGCACATCCGGTCTATCTACGAGTTAGATCATCTCCAAACCTGCTAATCACCAAGGAATAGCTAGATTTCTTTATCCAATACCGTACCAATGTCGACAGGCGGAGGCGCTGGCTATGTAAGAACCCTCCTCCATCCGCGTTCGTCCACTGTCTTTGTAAGAGAGGCCAACACCAGAGTAGAACCCTGAGGACGTCCGAAACCAGGACAAGTCGGACAAGTCCCTACTCCACAAACTCAAGGATGCCATCAAGCCGCACAAGCACAGCTCAGCCGGTCCGACGGCGGGCCACCCGTCGTCCGCCAATCCACCAACGGAGGGGAGCACCGCTACCGGTGGCGAGTCCGCGGCGCACGATATGCGCCCGCAGGAAGGCCTCCGCAGTGGGGGTGGTGTCGAGGCCCGGAGGGCTCCGGTCGAGCAGTCCATGCCAGGAGCAACCGGGATGCGTCACCAGGGGGAGGACACGCCCAGCGGCATTATGGGCGCGATGATGCCCGGCGGCACTGACGAGGGCAGTAGCGCAACCACCAAGGCCATGGGAGACGCAACGCGGCAGATGACGAGCAAGATGAGCGACAACACGCCCGACGTCAGTAAGGGGCTCAAACCCGGCATTCCGGGAGGCCCAGGTAGTGCGGGGACTGGGGCTGCTTGAGGACGGAGAATCGGGATGGGTGTTCGACAAGGAAATTTGCTGCCTAGTCACATATTACCTGTACTAATAGGATTTCTCTCGTTGATCATCGAGTATGTTATATCATTTGAGATCAATCGCTCTGATGCACGTAAGCCTGCGCAGCCCTTCTACTTTGACTCACTCGACGTCGGATCGATCTTCCCCCGGTCATGCGAGTTAACTTCTGTTGCGATGCCGTGCCAGGTAAGAAGTACTCCTTAACCTTATTTTCCAGTGGACGGCATGCGCTGTGCTATACGGCCGTACATTATAGAAACACCCGTGGGTCTTCGGCATGTATTATTTTCATGCTTCCGTGCGGAGGGTATTCTGCATGGAGGCGAAGACCGTTCAATACATAAAAGTCCCCGAGAAGTTTTTTCCACACGAGTAGTTTCTTCAGAACTGAATTACTCCGGAATGACACTGGTACAAGAAGGCAATTGCTATACTCGGTCGTTATCATGAGCGTTTATACTTAGTAGCGACTATACCGAAGGGTAAATTCGTTCATTTCCATAGTTCTTCATCAAAAGCTCTACACTTTCGGTGAAGAAGTGGCGTCCAGGACATTCGACAGAGTTGACAGTCAGAATGGATTTGATTTTGGGAGGCTGAGATTTGCCGACGTGCATACGGTAGATAGTTGAGACAGGTCCAAGCGGAGTCCCCGCATGCAGCCCAAGAGAATTGTACGATCATGACGGGGGACATGCCGGGCAGGGTCTGACAGCGGTCAGGCTCCATCATGCGGTCCCCATGTTGATCACCACTGGCGCCCAATCAGCTCGGGTGTCACGAAAACACAAACCCGACTGTCCGAGTACAAAGATCGACGCAAACTGCAAAAGCCACAACCCACTGTCATGAATCTGACCGCTTATGTCAGTCCAGTTTGCCCACACGCCGGTCGCGAGGCTGCGGTGCCGCATTGGCGCACTCTGAACGAGGTGTCTTACGGGGCTGATCAGGCTTTCGAACCACAGATAAGTCAACGGAAGACCATCGGACTGAGAGAAGTCACATCATACCGACACTCAGAGCCGTGATGGCAACATGCTCTGCTGACGGTCTCTACTTTGCAACACGGAAGAGATTGAGAGGCAGCTAGTATTTGACGACTATCCATACTCGATATTACCCGAACTCTGATAGGCAAATCAACACGAATGTAGCGATGAATGACACGCAGGAGCTCGACCCGGGAAATGGGATCACGTATGGCTACCGCGGCGGAGACCAGACGATTATCCAGGCCATGACGGCTTTTGCCGCCATCTCATGGGCAACAGCCATTGAGCTCATCATACTGATTTTCCTGGTCTTTAAGAAGTACTCAGGGGTGTACTTCTGGAGTCTTCTCATCAGCACGATCAGCATCATCCCCTACGCCATCGGCGCCTGGATCAAACAGGTCTCGCTGCCGTATACGGTTCCTACCCTGCTTCCGGTGGCATTCCTGAATATCAGCTGGATGGTCCTGATTCCAGGCCAGTCGGTCGTCCTCTGGTCTCGCTTGCACCTGATCACGCAGAACCAACAACTGCTGCGCTTCATACTATGGCTCATCATCGTGGACTGGTTCGTCTTCTGCATCCCGACCACCGTGTTCACCTGGGGCTCCAACACGCACATGGGTGCCTTCGTCGAGGGATACACGATCTTTGAGAAGATCCAAATGACGGCCTTTTCCGTCCAGGAAGTGTTCATCTCGGGCGTATACGTGTGGGAGGTGCGCAAGATGCTGCAGCTGATCTACGAGAAGGAGTCCCGGCGGATCATGTGGGAACTGCTGAGCATCAACGTGTTCATCATCGTGCTGGACGTGGCGTTGCTGACTGTCGAATTCCTGAATATGTACCAGGTGGAGACGACGTTCAAGGGCATGGTATACAGCATCAAGCTGAAGCTCGAGTTCGGCGTCCTCGGCAAGCTGGTCAAAGTTGCATTAGACAGGAAGGGCTCGCACGCAAGAATTGCATCGCAAGAGGCGATCTCGATTGATCTGGACGGCTACAACCCTGCGCCGCGCACACAGGCCCCGGGGCGGAACTTCGAGGCAGACCTGGCCGAAACTCGGAAGCCGTCCGCTCAGTACATTGAGAATGCGGCACAAAGGTTCAACTTCCCCAAGGCACGTCGGCATAGCCATTTCGACCACCATGAGAACCACGGCAGACAGGTCAAAAAGCTCCCCAAGAAGGATGTAGCCCCACCGAGGCCGACACTTGCTTCACGGTTTTCTGAAGGTTCTGGCATAACGATACAATATCCTGGAAGGTTGGACAATGCCGTAGTGTGAGAGCGTTGATCATTCAACCATCTCGTATACGGGCTGGCGAACCTTGAAGTCCCACGTGGCGCAAACCGAAGTTGTGGCCTCAAGACGATGTTCAAACATACTCATCGAGTTCTGGCCTTGGCCGTGTGACTAAGTAGTATCTTCCACAACATGTGTATAAGGTAAGCCTCGGGCTTACTAGATTTATTGGGCATGCTACGGTGCTGAGGATCCCGGATAGAACAGGCTGCTCTGAATCGTCGAATGATCAGCTGACTTGAGAACACAACGTCACATTGTGTACATGACAATCTGCTAGACTGCGGTAGAGTGCTACCTCATGCGGACAGAGGAGTTTGGTGCTCAGCCGCACGGGTTTTCTGTCGAAAGACGGTCTTGAAATGTTGAGGCTCGTTGGGGAATAAAGGCGCACAGTAATCATCTATATCCATTGGCAACTTGACATCGTTACCCTCATCATGTGTCTTCTAATTTACAACCAATCCCAGTGGTGTCATGACGCCCACGCGCGTGACGTGGCGTAACGCAACGTAACCATCATCCTTCGCCGCGCGACTAATAAACAAGAAAACCCCAAAAAGATTGCCTTAAACGCCAATGTGGTATCATCTCATGCTCGAAATGCCGTGCAATATACAAATCTCGACCAAAGGGTCGGGAAGAAGTGGGCATCATCTAGAGGAAATAATCCGAGGGCCCACGTCGGCCGGCTGGCACGTGGCGCATGTCGTCGGGGACTGCAGAGAAAATGGAGAACTTGGGGTCCAGGTTCTTGTCGACCGTCATGATGGAGGCGACGTTGCCACACCGGTAGCAGTAGTTGGGGGCAGACCAGACCGTCACGACAGAGTTTTGGGGGAAATGGAACTAGTTTCAAGTTAGTCATGGGTGGGGGGGTTCATCTACAGGCGGAATAGTTGGCGAAAGAGCGTTGATGTGCGTACCTTGTAGCCTTCATTGACAAGCTGGTGAGCACGCGCAATGAGCTTCAGGCCGTTGACGTGGTTGAACTCGGTGGCGACCTTGTCTCCAAAGAGCCAGCCGGCACCACGGGGACTGATGGCCCAGGTATCGATGTCTTCGGGGTCACTCCAGACGAGATCGCAGAAGGCTCCCTCGTGGGGGATCTCTTGGGCTCGTGCGACGACGCGGATCTGATCAATGGTGCGGATCTCGGGGCTGAGGCCGCCGTGGACGCAGAGAACCTCGCCATCGACGATGGCGGCCAGCACCAAGAAGTCGAAGACCTGGCAGCAGGCTTTCCAGACGGAGGCGTTGCCGTACTTTTGCTGGCACTCCTCGTAGAAGCCATAGACCTGGGTGATCTGGCGTGACTCGTGGTTGCCGCGGACGAGAATGATCTGGTCGGGGTATCTTTTAGGAGGTGATTAGTACCCTGACGGTACGGCTGCTTAGGGGAGTTAGGTAAGAGACTCACTTGGCCTTCAAGCACATCAGGAGGGTGAATGTCTCCAAGCTGAAGTATCCGCGGTCGACAAAGTCACCAAGGAAGACAAATCGCATCTTGGCGTTCTGGACGCCCGGGACAACCTCCTGCGAGGCGGTCCGCGAAGTCGAGGGTTCGTCGGTGGCGGCGTCGTCATCCTCCTCGGTGACCTCGGTCTCGCCCTTGCTGTCCCGGCGGGTCTTGATCTTCTTGCGCAGCTTGGGGTTGGTGATCTCGGTCGGGGGCTCGATCATATCGGCGCTGATGACGGGCTTGGCGCTGGTGGGAGGCTCGACGGCCGTCTCGCCCGGCATGCCGCCGGCGACGCGAAACAGCTCGAGCAGGTCATAGAACTGGCCGTGGATGTCGCCGCAGATGGTGACGGGGGTGACGACGGGCTGGATGTTGCTCTCTGTGGTCACCAATGTCAACGCCAGTCCGATGCGAGCGCGGGTTCACATGGTCATCACGGCATGCCACCCCAAGAAGGATAGGGGTGAGACGGGGGCGTGCAACGTAGACGTACCCTCCATGAGGACCTCCTTGACCTTCTCGCACAGCTCCTTCATGACGGGCTCGGGCAGGTAGTGGCACTGCTTGGCCTCCTCGAGCCACTCGTCGAGGCCGGCGCCGGGCATCAGCTTGGCCGGGCCGGGCTTGGGAACCTTGGAGCTCGGCATGTTGGGCGTGGGCGAGGGCGAGGGCGAGGGCGCGAGCACAGGCGCACAAGGGACGATGGGACGGACGTGGGGAGGCGCTCCAGGCGACGGGAGGGCGTTGTTCGAGAGGGCGGGTTGGGTCGGAGCCGCGGCCGGGGAGGGTGGAAGATGAGGCGGTTTGGTGGTGGTGGTGGTGATCCACGTGGGTTGCGGTTGGTAATAACGATAACCTTTAGGTATGTACTCCCAGATGACTATGGCGGATGATGGGGGCGGGGATGGAGCTGCAGCTGGCGGGCCACGGAGCCTCGTGCTGGGCTTGTGCTTAACGGGGCGCTGCCGTCTTATCGGTGTTGTTGCGATAAGCTATAGCCGCTCTGTGCGTATCGATAGGTCACAACCGGGGGGAGGCGGCAGGACTTGGCCGCCGTATGGGGTAAACGGGCTGGGGTATGAACCAAAGCGAGAGTAAGTGGCCTCTCTCGTCTCTGTAACTACGCATCTCGTCCCACGGTTCCTGGCCATCATGTTCAGACGCAACGAATAGAGGATTACCAGCGTTGCAAATAGGACGTCTGGAAAGGACCCACTCAGGCCATATGTCTACTTCAAAGCTCGACCAATTGCAGTATAAGTTGACCTTGAGCTTGAACACATTGAAACCCACCGAGAAACTAGTCGGTAACCAGTCCTCGCTATTAGCATACCGGGTCACAATCGGTACCGCGCACTAGAGATAGATAGATTACGAGCAACGCCAATGCCAGCGCCAATGCCATTGCCAACACCGAGACCCAAGAACCCCACGTCGTGCCCAAGGGATCCACGGCCGACTTTTGTTCGACGACAGCCGGGCGACACGTCGCGGCAAAAGAGAGAGCGTTCGCCGGCCTACGACAAGTCTCCGTCGACGTCTACGTCTACGTTCTACGTCTTCGCACCAGTAGTCTGCTCCACGCCCCTCTGTTTCTCGCGGCCGCCCTTTGGTTGCAACCGAGAGGCCGATCAATCCGTTCTCCCTCTCTGCCCACCACGGATCCGATAGATAGATAGATCGCCAGCCTGTCGCGCTGCCACCGTCCGACTCGAGAGCCACCTTCCGGCTGCCAGCCATGCGCTCTACTGTCCAGATGAACCCGTCCATTCCACAACGTTGGAAGTTCCTGCTCTCGCGCCCACAGAGTTAGCTTCGCACTCTTTCGAACTACTACCTACCTGCCCACCAAACCCACCCTCCGTCATCCTCGACAGCGTCTGACCCTCGTCCCGCAACAAACCTCTGCCTTCAAGGGTACGAAGCTCACCCCTTCCGCCACGCCCACACTCACCACCGCGACCGCGACCGCCACCACTTCACCACCGCGCCGTCATGGCATCGGCGGCGAACCAGTCCCGCAAGGCCAACGGTGTTGCGCAGGGAAACTCCACCGGGAACGAGACCGGCAAGAAGCCAAAGACTCCCGCCCCCGGCACCAAGCTCAAGATCCGAAGGCTGCCGCCCGACTTCACCGAGGACCAAGTCTGGGCCGTCCTCGGCGACGAATGGAAGGTCGGAAGCGGCAAGGTAGACTGGGCTTCCTTTGCCCGAGGCAAGATCTCAAAGGAGTACGTTGCCCACGCAGCTCGCCAACCCTCACCAGACGCACTTCGGCCAAAGGCAGAAACTGACTGACTGACTGACTGACTGACTGATCCATCTGCAGCCCCTTCAAGCCCCCTCAGCCTGCTGCCCACTACCTGCGTGTCGTCCGAGACGATGACGTTGCTCTGCTGTCGGAAATCGTCCAGAAGGCAAACTGGCCCGACAACAAGCAGCTATCGAACGGCGTCTCCCTCCCGGTCTACATCGAGAAGTCAGACACCAAGGTCCCTCCGACCAAGCGTCGAACCGACCCTAGACAGGGTACCATCGACCAGGATCCCGAGTTTCAAGCGTTCCTTGTGGCCCTGACGCAGCCGCCCGCCCAGAACAAGCCCGACGAGAACGGCGAACCGGCCGTGCCGGGGGCGGACGAGCCCAAGGAGAGCACCAAGGTTACCTCCACGCCTCTTACCGAATACATCAAGGAGCAGAAGGCCAAGAAGGCAAAGGAGGCTGCCGCCGCCAAGAGCGCGAAGCACGCCCGCCAGGACTCCCAGGGTGGTAAGGCCAGCAAGGGCGACGATTCCAAGAAGAAGGGCAAGGAGACCAAGGCCGACAAGGCCGACAAGGAGAGCCAGAAGGCCAAGGAACCTGTCAAGCTTCTCACCAAGAAGGCCGCCGCAGCCCAGGAGGCCGCCGAAGCCGCCAAGTCCGCCGCCTCGAGCAAGACTGCCGACGAGGCCACGCCCAAGAGCAGGCGTGCCAACATCGCCCAGGCAGCCAAGATCCTGCAGCGCGATCTGGGTCTGTCACCGGGCAGTGCCCACCGGAGGGCTCGTCAGAACGCTGCCAAGGCCGAGGCTGCATCGCAGACTGAAGCCGGCCCGGCGACCGTCAAGGAACCCCCCGAGGTGAAGGAGCCCGAAGCCACGAAAACCGTCCCGACGGGCCCAAAGGTGCAAGCCCCAGAGGGATCCAAGAGATCAAGAGGGAAGGGCAAGGCGGCGGCAGCAGAGACCGGCAAGGGAAAAGGGCCCGAGGCTCCCGCCAACCCGACCAAGGGCCCTATTGTCTTGCTGAAAAAGGATCAAAGTAAGAAGGAAGAATCAGCGTCCAACAACACTGCTACGCCACCGACTCCCGGAGCCACGCCCACACCGGTGCCCGCTGCTCCTCCTACACCTCCCACGGGCCCCAAGGCGGCCGGCAAGGCCTCGGCCGCGAAACAGACCACCCCGGCGCAACAGAAGAAGGCGGCTGCCCAGATCTCTCCGGGCGCCATGCGTGCCTTTGTCAAACACGCCAACCCGTCCCAAGGCGTCACCGAGACCCTACTCAAACAGGCCATGGAGGTGTTTGGGAATGTCACTTTTGTCGAGATTGACAAGCGTAAGGGATTCGCCTATGTCGACTTTGATGACGCCGAGGCCCTACGAAAGGCCATCGCCTCTAGTCCCATATCAGTCGCACAGGGTACTGTTCAGGTCCTGGAGCGGAAGGAGAAGAAGCCCGCTACGCCCGCCCCAGCACAGCCCGCGGCTACCGAGAAGAGCTCCAATGATGCGCAAGCCGCCTCTGACAAACCAAAGAGAGGTGGTCGAGGTCGAGGTCGGCGAGGAGGTGGAGGTGGAGGCAACGCCGGAGCAGTAACCACCGCCAACACCGCCGGCGATAGTGCATCTCCTGCTGCCGCTTCTGCTGCGGGATGAAAGCCTTGCCGATCATAACAACTTATCACACACATCTACGCCGTTCCGATATGCAGTTGGAAACTGCCGCTGATATCACACTCTCGGCCAGCTGACCAAACGGCCAAGTAGCTTCATCAGCACGAAGAGATGACGACCACGGGTACAGGTTGATGCTTCTAATGGTCCGCGCCGGGCCCCCTTGGCAGATAACGTCCAGCCCTCGACCGGGGGAGTTGACAGTACCGTGAATAGCAGTATGACTTGGTCAAGCTTCACTGGTAGGGGCAACTGCGTTCATGCTTGATTATGATGGACAGTAGGACATGGACTATATCCTACGGGTCTCGGGATGGCAGAGCTTGGTCCCTCTCATTCAGGCCATGCCTTACGCATAGATACTTTTAGGTACAGACTTCCTTGTCCGCCTCTCCGCCTCTCCGCCTTCACTTGTACCGTTTGCAAGGCTTGATAAATCGTCAACAAAGTATGCCTCTGGTGTGTTGTATATCCCACTGTGAACCCTTCAAGCGTAGGCCCTGTCCCTCTATACCAATATTCTGCCCCACACCGCTCGCAAAGGGCGAATCGGGCAGGGGGCGGATATTGATTGGACTATTATCTACAGGTAGAGATCAGGAATTGTAGATGTGAAGTGAGTCTACAGCTATCACTACATACCGAGGTATCTAGGTACCTTGCTGCATTCGTTCCTCTAAATGCCAGGCAACTTTGTCAGGATTTATACCCCTTTGGGTAGCAAACCATTCACAGCACACCGTGCCCCAGGCGGCCAGGCTGGGCCGCAGAGGCTGTAGGACTTGTCTGCCTAATTTCCCCTCGCGGTCAAAATATATCCAACCGTGAATCTCATCCAAGCGAATTCTCCCAATGATTGCATAATGCCAGTGTGAGACCATCATCAATTGGCGAAAACCCGCGGACGGTCAAGTTGCTTGCAAAAAGCCTATTTCGTAGCCACGCGACTATCCCTACGCGCCATGACCTCGACTGTGTTCGCCGTTTTCCCGGGGCTTCCTCCTGAGCTTCGCCAGAAGATATGGCGTGACTCTCTGCCTGAGAGACGCCCAACACTCTATGCTTATAAAGGGGGCTGCTGGCGGCCTCGGCAGCTGACGGAATCAGACCGCGACTACGACCCCCAGGATCCTGAGCCCCAGTTGCGATTCGACTTCTACCACGACCTACTCGATGCCGTCGAAATCAAAACGTGCTTGGTCCATGTCAATCACGAGGCCTGCCAGGTCACCCTGGCTTGGGCTCGAGAACAAGGCATGCAAGTGCGCCGCCATCAAGAAGGAAGCCCGCCTTGGCTTGCGCAGCCAGCAAACCCCAAGCTCGACGTCTTGTATGTCGACCATGATCGTTGGGACGAGTTTTCGACCGAGGCTTATGACCGCATCTACAAGCCGGGACGGTACGAAAAGATGGTCGATGTGGACCAGAGACTCCGGTACATTGCAGTACCAGAATCGTTTCTTGCCGAGGAGAATGCGATCGCCCTCGCCTGCAACTTCTTTGGTTCCTGTCTCAGCACCTTATATATCATTCGCGGGCCAATGCCCGACTTTCGTACCACCAGCGAGCACAGACAGTTACACTCGCACTGGGAAATCGAGCCCGACCAAGGGGCTTGGTATTGGGACTGGGACCGTGGCGCTTTTGAGGTGGTAGATAGCCAGTTTTTGACAAAAACTCACCAGGATATAGAAAAGGCGTGTCAGGAGTCTGTACAGTCCCTGATCGGAAACCGAGTTTATCATCTCACAGTGAGATCTGCCGTTGTCGTCAGAATATCGTAGCACGGAAACACTCGTGTAACAAAGAATGAGGGTAGACATGATTACATACACTGTTTCCCAATACCGTTGCCCTGTGTTGTTACAGTTGGCCTTGCGTTCCAAGGTACGTGAATGGCCAACAGAGGAGACTTGGTCCAGTGCCAATGGTACGAGCATGTTGCTCACAAAAATCACCGCTGAGCTAGATCAGGCCGACGACTGCATATAGAATGATCTAGCTAGAGCCGTGATAAGTTGCACCGGAGGATAAACGTCACATATTCGACTCCGGGACACTGTAGAAGCACCGAATGTGCGGACTGCTTCGTCGTAGAAGTCCAGACAAGAATGACCGGTGCATAGCTGAGAACTATATTATTAGCGATAGCCGCCGCATAATACATTAGCGATTCCAACGCGGCGGCAGCGGACTGCGATTTAGCACAGAATTAGCTACTAGACGTGTTGCACCCTGCAGATTTATTCGCCGATAGCCCGTGCAAAGCCCATAGTAGACATTCAGATGCGGCTATACGCTCTTTTTTGAATTGCACCTCATAGAGCTAGATACAAATTCCTGAACAAGACTCAATTGGCTACTGATGATACGTCAGGCTCATAAACCTGAGATGCCAAAGACCATCAGCTCATCGGAGGACCAAGGCACCTTCTCTGATCAGTGTGCTCATCCGGTCGCAGTCACTAATCTGGATACCTACCCGTGCTGAAGCTCCACGCTCGGCTCTTCACAGACACTGCTTCTGTTTGCAGGTGCACATGCGTCTCTGCGGCAATAGTAGTGGACCTCGGGAGATGCGCCGATCCTCAGCGTGAGGTTGCAGCGCATTGACGTACGTATCCTAGGTCCCCTGCGCACTACCGGCATCCATGCATAGAGAGCGAAATGACGTTGGCAACAGTGGGAGCATAATTGTAGTGTTCATTAATAGCATTCGACTCTGCCTGTATCCATGCATAAGGGGCTGACTTTTGGTTCAAATCACAACCAGGTCAAGGAGTTGAATCCTTTTTCCGAATGTATAGAGCGCTACACCATGCAGACAATGGAGACACGTTTCTAAGTGACTGTCATACGTACCTAGGTTGCTAGAGCCATACTAAGTCTGGTACGATTTCTCATTGCCAGTACTGAACCAAAGATGTTGCGTACATTCACTTCGTCAACCCATTTACCCCTTTTAATGGTCAGTTCAAAAATCGAAAGAGGACTGGCGATACGAGTGAATGTAACTGTCGATCGACTGACGACAACACAACGGCCGGGGCGGCTCCCCCACACTGTGCTGCAAGTGGATTTGGCCCGGCATGGTCCCCTGTCATATTGTCCCAGCGGAGGTATAGCGTGAAACAACTATTTCTCCACGAACTGGAGAAAACCATTAATACGGAACTCATCGCCCATGAGCTTGCACTGATGATCTTGCTACGATGAATCTTTGGAGGTCGTTTATAATATAAAGAGGAGATAGGCACCACGGTACCGAGGAGGCACCTCCATACTATGTACTGTCGATGCGGAGTCTTGCATCGCGACGTGCACCGTCCTGATTGGCATGCCTATCGTTTGAGTCTGTAACAGGAACAACATACTGTTAATCAAGTCACCCAAGCAGCATCATGGCTGCTCGACTGTTCGTGCTTTTCGCGGCGATTGCTGCAGCTATGCCATCGGCCTCGATGCGTGAACGCGAACTCAAGAAGCGGGCCACTACTCTTATACCCGACACGTGTTTTAGCTCTCAATCAACCTTTGAGTCTTACTTCTCTTACAACTATCCCTGGGGTGACACACACAATGGCGCCGCCCTGATGAAGGCCTCCCAGGCCACCATCATCCATGACGCCTACCTGCAACTTCAATCCAATTACACCGGCCCCCAATCAGGTGACAGCAGTCTGCAGTATGACTCGGGAACGGTATACGCAAAGCAGCATTTCACGGTCGAGGCTGGTGGGGGTCTGGATTTCCAGGCCAATTTTGTTGCACCGGTAGCCGAGGGTTGCTGGCCAGCCTTCTGGCTGACAGCCGTGGAGGGTTGGCCACCGGAGATTGACCTGGCGGAATGGAAGGGCACTGGCAAGATCTCGTTCAACACTTTCAACACGAGCTCCGAAGTAGCCGCCCTGGATGTCACCTATCCAACTCCGACTACCGCTTGGCACACGATCCTCGTCGAGCTCAGAGCCGGAGATGATGGGTCGACAGTCCAAGCAAAGTTCTACATGAATGGGAACCTCGTCACGACGCAGTACGGCGCTAAGATGGTCGGCACGGCGTTTTACCTCATCATTGACTATCAGATGCTGGGTAGTAGTGGAAGCTCCGGGCCGACCACAACCACGTATTTCGATGTACAGTATCTGAGCGTAGTGAGCTACAATCCGTGAGAGCGATGGTATGTGCCTCTTTACCCATGACTCGTATGTATCTCCACCGCCGGTCTCATCATGAGTTGGTAGATTATTCGCGTCAATATACCCTCATCAAGATATCAGAGTACCATATTGCTGAGCCTTGGGGTCGTCATTCGGTGAGAGCGAGACTTACAGCGGTGCCAGCGTGAAGAGAAAGCCAACGGCTGAGAAGCGCGGCAGTTTGCTTCCTCACCCCGGAACTGGACGTAGTATTCTGTCTAAAACCCAATTGCACTGCTCCTTACGAGCGCGTCGTAACATTGGCAGTGCTCAACTGTGCCTGGAACTGAGCGGTGATATGCCCGCTAAGCATAACTGAATTCATCGAGCCGCCGCAGAGGTTGCGCCATTGCACCTGAGCCCAAAAGTGGATGGGCACGACAGGTATATGTGCACAGCCATGAAACGTTTCAAGGATGTTGACCTGAAGTTGTACTCCGACCGTAGTAGGCTGACTGCTACATCGGAGGTAGGTTTTCCTCAAAGAGTCAAAGGGGCTTCCGGAATGCTAGAAAAGTCTTTTATTTCTTCTTTATGAAGCGGTGGTCCGACGGTGCGGTGCAACTGGATAAATATAGAAACGTCCGAGTTATCGGTGCTACTGTGGGCTTGGAAGTGGGTCACCGCCACCGGCCACCGGCCACCGTCACCGTTGTTGGTGGTATAACTTCGCAACGTTACACAACGTAATTACCCGGCGGCATCGGAAAATCTTGTATAAAGTAGCCGGTCTCTGTAGCAATTGATTTTGAATCATTGCTGAATCACACGTATCCATCCTGCATCGTTTCCCTGAGTCTCACTAAACTAGTTGCCTACGATGAAGATCTCTCCGCTAGTCGTTCTATCGGCCTCTTTGGCCATTGCTGCCGCAGATGAGACTATCACCATCTCAGGGTTCAGTTACCGAGGACAGGATCCAGCAGGCGACAAGATATCTTTCATTCTATCGGCCGATGACATCTCTTGCACCGCCTCGGCTTATGATGTACCAGGCTACGGATATGCCTGCAGCGAACCCGACTTCACTTTCGACATCCTGGATAAGAACGGGTTCCATTTACGCCTCCACCATGAAACTGAGGGGCAAGTACTTCATTCATTTTCTCTTGAAAATTCGACTAACAGGCCTCTTTAGCACTGAACTTTCGGCCGACTTTAGCATTAGAATGAACGGTCCACTTCCTACTATTCTTGATCAAGTTGGCACATCAACAGCTACGCTCACGCCTTCAAACTAAGCGCATGCTCAAGAACTTGAGAATTGGCATGGGTACATTGTGTGGATCATGCGTCTCCCGTAGGATAATTGGCGCTGGTAAAATATTAATGTGACAAGCGAGAGTGCAGCAACTGGTGAACAGCTGTTTGTCTTGGATGCTTGGAAAATTGTTAATCAGGTGGTGATAAGTGGATGCCAGAGTATATATAACATCAAATAATTATATATTCGCACACCACGCTCCAGTGTGTTGCGCCGATGGGTCCAAGTACCCTTTGCTTCTCGCTGTTAGGTTCTATAGGCTACCGCCACGAGTTCAGAAATAAGTGGAAACCTCGTCGCACGGAGACTCGCGCAACAGACTGTCGCATCACACTTGGAAGAGATCTCGCTCTATGTACACCCATGTTTAGCAAGTCATTGGTCCAGGGCGGACTATCTCATCGATGACAGGATCACTAGTCTGTAATCATTAGTGACACGGGCCCATCCACGTCTTTGCATTTCTCAAGCTCAAAGAAATGATGCACCGGTGTAGATACACAGTTGAGGGCATAACTTCAGCGCCCCCTCGTCTTGGCCGTTAATGGAGTATGAGATAGTTGCGTGCGTTTGGTAGACCTTCCCGAATAGGTAGCCATGTCGCGCGGACCACAGTTTATTCAGACGACGCTGCCCAGATGGACCCCACCAATTGGCTTGGACACTGTATCTAGGAACTAGCTACTTATGACAGATATCTCTTAATGAGGTCCCTTTATTCGTCAGAGGAGTTAACTCCATACTAAAAATGAGTTAGGCCCGGCCAGAGTATATTGCCCCAGTGCTCTCTGATTCGTTGAGCGCCTTACGATCCTGTATCCCAAATGGGAGATTTCGCCTGAGTATGTGTCGGCAGTCCCATTTGTCTGCCTATAAATCCGAAGCCATTCTCTTGAAGACTCCGCTGCTCACAGTGGATCAGTTTCGAACTGCATCATCAACTACCTCAACGAGCACTTGGGATCACTGAGTATTACTGAATCTCGACGTTTACAGTGATGATGGTACCACGTTTAACTCAACTTCTTGTGGTATACCTTGGTGGATTTTCTGGGCTCCCTGGTACCTTCGCCGCCGACGTATCTGTGCCCACGTCCAGTGGACCAGTTGAGGGTCACCTGGCAGCAAATACGACCAGAGTCTTGGAGTTCCTCGGCATCCCATATGCAGCTCCGCCAGTGGCAAATCTGCGGTTTCAGCCCCCGGCACCGTACAAGGGTAAGGAAGTCATCAACGGCACAGATTTCGGCTTTATCTGCATGCAGGTGGACATGTTTGCCGGTGCGCCGACGCAGAAGGGCAAACTAGAAGGAAGAGCGTTGCCGCTTACACCGGCTGGCTATGCACTACTACAAGAATACTTCACTGGCATCCCACCGATAAGTGAGGACTGTCTCACACTCAACGTTTGGGCAAAGGGCGATACTGGTGGGGACAAAAAGGCCGTCATGGTAATATGAGATTATGCAACGTGCCATACGTGATAGCGACACTAACATCTCCTAGGTTTGGATCCATGGCGGCGGCTTTACTAGTGGAAGTTCTGCCGTGCCTTTTTATACCGGCAAGTATCTGGCTGAACAAGACGACGTGATAGTTGTGTCTCTGAAGTGAGCTTTACTGTTCATGCCTCGGAGCAGTCGCACTGACGCACAATGCCAAGCTACCGCCTTAACATCTTCGGATTCCCCGGTGCAGAGTCTTTCCCGTCAAACAATCTCGGTTTACTGGACCAGCGCCTAGCCATTGAATGGGTCCGCGACAATATCGCAAATTTTGGGGGTGATCCGGATCGAATCATTCTGTTTGGGCAGTCGGCCGGGGGCTCGTCAGTTGGCTACCAGAGTTACGGTTGGGCGTCAGATCCCGTTGTCCAGGGCTACATACTCGAGAGCGCTGTGAGCCTCGATGCTAACTCGAAAGAACAAGCTCAAGAATTATGGGCTAACGCTACCAGACTCGCCAATTGTTCAGACGGCTCTAGTGACTCGGAAGCTGCTGATAGCTGCATGCGTCTGGACGTCTCTGCGACAGATCTTCTTGCCATCTCGCGGCAGTTATATTTCGGACCAACCGTAGATGGGCGCGTGGTCTTTGATGATTATGAAACGAGAAGGCCCGCAGATAAGCCGGTCATTGTTGGACACAATGACTATGAGCCTGGTCTGACCAAAGTCCTTGCGCCGCCCCTGCCGGAGATTATATGGCAGCAACAAGAACTCGCTTTCGGCTGTGCCGCGGCAGAGAGAGCAGCATACTTTGCGTTGAATGGGCTGCCAACCTGGAGATATCGTTGGTTCGGAGATTGGACGAATCTGAGGTTGACGGAGAACCCAACTAGTGGTGCTTGGCATGGCTCAGAGGTTTGTGCTGGTGGCTCTGAGACTCTTGGTGCATTGTCAACTGACTGGTCTCGGTTCAACAGATTTTACCTATTTTCAACACGATTCCGCAGACTGTAGCAGTCAATACCCCTGAAGAAACTTCAATAGCCAATTATATCCGCGGTGCTTGGGTCGCATTCGCTAAAGATTCCGTCAACGGACTACGGACATACGGCAGTGGATGGCCTCAATATAGCACGAACGGCGATACCCTAGTCCGGTTGGCGTTCAACAATGTGACGGGTACAAATCTAGTGGCTGGAAATACGTACGATATCGAATGTCCGCCTTACCCAGTAGTCCCAAGCTTGTAGCTGATAGAGTGTGTAAGTATCAATAAAGGCTTGTAATGTTGGACTGAGCTATCCCATGAAGATAGAAATGGAGAAGAGATTATGGGCCCAACAAGTCGAACTTTCTTACTCAGTGTCATTCGAATCAAAGCTCCGGCGCAGAATCGTCCTGACCAGGGTTGGCTTCTTCATAGTGACAAACATGCACAAATCGGTGGTAGCCAGCAGCTAGCGCACCACCCATAGCTGGACCCAGCCAATAGATCCAATGATAACCAGGAAAGGTGGTTCCAGCCACTGCACATCCTAAGCTGCGTGCGGGATTGAGAGAGCCGCCGGTGTAGTAAACGCCTGTGGTGGTGTAAGATTGACTTTACCATTTCCATAGGACATACGAAATATCGTGATATAACTTACCAGGAATCTCGGCCACGAACAAAGCCAACCCAATTCCAATGGGGGCGAGGAAAGTGTCCTTCGATTTTTCAGCAGCGAGCATGAGGATGACGAACACCAGATACGAGGTGAAGAACATTTCAGCGAAGAGCCCCTGGGCTACATTGACCCCTGGTACAAGAACTGTATTGACAGCACTGATGTCTCCAGGAAACAAGACCTTCACCACACCGCCCGCGCATAAACAGGCGATGACTTGTGTCGGGATGAGAAATGCCGCCCGCGCCCATGGCAGCTGACCGGCCAGGCACATGCCAAATGTGACCTGATATAATGATTAGCCATCACACTGCGTCCCGCCAGCGAGGGGCAGCTCACGGCAGGGTTAAACAAGCCACCACTGATCCTATAAAAGGCCCAAGCAGTTACGAGAAGCGAGAACCCGTATGTCAAGGCTACCAGAATGGTCTGTACGGCTCCTGGTGTTGCTGGAGGAGCAGTCGATTCGTCAATCACCATCAGATGACCTGCGTACCCAAAGAACAGGAAGAAGAAAGTGCCCACAAATTCCCCTGTACCAGCCACGAGGTGCGCTTGGAGGGGGGTAAGATGCCATGGCTGACTTGCTGGCAGCCCACGGCCGTCAAGTTGCTCACCGCGGTGATGCCGAGCCATGATTGACTTACTTGGGGTTTGTCGAAATGTATACCTGAGGAGGGATTTACTCTGGTCAGAAGTGGCAGGTCAAGGGATCCGTAATACCAGTCGTCGGTGAGTAAGATCTGGAGAAGACAAGTCGCGTTCATGAGTCACTTGCTGCGAAATTCGTGAGGGGCAGGCTGCGAGACAATGATGTATTGGTTGACGATCACATTCCTGATGACGAATGGCAGAATGCTTCCAGCGGTAAGGTTGCTGGAGGCTTGAGGTGGCGTTAGGCTAGTGCATCCACCCACCCACAATAGCTCACGAAGTATTTATTTAGTGCAGGCAACTTCGGGAATGTATCAGCAAAAAAAAAAACCAAATTGGCCAATTCGTCCTTACACGACGACTATTTTGCATTCGATGCAATGAATAGTAGTAGATATTCAAATAAGCGATGGGATTACTAGATGTTTGTTCAACACGTAATTGATCCATGTGTTTATTAGACTCGCCCTCGTATCATATTTCCGTCTGCTAGATATTGCCTGCGCACCTGCTAAAACTTCCGTGGCCCCCTTAGCCCAAGACGGCGGCAGTTGACCCATTATGGATCAGGTTTGTTATAGCATCATTAGGACTCTACTTATGTGCTTCGCTAGCTTGACCACAGGGAAAGTGAGCATCTACGCATCATGCGATTATTACATGACTATTTAGTCAGACTCCCTCAAGTGAAGTATCAACTATGCGCCGAACCCCATACTTACCTATACTTAAGCCGGACGTGGATGGCTTCTTGACACAACAGAGCTCATAGACGGAAAGAAAACTAAAGGTTACAGCAAAATGGTTAACTTTCCATCCACTCCAGTACACAATGCTCACATGCCGCCCCTTCCAATGCAAACAGTAGCAGCTGCAGCTTCTTCAACTGTCACAACACTACCCTACAGTATCGTTTCTAGATTTGATAGCTACTTAAGTTCCCTGGTCCCGAAGTTGTCACGTTGAGCTGGTGTAGTTTACCGTAGCATTTACCATACCATACGAGACCAACCCCAAAGACAAGGCTGCCTGCCCCGTAGGATCTGCAGCAACTCCAGCCCTCGAGCTATTTCCCCGCGTCGGACTGAGGTGGGGCCACAATCTGGTGTAGGCTGACTAAGTACTGGCGAATAGGGCACTTTTCCGACTCTTTCGGGCTCGGATAACGTCGACCCAACATTGGCTTTTCCAGAGATCGTGCAAAAAGTGACCTGCCTACTTCTAGTCCAGGATCGCACAGTCACCACTGAACGGCTACATTTTCCGAAAATTGGAATGCAACTTACTCGCGAAATTAAGTGCGGGGTTGAGAACGAGTATATAGTCCTTGAGCCTTTCGATGAGGCACTAGAGTGCATTTCCCAACAGCTGCTCCGCAAACTCTCGTCTATGATTCTTCCTTGAATAATAATGGCCACTGTCGCTTGGCGAAGACCATCAACGGCCCTTTGGCTTACATTATTGTCGATAGTCTCGCCAAGCCTCCAAGGATATGGCGCAACAAGTAATTTCACAGAATGGTTTAACGTGACTGAGTTCCCCCAGGAGCAGCCCGCTAATGTCTCGCTGTATCTTCACCAAGCATTGAGAGTGGCAGGGCCTGATATTTATCCACACTTTGAGCATCGCTGCATTCGATCGCAGGTCTATCCTGAGTTGGGTAACCTCGCGCAAGCAGATGGGTTCGTGACCCCTATAAGGCCTTTTGACTCGTTGTTCTTCGTTGGATCAGCCTACGTCTCGAGTTGGGCGATTGACACCGGCGCCGGCTTACTTCTTATTGATACCCAGGATAACCCAGAGGAGGTTCAAAAAGTCATCCTGCCGGGACTTGAATACTTTGGGTACAGTGGCTCAGATATTGCTGCCGTAATCATTACACACGAGCATGCAGACCACTACGGCGGCGCCAGATATCTCCAAGACAACTTTGGAACCCCAATTTATGCATCAGAAAAGGCCTGGGATGGCATGGCCAACGATACAATTGCTCCCAAGGGTCTAATTCCGCCGACCGGGAATCTGACAATCGAAGATGGCGAGAGCCTCACCATTGGAAATACGACTATCAGTTTCGTCTCTACGCCAGGCCACACTCCAGGAACGATGAGCTTCTTTTTCCCAGTATATGACCTCGGGGCTTCCCACCTGGCTGCCATCTACGGAGGCGGAGGCGTTCCATCCAAAGCCGAAGCTAAAGATGAGCAAATCACGTCGTTTGAGAAATTCTCGAATAGGGCGAGGGAACTCGGCGCAGATGTCCTCCTTGCACCGCACCAGACACAGGATGGCTCGTTGTGGAAGTTCGATCTATTGAGACATCGTCCGTGTGGGCCGTACAATTGCGACGAAGCGAACCCATTCGTGATTGGCAATGACGCGTACTTGAGATATCTAAAGACGATGGAAATATGTGTGAGATTACAGGCAGCCAGAGACGGCCAGTTTCTTTCACTATAAAACCTTGAAGTACCTTACGGTTAAACATCATATTTGTCACTACCGCACACACCGAACATTGTAAAAATTGCAAGTTTTGGGGCATGTATATCGGCATTGGAGAGAAAGACGAACATCGAGATCGACATCAGTAAGGTACCAACCGGACTGCTCGGCATACCACGTGCTACACTCAAAGCTGGTGCCACCTCGTGCGCGATCTCCCTCTTCTATTTACCAATGAGAAGCCAATCACGACCCAAAAGTTACTAATCAATATTTACGGCCGGCGCGACTATCTACGGCCTGGGTGGCGGTCGTCCCCACAATTCATTTTGACCGTAAGCCTTGCATCATGCCATGCTCCGGAGTGAAAACTTTTGGTAGATCGCTGTTACGGCATGGGATCCAAGAAAACGGTCAAAGGCCGCCGAGGCGGAATTAGGAGCTGTATCCAATTTAACAAGTGTGATCTGTCTCTACATTGCATCACGCAGGAATGCTCGGCGGTTGTGAACTTGGATAGCGATCACGATAGTGCCCCCGAGTCAGCCTCTCCAAGCAAGCATGTCAGAATGGACCTTGCTAGCCCTGGCACTCATGAGGTATGTAATGTTCAAACAAGCCTTTCAGTGGGCCTGTCACACCGGCATCTATACACTAGTGCTGGTACGATCGCTGCTCAGACAGAATGAAGCTTTCCGGAAGCTTCGGACTACGTGATATTACTAAAAGAGGATAGGCTCCGGCGTTCTCGGATGATACAGAAAAGGGAGTTCTCTATTTTAAAAGAGCGCAAAGAGTCACGGAGGAAGCCGTAAGGATGGATAAGTCAGCTTTTTCTTGTTTTTCCCCTTATAATCCGCTTCACTTGTGAAAGAGATCAGTTTGTTCTACAACTTATTCGTAATATGGTGAAACGCGTGTCGCAGGTAGAACAGCTCGGTAGCTGGGTTCGTCTCAAACGATACCAATTCGAGGTTACCTTCGCTATCAACGTCTACACAACTTCCGAAAAAGTATTTTTCTGGTCCATCTTTATTCTCATGATAGGTCTTCTCTTGGCAGCAACACTTTTGTACCTGCCCCGGAACTTGGCTCGTATCATTCAGAGGATTTCAGCCTACGTGCTTCGTGACAGCGGCCTTATTGCAGCTTCGGGCACTAGTGAGAAGGAGTTTATGTCTGTTTCAGAGGCAGCCTTCCGAAGCTCGATTGGTCTACCAACTGCGTGAGCATCTGCTTCAGGACAGAGAGCATGTCAGTCTACTTCTCACCTCCTCCAGAGCAAATAACGGTGAGTTGTGAGTCAAATTTATTGTCGTGGCATACATGATTCCATTAACGAGCATCCCCACTAAAGAGGAACCTAATTCGACTATCTTATGATTAACGAATATCACGACTGTTTTCGAGCGACAATGAGCATACGAGTCAACACCAGGCTACTTTCGTACGGCAAGTATAACTGCCGCGCACGAGTCATATCTGCGGTGCTTGGCTCTAATTTCTGCTGATGGGGAAAATGCGATTGGAGCTGCTGGTGTGGCGGATATTAACTTAGCTAAGTTACTCGACATGCTAACGGATGGTTAATAGGGGCTTCGAGAATAGCATAGAGTAACGGGAGGCAAATAGACGGCTGATGAAATGTTCCTTTGAAAATGGGCTTCTAGGGTTTCAGCTTTTGAAAGATATCACTTATCGGTCGTCGTCCCATTTATCACAAGAATTCATCCCTCGAAGTTATATCACTTTTCGACACAATAGATGTTAGCACAGTCGAGGCCAGACACAGCTCAAACAATTCCATGGAGGTGACCTTGAACCATATTCATAGTGTGATACGACAAGAGAGAGATCCCACTTTGCTATGCTGTAGTCATGCTATTCTCAGTTGAGATGGTGAAACCCCAGCCATGGAGCGTATACCATAATTAAATATAACCGGGGCCTTAAACTCACTGTAACATAGTGATATCAGAGGCATCGGGGTTTTTTTCCATACACCCGGCATCCCGTAAGAAATTAGCCACGAAGCCGATCCGGAATATCTTCCTTGTCTTGCTCACACCTCTTATAGTCTCCTTGTTCCTGGATGACCTGGAAAATCTTCGTTGAACACTGGCTATACTCGCCGATGAGCTTAATTAATCGAAGGTCTTCACCAAAATCATTATTTACCCGATCCAGGAGCTGATCGCAACCAGCACTAAACCATTTCCGCAAGGATAACAAAGCATCCCATCCGGTCTTATCCACTTCTCTGACGGAAGCAAGATAGTCTGCTGTCTCTTTAATTGCTTGAAACATTTTTTTGTCCACAGTTGAGCCCCGTACCACCGTCCGCTTCATCACCCAAGCTTCATCCTCAATCAGTATGTTCAGCATTCTCGGGTCATTCATATACGCCTTCCACTTCGATGTCGGCAACTTTTGTGGACTTGAAAATCCGGTGGCGGGATTTGAATCATCTTCGGGAATAGAATCTGGCAACGGGTCCACTTCTTGTGCCGTCACATGTTTGGCTGCGGTGTGTTCCGTGTTTACTTGATTTCGAGAACAATTTCCCAGAATTGGCATCTTAGAAGGCACTGTCGCAACGAATGAGGACGTTATACAATGCTAAACATGAATCTGAGGTTGCCTAGTATCCTTCGCGGATTAGGGCGATCCAGCATTGTTATACCGCTTTATGTGAGGCCGTTGTGAAACTAGACCTTTGTTCCTTTGGTTGGAGAAACAAACGTCATTGTATTTGACTTAATATTCTGCACCACAGGAGGTCATGACATCCAAACGATGTACTTTTCACCCTAACATCGTAACTCCAACAGCATAGTCTGAATGGTATGCATTTCCTCCGCGGTGCGGGCCGAGATCGACATGAGGACATCAGCGCTCTACTACCTACCTTAATCTCGCTCAGTTGAATCGCGCCTAGGTCACGCACTCTGTAAGAAGGGATTTGACAGCTATGTCCGGCTATGGGAGAGGTCGAAAGTGAGACTCTAGGTCGCCATCGAGACTCTGTAACAGGTGGGCTTAGGGGCTCACATGCCACCAAAAAAGACCGATCAGGGGCCTTCGCAACCCCTGCTAGCTCGGCAATGCCTAACCAGCGTTTACTGACAGCAACGTCGAGTGGGGTTGAAAAAAGAGACGTGCACCACCCATGTAGCTGGGACATGCAGCAAGTCTTATGTTAATGCATTTAATACCGCGCAGTAGTATCCGAGCCAAAGCCCAGCCACGAAGACCCTCCCGTAAGAGTTTGAAAGTAAAACTCTGTGCCCAGGTCTTGCATCGAATTTCGCGCTTCGCAAGCGTTAGGAAAAATGGCTACTATGACCTCGAAAACCCCGCGTGTTGAAATATCAACGACGCTACCAGTCATAGAAAACAGTTTGCAGCATTTATACACCGCTCGTCTTATTATACGACCACTTCTACTGTCGGACATTGACAAATATTTTTCTTTGAGGACTGAAGCGGCTGCCATGACGTCTACTACGAAAGGAATGCCCGACAACGATATGAATGAGACTCTGCACAAACTCCGGTCTTTGCAAGCACCTTACCGAGACTCGCACGCATATTTTGGCATTTTCCTTCGAGATAGTTGTGGGGCCGAGGGAGACTTGATTGGTGATGGCGGTGTACATCAGTTTGCAGGTACACAGAGTGGATGGCCTGAGTTTGGGTACAAGTTCAAGGAAAGATACTGGGGAAAAGGATATGCAACAGAATTCGCAGTTTCATTCTTCAGGTATTGGTGGAGCCTGCCGCGGCAACACAAATCGCTTAGAGTTCATCCCGCCTCCGTGAAGTGTCTTGTGGCACCGTCAGTACCGGAACAAGTCTGCGCGTGGACTAAGCGAGACAACAGAGCAAGTGAGAGGGTGCTTCAAAAACTCGGGTTTGAATGTTATCAAGGGTCAGATAAGCAGCTACATAACTGGCGACTAACACTGAGGGATTCTTCTGAGAAGCCTCCAACGTCGCGGATCTGAACAAGAGAGCTTGCTATTGATCAGCCTTACATATGGAAGTGATGCATCGCGGCGCCGGTCGAATGGAAGGGAAAGCCGGGCATTGGGGAACAGCAATAATGACGTGTGACCGGTTGCTGAACGTTTTGGTAAAGTGGACCACCTACCCCAATTTTCACTTCGTTGGCGAGTTGTCCTCAGACTCATTGCTGCAACGTTCAAAGATGAACAGCTGGTGGGCTCATAGCCGAGGGAATCCGCGCAAAACTTTTCACGATAAATGAGACTTTCAAAGGCTATCGGATCATTGATGTGCCAAGTGATATAGCAGTCTCTAGTAAGAATAGTCTCTCAGATTTTCTGAGCGCAGTATCCATTTACTTGGGCTCATATGGTCGTATATCAATAGTCCGTGTGGTCGTATGCCTCCATGGCGACGGGATGCGCCCATAGTGATAACGAGCGAGCGGATACTGTGAAGTATCATTTGCCGTCGTGTTCGACAGCTTGGCAGATGTCCGTGCTTATATGGTCAAACTCTATTCTCCGCTATGCTGCAGTCGAACAACTCTCGGGCTCCTTGAGGCACCCGCATCTGGTTTCAAGCTCTGGTAGTGCATCCCGAGACACCGTTAGCTCCGTACATAGTACTTAAGAGACACACTACTTCGGTGAAAACATCAACTATACTATCTTCCGGACTATACCAAACACTCACTCAAGGCCTCCAAAAAAACCAGCAGTAGTCGCAATGTCTTCGGCAATTTCAGTCCATGCCCCGTCTCCGTCCCACGGTCTGACTCGAACAAGCACGAAAGGAAATCCCGCGTCATCAAATGATCCAATCACGGGAACCCCTATCAATCGCCTCAAAGAGAAGCTTGGCCGGAAGCGCACAATTCCATGGGCAGTGTTAGCAGTGCCCGCGTTCATTATTGCAGCGTACGCTGTCAACTTTCTGTTGGATATATATCGTGTTGGCCACCCAGACTTCATTGACCGCATCCGGGCCTCGGTATTTGGGGTTAGCCACATTGTTGGAGGCTTGACTGCTATGGGCCTTGGTCCGTTTCAATTTCTCCAGAGCATACGGGTTCGAAAGCCATGGCTGCACCGTTGGATTGGCCGTCTTTATAATGGAGGTATCTTGATAGGCGGCCTCAACGCTTTCTACGTCTCATTCACATCCATATGCCGACCAATGGGTCAATGGTTCTTCGCCCTCCTAGCGACGGTGTGGTTGGGAACAGCAGCATTAGGTATGCGTTCGATCTGGGCGGGCGACATAGTCAACCATCGCCAATGGATGACGCGAAACTTTGCGTGTACGTACGCAGCTGTCATGTTACGTTGGCAATTGGGCCTGTTCGTCTGGCTTGGGATGGATACAGAACCAGCGGTCACTCTGACGGGCATTACATGCTGGGTACCTAATCTTATTTTTGCCGAATGGTGGATGAAGCGGAAAGGGTCAGATGTTTAAGAGGAATGATGGGGGAATGGCTTCGTACTCGCACATTTGGTACGGCGCTATGGAACTTGAGCAAAAGAGATGCGTACTTTGCCAAGATGCCGATCGCTGGCTCAAACCGGCAGCTCCGGAAGCCATTATCTTGAGAAGGGCCTTGACGCAGGGCGGGAATGGCCATATTGTGAAGCTCTTGGGAGGGAGCCGTCAAGCTGCCTGCGGCGAGACTCCCTTGTCAAGATGTAGCGTTTGGTACAGAAGCACATATGACTGTGCACAATGAAGTTAGGAGTGAGTGGATCTGGTTGTGACGCTTGCGTCGCTTCGGGTAAAACAAAGGACAACCAACAGGTCTAAAAAGACAACTCATCATACTAGCTAGCTGTACGCAGCCTTACTCGAAACCAGTCCGCTCATCCTGAATGACGCGATTTCCCCCCACTAAGCGGGCGCACATCTTTATGCCATCAATCAACTCAGAAAACGCTCAGAGGTCAGCCTCTGAGTGGGTAAATGATCACAATGAACTTCGGGACACAATCCACAATGTGACCAGGATTTTGGATTTGCTCGACAATGACCTGAATGTCAGTGGGACAATATGGACACAACTAATCAGCCCGGTGCGCGATTTGGCGGTGGCGGGCTTATTGACCGAATCGTTGAAGAGAGATCTGTCTGACCTCCTCGAGAGGTTGCGTGATCATGCGCGCAAGTACGAAAGCCGCACTGAGGACGTGGAGCAAGTCTTGGGATTATCAGTGGTTGTAAGCGGGGCCCCAAATGCTATTTAGGGATGGTATGTGTAAGAAGTTGACGTTCTACGGCTAGAGAACAAGTTGTGCAGCAAGTTTACAGTGCCAGGGCTCAAAGCAAAGCAACCAAAATATGGCAATGACGAGCTTCAGAAGCCGAGCTAGTAAAGCAGAGAAGTGTTTCAATTCCAGCAAATACATCTTCCTGGGATCTCGCAGCAGGTAATCAGGTGAACTCATATCAAAAACGATATGGAAGATGTAACAATCTGTTGTCGTAGCTACTTTTGTCCTGTTGGGAACGCCACTGTGAGTTGCCACGTTTGACGAAAACGGTAATTCTTGAGACAAACGTCTCCTACCTATATAACGACACAGCTGATAATGTACTTGCATTTATATCTCGATTGATTAACCTCCAGCTCGTTGACCAAATTGTTACAAGGCTATCCGTAGTTCTCAAATCTTACGGCTTCTAATCACACTCCTCCTTCCGCAGAACCGGGCCAAGAAGATTTCAAACTCCCTAGCCCCATCCATGCGGAGATATCAGATAGCTCAGACGGTACCATCCCTGCGGTATCAAACCACCTGGATGCCAGATCACGCATGCGGACACTGGCGTGAGAAATGACGTGGGACACGATCGACAAGCCAGAGCAGTGGAGAAAGTTATTCAAGCTTGTCAGAGAAGCCATAAACTTGGGCGAGGAGAATAAATATCTCGAAGGAGACCTATCTGTTCTTATCCATTCATTGAATGTCCGAATCAAGTGCGGTATGAACTGGGGTGGACCGTGCAAGGAACAACTCGAAGCGGTCCTTGCCCTGGATCCGAAGGATCTGGTGGGGCAGCATGAAACTGAGCAAAGGACAGACTAGATGGACGTTTGCCATGTTGTTGTTACTTGTGTGGTGAGATTAGATAGAGTTATCGGCTCATGAAGAAGGTTGAAAGGACGCAGCTGACCGTCAAATGTGCAATGGATCCGACTTTCATGATCAAGTTGACACGTGAAGAGTTACAGAATCATGTCGACACGAAGCTGCGAAGTATTATTTGGACTATAGAAATTAAGTACCATTATAAACGCAGTACTGATGCATTTACAAGTAACGAACTTCTGACAACAAACTTGAATTCACCCATGAATTATACAGCAAGTTGTAGCACACTCAATCATAGGCTCAGAGCCATTAACTTCGCTCTACTGCATTAGACACTTGCACAAATAGAAGCGATATGAGATGTTGCGTAGCGAAAGATAAGCCGGGAGCTTACGCATGCCGATCTCGGTACAGGAGGGCCACGTGAAGTGTAGGTTGCTTTACATTCGCGCCAAGATCGTATCCAGATTGTTGCCTTGCCCGCTTCTAGCTTCGAGCGGTTCATATATACCCGATTGGCGCGAGCCAGGCTGCCTCGAATCGACTAATGCATGGTCGCTACCAATCAGGGGATGCCCTTTGCGAGGGATGCATCGTATGATGTCAGGCTTGCTGAAGGGTCTCACTGAGAAGCCTGACTGCTCTGCAACCGTGTTCATCGGTACTTGGTAGTCAGATGGCTCGGGCCGCGGGCGTTCCCGGATATCCATAGGGATCATCCTTTGGACATTACGTGACGAAGATTTTGCTCCTGGACCACCTAGGTATGCATGCCGGCAGATCACCCCACCCTGCTTGGGATCCATGATCCATTCATCGTCCCTTCTGGTTTACAGCAGAGCAGCGTCAAAGACGAGATGTCACTAATAGACTGGGTGACTGCTTTTAATATCAACAAACTCCATACTGGATCTGTCAAGATCATGATATGAAAAAGTCTAAACCTATGTCCCATATAAAGCTATCGAACACCAGGGGGTATCACATCTTGCACTATCCAAACCCAGAATATTCCTTGACCCTAACGCCGTAAGCCCAAAATTTGAACCGATCTTAGAGTCCGATATTTGAAACAACCAAGGCAAAGAAGACGAAGAAAAAGGAGATCCACACAGCATTGAAACCATTGCAGGTCCATCAAGCCACATCTGTCCTTTGGATACCAAGACAAAGTGAGACGTATATAAGAACAGAACGTGGTACAAACAAATACAAAGCAATTCCCTGGTCTCAATATGGTGCAAAGCAAAAGCTTTACCAACGAATATCGCTGACAGTGCGATAGGAGGTAACGCTTTGTGCCTTCAATAGTGTAACCCAGTGATGGCAGTGACACGGCTGCTCCACTGAATCCTGTACAGTCAGTGTGAGATGCTCTAAGCATCTCCGGAAAGCGGCCGCAATCTCCTATCCCGTTATAAGACGCCGATCATGGTACCCGAAAGCGGGTAAACTCTGAAAAGTCCGCTGAGCTTATGAACGGCAGCATCTAGCGACGTCTTCCCCGATCAGATTCTTTGGGTGGCAGCGGCGTGACGACGTAGTTACCGCTTGACGGGTAACCGCCTACTGTATAAGAAACGCCGGGCTGGTGAGTCCTCGGAACTGGAGACATCATCGGTTGATCAATCCTGGAGGTCAGAGCGGGCGTCATTGGAGAAGTTGTGTAGTGGTCGAATCCTCTCGTCGCCATTGTCGAGGGGGGTCTTGTTCTGTCCATTGACGGGTCCTCAATGTAGGGCTCGCGAGTACGAGTGGATCGGCTTGAGCTCCTTGCTCGTGTCGGCTTCTTCTGCGAGACTTGAGAGGCGCGGTGAGAGTGTTTGGTGGAAGCCTCCGCTTCGTTATTATTTCGGTTGATTCGGTCCTTGAGCTTTTCTTTCATATCCTCGCCGTCGTGTTTGCTGTGAGACTTATGCTTGGATGTCTTGCCACCGTTGGACGATTCGCCAGACCCACCGCTCATCAAGTACTCTGACTCTGACTCTTGGTAATAGGCAATGGTCTGCCGCAAGGTGTACATCGTATCTTGATCGACTTGGGCTTGTGTCCTGAGTGCAGAATTATCGGCCCTCAGCGTGGTACTCTCATCGTGCTTCTCACGAAGGGAAGCATTGGTCTCCCTTAGCTCCTTGCGACAAGCCGAGAGTTGTTGTTCTAATTCAAGGTTCTTTTTCTTCTGCTCTCGCAGATGTTGATTGGCGGTAGTCAAAGCCTCCTGCAGGGCGTGGACATTCAAAGACTGGTCCTCGCGGTCTTGAGCTGTGAATCGGCGATCAGATCTTCCCCCTACATGAGCCTGTTCAGTCGACGAACCAAGCGCGGAGTCGCGACTACGGCGTGATGATCGAGGACGATCCTCGTCGAACCGTACTGTCTTATCAACCGGCATGTTGACGGTGAGCCCGGGTGGGGCGGCGTATAGTAGGCGGGCGACGTGTGTGTGTAAGACGAGATGCCCTAGGGTAGAAGGCTCAACTCCTATACGATGAGAAATGAAGCAAGCTGAATGGATGGGTGGCCTCAAAAGCAAGGACAAAAAGGCGAGGCTGTAGGCAGGTGCGGGCGAAGAGTCACCAATGACCAAGCCGGCGTGCAGCCTGGTGGTGAAGCGGAATATATAAATACAGGAGAACAACCACGCTCACCTAATGCGCAACGGAGCGTAGTGAAAATTTGGAGAGAATGACGAAAGGTCAAAAGGGAAAGGTGAGGAACAGGAGAGAACGTGTGAGCAATACTCATATGCGAACGATACCGGACGTCTTATTTGACCATTAGTCGAGAAGGGGGCATTGCTGCCTTCAAACTCAGAAGGCAGTTGAATCAACGGCCCACACCGTCACTTGACGCTGCTCCTCCTCCTCTTCCTCCTCCTCCTCCTCCTCCTCCTCCTCCTCCTCGACATGCGCGCTCCAGGTATCAGTACCGACATCAACTAATGCCGGTTGGCTACCTCTTGATAGTGTGGGAGTCACAGTTCTAGGCACATCACTCCCCAGATAGCGCATCCTTCCCGCGAGGATGAGCCTCAACACCCCGGCGAGGACCCAGGGCGCCGGAAGTAGGGGTACAAGGCCCATGCCGGGGAGAAAAGCAAGCAATCGCTGCCAAGCGCAGACGCACGTCCGCTGTCAGTCAACCTCGAGGGTTCGCACGACAGCAATCCGACAGAACCGAAAGGGCTTTGCAGCGGACGTGGAAAGTGCAGAAATGACACTGACATTGCCCTCCAGAGCAGAGCAAGAAACTGGGATTCCCAGTCCTTTCACCGAAATCCAAATAGCCAAGTTGCCTTGGCCGCCTATGTTTTCGGCCCCCAAATGGTTCGCCCGTTGTCCGCCAATGCACGTCTACTGCAGACAGTCAAGGGTTGGTCGCTGTGAGTGGCTAGGCTGGTTACCCGGGAACAGGAGCGCGACCCCGAATCTTCCTGCTGGTGCGTTGCGCATCTGCTTGGATTCGCAATTGCGAGGAGCAGCCTGGAGCCCCCGGGGCTTTGGAAGAATGTCGTGCAGAACGTCAACTGCGCGATCTGGCCAGTCACATGCGCCAGAGGGACGACGGATGTGTTCGCGCCAAACAGCAGCACATCGCAGTATTGCTCGCGCAGCGACTGATATGGTTCCGTGGCTTGGATGACTCACAGAACTGGACATCGCTAGTCGTAGGTTCATTCATGCATTCCATGCAAGCTTTTGCTCCTGGCGTCGTTCCATCTGTGTCCATGGTGATGGGCCGGCGTTTCCATGCGCGCGCCGTGTGTGATGTATCGAGTTCGCCTGGCAAGGCTGAACCGGGATTAAGTTAGGTTGGAGAGGCAGAACGAGACGTCAATTGGAAGTGGAAAAACACCGGCGCCATGACCCCATCACAGGGGTTCATGGGGGCTTGACAGCGCTAACCGAAGAGACGTTCAGCAGATGGCTGTGGGCCTTGCAGGTGTCAATTCGACCACCTGCATGGCATCCATGGATGGCAATCAGTAAAAGCATGACCACCTGCCTGCCTGCCTTCGATGTCTCCAGGGTGCGCCATGGTTACCTCCTTCGTCTACGCGACAGATACAACTTGAGCAAGAAGACTATTACCCCCCCATTTGCCACCAAGGCAGATTCCTAAAGCCTGTCGTTCTAAGGTTAAGAATAGACGGCGCACCGTCCATACTCGCCAACAGATGGACGCTCGTTTCGTGTATCACAGCAGCAACTTGGCTTTCCACAGGCCTTGACGGAACTCTTCGCAATTGCGCAACGCCGCGTGTGACCATGACTAGGTAGCTGGTAAGAGCAATTGGCGTGGTCGGATGCCCCATCCGAGCGAGACCAACTACTGGCGACACAGCTGCAGCGCGCATAACCGTTTCGGCAACACCGTCCTCGACGACAAGGGATGGAGCAGTTTTTTCTTGGTCTCAAACGCGGAACTCGAAGGTTCTTGGGGTCTGTGGCTTGGCCTTTGGTCTGCTTACTGCTCACGGGTTGCGAGAATGGACCCTTGGAGTGCTTTCTCTACTTGGGGGCCGAATCGACCTCGCTGGATATGGGCAAGGCCGTTTGGCTAGCTTGGAGGCCGCTCGTTCCGGCCGTTGCTAAAGCTCAGAGACTTTCTCGCTGACTTGCCTCGCGGGTTCTACAGCTGTCTCCCCAGGGTCGTTGGTAAATTTAGAATCCCAGCGTGAAATTTGTGCCCGAGGTGGTTGACTCAGCAAGATGGATCCGATAGAGTGACAACACAAGCCCGAAAGATGATATCAGACCTCAATGTAATGTCATATGGAGCATTTGAATCCCGTATTGCACGCACATCGCCCTCGCACACATCGGCCTCTTGACTAATCAAACATCTACATCGTGACCGAAGTCTTGGGAACCGGACTTGGCATCTGACTGCATATCGCTGTCTTCGACCTCGAGCAATACGATTGTAGCCGCATTGAGACAAAAATAGACGGCAAACCGCGACGGTGGGAATAAGCAACCGAATGCATCCCCCGTTTTTCCCGCCGCGCCCCGCGTCCCTCTCAGCATTAGGAGGAGTGCCGCAACCGCGCGTCAGAGCCTCATATGAGACTGGGACCCCGCTCTAATACACGAAGTTCAATGCGCCGCAGGAGCCTAGGGAGTGGCAACGGCGTTTGTCGACTTCCAAGCGCGTGGTGGCAAGTCTTTAGGCGGCGCGCCTGGAAACATTAGACTGCAGTTCGCGGCTGTGCAAACTTGTTCTACGTATTTGGCGCCGGGCATTACCCGCGCCATCACGCGTTGAGTTGAGAGTTGTGAAATTGGGGGCCGGAAAATCTCATATGGCAAGGGTCTCACCTGCGATAATTCAACCAAGACCGGCTGATTTCCACGATGCGGTTCTACATAGTAATCATATTGAAGTAGTAAGATTCTTGCAAAAGAAGTTTAGCACTCGTTGATGATTGCTGCTGAATAGCACCAAAGTTCCCATTGGAGGTGCTGTTGCAACATTGATACAAGACGGCATATGCCAAGGTCCAAACTCCAGAATCGTCTAACGTAATCAACCGACCATTCCATCCGATCTTTACCACATTGCGCACTGCTAGAATGATATGCAGAGCGTCTGGAAGACCGCACCATAATATCCCATCGCTGTCCCTCGTAATCTGATTCGCTAGACTAAATCATCGACGAACAAATGCGTGTAAATCTGTGTAATTCGTCAATACAAGTTATTATTCGGGACCTTGGCCTGTGCCGAACTCACATCAGAAGCACTTTAGGAAGATGCAACTTGTTGACCAAAGTAGGAGGTGTGCAGACGGAAGTTGTCCTAGGCAGGATCAAATCAAAAGTCTATAAAATGAAAAGCAGGTTGACTGGAAACATTGATGCAATTTCACCACCCTCGATACCTAGCCAGCAAATCTCGTAGCCGGTGGATATTTGCCCTTTGCTCGTCGATTATAGCATCGCTCCTCTCAAGCCGAGCATCGCGGTCACCCAAAAGGCGTCGGGCACCGTCGTAGCTGACCTTCAAGTCCTCGAACTTTCTCTTCCACTGCCCGGCGGAGTCATTTGCCTTGAATAGCTTCTCCTCCAAGCTGTGAATGGCGTCGTCGTTGACCTTAACGATTTGACGGAGCTCCTTCTTAAGGTCATGGATCCTTCTCTTGAAACCCTCGATCTGGCCGTCTTCTACAGAGACTGAGCGCTCTAGGCGAGCGTTTTCACCCCTGAGGTCTTCAATCACTCCGTTGAGGCGACTGTTCTCATCTAGCCAGGCCTTGTTCGCGTTGACGGCCTTGTTCAGATTCGCCTTCAAGGACTCCTTGTCCATTACCAGCGTTGCATTCTGATCACGAAAGTTGCGATTCTGCTCCAGGACAATATTGTACTCAGTCCAACTCACCCCGGAGCAGTCATTGTGGCAACGGCATATGTGATGGTGACGGTGGTGCCGATGGGAAAAGGAGTGTGATCGAACAAACTCAGGTTGACCAGATCGTGTAACTCGGATGTACTCGTGAGGCATTCGGTGATCGATCTGCACCAAAGCTTTCCCTTATCACCCGGAATCGGGCCCAGGATAGCCGGTTGGTGAATACGTTTCAGGCGACGGGTCGCGGAGAATAGGAAGAGTCCCGTAAATCTGAGCAACGGGAGACTTTGCAGTGTTGTGGTGAATGAGTTCTAATGGGCTGGTATACGAAGTTGAGAGTCTCGCTTGCTGCAAGTCAGGGCGGGAGCTAAAGAGTGGAGCACGAATAGGAAGATAAAGGGCCAAGATATGGCTCGAGCGAGGGCGGCAGGCGTTTACTTTAAACAAGGACAGGGTAGGCATCACATTCTGATAGGCCTCCCCACAAGGCTAGCAGGTGGATGCAGAAAGTATAGAAAGCGATCAGGCCCCTGGTTGGCACGGGGGCTCTGCATCGCGTGGCACTACCACTTGATGGGGTGTAGGAGCCTCTCCGTCACACAGGCTGAGCCTGAGGCTGTACGGTGTTAAACGGTGCTTACCACTTGAGACCCAGACAAGTAAAGGCTTTCAAAGACTTCTTTGAGACAAGCAAATTCGGGCTTAGGAAGGACTATACGAGAGGGTTTGTTGTCATCCGGGATCCGGCACGAGGACCGTTGTGTGCCAACGGCTCCGGATACTTTGTCTCAAAGTTGTGATCATCTGAGGCGGTGCGAGAAAGGCAGGCCGCCCGCGTAGAAGTACCGGTGAAGGAAGTACATCAAGAATTGGTTTGAAGGATGTGAATGCAAGTCATGCGCATCGAGAAGAGCGCAGTCTCGGATCTGACCATCCAGTCCACCACCGACGTGTCGGAGGACGTTGAGAATGAGTTACACTGCATTCGAAGACAACAGTGTTGGGAGGCCGAAATGGAGAAAAGGCGCAGCCAGTTAGTGGCCATAGCGGCATGCCAAGGCTTACCGGAGGCCCCACCAACCTCTCTCTTATCGTCTTATCGCATACCACTCCAGTGCTCCTCCTCCAAGTTAGTGGGATACAGGGGGGCCAGCCCCCCCTAGGCAGGCATCAATTTAGGCGCCTTGCCCAAGATGGGCTCGCCTAAGCCGCCTGTCTTACCCAGCAGCCTGGTGAGCCTCACAGCTGACTGCCTGGGTGACTGGGCGCTCACCTGCCCCTTCACCTCGCTGTCCTGCTGCCCATGCGGCCCCTTGCGCTACGATGAGGCAAGGCTAGAGGTCGACCCACTCATCTTACCAGACTCTCTCTCACATATGTACTGTAGGACCAACAGCCTGGGAGACGGCCCCCAAAAATAGTTACTGCAGAACGCCTGCGAATCCTTCCTCAGCTCGCCAGGGATTCCAAGGAGTGTGGTTGATAAGAGGCCTCTCTCCTCACATTTGACGCATAGGCTTGCCAACACTTCCCCGCCGTATTCCTCAGACATCATCGTGCGGCGGAGGTAGGCAACAACACTGAGGACCTTGAGAAACTCCCCGAATTAGACCCCCACCAGCAACACCCGATGGAATGTATGATGGTCAGGCTTGCTAAGTACATGTACATAGCAGTCTGAAGGATTATAATCGCTGTTGTGGGGTGGATGGAGAAGTTGCCACCAAGGAAGCCTTGCGCAACTGTACTCAACGACACAAGGACGATATTGAATAGTCCAAACGGGCCATACATATATATCCTACTGCTTATTATACTAGGCATCGAGTGGGTTGATACTTATTACACTGGACATCCAGTAGGATGATGCGTAGACATCTTAAACCACTATCGTATAATTGATTTTTGCTTGGGCTCACATGGTACAAGCCAGACGAGGAAGTGAGTTTATGGGAGTTGATTGGGCAAAGTATCTCGTACTTAGTTGAAGACAAAGCATGGATATCCGCTAGTCTTGAGATGCTTCAGAATCGAGCGCGAGCGTCAGTTACGAAGAGATTATATTCCTCGTTTATGACAGCAGGCGTATGTGCGACGTCGCTGGCTATGGCCTACGAACGGCATGTAGGCCCCCAGACCGTCAACACGTCGGCCTTGTTCATGGCACCAGCTTCGTCCAGAGCGACAACTTTTGCGCCAATTCTTTCTTTGTAGAGATTTGCGCGACTGGCATTCGGTGTGGTGCAAACGAAGTCGGTAGTAGAAAGGATGCGCTTCAACAGACACTGCAAAAGATCTGGAGGTGATGGCTGCTCCTCATCCACGGTTTCGGCCTTCTTCTTGTCCATGTCGGCGAACTTGAACTCTCCGGCGATGAATCGTCGCAGAGCATCCAACGCTCCCTCATTGAGGAAGAGCTCGCAGGTCTCGAAGAGAATAGACTTGTTATGCTCGGCACCTTTCCGATTGCCAGACGTGGAAACCTTCAGTAGCCACTCAAAGGGTGGCGGGGCGAGGACCCATTCAGCGGGCTACAACGCGGCGAGTGGATGTTGAAGTGAAGAGGCCATGAACCGAACGCGATGGTACAGACACCCATCGTACTTTAGCACGAACATGCCATTCATGTGGATTAGCGGCTGTATGAAGGCGGCTCACAAATCCGTATAGAAGCGATGCGAGGGCGTAGTACGTGTTCGCCACAGTCACCTCTACTAAATCAATGCCGTTGATCGGAACTCAGTGGAACGGCCTTACCAATTTATGGATAGCAGCAACGTCTTGGGGCAAGATGGAGAGTGCTTCTTGCACAACTGGCCGTATGACCGAGGTCAACGCAGCATTCACGTCGTCAGATCTTTGTGCAACTGGGGAGGTTTCTTTCGAGGGCGGTACCGCAAGTTGCTGTTCGTACCGTTAAATATCCCAGTGATTAATTCAAGTTACATTGATTTGATGGAGATGCAATCGAACGGATCTTGATTCTTATTCGAGGCCATAGGGATAGATGCATGGCTTGGCAGGCGTAGTGGGAGCATTCTAGAACCATGGTGGGTAATGGGTCAGTGGACGTTCGGAATGGGAAACCGTGGAGAAACCAAATTTGAGATGCCTGGTGAAAAAAAGGAGATTGCAAACTGCGGCAGTCCAGAACCTCAGAAAGAAACAAACGATGGGTGGCCATTGCTGGTAAAATCCGTAGTGGTTCCCGGCTGGATCCACTTAATCCCGGCCGGCGCCGCGTCCGGCCCGGGCCAACAGCTCAATGACTTATTCATCCGCTGATGTCGCTTTAAGACAGCGACTGCGTAGTGCTACTCTTCCAGGTATATCTTGAGGGCATTCTATTTGAGTAAGAGCTCCTAGACTGTTGAAATAATAATGGCGCGCTGCTAGCAGAAGGCGCTCTTCAATTGAATTGCCAGTCACGAATGCCGGAGCACCGTTGGGTTGCAATGCATCCCATAAGTGCCACCAACGTTTGCTATCCACAAAACGAGTGGCATAATCCGTCTTTACGCGTCATCTGAATTCATACCCAGTAGATAAACATCGGGATATATCCGTATAAGCGAAATGTCCGTCCTCATCTCATCAGGTCCGTGGGTGTAGGTAGTATTACCGGCTACCGATCTTGTCCTTGCATTATTAAAATCATGACAGCTTTCAATCTCTTCGTGATAGAATACTTAGGAGACTTGACATTCGCTTCTTGTCGGTACTTCATGTTTGACTGCTTTCAATTTCGTTCAGTTATTGGAAGCCCTTGACGGGACTGCCCAAGCTCATTAAAATACACAGGATGCTTTCCTACCCTGATTATTTTCATGTCCTCATGCTAAACTCTAGCTAGTAATCCCTCAGACGCGGTAAACGCTCGCAAAATCCATTCAGATATCAAAGGGATTAAAAGATAGCACCTCCAAGGCGGATGGATACCGACTTGTTCTGAGTATAGTTGGCGAGGGCTGCCTCGCCAAGCTCGCGACCAATACCACTCATAGACAGCTGGATGGTGTATCACGCACTATGTTTCCCGAGATCTCACCGAACAGCCACTCTGTACCTGCCGCACGCTACTTTATCTAGTACCCCCTGGACTCGCCAGCTGAAGTAGATCGGCAACTGAGACGTTGGCTGGCATACTCGATAACGCAATCAGAAGACCTATCTGCTTCACCCTCTTTACAGATGAGCTTTGGTGACGGCCTGGGCCAACCGAATCAAAGAATATGAACCAAAAGTTATCACGGAAAACTGAAGATTGATGCGGCAACACAGGTGGAATGAAGCTCTACTGCAAATCCTGTAATATTGCGAAATTGGAAATCTAAAGCCGGGGGAGAAATAGGAGCTCTCTCCACAGATACTACGTAACATTAGCATCAAACTTCCCCGAAGTGAATATGCATTCCTTACCAACTCGCGGACAACGCAACCAAACGGTCTGTACTCCACCAAGCCACATCTCTTCTACTTGAAGAGTTCATAACAGCGATCTTTCCTGCCCTTCTCTCACACAGCCTCTCCTACACTTGTAAATCTAGAATAGAACCAGATGGCCGGTCTATCATCACCGAATCCGCTGCCACCATCGCTGGCCCCGAGGTACTCACCGTCTCCGCCCGAACGGCGTCATTACTACCAACTGGCCATACTGCGCCCACTGCCTTCGCTTCCTCCACGGCACCACTATGTTCGCCATCGCTGCCATCGCTGCCATCGCCGACCCAAACGTGCCAACCAATACCTTCTTTAATGGTAACTACTGTTGTGATGCCCAACGAAGGAGGTGCTACCTCTTTCGACGACCGTCGCGGCACTGCTGGTGCTATCTCTTTCGACGAGGGGCAAGTCCAACAAGTCTCGCAAGATCAACCGCGAAAACTCTGCCGACTTCACAATCCTCCACGGTCTACCCAAACTGTGAGAGCCACTGGACAAAGGACTATACTGTACCGAGCCCAAGAATGTAATGCACCGCGACAACTGTGATCAAGAAGGCCATCACAGCCGAGAATGCCCCAAACCTCGGGAGCCTTATCACAACTGCCACAGCTGTGACGGGGACGACCTTAAGACCGCATACCGTAACTTGAACATCGACGTCTACATCATCGCTGTTGGGAAGCCTTAGATGATTGGCGCCGAGATGGCAACTGGTTTGCAACTGCTTCGCACCCCCTGTCAAAATATCACCGTCAAGGACGGCACCGTGGCTGAGAAGCTCTGTCCTTAATGATAGCTAGATCGTCGAGGCCACCAGGACTTGTGGATCGCCGACGACGGTCTCAAACGGTTATCTTATCAATGTCTGACTAGAAACATAAAGTAGATAGGTATTCATACGCTATGGAGTGGCTGGTGGCACTTGGCCGTGCCGTGGTGTGCTGTTAGCTACAACAATTCTCTCTTCAGCCCTCCAAACAGCACCCTAAGGCAAGAGAACTCTGCAACTTTATTCTTTACTACCAGTACACCTAGCTTGTATCAAATCCAACATGATTTCATCGAGGCATCAATAATTTTCAGTGGCTTTACCGTTATTGCTCGCAAACGCTTGCTCCAACTATCTCTTCCCTATGACCATGGACTCACCCGCTCCCGTACCATCACGGCCAGTACATCTACGGCGGCAGTCATGATGGTGCCGAGGCTTCCGCGCGCTATCAGATGGAGACGGCGTCAGACGCCATGAGCCGAGCGCTTCTGATGACCGAGGTCAAGGACCTCGAGAGTATGGTCACGGGCCTCGCCGATGACCTAGTCCTTGCACAAGCTTTACAATCACTGTCGCGAAGCCAGCTTCTGGGTCTGGCAGATAGCCGGAGAGTGCCTGGCGCCTCTCAACCCAGCCAATATCGACTGCCGAAGGTGCGGTAAAGGCAAGTTCGACCACCTGGCTTCTCCTAATACCTGATGTGCTAATAAATACTAAAGGGCCACGCCGACTTCAAGCTCACGAACCGACAAACTCGCATACAAGAACCTTGAGCCAGTCAAGTGAGTATGGTTCGGGAGCAGCTGGAGCCTGCCAACCCGGCTAACGTCGATTGCCGAAGGTGCGGTGAGAGTTGGTTTGGAATATTTGATTTCCCCGGCTATAATAAGTGCTAATGTAGCCTGTAGGGCCATTTCCTCCGCGACTGCCCCTGTTTAGCGGTGCCAGTGGACATCACAACTGTGGCCAAGAAGGTCGTCGCGTCGGCTCTAATGAGGAGCCTCACGATAACCCTCTAGTCCAGTGATCCGACCACGAGATCAGACACACCAAGGCCCGCTACATGCATCCAGCTACGAAGGCCCCCCAGATTCGAAGCCTGGCGATCATGCTCGGGTCAAGTGGCACCAGCGCGACGAGATGGGACACACCAAGGTTCCTTACAAGCAGGTAGTCCATCTGTAGCGAGATAGTACCTACTAGGTATTGGCCACCAACAACTGACACCGCACATCAACTGCTGGAAATTCTAGCTCACCAACCTGCTAGGCCGTGCCTGTATCGGAAAAATTTCTCTCTTTAAACAACTCGTCAAGCCTATCCCGGAGAATGAAATAAGTCCCGCTCCAACGCGCCAGATATAGAGACGCATGCATCTTAGCACATTGAATCTAGCATGCGCGACCTTGTATCCCTGCCTGAAATTGCCAACAACATAGAGGACCCTCCCCGCTTGCTGGGCTCGGAATACGGCTGTGTGAGTTCCATCATGGGACATACCAAGGCTTGAAGCAATCAGACGGCCGTGGACTCGGTGCCTGTAGCCACTCTCGAGTCAGGTGGTCCAGACACGAGAAGGGACACACAAGGCTCATTGCAAGCAGGAAGTTCCGAACCCCGGCGCTGACGAGGCTGATACTGATATTGGAACCACATTTGACGCTGCTGAGACTGTGCTGGGTAAAGACAATTTGGACGATGACTTCGGCGGTGGAGATACTGGAGGCGACTTCAACGGCAGCGCCACTGGTGATGGAGACTGGTGGTCTCCAATTTCTCGAAGTACCTGACGATGTGCCTATGTACGCTATAGGAGATTGGTTCTAGCAAGGCCATACAAGGCTGACTAATTCTACGTGTGCCCCCTTTGGTTCCTCTAGAGGAAAACAATCTGTCATGGTGTGGTAGAAAGTAAGTCACGGTTTTTACCACATGGCTATTATGGCTTCTTGAACGAGCGCGTTTCACGGCAGCTGTTTTGGGGTGTTGCTGGCAGACATGCGGGTACTTTTGGGTCGCATTAGAGGTCAAAGATGCGAGCCGTACCACCGTCCGGATAGGTCGTCGACAACTAGACCTATGGCGTGAATGAGTGGCGCTCGAAGTGTACATGTCCTTCTCCTAAGCAGCCTATGTGATGTTGTGCTTTCGAGGCTGATTCGTCGAAGCTTCTTGAGGAGCAGGATGAGTTGTGCTTTTCGATCAGGAGCGTGTGTTCGAATCACACAGGCTTCGCCAGCTTCTTCGCCTTGCCCATCAGTTGGTTTAAGATGGGAATGAGGTAGGCAGCCATCTTGCCCGAGCCGGTCTGAGGGATGGCGATAATGTCATAGCCCATCTTGACTGCGGGAATGCTGTATCGCTGGATGGGGGGTCGGTGTCTGGTGGCCGCAGAGTTGGATGTTGCGCAGCATGATCGGGGGTCGGTGTCTGGGGGCCGCAGAGTTGGATGTTGCGCAGTATGGTTCGGATAGAGACCGGCTGTATCAAACGAGTTGATCGGATTGATGCGGGTGAGGCCCTCCTACAAGATATCAATAATAAAGATCTTAATCAAGTCGATACCAGTGAATGTTATGGCCCATCTTGACGGCAGGAATGTAGTATCGCTGGATGGGGGTTGCAGTAGGGATTCGGACACACACAAACGAAACGCAGAGAGTGGTGTAGAAGGGAGGGTTGATTTGTGGATAGCTAGAACTGTCTGAGACTACGATAAGGTGGGGTTGTCGGTAACTGCCACACAGGGCCGGGGTCTGGTAACCGCAGAGTTGGATGTTGCGCAGTATGATTCGGATAGAGACCGGCTGTATCAAACGAGTTGATCGGATTGATGCGAGTGAGGCCCTCCTACAAGATATCAATGATAGAGATCTTGGTGAAGTCGATACCAGTAGGACCACGATCATCAAACGAGTTAATCGGATGTGAGTAAGACCCTCCTGCAAGATATCAATGATAGAGATCTTGGTGAAGTCGATGCGAGTGAGACCCTCCTGCGAGACCCTCCTGCAAGATATCAATGATAGAGATCTTGGAGAAGTCGATACCGGTAGGCTCACGCTTATCAAATGAGTTGATTGGGTTGATGCGAGTGAGACCCCCCTCTCCTGCAAGACATCAATGATAGAGATCTGGGTGAAGTCGATACCGGTAGGCTCAATCGGAAAATGAGTTGATCGGGTTGATGCGAGTGAGACCCCCCTCTCCTACAAGACATCAATGATAGAGATCTTGGTGAAGTCGATAACAGTAAGCTCACGTTCATCCTCGTTACCGAAGAGGATCTTCTCTAGCGGAGGGTGGACAGGACCAAGATCACCCTCCTCGCCGTCGTAGTGATAGACCTGGGTATTGCCCCCCCAGTCGTCGGTAATGGAGGTGACATCAGGAGCACCAGCGCCGTCATCGTTGTAATTGGCATAATTGTAAGCGGTCTTCTCGACCCAATCACTCATAGGAGCTTCTGTGTGCTCCCAAAGCAGCGGGGGGGAGCGGGCTTCTCCTCAGAAGCGTCGAAACCGTCGCGTTTGTCACCAGCGGGCTTCTCCTCAGAAGCGCTGCGGAACCGTCGCCGTTGTCACCACCGCCAGTGTCTGTGCCATTGCCCCAGCCTGTAGCAGCAGGCTGCTCGGTGGCAGTATCGTTACCCCAGCTAGACATTGTTGGCTTCTGAGCGAGTCAACAGCTCGAGCACAGACTAGAAGGACCTTTTGCGCGTTGAGAACAGGTTATCGAAGCTTCTTGAGAAGCAGACTTTCGAAGTTGATTCGTCGAAGCTAAGAAGCAGGCTGTCGTGGCACCACAGGTGGGATCGTGGCTGTGCTGCAAAAAAAGTATAAAGCCAAGGGAGAGAGAAAGAAGAGCTCTCTCCACAGCTGTGGCGTTTGCTAATCACAGGTGGGGTGGATCACCCCTCCCCCACCATAACAATCACTTGCGCTAGCCCCCGTAACACAGGCTTTCAAAGTTGATTCGTTAAAGCTTCTTGAGAAGCAGTCTTTCGAAGCTGGTTCGTCGAAGCTTCTTAAGAAGCAGTTGAGAAGCAGTCCTTCGAAGCTGGTTCGTCGAAGCTTCTTAAGAAGCAGTTGGGAAGCAGGCTTTCGAAGGTGGAGGTGCAGGTCGGCCGAGATGGAGAAGTCGTTCCTGAGTCTAGCCGTTGCCTGTATTAGGATGCGCTTATTGATTGGGAGGTGTGTGCGAGTATGTGTGTGTGTTTGTTGAACAATCGATTCTGAATCGGTAAATTTGGTAAGCGATATCGATCAGATCTGTCATATCGGAAGTGCAGGTCAGCCGAGATGGAGAAGTCAGTGTGGAGTGTGAAGACCAGCCATCAGCATACAAATCAAGATACTTTCAACACCGGCACCGTCGACTATTCCAGCGGTGAATGTATACTTCGTGTGAGGACTGACTGATCAAACGTAACAGATCCGGGCACTGGAGAAGCTGTACGTCTATCATAGCGATGCATCAGGTCCACAGGAGGTGCGAAGGGGGATTTCATAGGGCCCGATATATACTCTTCATATTGTCCCCTTACATATGGAAAGAAAACTATTCAGTCTCCTTTGTAATCAAACTCCGTTTTGGATCATCTAAACTATACCTGACCTCCCTCTTACCTAATAACGTCATTGTTCTGATCCTAACTTATGCGCGCAAGCCAACGACTCACTATTCAAAGACACTCGTGGCAAGAAAAGGAACTTCGATAACGGAGATCCACAGCTTGTTATTCAATCCTTTAGAATGACTGAGGATCCATAGGCTGGTATTGAATTTTAAGGCGACAGCGGCTTCGCGGTATTGACCAGCTGTGGCAATCTTCTTGCGTTCCTGTCAAATAGCTTGTGCATTACAATAGCGCTGTCCAGGCCGAGGAGATGCTGGATGGCACTGACGATGTGTGGCAGCATGGGCAGGGCCCCGTCAATGATGTCTGGCGCCGGTACCTTACAGTCCCCGGAGTGGACTGTTTCAAGCATTTGGATCCGTATTGGTAGTTGAGATAGCCTCGTCAGGAACGTCGACCTTGACCTGGCCGCTGATGAGTATGATCAACTTGAAAGTTTAATGTGTCTGGTCATTTCCAGAGTGCAGTTAGGATGGCATGAGATGCCTGTAGCGTGTACTGATACATGTTCTATGTACCCACAGGTTTTGACATGGCAGAGCGCCGCAGTCAGCCATTATTGCCGCAGTTCATCTGTTGGTCTGGTGTGTGCGCAACCTTACTCCAGAGGGCCTTGGTCAGATGGCGCCTTTGATCGAAGCCGTGAGTTATACCAGCTCTTGGCGACTACAGTCACGGGGGATCGTCCACTTGGGCTTTGTGTTGCCCCTTGTTGTGGGTCTCCGCATGTAAGGTTCGCCAGTCCTAAGTTTCATCATTTACTTAGAATCAACAGTGGTCATACTGCTCGAAATGGAGACTTATTCGATTCACTGTGGCCGGGCTCTAGTTGGCACAGTCCTTTGAATGAATCTAGTTTGCTCATTGAAGCCATGGCGTGGAACACCTTATTCTTGAGGCTCGCGCAGAGCCCACCACTCTTTACGCATATCACTTCAAGCGGCGCCCCAAGGTAGTTCGGTCTCCTCGTTTCGCTGCTTCAAAGAAGCCGAATTTTATTTCTGGTACTAAAAGACTGAATATTCTTGCGAGTACTGCTCCAGAGCATGTTGTGGCCGCCTCCGAGGGTCGCTCCCTGTGTGCGGCCCTACTCCCAGGGCCTTGGGCCAATGGCTCCAATATCCTTTGCCTCCATTCCTATTTCCCCTATGCCGCCCCGTATAACGCACAGTGATGGAGTTTCAGCGCTGTTTACAGAAGACTTGCCCTGATATGGTCGCTGGGCGCAATGTCACCCTGTCTACCAACACTCAACTCAGTTAGCCGAGTGGCTCTGGGAGGGGTTCATCCTGCCGGCCTGGGATCTGTAGGATAGTGGTGGCTGCGGCCCCGCCCAATGCTTCTACAAGCTCCATAACGTGCCGCGCGCAGCGCTAGGTCCCGTATACTCGATTGGGAGCATGGTATGGGTCCAGAAGCCTGCGAAACACTATCGCCAGGATTCTCACACCCGTTTGGATGTCTGCTGATGCCGAGTTCATAGAGTCTAACCTGATGGAACAAGGATAGTCTTGAGCTCTTTTTGTCTGGTGTTCATGCCGTCTAAATCATGCATCAGCCCTCTAAGAGGGCTTTGGTAGCTGTGACCCATCAGTGTCATTAGCTTCACCTACACTGGCTCAACGCTGCTTTAGGATCGTTGTGATATATATGCGCAAGCAGATGTGGATAATTTCGAAGTATTGTTTGATCTTTTTCAGTCTTGTGATGTTTTATCTGTCTGTTATGGTACAAGTCTGTTGTCCCCCAAGAAACATCGATGTGCACAATGATAGCTAAGTTCCCAGCAATCTTCCAGCATTACTATCTTGTACAGCTCTGTGATCTTCGCCAAACATCAGTATCATGACTCGGGTCGCCTTCTGTTCATTCGGATCATCCGTTGCTGATATACTTCTATGGCCGTTCACCAACGCAACAGAGAGGCAAAGTTCATAGTCATAAGCAAAGCCGAAGCTGACATCCTCCGTGATCTTTCATGTTGTGGAAATAACAAGTAGCACCAGTGTCTTGCTCTCTAATCGGTATCTGGATCGGATTGTATGAGGAGTGAAAATTCAGATTCCAGGGTGGCGCCGTGGGCTTCTCGGATGTGGGCTACCAACTTATGCCTGTGACCAAATCGCTGGCGACATTCACATCCGGGGTGGCTGCATCGCTGAGGTTTGTACTTGGCTGCCCTTTGTCTCGGTGGAGTGGTCGCTTGAAAGTTACCAGGGTCATCCTTGACGTACTGATCCAGGGTGTCTCCCCTGACTCCGTGGTATTTGAGGTGGTCTCGGTACTGTGAGCGCGTTCCGAACACAACCTGGTGTGTACATCCGGGGTAAGAACATGGTTGGGGTTTGAAAGAGTCTTTTTTAATCGCCTGTCGTTTCAATTTGGGCATAAACTGTGTCAGTTGCTCTTCTCCTACGTCAGGATGGAACTCCATGATATGTTTCTTCAAATTGTTGGGTCTTCGGAAGGTCATTCCGCATCCTGTCACAAAGCAAGTGGTGGGTCGGTCATGGTGGTCTCGCTCGCGGTGAAGTCGAAGGGCATCAAGACTCTGAAAGACGGTATCTTCCTTGCAATCAGGCCATCCACAATGACGAGGCGTCCACTTGTGCTCGGCTTCGTGCGTCTGGAGTTGTTTCTCAGTAGCGTATCTGCCGCCACAAATGTCGCAGACGAAATCAAAAGCTTGTCTCATTTCAGCCTGGCAAGTATGGCTATGTCTGTCTCGGTCGAGGTGGCTGAGAAACTCCTTGTTACATGGGATCTTGGTACAGCGATGCATCTTACGCGTTGGGGGGTCTCTGCTTCCACCCGCCTCTGCGCAAAACGGAAGAGACGGTGCGCTGGTTGCGACTGAATACTCGTTCACGGTGCAAAGGTAATTGGCGAAGACATCAGGCTCTGCGTCGAGAATCGGGTCGGAGATGCCGATGAGGGGATTTTGCTCACCAACAAGTTCGGCGTTGACCAGGGTTTTCTTGGATTCGCTGCTTTGACGGACAGGTCTGGTTCCCATGTACAGCAGGTCTGGAAGCTCTCTCTCTCCACTCAAGGCCACGCCGGCGGCTGCGTGCTCACGCGAACTGGTGGGTTGGCCCGAAATATCTGCGTTGATCTGGGTCTCGAGCACTGGGACATCTGCCATACCATCTGGGACAGAATCATTGAGCCTCAGCTGGGTGTCCCGCCAAGTCTGATACTCTGCCATGCGTGCAGCTCGTGCGGCTCTGGCTCGTTGTGGTGGATGTTCTGGGTCCATGCCATTCTGGTCGCAGGAGTCTTCGATTTGCTCGGCGGCGAGTCTCTTGCGTGTAAATCGCTCAGAAGAAAAGTCAAGAGTGTGCTTCGCGCTCCGCGGGATATTCCCTTCAAGTCTTGCTTTCCACGTGTCGTGAAGGTTATGACCAACGTACCTTTCTGTGATGCCAGCTTTCATGGCTCCGTAGCTGTGCCCAAGTGCCAGACGTGCGGCCTCGATAGACATTGATGCGGCTGCTCCACCAATGTGGGCCATCTCTTTGGCTGCTCCTCTACGAATGTCATGGGGGGTGACGGGTGTTAGAAGCCCGGCTGCTTTAGAAGCTTCTCTCAGCATGGCGCCAGCCGCGTCTGCAGGAGAAGGGGTATCCAAGTTGAGTTTCCTGGAGGTACCTCCCATGGCGCAGATCACCGGTCGCTTCGGATGAGTCCAGACTACTCGCTTGCTGCGTCGCGCCCATGTATTCTGTCTCAGCTGATCCCATGATGTTTCTTGGACGGCGCCGACGCGTAGTGCATGTATGAGAACAAGCTTGATTGGGCATGCACAGTTCAGAGTAGGCTTGACCAATTCTGTGAGTTCATGACAGACAGATTCAACCCTGTACAAATGAACAGTCATATTAGCATCCTGAACTTTGGCGATGGTATGGGCAACAAGTTGCTGATTGAGAATGATTCCCATACCTTGGCCCTTTGGTATGCTTGAGAGTTACCGTGGCGGTGAATATCCTTTGGTCATCCCTGAAGTCCATACGCATGACAATGTGCTCCCAGCAGACACAACGAAGGTTATCGTCGTCGTCGGGGTCATCGTACCTGAAGGATCGGCGGACATCTCCGGCTCTGCCCGAAACGGCGGCTTGAAGGATCAGAGACATCGTCTTCATGATGATCGCGTCCCAGGAGAGAGTCCCATTTTGTATGGCATCGTGCAGCATACTTCTGCTGAGGAGGTGTACGGTTTCACTGGTGATCCACTGGGCCTCCTGCACCCGCTCCTTGGTCAGGACGCCATCTCGTTCCAGTCTTGCCAACGTAGCGGCTGTATTGCAATTGATCAGTCAACCTGTCATGGAAGACTGAAACAGTGGAGGGTGGTTGAGGTGGGTTGAACTTACTGAAACGGCGCTCATCGTGAGCAGTGACTTTGAAGTCCGGAAACTGGAACTCGCACCACTTTTTGATGTAAAAGAGACCCATGTCGAGATACCCGTACGAAATAGCGCCATTCTCGCCCTGGCCTTGGATCACTCCGGGGATGATAGTGAGAAATCTCTCCAGTTCACTAGCACTGGGCGTGGACTTTGGGCTATGCTTCGTCAAGTAATGCACTTCCGATCAGATGCAACACACTTACTCGAGCTTCAAGGTCACTTCGCGAACATCTTGGAATCTCTGTGCCCACTTCGACATGGCATAGTCAGTATTTTGGTTTCCGGTTCCAGGAGTGAGCTGTTTCTGGAATTTCTTTGACGAGAGACGATCCTCGGCGGCAGTTGCCAGCAATTTCTCGCGCTCTCGCTGTCGAGCTCGAGTGAAGTGGGCCGACATGTCACCTTTCCCAAGTTCGCCATCAGACGAGTCGAAGTCTGAGTCGCAAGGCTCGAAGTCTGGGTCCCAAGGATCGTTCATGGTGATCTCCAGACGGGCGTCTGAGAAGCTGACAATCAATTCCAGGGAGTGCGGAGTGGGAACAGAGCAGGCTGGGAGTCGAAAGAGACAGGAAAAATTGGATATTGAGTGACACCCAGTAGACGTTGGCGAAAAGTGAGGTCGACAAGGTTGAAGGATGAGACAGAAACGAGCTCTGGACGCAGGAGTATTCAGGTTTAAGTTGCTGAGAATCCAAACAGACAGTGGTAGTTACCATTTTTTGAGGTACTTTAGACCAAAGATTTACCTGGAGGGAAAGAGAGATGTGGCTATGGTTGAGGTCTGCGCCCGACGGAAGGCGCATCAGGAAGGAAGGTAGGTAGAATGTGGCCGTGACTGAGGTCAACGACCGATGGAAGGCGCATCATAGAGGGTAGTAGATAGAAGATAGCCGTGACTGAGGTCAACGACCGATGGAAACCGATTTAAAGAGAAAGGTAGAAAGAACATGGCCGAGGCTGAGGTCAACGACCGACGGATAGGGGGTCAGCGAAAAGGTGGGAAGAATGTGGCCGTGACTGAGGTCAACGACCGACGGATGGGGGATCAGGGAGAAAGGTGGGTAGAATATGGCCGTGACTGAGGTCAACGACCGACGGATAGGGGGTCAGGGAGAAAGGTGGGAAGAATGCGGCCGTGACTGAGGTCAACGACCGACAGATGGAGGCTTATGGAGGAGGTCGGGCATGGTGGAGACCAAGTTCAAGTACCATATTTTTTGCGAGTCGTCACTTCCACCGAGTCTCCCAACTATCAGGCTCCAAGCGACTCACATGACCCACGTCAGGGGATTGAACCGCTCAGCACTGTACCTCTCAATGGTGTTCCTACTTTCCACAATCATATGACGCGCGAAAGGCAATAGTGGTGGGACTCGTTCCTCGACATGAAGTAGTGTGACAGGTTGCAGATCTGGCGAGGATCTTGGGACCGAACACCTTGCATGCACCCAGTCACACGTTGTCGATATGCAGGCCCTGAGACCTCGGCTCGAACAATTCGAGCGCACTATGCATTTATCAGGTTGATAAATCAATGAACATGTCTGAGCACGTACAATATTCTGTGCAACGTTGCGAGAGTTTTGACTGCCCGTTCACACCTGTAAAGCACGAGAACCTTTCGGGTGAGGTACGCAACTAGCTTGCCAACATGTAGCCTATGGAATGAGGGCAACGACCTTGCGCAGGCCCCCTGCAACACACTGGCTCTGCAAAGGCGTTTCAAGAACGACTGATGCCCTCTGGGAGCTAATAGTTGATGGGAATTGGTCGAACATCAACCTTCTGCAAGCAGCTATACAAGGTTCGCTCAAGGGGCTGGTTGAAATGGGAAAGTATGTAGAACTGTACTAACTTTATCTTGAAATGAAGCCACATCCGCCCACAAACACCCTGCCCTCGCAGACACCATACCAATGTCCCTGAATTGCCATGACCTTCCGCGTGCAGTCCAGAGGGTTTGTCGTAATCCATCGTCCAGGGAACAGTGGGAACCTCCAAGGCGTATCAGTTCATATGAAGTCTCGACACCTAAATAGGCGCAGTAATCCTACCTCGTGTGGATGTAGATCGCGAATGGGTGCGCGAGTAGCACCAGCTCGAATTAAGTAGTGCCGATGCGGGGTACACCAACGAAAGACTACTTGTCTGTCACTTCCGGATAAATCGAAGGTCCAAAGAGCACACACTGGCCTCAAAGTACAAGCAGAGAAACTGTGCTCAAAGAGAGGACGATGACAAGGAGTCAGGACGACCAAAAAGGGGGGCAGTTTCGAGCACTGCCGGAATCTGTCCGATCTCACCTACTACGAGTTCGAGACAGCATCACGGCACTGAGACTACCCAGGCTGCTCAAGAGGTAGACGCAAACAGTTTCAAAGAGTGTATCCACGAGTACTACATGCCCCCCATCATATCAACATCACCATCAACATCGCCGGCAACACCGCCGCAACGGCAGTTATGGGATCCATGGTCTATCCCAGCGCACTTGTGGCAGTGGAATCTGGCTGGGTTGGGATGTTTCGGACCACTCCTATACCCTTCGACCTAGGTGGCTACAAATCTTGCGTGCGCTCTTGTTGACTCCAGTAGTTGGGCAATCTCAGTTACGATGTAATGCAATCATACATGGGGACAAAGTGTGCATTATTCAAGATAGCGGCCTATCTTGCCTATGCCGCTAAGACAAATCAAACTGAGAATCTTTCCTTCTACTGGACAATATGCTGCTTCGACGTTGGTGAAAGAGAGGAGAGCGCTAAGCTTAGATCTCTCCGCATCGATAACGTGGACAACGATGAGTTACTGTCAGAAAGCCATGTCAAGCCAACCCAAGCACCCTTGGCACAGGCATCGGTACGGGTGCTTCTTCACTCCAAAGCTTGGTGGCTTACCCTCAGAGCGTCGGTAGACCGTGGGGGCTTCTGACGATGGTAACGTTTTCGCAGTTGATATTTCATGGTTTCTTGTACCCAGAAGCTGTGTGGACTTCTTCCTCGCGGCTTTGGAGTTTGTTGTCAGGCTTCGGAAAGTGGCCCTCTTGACCACAGTTGCGGCGTGCACCACCGAGGCTTGGGGCACTCTCGACTCTGATAGCCCTCCTCGTCATAGTTGTGGCAGACAAGCTTCTTCTTGTGGTCGGCGCAGTCCGCTGCTCGGTGGCCCTCCTGACCGCAGTTGGCGATTGTGGTATTGTGATCTTGTAGTCTTGTGGTCTTGCGGTCTCGTGGTCTTGTGGTCTTGCGGTCTTGCGGTCTCGTGGTCTTGTGGTCTTGCGGTCTCGTGGTCCTGTGGTCTTGCGGTCTCGTGGTCTTGTGGTCTTGCGGTCTCGTGGTCCTGTGGTCTTGCGGTCTCGTGGTCTTGTGGTCGGCGCAGTCCTCGGCAATCTTCCTTTGCTCGGTGGCCCTTCTGACCGCAGTTGTGGAGGGGCCTCGGTGGCCCTCTTGATTGCAGTTGGGGAGGATGGTCTTCTTGGGGTCGGCGCAGCCCTCGGCGATCTTCTTGGGCTCGACGCAGCCCTCTGCTCGGTGACAATCCCGACCGCACTTGGATCGCCGTAAGGGGTTGGGTTGTCTTGTGCGAATTGTGCGTGAGCTGGACTAGGGCGGCGAGGATGGCGCGGTGTGGAACCGATGGATGCACTGGTACGATGCAGTATCGGAGCGCAAGAGCGTCAAGGACACCTGGAGCGATGAGGAGGACTACATCAAGGCATACCAGAGATACGCAGAGGATACGACGCAGTCGCAAGTGGGTCAAGCCACGAGCAAGGGGGAGAAGTTGCCGTGAGATACAGATATTACCCATGCTGTTCTGCGGCATCACGTTGAAGCACTGCAAGACAGACCAAAGCGACGAATCACGGGGTGGCGTGCCAGAGCCCGTCTTGAAACACTGACCAAGGAGTCGAACATTTATGCGAGTGTTTGGGTGGCAATCCCGGGGTGGGAGCTGTCTTGAGGAATGCCAGTCAATCTGCCCCTGTAGAGTTCGGGGTTGTAGCAGGTCTGGTGTCTGGCGTGTGTAAGGCCAGCCAACTATGTGACGCATCAGCTGGATCGCCTCGTTGGGCTTGCTGCAGTGCTGTCTTTTGCTCGGTGAACTTCTTCCCCGCAATACTTGTGCCATATGAGCTTTTTCAGCTGGGCGCCGTCGGTACAGTGCTTGGCCGTCGTCAACGTAGCAGTTGTGACATACTAATATATGGGAAACGAGATTCTTATATGACTGACCGGCGGTGATGGCAATCTTGTTGAAGGGGCTCACGTGAATGAATTGGAGGATATTGGGCAGACCGACTTTGGTCTTTGTGGCAACCCAGTGTGTGAGCCTGAATCTGTTCAGAAATAATAAGTAATTACTTCATAGATGATGACCGCGACCCATGATCGGTTTGTAACTCTACCATCGGCCTGATCACAAGTTGATACACATATACCAACGTAGAGATGGTCTGGAGATGGGCATGACCACATTCCATTCTCGACACACTGGTATTGAAGAGCATGAATGTTTGTATTATGAACAAGAGCCAGAATTCTTCGCCCTCCATTCCGTGAGCAAATAGTATCTAATTACAAGAGAACTGCCAACCACAAACCCAAACAGAAAGCAAAACATTACCATTCAATATTACCACCGTTGCCATTGTTTCCACCACTCCAGCCGTCAGTGCCGCCGGAGTTTCCACCACTCCAGCCGTCAGTTTCACTGGAGGCGGCGCCACTCCAGCCGTCAGTTCCGCCGGAGTTTCCACCACTCCAGCCGTCAGTTCCGCCGGAAGCGACGACACTCCAGCCGTCAGTTTCGCCGGAGGCGACGCCACTGCAGCCGTCAGTTTCGCCGGAGGCGACGCCACTGCAGCCGTCAGTTTCGCCGGAGGCGACTGCGTCGCCACCCTGGCTGCTCGGTGATCGCTGATTCGAGACGATGGCGACACGATGGTTACGGCGGAAGAAATCCAACATGCGAGCAAATGTCTGGGTTTTGACGGTCAAGGTCTCGCCGTCGTCGCCCTCAACATCCGTGGGCTTGGTCAACTCCCGCGGGTTAGACTGGTTCGCGGGAAGAGTGTCGATGTCACCAACGACAAACAGGGCACCGATCTGTCTAGTAACGCCAACGCAGATTCTCTGCGGATTGGCAGTAAAGAGGGGGCCAGTGCTGCTGTCGACACAAAGGACCAGGACAACTACTTGACCCTCGCGTCCCTGGAAAGAGTCGGTGGTGTTGACGGTGATGCTACCTAAGGACTTGGAATGCGCCTTGAGGGCCGCCTGCAAACGCACCAGGTTGCCACGGTAGGGAGTAATGACGATCATGTCGTCGATGTTCAAGACAGTGCTCGAGACAAGTTCGTCAACGAGCTTGACAGCCACGTCATTCTGTGCGTCATTGTATCGGGAATGGTTGGAATCAGTGATACACTCTGAATGCTCGCAGCTGAGAAAGAGAGGGAAGACCTTGTCTGCGGGA